TTATCTCTATAATATAGTTTTATATATATAGATCAGAAGGTCTTCAGTCTGTTATATATTTCAATTATAATATTATAAGAGTTATTTAATAATAGCTTATATAGTCTAAACTACCCCTTATTCTCTCTCTATACTATAATCTCGCTTAGAAGTAGAAGTTTAAGGAGTTCTATTAGGTTAGGGCTATTATATATAGCTAGTATAAGTATAGTTCTCTCTTTAGTATATAGTTCCCTTAGTACTTTTATTATAAGGTTAACTACTTATACTCTTTAAATTATAGATTATAATAGGGGAGAGAAGGTAATAACTCTTAGATATACTCTAAATATAAGGAGTATTAGTATAAAACTATTAGGCCCTACTATATTATTAACTACTTTAACTACTACTTATAATATTAATTCCTTTAAGATTATCTCCTTAAGTTCCTTATATAAGATATTAAATATATATTATAGTAATCTATAATATCTCTTAATCTTACTAATTAACTAATAGATCTTAATCAGTATTTATTTATACTTAGAACTAATAATCCTAGTATTTATATAAAATCAGTTACTTATAAATTAGGTTCCTATATTATATATAATATAATCTAGTAGTCCGAGATAGATATCCAGTTAGATCCTCTTTAATACTTCCTATATAGTATCTACTAAGATATTCTTAAGGAAGATTATATTTTAAAATACAGTTACTATATATATAATATATAAAACAGGTTCCTAATTTAATAGGTATATAATATTAACTATAATCTTATAGTTAAAATTAAGATTATCCTATAACTTAAATCTAAAGTATCTTAGAACTAGGCTATAAGCCTGGTACTAGTAGTAGAAGTATTTAATCTTTTTTATTACCTCTCTATTTATATCTCTATAGCCTGCTCTCTCTAGGAGCTAATATAGTCTCTCTACTAATAGATAGCTAAAGCAGTAGTAAAGCTATCTTAGCTCTGGTTCTATTAAATAGGCTATATTAGCTATTAGTATATACTCTGGGAAGAACTATATATAGCTCTATTTCCTTATAGTTAGAGCAGAGAGACTATCTATAATCCTAACTATTTTATTAGTTATATTCCTAAACTTAATATTCAGATAGTCTATATTATAGAGGTATATTAGAAAAGAGGTCTCTAAGTTTATTATATAAAATATAATAGGCCCGAACAGAGTATATAGCTCTATTATACTAAGTAACTCTATAAGCTCTTTTCTAAACTTAATACTTTTTATATTAGCTATAGTATTTAGTTTAATTAATAGGTTAATCTATTAGAATACTTTAAACTATAGTTTATCTATAGTTAAGATTAATAAAGTATCTATATTCAGTATAATCCCCTGGAATTATATTATATATCTCTCTTTAATAATAAACTATAATAAGTTCTATAGTTTTCTCTGGATTTTCTCTTTAGAGAGTAAGTACTAAAATACCTTATTAAGCAGATATTATACTAGTTATTACTTATTATCGCTTATATACTGGTCTTCCTTATTTAGATTATTATAGTTATTAGGGTCTCTATAATCTGCTATTTTAGACTAATTATTAATCCCTTCCTGGTCTTAAACTTATTATTTAAATTCTTCTAATATATTATTCTCTCCTGCTTTCTCTTCTATCTTAAGGAACTCAGTTATAAATTAGTAATATACTTTAGATCTCTACTGCAGATAGTTTATTAACTAATACCCAGGCTTATTATAAATAAAGTAGTATTTTCTCTAGCTATTTCTCTATAGTCCTTAGTTCTAGCTAGTAAAGCTTCTATTAAACAGTCTACCTTATATATTTTAGATATAATAGGGCTACTATTATATTCTGTTTAGTAGCTTCTAAATATATCTATATTACTAGTTAATAAAATATATATTTCTTATTATATCCTGGGCTATTAAGTCTATTAAGCTCTATTCTAACTATCTTAAAAAGCTTATCTCTAGAGCTATTATAAGGCCTTATATTAGGGCTTTAGTATTTATATATTCTCTTTAGAGTACTATTTCTAGCTCCTTTAAGCTTTTATATACTCTTACTATAGTATCTTTAAGGTTATTATCCCCTCTATAGTTATCTCTAAGTATCTTTTATACCCTTATAAGGGTTATAAAGACTTTCTATAGTATCTAGTATACTATAAGATCTTTATTCTCTCTATTTACCTATATTAAAGTAATATTAGTCTAAGTCTAGTTATAATAATATTACTACTTATTAATAGTATTATTAAAGTATTATTTCAGCTTAAGATATATCTCCCTGAATATATATTCTTCCTTAATATATTAGAACTAGAAGTTCTATATATTCCCTTTAAGGATTTAAAAGAGAATAATCTTAAATCCGCTGGGCTATATATTATAGGATTTATATATATTCAGTATTATTCTGATCTTTATATTAAGTATATTATATAGTTCCCCTTTAAATAAATACTCCTTTAGGTTATAGAGCTTCTAAAAAACTATAAGTTCTTATATAGATATAGTACCTATTCTAAGGTTATCTTCCAGTAGGAGGTTATAGTATAGATTATATAGTCTGAATATATAGTCTCCTAACTACTAGTTTAGAATTAGGTTCTAAGGAGGTAGAGATACCTATAGGATTAAGTTTATACTTATCTAAGGTATTTCTATCTTATTAACCTTAATTATATAAGTTATACTTCTTTCTTAAGATAGTTATAGTATTAGTAATCTATATCCTTAGGACTTTCTATATTACTCTTATAATTAAAATACCCAGGAGTTCGGATTAAAGGTAATTATAAGGAATTATATATTTTTCAGCTATTCTAGTAGGTTCTTCAGTTCTTATATATTATTAAGAGCTGTTTTAGATATATTATTCAGGGGTTTAGTAAAGATACTACTATATTATAGTATATATTTTAACTCTTTAGTAATACTAATATTTAGAAGTATAAATATTTCTAGTAACTAGCTCCTAAAGTTATATATAAACTTACTTAATAGGTTACTACTATATAGACTAGTATATTTATAGTAGTATATATATTATACTATATATATATTAGTAAGTCTAATAGTAGTAATCTGAGTTATTAAGATTAGATAGTTTATCTAGTTAATATTATTTATATAGATCTTTATTAGCTTAATTATATTAAAGATCTCTTCTGCTTTATTATATTTAAAGGGAGATAGTATAGGTAGTATTTATATTAGTAGTACTATTATACTTACTTAGGATATAAATTCCAGAGTATATAGTAGATTTAATAGTAAGGGTAAGTAGAGTTCTACCCTTATTAGAAGAATAAGGGTCTCTATTTAGGGGGATTCTAATAGGATATAGAGGAGTTAGAGTAATAGTAAGATAAAGATATAAGGAATTTCTTATCTCCCTTTAGAATTAGGAAAAAGAGAGTATTCTATAAGAATAAACTCTTAAGGTTAGATAGTTAAAGAGGGAAGTAATCTTATTAACTACTCCTATCTGTATTAATAAGGAGGTATATATAATAAGATATTCTTTAGAGGTATTTCTAGTACTAATAGTATTATTAGAGGAATAAGTAATCTCTAAAGTAACTATTTAAAGTATATAAAAGATAATAGTATTATTATATTATATATTATATATAGTTCTATAGTATAGAACTAATACCTATAGAAGGACTATACTTCCCTAGGTATTTAGAAAATCCTATCTCTTCTTCTTTACTAATCTATAGCTACTATATAACTACTGATTAGTATTAGAAGGCTTTTCTAAAGTATATACTTATAGATAAGATAGGTTATAAAGATAATTAATTTAAGTTACTATCCTAGCTATAGAACTAGGCTGGTTATAAAGCTAGTTCCAGAGCAGTTATAACTAAGCAGACCGCTCTGTAATTAACCTGCAGCTAGTAACTGCTTATTATAGGTATTTAGTATACTAATAAAAGGAACTATTTATAATAAACTTAACTAGTAAGAAGAGATAAGTATAACTAATATAGATATATCTTCTAATTAGAATATTACTTCTAATATTATATTTAGTTAGAATATTCTAAATAATTATAATAAAATTAAATCTATCTAATTTACTAACTCTAACTAGTAGAAGATTATATTTTAAGATATTAAATATTAAGATATAGAATATATTAAGAATAAATTAATAATTAAGGGGAAATTAATTTCTTTTATATTATAATAATTTTAATTCTACTAGCTAATTAGTTAGTTTTACTATTAAGAATAATAGCTTTCTAGAACCCGGGGATATTATATAACCCTCTATAGGGTATTTATAATACCTTACTACTAGCTAGTTTTTATATTCTCTTCTTTTTCTCTTTAATTAATTAATATTATATAAACCCTATAAATAAAGCTCTACTTTACTATATATAGTCTAATCTTACTAGAGTATATTAATAATAATTTATATATTACTTATTCCCTTTGCTGCCGCTTGGTTCGTTACAGGTAACAGGAGAAATGAGACACGTAATGGAAAACTTGGTTATTAATCAACTACTTTCTTCAATAAATAGACAATTTCAGTAGCATTCAAATAGAGGGAAGTAACAATAAATATAGTATTGTATATATTAGTACTCAATTATCTACTAATACCGGTCGCAGACTTGAGAATAAGCAGCTTAATATTTGAGTGTCTCAATTTCAATGTCGCCCACTTGGGAGGCTGTATCCTATGAGATCCAAAAATCTTTCCCTCTAGCTATTCGAGCTACCGTTTTTGTTCTTCTTTCTTACCTCGCATTTCAACGAGGAATAACATTGCCCAAAAGAAGTGGCAAACCATCTTGAAACTGGACCCGTACCTGCAGCACATCTCAGCGAATTTGACTAGATTTGACACGACTGCACCTGCTCCTTCTGAACGGGATTTATGTTACATGCAGAGTTTTCATGATCGAAAGCAAAAATCAGACAGTGAAATAGGCAGAAATTAAGATAGGACTCATTCTATATCGCAGTACCTGTAGTACTAATACCTCACTCCTGTTTCTCTTCTTTCTTTGATAAATCCAGGCGGCTCATCTTATTTGCATGCCGAATAGCTTCCATCGCCCCATTCCAAGCCTTCCTCTTCCTAGTCTCGAAGTAACGGAGCATATGGGGCGTATTCACGCCATACGCCAGCAAAAGATATGTTCTTGGGTGGCGCAAGGAGAACCGCAGCCCTTGCCAAGTCCAACCTAAATTCTCATACAGACCTGTGCCGGCAGTGCTATGCACCCAGCGCATCCAAGAGTCTGGCTCCACGAGACCCTCGAGTTGCACCAGGGGCTCTGTGTAGCATCTCTTGACATACCAGGACTGACGTTCACGGATCTGACGATCCATTTCCTCTCGTGGCGGTAGAGAGGACTTGCCCGTCCATATTTGAGCGATGGCCATTGAGGCCAACTCACGACACTGCGAGGCACTGCCGAAGAGGACGGCAAAGTTGAGGAATGCGAGACTGTCGGGGTATTCAGGTGAGATGACGTTGTAGTAGAGGTTTGGCTGTGGTGGAACTTTGGGATCAACTTCAGTGAACTTAACAGCTGCTTCATCAAGAACACCGAATGGTGTTGTATACCCAGTGCAGCATATAATAGCATCCACGTCCTGCAGCACCGTTCCGTCCTCCATTTCGACCGCCTTCGGTCCGACTATCTTACGCAGAGACCAGGTCGACTGCACTCGTCCATCGCGAAGGGCCGGGATCAGGTCATCGGTCATAAGCACTCCAGTGACATTGCTGGCATATCGCGGGTGCCAGTCGAAGCGGAACTCAGGCTCGATTTCGCCCCATGAGCTGCGCATCGCGGCGGTGAAGTTTTTGTTTATCATCCAGGCGTGAAGAGCAGGAAAGAAGCGCTCAGCCCAGAATAATGTAGACACGGCTTTCCACATGGCAAAACGGTCAAACCTCTTGCCTTTCACCATACGCGGGATGACCAAGGCTCCTCGCCGATGCGCGAAGTACACTTTGGATGCCTGTTCTGTAAGCTCCTGGAACAGCATTAGCATGGTCTCGTACATGGCACGTTTGGCGTGGCGAGTGTTACCACTGCGCAGTCGGCTGCAGAATTGCCCTGCCCTAATACAATGACGTTCATACCGGCAAATTCCTCCGGCCTGTCTACAACATTAGCGAGATCTCAGGCATGGATAACGCAACTCTCATACCGTTTATATGCTTGCCCATGAATCAGCCTGCCCTGAAACTGTTCTTGTCCTTCGATTGTGGGCAACTTGGCTTTCGTTTCGGTACCTACAGCATAGATGATCTTATCGAACGGCTGCATGGTATCTTTCCCAGAGATTTTGACCAGCCAGAGCTTGCGTAACTCGTCTCTCTTGATGGCCTCTACAGTGACGCCGAATCGAATCTTGTCCATGAGACCATAATGAATCGCATAATCTCGGTAGTAAGTACCGAGATCGGCACCTGTTGGGTGTCGAGGAACATCTACACGCAGGTATTAGTAGCTACCTTTGCGAAGCCTCCCAATTGATAACGTACCATCTGAATGAGGAAAGTCCGAAAACGGCGTCTTTCATCATCGGTGCATAAGTCAGCGTACAGCAGGTAAATGCTAGAAGAGGAAATACGCACAAGAAACTTGCTCAGCTGGGCCTTGGTCTGGCTCGTGACGGAGGTGTGTGTTGGGACTTCGCTGAACGCCCAAATACCACCAGGATTGGCGCGTTGCTCAAAGCAGGTGACCTCGAAGCCCTCATCCAAGAGTGATTTTATGGCGGCGAGGCCAGCAGGCCCTACTCAATATGCATCAGCGGTAGTTCCATAAAAAAACATAGAAGCTGAGCTCTCACCTGCACCAATTACCGCGACGTGCGCTGCTGCGGTCATTATAATTGATACGATCAAGTTGACGCGTATGGAAAGAGGAAGAGGAGGAGTCAATGGTGAAACAGTTTAGATAATGAAATGCCATCCGGCCCCCAAGGCAATCTGACCTCTGCTGACGGCGCTATTGGATGGGGTTAGACGTGCTGACTGACGAGTGGCGGGCACACTTTAGCACCTTTCCACCATCATGGATCACCATCCTGGTTATCTATGATACGTGTCGCAGTCATTTATGAGGATCCGAGGGATGATTCTCAGTCTCACCATGTACCTCTCTTCCCCTTATGCATCCCCAAAAACAGTGCATTCTTTTGTCAATTTCGCTCCTTTTGGCTCATCGTCTGACTACGTCCAACTCATTGCACGCTCTAAAGTATCCTCTGACCATCGTTAGGGGTAACATATCAGGGCCTGGGTGGGAGGCATCGTGTTCGCTTGGTTGGCTTGACCAATTCTAGCATGTTGGGCGTGTCGTTGTGTTCATGCCAACCAACAATCAATCTATCCTTACACCATTCACGATGTTCTGCATTGCTTGAGCTAGACCAAAGTATTTGCATCCTCGGTGAGATAGCCAGGGAAGCTATCGTTGTGACAATCGCATCATCGTGCGGCTATATACGTTCTCCCCATCAAAGTCATTGATATGATCAATCCATGCTGTTGATCGAAGTAATTGCCGTACCGCAGACCAGGTAGACAGACCACCAGCATATAGAAGTCTCTCAAACCAGATGTCCAGTTGTCGGTACTCGCATTCAGGAGGTTGCAGCATATGCCACGCGAAGAATAGCCATGATTGTACCGGAAGAGAAAGCCCGGATTTTTCATTATCGAGATTCCTCAACGTCGCTCCTAGCATGCATCGCAGGTGATAGAATTCGACAATATGGTTATGCCATTGGAGGAACATCATCGAAGTGTACGCGAGCATGCCAAGTCGAATCGTTTCCTCTGCAGAGTCCAAGTCAAATGAAAGATTCAGCAATCGATATACTAGAGAAAGCAGAATCTCGCTAAACGTATTTCGAGGCAGCTTCTGATTTCGTTGAGATGCCGAGTTACTCATTGAGCAAAACTCGACAAGGTCATCCCACACTGTCCGTAGCCTGTAATCTAGTGTGCCGATCCATAAAGCCAGGCTCGATTGGACAGCATCACTTTCTCCGCTTCTTGCGCAGTTGGACAGTAGATACGGGGTCCACGAAATTGAGTCGTGGAAGAATACGGGATCTCTCCATGTTCTCACAGCAAGGGCGAGATCGATCCTGGTAGAAGTCAGTTGGTGTCTTCACAAGACGATCCGTATACACACACCGACAGATCTTGGCAAGAAGATCGGGTACTTCCGTGTGCAGTACTTGGAACCCGCCTCTCATATCAATCATCCTCTTCAGACCACGGAGGTGACGGTCAACTGTTGGTAGATCACCGGCCATCTCTGCTGCAACAGCTAATAAGAGAACAGACATGATAGTCGTATCTGAGGTAGAAATCGTTACGTCCTCCTCAGATACTTTGTCCTGCAGAAGCTGAAGTGCCATGAAAGAATGGTGCTGAGACTTCAGGAGACGGTTGCCTTCTCCCGGTGTGTTGAAAAAGGCCTCGGTAGCTGAAACGACTGAATGGAAGTACATCTGGTTATGAAACATGGTTCCCACCCAATGTACATCTTCACTATCTGCCTCGGCACAAAGTCTCTCAGGGTACATCTTTGTAGATAGCAAGGAGAAAACTGAAACCAATGAGCTCTTGATGCAGAAGTTGGAGGGAACTGCGGAACAAACATTTGCCGAGGTTGTAGAGAAGAAGGGGTGTCAAGGCAGCAGAAAAGGCGAGTCCCGGAGCTTCTATCAATTCTAAACCAGGGCCAAGAGTAGGCACAGCTACCAGTTGACTTGGGTGTTCGGGCGTCATGTCACCCGATCTCATGGCACGGTTACGTCTTGAAAATGATCTAGAGTTCGGTTTCCGCTGCCGGTCGCAAGTACCCGCCTTCGCAGCATGGCTTCTGATTTGTCTGTTTTGTGCGCGAGTTCGTCTCTGGACTGGAGTACTGATAATGAATGGAAAGCTCCCCGGGATATCTGTTTCAATACTCCCATTAGCTGACCAGCGATCGGAGAAGCGACTGCTGAATACTGCAAATGGTGGCATTTAGGACAATGCAGCGGCTTACCCATCTTTCTTTCTATGGTTGTCTCCCTAGTTTGAGTACGATAGTCGCCGCATTGCTCATTTGCCCGGAAGACGCAGCCGGCTTCAGTTTGAAGTCCCAGATTCGCCGTTGAGATGTGGTGAGTTTCGTCGGATGCTCGGAGATGCTACAACGTCACTCAAAACCCGTTTGGGCTTTGTTTTCTTTGGGTTAGACGCATTGAGCGTGGATCATTTTAGGAATAGCTCCGTAAGCACTAATCTTGATAGGAATAGTCTCATAAGCATTAATCGCTTCAGGAATAGTGTGATGGTGGTGCTAAGCCGAGATGGGCATTTTCCAGAATTGGCAAATGCCAGCATCTTCCAGATTGAAAGACAGTGAAACCTTGAGAGAAGCGAGATGTTATCACGAAATGCATGGTGATGCCTCTATCACAAATTACAGTTGCGAACAATATTATACATTTTACTTTACTTAAAGGGACGCGGTTTCTTTCCTCAACATGCTTCACTTCCTCATTCAGCCCAGTTCTCATACTCCTATTCTAAACTCGTCTCACTTCCAGCTACCCTATACACAGTCAATTTTCAAGCATCTTCGGAAATGTCTGCTCCAAGTGTTTGGTTAATCACCGGTGCCTCTCGCGGGCTAGGCTTTGAGATTGCCAAAGCAGCTTTAAAAGCTGGCCATGTTGTTGTTGCAGGCCGCCGTGGATCTCAACCAACAGCACAGGTCACGAAACTTGAAAGTCTCGGAGGCGAGTGGATCGACTTGGATATGAAGTCAAGCGACATTGAGCCAATCATCGCCGAGGTTGAAAAACAGTTTGGCCACATTGATGTTCTCGTCAACAATGCCGGATACGGCGTTGGCGGAACTGTTGAGGATCTCAGGTTCGTCTTGGAGCTGAACTAGGAACTTCACCTGATGTACTAACAGAACTAGCATTCAAACGATTCGAGAGGTTATGGAAGTGAATGTGATGGGCCCTATTCGAGCCTGCCGTGCCGTTATACCGGTCATGCGCCAGCAGGGCGGCGGCACCATCGTCAACATTAGCAGCGTGAGCGGTATCATTAGCTATCCAGGAATCAGCGCTTATTCCTGCACCAAGCACGCACTTGAAGGTATGACCTTGTCTACCATTTCATGGACAGAATGCTGATTCGTAACTTGAACAGGCTTCACCGAAAGCCTTTCCAAGGAAATTGAACCCTTCAAGATCAGAACTATTCTTGTTGAGCCCGGTTCGATGCCTACTGGTTTTCTGGACACCACTCTTTCCGCAGTGACCGCGCCTCGAAGCGAACCCTACCGCGGTACCATTGCCGATATGGTTCTGTCAGCTGCGGCGGGCGGTGAGCTGGTCAAGGCCCATGGAGGCAGCCCCGTGCTTGCCGCGGCTCGGATCCTCGAGGCTGTTGACCGGACTGGGGTCTTTGCTGACCGAGACCTCGGTTTGAGACTCCCGCTTGGGAAGGAAACCCAAGAAATCATCGATTGGGGAAAGGATTTGGCCAAGTGTGCAGAGGAGCTTCAGGACATTGCTTTGAGCATCGCCGTCTAACGGCTAAACGCATGGTAGAAAATAGCCGAGATGAATGGTGGGTTTCTGACTCTCTACTACTGTATTGCGAAAGGGAAACCTAGCGGTGAAATTGGAAGCCATTTGGAGCTCCGAGAGAACCATTACCGTTCAGTATTATCTTCTAAATATGGGGAGATGTTTAAGCGAGGCTAACTCCATGAGTGTCTAACGCCGTCTGATCACCCAGTTAAATTATTGAACATCTATTGACCTTTACTCATCCTATGACCTATGAAGTCTCGTGTCCTAACTCCTCAAGTATTCTCTGGTGCCCCAGTTCCTTTGCCAACTGAAGCGGGACTACTCCGCCCTTCATTGGCAGCTTCCTGTTGATCTTCGGATGTTTCAGTAACTTGGTTACAGTATCAACATCGTTGGAATATATTGCAAGATGCAGTGGTGTATATCCATCCTGGTTGATTAGGTTGGGGTCGATATCCGGATGCTCCAGGAGGTAGGCCACCGGCAGCGGATATGAATAGTTGGCGGCTACGTGTAAGGGTGTCCACCCCTGAACATCTTTCAGGTTTATAACCGCTCCAGCCCCGCGGTCTAGGAGTAGCCTCACGAGCTCCGGAAGACCCCTAAACACCGCCCACCAGAGAGCTGTCCTCCCAGTCCCGTCAGTAACATTGATATCGATGGTTGGATGATCCAACAGCATCGTCGATGATTGTAGGTGGCCTCCCTCCGCTGCTAGGCATAGAGGTATCATTCTGACATATCTCTTGTTTTTCTTTGCATACGATGTTTTGAGCTCGAACGTTTTGTCTTGCCCTGGTCGAGAATGCAAACGAGTATATGTCTTTGGAAACTTCGGCGCATAATTCGGATCTATTTTGTCGTGTGCTAGTAGAAGTGCCACGGTCCCGATATGATCTCCCAAAATCGCATTGGCAAGCGGCGAGGCGTTGGAATTTCCCAAGTTAACGTCGATGTCGGGCCTCGTAAGCAGCAGCTTCACTACCGGCTCACGCCCTTTCCCTGCCGTGTAGAACAGAGCAGTTCCAAGTGACGGCTCGAGACTTTGACCGTTCGGATCCACGCCACTATGTTTGAGTAGCTCCTCCATAATGTCATACTGCTTTGCGTAGACGGCTGCCAGCAACGGCGTGTTGTGATTGAGTCCTTTGTCCCTCATATTAGGATCTATATCTGGCCGCTGCAGGAGGCGTCGCACTATGTCCAAGTTCCCAGTGTATATGGCAAACGTGAGAAGAGTACTGCACTCGCCATGAGAAAGGTTGGGATTAACGTCAGGCCGTGACAGGAGAACTTCTACGATGGCTTTGTCATCGTGTTGTATGGCAGTTCCCAAAGGCCTGCTTGTTTCCCCAGCAGCTAATAAATTCGGGTTGATTTTGGGATGCTCAAGGATTGCTTGCACCATTTCCACATTGGTTGTGGGCAAATATGTCCAGGCGGCCGTGATCGCCTCATTCAATGCTGTCGAGTGGCCTTTGGGACCATTGGCGTTGGGATTCAAATATGGCCACGCAAGGAAGACCTTCGCCAGCGGTAAATTACCAGCTCTGCAAGCAGCAACAAACGGGGTTCCTACTCGCTCACGAAAGCCCTTCGCCTGCGGGCGATAGGTATTTAAAAGTAGCGAAGCGATACTAGGATCCTTAGTCACTCGCAGAGGACAGTCCTCCCGTGCTGGGTCACATGGGCGGTACGCTGGCCGTGCGATAAGGATGCGAACGATTTCGGCGTGTCCATGGCTAGCAGCTTGGTAAATGAACCAGTTGGGGTCTTCCACAAAGTGAACGCGGTCGTAGATTGGTTTTCCTGATAACCGGATGTTGAAAATACGAGCACGCGAACGCCTGGCCACGCTTTTAGCCCAGCCCTGAGCCTTTCGAATTCGTTTGGCTTCAATGTCTCCCCATTGGAGGAGTCCGCGTACAATGTCTGCATATCCTTTTCGGCACGCCAATGTCATGCACGTGCATAAAATATGGGAGTCCTCGGTAGGCGTATTGCGCAGGAGACACTGGAAGACGTCCGAACGGCCGTGTTTCACACCGAGTTTCAAGAGATCCCCATACCCGTCTGGAGGCCGGATGGCTGGTCCAACATCCAAGAGACACTGGACAAGGTCGTTGTGGCCATTCCGGACAGCATTGGGGAGCGGAGAACCAAAATGGGGATGGGAGAGAGTAGGATCTGCACCGCGGGAGAGTAGCAATTTGACTCTTTCGACATCGCCTCCGCAGCAAGCAAGCTGCATAGCACCTTGGACTGATTCGAGTTCCAGTTTTAGAGACTCGCCGTCGCTCGTGGACGTACTCACAATGGAGAGCTTTTCTGGAAGGCTAAGGTCTAAGCTCATCTCAGCCACACCCTCGTCGAGGCCTGGCAGCCATTTGCGCACCCAATTGGCCCCGAGCTGGTGTACGATGGCCCGACAGGCCACTTCAATCCATTGATAGAGGTCACCTACATCCTCTAGCGGCCAGCAATTTCTATTGGCCATAAAGCTGGCCCAGCGATGGATGTAGGCGGAAAATTCGTCGCGGCGTACAGAGTCTAGTCTGATCTTGGTCGTCAAGACCCAAATCGTCTTGTCATCATTCCACGGCCTCGATCGCTCCAGTAGGGTAAAGCCATGTGAGGTACGGAACAAGATGCCAGAGACCACGTTGTCAAACACCCCTAGAAGGTGAGAAATACCATCAGTTAATGCTCCATGTTCTCGCTAAGCACTGGAGCTGTATCATCATCCTAACTCTTGGCATCATCAAGGCCGTCATGACTTACGACTGACGAGACGAAGTTTCATGCACTCGTGTCTCTGGGGGGAGCGATACCATTCTCTGGGGAAGACCCGGCCGAGTATCTGCGCCAATATTTCAGGCGGAAGATGTTGTAGGTTCATCGTGACAGGCTATGGTTATGAGCACAAGATAGAGATCCCGGACAGACGTATGGAGGATCTGAGAGAAGATGGCGACTCGATGGTTGCCTCGAGTGCTTAGCTGTACTGGTTCGCATAAGCTGTTGGTGGCAATTATAAGCACCAGTGACTGTTTCGAGCACAGACAGGGGCTACGATGCTAAAAATAGGTAGTACGTTTCATAATTATAAGCTGGAAATTATGCACGTATGCATTGGAGAATAAATTTACTGGAGCACCAGACGCGTCGCGAGCCAAGAATGCATGAGAAAGATGATTCCAATCAAATGTCTCGTTGTAAAGTTTGATGTTATATGTACTTTAAATTGGTATGATTTTCTTCTTCTTCCAAACGCCGGTTTACCCAACAGACATAAACCACCTGGGCCGCATGCTACTTCGGGATTGAAATCTAAGCTTTCTTCAGCTCGGCGTGGAATGCGTGAAGAATGTTATCTGTGTCTTCAATAGTGAGAGGGCGCGTATCGGCCGTTTGCTTGATCTTGGCGGTGCTGTCACGTTTTTGTTAGTCTCGGAACCATCTGATTCAAGGCAAAGGGCACTTACACTGCCTTGACCTCATCATCAGTCATTACCAAACCAAGCTGGTCGACTCGGCTGCGTACGGCATTCCAACCAGTTCTGTAAAGATGATTAGGAAGTATTCACATTAGATCAAAGGTATTTCAACGTACACGCGACTGTTAATGGCTACATTGCGGGAGATACCGTACTCCGCCGGGTCGAAGACTTCGTAGGTCTGCGTGTGTCAGCTTCCAGGTATATGTGTACCCTGCTTGGATTGACTTACTGAAGGGTTGTTGAGAATGGCCTTGGCATGGATGCCCGCTTTGTGAGTGAAAGCGGAAAATCCACTTGGCAGGAGGTTAGTCCTGGCGTATCCATTATTATATTGTTATATTGTACTTACGTTACCGGGTTGTTGTACGGAACATTGATGTTGACCGCTTCGGAAACGACGGTTTCAAGTGCCTTGAGCTCTTTCAGATTGTACTTGCCCTTGGTGTACTCAGGTGCGGCGACGAGCATACGGGCAGCTATTTCAAGTCTTCGTTAGCACACGCAAAACACTATTTACCATCACAAGTGGCAACACTTACAAAAAGCTCCCAGGGGAACAAGACCATTACGCTCGCCTAGATACCCGTATCAGATACAGAGTACATACCGACGGCATCCAGCGCATCAAAGCTATGACTACTAACCAATTCCCAGGACGGTGGTATCAATGTGGTTCGCACCGGCCTCCAGGGCTGTCACGGCATTTCCAACTGCACAACCTAGGATTCGTTAGTCTTGGAAACACATAACAACGAAGAAATGAACACAAACCTGTCTCATCGTGGAAGCGGCACTCGATGTCGCCCTTTATGACACCTTTTCGTCTAGTAAGCTTTCCCTGTGCTACAAAAAAGGAAAACGGGGCCACTTGCCTCGAAGTGTTCGGACATTTTCGTCTACTAAACGAGGGGTAGTTCCGCCACTACCAAGGATTAGCATATCTGTCGTGTGATATGAACAGAAGGTTTGGCATACATAATGTCGTTGATTCCAACCCGGTCTGCGCCAGCCTCCTTAACAGCTTGGTAGAGGCTGAGTAGATCGACGAGATCGGAGCGGAAGGTGTCCTCGAATGAGAACTGTGTCTCTACGTTTTGGCTGAATATTAGAAAGCAGTCAGCAATACGCATCCAGAAAGCTCCGATCACGCAACAGCGGAATATGTTCGAGGGTCATTTAATACGAGCCTAACTGACCTCTTTAGGTATGAAATCACCTCCACAGCAGATTCCTGGATCTTTTCCATGCTCTTCTCGTGGGAGACGTCGGAGGAAAAGCTAGATGCTCCAACTACAAGGCCAACACTTCCGACACCAGCCTCGACCTACCAATCATTTGTCAGCTTCACTACCATGGGCTTGCGGTTGGAACACTTGCAGCTTTCTTGGCGTCATCCAGATTGCGCACGTCTGTTTCGGTCAGTGTTTGAATCGGTCGTTTCGAGGGACGTCACGAACGGGCATGGAGCTTGGCCTGGTCGATTGGTTAGTCATATGTCAACCGTGTTACTCGTTGTCGTTATTCATAGATATCGCCTACCTTCAGGCCCAAAGCAGCGATAGCCTTGGAGTCCTCGAGTGCCTGTTCGCTTGAGGAGGGGTTCGTGATCTCGATGTAGTCAACGGCGAACGAGTCCAGGGCCTTCGCACTACACACGATTAGCATCACGGCCTGGAGCTGCTGGCATCGTGTCTTACATGGCCACTTTGGTGTCTCGGGAGAGGGGGTTCGTTGCCCATTGGTCGGCTTCCCGCAGCGTGCTGTCAACCTGGTTGATGTCAACATCTAGGGCGCTTTCCTCCATGTATCAAATCGGGTCATTACAATCTTATAGCTCGCGACGTTCGATGGGGATGACCCGCCAGCCGCGTTCGCAGTTGCGCTCATTGCGTCGACGTCTCGGGCTTGTTCTTCGATTCGTTACTGTCGGAGGGGAAGTGGGGGTATTTCGGTCTCGAATTCTTGGTTTCGCGCGTTGTCTCGCTCGATCGGAAGCAGGCCGGCCAGAGTCGCGGGGTGTTGCTGTTGAGTAGTTGTGATGTTTCGGGAAGAGTTTTTTTCCTTGGTCCTGGTGGAGGGGCAATTGGCATTTCTGCGCGCAGCAGCGAAACACGTCATTGTCAATTGCGCCGATGGCGGAGTCTGGCTCATCACCCCTCTGTAAGGTAGTGCTAGCTGAGTCAGGCCAGGGGCATCCTTAGGCGCTACTTGCGCTTAAGCCATGGCCTATAGCGATGTTTTAGTGGCTTCAAATTAACCCCGCGCTGTCTAATGTAGCAAATCAGACGGTGACCCTCATCGCGAGTACCTTCACCTCTGCCTTCAGCTGTAGAAAAGCAACTGAATCTATGTATCTAATCGTGCACATAGCGTGTCTAAGTGAGACGCTAGAACCTGAATTAGTGCGGAACATGACACTCTCGCCTATTGATGCTTTGGCGACGATGTCTTTGGTACATTGCCTATTTTGCCGGTAGCCCTTTGATCCAACCCGCTTACATCAAGCTTAAATCATTTTCTTGGTTTGATGTGAGTATTCCCCTCGGCTCCATTAGTCAAGTCCCTGATATTGGGGCCTATAGTTGCACGAGCTGGACTTAAATTTGGCTATGCGATCATCTAAGAGATACTGGGGACACGCTTTTGTATCATTAAATACAAGTGGGTGTTGGTATTATGTGCACCGTATTAACATTTGAACGATAGTTTCAAAGAATTTAAAGAGGAAAATATAGTAAGACTTATAGAACCCCTGAATGTTCAATCTTGATTCACCGACCTGCTTCACTCGTTCTCTTGAGACGACGTTCTTAAGTGGCATCGGCAATTCACAAGACCATAAACTAATAGTAATAGGTAGGACCAAGTTATTACATTGGTGACTCCCAAATTGGACCGTGGGAATTTTGGATGATAAAATAGCTCTACAATTGTTTCAATTCTGTGAGTGTTTTGTTTTCATATGGTCCGCGTGGAACTTGGTGCCCGCTCCCTGGATAATCTCACCCTGGTCGTAGCAGGTGATGAGTTGGACAACCGGACGTCCGGCGGTGATATGTCTCTTTCTTGATATAGGGGCCCTGAAAGCATTCCACCGCCGGGATGGCTTGCTCCGACTCTAGCAACGGACCGGCTTAGGTAGGTGATATATCCATGCAAGAGAGATCACCGAGGCAGCCGGGTCTTGAGATAAAAGCCAGCAGACGGTCCATAGTTCTGTGTATCTTGTCAATGCTGCAATTCCTCTTCCTTTATACTTTCTAGATATCACCCCTATAACTCGCCCACAATGATCTTTCAGTATATTTTCCTGTTAGCTAGTCTTTGCCCTGGGCTTTTGGCCACGAGCTCCTCAACACCCACGCCGCCAAGCCAAGATCCATGGTATTCTGCGCCAGTTGGGTATGAAAATGTGAAGCCTGGGACTGTCCTCAGGCTACGACACGCCCCGGGAAATTTGACTGACACCATGGGTCATACATCTACGGCCTACAATGTCCTTTTTCGTACCACCAATAGTCAGTACAAACCGACTTGGGCCGTCACAACCGTGCTCGTCCCAGAGCTCGGCCTGAATAGTACTGCCCAATTAGCCTTCAACCAATCCGCCTTGTTGTCTTATTATATACCCTATGACTCTTCGTCTCTCGACTCCAGCCCTAGCTACACACTCTATGGTACTCAATATGCTCAGCAACTTGATGCTGCCCTGGCAATGGGGCTGTTTGTTTCTGTGCCTGATTACGAAGGCCCTTTGGCGGCTTTCACGGCTGGAGTCAACTCGGGACATGCATCCATTGACTCGATCCGCGCCGTTCTTTCACTTGGTCTGGGTATGGACACAACCTCAGCGCGAGTCGCGCTCTGGGGCTACTCTGGCGGTGCGCTTGCTGCAGAGTGGGCTTCCGAGCTGATGGTTCAATACGCGCCAGAATTGTCCGAGACAATCGTCGGTGCTGCTCTGGGAGGCCTTACACCGAATGTTTCCAGCGTCTACGAAACCGTTTCAGGAGGCAGCTTCGCTGGTTTGGTGCCAAGTTCCCTACTTGGTCTGACTGCGCAGTATCCCGAGGCGCGGGAGTACCTGACTTCCCAGCTTAAAGCTTCCGGGCCATACAACAGCACTGGGTTCCTTGCGGCACTAGATATGACAGTTGATGAGGCTGGTGTTGCCTTTGCGGGCCACGATATTGGCGAGTATTTTCAGAATGGTTTCGCATCGTTCCAATCGCCCATCATCCACAACATCATCAATCGAGACGGAGTCATGGGCTACCATGGTGTGCCACAGATACCGATCTTCTCCTACGTGGTTATTCAGGATGAAGTTAGTGACGTTGCCGATACAGATGGTCTGATTGACCGGTATTGCCAAGTCGGCGCCAACATCTTGCACGAGAGAAACTCGGTTGGTTCACACCTTGAGGAGGCTTACAACAGTGCACCAGCAGCTCTGGATTGGTTGACGGCCGTTCTCTCGGGATCATATGCTGCGAAATACAACATTGTTGGGTGTACCATCCGAAACGTCACCAGAAACGGTACCACCTCTGGTGTCGAGAAGAGATGTCATCAGTAGGGCACCGCATTCAACATGCCTTCCCAAGTTCACAATGACTTATCAAAATGTCCCGTGTCAACAACACTGCCCAAGAACCCTACTTCTGTCATATTAGTTATCAGTTGTAACCCTACAGATAGATTAGACTCCCAAGTTTGTCATACACAAGACAACCCGTAAATACACAAACAAATTGAACATGAGATAAACTTTGCTAGATTTCCAGCGCTTAGGGCAGAGTGAGGGTCAGCGTTTCTAGTTTTGAAGCCGGATTCCAATAACAATGCATATCATTAGTTTGAATTCAAGATTAGTTGAGAAGGTGGTTATTGAGAACAGGATATTCTACAGCCAAAATACAGGTACTTCATTGCCACGGGATGTCATCGAAGATGTCCTGCATCATTGGAAACATTGCCGGGTCCATGAGGAAGGGCGAAAAGTCTGCTTCAGCCATGCTCATGAAAGTATCTTGCGGCAAGAGAGATATGCCGTTTTCCCCACCTATGCCAGAAACGAATTCACTTTTAAAGACCGCTTTTAGGGCGCTAAACTTATGGATGCCGAGCAGAAAAGCCTGATCCGACTGGGAATCTGGCATGGATAGCGCCGCTTGCTCAAACCTCTGTATCACTGTGTCTAAGACTGGCACCAATTCCGCACCTGCTTCCGCCAACAGCGAGTTCCAGGTAGGTACCTTCAAAGCACTTATTCGATAGATGAACACTGTGACGTAGTAAAGTTGGCTGTAGTTACTAGCGGGTAGAAATCGTAGGTGGTCCAGCGGTATCGAAAAGTATAGATCAAGCCACGAACGTAGAGAGTTGACGACGCGCTGGTAATAAGCAAAGTTTTGAATGTCCTTGTCGTGTGACACTGAAGACTTATTAAGAAGAGATTCGTGCGCCATAAGCATACTGAAATGGTAGAGCCTCTTCATTGTTGCTACGAGGGTATGTCAGTTCGGCTCCTCAACAAGCTTGAATATGAACTCACAGTTGTTGTCAAAGATATTGCTGACCCCATCGGTAAGGGTTAGAAGGCTATCGAGCTCTGAGCGGAGGGCATCAGAGTATATAGCAGGTACTTGGACATTACTGCTTCCACGGTACGCCGAGCGAAGGCGATTGATGATGAGTTGCAACTTCGCTTGCGTGATGAGAATGTGATCGTGTGGTTTAGTGCTATTCTGAGAAACGTAGTTTAAGCATTCGTCGAGATAAGTTGACCAGCAAAGGCCATCAGCGGATCTAAATGCATGGCATGTCCTAAAACATTGTTAGTGAAATCGTTGAAGGGCAGCTGTATGAGTATTGTAGCCTTATAGTACACACATTGAGGTAATTATATAAGCTCCTATGAGAGCTCTTCGGTCTTCCATAGTTCTCTCCTTTCGGATCTGCGGCAAGAGTCCAAACCCTTTACCGTTTAGGAGTTGCCCAACCTTGGACGGGTACTCGGGGGGCGTCATGTTCAGACCGAGATCCTGGATCAACGCTACCGCGATTTGCGAAACCATAGAACCAAATAGCTTGTCCATGGGAAGCAGGTGCATCCTGCACCGAATTAGCGCAGCATTGGTGTTATGACGATTGTTCTTACCAGCAAAGAAAGGTCAAAACTCCAAGCAACATGTCGACACTTCTCGTGCCGTCAGCCACTATTTTTTGAACTATAATATTTTTGACTTGGCGACCAAGGGAATATCGGGTTTTGGTTTTGAGAGAGGCTACACTCATAATGCTCAACCAGAGAAATGGGTATTGTTGACGGAGCGTTGTCGCACCCCATTCATTCGGAATGTAGAGGTAAGGGCATAAGGGCTGGGGACATGTTAAATTTAGTAAGATAATGAAACAAGCTATTCCGTATGACTTACCACCATCTCGTCACGGAATCGTCGGAAGGTAGCTTCTGCTTCCTCGAGGGAGGGTTCATCGGCGTATGTCTCGGGCTGGAAAGCTGAAGGCGTATTATTCGTCAAGGTCGGCGAAGTTTCGTTGCCGCCGTCATCGTCATGGCCAGCCTCTGGAAGCTGGGGAGAGACACTTGTAAAATTAGCTGGAGCCTGCTGGAGTCTCATGAGAGACATGAGATCATCCAGCTTCTTCTCAAGTCGCGCCGACGCCGGGGTTGGGCGCGATGCACCGTGGCTCTTTGGACCGCGTCGTTTCGCTGGTGCCGATGGCACACATGGTTTATTTAAGCGATGACATCTGTGTTGTTAGCTTACGCCTCCGCGAATGTTTGGGCAGTTCCTTATCACCAACCTCTCGCACCCACCACCGTCCGAACGTGTGATGCATTTAGATTTAACCTTGGCGCAATTTGCACAGGCCTTGCGCTCGGGGCCTCGGAGAGACGCTGATTGGGCAGGATACTCCATCACGCGCCCAAAAAAGACAAATTCAAATTCAATGAACTTGACAGATGATGTGGACAAGCTATGGACAAACAGGCTGGTTTCGGTGAAGAGTCTCAGTGGACGGAGTGCTACCAACCACACAGGTCAAGCAGGCAACTGCAAAGGCTCCGAGACCGGATAGCCTTTCGGCAAATGGAGTGACTGGTAATCCAGAGCGACGGAACTGAGATGATGATGAGAAGAGACGAGATTACCGACGAGTCAAGACGGCAGGATTTGGGTGACGAGGTGAGCCGGAAATCCGGCGGACTAAAACCGGGACCGGAAATAAAAATTATGCCGGTTCCGTCCGTCCTTCACCCAGGATTGGTCTTAACAAAGACAAACACTGCTACAACCTTGCATTCTTAAAACAGTGAAAGTATTTTGTCCCCTTATGTTTTATAATATTTACTCATTATTTAAATTTAGAGGACAGGCGCCTCGTTCTCGCCTTCTCTTATTAGCTATCACCATAGCATTTTGATCCATACAAAACCACCAGTTTCTATAGAGGCAACCTCCTATTTCCCATGCGTCTTCTATAAGTTCATTGGAGTTCTCCCACCCTAATACATTTCCATGTACCCTAATGCCCTCTTGGGGGTCATCAAGGTCATGTATTAGCCGTCGGATGGCGTTAGCTTGCCCTATACTACAAGGATCGTCATTCTGGGCGATTGGCGGGCGACAGATCGACGGCAGGGACAGTGTACATATAAGCCTTTCACGGACCGACGGCCATGGTAGGATGTCAAGGATGGGATGATGTAAGATGGTGAGCTGAGCTGGTGTAGGTTGGAGATTGTGGGGCAGATTAGATGCCGATATTGGCGAAAGAACATGAAGATAATTAAGATCCCAGACTACATTCATCAGGTTCAAAGATGTAGCAATGGAGGAAAATGCATGCATTGCATGTAGCAGGGGCACTTGCAGTTGGGCGTCACTGCTCAGTGGGAAGTCAGAGGTGAGCTGCGGTGCCGAGGATGAACTTGACCGGGAAGAGGTTGCCAACGGATCGGGGTTAGGAAGGTTTCCTGTATCTTGAGGTGTCAGCACACTTCATATCCAAAAATCCAAGTGTGAATATCACTCTACTCACCGAAGTATTGAAGAGGGGACATGTCTAGAGACTCCTGTCTGAAATCTGGCTCTGGCAGGTCGAAGCCACCGGGGCTACGCACCATCTCTTCAATCGCAACATTTGGCGGGGACGTTGAACATATTCTGGAGACGAGCTCTGAATGCCCCTCCAAGCGCGACACCTCTTGACCTTGGCTAAGTGGTTCTGGTAGCTCTTTAATTTTTGCTTGGGCTTCCAGAGCTGCAACTTTCTCTCTTTGTCTTTGGCCTATGACGTTGTTAGCAACTTCTGACTATTAAGAGGGAGGAAATAAAATTAATCCAGCATACGTACGGTACCGCCTTTGTGCAAGGATGTTTAATACACGCTTACGCTCTGGGTCGCCTGACCTAGGTATATTATCTGTTGCCTTTGTCTTTCTTCGTCGTTCAGGAGGCATAATGTTATGTTCGCAGTATGCTTAGTAAATGTTGAGGAAGGATGGATTGAACGTAAAGCTCACAAGGTGGGGGGGCACTCTTATAAGGCTGTGCCCGCGGATATCCGGAGGTGTTAGCTGTTAGTGCTATGGGTCGTTTTTTAGATTTGTTGCTACCTCCTGAAAGCACCAACATCATATTTTATTACATGTATCACTGTTACTTCAGCCTTTTCACTGTTAAGATCTCCGTGTATTTAGCCGCTGTAAGATATTTCTATCGCGAATATATTTGCTGAAATTGGTAAGAGCATAGAAGGTGCAGTGATTCCAAAACATAACGTTATGTTTTTGCGGAGTAGCAAGAGAAGCGGAGCAATAATCTCTCCGCTCATCCTCGTCGGGTGATAGATCTATCTTTTCGTGTTAACTTTGTATCTGGTCCTCAAAGCTAAACAGACATTACTACCTACGGATTTACAAATGACTTTAGGTCGCCTGTAGTAACGTTATGCAATCAGGGAGCGCCAGGCTAAATATTTCTCGTTGTCAGGTAAAATGGCTTAAAAGCCACCAGTTCGTGATTTGCTAAAGTTATTTCTAAGTTAAATTATCTGCTACTCTACTACAACTTTACAGGTTGAATGATCCTCTAACCAAATTACCACACTCTAAGATGGCTCCCCCAGGTTACCAAAACAAAGCCCACCACAAGCCTCTTCTACCGGACGATCTTGCAACGCACAAGTCTACCTCCGAGTCTCCTGTACAGGGTGCTGTCTATGCAATGCAGGCCCTCAGCTATGCACGCATTGGCTTAGGGGCAGCAAGTCTCCTTGCCCCGAGCTCAATCTGCGGACTATTCAGATTCCTCATTTCAAATGAAACGGCCACTGTTGTTCGGATGTTCGGTGTCCGTGGCGTTGCTTTAGGTTATCTTATTCTTAACGCCGATCATAAGACGCTTTCCGGCAGGGCAGATCTGAAGAGAATGCTCTGGGCCAACTTTGGATGCGATATGGCGGACATTTGCAGTATTGCATTCGCGGTCACCAATGGGCATATGGATCGGCTGCCGGGAACATTTCTTACAGGGGGTGCAGCTGTTTGTATTGCCCTGGCGCTTCTGGGAGTAAAGGCTATTGAGGATGTTCAGACCATGGCTTCCAAGGATGAGTGACAGGAAGGACGGTGACATGATGTATGCTGGGTATAAAGATCGATGCAGTGTGAGCCAATGTTACTGATTAGAAATATGACTATCCCACTACTCTTGCACTTAAACTAAGGCCTAAACAACGTAATGACCCAATGTTCAATGTCTCCTCAGCCCCGGTAGACCAATTCACCGCTTTTCCAGTCCTCAGACTGTGGGGGTTTGTGAATGTGTTGAAAAGTAGAGCAATACTATCATAAGTATAAAGGTCCACTTGATCTGCAAATAGGTCGAAAGATACTTTATCAACCTTCTACGTTTCTATTCGAGAAGCCTCTAGCTTGTTTGTAAGTCCTGTAGTAGAGTACTTGTATTTGCTGGTATCATGAAGGAGAAAAATCAGTAGTTCCAGGAGCGGAATGATAGACTCCTCGGGTGCTAGGATAGAAAGGTCTGATGTTTCAAAGGGGTTCAGAGGACGCAATCGATCTGCTGTAGGTATCATCACGTCGCGCGAAAGCCTTCTTTCGCAGCACTGCGCTTTTAGTATTAGAGTTAGCTGAGTGACACACAGAACGTCAAGTACATCGCGTGGAGATGATTCTTTGGTGATTTCCCGAGCCGAGCCAGATTTGTGCTCTAGAGTAGGGACGAAGCTAAGGCGCGGAAAATATATTCTATGACTGGCTGGCACTGTATGAAACCATGTCTGGTCTTTCAATTAGTATATAGCAACTTTGCGATTAGCTATTATAATTTTCTTTGAGATTCTATAGTAGTAATTAACTAACCTACTATAATCCTGGATACTATTATATTAATCTTATTTAATTTAACTTTTCTATTTAATAAACTTTTTAATAATTTAATTCTATTTAATTCTATTTAATTCTCTTCTACTTATAGTAAATACTATTTTACTAATATTAGAATATTAATATTAGATTTTAAAAGTAGCCTCCATCTATATTAATTCTATATAATATATAATATACTAGAACTAGAGATTATACCTTAGATTATTATAATTATTAAGTACTTAGAAATAGTTATTATTAAGATCTAACTTACTAAGCTAGTTTATATCTATTATAAGTACTCTATATTAGGTAGGATATATTAATATCTTCCTATAGGTTTTATAATAGAGTATTAGATCTAGTAGCTATAACTACTAGATCTATATACTTAAGAGTAGTTTTATTACTATAAGGAAGCTTATAATAGAATATAGATTTAAATATTTAATATAATTAGAAAAGAATCTATAAGGGTTATTACTAATAATTATTATTATATATATAAGAACCTGATTACTTATAATAATTAGGCTTTAGCTACTAGGGATAATAATATTAGAGGTATTTATTATTATTATTATAAGAAGAGATAGTTAGTAATTAGTAATAATAAGTTTAGAGAGATATTATATTTAATTATAAATAATAAGTATTCTCCCTTAGAGTTTATAGCTAAATTATATACTTAATAAGCTCTTCTTAGAGTTTTTAGAGATATTATTATCTATACCTTAGCTAACTATATAATAAAAAGTTAAAAAAATAGAATTAAAGGTTAGATATAGACTAGAAATTTAGTTAGAAACTAATTATATAGATCTAGTTATATATAGCCTGATCTTAGGATATCCCTTATACACGGCAAAAACCTCAAAAAAAAAAAATAACTGGCTGGTTTGTTGTTCGATTGAGTCTCATGTCTTCTCCATTAGACCAGCAACGGAACATCACATAGTGTCTTCCGCACAAATGGCGCGGAGGAGGCCAGGAAATGTTAGGTTGGTCATTGGGCTGGAGCTTGTATTGAATGGCCACTGGGCAAAGTAGCGAACTAGAGCCCAGAGCGAGGGCATACAACGGATCAATAGAGCCTCGTACTCCTTCTCCTCGGGGATCTGGGTCAGAAAGTAGGATTGCAGGGACTGTTCATCCCAGTTTGTATTCATCATCAGTAAAGGGAGTACTTTTTTTTGGTCGGGATAGAAGCTGGTGAATTGAAATATGGCAGAGGAAATTACAATTTTCTGAATTGGCATAATCGGAATATATCTTATGCAAATTCTCAACTTCCTCGTGTATGAACACTCTGCCAGCAGGGGGAACGCCATTGGGGAGGAATTCGGTAAAGTCAGCAAAAACCGTGTCTGCGATCATGAATCAGTCTTGCGAACGCGATGAGGCATAATGATTTGTTATATAGACAGGAATAAGACTCACCTTGGGTGCAGGTACCTAGCCATCTCTTCCGATCTTCCTCAAATGTTCCAGCGAAGAAGTTTCTGCATTGCTGAAGGAAGTCTTTCATAGTATATTGCTGAACCTGATACCGTGGAAAGGCGAGTGTGCAAAGTGTGTCCCGCAGCGGCCACTGAAGTTAATGTTTGGTTTAATGCTGACAGCGCCCAATTACCTGCTACAATTAGTGGCCAATGGTCTGCGACCCGCCTGTTACAATGCCTTACCCTAAACCCACTAATTTCTTCTCAAGTAACACTCCTCAATGACTTATCTCAAGATTATTCAAAATACATTGAAATTAATTATGAGGTTTCCATATGTTCAGTGGTTTAAATTGTTTTAAAAGCCGTAATTTCAGGGCTTAATAAGCTTAGTTATGATTGCTCATGCGTTAGTTTTGGACCATCGATGCTAAGACCACTGTATCCATTGTTTATCAACCGTTATCAACCTAATGTCAACAAGAAGTCTGGTCTATACAAGTAAGTTCTACCCTAGCGCTTTAATCAGTCATATTGAGCCTTAAGATGTAATTGCAAATGGCCTAATTCACAAAGGGTCCTGATCTGAGAAGCTCCTTGAAATCCGCTTCGGTCAACCTCTTCACACCGAGTAGACGATTCCCTTGCTCCGCGTCTGGGAAGACGTTCATCTCAGGGTCGAACACGAAGCCACACACAATGTCAGAAATAACTGAGGGATCAAATTGCCCCGAAAGTAATTTCCCAATTCCCTTTTGATATCTCTCCTGCGTGTTGACATGAACTAGTTCAATGTCCTGACCAGGGAACGCCTCCTTGGTAAGCTCAATGATTCGGTTCTGTGTCAGTCTGATTACCTCGATTGCGAGAATTTTGTTCTTTGTATGCTCGGAGTTCTTCAGAGCCCCAACAACAGCATCGCCAAATGCCTTTCGTGTTGTGAGAGCAAACTCAAGGTTGCCGTCATCATGGATAGTGAAATGACGCTTCGGAATGGACATGCAGTAGTCACTGCCCATCATCCAATCAACCCATGGTCCACCCAGAATGGAGGTATACTCGATCAGGCCCTTGGAAACCTTTTCCTGAATGGAAGCAGCGACTTTAATCTTGCCGGAAGTGAGGGGGCTCTCCTTCACTTTTGGGAGTCGAGTATCGGAACCAAACTCGGAAGGGATGAATCGCTTCACGCCAGCAATGATAGCTGCATCAAGAAGACGGAGCTGAAGATCCGAAAGGTGTCCGGCGACAACTGAAACAACAGCATCAAATCCCCTCAAGGCCTCAGCAAGGTTGTCGACAGATTCGTAGTCAACCGTAATGATTTTGACCGCGGCCGGAATCTGACCTCCTTTCCCGCCCCGGGTAACTACTGTGAGCTCAAAGAGCCCGGATTTGACCAACTGCTCGACAATTATGGATCCTAGATCACCAGTCCCCTAGAGTAGAGAAAGAAGGAAATCATCTAGTCAATTCAGAGAATCTTGTTGGTTATGGCTTTTGTTACTTACACCAACAACTGCAACGGTTTTGATTGATGCCATTGTATGAGTACTGCGGGAATTTCAAAGCTTTAACAAAATTTTTTATAGAGCTCTGCTCGCTTGTGGCTGGGAGAAGATGAGAGAAGAGTGGTTAGGGGTATTGCTTATCCTCATAGCTATCTTTATACCAACTCTTGCATAGAGTTGATGCCCACCGGATCATAGCTTGAGCTGTTTATCTAAGCTTATCCAAAATTTTCAGATAGAGACATGACGTGGGATGATCATTTCGATTGGTCAGCTGCTCTAGAGTAGCAAGTGTAAGGGGTAGAGGAATATGAAACTCCCTAATTGTCTTTGTAACCATCTCTCAGTTGAGAATGACTGGTATGGGCAGAGTTCAGGAATTAGTCAGTGCATCCGGCGGGAGGGCGCGATCCGCGGAGCCCGCGCTTAGTTAAATTGCATTCGGGGTCCGGCAACGCCCACCGGATCATCATTCCAAAACTTTTGAAGCTGGCTCCAGTTTCCGATCCGCAAGATGCCATTTATTTGCAGCCATGAAGGTTGCAATAGAACGTACGCAAGAAAGGAGCATCTTTCGCGACACATGCGAGAACATGGATTCAACACGAAATTCACCTGTCCAACCTGTAATACAGTATTTACAAGAAAGTATGCCATTTCATTTGATATTACCCCCTTTATTATCTCGTTCAGGCACATCATTTTCGACAATGGCTGACCTACTTTCTAAAGGGATACGCTTAACAGACACATACTCACCCACCAGCCCGCTACCACTGCCGCCTCCCGAGTGACGATGGCCTGTAACCCATGCCGCCATTCCAAAAGGAAATGTGACGGCCAACAACCTGTGTGTTCCTCCTGTACCAGGAGGAATCAGGACTCCGCCTGGAGCCAGACCGGAACTGAGCAGCGTTTTGAAGATCAGCAATGCCGACAGCAGCATAGTTTCAGCCAGACGGAAAATGACGCCTCCTCCATTAACGCTAACTTGACACTCACACCATCAGACCTGAACAATAAGATGGGACAAGCTCAATTCCAGAATTTCTACTTTGAAAAGTTTCATCCATTCTGGCCCCTCATTCATTGGCACACATTCCAAAACCGAGAACAGCCCCAAATGTTGTCACAAGCCGTAGCTATCATAGGGATTTGGCTGAGCCGGGCACCTGAAAAGCAAACTCTTGCACGAGGCCTGTATAAGAAAATGATCATACAGGTTTCTAACCATGTTGTGAGAATACCATGCCCCCTTTCAAAGTGAGGTTATGAGGTGTTATACAACTGACAACTAATGTCGGTATCCTAGCTCATGTTAGTAGGCCAAGCGCAAGCGGCTGATCAATCTCTTGCACCGAACAGCGGGCTTTTACCATTTTTGCAGACTGCCCTTTTAATGCTTGCTATGTTTCCATGTCTCGGCAAGGACGGGCTATCTTATGCTCTAATGACTCACTCGATGCTTGTGGCACTCTGCAAACTTTCCGGGGTGTATGATCAGTCTAGAATTAACGCAGCATCCCAGCTCTTACATCCTGGAGAAGAAGCCTTGCTCTTACGACAGTCCTATCAGAGGTACTGTACCCTTCCTTCCCTATGATCAGGAGCACATGTAGATGTGGATCTGGCGATGAGCGAGATTCTGGTATTATTGATAGTCGTTAACGTTAGTGTTACAGAATTGGCTTATTTCAATTCAAGCTACATATCTTGCTCTACACCATCTTCATCTCAACCAGCCCCACACAAAGATTATCTCAGGTTCTAGATCCGACAATGTTAGAAGTCGATCTGTCATTCGATCGAGCTTCGTGGAACCAGCCCATGACTGAGTTAATAGAGCGGGCGACCTCTGAGCCGGAGGTTGAAATAATGGATGACCGGAGACAGATAAGTGATATTTGTAAGATGGCCATGTTTTCAAGGTCAAAAGATCCACTGATGCGCCTGAGTCAACTGGATCCAATGCTTGGCGAGGCAATAGAGAATTGGTGTATTAAAGGATCAGAGGATAAGATAGCATTGATTGCAGAATGGAAGCCATTTGTGCTTGAGTACTTAAAGTCTCTTTTCTAAATTTCTGAAATAAATGTCGTCTAGCAAATTAAGAAAGCTTTAGGTTGCTCTTCTGATATTCATTGGCTTAGAGGCCGAAATGCGTCCCGTGCTGTCGGCCTACGGGACTCTGTTTGCATATGCTCTGCCTGCCTCCGCCCAAATAGCGGCATTCCTAGCCTCCGAGGCACCGAACTTGACAATCGTTGCGAAGCTGTACATCAGATTTGCTGTCCCTAGTGCGACTGCATTTATTCGCATATATTTTTGGTTGAGGAGCGAAGCGCAGAAGAGACAACAGCGTATAGTTCAGGAAGTTTCAGTCGTCAGGCTTGTTAGTAAATCTCCTTCTCAGGTTTCCTCTGTCACCGCAGCCTGAAGCCGTTGGCGATAGGTTACTCAAGTTGCAGACTTCTCTTCACAGAGATATAGGAAGGCTGTATTTGAAACAGCTAGATGCCGAGGTAAATCGACACTAATACTCTGAGGCTACGGGCGGCTTATTACTTCTTTCATCACTAAATTTGTGGAGGATTTGCCACGCTAATTGTGATTTTGGCGACGCAAAAGTTTTCCAAGTCGAGACCAGGCATATATTAGATGTCATAATGAATTCCGTTTAAGATTGAATAGTTACCCGCCAACCCTTTGTGGGCAGGTACGTTTGGCCCGCCGATGCTGGCGCCTAAAGCGTACTATTGACCGACACAATATGGCACGACGAGTTACTTGAAGTGGGAAACTGCCGTGTGAGGGCATATGCATATCGTGAGTTACAACTAGGCAGCCAAGGTTTTTGAAGATTTATTTCCACCACAGCTCCATCGAGCAAAGTATTCATTTCGTAGGCAACTACAGAATTCAGTGGCAGTGGTCGCTGTTTCTATTGTCAATTATTAGCCTCACTTTCTCCCCCCTCTGTCTCCTGTTGGCCAGGTCCCATCCGGCTTCGCCCTTAACACAAGAAGAAGGATAAGCTTGATGGCGGTTGTGTTCTTAGGGTCAGGATTGAGATTGATAGACTCGTTGACTATAACCGAAGTGCGGACATCTCTATTAGATGGTCAAGGGATTAACATACATCACTTATTTGTGCCTATTCTGAAGCAATTCTTCGGAACCATTTTTGTATTCTTTGTTCTGCTGGGTTTACTATCTATCACTACCGACACACTCCCACTTGCTTGATTCCCGAAGCCATGTCTCAAAGTCTTGCAATTCCGGTACCTGCTTCCGTAGAGCAGTTATTTCTGCATCCCATCCTTCGGTCCTGAACCACTCAAAGCTCTTGGCGGCATCGGCTACCATCCATAACACAGGGTAAGCTACAACTTTGTATGTCTCCGGCAGCGTCTTGCCTACTGTCCTCAGAAAGGCACCCCGCAGCTCAGTCAAGCTTAACTCATCGCCAGCCAGAGCGACAGCCCTTCCAGCCCATCCCTCAGGGTCCAACAGCGCCTTGGTGGCGAAAATCCCAATGTCATGGGTGCTCACCATCTGCATCTTGCGGTCCGCTGGCATGCCCGCCGCCCATAGAGACACCATGAGTTGCCCGAAGAATCCGGGGTTGTAGCTGTCCATGAAGCCAGTCGGCCTTAGCACCGTCCACCGCTTAGACGCATCGCAGCACGCCTGGCGGAGGTAGAGCTCGACGCGATGTTTGGCAGCAAAGTGAGGTACTTGCGTTGGCTGGGACCAGCTCGCACTGTCGCCTCCTCGATCAACGCTAGAGAAGACAAAGTGGTCAAACTGCGGGCTTGAGACGGCTGCTTGTATGAGTGGGAGGGCCTGGGCTTCGTCATCTGGAGGGACGGTGACCAGGAAAATTGATGAGATAGATGGGTAAGCCTTGAAGATGTGCTCTGGTGTTTGAGTGTCGCCTTGTATAAGGATGATATCAGGATATGTCGATTTAAGTGCCTGCGCTTTTGATGACGTCGTGGACCGTGTCAAGGCCAGTATTCGGAACTGATGAGCTGGCGACAACTTCCTGGCCTGGTAGAGAGCGTCGATGGTTGCTTTGCCTTGTTGGCCGGTAGCTCCGACAATGAGTATATCTCGTGTCATTTCTGCGCTTTCCCGTATTTGATCGGGTATTTTATGGTATTAGGAAGGTGTATTCAATGTTGTAGAAAGTTAGAGTGCGCCGTCTGACTAGAAATCTTGACTATGGGCGTACCAGCTTATTTATACACCAGTGGTGACATTTCGGAGACATTTCGGACACAACACAGTTAGCCAGTGACATCTTCTAACCTTCTAGCAGCAACGGATACATTCATCAAAGGTAGTTGGGACTAGCATTGCGAGTCCAAGCCTCATCTTAGGGCCAAAGGGGGTGATGATCGACAGCCCACCTTGTAGATCAAGAATATGGCTAAGGGCATCAATGCCAACGACAACAATGCCAAATGCATAATAATGCAAATGTGTTACATATTGATTCTATGAGCTTCAATTGTATGCAAAAGTCCAGCAGTGAGCTTGCGCTTCAGCCTTTTTACCGTCCCGTAAGGCATACATTCCGACTTTTCCAGTATCCTAATGTGTGGATATTCTGCACAGCAATAGTATCGATTATAGGGAGTTACCGCCAGACCCTGCAGAAATAGTCACCTACACAGGGAAGATCCGGAGTGTGTCTCCAGCTCACTTATCTGTGATCGACAGAATTCATATATCTTGGATGTGAAAGTCCACATTGGTGGATTGGGTAGGAAGTCATGGGCTTTCCCATGGATGTATCGTCAATCAGAGATACAAAGGTGTATCAAGTGATCTTGCCTATGGGTAAACCCAGTGAGCCCTGGTGGCTAGAACTATATTTGAGGCTCGGGTAGACAGCTGCAAACTGACATCCGAGTCCATTCAACGCTCTCGATCCAGCTACCATTATACGCAATAGCAAATATCTGCGCCCCATGGAAGGCGGTAGAAGGAAAGCGCTGTTAGGAGCTCCTTCCATTCGAGGGACACGCAAGCCGTTATATTTAGGTTTACGCCGAGAAACATAATATCTCTCCTAAATACGTCAAAATGGATATCTTGATCTTCGCCGTCTATAGTAGCCACATAGCTTTATCTATTAGCCAAAAACTTCGTACTTGTTGAGAAACATTTCCTAACTGAAAAAAAGCTTGTAGGGAGCGGAACGCCTGCTTGCTTACGAGTTGATCTCCACCTCTCGATTACGAATAAAAAGAAAAAGATGAGTAACCAAGCAGCTTGAAGGAAACATTTGTTCCGCCACATGCGACTTGGCGACCTTCCACCGCCATAAACTTTGGAAAGACCAGAGCGTATACTCGATGTGTTACCAGTCCCCATAACAATGAGGATAAAGGAACTGTCCCATACATGTAGAATAAACATTGCTTTATGTCAAATTTCAATAACATTGATTGTAAACTCACACTTCGTCTCGTAGCTAACGTTGCTCCCTGCGGGTAAAAACAATGATCTCGGGCGAAATTCACTAGGAATAAGTTAACATTATTAAATTGACATAAACGAGGTCCTGATTAGTTCAGTTATCTCGGTCGTCCTGGTCGTCCTGGCTGTCCTCTAGAAGCTTTAAAAGCTCGCCTGGTATGCTATCCACGTCTGACCGACGCGTCATGGGGTGCCTTACTGCTCGCAAGTCCTCAGCTGTAATGTAATTATACTCAAACAATTCTTGGACCATCTCTTTGAATCTAATCACATCAATGAGCACTTCCTCTTCTTTTTCGCGATCAGGGAAGTTGTCGTAGATGAGATTCGGCAATGTCCACGCCCTGCCAAAATCCACAAGTTGCGTTCCCACGTAGTTATTCTCCTTTATGTCGCGGTTGTAGATGCCGTGCCGGTTGAGGTTTAAGACTCCCCGGAGCATTGTATTCAACATTCTCCCATCCCAATAATCATATGGGTCTGGCGCAAGGTCCTTCACAATAGCCCTGGGCATCAGCCCCCCAACGGTGCTTTCTTGATATTCCAGGTTGATTTCATCCAAACCTAGTTTAACCAAGAACTTCTTCTCCAAGTTCCGAGTGTTCCTGTCACTGAGGAAGAGGAAGCCATGACATGGGGTGACAACATTGGAAAGCGACGGCGACTTTTTTTTCTTAATAAGTTCGTTGATGCGACCGTAAGCTTTACATTCGCAATAAAATGGGTCATCGGAATGGACAATGTTATCCAGAGTAGGATCAGCTAGCAGATAACTATAGAGCATTGGATCTTCAGTAGGGTCGAAGAACCTGAACTAAAATACAATGGCATGGTCATGAGTATCTGAGCTTTGGTATTGGGAAGCCAGAAATCTCTGAATCACTCACCACCTTAATCGCATACTCCCGGTTTTCGATTCTTGCTCGGAAGACGTAGCCTTCGATTGGGGTTCCCCCATAGTCGCCCAATCGCTCAATCCATTCAATCGGCGAGTCGTGATGTCGAAATAAGTTGAGCTTTGGGCCAGGGCAGAGTGGCAGCTCCTTGGGAAGTGTTTTGCTCTTGTTCCGCTGGGTCATTGTTGAGCGTTCGTGATAGCTTTGGATGACCTGATGTAGTTGAACACATGTTTCGTTTAGTCGACGATCGTTGACCTCTTTATAGATGCGTCGTCGTGCCTTCTTCTTCACGGCCCATCTTAAAACAATTCGTTCAAGGCAATTTTAAGATACAGAGTGTCACTCAATTAGATCGCGATCTTAGAATAGAAATTCATTGTTTGAATAAGATGAATTTATCCTACGTCAGCCATTGCTATGGATAGTTTCTAACATGGAGCTTTTTCTGGCGCGACATTCATCAAATGAGCTAAAAAAAACTTCTTCTCCCTTACAAATCGACGGCGTACAATTGTCAAAAACTTAGGGAGAGCAAAAACAAACAAAACATACACAAAGAAAGTTCAGAATGTATGACCCACATACCAGCATACCCTCTTGGCCGTAGTTGCCAAAGAGTTGCCTGATTTATCCCTTGGCCTTCCTCTTCTTGACCTTCCTTCGACCCCTCTTGGGCTTTGTTCTGGGAATCTCGGAATTGAGCCCGGCGCTCTCAGTGCCTTTGTCTGTTCGAGACACAATGAAATTTTTGTTCCCCCATCGTATAAATGTTTCCGTATTAATCAACATCGGAATATGCGCTTCAAATTGACGCTTTCGAAGGGAAATTCCTTCTGTCGCGTCTATGTGCAACAATACGGGTCTTAGATTCTAAAATCAGTTTCGATGGAGTTTTGACCTTGTATTGCGACCATCAACACCTCGACAATCTCTCGATGACCATTCTTCGCCGCTAATAGCATCGGCGTTTGATCTGCCTTATCCTTTGGGGAGAGTTCGACGTTTGGTGTTGCCAGAAGCAGTTCCACGGCGGCTCTCATTCCGTTGTTTGCAGCCCAAGCTAACGGTGTTCGCTCGTTATTGTCCCTTGAGTTGGGATCGACGTTTGGTAGGGAAAGCAGTATCTCCATAGTCTTAACATGGTTAGCAAAGGCAGCCAGCGTCAGAGGAGTTCCATTCGACCAATCTCTCGATTCGACATCTACTCCCGGTGTGGAAACCAAAAGCTTGACAATTTCATCTTCTCCACCTGCTGCTGCCCATGCCAATGGCGTTTGGTCGTCAACATCTTTCACGTCAGGCTCAATACCTTTCGTCGACAGTAGAAGCTTGACAATCCCTAGAAATCCACCCTTTGCGGCGACTAGTAATGGCGTCTGATTAATCCTATCTTTGGAATTCGGATTGACACTGGGCTGTGAGAACAATATCTTGACGATTTCTTCTTGTCCAGATTGGGCAGCCCATGTCAACGGCGTCTGTGAATACCAATCTCGGGCATCAGGATCAAGCGCGAATGGTGAATCCGTGTCCAAGTTTGGGCCACCTTCTTCCAACAACATTTTGACAGTAGATGTCAACTTGAAGTGAACCGCTAAATGAAGACCAGTTACGGGCTGTTGAATCTGCAGGAGTATCTTTTGATTCGTTTCCATCAGTGATGAGGCGGGCAAGAAAAGGGCCATGAAAGCTGCCTTAACTTTTGCCCTCTGTCTTAGAAAGTGCAGCACAGATTGATGTGGTGTTTTCAGATGCCGAGCATGGAGCCCCCAGCATCTGGCTGCGTAGATGTAGAACGCGCGACCTCGGTCCTTGACCCCGCTACCAAGGTACATGCTTTCGGATGCAGGGCATTCGACGTTTTCGTAACAAAGGCATGTGATACAAGTCTGGACAATTCTCTCTTGGGCGTTATGGAACCATTTCTCGGACGTCCTATCGAAGTACTCCTGGGCCGTGTAATGGACTAATCTTATGATGTCACTCCCTTCGTCTACTGTGATCAACCCTGCGCACACAGAGAGCATGTCATGGATCTCTGTTATGTTATCAGTGTCGAAATGTGCTTCTTCTACTTCGATTGCAATTGCATGCTGGATTTCGGAAGTGGTCAAGGGCCTAGTCGCAAGAGTTACCCATTGGAGAACCTCCTTGGCGAGTTCCCTTTGGTCGTCATTCTGGCAGTTTATTCGCTCCATGGCCTCACCGTACGCAATATCATAGGCACCACTGCCAGTTGGGAGCTTCTCAAGGGCGTTGCGGACAGCCTTGGGAGACTTCTTGCCTCTCAGAGACTGAAGATGCAGATGTGCGAGCAGAAACCTAAAGACCATCAGGACTTACGATTGGTTCAAATAGTTGCTTTTTCACTCACATTCCTTTGACAGCCCTAGAGACTTCAGTGATGATATCCTTCTGTAATTCTGGATCTTTCTGAACGAATGCTGGGAGCTGCCACATTTGATTCTCAAGGTACGCTTGTATGTCGCTTTCAGTCGCCCGAATTTCTAACGACGTGCTCCCTTCAAAAAAGCGCGCAATCTCCGGTATGAACCGCGAGGTTATGAAAAGGTTGATATTGCACTTCATCTGGTACTCGATTATTTTCTCAATGAACTGGCGTTGCTGTCCGCTCGATATTTGGTACTCGTCAACTGCGTCGATCACGACAAACACGCGGGAATATTCAGCTGTAACAGCATGCAGAGAATTCAAAATTTCTGCGAGGGGCGGCTGTGCTTTTTGTTTGATATGCTCCTTATAAAGACGCAGGAGGGATTCTGGAAGCGTAGGTCGACTAGCGCTCAGCTGGTTCAAAAAACACCCAAAGATGTTGTTTAACCTGTGTTCGTCCTGCCTCTGGTAGCTGAAATATAAGTATGCGACACCTATCTCAGTAACATCCGAAGCCCGTGATATAAGATGCTCAATCACGGAGGCAGCTAGAACTGTTTTCCCTGCGCCGGGGATGCCAGGACAGAACAGAGTCTGCCCTTGAACCTCCGACCACGTCTTAAATTTCGGAGATTCGAAAATCCATTTTCCTGTCCCCGGCTGTCTCTGATCTATGATATCCCGATGTTGGGTAGAATGTGCGAGTGTTGGTAGCCATTCCAGAATAACATCCCGCTCTTTATTGAGCTCCTTTTCCTCTTGAGACTGCTGGAAACGAATCAAATCCTCTTGTACACTTGACTGCGACGCTTGAATCCGATCTACTCCCTCTTGTAATTCCGCTAGTCGAATATGGGACTGGTTCGAGTGAGCGTTCAGTGTATTGACTAGGACCTTGAGACCCTCGCGGTTTTGAGTGACAGTGCGCCTTATTTCTTGAACCAGCTTCCCTGAGATACCGTTGAGAGCCAGCGTCAGAAGCGATTTTTCCCGGTCCATCGCTCCGAATATTTCCTTGACCTCCTGCTGGATAAATGGCCACTTCACTGCCGCAATCAACCTCTCCGCTGGGCCACCTCTCCTCTGAAGCCTGTCTTCGACATTTCGTAACATAACCCAAAGGCGCCCCAGCGGGCCATCCGGGCCTTCAAGCACCTTAATGCTGTTGTTCCATTCAGTGTCACCGCCTTCTTCGTCGCACCTATCTTTGAGCTGTTCCAGGACGCGCTCGCATGCTCTCAGCTCCTCACGAAGCGCCTTTCGTTCTTTGGTCGCACCTGAGGCTGAGTTGAGGTACTGGACTATCTTGGAAGTCAACTGGAGAACGGCAATGACACTAGCCGTAGTGCTGAGAGGCTCCATTGATATAAGCCAGCAGGTTTAGTCAAAACAGCTGTGTGATTCCGTCTCCAGTTCAATCGCAACCCTGTAGAGCTTCGTTGTTTGATACCTACGTATAGAAGAGGGATTTGAAAGTCTGCCAACATTCAGCTGAGATTAGGTAAAACTGCCTTGCAGGCTCACAGTCAGGCCGCCATCCGCATTTCAGCTGCGGTGTTGTGGGGTAGGATCAACAAAGGCAGACTCCCAGGCCAGATTCAGCCACTACAACAATATTATCTGTATTCCAGGGTATACTTAAGCCCCGGCAGATCTTGTCTCTAAATCCATGCACTCAGTTCTTGGATGCTTGTAAACAAGGACAGATTTGCTCCGTTGGTTGGGAGAATACCTAGCTGAGGATCTCCATTTTTCTCACAAAATTCGCTAGTGGAACAGCTCTTTGAGCTCATGTCGCTGTGTGGGGTATTGTTGCATCGTTGAATTCTTCGGCTTGGATATGATCGGTGTATTTCCTGAACAGTGATCGTGGATGGCCATGGCCCTGATGACTAACACCAAATTGCATGTTAATTTCGTCGACACTCGAGAATACGCTGTTTCCATTGGACGGTTGGGCTTAATAAATGTTCCAGTGACCTGAAGTTTTCAGGGGAGGTCAACGAAGTGGCCCCAAAGCATGATTTGCTTCATCGGTGAATCTTCCACCATCACAAATCGCAACAATTTGCATCAATATATCAATTCCAAGCCGCTGGTATCAATCAGCGAATCATTGCTTGTGAAATGCCGGGAATACCCAGGTCACGAGGGTGCTCCAACTGCAAACTTCGCAGGATCAAGGTTATCCCCCCCATCCCATGACCTGCTTCATCGATATATGGAGGTATTCAGTGAAGGCTAACGCAGGCGCCAGTGCGATGAAACTTGGCCATCATGCGAGAAATGCAAGAGGCACGGTATCGCCTGCACCGGCCCAACTGAGCTGGTCAGGTTCGTGCATGGAGGACGCTGTCCGAATCACAGCCTGCCAGTTCAACCCAACGTCGGCGGCTCGGGAGATCGGTCGCAAAGTCCATTCCAGCTCCAACGAATTTCTCAATCATCGATCCCTGGTACAGCCCGTCAAGCAAATTCAGGTTATATCATGTCGTTTCGTCTTTCTCAGCCCAGGCCTACCATGACCACCTCGGCAGATCGAATAGCTGCTCGGCTCGTGCATCATATCGACAATGCTCCTGAACGGCGGATGATCATGCAGACGGCGCGATTGGAAGACTTCCCAAGGCGATTGGACGGAAATGCCAGTCTCCGGGACTCCATTGCGCTTCTCTGCTCTGTGTGGGCATCTTACCGCTCCAAGACACCAACTACCGAGTTTATCAGTATGCCTTTGTATGGCAAGGCTATTCGCAGCTTATCCCGAACACTTGAGACAGGTCAGGCCATCTCGGTGGAGACTTTGGCGTCTATCGCCATCCTGCAGAGAACAGAAGACCTCTTCGATCCTGGAGATCGTCGTTTCATGCACGAGAAGGGGATCGCCAGTCTGCTGTCCAGGCTTGGTCCTCCTAAATCGGATGATAAATTCTACGCAAGCCTGCTGTGTGAATGCTATTCAATATTGGTATGAAAAATATTTTGTAGCTTCATCCACCTTATCATTCCCAACTTTGGACTTTCATTCGCTTCTAAATTGAGACCAAGCTAATCTATTGACTTCGGGATACAGGTACCATATTGGGTCAAAACTGGTTGGAACACCATGCTGGATGATCCAGCTTGGAAAGACGCCATTGTATCTTGTATGACGGATTACATCGGAATTCAAGAGTTGCAGCCAATGCTCGCATCCTCTCTCACGCAATATAACCACGTCTCTCAGAGGCTACCCGAGATTATGCGAGGGATGATGGCCATTAACGCGCCATCTGACAAGGCCCCAGGAATTGATATATCACCGCTCGTTTCGAAAATGGCCACTGAGCTTCGTGATATGGAAGCTGCAGCAGGGAAAACTAGCTCCTCTGCAATGGCTAAGGCGATGGAGCTGGGGGCTGTCACTGAGGTAGACGACCCAACGTTTATTCAAGGGACTTGCTATCACTTTTCATCGACCAACCTCGTTCAATCGCTCATTTCGTTTGTTAGTCTTCACCTATGTCTCCTTCAGTTGCGCTACAAGTGGAGTTCTGCCTACCAGCTTTTCGATTCACAAGCTCTGTACGCTGCCTTCGAGACAAGGTGTTATCAGTTGTGGAAATTCATCCCGTTCGTGCGAAAGGTCAAACTCTTTCTAGCCAACATCCACCAGGATGCGTTTGTGCTGACTCTCGAAATTGCCAACCACAAGGAGAAAAGCTATCTAGTAGATCTGTTTAAAGAATTGGATAGTTACGCTCCGGGACGATTTGAGGCGTTGATCAAAGCGTCCTAGCTGTTGGTTCGCGATTTCTAGGGGTACAATCAATAAAGAACATGATTCCCTCTCGAAGGACACAAATACCGTACGACAAGCGGAGTGTAATGTGGCGGAGATCATCTAAGGACTTATTCTGCCTTGATGAATAAGCTGAGACAGAGTGATCTGCTCACCGCTTTGCCCAAAATACTCACACACTGCGTCCTCGGTATCGTGTTTGCGCCCTCGTTATTGACATCACATCGCTCTGTACGGCCTCGTCTCAAAGTTAACATACTAGCCTCGGCCTGGATCTTCCTAGAGGAAGGAACTAGATCACAAGGCGACTGCCGAAAGGGAAGCTAACCTTTGGTCTACAAATTCCCCATTTTCCGCCCTTCCCCACCTCAGTTTTCAAACCCGCACCAACGCTTCAGATTTCCCCTCCATCTTTCTTCCCATCGGTTTGACCACGGAGCACTAGAAAGTTACATATTCCGGGGAATCATGGAGTCTCGCAATGCTAGTTCAGGGAGCGGTGGGCAGAGTGGCCGAGAGGCTTTGCCCACCAACGTGATTCCGCGACACTACGAAATCACCCTAGAGCCTAATTTCGCCACATTCAAGTACGAAGGGACTGTCACGATCCACCTAGATGTGGTGCAGGAAACGACCTCCATCGCTTTGCACAAGCTCGATCTTGAGATCCATGAGACCTCCGTGGAAACCGACGGAGGGGTGGCTATCTCCTCGCCTGGGCTTGAGTACACCGAGGCCGACAGTGTGCAGACCGTCAAGCTGGGCCAACAAATCCCGGCGGGCCAGAAGCTGAAGCTTACCCAGCGCTTCACAGGTGTCCTGAATGACAAGATGGCTGGCTTCTACCGGTCTTCCTACAAGGACGAGAACGGGAACCTCAAGTACATCGCCACGACCCAGATGGAACCCACCGATGCCCGCCGTGCATTCCCATGTTTTGACGAGCCGGCCCTCAAAGCAACTTTCACGGTCACCCTCATCGCAGATCACGACATGATCTGCCTGAGCAACATGGATCCTGCCTCTCAGAAGGACGTCGATTCTCAGGTGACTGGCGGGAAACGAAAGGCTGTCGTCTATAACAAGACGCCCCTCATGTCCACATATCTTGTCGCATTTGTCATCGGCCACCTCAAATACTACGAGTCTACCAACTTCCGCGTGCCAGTCAGGGTCTACTGCACGCCCGATCAGAATGTCGAGCACGCCGTCTACTCAGCCGAGCTTGGTGCACGTACGCTGAGATTCTACGAGGAGCAGTTCGACAACCCGTACCCTCTTCCCAAGATGGACATGGTCGCGGTGCCTGACTTCGCCGCCGGCGCAATGGAGAACTGGGGCCTCAACACATTCCGAGTCGTCGACCTGCTCTTTGACGAGAAGGCGTCCAGCGCCGCCACGAAGCAAAGAGTGACAGAAGTCGTGCAGCACGAGCTTGCCCACCAGTGGTTCGGAAACCTTGTGACCATGGATTTCTGGGACGGGCTCTGGCTCAAGGAAGGGTTCGCTACCTGGATGTCATGGTACTCGGCCAACGTCTTCTATCCGGAATGGAAGGTTTGGCATAGCTATGTGGTAAATGATCTTCAGTCTGCTTTGAATCTGGATTCTCTCCGCAGCTCTCACCCGATTGAAGTACCCTTGAAGCGGGCCAGTGAGATCAATCAGATATTTGATGCAATCTCGTATCAAAAGGGCTCCTCGGTTTTACGCATGATTTCGGTCTACCTTGAAGAGGAGGTGTTTCTCAAGGGCGTCACCCAGTACTTGAAGACACACGCCTATGGTAACACCCAGTCTATAGATCTTTGGAGAGCCCTGAGCGAGGCGAGCGGCGAAGATGTTGAGCGTCTCGCGGATATTTGGACCAAGAAGGTTGGGTATCCGGTTATCACCGTGACAGAAAATGGCACCGATGGCAAAGTCCATGTTAAGCAGAACCGCTTTCTGCGAACCGGGGACGCTACACCTGCTGAGGATGAGGTGCTGTACCCGGTGACACTCAGTCTTCTGACCAAAGACGGCCTCCAACGAAATATTGTCCTCAACGACAGGGAAGCTGAGATACCAATTCCAGACACTGCATTTTTCAAGTTCAATTCAGGCCATTCTGGTATCTACCGCACGCTTTACACCCCAGAGCGGTTGCAAAAGTTAGGACAAAACGTCAAGGCAAGCTTGCTGGGTGTCGAAGACAGGGCCGGTTTGATAGCCGATGCCAGCGCTCTGACAGCGGCCGGCTACCAGGATTCACCATCACTGTTGTCCCTTCTTCAGAGTTTCGAGTCCGAGGAGGCTTACATTCCATGGAAAGTCATAACCGACTCCATTACTAGCCTTCGACAAGCCTGGGTCTTTGAAGCCGATAATGTCAACGCGTCGCTCGAGTCCCTCGAGCAAAAACTAGTTGCACGCATCGCCGACAGTATTGGCTGGGATATCACTGAGAAGGACGACCATACAGTCCAGCAGTTCAAGGCTCTCGTGTTTTCCAAAGCCGCCATGAGCGGGTACGAACCAGCCAAGGCGGCTGCATTTGCCATGTTCAAAGAGTTCACACAGGGCAACAGAGCCGCTGTTCACCCGAACATGCATTCGGGCGTCTTTACCACTGTTCTCAAGTACGGCGGTGAGGCTGAATACGACGCGCTCGTAAAGGAGTACCAGACAGCCAAGCAGAGTAGTGAGCGGAATACCGTGCTTCGATGCCTCGGTTACGCAAGGAAGCCGGATCTTATCCAGCGTACTCTAGATTTTGCCCTGAGCGATGAGGTCAAGACCCAGGATATCTACATGGTCATCACCGGACTCCGAAGCCACAGGGCCGGCATCGAGGCTCTGTGGACTTGGATGAAGTCCACTTGGGATGTCATGGTAAAGAGATTACCCTCTGGAAAACAGTTGGGTAATTTCGTTGTTATATCGACTAGTTCATTGACGAAGCAACATCAGCTCACCGATGTAAAGGCATTCTTTGCGGACAAGAATACGGACGTTTTCACTCTAGATCTAGCGCAGAGTCTGGATGTTATTAAGTCGAAGCAGAAATGGGTTCAACGTGACGGAGATAATGTTACCAAATGGCTCGCTGACAACGGGCTCTTGGAGCAAAGTACTCTTTAGTGTGCGAATCTCTCAAGGACTGGTTTAGACATAAACAGAGGGGCTGATAAGGGAACAAGAATCAAATACGAGACTCACATGCGATGGAAGTTAAAACCAATAACTCGTGATAGTTGTCCACAGTAATACAGCAACAGGATAAGGCGTGCTCTCATATATGTTTTACCGGCATATGATTCATACAATCGATATAAAACGTACATTATTCTCGAGGCGGGACGGCATGAGGCGAGGTCCATAGGGTAATTCATTCTCCAACTACTGGAAGCGTGCACAAACAGTGTCGGATTCATACATTCGCCTCAAGGCTTGCAATTTTTCACTTGCCTAGATAAATGAAAATATCTAATATAATTCTAGAGCTTTAACCGTATCAGGAAGGGAGCTGGAGGTTCTGATGGCTATTTCCAACTCAATTCAGTTGTGCTTGACGATTCCGTTGTTGGTACAAATACTGTAGACCTTTGAACGATAAAGCTTGTTCAACAGCATTGCTTTCCATTTCATAATTGACGTATGTTGAATCCGCATGGGCTTTCCAAGAAACATAGGAGTGATTGGAATTCCCAATAATCTGAATAGGTTATAATGCTTCACCTTTAGGATGTCTAAATCTCTTCTAAATGAGAATGATCATGAGCACGGATATCCTGATATTTATTATCGTCATGGTCGATACGCGTTGGATGAGAAATTTCAGACCATCGTCCACATCAAGACTGTAGATTGCCATTCATGTAGCATTGTTGGATTTCAGAGTATTTAATCTTAACCGAGGTGTCATAAAGTGCAAGAATATGGCGTACGCACAGATGTGCCGACAGGAAGCTGAGCGCACATTTGTGCGTTCAGCAACAACCTCAGTCTTACCTAACCCAGCCTACTCTCATGTCAGTCAACTCGTCCCACTACGTAAAATAGGTTGATATGGAGTATTTCAACAATGACACGCGGGATAACGGGCCAATATAAAAATTCTCATTGTCTGATCCCCGTGTCATAAATGCGACGGCATCTTGCTTCAACCACGACTGGCCACCGGCGTCATTATCACCACAATGGCGTTCAATGCTCCCAAGCCTGTTGACGAGCTTGTATATGCATGGTCCAGCGACCTAATCCCAACCGCCTCAGAACACCAGGCCATGGCCCGCCCACCAGCCTCGCACGCCAATCTAGTGCAGCAATACGTCTATGATCCGTCACACCAGATATCACCAATTGACCAAGGGCGGCCCTCCAGCCGGCAGCGCCGCCAAATCGGTCTGTTTGAAGTTGATTGCGCAGGCAGGTTCACTGTTTGTGAGGATGGCTCGGGTCCGCAAATCGACAGCAAGAGTACATCGAGCTCGGTATATGCAGAGATCCATTCGACGCCAGATAAAAACTCTGTCCCGAGCGACGACGACACTCCAAATGAGGCCGATGTGGAGGGAATTTCAGTTCCACCAGACCTCGGCGTACTGTGCACTGGCTCATGGCAAGAAAGAATGTCATGTGATCCTGTCTTATCATGGCGTGTTGAAGCGGTCACCCAGGAAGACCTTGATGAAATGGCTCTAATAGAGTCTCAAAAGTCACAGGCACTCTATAATGGCCCAGTTGCTGAGAAGCTAAAGCACTCAAATAATTGGAAACTGGGCAAAGCTGCCTCAGGATCTGTTACTGAATCTACCGACTACTCAGTACCAGGCATGACTGAGGGCAGCTCAAGGGAAACGGACACCTCATGTCTTCCAGATCGCGCAACTCACCTCGAAGATAACCAAATGGATAGTCCGGTAGACAACGCCTTCTCATTCCCGGACGAGATGACTGCAGGCTGCGGATCTGGCCGTTTCAAGTCTGATTTGACTCTCATCGGCATGTTTAACGCGAATAGTGAACCCAAGGATCAAGGAGGTCGGTTCCAACCCTACTCCGTTCCAGGACACCTTGATGCAGATGGCTTTCCAGAGGTCTGGACCGAGCAATCCCAGCAAAACTGCAATGCTTCGTATGAAATCCCCGGTCTTGTCTCAATTCCTGGAGCAACCGGAGAAGACGACGTCTCTGGTGCGGCCGATGAGGAATCTTCAGAATCAGACTCTGTCTGGATGTCAGATTATTCCGAAAGCGTGCCGGTTCTTCCGGATGGCCATCCCTTCCTTCGTGTAAAGTCGAAGGCGACGGAAGAAGCCCTTCGTTTATATGAGATTTATTATAACTATACCAGAGACAAGGACACGCCAAGTGCATCGTGTGTAGCTGATGCTGGAGATAATACGTCTTCTGGTCAAGCCCCACGCGTATCATCTTTGGTTGGATCGTCTAGCTCATCATCTGGAAGTAAACGAGCGAGCGATGGTGCAGATCAGGATGGAATGGATGACAACAATGGCCAGAATGGCGCCAATGGAAGAGGCCCTCCGAGGAAACGCGTTCGTGCAAGCAAAAAGTCGGCTGGTCGAGAACCATCCTTGGCCTGCCCATATGCGAAGAAAGATCCTATCAAGTATCGCTCATGTTACTCGTTCAACCTCAAAAGAGCGAAGGATGTGAAACAACACCTATCTCGATGTCATCAGCTACCGATATATTGTGCCCGCTGCAAGGAGATTTTCCCCTCAGAGGATGAACGAAATGAACATCTTGAGGTTGATATAAGTGCAATGTGCCCGGTTCAGAATATTGTTTACGATGGTGTCACAAGAGAGCAGAAGGAACTATTAGCAAGGAGAGTCAGCCATCGTATGACCCTTGAAGATCAATGGTTCTCCATTTTTGACATTCTTTTCCCAAACCATCACCCGAAACCAAGATCCGCTTATGTGAACACGGACTTGACGATTGAGATGGAAACATTCCAAGACATGATGGTTGCCGAGGGCCCTCGGATTATCTCCACGACTCTTGCATCACACAATATAGTCCCCGCATCAATTTCATCAAATCCGGAAAGTGATCTATCTTCTTTGTTTGAGATTGTCCTGATGGAAGCGCTAGTGAAAATTGCTGATAGGTGGACTGCGAACTTGGTTGAAGATTCGACAACAAGCGATGAAAACGGTGGTGACTCAATTCTAGCAGTATCCTCTCGTGCTCAGGCCAACACCGAACAGTCTGCGTCATCTTCGGATACATTGGTTACAAGCAGACCAAATAGCCAGCAACCACCCTCACTATTGAATCGCAGCCTCGAAGAAACTGACAACATAGCGTCGTTACCTAAAAGGACTGATGTTCCTGATCAAGCGACGAACGATGAGGTCTTACCAATGATGAATAATACAACGAGGAATGAATTACAGGAGTCAAGGCAATCTCGTACGATGATCGAACATGCGCCAAACGAATTCCAATCCAACCCTTCAACAGAAAGTCAGATTCCATTTAGCCACCCGGACAACATAAGTGATCTACTTGAATCTCCAGACTTCATGCTATTGGATGGACTTTTAGAAGATCATGGGCCACCCGGATCATGGGACAACTTCAGGTTCGAAGAAGAACCTGATGAAGCGATGGTCAACAAGTTAGATAATGGTTCTGCCTCCGCCTACAGAGACTGGGAGACTCCCCTCTGACGGTTACGTGGCTCTCAAGCTGGCGTTTGCCCTTTTGTTTGAATCAATATGAATATACCCAGTTGGTACTCTATTTACAAATGCATCGCTTTCAAATAGGCCCGAATTCCCTCACATACAACCGATTGAACCAGTTCTCCCATCCAGTCTCTACCCAATTCATATGTAATTTCTCCATCTCCAACCTTTACATTGTCTCGCGATTCACTAGGCACCCAGCGGGGTTGCTTATTGTTCTTGTCTATAATTCAATCAATATCTTGGTTCATGCAGAATTAAGATCAACACGGAAGCCTTCACAGGAGCTTATCGAGGACAACCGAGTACATAGGCAACAAGATTCATAAAGTTGACATTGGCGATAACCGAGATGAGCAAATCGCCATCGTTATTCAATCCACACTACCTAGCCACCATAAAATGGAACAAAAACCAGTAATTTCACTTCGACTTAGAGAAAAATCCTCCCACGTTCTTAGAGAAGCCCAGTTACTTGCCAACCGCGGGCCGAAGCAAGGGGATGGCATCAGGGTTCTTTTGTAGCTCTTCTGGCTGCCTTACGAAGCCAACACGTTGATACAATCCAACGGCGTCAGGTTCAGAGTCGAGGTATGTGGGTAGTTCCGGGTTAACGCGAGCTGCCCGATCCAGAAGCTTTGATCCAAAGCCCTGACGTTGGGCGGAAGGATGCGTCATCAGAGTTTCAACAACTTCAAGTCGCGTTAGAGAGCAATAGTGGACAGGTGGAGCTGAAAGTGCATATACGAACAGGAATGCGGCTGGTTGCCCATGATGGCATGATGTTGAGAATCGAGCGACTCGCAGAATGCCTGGAAAATCTCCTCATTCATGCCCTTGATCGGCGGTGCCCACCTGTCCTGCCACTTGATGGGTTCACCAGTCTGTGCATATATGACAATGCCAGATTGAACAACCCCTTCGCGAGAACCGTGTCAGTTAGTCAAGCAGACGCAAATACACTCTCTGTGATTATACGCACCGTCGTCGTCTCGGATTACAAAGACTTTTGGCGGCGAGTTCTCCTCCATGTACCAATTCCAGGCTCTGGTAAGGTATGTTCTCCCGATCTCATTGGGCGGGAAAAGGGCATGCAGGATTTCGCTGTTGAAGCATGCCTCCCAAATCTCAACGAGGCGAGGTACATCCTCGAGTTTGCCAGGTTCAGCGTCCGAAGGCATCGTTTCAAGTGCAATCAGTCGGGTTAATCAGGTATGACCGAAAGAGGAGGAGAACAGAAAAACAGAGGGGGGAGAGGAAATATATGATTTAGCCCACTTCGTGACCTCGGTACTACCCTGCTCGGATCTTTTGTACATCCGAATCTCATCTGACCATGAGACTCCTTATCAGTGAATGTCCATCTGATTCACAGCTATCAGAAAATGCGACTGAATCCCAACTTTTGTTACTCTGTGTCCGTGAGTGAATTGTACACTCCAGCAGAACCCACTTACGCACAGCAGAGGACCAGACAGCTAAATGCGCAATTGCCGTGTTCAAATGGCGGTCACCAGCGATGACTTGAATATGATTGATCTGTTCTTGTGAGGCAATTGAGACCATCAACCTACAGGTACGTGTAACAAATACGTACCATCACCGCAACACATACTCATTCTCGGATCAACCAATTCATCGCTCTCTTACTTGCTCGTCGATTCACTCTCCCAATCCCTCAGCTACCCAAACGGAGACAGGTCCCAACAAGTGAATGCGCTTACTGTGGGGAACAGAGCGTTTACAATCTAGACCCGCGAGAGATGGATCTGTGATTGGAAATATCAGCCTCGAGTACCCTCAAATTGCTTACGCGCCTAACCGCGATCCGACAAGAAAGACGTCAGCAGGAGCATGTTCCCAGCTCTATGTGGAGTGCCCTGTTCACGCTTAACGCTTATAAACTCCGCCACGTCGTGCAATGAGGAATCGTCTCTTGAACTTCATCCTCTTTCCGACAACTTGAAATTCAATATCCATTCTGAAACCAGCAGAAATGTCGGCCGAACGTCGCTGGGAACAACGCCGATTCCAGCTAGAGGAGTCAACGACCCTCAATGGGGGCGCCCGCACCATCTTCATCGAAACCATGACGCCAGGCACGACAGTTCCCCCGCACTTCCACTCTCGCTTCTCTGAAACCTTCGATTTGATCAGCGGGTCCATGTCAGTTTATGATTCCTCAGAGCCTGACCTCGATGCTTTAGAGGCATCAGCCCAGAAACTGGAGGTTCGCAAGCCGGTGACAATTAATCCTGGCCAGTACCACAAGTACCTCGTGGGAGACGACGAGACAGTGCTCCGGGTTATTGTCACGCCTGGAGATGCTGATTTCGAGAGACTATTGAAGATTATGAACGGGCTAGATGCGGATGGTGAGCTGCAGAAGTTGGGGGATAGTGTTGTGCTCATGGCAATTATCATGGGCTTGGGCGACGCACAGCTTATTGGTCCGGCCAAGGAGATGCTAGACGGGGTACGGGCGACAAAAGGCAAAGAAATTGAAGAATTGAGGAAAAGTCTTCTTGCAAAGTACGACACTGAGGAGGCACTACAGGGCTTATTGGTGGGAAAGTAACATCTTTGCAGTCTGGCGCGACTACATGTACGGATCAGTCTAAAACAATTTATGAAACTTCACCAAGTATCAGCAATGTCAGAATCACATACTCACTCAATTTAACCCAAATTACATCAAAGATATTAAATATCAGAGAGGTTCTTGTTGTTTTTCTACAGCTCGTTGGGGACCTGTAAACAGCAGAATATGCACTCTTATGTCTCATGGTTCAGTGTTTTGGAGGTATGTCAGCACTCATCATTTCTCTTCGTCATTTGCTCCAAGTTCAAGAGCAATGAGCCGTGAGCTAGTCGAATGCGCACTTTTAGCAGCCTTTCACGGCTGCCGTTCTATCCGTGCTATCCTATCAACACGCTTTGCAGCATGTTCAGCCTTATGACCATGCCCAGGACGGTAAGGCCATCTACGTACGTGGCTTGAATAGATGAGTCTAGCAAAAGGGGAAACTGGACGCAAGGGAGCATTAAAGCTCGTAGATCTGTGAATACCCCCCTAGGAAGCAGCTATTTCTAGCACTGTTTGACAGCTGAATCCACGTTCATCTATTGTTGACTGACCTGTCTTCCGCCACCAGGAACACTTAACATCTACTTTATGGCACTTCTCGACAAGGCCCTCCACTTACATAGCCAGGCTAATTCAGAGCCAGCTCATGGCCCCAACAGTACAAGCACCGAGAAAAACCGAGAAGAATCGACGGCATCTTCCCCGTCAGCCCCAACTTCGTCTCAGGGGGTCTCTGCTCCAAGTCAGGCGAAGCCGTCTCTTCCTCAAGATGTTACCCGACCATACCCGCAACACAACCCCAAATGCAGAATGCCGGAATTACTGCCGGCGCTGTTGTTGGCTCGATGGGCGAAGGCTCTATAGTCGGCGACATGGTGACAGGTGGTGTGGTGGGAGGCATTGTGGGACAGCGAGTTGCACAAGCCCAAAATCGTGCGTTCTACCGTGATCAGGCGATGCAGTACCGAGAAGACAGAGCAGCTGGTACTATTTCTCCTCTCGAGGAGGTTTATGGAGATGCTTCAAAATCTTCTTGGTGGTCAAAAGAGGGTCGAGCTCAAAGGAGGGCAGAGAGGTGGGAGCGGAGAGCGAAGAGAGCTGGTGAAATTTAGTTGAAGTGTACCAATATATTAATGGCTTGGAAGCGGTTGCAGAATAATGAGCAATAAAGGCAGTTACGACTAATGAATTCATAGCCTAATGGTACAGTGGATGATACGTTATGACTCTCGGTCTGAATCTGATGCGAGAAACAGGACGAGGAAACGGTTGACACTCCTAGTCTAGATTATTGCCAGCTCTTGAGAACAGTCCTTTCTCTTTTCAACTCCATCACTTCCAGACCATATTTCCATAATTCCTTTCGCTTTTCTTCGTCTTGAGCCTCTCTTGATGTTTCCAGCTCGTCCGTGCCATTCACATAGAGAGGTGTTCCTTTAGGGGGAGGCTTCACTTCCCAACAAAGGCGATGAACATCGTCGGCACTCTTCTGAGTGGTTCTAAATGTTCCATTGGGATTGGAGTATACCAGAATCGGGGCGAGAACAGGCATCAGTCCCTTGATGAGAACTTTCATGACAAGACCGCGTCTACGAGTGATACCGGAGCTCATTGCGCCTGGGTCCAAACCAAAGACGGTAATGTTAGAAAGGTCGGGATCTTGCCCAAGACGAATCGCAAGTTCGTGCCTAGGATTCGTTGTTAGTATCAATCAGTTGTAAAGTTCAACGACTTTGCAATAGGACAAAGCTCAACGTACATCAGCATGACGGCGCAAAGCTTGCTCGCCCCATATCGTCGATATCCCGTATACCATCCCCCACCACTATCTGGCCTGCTCCATTCGCCCTTGGCAAGTTGTTTCGCACCTGGATAGAGGGAATTCCAACCTTTGTACGGCTCTCCGCCATTTAAATTTCTGTTATCATCGATGCTGCAGACAGACGCAGTCAGTGGCAATGCCATACAAGGTTTTTCCTTCAAATACGTACTCATGAGACCAGCTTCCGATGATGACTATCCTACCGTGAGTGGTGTCCATGCTTTGTAGCAGCATCAGCACCAGCAGTTGATTTGCCAAGTAGTTAACCTGCCATGTCATCTCATAACCATCTTCTGACATTTTCTGTACTAAGTCAGCTCACACTTCCAATCCTCACTAAGATTAGGAGGTTTCATACAAGTTCTTCGCTGTCTTGATATGCTGCGTTTAAGATGAGCGCCCTAATTGGAGGGAGATCACCCGCTGCAATTCGCTCATTCAGCTTGGCCGCCGTGTCTCGTACGCTGGCAATGGATCCAAGATCCATTTCCAGAATCTCATGCTTGTGAGTATGGGGAGCTCCGTTCAGTGCATTCTTGAGTGCCGACGCAGTGGCAGCCTTGCGGACAGTGTACAGGCCAGTATGCGTTGCTGACAGTTCTCTTTCGCCGAGGATCTTTGTCACAATGGCGGCACCAAGACCGCCGTTAGCCCCGGTGACGATGATGGTGCCTTTACGTTCCTCTGATGAAGCCATATTAATGATGGCCTATAACCGGTAGCAATAACAAATTTCTGTTTAGTAATCTATCCTTCAGTCTTAGCGAGCGAGAAGCCCAGACTTTATAGCGCTAGAAGTGCTATATCAAAGTTCACTCGGCACAATCCTTCCCGTGTCCGCAAAGTCCGCAACTCCACCACAGGCATGCCATACGCGCATAGTTGAACTTTGTCTTCACTATCAACTTGACTCATAACTTTTGGGGACTAGATAAGCCGCGTTGAGCCAGCAATAAGCCAGCGCCGCCCGTAATTTGCTTTCCCTTCATTGTTGTAGAAAACTTGACAGAACTCACGTCAGAGATGCGGAGTCCAGACTGTAAGCCCCGCCAATAACGATGCCACCTCATGTCATTCCTTTCTCCCTATTTGGGCAGCGTTGCATCAGCGTAATTGTGTATCTCAAAGCGTCCAGATCTGTTCTGGTTATATCTTCCAACCTTATCCTTCTAGGTTTGCGCAGAGCAAGACCCCAGACATCTTCTACGCCCTCAGTCCCCGATCAAGATGTATACCTCCTTGCGAGATACTCCTCATTGTTGAGGAATCTGCTTGCTAAAGATACCTACCTACTTTAAACTCGTTCCAGCCATATTTTGTAACTCTCTCGCTTGATGGGCTGAGGATTTCGCTTTATCGCGGATATTCGTCGGTCGTTCATTGAAACTTTCGTCGTATTTTAGGTGTGTATACCATACTTACCTATGTCTTTGATTCTAAATTGGCCGAGGCTTATTTCTTCCTCTGCTCGCGACTGATGATCTTCTGATTGCTGACAAGTTCTGAGCCGTCTCCTTCTGGATGCTGCACCACTCTAGCTTCAGCGTAAAGTGCGGTGTACTGGGAAGTTGGCTTCCTTCTCCAGCACCTGACACCCGGCAGTTAAGATTAAGATCACAAGCAATGTGCAAATTATTCAAACAGCCACTTTGAGCCAATTTGATTCAACGAGTTGTTATTCTATAATTCTTGCTTTATTTCTCGGATCAAGCCGGCCTAGACGACCGGAATCCTCCTCCCTAAAAGGAGTTGAATTCCGGTCTTATTTTGCCAATACTCACAGCTTCACCCAACCATGGCCAGGGTCGTCACAAGACCTACTAGGAACTTGTGCCTCGTCTATCTTCCCTTGTATAATCTGCCTGTCATACGATATCGTTACAACATCCGTCTGTAAAATGCGGTTGCCCATATCCACATCAGCTCTTGCAGATGCCAAATGATCGGCAGTTTCGACCGGGTCGAGCTCCCGCAAGAAGGTTTCCTGAGATTCAACTTCCACCAGCTCGGTATCGGAGGCATCGTGGTTCGGATCAAGGCGTAGACTACGGCGCTTGTTTGCAATGTGTGTTCCTGTTTCTAGGTCTTTCTTTCCTCGCGTATGCCGGTTTGGTGTAAAATTGCTTGGATCGGAGGATGAGTTCAGAGCACGCCGACCGAAGATGAACTCTACTAGCGGCTGTAGAAGAGGGATACACGAAGCGACGATGATGGTAGTGCCTTCGCCACTGTTTTTGTGTTAGCCAATGTTATTCACGCGCGCCGTACAACGGAATAACGGGAAGGACCAACACGAGCCAAATGACAAGATCAGCCGTTTTATCTATGGTTTCAAATTAGGATCAATGGAATGCCAGCGAGCTATGAGGTATACGTACAGCTAAAGTCAACTTCAGCCAGAGCAGGAAGCCGGGTACATTTCGTGACAGCGATGATGGTTGCCCTGGTTCCGTTAGCAACGTCTCATAGTAAGAGCCAAGCCAGCCAGCCACTTACACAGATCCTATGCCCAAAGCCACACTCAGACCAATTTTCTTCCTGATATTCATCTGCAGCTTGAAAAGTACTGTTGCAGGATAGATCGCAAGGTAAAGGTCGGTAAAAGCCGAGAGGCCTACGATAAATATTAGTAGAGCTCGCCAGACACGCTCGTAAAATCCAACATACTACCAGCAAACACGCAATATTTTACCAGTGTCCCTGTTGGCAAACATTTCCTCTCGAGCATGTCTGTCACCCAGAGAGACTGTAAAGGTGTGCACAGAGAGTAGAGGAAGATGATGCAGCCGATCAACGACGCCATGCAGGTTCCCGAGAGCGCCCACAGGAAGTATGCATGCCATTTTGCCGGGTTCATTAGTCGATTCAAGAGAGCCACCACGGCAATCTTGGGAAGACCGAATCCAGGAGTTGCCGTGGCGAAAGCGAGCAACGTCCAGAATATTGTGCGTTCCTTCTGGTGAGCGCTGAGGGTATCAACATGCCGCCCGTTTCCTTCTTCGGTAGCCAGCACAACGCATGCGACGCAGGCCCATTGCAGCAACTTCAACTTCCTTTAGCCGTACATTCGCGGGCAGGATAAGGATCAGCGTCTGAATTCTTACCACAGATACTGACGTGAGCCAGTCATCAAGCTGTACCTTGGCCATTATCTTTCCTCGGGTGAACAGGCGAAGGAAAACGAAGATGGTGCTTATCGAGGCCAGCGTCACGCAGATTGCCACCACCATTGGGCCCCTGTTCTCTGCTAGATAAGCATCGGGGTGGTGAGGAAGTCGCGTTGGCTGCTCGGGGCTCGCCGTTGTTGTGTCCATGACTATCTGATACTGTTCTACATGGAGACCGAATACTGATGCTTAGGTGCTAGGCTGACGAAGGAAATGGACTCCTTGACGATGGGGTGCGGCCAAGAATCAACGAGGTAAACAGCATCAGGACGGGCCGTAAGGTATAAGATCAAGGTGATCAACAATGGAGCCAAAGGGAAGTGGAGAAATGTTACTTCGATGGGGGCATAATAAGGGTCCATTACCGTTACAACTTGCAAAAGGTTTAGCAGTATCTCGATCTATCAAGCGGGCTTGTCAGGCTGAATCTCTGCATATTCAAGGAAGGCTCCTCCCAGATGGGCAGGGGTTGAGATTCATGCGCTGCCCTAGCTGTGGCCGAGCTAACCCAATTACACGCAGATGAGTCCTTTTTCCCGAATGGTTGCTTTTGGCGCAACCAGCTGCAGGTTTCATATCGTACAGTAGGCCTATGAGGCGTCTATCATCCCCACCCACATTGTAAAACGGTCATGTGTTGGCATGTATCTTGTCAACGCCAACGCTCATGCAGTCGCCCGGTGGCTTGACGGGAAGGCGATGGTAAGAGTCTTCGATTACTACGTCCTTATCAGATGCAGTCGGCCCAGTGCGTTTGAAGGTGAGGCACAGTTAGAGAATATTCTCCTGGTTCGCTGGCAAAAAACACGAACACAACGCTGCGGTATGCTCTTGCAGTGGACGCGTCAAGTGAATACTGTCAATATCGGCAGAACTAGGGCGAGATGAGGCCATATTCACGAGCATAAAAGTCCCTCAGCCCCATACGAACTGGCCGAAACAGAAATCGCAGAAGCAAAAATGTCCGTTAGCTTTCTACAACGCTTGTTCTCTCTTCCCGCAGTGGGGGTGCTGTGATAAGAGGCAGCTGCGCATCCCAAAGTTCCAATCAAGTGGCGTCTGTCAAACTCTGCGAGTATGCAAAGCAGTGGGGTGAGGATGAATCCTCACAAATGATTGGATCTACCTCAAGGGCTGTTGAGAACAGGGATCCAAGGCTGATCTAAATAGTGGGGGTAACACGCAGCCTGTTAGTCTTCCTTTTACCAGAGAGATGTGAACCCCCCAAGTAACACGGTATTTACAATGAATGAGAGAGTAGGGCGCGGGGGATGAGACTGCAAGGTCCATAACAACTAACTGATGGAGCTCGTTAGTTGCAGTCCCCTTCAGAAGTTCCAGGACTCAGAAACGAGATAGAGGCGGGTTCAACCGGAATTAACGTTACCCGAGCTCCCGAATCTGTGTGGGATCATCCAAGGGGAGGAAATGGGAAAAAAAGAAAAGAAAAAGAAAGGAAGGGCATCATGCGCCAGCTCCAGGTAGATTATACGTCACACATTGTGGTGTCAGATATTCCCCATTATAATTTAGCAGCAAAATCACAAAAGCAACTATCCTCTCCTATTAGCCCTAGCTGGTATAGCTTCTCTATAAGATTACAAACTTCGCTTTGGTTAATCCTATTTCCACTTTACTCTCCCCAAACATAACATAGAACAAGCGGGAGTTGACAGGAACACGGCAACCCACAAGTCTAGCAGAGGATATTCCAGTAACAAGTATGCCTACGCATGACATGAAATGGGATAAAATCATGTTCAGAATATCCTCCACGGCATACATCATCTCAATATCAGACAATGGACCAGACTCTAATTCTTTTGCCTATCCAAGGAGCTACTATGGGCAGTGGTGCACTCAAAACCACATGCTTCTCTTTTGTCTATCTATTGTCGCCAGAACGGCCTCCCAAGTCCCGCTGTACCGAGGTTCCATGTGCCTTCCAATATTGCGGCAAACGCTGACTAGATTCTCCCTTCAAGACCATGGAATGCCCCTCTCCAAGTACCAAAATTGAAGATTCTCGTTACAAGTTCATAACTTATAGATAAGTTCTATGTTCTAAACTCCAGCATACCCTGCGTTGGCGGCGTCTTTTTACTCGCTATGCACATTGACTGTAGTGGATATTCTATCAGATGAATCATGGGCTCCTTCACTTCAGGTCCTTGGATTTTGGAGGGGGGGGACTTTTCTTGCCTTCCTTCTTAGTGATTTTCAAACACATGGTGTTTCTGTCCTTGATCAGTTTCTTCTATTTAGCTCTCTTCCCTTTCTCTATGGGGTGTTGCTTGACTGCTTGCGATGGCTGTACTATCTAGCGAGGGTAGTGAGACCGAACCCAACTGTGACCTCATTTCACGACTGCCACCCAACCTTCTTGGCCACAAAAGGTATCCGTTGGTTAAGGAGACAGAAGGAGTGTTACTGCCCAGTGCTCAATCGTAAATAGGGCATTCTCTTTCGTTAAAGCATAACCAAACCCAAATCCAGTCAATTCTTGGGGGTGTGCCCGAGCATGCGATTTACCTGTGCTACATCCCAATAGAACGGCATCTGCTCTGTCATCACACCCTTCTCCAAATCGACGGTGACAACCTGGCAGAACGGGTAATCTACCTCCTCCCCAGTAGCCCGGACCTTGAAGTGGACAGTGGAGTAGACCACAACGCGGTTGGACCCCTCGCTTTCGAAGATTTCTGGCTCCTTGACGTCTACAATCGAGAAGTAGTCTGCCATCTGCTTTGCCCATCTCTCCAAACCTTCTGGACCGATGTATTCGCCCCCATACGGGAGGGCAGGGGTTTGAAGAAGTCGATAATCAGGGCTAAGGGTGGCTGCGATGCCGCTGAAGTCTCGCTTGTCCGGGGGGGCGGACATGTAGATGCGCTCTGCATCGTAGAATGCCTCCAGAATGGAGCGCGGGGTGTGCTTTTTTGCTTCAGGCATTGCTCCCAGCTTGTAGTCTTGTAACCCAAAAATCGGTCCGGAATGCAATTATGCACGGTTCTCTGGAGTGCCAGGTTCGCAAGACGTAGCAATTTATATCCGTGTCCATTCTCTTGATTTATAAGCCCAGGTGGTGCAGAGTGGTTGAGATTCCACATCACATTAGTCAGACCGTAACGTCGCAGTCTTTCCAGTGGGTACATGGCCGATATCCATCAGTTTCGGGGATGTTCATCAGCTTTGGGGATACTCGTCAGATTCGGGGATATCCATCAGCTTCGGGGACATTTATGGGCTCACATAGCGACGAGCAAAATGTTGGATATCTAAGAAGACAAAAGGAAGACAAATAAGCCACCTTAGCCTAAAGAGGAGGGGTCTACGCCGTCATAAAATCAAATAAAACCCATACCAACACATCATCCCTCCAAGACACTCGCCTGCTCTCGGTGGTGAATGACTTGTCCGGATATACGGATGTGAGAGCTGGAGTACAAAGTAGAAAACGGCAATGAAGATCCCAGACCCGACATTCAAAAAATAGTTGTACGCATATTGTATTGTAAAATGAAATTATGCAAGTACAAGATTGTTGTTGGTGACTTATTATTAGAAGCAACTAGCTATATAGGATATAGTCCATAAATTTAAAGTTCCCACGCCCGACCAGTTGAATCCGGTCGAAAACACCAACCTTCAATAGTCGCCAGCCATCTTCCAACAAGGCAATGCGATATACGACCATCAGCCTGTAGTGGCCAAGTCATTGGGCAGAGGCTAAGGCCGGCCCAGACTCACCAAGCGGTGGGTCGTGGCCAGGAGGTCATCTCAGCGCGCCCAACTCAGCATCCCCATCTTCAGCCCTAAACAAAGGGATCACATTGGCAACAGCTGGTTGGCTGCATTAAAATGCCTAGACCATGGTCAGCACGTCGTGGCTGCTGCAGCTTACAGGACTTGCACCAGTAGACGGGAGGTGGCGGCGCGCCATCGGGGGTGCGGCTGAAGTAGCGGATGAGTCTACTTGCAAAAGTTGTCAAAAATATGCACTGAATGGTATCTAGTGCTCGTTGATGAGACCTGCTCATTGGAGATGAGGACAAAGAGTTGGATAAGACTGATCTAGGCCCTGCAGGAGAGTCTCCAGCTGGCACGAAGTGCACTTAGGATTAAGGATACTTATAAGGTTGGATTATCCCCAACCCATCGGTTTTTTATTCAACGCATCTTCCGGAGGCCATCCCACATCCCGACACTGCCTACATTCTGCCATCTTCTCTGCTACACGACACCAAATCACCATGGCAGCTGTGCTCCCTCCTATCCATCCCCCTATGGGAATGTTTGACCAATATATCACTCCCGGGGGTGACAGTCTCATCCTCACAGAGAAGGTTTTCTCCCTGTCTGGGGACAGCTTCGAGGTCCACAAGAATCAGGGAGGCAAACCCGGTGAGGCAGCTCTCAAGATCCAGGGCAAGCACCTCACCATCTCCGGCCGCAAAACGGTCTCCGACATGGCAGGCAACCTCCTCTTCGATATCGTGAAGGAGCACTTCCACATTCTTCACCCCACACTGGCCGCTCAGGATGAGAGTGGGAAGAAGTATCTCGTTATCAAGAAGCACAGAAAACGTAAGAGCCCCAATCCCAATAAGCCGATCAACTCGATGCGATGCAATGAAGCTAACAAGCCCCGAATACAGTCATCGGCAGCGAAGCGACATTGACACTCACCTCCAAGGACGGTCGCACCGACACCCTCAAGATGAACGGCAACTGGAGAGACAGCTGCGCCAACATCATCCATGTTGGGTCGGGCGCGACGGTCGCGAGGATTGACCGCCAGATTCTCAACGCACGAGAGCTCATCGGCGGCGCGCAGACATACCATCTCAACGTGGCGCCCGGCGTCGACGTGGCCCTCATGGTCGCGGCCTGCGTGGCTCTGGACGAGCTGAACAATGAGAAGAAGGGTTTGATTTCATTTTAGGGAGCAGTGGCTTATTGCTAGTGTGGTTGGGCAGCAAGTGGCGGGCACGTCTGTTTCAAATGTAGCAAGCAAGTATCACAATAAACCTTACCTTGATGCTGGGAGAACAACCATCCACAAAGTGAAAGCACGGCGATCATGGACATTTTCTCCAGGGTGAAAAGCATCCACTGCTCCCAGAGTACCAATAACTGCCCCTCCATCATCTATATCGGTGTGTAGGAGCCCACCACCCATACCGTATACGAGAAAGCCACCAGCCAACTAAGCCTTTATGCATGGCTGGAGGCTGCCGCCCCTCCACGCGCACATTCAGGTCACATGAAAGCATTCAAGGCAGAGGCTTGCTCTATTTTGGGCGCCAACACTGTTTATTTGTTTTCTCTAGCTCTCTTTGGCGGTAATCCAACGCCACATGGCCTGCACTAATGCGTTGGCCTGCCACCACCAGCTGTCCTTAGCTCCCAGGCCGTCTGCCCGGGAAAGTCCGTGTGAAAATAGCTCTATGTTCTTGATTTGAAAGGTGAGAATGGATGTGATGACCTAATAAAATAACAACCGGATGTTGCTGGTGCCATCAGCTAACTCAAGCGCTGTTGGTCGGGACGATGGTGATAAATGTAGGGCCGTAACTTCCATTGCCGCCACCGCCGCCGCCATTTCCTGCGGTAGTGGAGCTTCGTGAGGGTGATGTGACGCTTCGCGAGGGCACATTGGTGCTTCGCGACGGTGCACCGGTGGTAGGGGAGATGATTCCTGTGCTCCGCGTTCGGGTGGTGCTCCGGGTAGGCGTGGTCACTTGAGTATGCTTTGCGGTCGAGGTACGAGTGCGGCCGGTAGAGTTTGGAGCACGAGTATAACTGGGAGAATCGGCCGTGTGCGAGGGAGCACTGTCGGTAATGGGAACCGGGCCGGGCGTGGAATCATCACCGCCGAAGAAGTCGGTGGGGAAGAGGCTCTTCCATTCGGATGGAATGAGGTCCTCGACGTCACCGCCGAACCCAGGGAATAGATCCTCGTAGCCGGTCGGGTTTGCGTTGCCGCTGTTGGTATCATCAACATCGGACTGCTCCTTTCCCCCGTGGTAGTGGTGGTGTCTTTTTGGTGCAGCCCAGCTGACCGAGACTTGCAGAGCAAGTAGAGTGAATAGAAGAGAGGACCTGCCCATGGTGATGAAATTGGTCTTGGACCTTTGAAAATGGAAATAGGAAAAACGAGTGAGAGTCGCAGACCAAAAGAGGGTATCAATTGAACGTGAACCCTGTCAAGCCTTTAGAGAGAAGAAATGCCCACCTCTATTAATCCATCCTGAGGGGGAAGCATGCCATAAAGAAGTAGGGGCATGGAAAATGAGATTACGCCATGTTTGTCACAATGTAAACGGGTTGTTTCGCCAATCCAACCGAGGAACAAGGAACAACAGGGTGATGTTTGAACTTGGACGTCCTGGTTGGCTCCGCGTCCATTGTTGAAACAGCCCAGGAGCAAATCAGCCCTGAATCCTCGATCCAATTTGCCGCATGGGCCACACCCCCAATTATTTACCTCCTTGAAACCGCTCCAAGCTCTGCTAGGATGATACAGATTACGCTACGACTGGTTCAATCAGGAAAGACGAAAGACCCCTGATTGATGTGGCAGAGCAGTCGAAAGACGCTGGCAGCTGGCGTGCATCATGCATAGGACCATTCCAGTATCCTGTGCCAAGTCCGCCAACGCAGGCATTAGCAGATGCCTTTAATTATACCCTGCCATGCCTGGATTTTCAAGTTTGTCCTTTGCCGTTGTCAGATACCCTAGAGCTATGTGTTGCTGTTACACGTGACTGTTGTCTTCTATCGGAGATAAGATAAATGAGAAGATAAGGCGGACGCGCACCTTTCATTCCAGAGGTCGATGTTATATATCTATCCTAAATACCATTGAGCCAAAGGGAACGATCTCGAAATGTTTCCATGTTATTGCTGGAAGGGCGCGATTGCATAACCATATGGTGAAATTAGGAGGGTGTAGCAGGTGTTAGCCAGATTCTGAAATGGCCGTATTTGAATACGTTTGCATGTTATATATGAAGAAAATGCATCATCTTAAAGCTGTCGAAAAATTTTGAATAAAAAAAAACAATAATGACAGTAAAATGAAATTAAAATCCCAGTGTAAGTATATCTTAGAACAAATTGTATTTATACACTCTTAAGACTACAAAAGTGTTCCCAGTGCTCGTGTTGCCTTGCCCAGCCGAGTGTCTATAGGGTAGGTATAACGGGAGGGATCAGAGAGCAATGCATGGAAGACAAAATCTAGGAGAACACGGAATATGGATTGATCTATAAGGTATATATACATTGGAGAAGCTGTATTTGCTGACTGAATTTATCGTTTTTCATTTGGAAAGATATAGAAGGAGCATGGGGAGCGACAGAGATTGGAACCTGGAAATAGGTTCATGCACGAACGACTGTCATGGATTCATGAACATATGTATTGAACGCTGACATATCATGATTAATGCCCTGGGCGCTCTTCGAAGCTGTGGTGGTTGTATTTAATAAGGAAGATAAGATTCCGAAACGTATGTAATTTTGAATAAATTTTCAGATATATTGTTTAATTTCGATCGTCCAGTGTGGCAATTAGCTTGAGACAACAAATGATAAAGCACTACATGAACATGCGAGCCAGCCGTTCTGTAGGCTCAGGTTTGTATCAATACGAGGTAAGCTTTTACATGTCTTATGTTTCACGGAGTTTGATTTATCTGATTTATACTAAATTTGGCGAAGCTAGACACTACTCATTTACACCCGCTGACTCCGGCGGTCCCTTGAAGACCTTTCTCGCATGGACTCCATACCACACAGCACTGAGACCCCAAAGACCGATGAAAACAACACTGGCATAGCTCATACTCACCGCCGTGACCGGCAGAGTCGTGGGGAAGCAGAACAAAACTATCTCAAACAAAATCCAGAGGACAGCGATGACATTGATCACCCAGCCCACATTTGAAGGCATCTTCCATGCTGCCTTGTTCACTTGCTCACGCCCGGAAAGTAGAGAGATTATGATCGGGATAGCGTACGAGGCGGCTAGGGCAATGACACCTACAGATACGAAGGCGACGAATGCAGACGACGAGCCGAGGTTGATCAACCCGAGCAGCATCTGGACAAGGGTGGTCAGGGTCAAAGCCCAGATTGGAACACCATATTTCTGGTTGACCCTGGACCAAATACTAGAGAAGGGCAGGGCGTGGTCCCGAGCGAAGGCCCATGTGCATCGCGAGGCAGCCACAGTGATGGAGATGGAGCAGAAGACATTGATGATGAGGATAAGGAGTGTCAGGGCCATGCCGCCATTAGCTGAGCCCATCACACGGGCAAAGATGTATGGAAGGGACTGCGCCGCTGCCGAGTTGGCGATGATGTCGGTCAGGTCAGGTAGGGTGGCGCAGAGGGGGATAACCTTGATGCTCAGTCAGAATCATAGACAGACAGAAAAAGGAGGAAAGGGGCGGAACGTACGAAGAAGAGGCCTGCAATGCCGCCTACAGGGATGGCCAGTGCCACGGCACGGGGCAGCTTTACTCGAGCATTTCCACACTCTTCAGCCATGGAAGTGATCATGCCTACGGCTGAGAATCTGCACAAGTTTAGTCGAGTTCAAGACATGCTCGAAAGTGAGGTGGGATTTCTTACGTGTAAGCGCAAGGCAGCATTCCGATGAAGAAGGAGAAGTTTCCCCATCCTGACAGTGTAGGATCAAAAGCGCCCTGCGGTAGAGTTCAGTAAATTGTCTCGAGGTTCATTGTAGACAGACTCAACTTACTAAAGTGTCTGCGGGAGAATGCCGACCAGCGCCAGCCTTGACGGCCACGCAAATCAAAGTGGCTATAATAGAGACGAGAGTGAATGCAGCACATAGCGTATCTATGGCAGGAAGAAAGTCGTTGCACAAGGCGGCAATGATAAATGTGACGATGCAGATACCGTAGAAGATGACGAGCAGCTGCCATGCATCCATGACATATTCTGGATGATAAAGTGCGACAGTGGCAGCGATCAAGGAGGCAAGGCCAAAGTTGACGGACAAAGTGATGGTCCAGTTACCGATCAACCAGATCCATCCAGTGAAGAACGATAGACCCGTCCTAGTCTTGGGACTTGCGAGCTGGTATGTCCAGTAGTACACGCCGCCGCTGGTTGGGTAAACGGAGGCGAGTTCTGCGAGAGACAGTGCGACGCACTCTCCCAGAATGCAGACAACCACCCACCCGAGGAACATGGAAAGCTGACCTATCTCCCGATGAGTATTCTCCGGCGACATGGATCGTGGGTTTATATCTGACCTCCTCCATAGATGGCAGTAATCAAGGGAGAACCGAAGCCGTATGGAATCTGTACCGCCGTCGCTTAGCCTAGCCCGGACTGGAGAAAAGTAGAGAAGGGACATGTCATCTTACGGCTGCAATCGCGAGTGATTGGAAGAGAAGAGTCATGGTGTTTCGATTGCGGCGCATCTCGGGATCGTACCCCAGCTGCTGCAGGTCGTAAACATCCTGGGACTCGCCCACGGTCGTCGACGGTGAGGAGACTTTAATTTTTAAATCCGACATAGCTTCTGGATGGCGCCACTATGGCGTAAATTAAATTTGAAGTTAGATGTGTACAATTCTGAGGATGTGTATCGAAGAGTGATGTGGATGGATGCTCCTCATCTGTGCAACGGCCAGACACATGCCAGCGGAGTTGCGACTCACGGCCTTTTAAGCCTGCTCTCTCCAGCGGGTAACCCCAAGGTTGCGTCTGGAATTCCCAGGGAGAAAGGTCAGGTGTGTCGCAGCACGATAAGACATTGATCCCCCGAGCGCCATTCGCTGACCCTGTCTCAGTTGGAATGATAAGCTTTCCCGGAGCTGGCGGCCTCTAGGGATGACGGCCAGACTCGTCTCACAGTGATAAGGATTGGGGGAGACATCATTCGCCCGCGTGTCTGGCACAATTCGCCCTCTTTAGACTCGGCAGCCGGCAGCGAGGACGAGGTCGACGAGGGCTAAACCCAACTCGTGCATCATAACCGTGGTGACCTTGCGCACCCCGCATTATAGCTCATCGCCAAGCCAGATTCGCTAGCTGAGTCGGGGCATCAGAGACGGCTGCTCTCCTATCATTGCTCGGGAGGTCCACACGATGATGGACTGCCAAGGCTGGAGCTGATCGCCAAGTATGATTCAGGGCACATGTCTGAGCTTGGCAACGGGAAATTGAGATGCTCTCCGCTCTTGTTGTTCGGCTAAGACGGGGACTGTGACAATGAGCACCCCCGTATCATACAAAGATAAGAATCTGGTGGTCCAATCTTTTTGCTTGCTTCCCGCCAATCACTGCGTCCATGGAGAGGTGTTTAGCACAGCTGCTACTCGTTTTGAGAATCGTTTGTGACAGGGGATGACTGAATCAGGCAACTTTGGAGGCCACCGTAACCGAGTGAAATGTCACTACCTCTCTAATATTGGACGATATTCATAAGAATCAGCGGCTTGATTATATGCGCTGATACATTGGAGGCAACCAACTTCCAGTTTGAGGACCGGTTTAGCCAATTCTCTAAACAATCTCGCGTTCTATTTGGTATGAGAAATGCTATTACTCCCTTTTTATACATAGTATCTAAAAAGAAACCGCCATTACACCTAAAATTCCAGTCTATGCGTTTGTCGGTGCCTCTCCACCTTCTGCTGGCTTGGCCGGAGCCTTGCAAAACTTCTCCTTAATGCCATCCTTGTCTGGGCCACCCAAGGCCCCTAACATGGTCTGCAGCTCCTTGAGACGCTGGGCAAACGTGATGAACATGCCACCTAGATTCGTTTACGAGGTCAACATTATTGCACTAATCGATCAAGAAAAGGGAGGAAGTTACCTTCAGCGTGCCAAAGAATGTGGCAATGGAGAGCCCAGACGCCCGGATTATCCGACGCGATGCGGAGAACAACGTGATCGGCTCCCATCATGGTGAGGGTGTCGCGTCGCATTGGGTTATCCAGCTTCCAGGTCGTCTGGCCCTTTCCGAAGTTTCCGTCGCCCCAGCCAACGACTTGGAAGCTTTGACCTGTGTAGTGTGTGAGTAAAACATATCTCTATGCTGGACGGCATCTTTACTTACCACTGTGTCAATGTTAGCGATCACCAACGAATAATACAAGAAGAAGGGCGAGGAACGTACTGCATATGCCACGGGTGCATCATCATATGATTTGCCGAGATGGCAATCTGGGTTCCCATGCTGGGATCGGGGGATATCATGACCTGTTGATTTGGTCCAAAGTCCCACTTCGGATTTTCAGCGTTGAGATCCAGATGGGGGATTTTCCAGAGGGTCGCATCGTCCACCAGGGGAGTATAGGTGGTCTAATGCAATACAAAACGGTCAGTGGCCGTGTCTTCACGTTGAACAGTACGATGAAGGGAAGGATAGACTCACCTCGTTGACAGAAGTACGCATCACACCCGTCTCTCGACTCATCTTGAAGCGGAAATAGTGGCTGTTCTGCTCACTGATGTTGTACGCAGCCATCACGCGCTTCGGCTTTGGGAGATCAAACGGCAGGTCCGCGCAATCTTCGCTCCAGGGCTCGGCCCCGATCCCTTCCGTCTGCGAGCTCTCGACGTCCCATGGCTTTCCGATTGTCTGTGCCTTCACATCCACACCACCATAAGCGAGCACGCCGTGTGCTTCCAGACCCGCGTTACCGGACTCTCCCATGTGACGCCCGGGAATATGAAAGCATGCGGCGGCGGCGGAAGCCCGCATCAGATAGTTACCCGCGGTTTGGTTAGCGGTGAGAATCACAGAGTACCGCTGGCCGGGGTTGATGAAGACCCGGGAGGTACGTATGGGTTCGATCTCAACACCGTCCAGCTCAACAATCTCGAGAAGATGGCTGTCAACTGAGAAGTAGAGGGGGACGTTTGTGCTGTGGCTGATGAGGCGAAGACGGACACGCTGGAGGTGATCTACGTGCGTGGAGTGCAATGTGCCGTTCTCGCATGCCATGGAGCTGCCTGTGCAATCTTTGCCGTTTCGGCCGTTGATAATTATGTTTTTTGCTGGTGGCTCGATGCCTGGACTGCTGGGTTTCCATGGTGGTGAAGGCCCCAGGTAGTCCTTGAGAATCTGCGAGGATGATTAGTTACCATGCTGGAAGGTTCCTCTTCTGGAATATGGGGAAAGTACCTGTTCGGCGGGATCGTGGTATAAGTCTCCCACCATAACAATCTTGTCCTGATCAACGCCTGCAATGGCTTCAGTAGGATCGTGGATGACCTGCACATGGAGGAAGAGTAAGTAAGGGGGGTCCAGAGAGAACACGTACACGTAATCGAAATGCATCGTGGGTGAGGATGGTCTTTGCTTACCACGGGTCCGTAGAGACCATCGGTATACTGAACTGACTTATGTGCATGGTACCAAAAGGTCCCACGTTGATTGACGAGGGTGAACTCGTAGGTGAAGCTCTGCCCTGGTGGAATGCCACATTGCGAGATAGAATGGACACCATCCATCCAAGTGGTATTCCTCTGATCAATCCCATGCCAGTGGAGCGTGGTGCTCGTCTCAGTCATCATGTTGTTGACATGAACACGAATTGTGTCTCCAGTATTGGCCTGGATGAGCGGACCAGGCGATTGGCCATTGACGAGAATCATGGTCTTCTCAAATCCATCCGGGGCGGCGCGGCCATGGGTGATGTTGAACGTGTATTCACGTACGGTGGCTTTGGCAGTCACAACAAAGTTGCGCTTCAAGTCGAACTGTTCTGGGAGGGGCAGCCCTGACTCCACGGCTAGAGTTTCTGTGGGAGATGCCTGAGTGGTAGACGTCGAGCTAGATGTTGAGCTAGACACTGAGGTTGTTGTTGATATGGCGGCTATGCTTGTAGTTATGTCCGTCACAACAGATGTAGAGGCGACGTGAGGGTCATTGTCAGGCTTGCTATCATGGTCCTCATGATGATCCTGATCCGCTGGCATGGTACCCGGGCCGGCATGATTCGAATTGGTGACCTGTTGCTGCGGAAAGTAGAAGAGGCTGAATGACGACAGCGCAAGGACAGAGATTATGCCGATGATGATAAAGGGAAGCCGCAGAGTGGGCTGACGAGACCGCACGGGACGCTCATAGAACTCTCGCGTCTCGGAGTCGGTTGGTGAGGCGATGTCCAGCATCGGCACCTGCTCTCCGGGACCATCATAGGAAGCATTCATCCTGCCTTGAAATTGGATGGGGCGCGCGATCGGATCGGCACGGCTAGCAGTGATGACGGAGACAGATGGGAGCCATTTGGGGGGTTGAGAAAACAAATTACTGTCAGCACGGCACGATGGCAGATTGGTTGCCGCAGCTGAAACGTGGCCCCACGCGAACAAAGGAGACATGGATCTTAGTTTGGCTTCGGAGTTGAACCGTGCTGTCAGTTTGCCCCTTTTTAGCCATCATCACCCCTGTCGGCTGCCTTTGGGTTCACAAAACACTAGGAACATTCTTCGACGCCGTACACCGGTATCTTTTTTCCCCGTCTTTCGTGTAACTTCTAGCCTCTAGGATACCTGAATGCGATGATGTATCTTGGCATTGATCTGCAATCGGAGGTCACCGCAATGTAAAATTGACACAAAATAGGGGTTCAAACCTTGAAGGCGGTGTATGTCAATAGTTCTTGAGCTAGCCAGCCATTTGTCTCTCAGTCTTTCGTGTTTGACTCAGGGGAACGGCAATATGCAACAGGATACGTGCCCATGACACTTATAATAGGCTTCTCCTCTACCACAATTATCATGCAATTCGTTCAAGGAAGCCACCAGTCTAGTCGAAGTCTAAAAAAAAAAATTAAATTGCTTTTTACAAGAAGTTTTCCCTGTGTAAAAATGGATGATATACAGCTTCGACAAAAGATAGGATTTCATGCCTCAAGACCAGTCTTTCCCAACACCACGGTGTCAACACGCAGTGGCTCGCAATGGTATAACAAATTGAAGCAGCTGGACGAGATCTAGACTCTAGTAATCTGCAATGATGCCAAGTGACGCTAACAATGCCGTCGGGCACAAGGCAGACTCCAGACTCAGCCTCAGCGGAGCCCCTGACGTAGTGAATGAAGCGCAGTGATGAACCGACGATATATGCGCATGACTTTGGAAGCCAGTTACCATTTTCACAACAGCCTCATGCAATAGCGTATCATGGGCTTCGACAAGAAGGCATTTCTCGCCGCTTTCCGCGCGAGCAACACCAATGACTCTGAGAAAGAGCCACCTCCTCCCTACCAAGAGCAGGAAGATCGTCCAAGCCATGACGAGAGCGGTACAACGCCCGCAAAACCTCCGCCTGGCTATGCCAAGACAGAGGTCAACTCCGCGCCCACGGAGAAGGGAAAACAACTTAGAATAGTGGGCTTTGATGCGGCAAAACGACCTCCGATCCCCACGACTGCAGCGTATCTCTTACAAAAGGACGAGGAAAGCAAGAAAAAGCTACAGGCAACAGTCGACGGCTTTTGTGGCGCACCGGATCCCGGCATGTTTGAGTTCGAGCTCGTATGCCTGCTCTGTTTCGAGTACGAGACGGAATGCTTATGTTCTATATCACACCCGAAGACGACCGCTGACCCATGGCAAATACCCCAAATACAGAAACCGAAACGGTCACTCAGGTTTCCAGCTAAGTTGGCGACGGAAATCGGGGATAAACCAGCTCATCTATCAGCTGCCGTAGCCCAATCCCTCTGGCCTGCCATCACGCGCGGCATGATTCCCATATTCAACGACAACTCGCTCGTCGTGTTGCGATCGCGAAGTCTCGAGCGTACGCAAGACCCAAAAGAGATCCTGCGAAACATGGTTAACCCCGTTTCCACCTTACTATCAGCTGTGAAATGCCGATGCGGGTGTCAATTGGAGATATGCAAGAAAATACGGTCCAGATACGGACTCGAGGGCAAAGAATCAATCGAAGAGTGTTCGGTGACCTCGTACAAAGTGCGCACCCGAACATTCAATGCGGTACGCTTGCCATACGGAATAACATGCTTCGACCTGTCTGATATCGGCCTCTATGAAATAAAAACCGTCGATGAGGAGGATTTTCTTTTCTACTGCTCTATACTGCCAACATTTTGGAATGTCTACCCTTCTCCCAAGCCCAGAAACGATCCAGCAGACATCAACTGGCACATGGTTCTAGAAAGCCTCCTTCATGAGACGTTGACACTTCAGAACAATCGAATGTCGAGGTATGAGATCTTGCCCATTAGAGCCATGTGTCATAAGGACGGCTTAACACGAGCTGTCATGCGGGCAGAGAACTTCGCCGCGGGGCCGGGCTTCCTCATTATGGAGACGCCGTCGGCTCCAAGCAGCCCGAAGTACAGCATCATTGATTGCGGATACTCCCTTCGTCATGTTTCGAGCATCAACTCCCCCAGGACAGCCGATGCAGACGCATTTATGTCACAAGCAACCTCGGCCCAGCCCAAGTTTGGGTCACTGGATACTGTCAGTGTAGGTAAGGGATGGGGAAGCCTGTCCCTTGATCCCGGATCAGATGGACATCTTTACCTAAAGAAGAGATATGGCCCCTTCATTAAAAGAACCATGGTAGGGCTGCCACGAAGGGGTTGCCCGGGGAAGATGTGCAACGGAAGCTGTTCTAGAAAGAAGGCTTCCACAGGGGCGTATTTTGCCGGCTTCGCGCCACCCGCAATGGAGCCGAACCAGACAACTGTCTACGTTCTTGACAAAGACCCGTTGGCATGGGTGGTGATATCCCAATGGGCATCTTCGCACCCGAGGCCTTTGATATTCGTAAACCACAAGCAATGTTTGGTGTGCACGATTTTGGATGCCCCCGCGGGGAGTATCATTGCCTCTGGGCTGCCCCCAATAGCTTTGTTTGGGGTGATGATTACTTGAACATATTTGAGGAGTCAATGATACTATTTGAAGATATTTCGGCGAACTCATCGAGAGAGACAACTAGTTGACAAAACAATGTGACATCATATTGAGGGTGGCCATCAGAAGACCATTCTCTAAGATGAATAGAATATTACGACAGCATGAAGCGATACTCATTGACAGTATCTACCGTGCTATCACTTAAATACTTGGTAGAGGGCATCACTATTTTTGTATATCCTTCTCGTACAAGCTACGACGGCAGATACACCTGCTCTACTCCCAGGCCACTGCTCCGTAAGACCGCACCTTTCATCTTTCTTTCTTTGTTGTACTCGCTTAAAACAGGGCAAGCTCCTAGACATAATTATTAAGAGCCATAAATAGGTAGTCTTATGCTTGAAAATGACGGAGTGACATAGTTTACCAAAGTTAGATTTACGGTGCATTAGTTGAAGTTTGACTCCATTGTCGCCCTTGATCAAGGTTCAATAATGAAAAATTTGCAATGCGGATCTCACCACACAATATACTGGAAATAATAATAAACGCTTGGGCTCTTCTTCGTCTTATTTTGCTGCCGCTTTTCTACTGCTTCAATTTGTGAACCCCATTGGCAGAGAGACGTGGCTTTGGCATCCCTCTTTTGATACCTCATTTCTTTTGTAAAGCCGCATCTATCATTCCCAAGCCAATCTCCGGCACCACAACCAAACGGGAGTAAAATAGCAAAAAGAAACGACAGAGTTATTTACCAACCGAGATTTCACGGATTTTGCACACCCGACGCACATATAAACGGCAATGGAACGAAACGCTGGCGGGCGTGCTAGACTGACTAGCCGTACAAATGCTCAAGCGAGAGCCTCGCGGCAACAGACAGCCCATTTCCATCTCTTCTCAAAGCTACCGACCCAAATACGTCTGGTGATTTGGAGGTTGGCCATTTGTGACCACGAGACACCAAGACTTCACTACTACTCCCTATTCAACGAGGAACATGGCTGATATCGACAAAGCTTTCTGCCACGACTCATATCCATCTACATGAATCCTCCCGGGCAGCAAAGGAAGCATATCCACCCGAAGGACAAGAAACCAGAACCTGTCGAACGCCGTCAGTTGCGATCTCATCCGCGCCAACTCACCTGGGCCGAGGCCAATCGTGTCCACTACTACTGGAACGCGGGGCTCCGGACTGCTTGCTGGGAATCGCGTATCGTTCTAACTGAGTATTACAATCGACTTGGAAAGGCCATGTCGTCAGTCGAAAAGAGGGTTGCCCGAAATATGTGTCCAACAGCGACAGAACTTTCTCCGCCCGAGGAGCACCTCTCATCACAAAGGCCTCTTTCGGAAGAGGAAAAGAACAAGATTGCGCTCAGCCGAACCATCGCTACATTGCCCGAAAAAGGCGCAAGGGTCTATCTCGACTGGTGGACGGCAGACATAGTGTGTTTCCGATTTCCAGAGGAACACATGGCTGCTTGCGTTTATTTTGAGTGGGAGAAATTCCTCACCCGCCTTCCCTTCTTCCAACTTCCTTATGCCTCAGCTTTGAACCTTGCCTTTGAGTTTGAAGATGGCTGGGAGAAGGGCTTAGGGGAGACTAGGGAGACTGTCTGTCATTATCTGTCAGAAGCTTCAACTAGGGGCCTTGTGATGCGGGCTTGGTGGGACTGGTTGACAGGCAGGATCCCAATATGGGCCCGTATGTACCTGATCAATCCTCGAAACGACCTTCCCAGACGTTATCGACTGGCAAAAGGTTTCCGATACTACTACGATGCCGTCTATGGCGCTGAGTACCCCTGCAGCAGTACGGATCATCGTGTTTTCTCCGATGGCAAGAAAAGATACGTTGAGAGCTATGATTGGGATGAGCAAGGGCGAAACCGTGACGTACCGATCTGTAGCTTCATCATGAAGATGGACAGACTTTGTAGGCCGCTGCCTACGTCTCCTATCGATGCCAGCCTTCCCACCTCTTATCAACATTTTTTCAGAGTGTTGAGGCCCCTCCCGAGCGATATGACATCAACCGATATATGACAGAGGACAGGAAGCTTGGTATTTGAACATTGGCCATGTTTGTGTTTACATGTAGATTAGTCATATTGCTTCACGCGCAAGAAAACGACTTGTTGCACTAAATGGGCCACAGTTGTAGGTAAATAACAAACTTATGTGCTGTGAATTGTTTTGATATGTTGTTACTGGTATGTTTTGTTCATGTTACTGTTTACCGGTAGACGTAAAACTCTACAAAATTCAGATCCCGTAGGAGGCGTTGATAAAAAGTAAATAAATTCCAAATCTATAGCATTATGAAAGAGAGCAGAAAATCTAAAGTTCGCGATCTATGGATAAGCTCAGGTAATCAAAATATCCTTCTTCATCTCGAACCACCATGTGTCTAAAGACGACTGGAGAAGTACGGGATGTTCTTCTTCTCGTAGAGATCCTTGTGATCAGCCTTGATCATATCGGCAGTCTGTATTGTGCGTTAGTCAAAGCCAAATACTGTTTTGACGAGTCTTCTATTAGCACTAACCTTCTCACCAATCATGTAGACGGAGTTCTGGATGCGGCAGTCAGGAATGACAGGGATGATCGAAGCATCAGCGATACGGAGATTCTTGATACCGTGGACGCGGAGCCTGGAATCAACGACACCCTGCTGGATGCTCTTAGAGAGGCGGGCAGTGCCACAGGGATCTACATGAAATGTCAGTAGTGTTTCATATGCTATGGGAGCCATATACTTACGGAAACCCGTCTGGCTGCGATCGAGGACGGCACGTTTCATTTCATCATCAGATTCGAGGGGCATCTTCCAAGGATACTCTGCAACAACGATGTCCTTGAACCCAGAACCATTGGTCAAGAGATCGTAGGTCCAGCGGACACCCTCGCGCATAGCAAGAATATCCAAGTCATTGCCGAAGAAGTTGAGGTTGATGTTGGGCTGCACCAGAGGGCTAGCATTGTTCAAGGTGATCTCGCCCTCGGATAGGGGACGCAGCAAATCAACAATGACAGTGATGTAGTTGCCGCTCTCAGGAACCGGGTAGTGCCACTGGAAAGCAGAGCTAAAGAGGCCGACAAAGTCAAGCTCGAAGTGAGGCTGACCGGCAGGGCCGAATGGGTCGAGACCGCCATTGGCAGCCTTGGCTTGCCGGTAAGTTTCATACTTCTCAAGGCGTTGATCAATTCGAGGGAAGCCGACAAGCTCAAGGAAACCAGAGCTCGCTGGACCAGTCTTATCCTTGGCATACTGAGCGACGGCAGCTTGGTTCTTGGGCCCCTGGCGGAGGATGTACTCATCAAGGCCATAGCCGTCCTTGATTTGGAGGACAAAAGGCACAATAGGGTGGTCTAGAAGATGCTGGCCGACGTGGGGCGAGTTCAACTTCACGTTGATTCCGTGCTTGTTGAGTTCTTCGGCGGGACCAACACCAGAAAGCATAAGCAACTTCGGGGTCTCAAAGACACCCTGTGAAAGGATGACTTCCCGGCTAGCATAGACGCTAAGCTCAGCGTTGGTGTCGGGGTTGATGACAGTGACACCAAGGCATGTGTTAGTCTCGGGATCGATAATGAGCTGCTTGGACTGAACACCATAGAGGATGCTGACGTTGGGTTTGTCCTTCAGGTACAGAAAGCTACCCTGGCGCTGGCCACCGTGAATAGTGTCAACGCAGTGAGTGAGACCTCGCATCTCGCCCTCGTAAATGTCCTCGGTGAGGACTTCGCCCTTGGACAGCCAGGCCTCGGTGAGAGCATCGCGAAAAGGCTGCATCTCAGGAACCAAATCCGCATGTTCGATCTGGATGGGGCCGCCTGTGCCGATCTTCTTGAGCTCAGCAGGGTATAGCTTCTTCTCGTCATGGTAGGTGGCGCACTTTCGGAGGTAATCTACGCAGCCATCCCAGTTCCATTCTGAACCGCCGAACTCCTCCCAGTCATCAAAGGTGGGCTTGGAACCGGGGATCCAGGTGAAGTAGTTGCCGCAGGATGATCCACCGAGAGCTTTGCCGCGAGTGTTGGGTTTCTCGACACGCTCGTAGTCGTCACGCTTGATCATGGTCGATTTGTAACCCCAGTCATACTTGCTACCGCGGAGGTTGAATGCTTGGGATGGTGTGGTAATGGTGGGGACTTGGTCAGGGTTGGGAATACCAGCCTCGACGACCAGGACGCGAACATGAGGGTTTTCGGCGAGACGACCGGCAACTGCATTGCCAGCAGTGCCGCCACCGACGACAATGAAGTCGTACTCATTTCCGTTTGCGACGAAAGCCATTGAGTTGATGTAGTTTAGGAGTGTGGTGCGGTGTTTTGAATTTGGAAAATGCCTGGGATGAGGATTTATCGGATGCTTTAAGATGACGAGATGGTTATGGGTGTTGATGATGATTGTTGATGATGTTGAAGATTGTTAATGCTTTGAATGCTGAGTGAAGTGATTGATGATGAGATAAAAAGTCAGGCTTATGAGGATTCCTTGTGCTATTTATCCTCTCGTTCATAGTGAAACTTTGTATTCTCTACATCATACTGCTCTCTGTTCTCGACCAGTTAGATTTTCGCTATTCACAACCTCAACAGCCAAACATTCCTTCACAGGCTGCATCGCCGAGCCAGTCCCGGGGATCCGATGCCGCGATGAAGCGACGCAACGGCCCGGCACTTTGCGGCCTCTCCAAGTTCGGTTTAGAGCAGGGTTCAATTCGTTCGGGAATATGCGGCCTCAGCTTGCGACGTCATTATGCAGACGCTCAAATTCAAAGCCGACCGGGGATCGCTCGGGATTGCGTTTTACAAATTTTTGACATTGCGAAAATACGAGATGCAAATCTTTTTGCGATGCTACGAGGCTCGGGGTTTCAAGTTTTAATGATTACGAACTAATCAAACATCAAAGCAATCCCGAGGAGAGGGAATACCATTTCAATGAATTGCCGAATGTTCGATATTATGCGACGAAAGAGCCTTCGGATCCGAGGATCACGCAAAATGTGATTAGGCTTGAATTTCTCAACTTACAGAAATGAACTCTCCATATTTGAGGTTTGTCCTCCATGTTAGCTCCTAATTACAGTAAATCAGATCTCCGAGGTTTGGCGATATCATTTTTCTAGACTTCATGATTTAGTCACATGGCGATGCAAGATCTCTGTCCCGAGAGACCATTAATTAAATTGTCAGTGAGCAGGTTGGGCAATTACGAATTGCGCGTTAGGATATTTAGACGAGCAACTGTTCCATGGGCGCTGTTCGTGTGCTTAATGGCTCATTAACACATGCCCTGCCTACAATCCTGGTAACATTGCAAGCCCTAAGAGAACGCGTCTCCGGTCAACATCGAGCTTCGGTTCCGGTTTGTCGAAATTTTGATTCAATTTTGTTAATTTTTTGTGTCGGAATAGAGTAGTATTATTGTTTCTCTCGGAACTTCGGGGAGTTCTAACTCCCTTAGCTGTTACATGTTGTTACGCTTTCCTGGAACACTCGTGTTTTTTGTACAAATCGTGCTAGCCAAACCAACACAACCAACACCTAGGGAGTTCTTGCTTCCTATTTCTCCTACAATGATTGTAGTTCTTGGGGATTTGCCAAAGAAATATAAACCCTGTCAAAATCATCAGGGTAGAATGATACTGGTATCAATCATGGACTGAATAACCGCCTGCAAGACATGGGCAGACTTTGCACTCTAGGGTAAGCAAGCCTCTATTTAATGAAGTGGATTTTTCGAAGTCAGTTCCGTCTACCACAGGTAGACTTTTGCTAAGTCTGAGGTGAGTGTGAATTGCGATAATGAAAGTCATCCTCTTTAGAGCAGATAGCAGATCGATTACTCGCTGGCTGATTGATTTTAGCTTGAAGGTGGTAGGTTTGGCTGAACTTTTGTCCCTAACACCATAAAGAGGGCGTCGTGGATGTGTGGCGGTGCGCTCGACACGGCATGATAGACAACACGACTTACAGCACCAAGCCACGAGCCATAGACGAAATGGCGGGCTGTGAAGACGCCGCGCTGATTTGGCGTTTGGAGAAACAATTTCTTCATGGGAGTGGAGGGGGAGGTAGCCAACCAGTGCCGATATTGCCGGGCAGCTCTCATTCCCGTCATGTATGCACAATGTCTGAGCCAGTCACACGGCAGAAAACCATGGGCGTTCACTTGGAGACTTTAAATAGGATCTTCAACGCATCCCAGTAAATTTCAAAAGGTCACAACAAGGGATCAATATAGCCTGCCATGCTTTGACGGTTTAATGTTAGAACCGAGTTTGAAGAAAGGACCGCGTCAATGGGCTGAAAAAGCCACTTCCTGACTGCGATGATGTGGCTTAGCGCTGACGCAGGAGCAGTTTCGGCACCTTCACAACCGTGCCGAATTACCGGAGAAGCCACCAAGAGCCGAAACAGCCAACCAAGACACGCAAGTCCAGCCTTATAATAGATGGGATCTGCCGAATTCGTTAAGCCATGCGAGCGGGGGCTTAGCTGTTTAGAATTGGCCTATGGATTCCTTTCTATGGCCATTGTTGAGAGTGGGAGAGAAGCTTACATGCAGTAAGCCTGGAGGCCGCTTTGATGGTATATCAAGAACCGAGTCCTAGACCTGCGCCAACATTCGGACAGCATCTAGCCATCAATTAATTAATCGACCGAGACAATTTTACACACCCTCGTTTCGACTAAAGAAGCCTGCCGCAATTAAGCACGATGGGCTTGTTCAACAACCATCAAGATGACAATACTCCGACGGACTCCCACTCATGTCCAATCCATTCGTTGGATGAAAGTAAGCTATGAAAAGGGAACAAAAGGGAAACTTAGCATCTAACGATCAACAGATGCGACGCAGCATATAGTTGGCAATTTTGACTTCTACCATCTGAACATGATCATTTCAGGCGCATGTTCTTTGATCGCCATTGTAATAATGCTCATATTCAAACAAATGCACGCAACGCATCTTTCAAACCCAACCGAGCAGGTCAAGTATGAAATTCCCATCAGTGCGAGATGTGGGAACTTTGACTGACAGCCTGGCCTGTTAGAATCATGCGCATCGCTACTTTGATCACCATGTTTTCGATCATTTCTTTCCTTTCCGTCGCCTTCCCCAAAGCATACGTATACATTCATCCCTGGCTGGGTTTCGTGGAGGCGTTTGCCATCGGCTCATTTTTCCTCCTCCTCTGCGACTTCATCTCTCCGAATGACGACCAGCGGGACATTTACATCGCAGCCAAGAGGCACAACGGAGCAAAATGGTTCAGAGTATGGATACACATATCAAGCCGCAAGGATGTCCAGAGTCGTTGACTAACTATCTATTTTTCTTTGTAGAGTCGCTGGATCATGATCTTCCAGCTCCCAATCGTGTCGTTTGTCGTCGCTGTCGGAACAGACATCACGGCCGCTGCGGGTATTTACTGCGAGTGGAAGAGCAGCCCGAAGTTTGCAAAAGCCTACTTGGGCGCATTGGGAGCCATATCTCTGACCCTGGCCATGCTGGCTATCCTCCAGTTCTATGCGCTGCTAAAAGCTGAGCTTGCGAATCACCGGCCACTCTTGAAGCTCATAGCGTTCAAGGCGATTGTCAGTTTGACTTTTTTCCAGGCTGTGAGTATTGCCCGAATTAGCTTTCATCAACAGGAGATTACTGACATGAGTTCCTCTCGTAAAGATCCTGTTCTGGATTCTGACCGATACGGGGGCGCTGAAGGAAAGCGCCACGTTGACGTACGCCGATCTTCACATTGGCCTTCCCAACATGATTCTTTGCATCGAAATGGTCCCCCTTTCGTTGTTCTTTCTCTGGGCATACCCTTGGGGAGTGTATCTCGCCGGAAAGGGAGGTTTCGATACAAAGGTGGCATTGACGAATCCATACCAGGGAGGACCGTTTGGGATCTGGGCTTGGTTGCAGATGCTCAATCCTTCTGACACCTTCAAAGCGATTATTTTCATCTTCAAGCCGTACGAGAGCTCGAAGCTTCAACCGATGGATGACCAATTAGAAATGGAGAGCCAGCCCCTGACCCCTAACAATCATGGGCATTCCAGGCTCTAGGCTTGAGCTGTTACAAGTTTGGTAGTAATATTAAAGATGATGTTCTCTATGGTAGTGGTGGCCTAAGGCCGTCTAAGTGACCTGAAAGCGTACACGAGACTAGACTGCATGCTGAGAGCAAGTGTCTACTCCTCAAGATTCACACTTGCTACTTAGATTTATTGTGCGTTGTTTATTGTCAGTCAATCCCGAAACAGGGAAAATGACTCCTTGCTGTCTCAACAGGGCAGTAAGGATCAGCGCGCGGCGGCGGTTGCGTCGTTGGCAGAATGTAAATGCGTGCTTGTAGTGTGTATCCGTCGCCTTCAGTGCCATGCAGTGTGTATGGTTTCCTAACTGGTACAACAGGTCGGTTGTTTAATTGAGGAGGAAGGGAACCGTTTTCTTCATCGTCCCAGTATGCGTTAGTCGGTCCTCTTTGATCAGTCGCCTGATCTCACTGCTGATATCATTCCGACTGAACACGTTTGCCCAGTTTCCAACCTTCGATGTTTCTTCCAGCGATAGTATACTCCTCTCCTTTAGTACCGCATCGATTTGCTTCTCCACTAGTTGTATTTTCATATTGGTGATATGCTGGTAATAGTTGCCGTGGAATTACTCATTGTATAGAATATGAATTTGCTTTGGCATTAGAGGCGCTGGATGGGGGGTTGGGCTTTTATTCGTTAGCCTGTATCTTCGTGATATTCATATTTTAATCTCAAGCAAGGCTTCCCGACGGGCTATAGCTACGCAAATGGAAAATTGTGTGAAATCCACTCTCTTGACTCCCGTGCCGTTGGGACGAGCCAGATAGAACTGAGTAACTATTCATACTGCTGCATACCGCCCATATCCTGTCGATTCGCTAGGTCACATTTTTCATTCAGCCATGGTTGTTGTTAAGTCATATTTCCTTTATCTAAAGACCTACCCGACTAATATCTAAAAGTCGAGGCCCCTGGTATCTCCAGCGGTGGTGCTGTGGCCATCGTCGTCATCATCGTCACCGCCGTCGTCACGACGGTCATGACGGAGCCATTTTGCTGTTGCTGTTTGCTGTTGCTGCTGCTGCTGCTGCACTGTCAGTGTGTGTGTGTGTGTGTTCTCTTTCATCTGGGCTGACGAAGAGGAGAGAGAAAAGAAAGATTTCCCGTGACGCATTCGCATTCTCATCATCTACAATGCCCAAGAAAACCTACCAGGCAGGCTGAAGGGTAGGATAGCGGACTTTATTAACAAGTCAGATTCTGGAATGCTTGGGAATCGGCGCTCGAATCAGAGGTAACTTCAGCTAAAGTCGCGTCCCAAGTGACATTCTAGATGCTGTAATCAGGCCCAGAACTTCGAGCAGAAGTGAGAAAATAGACACGAGAGCTTACATTACGGAAAGCCTCTAACTAATATCTTGAAAGACCGATCGTGGCTTACAAATCACTGGTTTTTCAGGCAATAGTGCAACATATCGACAGCAAACTGGTAGATCAGCAGCTAGAGATCGTGACTTACTTGTAGGCCCAACTGAGCTGGGTGCTGGAAGCTCACCATACTGCCGCGCGCTTTGCTTCGAGAATGGCGAAGGGGCGTTCCCAATCGTTGTGATGGGTCCACGCGCGGTCAGCTCGGGAGCGGTTGTCTACACTGCGTAAAGCCTGCCCTTGTTATTGAAGCCGGGTACTCATAATCAATTGAAGCTTTAAGGTAAGAGATGAGGTGGTGGTTCAGTGAGTCAAACTATCAAGTCAAAATGGTTCTTCTTGTCAAGATGCATCCTGCATCGCGACAAGGAATAACCATTGAAAAGTGGCGAGAACGTCTGCCTGAGAGATGTTCTAGTACAATAACTCTTCGAGCTATATGGTGAAACACTGGTTCAACGCCATGTAACCGTCTGTTTGATTTCTAGACTAATAAACGAGAAGAGACTCACTTGAAACCATCAACCAAAGTAGGAAGGGATGTAGTCCTAGCACGTAGCAACGCAAACGAACAATTAGATATCTTGTCTAAAGTCTTGGCGATCTAGTTATTTTATATTGAGTGAAATATCTTCACGTCGTTCCTGTAGTTTGAATAGTACTTTCTCAACACCGTCAACCACACCCTAGCGGACGAGTTTGGACAAGTCTACGGTCGCCTGGAGCAAATGTGAGATGATATTTACGCTGCACGAAAGGCAACTAATGGGAAAGGCGCCAACTGAGGTGGTTACCGCAGGAAGTCCTTGCGTGGGAGAAGGGTCAAGCACCAGGTCAACTCGGTTGCAAAGAAATGCCCGACTCCGTACGGAGGTACGGAGGGTAAACGGTAAAATCATTTCTTGATGGAGGCAATAATCTCATTGCTACATTAAGGCAATGTTCTCATGGAATTTCTTTGTATATCCGAAGCCTAACTCCGAATACGTGGGGCCATGTTGCACCATCTCGCATTGCTACTTGCCGGCTTGGACGAGATGAAGCATGAAGAGTGGGGAGCTCTCCGAAGTTGATACGAGACTGATGATTCATCAAATGTAGCAGAAGGCTGGATGTCGGTGTTACTGCTCGTTGGCATGGCTCAAACCCACGAGAAGCATCGTTCTATCCAAATCATCCGTAAAGAGCTTATTTACCACAACCCAATCGTTTAATCGTGGGTAGCATAAGATAACGGCGTTGGCATAGCTATTCTGTATATGTAGTATCCTAGCGAGAGGATGCATAGATGACCTACCGCTGGTTCCATCAAGGTATCTTCGGGGATTAGAATTGTCCGTTAGCAGTGGTCGAGTTGGGCCAGATGTCGATCCAGCTAGATCATGCATCCAAACCCATGCCAGACGAATGCGCCTCGCGCACGGTAGTTGCAACTTACAAATCCGAACTGGCCTATTAGATCGCTTGCTTCACCATCCTTTGCATGAGGTTATACGATACGTGCGGGGTGGTATGTAAAATGGTAGCTAGTGTAGATATATAAGGTTAGTTTCCTTCCTCTACTTTCTCCCATCTCAAAGTTGCTAGGTCTTATAATCATCCACAAGGCCACTGCAAACGCTTACTTTCTCGGAATAACCATGGCTTCCGTTCTCGTTTTCGGCCCTACAGGCAAGGTTGGATCCTATGCCGCACGTACAGCCGCAGAGCATGGCGCCAAAGTCTGGTTGGCGATGAGAGACACCACCAAGACTATCCCTGGTCTGACTGGGGATGCCGAGAAAGCGGGCGGCTTCAACAGAGTCCAGGCTGACCTACAGAAGCCAGAGACAGTGAGCGAGGCAGTCAAAACCTCTGGTGCCAAGCGCGCATTCATCTACCTCGTCCATGGGGCTCCAGACCACCTAAAGGGCTCCATTGAGGCGATGAAGGCTGCGGGCATCGAGTTCGTTGTATTCCTCAGCAGCTTTACCATCCTCGTCAACCAAGGCTTGCGAGATATTTCTCCATCTGACTACATTGCCTACGTCCACGCGCAAGTTGAAGCAAATTTGGAGGATACATTTGGCCCGGATGATTACGTGGCGCTGCGTCCCGGCGGCTTCGTGACAAATTTGCTGGCTGAGAGAGAGGGCATTATCGCTGGCAAATTACAACTGTACGGTGGCATATTTGAGCAAGACAATATCGTACCAAGCGACATTGGTAAAGTTGCCGGTACTGTGCTTGTGTCAGGTCCAAGAAATGGACAGAAGAAGGTGTATCTTTATGGGCCCCAGATTAGATCGATCCATGATAGCTACGTGGAGATCGGCAGAGTGCTGGGCAAGGACTTGGAGATTATTACCTTGGGACCCGAGGATGGGCTTAAGAAATACATTAGCCGTGGAATGAGCGATACTGTCGCTAAATACATGGTTAAGATTGGGGGTACCAAGGGTCCAGATAAAGGAAATGGCGAGCGGTTTCCTAGGTATCAGGAGGGTGCAGGAAATGTGCAGCTATACACTGGAAAGCCGTCAACTAGCCTTGAGGATTGGGTGAAAGAGAACAAGGAAATATTCAAGGCTTGAGTGGTGACATGGATGGCTATTTTATGACTGAGAAAACTGAATGTATTTTGTTTTGGCAAAGTCAAATGATGCCAAATTGTCGCCACAAGATCGTACTTAAACTTCATGTGCACTACCTCTCAGCGGCTAAGACATGTCGAGTGAGAAAGAGACTTTATTATACTTTTATCCTTTGATAACCATTTGGGCTGAGTAAATGATTGTCCTAATTAAAGTACCATGAAACTCGGCGACACCTGATATTCAAGCTTGGTTATCGAAGAGGGGAGTCTCAAATTTCGGGATTTGCTGTTTGTGAATTGTCTTCAGTGTCTGAATGCATTTGACAAGAATATCTATTCCAAGATTATTAAATAGGATGAGACCCCAGTCGTCACTCATCGTCTGGTGTGAGGTGACTTTTCTCTCTTCCTAGTCGGATGCAAAGGTTAGGTTCAAACACTACAATCTCAAGTATTATTTATTTATCTCACTGGGCAATAATTTTACCGTCGTATTACAGAAGAGCTCTCAATTTTATACTAAGTCGGCCGACTTCGCCCTTTAGAACGCGACTCGTCCTGCCCGTGCCCCTTACAGCTACCAAAGCCGGGAAGACCTCGTCAATGACAAGCTCCGAGAGATAGTAAAGATCGCGCCATAGGATAAGATTCTGATATGTCTATCTCTATGATACAAATACTGAATTGCAATCAATGAAGTCTTACCTTTTTGTATGATAACACAAGTGTTAGAGCGTGGACTCGTGTAATTCGCACTTCAAAAGCCACAAATGAGCCTCTTTCGTCAGGAATGAAAGAAGGTCACATGACCGCACCTGTAACTAGATTAACCCTCCGGAACCCCCGGAGAGGTCAATAGCAGTCAATTCAATCAACCTTCCTTGACTCCTGCATTATCCCTAGTTGCAGGCTGCCTAGTTTAACAATTAAGAGTCTCAGAGCCGTACTTCCCGAAGGCGGCTGCGACTACGAATAAGAGCTTCAAACCGTTAAGCCGAAGCGCACTCAACTCAATTGAATAGCGATCGGATAATACTAAGTGCCCAAGATGCCTATGATCATGCTTAACAGGCCATACGATTTAGATGCCTTTGAGCAAGCTGTAATCATTATCCAAGCTGCTGAGAAAGTCCTGCATCTTGTCCAACTCGAAGATACAGATGAATTTACAACCCTTCGGCGAAGGCTACCAACGATGCCGGAATAATCGCAATACAAAGCGAAGGTTCCAACCGCGGACCAAACCAGCAAAATGAGCTTCGTCCGAGGAGAACAGCCTGCGAAATCATATAATGATCTTCTTGATGAAGACAAGGAGGCCCTGGATTTTGAACGAGCAAGGTATCGCATTTTGCTAAGTAAATTCAACAGAGAAGCTGACGGAATACGTAATGTGCTCACTTGGATAATGGATCACATTAGCCCTTTATACCTTCAAACCTGTGCCCCTGCCTTGGTCAAACCTGACGAACGAGATAACCTCTACCTCTTCGTCAATAACTTACGAGAGGCATGCGGTCTAACTGACGCCAAAAGACGAAGACGAGCACAGGAACTGTACTTCAAGGCTCTCAAGGAAGCCGAGAACTCGAACAAGAGGACCGACTGGGAGAAATGGATTACCAATTGGGAACAGGCGATTACGATAGCAAGACTTCGAAAGGTCCCTGCAGCCTGCGGTTCTGAGTGGTTCAAAGACCTCGAGCGGCACCTGGATTCGAGGTTCGAAATGCTGTTACGGCTAGAGAAAAGCCAGAACCGCTCAGCAATAAACGAAGGCACCTACGAACCGGCTGTTTTCAGCACAGAGTTCAGGGAAGAGATCCTAATGAGAAGGTCACAAAGTCGAAGAAAGAGGACTCGGAGGAAGAGACGAGGCTCAAACGGATGAATAGAGCTCCTACAAATTGACAACGAGCTTGGAACTGATAAAACGGGCTTGTGGCTAAATCTTCCAACCCATGCATCTAAGGTACTGACCGGACCCTTTGGCAAAGGATGGAATGATCACTCCACAAAGGTCGTTAAATACCACCTGTCCATCCATTAGAATACTTTGCCTTTGCGTACGGGGCTCATTGCACGCCCTTTGAAAACTTGATTCCGTAATCGATGAGAGGTTAATCAACCTGCTTGTTTCATGTGATGGTACAAGATGGGACCGCCTACCATAATCCCTCCTCCGGTTGAATGTGAGGCCACAGATGATTGGTACTTAACCGAGCGACGCAAATAGATACAAACCCCTCATTTGAAAAAGCCCAAGCCAAGCCAAAAGCCAAATTACTTCTACTGTTTCACATGTCAACTTTTCTCCGCAAGTTCAATTTCTACTATCTGCATCGCATCAATTCTAGTGACACCCAATCGCCTTATCTATCTTCGACATGTCTACAGCGGAGCAAGTAAGGGAGGATTACAACAAGTCCGCCCAGTCTTACAATGATGCAAGCGTCTTGCCTGCGGTAATGCTCGAATCCCAGCTGATAAAGCTCGCGATCGGCGACGCTACGGACTTAGTTGTCCTTGACATTGGAGGTGGTAGTGGGATTCATGCGCGAGAAGCCGTCGAAGCAGGCGCTAGACGCGTAGACATTGTCGATTTGTCTACCGAAATGCTCAATGTTGCTGAGAGAATAGAGAAGTCACTCGATCGCAAGGATCGTATGCGTTTCTTCGAGGCCGATGTCGCCCAACCAATGGACCATCTACCACTCGACGCAGAATACGACATCGTCATGGCAAACTGGGTCTTTGATCACGCTGGCGATGTTGATACGCTCAAGGCGATGTGGGCGAATATTTCCAAGTACCTTAAGCCCGGTGGCAGGTTTCTCGGCATTCGTATGGCAGATTTGTTCGGTCCGGCTGCCAGCACTGACAAATACGGAATATCTTTGAAAAATGTGAAATCGACGTCAGATGGCTTTGCATACACTTGCCAGTTTCACGTGACACCCACTTGGGAGTTTGATGGCAAGACTGTGGAAATGAGCTACTCGGGGTCATTGGAAATGCATGAAAAGAGTGGCTTGACGAATATCGAAGTGATTCCATACAAGGATACTGAGGCTGTCAAAAGCGACCCTGGCTACTGGGAACTTTGGCTGCAGAGACCCGTTTTTGCTGTTGTTCGAGGTGCGAAGAAGATTGTGTAGGTATGAAGTCGACGGACTTAGCACACATGATGTGCCTATATTTTGCTAAAAGCTTGAAGAGATTGCGCTTTCTATGTAAACAGAAGCGCGTTGAGTATTTCTTGAGGGTGTCCTAGATTCCTAGATAGGCAGACAATAAGAGTCATCGCACACAAAGTCCCAACCGCCCATCTTAGTCGTATGCTTAGTTCCCGATGGCCTTCCAAACACGACGCAAATTTGGCTTTCGCCCATGCCCTCGAACCTTCTCTCTCCAAGGTGTCATACTAGCCTGCCACTCTGGTCCGTAGAGCCCGTTCTCGGCATCGTAGTAGTTCCATCCATACCAAGATGCATAGTCCACCCCGCCGTATGCCTTTTCATGCTTGTAGCGGCGGCAGTTATTCCACCCAGGGACCAGGCTCAGCGCGGCGCTGTGCTATTTGTTGTACCAGTCATTGTAGTCTTGATCTCAGCCGTCGGCTGGAGTACCGCCGTTGCTGACCAGCGTTGAGCCAATGGCTGGGGGGCTGGGCAGCAAGTGAGGCTCAGAGGTGAGCTCCTTTTGCTGGATTGTATCGCGACCGTTGATGAAACTTGCGACCTCCCAAGCAAGAGAGGCCAGTGGGCCGCCATTTTTCTTGACATCCTCGTCAAAGTACGATGATGATTCAAGCACGGGACGAATGTCGCTGAGGAAGTATGTGGTGTTGTATTGTGGGGTGAGGTCATCTTGACTCTCAATCCCTGGGATGATCCCTGGAGGGGCTAGGACAGCATCTGGGAGAAAAGGTGCGCTGTTATCTTTGGGCTGGGCCAAACGATGAACAATTCCGGGGACAGCTATGATGGCGAGTTGGCAAGGTAGACTGCAATAGCAAATAGCGCAGCTATCCGTGGTCAGCCAACTAAGATGAACTTATTGTCAATGATTGCGGTGAATTGACGCACAACCTTACTTGGAGAGGTGGTGGTGTTATACTAGTTTTACCAACACCTATCAGGATTTACGTCCCAGAGTATCTACTCCGCATTTTGTACCAGTATTCAAGGTCCAGCGGTCTCCGCACCAATGGCAGATGGCTTGGGCTTATCCGAACTCAATTCGTCATCCATTGCACTCCTGGAATCAATAAGATCCCTAGAACAGGAGGCGTGATCTTGTCAAGGTCCTTAGAGCCGCTGGCTGCTTCCTATACTAACCCACTATTTATCTAACTGTCACAAGTAGTAGAAGTACGTATGTGCCTTGCGTTGCATTCCTGCTATCATTCGCAATCCAACAGTTTGCTGGATAAACATTTCCCTTTCCAAATCATGGCGTCGCTAACTTCAACCAGGTCCTCTGAACCTTGGGCTGCGAGGGGGTCGAACTTGACCCCCGTCTGGTGAGTGAGGCAGCTGTAGTATTTGCGAAACTAGGAGCTTATACGCTTGATGTGGATTTTTTTTGGCTCGATTTAGTAAAATGAACTGCTAATCATATTTGGATGCTAGATACAGCAGGAGATCAGACCCCTAGAGGACTGTGGCTATAGAAATTCGGACTGAAGTGGCGCAGGTGGCGGTATCCCAGGCGTTGCTTTCGAAGAGAAGAGCCTCTCTTTCCTCAAGGCATAAGTACACTGTCTAGTTTCAACCCAGAGATTTTTCAATAAATCACTTCAAACCCGCCGATAAAAGGTTTTGTGAACTGTATGCTAGATGTTAGACCTAGTGCGGCACTCAATCTAGCTTTGGGGCGTCAGTAGAACGTGCAGTGTAGAAGTGCATACTATCTATAAAAATAGGCCAAGAAGGTTCGGCCAATATGAAAGGTAAATGGAAAGCTTTAATAAAAATATCACCAAGGTTGAATCGTGTCAACTCTTATAACTTTGCCAATGTCCATATCACGTCTACCTTCAACCACATCCTTAATAAAGTGCCCACCCACAGAAGGGTCAAGTGCTCCCGACTGACGAGTGATTAGCATTTTGATTTGGGTGAAGGCCTACAAGTATTAGCATACCTTTTTCAGAACCTCCGGGCCAGCACCGCCTAGCCCAGTAGCCAGGAATCCGGGTGAGATGCACCAAATTTTGAAACCATCGTTACGCAGAATACGCTCCCATTCTCTCATCAACATGTTAAGACCTGTCTTTGACGATTTATATGCTGTGATATCTCGCTGGGAGGGTTTTGGCCATCCGGCGTCTGGCGCGGCATTGTTTCGGTCAAACATAGCCGAGCCAGACATTTCAGTCTCTGCCAATGACGCTGCACCACTTGTCACGAAGAGAAGACGTCTTTCATCAGACTTGAAGAGAAGAGGCATGGCTAAGTGAGTCAGCACATGCGACCCAGTGACGTTAATATCCCAGGAGTTATTGAAGCCCTCGCGAAGACTCATTCGGCCTGCTGAGATCTCATAATCAAAAGCAGCTCCTGCATTATTGATCAAAACATCAAGCTTCCCATGCTTTGTGCTCACGAGTTCGATGCAGGATTTAATGGAATCATCCTGTGATATATCCAACTGGACAGCGTCCAGAGTTGACAATGAATGAGGGGCCTCTTTAATCAGTGTTTCGATAGCACCGTGGGCTCTAGGCAAAGAACGAGAAGCGATAATGAGATTGTATGCTGTGTTAGACTTGTAAAGTGCCTTCACGACCTCGTATCCTAAGCCAGCATTCCCTATATTTGCGGTCAACAAAATCTATGTTTAGCCTGGCTGTCACTAAGACACCGGGCTATTCAGACTACTTACCTCCAGTCACTAAGACTGTCTTTTTTGTGTCGCTCATTTTTTCTCGAGTTTGTGGATCTCGATCGGAGTCCTGCTTATGGAAAGGGTGGAATGCGAAATCGGGAATTTGGATGAATGGTAATAATGCATGCTTCGAGATCAACGAGGTTCATTTGTCTAAATACCTCAATAATTGATGATGATGTGTCTCGGTGTTTGTTGTTCTAACTCCATGGTTTACGCCGAACTGCACGGCATTCACTAGAATGTCAGGCCATTCTCTGGCTCATCGGTCTTTCACAAAATTAATTCCGGGCTCGGTCCGTCTTGTAACCTATTTGTGCCAATGGTCCCACAAAAAGATCATGAGTGAAGATGAAGTGTGCATTTGTCTACATAATACTAAAGACAAGGGATGTTCTTGCGGAGCTTGTATATCCAAGAAAAGAAAGCGAATTCCTTTACGGGACACATTTCGGACTCGATTTGAGGCTATTATGATCTTTGATGAACTTGGGGTCAAAGCCTAAATGTTATATCGCATTGTTGCCACTTTGACTCGGTAAGCCTGCACTATCTGACTAATGAGGCCGTGCTCAAGACAGTCGAGGAAAAGGTGGACTGGCAAACGTGTTAGTCTGAAGTAGGCTTCCTTCCTTACCCTATGAAATCTAGAGCATAGATAAGAGTTTTCGGGGGTGGCAAATATTGACTCGATTATCCGTCTTGGCTTCAGCCTCCCCCTGAACGTTGTTGATCCGCCTCTTCTGGGGCGTGTCGGTTTTGGGCAAAAGTGATTGACAAGCGACCCCGCGTCATCAACGACGATCTTATACGTTCCGACTCAACGTTGTTTCGAACCATCTATAGGCTGGGTTGCTGATGGCAAATCACCTTTAACTCTGAAGGCGGCAAGGAGGCTCGCAGTGGCCATCGCCTATCAGGTTGACAAGATCCGAAGGCAAGTCAGTGTTTTTTTCCCAAGGCACCCAAGTAGGCGATTGTTATTTCCGTTGACCGTCGGGCTGACAACTACCCATGCTCATAGCTGCTTACTCCCACGTCAAAAGAAAACGTTTTTGTACGCAAAGCCAGAGTCTGTTGCCCAAGTCCATCAGTCTATCATGCGTAGCGGCTTAGTCCACGACGCATAGCTACAAACCTGATGTCGCGACAAACGCGGCATTTTCGGGGGTCACAGGTCCGGCCTCGTCCGCGGAGCGGACCAGATCTACAACCCGCACAAGGTAGACCCCGAAGCCCGCTTACTTACAGATGTACATGGGTGTAAGCTTGAAATACATGATAGCCCCACGAAATCTAGGACTGTATATATACCCATGGGACTTAATCAGCTGTCTTTGTGCTTACTCAGTTTTCATCATCATCCACGACCCAACGAATATGAGTTCAGAGAAAGATTTCAAAGTTGTTATTGCGGGTGGAGGTATCGCGGGGCTTGCCCTGGCCCTCATGCTCGAGCAGTTCGATCTAGACTACGTCGTTCTCGAGGGCCATAGGGAGATTGCACCAGCGGTTGGCGCCAGCATTGGCATGTTTCCCAACGGAATGCGCATCCTGGACCAACTTGGGTGTGTCGAACAGATCGAGGAGGTGTTTGCAGGCATCATTCCTTACAAGAAGACGTATACTCGAGACGAGCAGGGCCGAGCCTTGTCCACGATGGATGACTTTTTCGAGCGGTTGAGAGTTAGATTCGGGTATGGTCTTTATTTCTTCGACCGGCAAAAGTTGTTGGAGATCTTTTACGACAAGCTCGAGCACAAGGAGCGGATCTTGACGCAGAAGAAGGTGACCAATGTCAACCTGGTTAAGGGGGGTGTCGAAGTCATTTGTGCCGATGGCTCCCTTTTCACTGGCACTTTTCTCGTTGGTGCAGATGGCATTCACAGTGCCGTGCGGGAATCAATGACTGAGCTGGGCCACAAGCTTCAGCCTGGCTACTTTGATCCCAGCGAAAATGACAGGGTGCCGTGCTATTATAGGTGTAGCTTTGGTATCGCTCAGCATGTCCCGAACTGGGTTCCGAGTGAACAACACCTAGTTTTCGGCACGGCATGTTCTCAGCTTGTCATATCGGGTCCCGACGACAAAGTGTATTGGTTTCTGTTCGAGCAACTGCCAGAAATCAAATACGGCAAGGATATTCCAAAGTATACCAAGGAGGACGAGGCAGAGTTTGTGAAGCGAAACAAAGATGTTCCCATCACAACTGAGATTACATGGGGAGATGTCTACAACGCTCGGATCTCGTCTGCGCTGACACCACTCCATGAGGTCGTCTACAAGAAGTGGTTTTTCAATAGAATCATTACATTAGGTGACTCTTGTCATAAGGTAAGTCCCCAGCCAATTTGTGCACTCATTGCATATTTCTTTTCTGACTATGTTACCTGCTTAGCCGAACCCGATCGGTGGGCAGGGAGGCAACGGGGCTCTTGAGTCTTGTGCGGTGCTCGTGAACAACCTGCTTCGACTGAAAGATAGGCGAGGAGGCAGTCTATCAGACCTTACAGATGCGGAGATTGAAGATATTTTCCAGGAAACACAATCAACTAGGCACGAACGTGCGAAGGACATTGTCCACCAAGCCCACGTCAGACAGTCATTCTTTGCCAAAGAGAACCCCATTCTCACCAATTTTATCAACAACTTTGTGTCGCCTCTGGCTGGTTCTGACGCGGTTCTTGCCATGCTGACTGATGTCTTCAAACCCGGAGCGAGAATAGAGAAACTTCCTGTGCCTCACAAACCACGGTTCATTCCATATGATGACGAGCTGCCTGCGAACATCATTGACGACTCGGTCCACAAACTGGTGCGCGGAGCGGTTGTGGGTGGTATGGGAGCCACTCTGTTCCTCGCGGCCAAATCACTTCGTCTCCCATTCATTGAAGTCGCCGATTGGAGTGCACAAAACATGAGCCTCAAGTGGTTTGGCAACAATGGTGCCTCGAGATTTTTCGAGCTGGTGACCTCTGTCCTGGCAGTGCCGATTCAGGATCCTTCGGCCAGGCTACATATTACAAACTTTCTCCCGCAGCTGATCTCACCTATCCTCATATATACCATTGAAGGGTATCGAAAGGGACAGCGGGCAAGTCCTTTGGCTTTACCCTCACTTTTCAATGCGGGTATGCAAGTCCAGGGGATTGCGCGAGTAGCCCCTTTTCACGCCATATTGAGTGCATTCTTCTGGAGCGAGGGACCTGTAGAACGCACTATTCCGCTCGAGGTAGCAAAATCTCTTGTTCCTGCGGTAACCCTCGGCTTTGTTATCCCAACCGTCATGGCGCTTTTGCCGACACCAAACCAGGCAGCTGGAAATCATTGGCTTGGACTGTGGCAATTTGCACCGCCACTAGTCAATCTGTTCACATATCTCATCTCAAAAGGCCTGAAGAAATGGAACGAAAGTCGTGAGGGGGTGGAAAAGAAAGACGAGTTGGACGCCGACCCAGCTCAAGATCTCCCCATACTAAAATCGGTCTACACGTACGCATTCGCCATCCAAGCGACCGCCCATATCACTACACTTGCATACGGTTCGAGCTACCCGGGGTTGAGTCTTGTAAAAACGTTCTTCAATCTTCCTAACCCCTTCTCTGCCAATTGGAAATTCCCGAGCTTGGGTGCTGAGTTAGCAACCTTTTTTAGGTATGACATGGTCCTGGGGGTTACGGGATATGTAGGCAGCAACCTGCTCTCAATTTGGAATCTGCGTCGCCAGGGATTTATCAAGACGCACGAGGCAGTCAGGGTAGCGCTTTGTGTAGCAGTTGGACAGTTTCTTGTCGGTCCTGGCGCAACATGGGCTGGCTTGTGGTATTGGCGGGAGGACAAGATTGCTGGAATCGCCAAGGCAAGCGGTGTCATCTAGTTTTGTTCTTATGAATGACGTGGAACTTGTTCAGCCAATAACTACGCATATGAGTTATCGTGCCCCGAGAGGCTTCGTATTCGGGCTCGACTTACATCGCATTAAGCCTGACCCCCTCGGCTTCTGCGACATGACACGATGGGCGGGCGAGTATACAGGCGGCCAATTACAATTCGTAGCAACAAACTACAACTACTCTAAACTGTCTGTATGCCCCTCTTGCTCAAAATCTGACCTTACTCAAGTACCATCAGTCGTTTCTCAATAATAGTTACAATTCTAGTCCAATCGCGCATTGCTTCTCCGCCAAGGTTATTGCAGGCTTCTGTTATCTGTGGAGATAATACATCGAACCATTTCCATTCTTCAGTAAGTACTGATATTTGTTTTGCCGTAACGGGCTGCTCCCACGTCAACTGGTTCATAGCCGGTAGGGCTATAATTGTACGGCTTGTATCCCAGGCGCGAATGACGCAGGTTAAGAGGTCATGGCAAAATCCCCCCGTAACGTCCGCTAATAGATTGGCTGACATTGGGACAATTGCGAGGAGGTGGGCCCAACGGCGGAGTTCTATGTGCAATATATTTGAATCCCTAACCCAAGGATGGCTCCATTCGTCTGCATCAAGGTAAATCCCATCAACGTTGGAGAGCGAAGCTAACGAAGAGACGGGAGGCTGTTCCGGCGACTGGCCTGCAAGAAACGTGGTCGCCTTTTCACTTAGAATAACTCGAATGGAAAGGTTGTGATGATCTCTAAACGCGGATATGATCAGAGGTAGTTTGGTTATGGCAACAGAACCACTCTATAGCCCTCGCCAGACGTTAGTATACAACATGGCCACTGGGGCACGGAGATGGGGAACAGAGTACCGCAGCCAGAAGCAGGTGCTTCTTGCCATCATCAATTGAATCCGCCACGACTGCCGCCGGAGCTTGATGAGTTCCTTCGAGACGTGATTTGTGTCCAGTTGTCATTTCTGCGCCGGCCTTTCTTCAACTGTTACATTCCATCTTGCGAATGAATGAAAGCGATTCTATGCGCGCTGAACGTACCAATGAGCCCATTTCTGAGCCACGAACTACCAGGCGATTGAGGCAGTTGACTCTCACCGATGGTTTGATGGATACCGGAGAGAGTTTTGATAGGAAGTTAAACAAAAGAAGAAGTCAGACTCAACAACTCAACACAATGAATAATGGTTTGATGAATAAACGGCGGGTTATCCAAATGACGCGGAAAAACAGGTGAGTGAGTGAGTTCGGGTTCAAAGTAAAAAAACAATGATGAAGATGCCAGACCCGACACCTTGACACAATGAATACGAAAAGTTAGAAAAATTAAGCTCTACTAGCTTAAGGCTGCAGCCATGCAGAAGGAAAACTCTGTAAACTTTCACATAGTACTGATGACTCATTTACCCCCAGGATAGACCGCTTGTTAAGTGACTATGTATTCTACCCTCTTTCGCCTGACTTCGCACTCGCCTTACACCACTCCAAGCACCTCAACACACCGAGCTCGAGGCAACCAAGTGTTTCTGGTTTTATTTTTGATTAGCCATACACATTGCTAATGCTATTGAAAACATTAGTGTTGGAAATGAACGCCTTCGTCTCATTTATAATATTTCTCTTTTCAATATCAGAACCGCAACGCGCGAAAGATTGATTTTGTCATGGCTTATCTTACGAAATCGATGGGTCTGCTTGCTCCCTGAGTATAGAAATCGGCCGACTATATAGCTAAAAATATATCATAAAAAACCCTACTCAACGAGCTTTCGGCCAAATTCTTTCTTCTTGTATCTTTGGATACGGGAAAACCATACCTTTTTTTTTTCGTTACATGGATGTTCTACGGACTTCAATTACTTTTATTTACGGGTGATAGCTTGTTTCTATCAAGTACACCTCTCCTTCAGACTGAACGTCGTGAAAATGCTGAAATCAACCTTCAACGCCTCACGTCTATATCAGAGTAAGATATCCCTTGCTGGTGATAAACCCATAGCATCAGTTCGGAGGGTGGCCACTGTATCTCCCTTTTCCGATGCTTGTTTCCACACCGGTTCTATCCTGCACCGAGGACCCTTCCTCTGTGAATATAGCCAACCATTGGGCCGTGTTCCACTCATTAGCGGGAATAAAATAAGCAATTCACCCACCAATTGGGATTTAATGAAACCATCATGACAGAAAGAGCGCTACGACGGGTCAATCTATTTTCCCGTCGGGTGTATGCAATTGAAGACCTGCCCCTCAACATGTGATGCCAAATCATCTCTCACCTCCCATAGATTAAATATCGTGAATTCAAACGATGCGTCCACTTTGTCGGTCTATGAAACAAGTGGTGATCCCAGATAAAGCTCGTCACCGTCACCTCAAGATCTTCAAAGCTCATAATGACGAACGAACATCCGGACATTCCTGTGATCGATGCACACATACATCTCTTCCCTGAGTCTGAAATCGATTCAATATCTTGGTTGGAACCTGGCCATCCACTTGACGGACAACACTCCGTGGAGGACTTCCGAAACGCCAGCAAATCCTCACCATCAGTCTCAGGCTTTATTGTCATCGAAAACGACCGCAAATACGATCTCCATGCCGGCGAGGAGGGATGGGAAGGGCCGTTAAAGGAGATTTCATGGTATCGGCGCCTGGCACTAGGCGAGCCAAAAGCCGGTGAAGGTCACGTTGTCGAGGATTCACAGCTTGTGCTGGGTCTTGTTCCTTGGGCACCACTTCCAAGTGGCCCTGTCGCGCTGGAGACGTACCTCGATAGAGCCAAGCAAGCTGCAGGCCTCGCTTGGCCCAAGGTCAAAGGATTTCGCTATCTTTTGCAAGATAAAGCCCCTGGCACGGCGCTGAGGCAGGACTTTATTGAAAGCCTGAAACTGCTGGGGCGACGGCGGTTTATCTTCGAGCTTTGTGTTGACTACCACCATAAAGGGAACAGTCAGCTCGATGATACTGTTGAGCTAATTAAGCGGGCTCACGCAAATTTCGCTCGTCACAACGATCAGGTCATAGTTGTGCTTAGTAGGTCTCGTGCTACCCTCTTCCACTTTTCCATGTTGACAGTTTTATAGACCATATGCTCAAGCCCAACTTGACAAACACGTTCGATGAATCGGACGACGAGTTCCAAGTTTGGGCGGCTGCTGTTACTGCACTTGGCAAGTTTCCACGTGTATACATGAAGCTTTCTGGTGCTTTATCCGAAATGTCAGAGCCTACAAGACTCCTCGAACCGCCCGCCGTTGCCGAGTTTCTGCTTCCATGGTTTCAGGTCATCATTCAAGCATTTGGTTCACAAAGAATTATATTTGCAAGCGATTGGCCTGTTTGCACCATTGGAGTTGGGAACGGTTGGGCACATTGGAAGAGCATAGTGGAAGCGATGTGCGCCAGAATTGATCTGGATGCCAGCGATAGTAAAGCGATTTTTGCCGGAACCGCCAAAGAGTGTTACAATTTGTAACCCTGGTATTGAGTTTCTATGCAAGTTATGACCTTAACGAAATGCCACGTTTAAGCGATGAGAACTGCTAAACTTGATGGCGGTTGATATATGTTACCTCTTCTCTCGATTATTATCAACATTCCACGCATTGATTTCATTGCAGGCTCATAAGACCTCTTTCATTGATTTTTTCGATGAGTGGTTCAATCGGTAGGCTTCAATTTTTCGAATCGCTTTGCCGGTTAGTGATTGATTGAAGGCTATGCCTGGGGGAAACCTGGCCTTGTATACACTTGCGGACAATTTTAGACCACTTCGTTCTTATCGTCAAACAGCTCAATTCACAATCGTGACGGATGACCAATTCATGCAAGGTTGTTGCATTCAGAACTGGTTACAACATGGCTTAACATTGCCGCAACCGGGTTATTCAGGGCTTGTGTCTAATCAGGTGACACATGAGAGTCACGAGAGGCCAGTTGGGTTGTGATTAGGAAGCTCAGGCCTTAATTCCCACAATGAATGGACGTGCCACTTCACAAACCCTGCGTCCGTTGCCCTGGTTTGCCCTGTCACTTTACCAGAACTCTTGGCGGCCCTGTTGATTGGCTTGGGAACGATCTTTGGAGAAATAGTCAGCTTCGCCACTAAAGTATCCAGGATCGCGCAGTGGCTGTGTCGGTCGCCTCCCTCGCCTTGGCAGGGGATTGAATAACGCCTTGCCAATAAACCCATATTGCAAATTGCTAGCATGCAGCATATAATAATATGCTTCATTCCCCAGCAAAAAGAGGAGCGATCGATCTACGTATGTACATGGCCAGCTAAACTCCACCATGTTTTTCGGAGACACTCTCGACATCATTTTCCTCAGCTTTGTGGCTGTTGGGACCTTCATCGCTCTCATTAATGTCTTTCTATCGATTAGAAAGCCAAGAGTGTTTGGTAGTCATGGTCGCAGAACAAAGAGATGGCTCAGAATATCTGCCATACTGTTTTTCATGTGAGTGGACAGCTCTCGTCCACTTTGCCTCTCACGAATGACACTAACAACTCTAATCACAGATACATGGCCATAAGCCTGAGTAGCACCGTCCTTAGTAACATGATATGGGGAGATGGGAGCTACAGAGACCCAGCCAATGAGCTACAGGTGTTGGGGACTACCATTGGTAGTCTCAGTTTCAGCGCCATAGTGCACGCCCAACTTAAACTCACCTTCGATCTGTACGACAAGGATACCTCTGATAATCGCAATAAATCCTTTGGCCTGTTCATGAGCCCACAAATCCTCAACTTGATATACTTTGTTGTGACTCACATTCGCCTATATGCCGAGAATCTTCCCTCTCGCGGCTTCCAGACAGTCTCAAATGTCTCATCAATTACATTTATGCTGGTCCCATTTTTCATCTGGGTGGCTTCCGTCATATCGTTAGTTTTCACTCTGATTTATGCGGCACGCACACAGGTGCCCGTTCCCAGGGGTGTAAGTATAAGCTCTATGTGTATCCACAAGATGTTCCACTGACAATCCTGAACACAGGCTTTTGGATGTCTTCTTGCATCAAGCATACTCTCTGTCATCCGACATACATGGTTGGCAATTCTCAACATCCTTTACTTCGTAGCCTCACGAACAAACGGTCGGCTCTATCTTGTGTTTCCGGACTACTTCAGCAACATCAGTATAGTCATTACCGTTTGGTTTGCAGCTTTGTGTGTGTTGCTGTTAATAGTTGGTTCTTCAAAGGGACTGCGAGGCCGTGAACCCTGGCGTGACGAATACTCGTATGGCCCTGCCGTGTCTGGTTATCCTCCTTTGGAGCCGGCCCCCATACACATGACGAGCTATGGTAGAGCATACTAGAGAAGGTGAAGATGCAGCGATGATGATAGACATATGAATTTAGATACCCAGTTTCGAATACGAAGATGATTTAGCATTATCCATTTATGTGTGGCTCCTGTCTCTCATCAACAATGCACCTGTCAACAATGCACTCGTTATCAAAACCCAGTTTGTCCTAGCATGCCTACTTATAAGAGCTTTCTGTGACAAGTTAGTCTCAAAATACTGGGACTTCTCGCACCGCGTATCGAGTTCTCCCAATGATGGGAGCCCTGTAAGATTCAGTGCCCTCGGTTCTTTCTTCGAGCAGTGTGATGTCAGCAATCACCACGATGATATCGCTCACAGAGAACATATTCAATCACGAGAGGTTCGAACAATGGGTCCAGGGCTCTCAATGCAGACGTGTTAGGTAGCCAAAAGATCTATATGGGATATTCAGTCTCCAATCCTGCCGCACTGGCATATCATGTTGGCGGACCGATCCTTTGGGGACCACTACGTAACACAAAGCAAATAAAAAGGTCAAGACATAGATGCATCCACCGTCTTGCTACTTTGGATAACGTATCCAACTCGGCCAGCTAAATTTCATATTAAGGTGTATAGATCAGAGTTACGGAGTGTAATGTCTAGTTAGCCGCTGAATATCTAAACCGGCCTTAGAGTTCCGTTCGACTTTGACAGCAGCCAGGCTTGCCCGGGACCGGCAAGTCTTCCTCTACCATCCCGATGGAGGCCCAGGCTCGCCAAGTGGAGAAAAAAGCTGAATCTTCTTGATCGGCTTTTCGGCTCACCGGGCTTGAACCTTGGCGTATAAGGTCCACATTCTCTCGATGACGCGTTCCCCATTCCTCCAGGGGCAGAAAATTAAAAGCTGAGTGAAAGGGAGAGAAGAAGAGAAGAAGAGAGGAAACTTCTCATTGTCTCTCCATCATATCTCTTTTAATAATACGTTTCGCTGTGCGAAAGAGAAGATGGCCGGTCCATATTCAAGTCTGCCTCGTCACGACCTGACAAGCACCAAATCTGGGTCGTCGATGACACAGGGGCTGGAACCCAGCATTCATTCATCAGGCGACGATGTACCCAGTATCACCGAGCGCGTGGCGACCGTCGGGCTTACAAAAAAAGGAAAACGCATCGCTCCGTCCCCAAACGCGAGACTGAGGAATAGCCTCCTAGGCACGCTGGGCTTGTTGGAGTTGGCCAATGCTGCCGACTTTGCCGCGAATGTCTGGAACGATATACCTGTTCCGACCTACGTTATCGTCTTGATGGCTTGTGGAGGAGCTCTCGCCCTTATTCTCACTGTGCCGGCAATCATGGATGCCAGGCGCAGCTGGAATAACATATGCTTCTTACGCGAGCACCGGCGGCGGCTCAGAAACGAGATGCGAGAGCGCTTGGGTGATTCATTACCTTCCTACGACATAGATGCAATTCGAGATGTTCTCCACCGCGAGACTGGCAGCGAGATTATCAACCGGTTTGGCATGAATGTTGTGATGGGTACGGGGGCCTTGATCATCGGTGTTGGTACTCTCATGGCTATTTGGGGCGCCAATCACTCCGTTTGGCTTGCAAGTAATATTCTATCGGGATATCTTGGGAATGCCCCGGTCGCTCTCTACGGCCTGGTTAACTCGGTCTGGTGCTTCCACCTTTTCAGAAAGGCACAAGAACATAAGCGCGTGACAGCGGAGAAGCTCGAGGGTCACACCGTCTTAGATCAACTGCATCGACGCTTTCTCAGCACCCAGATTTACGCTGCTGCTAGTGGCTTGACTACGCTACTCGGTGGTGTAGGCGGAATGATGACCCCGACACTTTGGATGGGTTATGTGGTACTTATTCCTGTCATCATTTCATCCTTTGCCTGTAGCTTTTGGTGGAAGAAGCGGTTGGCATATAACCGGCCGTTCACCGGACGTACCTTGGGCCTAGAGGAGAGCTCCATCATCCTTGAATTGGAGTACATTCCAAAAGTGCAAGCGAAACTGGTAGCTGGAAAGGGTGTCGATCAGATTGTCAATGATCCTCACTGTTTGGTTGCACTCCTCGATTTTATCACGCACAATGACATGTTCGAAGACTTCGTTATTTCCCTGGCAGGAGACCAATCGATTTCAGACGTTCTCTTTACCTTGTCCGCGGGGCCACTTGAAATTACAAGGACAGCCTTGCTAGAATTGCCGCCGAAGCTACATCCAGCAGTTGTCGACAGTGCACGGACATTCATCAATGGCTACACTTTTCAATGCTGTGTATACCGAGAACGTTATTTATGCGATCTTCTAGGGAGCTTTATTCTTGGAAATAAGGATAAGAGTACGGTAATAGAAAAAAGATAATGGTCATAATATAGAATTAATAAATTTGGTAATCTTCATCCTGCAAAGCTGTGGAAATACGGAGTTACGGAAACGTCAAATGATTCAAAGACGGAGCGAGATATGGACAATGGCATCCCTTCTTTGGACTTTGTCCTCGCTAATCGGTATTGATCGGCCAGTAGCAGAGACATCCGGGAGGCCACCACATGCATACTCTCAAACAAAAACAAGGTGACATTGGTGTAACCCAGAGATATCTGTTGAGCTGTCATTGCTGATGCGACAACACTAAATCTCCGACGACGTAGAATTTCCCCAGAAAGGGTACTAAACGCATTGAACTTCCCCCTTGGCGTATATTTTCGGGCATCTCTAGTGAAACTAAGATGCACATCCCCCTATGTCCTGCAGCTCGTACTCCCTTTCCTGTCCTGCAATCCCCTTTTGGACCTGGAGCGTTACATTCGTTTATCCTACACATCTACAGCCTAACGCCAAAGAATAACAAAATACGTGGTGGGTCTAGGCATGCACCTGTGTCATCTACGTTGTCACGGTTCCATGGCAGCTGCACCGCAACGTAGATCGCAGTTAACGGCCATAACCCCTCCTTTACGCGAGTCGAGTAATGTATGAGTATTCTACGCGTAAATGGCGCTCAGTAGCTAAAGTCTTTGTGCAGCTCGAGTGTTTCAATACATAACATAGTAGAAGGAGACTTCGAAAATGCACCCTGGCTCAGACAGCTTGCTCCCTGTACATGAATGGCCGATCAAAGTGTCCTGACTGTGAGTGGAGATAATAGAATCCCTTAATATAGGCTTTATCAGACTCCGGAACATATCCGGGATGCGAGTGGCTGTTTTAAGCTATGAGTCCAAGGATCAAAGCAATTACTATGAACCTAGAGCAGTTCAAAAAGGTGGCTATGTGGGCGGTGGGATGGATGGGCCGTTGTTGGCAAGGCCGTCAGCAACCAAGACGATTCACCGAGGTGACCTAGCTTCAAAAAGAGTGTTCCTTCATTGGACCAATACCAGGTGCCTTCTATGGCATACCCCTTCCAAACACTGAGGACTTGGTACGTTTGTTTGTGGGTAGATGGGCCAGTGTTGACATGCAGAAGAATGACTCGCATCCCGGGCCCATCCAGTCCTTGCTTACCGCTGAATAGCTGGCCCCAGCGCAAGCTAATCCTCGGTGTGAAACGAGCTTACATTTCGTAGGACTCGGTGCGGGGCACCTTGTTGACCAGAGACTCCTATGAGCGTGCTAGCTTCTGACTCGAGCAACTTGGCGGGGTTTTTGTTTAGAATTCTGGTGAAGGTCAAGGGTTGATGCATCTCTCGATAAGCGACGCCACATCGCCCCGTTGAGGCCAATATTTGCCTATATTTGCTCTATATTATGATGCCCACTCATCCTCGACCACGGAGGGTCTTGAGCCGGGTCAAGATAGCCATTTCCGATCGCTTGAGGGGTGGGGGGGGGGCCACATGCACGGTGAGATGGCCCAACATGCAGATGAAATAATGGGTGGTTGCAATGCTGTAATCATTCGCTTGCGCAGTCAAAGGCACGCCATGCATGAAAAGAACAATTCACTGTGTATTTGTCTGTTTCAAATTGATCCCCAACGCCTCATTCATTACTACCTTAGATCCAGATGTTGCCCAGAGTACTACCTCATAAGTCATGTATGTCCCACTACTACTCAATGCGCAGGAGGCCCTGTGCTGAGCCCTTGCATCGCCTGCGTCATACCGCTGAACGGACATGTGCCCGCCTGTTGTCCCTCGGACGTCGTGCCCTTGGGGGGCGAAATATGCGACATGGAGGGAGCGGGTTGCGTGGTCTCGCCCTCGGCATTGAACTCCTCGCCGTCGCGGACGCACCACTTGGCGAAGAGATCGTTCTGGATCCAGATGACCTTGCTGATGGCAACGACCATGGCGGTGCGCCGGGACATAGGCAGGGCGTTATGTGAGAGAATGGCTTCAGTGAGAACATGTTGTATCACACATAAGGTCGCGTTGATGTGAATGTACTCGATTCGGAGGGGTCGCTGCTTGTGAAGGCCAACATGCATAGCGCTATAAACGGGATTAGCAGCTGTGTGATGAAGGAGAGAGTTAATGCTTCTTACCCAACTTGATCAAGATATTCCCAGAATTCCATCTGGGACTGGTCGGAGCACATCTTCTTAAGATAGGCGTTGAGGAACATCTTGCGCTCCTGCACTATAGCACTGTCCACATCGATGCCATTCTTGATGGGCTCTTCAGATCTTGTATCCCGAGTCTCGAATGCTCGTGCAGTGATGTCAAACTGGAGGAGCTTCTGGTACACAATGTGGACGACAGCGGGGATGATGTCCTGTACGAATTTCGATCCGAAGGCCAGAGCCTCAATGTCATCTGAGAATGTCGTCGTCAGTCAGTTTTTCTCCAGCTACTTCTTTAAAATCATAGGTGTAAGGGAGTCATACGCTCATTGAAGTCGAGGAAGCGATGGAGGTAATCGATTCGGGCCTCCAGGTTTGTGTAGAGCGACTTGCGGTCGATGTGTTCCGGTTCGAAACTCTTCATCTTGACGTGTCACGTAGCAGGGATCGGTTGTGATCGATCTTAGTAAACACAAAAAAAGGAAAGACAGATCGATCCTACGACCTGCCAGGAATATTATTGTCAAAGAACCGTACGACGGGGACAGACCCAGAGATCTCTATCATACTTATACCTATCCGGCCCAGCCCTCCCCGTATCTCTCCTCTGCATCCCAAACTAGCCCCATCCCAGTCCGAGAGGACCAGGGGAAAGTCGGTCTAGGATATGCCTGAGTGCGGGCGGCATACATAGTAGCGCTATTATTGGGGATAAGTGAGCTGCAACCACCAAATTGATTGAGTGGTCATCCGCCTGCTTACCCCAACGCCGGCCTAATGCAAGGAAGTTCCCAGCCAGTCAGGGCCAGCGAATTTCGCATCTTCAACGACGTTCTAACTCCCCGGAATTGTCGCCTCAGACTACTACGGAAGCCAAACCCGGGGCCGCGGCACTCCTGCCGTGGCGCATGAAGTAGTCATCTCGAGCCGATCCCCGACGCAGCCCCTTGATGCCTAGTGTGCTACTGACGGTTTGAAATACTCCTGATCATCGCCAGGCGGTTGGGGATGCGAATTGACGTGCAGAAGCGAGAACCGAGGTGTCCCAGGAGCCTGGACGGCACTAAGCTGGATTATGAAGGTAGTATCCGCATGAGATGCCCAATTTCCAACAGCCCAGCTGACGCCATGGAAATTCAATATTGACATGGGGTTTGTAGGTGGGGGACCTCATTCGCCAGATCTCGTGGTGGACAAACTGGGACAAACTTGGGCCTTTGCTCGATTTCTGGGCGATCCTCCGCCGAGCCCATGCCAAGGCTAAGGCTCACAAGGAATGCGCAGGGCGCTTGCATAAGAGACCAAACTATTGGCCGTGCCTCAATGGTGGTGGTACCGGGGGTATCCTCGTCAATGGTCTCGGTCTGGACCACACTCGCCACCGTGATGGATCTCCCATGGTTCATGGTTCATCACGTTTCTCCGATTGATTGAGTTCTTCGGCATTACGAGAGCCTATGTTGAGAATGGATGTCTGTCGCCATTCTCGTGGAGAAGCTCCATCAGCTTGTCATCATCGTAACAGATGTCAACTAGTCAACTAGTGTCCCCATGGATCGAAGTTAATCCCATCCATGAGGACTGATCCAGTCAGGGCACTCCTCTGCCACCAATCTCCAAGATTCTTAGTGTAGTTATCCCCTTGTCAAGACCCATCCAGCCACTTCCATCGCGTCTTCGCCAAGCCTGTCTAGAGCCGGTGAAGAAACGAGACAGGCTAAAGGGCACCAACAGCTTGACAGGCGGGTGTGCCAACTTCCGGTCCCGATCCACTCCTAAAATCCAACGGACACTATCGATCGCAGCTGTGCTTTAGCTACCCCAGCCCGGGGAGCTGGAATTAATGCTCCGTCACGAATGGGCCAGTACTCTTGCCGAGCCAGCCTCGGATCAGTTGGAGCTCAACCAAGTACGGCGTAGTTCGTGAACCCGGTAATAGATTACCCCTCCTGTGCGTGTGTGCTGAAAGACGATTGGCCCTATACCGTGATATCGAGATGCGTCCAATATTCAGCTTCAGCCAACTCCTTCGCGTATCTTGGGCCCAACCAAGGGTCAATGAAGAAACTAGGCCGCATGAATCTCCACGCCCGCCATAGATTACATTTTCACCACTTTAGGTATAGATGGGGAGCAGGGAGGATACAAGGAATATCAGGCCTTTCCATCCAAACGCCAGCGCCGACCGGGAAGGTAAGCAACTGGAGGGTCGGCTTCATACAAAGCAACATTGATTAATGTCAAGTACCCAGTCGCAAGAAATATCATGAACAGAATTATAAAATAGTATACTCCAGAATGCCATATCTGATACCATCAACGACCGACATTATTCAAATCGCTCGAAGGGTGGTGGTTTAGCGAGATCGGTGTCGATATTGTTGGAGATCATCCTCACGGGAGAAATGCCTGGCACAGTACGAACAGGAATACATTCCACAGAAGCTCATGAATCCCGGTCGACGGATGTCTTTATACGTGGTGAAACTATCTGGGCTTGGAACCGGGTTCCTATAGTAGCATATATATCGACTCCATGGCTTTCGAATTTGGATATATACCGGCTGTTATATGTTTTACCTCCTTGTTTCTTTTTCCCAAAGGATAAAGATAAGGAAAAAATTATAGAAGCTAAGCTAATACAATGCTTCTAGATTCTTGAACATGATTGAAATTGTCTCGATGATTAACAGTTTCTCATGATAACGTGAATTTCTCTACCTTCACTCCTCTCTTTATCAACTCCTCCATCGAGACTCTTGGATCGAAATTGGTCCACCGATCTATCTCAGCAGTATACCAAAAAGGAGTACCGTTGTCCCTCCAGCGCAGTTCCTTTCCTTCTGGCAAAGGGATGTCGTTTAATCGCGGATCGATACGATGATATTCCCCGTGACGTGGACACTCAAAGACAGGATCTAGGGCACGAGTTGTGTACCGAAGCCGCCAGCCCTCGGGAAGCGGGCCAAGAAGCGCTTCGCCATTCAAGAGGGCAGGGTGCGACGCCGGTCCTTTGACCTGATATTCCCCATTTTCCATTGGACGGAGTACAGTAGGGAGGGGGCTGCCGAGGAAGACGCAGACTACATCACCGGTTCGGCAGCCGCGCGGTCCCAAGATGACGTACCCCATTCTTGTCCAATATAGAGAGCGTCCTGTGAGGTAGTGGATGAACTGAAGGAAATGCACCTCGGGGACCGTATCCTCTGAACGGACCAACGATGCCAAATAGCTCTTTATCCCGTCGATTTGGGGAGGATAGAGATGAAAGTCATTGACAAGTATTGCGAGGCAAAACTTCTTCACCTCCTGTTGCATCCAGAGATCTGGATCTGGGCCCAAGAAGCGAACGGCACCCTTCACAATGGCAGCACGAAGCTGCTCGTTTGAGCGACCCTCTTCGTGAGGCCCCAGATGCTCGACAACAATGTCGCACCTGATTCCTTGCAACCAAACGTGGCCAAAGTCGAGCACCTTGCCTTCCACATCCGAAGCAAGGGCTGCCCGGACGTGGGTTATGGGTCGCAGGTCTTGTATTCGATGGAAATCCGGGACCCACGTTGGTTCAGAGGCCGAGTCGCAGAACGACAGTAGCTTGAGGTCTGAGTGCCACTCAGTGGCGTCAATCAGTGCATCGCGAAATACTTCTTTGACGCCCTTTTTGTAATCGATGGAAATTCCACTAACAAAAGGTCCTTCCGCAAGGCCGAGTAAGCCATAGATGCGGTCTCTTTCGTTTGTCACCTCGCAGTTGTGCGTAAAAGCAATCAGGGTGAAAAGGTCTCTCAAGTGCCTCAAGAAGGAAAAGGTGCGCATATTGAAGAAGTGGACCGATAAATGAAGAGGTCTGATGGCCTCCAACGTCATCCTCTTTATAGAGAGTAGATCTATCGCCCCGGAGAAGTGCAGAAACGGGATGCTATCTTTGCCAACCATGGCAATGGTATCCTTGTTCGCCAACAGGATCTCTTGACGCACCCACAGCCGTCGAAACCAGCTTCTGGGGAGCAAGGCCTCAAGTGACATCCACTGCTGAGGCGACAAGGGCAGGTTCGTTTCCATGTCCGTGACCAGTGCAGCTGCCTCTGGTTTCAAGTTAATTTTGTTGGCCAGCATGGCCTCCTCCTCGTTTGAGAAGTCAATGTAATCGGCACATTGTTTCAAAGTCTGGATGGCAAGGTGGCTGTGTTCGTCTGACAAGCCTAACCAGGCGATGACGCGCTGTGCATGCTTGAAGATTTCTCACATGCGCCGGACCTGTGCGGCTCTCTCGTCAAAGTCTTGCTGGTTGATGCAGATGGAATCGCACCAGAGAGTCCGCGTATCTGCCTCATGGCGAAGGTGCCGTAAGACAGCGCCAAGATTTTGCCCAATGGAAAGCGAGGATTCAGCCTCTATGGCATCACCATCGTTCGAGTCGATGACACTTGGCCCCGTGTTTCGCAAGATACGCAGAGTTATGGAATCCGGATTTGTCTGATCACCCCACGCGTACGAGATGGCTTCATACTGTGGGACGTTGCCTTGTTCAGGGTCATGCTGTGCGTTGACGATAGAGCCCCGTAAGACATCCTGGTCTTGGCCTGGATCAAGGACCAGTAGCCTAATCTCCGTCGGATGGAGAGATGTATAGTTGAAGGATGAAGCCATCACAATCTGGTCAAAGAGGGGTGCGTGATAAGCTACATTAAGCCCAGAATACTTTGGGGGATACAGAATCATGGGACCCTCTCAGGGGCTGGGAGATCAACGACTAACTTAGCCAACAACTTGCAAAAAGAAAGCAACTTCATTTGATTGAAGGAAGCCCATTTTTGGACAATAGAGCTACCCTATAGTAATTATTGTAATGTAGAAGTTAAATAAACGGGGACTTGAACTTCAAATCAGCTAGCCATCGTGTCCATTTCAACAAAGGAGAGGGCCTTGACTTGTTAGTGGGTCGAAGGAGTGAGATCTGATGGCAAGCACAGGCTCGGTTGGTTGTTCAAAACTTGGCTCATATCAAGTGTGATGACGAAAACAGCGATCTGCACAGGTAGTTTATGTGGAATCTTTGGAACTATTGGAGGTAGTGAGTGGAAGTGAGTGGTGTAGTTCAGTAAGCACTAAACCGAGATAGCGCCGTCACGTTTAAATGGGAGGAGGGTAGAGTTTAAGGTTCATTGAAGGAGCGACGCCAACCAAAGAGTCATTGTACTGGGCACAAGCCATTGTTCGCGTTGAACCTTACATACGGGCGGGCGCCAGCCTCGGACAACCCTGACTGTGATGTGTTGGCCTCATTGTGATGCTGGGTATAGCATCAATTTGTCGCTTCCTGTAGTTAAGATATTTCCTTTTGTTTCTAGTGGCTGCTGCATAACCTGCATACGTCTCTCACACGCTTAAAGGGCTTGATAATTTCGACACATCTTCACTAGCTGGAGTTTATGCGCTTTGAGCTGTCCTCGATAGCTACTCTGGGAAGAGTTTTCTTTCATGAGAGCAGTGCCCAACTGCCCATGCGTTCAATGAAACGAAGCAAGGGGAAGAGGGGAAATGTCTTACTATTCACCACAAATCCCTTCGTTAACCGTGAGCAAAGCCTAAAAGTAATAGGAAAGTTCACTAGGTAGCATGGACGCATTCGAGTCACAAGTACATAAGATAGCACGCCCCGAGGTTTGGTATGTAGGTCATCGGCGCCTACCTTGGGCACAACGACTAAACTTAGAGGACTAGCACCATCACTAGTAGATACTTTGCCGGATGCAAGGAAGCAAACTCTTCATTAAAAGGCTCCTCCCGAGTCCCATCAATCACCAAGCCTTCCGTTCTCGCATCACCTTCAATTTTACATTTCTACCTTACCCAATGACCAGCCTTTTCGCCACCAAACTCCACATCAAGTCTGAGTCCGATATTTGGTAGGCGCAGGATGGATGATCCTGAGGGCGCTGGCCTCCCCTTACGGCGCCTCGACCAGGTTGCGTGGGCGTACGGCCGGTATAGAGGTATTTTTGAAAATCTAGACACTATACAGGAACGAATTCCCAACACCAACTACCTCGATACGGGCATAACCGACAAGATACCCTGGATTATCGAAGCGCCGTTGAATACCGTGGAATTTATCGAAGCTATTTTGAAACCAAAGGAGCCTTTTCAAGTCTATACTGCTCACCACTTCCCCCGGGAATGTGTAGAAGCTAGTGGCTATCAGGGTCAAGGGCTCATTCAAAAGCAGAAACTTTACCGGGAATATTGTCGCTTTCAAGGCCGTTTGGAGAGGGATCGTGAGATAAATTTTATCATGGTTACTCAATATGATATCTGGGCCATTCGCGACGCTACATGGGCAATGTATACCCCGACTAAGCTGCATTATGTTTCAATGCCATGGAGTTTTTTTTGAGAGAAAGACCATTAAGAATCCTTGGGCCCTTGTGTTCCATGGAAGAAACGACCCAGCCACACAGGATTACCAGCACCGACTTGAGTTATTGGTCGACAAGCTTGATATTGCTGGCCGCAGCATTGATTCACGTAGCTATCTACGACCTGGCACCATCCCGCTTCCTGAGTGTATCTGGGACTGGTTTGCTGGTATTCCAGGCAAGCAAGAGGCTGCTCCCTATTATTGGCGCGAAGATGGTGTTTATCCTATACAAGAGAAGAACGGTTCAAACCATTCAAAGCAAGATGATGTAACCGATGAAGGCGATGAGGGAAATCAGGACATAGTACTTGGTGCATCTACCTGATTAATAAACGAAGATAGGGACCCTATTAACATGAATATTAAGCTATGATCATGTATCTTCTGCGGTAGCAAACGAGATAAGGTCAAGGGGGGTCACCCTCTCCAGCGACACACTTCGTAGCTAGGGGTATAGCGATAGTTGATTCGGCGTCGGATGGGATCAACGAGATTCTTAACTTCCTTATTACGTGACTGCAGGCCTTCGAGCCATGTCGGCACCTGGGCGAAGCGAGCGAGCAAAATCTCCGGTCCTGATCGAGAACCTCGCCCTTTTAGTTCGTATTTCCCTAGATATTAAGCCTTAGCGATTTATGACTGCGCTTTTTTTTTTTTACTAGCTAGGTATTAGGCTTTATTATCGCGTGAATTGACATTGACACTATTGAGACGTTGATCTTCCAAGGGCGGTCCTGTTTTCATAATTTCATGCATATCCAAAGATGCATAGACCGATGGACTAAGATATTAGGCTACAGAACTGAACGGAAAGTAGACCATGGGCAAGTAGATGCTTCAGTTAGGCTGGGAGGACGGATCGTGAGATTCGAGCCCGACTGGCTACATCGTTGATCCAGAGATTCATTCATATCGTTTTCTACCACAGCAATTGCATAGTACCAAAAACAATTTATAAGCTTATATGATTTCTTACATTTTTAACCTTCATTCATTCCTCAGCACAAGCCTGATTCTGTTGACAGTTGTTGGGCGGTCATTGATACACAATGGTCCGTTCGTGGTAATGGCGACTTTGAAAGACGCCTAACAGCAACATTTCGCCTCTGTGCGCTCGAGATTCATGGCTAGCTCTTTATTCAAGGGGTCTCCAATGGGAACAGCAGGCTTTTCGCACTGCGACCTTTTACAGTCGACTCACGACTACAGGGCACCTAGGCATTTGGCAGATGCGATGGATATGTAATCATTTTTATATAATGACATCTCTAGCCGTGCCACTTCATATCCAACGAGTGTTGATTCCGCGAAGGATGTTTGAAAAGCAACTTGCAGGCTACGCACACTCTTCTGGAAATTACATGTAAGTTCGTACTATTCGAGCAAAATCCACACTTTGGAGGACCTGCCACGACGGAAGTTGTGCCGATTTATAAGTTGGCTATTTAGCAACACGTGCAACAGACTCAAAAAATAAGACATGGGAGTTTAGGACGACCACTCTCTACGACAATCAGGATACTTCGTAGTTTGAAAGGACGAATAACAACAATATTTCGTGTATTAAATTATACATCTTTCTTATTAGCACTCAATAATCTGACAATACTAAGGTAATCGTACTGTAAAATAGACAAGCCGTGTAATGCTTGTCTGTCTCAAATTCAATGTCACCCGTTTGGCCCGCAGAATAGCCACGCAGCCGAAGGAAACTCACGGCCTGTTCCTTCTTGGCTTCCTATAGATGCGTTACGTTAGCCTTGATAGATTTTGGAGCATTTCAAGTATAAACTCAAATTTGACATACGTCTCCCTTCTTCTGAAACTCCTTGAATATAAACATTAGCAACGCATTTAGAGCAGTAGTTGGTGCAGGGGAACATACCACAGCCTTTTCGAGAAGTGTCTAATAGGCAAGTCGTTAAAATAAGTCAGATAACAGGATTGTTGGGCATGAATCACTTACACTAATCTCGGCCTCCAACTTCTATCCACTAATTAGTGTGTTTGGATAAGAATCACAACCAGGGTGAAACTTACCGCGATCTCGTTTCGCTTCAGCTAAGGTTCGGAGACGAAGACCATTGCATTAGCGTTATAGAGTAGCTGGCAATTGAGTATGGGAATATTTTGCATACCTTGGGCAACGGCCAGATTGTTCTAGTATCCTTAGCCTTATCCGTAAAATTAGAAGAACAATGAATACGTACTCACGACAATCGCAGCAACCTCTACAACTGTCGTTAGCAGCGAAATCATCTGGAAGCGAATATTGCATTCATTTACGTACCCTTGGCTGCTTTCTTGTTGTCTTTTCGCGAATTTAGTATCAAAATCGGAATAAAAGTAAGTGCGAACGGAACATACTATTATTCATGGCTATAAAAATTTAGGTACCTGTTATCTGGACATCTATCTCATATATATATTGGCCAGGGTTGAACATACCAGGCTGCTTCCTGCGCTCTAGGTGTGAGGGTTTTGATTAGCGATTGGGCTGATAGTCCCTCAGGTAGCGAACTCACTCTTCTCAACGCCAGCTGGTAGCAAGAAAAATTAGCGAACCGCGAAGAAGGGAAAGAATGCAGTCGGGTAGCACACTGGGCTGGGAGGGTGCCACTGGTCACATACAGGCGTAGGTCACCGTGGCGTTTCGTCGACGGGAAGCGTCGGGCGAAGTGACAGCATCGGCAGCTGAGGCTCCTGGAGGCGGTGTCTACGACCCCATTGTTGGTCGGTTGGGAGGGAGGAGTAGGTGGTGTTGGAGTTGATGCCGATTCTTCTGCTATGTTGGCTGGTGTCGCAAAACTCGTGATGTGTGATGAAGGAGTATCGCAGGATCAGAGGAATAAAGCCGTAAGAAGAGAGTTGGAAGAGGCCGGGGTTCTTCACGCACTCTTGTGAAAAGTCCAATCGCTCCTTGTTGTTTGCTTGGTTGCGACGATTGCGTAGATTGTATCTTTTGGTCTGTACGGCTGTTGATGGTTTGGTGCGTTGGATTCGGTAAGGATATTTGATAATTAGCAAAAGGGGATGTAGCGAAAGTACAACAAGTTGATACTGTAGGCAGATAGTAAAAGCTAGGTTGTGACGATGCGGTGTTGCGTGTAGGAAGAAAGAAACAAGTCGTGAGGCCTCATGAGGATGAAGGAAGGATATATGCGAAGGGTGGTCCGTGCGTCGCGTGGGCATGAGGTGAGCGGCCTTGGAGAAAGCGCATCAATTGTGCCGTTCGTTGTCCTGTGCAGAACAGCGAAACTCTGTCCATCGTTCACTCGATGTCAGGTATTGTAAGGTGCAAGAAATCAGAGAGGAGAGGCGACGAGATTGTGTTTTACTTGCTTCTTTGGAAGGAGTAACTTGGGTTTTTGTGGATACCGCTTATCGATAAGGGGTTATCGATCAACCGGATCCATCCGACTCATCGCCTGTGCGGGCTCGAACAGAAGATTCTCAACGTAAAAATCAATTTATTGATCTTTTGCCTCTAATGCCTTGCTTCATCTTGTGAGAGTCAGCTGCATCCCTGTTAAATCAAAGTTTTAGGAGCCACATAGTTGACCGGTACTAGATACCGCCGTATAGATGAAACTTCACATGAGATAGAGCCTGTTTGTCTTATTAATAATACGAATCATAATAATACGAAAATAACAGATTATTCTGGGATACTAAGCTTGATGTTGTGTTTATTGCTTGGTTGATTGCTTTGATATTGTGCCGGAATCCGCTGGAGGCTCTGGGTCAACCATGAACTGCGCAATCCTATGTGGCCTTGGTTGCATACCATGGCAATATCCTCTACGTTTATATGACTCACCACTTAGAAAGCTAGTCTAAGCTATTACCGTCCCATTTTTTAGACCCTGTAAGCTTTCTTTGCTTCGTGTAAATCCAACCATAGCCAGAAGACGTCCCAGGCCCAGGTTCCTCCGATAGCTTTGAACGTCCGAATGCTCCCTTCGTTGCTTTCCAAAACGCCACAAAAAGCCAAGGGGTGGGAGCCCTCATGTTCTTCTTGAACCTTTCCACTGGCAGCGAATGGCCCGTTCCTTGGAGGCGAACAAAACCCTAGGCTAATAATTCGTTGCACCACCGCCTTTGCGAGCCCCATTCGCCTAAAATCAGGCTCAACATGCAAAGTGCGAACTGACCCGTCCTCACCTGCGAAACCAAATGCCGCGAGCCTCGACAGCCCTTCTGCACTTGGCGCATTGTATTGTCTAATCGCCACTCCTTGAAGTCTATCAAGCGTCGAGGTGCTTCGAATGAGCTGGTTTTGTGCCATGACTTCAGCATAATCCGACTGTTTGATTAGCTCCCATCGAAACCCAGGAGGCAGATTAGACCCTTCTCCAGAATCATGGAGGCTTGTCGTAGTATCGTTTCCAGTTCGAAACAAGTATTTGCCATACGGAGGGCTACTCTTTAGAATGACTGATGTTTGGGCAAAGAGCGAAGCAAGCCTCGTATGAACATTGCCAACTTTGATACAAGGACTATTTGGATTCTCTCCTTGCTCCAGGAGTGTTGTTTCGTTATCCCTGGAATTGGTTGAGATTTCGGAGAGTATTGCGAGGAGTTGGCGAATTGCGAGTTGGCAAACGTCCGAAGGAAAAGGCACGAGCAGCTTCCATGGGTCTATGTGGGGTTTCTGTGATGCTTGCTCGTAGCCGTCTATAAGCGGCCACATTTCCAAAGACGAGAACGTCCACATTTCTGTTCCTGGATGATTGGCTCGGTTCACGTAGGCCATTGTCCATACAGACTCGGTACTCATATCTTCGGGGGTCTCCCCCTGCGGCTCTCGTATTGACAAAGGAGGAAGGGATGTAGTGATCAAAACGGCGCCTTCATCTTTCGGGGCGAGTTGCACGGCCCTTAATATTGGCAAAGATTGAGGGATTCGTGAAGTAAGAAAATCGATGACGTGCTCAAACGGCCATGCATCAGTTGCACCCGATGATGCTCGTTTGAGGTGGCCGCCATCTGACTTGATATTGTAGATATGGAGTGGAATGGTAGACATTATTGACAGAGCGGCGTTGTTGTAACAGAGGGTACTGAGGAAAATTTATGCGTGAGTTGCGCAGAGCCTCAGAGTTCGTGCGCCCCATTCATAATACGCACCCAAATCCAACATTGATGACCAATCAAGGTAAGCATTCAACCTAGCGCATTCAAAAGACCCAAGTAATATGCCATCGTTATGTCCGGCTCGGTATAATCCACTGCCACCGCCACCAACAGCTGCTCGCTTTCAGATGTCGCACACCAACCCTCTGGATTGAGAATAGCTAGTAATAGCATACCCGTGGGGACGTCAGTGACAGTAGCTGCAAGGCAAACTAGCCCAATTGTTAAATACAAGTGTAGGGGGAAACCATAAGGTTAGGAACACCTGCCTATCCTGACGTTCGGAGGCAGGGATGCAGACAGATTGAGTTACAGCTTCTGTCCAAAAAAAAAGTGTGAACTTCAAGGTATCCCCAGCAAACCGCAACCTCTATCCTCCCAACCTTCTGCCCGTAAGTCAGACTGTAAATGTAAGATTGAACAAGTCATTTCCTCTCCAGCCTATAGTGTCTCGCCTTTGGGGATTGAACCATAGCACCTGTTCTCGTTCATGCTGACCATCTTTGCAGACGACTTGCACTGATGGCTTGCAGCTTGTCCTGGCTATCATTAGTATTATCCCTTGGTAGCCATCATAGACAACCAGCGGAGAAACTCCGCATAAGGCGTGATCATCCACACACCTCCCATCCAGCCGCTCCCTCCCAGGATGTCCCTCCCATGGACTCCTCATCCTCCTCATACCACCCGCAGGGCATCAACACTCCTCTTCGGCCACTTCAGCATATCCAAGAACATGGGCTGCCCCGCGAAGCTCGTCTCAATCTCCCCCATCAGCTGCCTGCTCCACCCCCTCGAGAACCAATACGGCTTCTCTAGCAACGCGAGGAACACGCAGTAATACGCCAGGACAAGCAGGCCGTGCGGCCTTCGCGCCTTCAGATCGGCCAGCAGGCTCGTCTCAACCTGGTACGGCCAGACGAGGACGGCGCCGCACTCGTAGTGCGCGCCCGCGACGGCGATGCGCTCGACTGTCTCGATGAAGTGAGCGATGGCGGAGCGGTAGTCTGCCTGGCTGGCGGCGGGGAGGTCCTGCTCGTGGAAGGATTGGAGTTTGGCGATGGCGTCGTAGGTATCGTGGGGGAGGGGGCAGTGTTCCAAGGAGGGGTGTCTAAGTGTCTGGTTAGAAGGCAGATCATCTCGTCGGGGGAGCAGAGCATTTCTTACCCTGGGGGAGGGCCGCTCTCCGAGCCGGGGAACACGCCATACACTAAGGGGGCGAATTCGGTCCTGAGCACGCCAGGGACGATAGTGTGTAGGGCGGTCCTCATTCCGCGGACGAGGCCCATGAGCTCAAGGAACCGGGAGACGGGCTCGTCGATGTACATATCTTCGCAGCGGATGGGGAGCGTCAAGAGATACGAGATGGCGAGAGAAGAGAAGCTGAAGATGGGAGACCAGGTGTCGCGCGTGATGTTTCCCAGCGCATGCCGGAAGCCCTCTGAGCCCACTGTCTGGTGGTAGTCTGCCAAGGCGAGGTAGGTCTCTCGGCCGCTGGTGGCGAGGTACGCCTTGTGGGCGGCAGCCATGGCGAGGATACCATGGCGGACGTAGGTGCTTTTGTAGCCCTCTCTGGGAATGGCGACTCCCCACACGTAACGGATGTCCTGGCGGATGGAGAGCGTATCTGCTGTGATGGTGCTGTAGTGATGCACGAGTTCGAAAGTCCGGCTGGAGATGTCGTCCAGGGGCAAAGGGGCGATGTGGCTGGCTGTTGCGTCGGGAGGGTCAAGAGGATGATGCCGAGGAGTAGAGACGCTCGACTCAAGTGTCTCTGAGGGTAACGGTGAGACAGGGAGGATGTTAGGCTGCGTGGGAATTAATTTCGATCGCTTGGGACTACCGATGTCGACGTTGGACGAGAGGCTGCATGTCACGCCGTGGCGCTTGCAGTTGAAGCATTCCGGCCGTCCTTCATCACACTAAGAAATCAAGACCTGTAAGCAATTGGTTCTTCATCACAACCGTTCATGCATGTGGGAGCACGGTAGACCAATCCGATGTTCCCTGGGCCAGATCTCGCCAAACACTGCGCGAGAAGCGAACCCGACCGGACACATCTGAGTTCCGCGACAAGAAGAAGGGGGAGATTCCTGGCAAACAAAAAACAAGAGACGCAGGCTGCTTACCTTGACTTTACGGCGCTTGCAATTGGTGCAGCCTGTCCGAGACTTGGTATGGGGACGCATCGGAGGCATGGTGCTTCAATTGGCTCGGACAGACCACCAGTGATAAATGCGCGGATTCTTCGGTGCCTACGCCGCTGGACTCGTCATATTTTGTGGCTGTAGGCAATTGATCGCTCGCAGATTTGAAACGGAGGGCGCTGGGAGCGAGAGAGAGCTCAGTTATCACGATGTGGGAGAGGTTTCGCTTTTCGCATTTCGGAACGCGGTCCGCGGATTCGCATTCGCCCGTAAGCTCAATCGAGGCTTAGCACACTACGAACCCTGTCTTTCTATGGGCTCATCTTAGATGGAGTAGAAATTGATCCTTGATTGGCTCCACGTGGGGAGCAAGGGGATGGGCACAGCACTATCAAACCACGTCCCGGCAATAGCCAACTGCCAGGCCGCACACACGAGATGGCTCGGATAGCAAAGCGAGAAAACCGAGCCGCATTCGAGATGCCCAGACTAATAGGTAGTCTAGAATACGAGGCCGTTGAAGCGGGGGTTCTCCGCTGTCAAATAGCAAGCTCTTCCCCAACCGTCAGATCGTCTACTAACGTTCTCCATTCCTTAACCTTCTTAATTAACGTTGCTCCGTTCTTTTTCTTTCTTTTTTGCCGTGGCAGGACGTCTTTCTTCTCGGTATCCCTTGATCGCCCGTCTCGTCAAGACCAGTTGCCGGGATTCGTGCTCTTCTTATTGCTGAGGCCATTTATCGCCTACTCCTGACTCCTCGGGAGTCCCATCTGCCGTATCACCATGGCACGCCCAGAGTGCAATCCCGACTATGTGAACGCCGTCTGGGCTTTCTACCGGTTTATCCCATCTACCGCCGCTAACACGGTCTTCATCGTCCTCTTTGGGCTCGCCACGATCCTCCATTTTTTCCAGATGCTCCGAACCAAAACATGGTATCTAACTGCGCTTTTTGCAGGCGGTGTCGGTACGTGGCCATCCTACAAGCAGCGGCTCTTCATGAATACCACTAACTATTTTTTGTTGCATAGCCGAGCTGATTGGTTACATTGGTCGACTGATGAATGCGTTGCAAAAGCCGGGATGCTGGACACTGGGACCTTACATCATGCAAAACGTCTTGATTCTCATCGCGCCTGCCCTGATGGCTGCTTCCATCTACATGATCCTCGGACGAATCATTCTCTTGACCGACGGTGAGCGTTATGCCTTGGTCAAGCGCCGCTGGCTTACAAAGCTATTTGTTACGGGCGATGTCGTTTCCCTGATGATGCAGGCTTCTGGTACGTCCCGCCGATTTCCCTGATTTTTCATGTCTCTGGGTACGAAGATCCAATTTAGCAACGCGCTAATATGGAACGGCGTTGCCTTGTAACAGGAGGTGGTCTCATGGCCATCAATGCCGACCTGATGAAAATTGGAGAGAAGGTCATTATCGGCGGTCTATTCGTCCAACTCGCGTTCTTCGGCTTCTTCATCATCGTCGCCGCGATCTTCCACTATCGCATGCGCCAGAACCCAACGAGCCAAGCCTCTCAACCTCGCATCCGCTGGCAAATCTACCTCATGACCCTCTACGTCACAGGAACGCTGATCTGGATTCGAAGTCTGTTCCGAGCGATCGAGTTTATCGAAGGCAACATGGGGCCGCTGATGCGCCAGGAGGTGTATGTCTTTGTTTTCGACGGCATGCTGATGTTCATTGTGCTTCTGTGGATGAACTGGTTCCATCCTAGCGAGATTGGGCTTCTCCTTCGTGGGGACGAGCCGATCAGGAACGGGCTGGAGCTGGTTATAATGAAGCCTATTGGGAGCAGTCGGTCGAAGACGATGGAGAGCCTGTCTTCGAGCAGCGAAGGGATTGCCGTTCCCAATTATCAGAGGGCATAAGTGGATGATTTAGCCTCTCAGTGGACGATGCCAGTTGGGTATCTTAGACTCAACTGGTTTACGCTGTCTACTTGTCAAGCATTGATCGCTGTAGACTCTTTTTTAAGACCGAAGAAACTGAGTCTATCATTTTAGGGAATTTATTTGCACCTTGTAGACAGGAAATGGGGACACGGGTTTTTTAGAATGGTATATTTTATTTTGTTATTTTGGGACATCTTGGGACATAGATGAATACAATCCCTCGCGTTGTCATTTGACACTGTATGCCATTTTCGCAGAAAAGGATAAATTATAGCGCGCCCAGATATTGAATCTTAGAATATTAATATCCGTTAATCGTAGTATTTGGGTATTAAACCGCATTGTTGCGTGATCAAGCCATCAGAAATCGGCTATAGGGTAGGTGCGCTGACCAGTACAATTGAAGATGGAACATGGCTCCGGTGTCTCGCAACGGCCACAGATGACCAAGATAAACTGATTTCCCCGGATTCTGAATCTTGGATTTCGCACGAAGGTCTGTACACGAGCTCAAAAGCCTGATCACGTGGCCAATGTGCTTGATAAAATTCCCCTAGAACTCAATCAATGAATCGATGACCTGGGTTATCCAACCACCCAGACCAAGGACGACTCCGCTCTGTGCATGAGCTAATAATTACAGGGTAATATTATCATTAGGTCAGCTCAGTTCAATGAGTAAGACATTCCTCTTTTAGACCAACCCGACAGGGATAGGAACGTGGTGGTGTGCAAAGTTACCGTGCCATGCAGCGAGAGATCGTGGTATAACAGCATCCAACCAGGTCTGATAGGACTCGATCGACGACTTATGATTTCGTCAAACAATATTTGAGTAATGCCGCTCAGTATGTACCTGAACAGGTTCAGAATGAGGCCCTATGGAGCTGCTAAATTCGAAACGGTACATCACAAGGCTGGTCCTGGCCCCTGTCATATTTAAACCAAGGCCAACAATATGCCAAATTTAGCAACAATCCTACGAATTTGTTGTGCCAATCTTAGTATCCATATGAATTGACCCCATTCCCGTTTCCCTTCGAAATTCAATTGACGATCCAGTTTGCCTGTGTTTATCGATCGCCCAGTTCGCGTCTGTGAACGAAGACTACAACTCCTTCGACAAAGACCAAAGAAGCAATTGGGACTTACCACACCACCTATATCGATACGCGACGATGAAAACCCAGCAAATTGTGTGTCTGGAACTCCTGTTCCTCGCGCTCGCGCCATTCAGCATCGCAACTCCAGAACTCGCCCCGTTATTACCTAGAAAATCGTCGCGCGGCCTCGCCAACGTCAGATCAGAAGAGATCCTCGGCACATCGAACTTAGATACAAGGCTAGCCGAGCGAGACGAGTGCGGCGTTGGCTACAAAGCCTGCAAGAACGCGTGTATTCCCATCTTGGGCGTGTGCTGCGAGAATGGGAAGGGATACTGCGATGTCATGACCGTGTGCGTCGACGCAGGGTGCTGTCCGATTGGTAAACTGTGCTCGGATAACCCCGATGGATGTCTGGGCTCTCTGGTTCCGTGCGGAGCCGACAAGACGTGCATTCCGGACGGCAAGATCTGCTGTGAGGACACAGGGAGCTACTGCGAGCAGGGGGAGACTTGCATGAACAATGGCAAGTATGGGTATTGCGCAAAGGGCTCAAGCTCGACGCTTCCGCCTGCGTCAAGCTTGTTGACGAGACTAATGCCATCCACGGGATCGACGTCTTCGACAACTGCCTCCGACTTCACATCTACCAGCGTGACGACGACTGAGTCGACATCCAGCTCAGAGGAGAGCACTATCAGCACCAGTACCATTAGCAGTACCGGGAGTATCAGCAGCTCCAATATCGACAGCACCACATTATCTAATTCGTCTGGGATGCAAACGTCTACTTCGAATACGCAAAGCGCCTCAACAAGTACTGGATCTGCTGCTGCCCAGACAAGTGAGCCTGGGGCTTCCTCCAGGATGCAGATGTCAGGTCTTGCATTGGTTTCATGCGGGTTTGCAGCTATCTACTGCCTGCTCTAGATGGAGAACAAATCTTTACCTTTGGGCTTGAGCTGATAGCCTACTTAATTGCACATATGCCGATCTAACAGCCTCACATTCATGGCGCATTGTATATATCACGGGGTCTTTAATTATTGAAATGTCATTAGCGATTTTGTTTTAGTCATCAGATTATAGGCGAACGCAATATATCGTATCTGTGACTGAATCGTTTTCAGAGAAGTGTGTTGTATGGTTTAGGACTCGGACGACCTTTGACTGCCATCTCTTGGAGAATAACAGCACAGCTTCAATATCCCAGACATGGCTTGATAGCCCGAACTACTCTGCTTGTTTTCAACGAACCGAGGCGACCGAGCCAGCATCCTAGGCTAGGTCTTGCAAATAAGCTTAATTTGCGGAGAAGCAGGCGTATGCTGGGCCAAAACGCGACGACAACATCTATGAAAACTCTCATGTGTGGTGACCGATAAGCGGCAAAACATATCTTCTAATGACTCACAATAACTTGAGCATGCAGGATGCAGTAAAACGAACATCGCCAGTCGAATTTATGTACCTGTCGAGGTCTGAAAGCAGCTAGACCATCAGCTCAGCTCAGCCCGTCTCACGGTGGCTTGGTTTTTGGGCCAGCCGTTGCTTGGCTGCCATGGCCTATAAGAGGAGACCACCGCCCCTCAGACGGATGATACAGCTGATCGCCTTTATTCCAGTCCCGTTGTCTTATCCAGAGTGTGTGTGGCGCGTCGACCAGCGACTCGGCAGTTCCTCGACAAATCCCCGCGTCGTCGCGCCCGCACAATCTCGCATTCTGGGTGCAGCTATATACGGGGCAAAGGCAAAGGCGACATGTCGAATACCAAAGCTTCACTGCATAACCTCCCGGAGCTCGTGCGAGATACCCAACTCACCGTCTGATTCGAGTCCGACGGCAAGCAGCACTACACCCTTCACATCCCGTCGTCTCGCCGCAGCCCGAAGATCGAAAGATGGGTCTCCAGAAAAAGATTAGGCGGAGGGGGACAGGGTGTTGTTGTCTTGCAGGCCAAAGTTGTCGCAGAAGAGGGCCCGCCTCAGCTGCGAGCTGTCAAGACCATCACCATGCCGGAGGGCCCTAGCGAGGCGAACAAGGCGCTGTATAAGAGAGAGTTGGAAGCTATGGCGAAGTTTTCTCAAACTAAGGTGCGATAAATCGTCGCTCAAGCTGTATATTTGGGGCCGAACCACTCGCTGAGACAAAATGTGTGTAGTACTCGGAACAATTTGTCAAGTTTCTTGGCTGGTTTACAAGTCCGGGACTTATCCATATTGCAATGGAATATTGCGGACTAGGCGACCTTGAAAAACATCTTTCAACTTGCCCGGATGGCCGTCTTCCCGAGTCGGAAACCCAGGACATTACCATGCAAATTTTGGGTGCACTAACCAGCATGCATGAGGAGAAATTCTGCCATGGGGACCTCAAACTTGCTGTATGTTCCTAGCTAGGTCACACGCTGAGTAGTCGCTAATGATAATTTCTCTTCAAGAATGTTCTGATCATGAGCATCGCCCCATCCTGGTGGGTGAAACTGGCAGATTTTGGCCTGAGCAAGCGGCACGAGACGATAGCAAACACGACTGCCGCAAAAGGCACACCGAATTATATGCCGCCAGAGCTTCTTGGATACAACGGGAATCCCAGACACGCAGACCCGTATCCTGTGGATATGTGGTGTCTGGGGCAAGTGGCCTTTCGGCTCGCTGCAGGTCAGCCCATGTTTCCATCTCAGGCAGATCTTTCCAAATACTACTACAACCACCTGAAGTTTAGAACCCACGTGCTCGAGGAACATCTGATGGATCAAAAATTTATCCAATTTATACAGCGTCTGGCTGCTCCTGAGCCTAGAGACAGGCCCTCAGCCACGGACTACTCATCGCATCCGTGGGTTCAGAGCGCAATTGCAGATCATGATGCTGATCGTGGTCTCAGCTGTCAAATGACAGAAAGCCAGATTTGGCTCTCAGATATTCCTATTTCAGATACTAAAGATGACTCCACGCCGTCTGCCTCGTGGCCCGCGGATGATGCAACAATTACAGACATGACGAGACCGCCTGCACATATCTCGGGTGATGGGGAGGCTCCCATGCGCTACTGGGATAGTGAAGCATCAGCAGCTTGGTCTACGGAGGAAACAATCGTCTTGGCCCAAGCAGATAAACCAGTAGTGACTTCACCCAATGTTGTTGAAGAAATCTCAGTTCGTATATCTGAGGCGGACATTTTTGTTGGGGAGGGGGACAAGTTACTACAGACAAAAGACTATGAGAAGGCAATTGAGCAATATAAGACGGGTATGTATTTACCTCTCTCCACTTAACCTTTTACTGGCCACACTTCTCTCTAAAATGATCGTAATTCTGGATACTGATCTATTTGCCTTCTAGCCCTTGAAATAGAGCCTTCTTCGGTAGAGTATATGGACAAATTATGCCACGCACACATGTCAATCCAAGCTTGGAATGATGCAGTCGCAGATTGCAATGTGGTACTCAAAAGAGATGCAAAGAATCCCATATTTTGCTCACGAGCCTTTCAACTTGTCGCATTTGCCGCTGGCCAGCCCGAGGCTGCCTTCGAATTCCTTGAGCATGGACAGCCTCTACTAAAGGACGATATTGTGGAAAAGGCAAAAAGCATGCAAAACTCCTTATTAAAGGTTCTCAAGATTCTTGAAGAAGGCTCTGATATGACCCAGGCTCTCCATGAGCTGGATAGCATGGAGGCTGCCCTTTGGCCCAAAGCTGGGGCACCTTATAAGTGGAGGTTGTTGCGAGCGGAAGCTTTGATGAGAATGGGCACTACTGATGGGATCAACCAAGCCGTGGGAATGACAGAGTCAATAAGCGAAGACAACGATCAGAAAGCCGGATATTTCTCTCTTCATGGCCGTGCGCTGATCCTAGCTTGCCATTTAGACCTGGGCTGCGACAGCCTACACAAAGCAATCGAGGTAGATCCCGAGTCTACCAGGACTCAAAACTGGCTGAAGACAGGACAAAAGCTGGAGAAACTATTCAACAAAGGGAAGATTTGCCTGAGAGAGGGTAGCTTGGAAGAGGCCAAAGCATTCTACACTGAAGCATTGCAAGTCGACCTGAGTAACTGGTGTCTGAACGCGGCAATGTTGAATAATAGGGCCTTATGCGAAATCAAACTGGGCAACTATCCTGCAGCAATTGCAGACTGCGACCTGTCCCTTAATTTATATCCAGATATGCAACTGGCCAAGGAGCATAAAGCTCTGGCCACCTCCAAGATGTCCACGTCGGCAGCTGTATATGGGACCCCTGCGATGAATGGGAAGATATCACAGGGGGTCGATCTCCGGGACCAGCTTCGACGATCAGATAAGAAGATTCTTCATAAGCGGGACAATAGCGCATCTAGATATATGGTGAAAAAATTTGCTGATATCCAAGTTTCTGAGTAAGTACTGCTCTCGCTTGTGCTTATTTTAAGGACTACACTGATAGAAGCAGTCCCATTCCCGCGAATATCTCCGTTGAGTTGCATTATAAAGGGAGGCAGCATATAGCCTGGATGCCCTTGGCGGATCTTGCTCCGGCTCTATTTGCAATCAAAGTATGCATAGCCCTGCTCATGATGGCTTCCTAAGCCCTTGACGTCCTAGGCCCCTGATTTCTTTTAACACACTGGCATTATGGTTGCGCAAACTTACTAACCGTGCGTGTCTCGCGAATAGCTTCGAAGTATTCTAAAAATTCCGGCACACAGAAGAATAATAGTTGAACAATACTCCAGTTCGGCATCGTCATATGTAGTCGTCCCCGATGACTTAACAAAATACTGGGGGTTCTATTTAGATGCAAAACTGACATCCAAAATGAAGATACGGGTAATTGATATGATAATTTCTTGATGTAAATAGTGGGTTTGAGAAAGATTCCGGCCTCTATGGTTTCATGTGAGGAAGGGTTTGCTCACGTGGCTGCTGAAAGTCTTAAAGCGAACATCGATAGGCTAAGGCTCAACAAACGGTAGTGGTGATGAGTATGATTGATAGCCGCGATAGAGCGATTTTATTTATCAATATGAGACGGAAAAACTTCAGTTGCCGAGTCAGGCTCACAGCAATTGTTCTTCGTTTGTAACATTTATTACGGAGGATACGGACGAAAACAGCTAATAACATATGTGATCAAGCGCTGATATATATAATAATTTCAAGCCCCTATTGATCATCTAGAAGGCCGATCATGTCTAGAGAGTCTTGCCACAACCTAGCCTCCTCCGCTGGATTATATGTGTGCTTCGCGCAAGTAGTGCCATGTATATCTTCTTCAGAGTCCCTAGTTGGTGATTCAGCGCAATGGGACAAGTATCTCCCACCTTTACTCTCCCATTCTCTTCCGATAGCTCCCCAAATTGTCGTGGTGTTACCTCGTACACAGCTTTTCCGGACGGTTTCTAGCTGCAGATTTGGATGGAGTGATTCCCCGCCATCCGATCGAGATGTCCCATCAATGACTCGGCCAGAATTAGTGCTAAGAGCATGCAGCCCACGAGTTCCGTACCGCCGCTCGATTTCATTTGCCATATATATATTGGCGGTTTTGGATTGCGCATATGCAATCGCGGTATCGAATCCTCCCTTTTCGAAGTTGTAGTTACCCTTCTCATTTAGACCGTGCTTCCTGTGTTCCTCGCATGCCACCATGATGACGCGGGACTGAAATCTAGGGCGGCTAGCTGCCAGTAACTCTGGCTTGAGAAGCTGGAATAACAAGAAATGAGAGAGGTGGTTCGTGGCAAACTGCATCTCAAAACCGTCCTTTGTGAGCTGGAGACTTGGAGAGGGCGTGACGGTCTCGTTGCAAACGAGAAGACTGATCTTTTCTGTCTTTGATATAATATGTTTTGCAGCTTCTCGTACACTATCAAGTGACGTGTGATCTATTGTGACGAACTCCATGCGGTTTGGGCTGTAAGCATCACCTAGAGTCACTATTGCTCTGGCCTGATTTGGGACTGGGAGGATGAGTCTTAATCCAGTGGCAGCTAGTGCCCGGACGATTTCGATGCCAGTGGCAGAGGAGGAGCCAGTGATGACAGCCCACTTGCCAAGCAGCTTCCCCTCCATGTCATTATCTTTCACAATCTCCAGCGGGGTCGGTTCATGGCGGACGCTGTGAGGCATTTTGGAGCTTTGTAGAGAGGTCTCGAATACAATTAGATGAATGATTCTATGGTAATATAATTCCTTCGCCTTTTAGTACGTACGTGGATGGCACTTTCAGGTGTCTCGTGTCTTCTTTTTAACTCCTGTTAAAGTTGCAATATCAACCCTGGCTCCCGCCTACCTACGTAATCATCACACCTCTGGAGTTTCTCAGTGGGATGAGCTGACATTTCTTGCCATTTCCGGGTTCGCATTCGGATCATCTGTTCTTTGATTGCCCAGTCGCTGCATCCCCAGTCATAGCTAAAGGCCAATCGTACTCGGGTAGAACTCGCTGCGCCACGATCCATCAATAATTAGTTCCCGGTCCGTCCGGACAAACTTTTGTTCCAACGCTTTGTTTTCCTCAATGAGATTCACACAGCCTTCTTCAAGCGGGTATGCGTATTGTTTACCTAAGTTGATGACGAGAGTACAGTTATTTCCGCAATCTCCGACCATCACGAGAGAATGGTTGACGTTTCCATTTGTACAAATATGCGCATCAGAGATACTTTTCCTATTCATCTAGCTCAGGGCTGTAGCTGCGTTGGCGTCCAGGCAACCTCATTAGACCAATGATAATCCAAGTCATGTAACGCATACTTAGCGATTCTCTGCGCCCAGCCTAATCACAAACACTAATACCTGTCCTAGACGCTCATCTCAACAAGCTTAGTTGATTCCTCTGCTCTATTGATGACATTGTCTGCACTGCTTCATCAATCACCGACTGGACCGACGCATTGGCACCGCTGCGTAGCTCCACGAGTCGACGCTTCCAGAAGCCCCAACGCTCAAGATTGAAGCCCCTTGTGCCAAGAAACAATGAGCCCCCCCTGTATGGGCTCCCATGAGCTGCGTCTTCTGGCTCAGTCGAGAACGTACCCAGCACAGATTCATTCCACAGTCGTACGCCACTCTGTTTGATCCACTCTGAAGCAACAAGGACTCTCGCATCGGCGGCAGCTGCACTACCGGCATCGCTTGCGTCTTCCTCAAGGCCGTTCCGTAACTCCCATATCGCAAAGTTACCAAACCGTTTGCCCCTGAGATTGAACAATCGAGCGATGAAAGAATTCAAATTGAGCCATTCATGCTGTGTGAACTCTCTGTCGTCCTCAGCGTCGAGCTCAAATGTAGGGCCTGTCCATTTCAATTAGCATTATTTAAGGGCAACTCGGTTTTCCATCTCAACCAAGGCCATAAAACATACTATGGTTCCAGTTGTCCCTGATGGAAATACCAAACCCCGGGAGGTCAGTCCATAGTCCATAATGTTCTAGCATATTAACAACTCGAATGAGAACATCCTGCCCATAGTGACTGGAAGGGGTTCGAGAAGCGACAAGCGTAAGCACTTGCCAAGTGCTTGGTACCAAAGACTCTGATTCTTTTGCATCGAACAAAATCAAATCGGCAACAAATCGAATTGCTTTCTCCTCAATGTTGGGTTCCAAGGACGAAGAGATGGCGATTTCAAACTTAGCAAGGATGAGAAGGTCGACTTCGTTGAGGAGGCCGCGCTCTTCGTCTTTGAGGGATTCAAAATTTAAAGGTCCGTTAGACATTGTTTAAATAAGTTTGTGATGATCGACAGGGAAGAGAGATAGTTGAGAGAGGAAAACAAATAGTTGGATTCTCGTGCGTCTATCTATGTCTTCATATTCGCACAAGTGATCTTGTCTCACATGAGCAGTTATTGGAGTACCTAGGCAACCATGTATTTAAGGCTCAACCTGATATTTGAAAATAATTGAACAATTTTAGCGCCCGATTATAAACAGAGAGGCCACCGGTTTCAGGCCACTGGATGGTCATCGCCGCCCCTGCTTCATACCTCTGTATGATTGGGTAGCGTAGCGCGTGGTCTGGGTCCTTTGAAAAAGCCATCCATCTCAGGTGGTATTACCGACAGGCCTCGGGCGGTTAAAGAGTGGCTTCTACCGCACAAGGCCAGCGCAGAATCCATGCGTCTTCAGTCAGTTATGATAGGTGGAAAGGCCATATCTGGCTTTAGTGCACTTGGCTGGATACTTTGACACAAATGGGCTACGAGTGGAGAAGCGATCCTGCCAGCACACTCTTGGCTAAAAATTGAACTTCAGTATTTGCCTGACCTCGTTTGCCTTCAGCCCACTGAGCTATACGACAATTTCTCATCCCATGCAGGAAACCAGTACCTATTCGTTCCGATTAATTGCTTTTATGCACTGAGTGGCGATCCAATCAGAGGGGACTCGGTAAGTAGAGTTCGCCTGAATTTTAGGAATGGATCTATCTTTATATAGCACTCAGAGTGGATCTAACTCATCGGTGAAACTTCAAAGTTTATTCATATCTGTGGAAAAATACGCCGCCCACAAAATCAATAGCATAGACATCTGCAGCAACCGAGTCACTCCAATTTACAAACTCGAGGTCCTCCAACGCATAGTAATCACGCTCCTCTTTAGTGTCAAATCCGACCATGACAACATGTGTAAACCCTGTCTATGAAAGGATCTAGTTTTAGTAACTATTTCATCGTGAAACTTAATCCGACTGACATACCTGAAGTCCCTGCGCAGAACTGTCGCGCCCTCCAGTGCAGGATTGGATATATAGTTTTCCTGTTTTTGGATGGACGCATGTTTCCTTCAAGATAAGCATCTTATCAACAAGTTCCTGAATCAAGAGCAGTGTTAAGAATCTTTCGAACATCGATCAGGCAATCAATATATTACCTTGACTGAGTCAGCCGTAACACCATCCTTGAATTTGAATGATACGATATGAGTATAAGCCATATTGTTTGCGTTTTTTTTTAGTAATTGAGATACGGTGAAGAGAGTACTAGGCGGTTGTCTTAAATACCACTAGATTTAGGGACCACAGCCATGGATGGGATGTGTCGACCGACATCCGGGTCAATGGGCATCCTCCCCGGCCGTCTGGCCTCGGACCCCGCATCTCGCCATCGGTCTTGTACTTCTACAGCACATGACCATTTGCGGTGCTCATTAATCCCGATTATTGAGACTATTTCGTCCTAAGCCTTGGCCTATCTCCTGTTTAGCCGTCTTCGCCTCTCGGCGGCGCTGAACAGAGAGCGGAGAACAAGGCCTGGGCAAATAATCTCCATACAATTCGCCGCTAGCTCATGTCTGGTCTTTGGCCAACTCATCATACTCGGCCGTGAATGATACTCGTGTTGATGAAGCTCTCCATCTCCTTCCGGAAATTGTGATAGTACTCTGGGTCGTTTCGAAAATGGTCAATCTCCTCTTTTGAATAAGAGTACTTCCCAGGCTCGGTACTATTGGCGAGAATTTTCTCCGTGTAAGTCGACCCAATAGGTTGGCTGATCTATGTATCGTGTGGGCATTTCGTTTGCAAATGAGGAAGAATTTGAATTACAGAAGATCCACATCCCAATACAGCAACGGTCTTGCCAGTGTAGTCCCTTTGGCATTGTTAGATTGATCATCTCATTATGGAAAGAATACTCACCAGTCAGTATCCCAGTGGGCGGAATGTAGTAGTTTGCCACCAAAGTCTTGGAGACCTTCAACTTCAGGCCATTTCCAGTTATTCGACAAGTTAACAGCGCTGATGACAACCTCCGCCTCTGTAGCACTCACAACAGCCTCATTGACGGTCGAAGCATCCGCCTTCACGACCCATAAGCTCTTCTCCTCATCCCACTCGGAATTACCTTCGTATTGTACTTGATCTTCTCGTCTACTCGGTACTTGTGAGCGACACCCTTGACATACTCCAGGATCTCAGCACCTGGCGAAAAGAGCTTGGACCAGTTCGTGTTTGGCTCAAAGGAATACTGTTATACGTGACTGGGGATTCCACACGCCACGCCGGGATACCTGTTCTCGTACTAAGTTCCACCTAGAGCAGGGTTTTTCTCCACAATGGTGACAGTGGCGTTTGGAATGTTTAGTTGTTAAATTCTTGGTATTTGGGAACTTCCCCCCCCCCCATTTTTTTTTTTTTTCCCAGCGGCTGCCGCATAACTGCATAGCTCTCTCACTTATTACTGGAGGGTTCGGGTGTAAAGGGCTATGCCGCAAACACCAGCACCAATTAAAACGCGGATGAGTCGACCGTCATCGACAGCTTTCCCTTCTAATCTAAATGCTAGGGGCGCCTCACCGTTCATATTGAGGCTGAGATTTGTGGCAATGAGAATGATCTGTGGCAAAATGATGCTTGGAGTAAGGCTGAGAATACTTCCTCTTGTTCAACGTCCAGTGCTTAATTCTATGCTCAAGGCCCTCGTTTTATCATTCGATAATGCTATACACGTAATAATTATGCTTTGCCATTTAAGTTAATCGCGCTGATTGGTTTGTTTTGGCCGCTGTTCCTTGTCAAGTCGTATGATTATTCTTATCTTTTTACGCATGGGAACTTACTCATAGTGATATCTTGGGGGTCAGTTGATCCGAACGAGAACATTTTAATCTGACACTCTTGAAAATTAAACCTATTCAGTGTTAGTTGATGAGGGGGTGTAGGACAACAAATCATGTATTTCTGTGCGATTGAAGCAATCATTTCATTCTTGTCACGTTCATTCAATGTCCATGGCGTGCTTATATAAATAGCTCAGACAATGATTAAGGCAACAGCTAAGGCAATAGCTCAGGCAATAATAGTTTAGACAATTGCTAACATGCTTATGCGTCCAGTGTATGTGTGAGCAGATCCGGCGAGATTTCATGGCATCGTCAGTTAATCAGTAGGCAGTGCTTGCGACCTAATTTTACCCTTTTTACTAATATTACAATACTTCCTATTAAGAAGAGAGAAAGAGAGGGACATATCGTGGCCACGAACCAGCAATGAGGAGGACAGAGGAGTCTAGGGTAGGCTCTTAGGGCTCACCAGCTGGAGATTTATCTCAGAATGATGAAATTAACCATCGTCTGCCTGCAATCAGTTCAAACTTGGTTAGTATAGGCGGATCTGTTTAAATAAACAGAATCCTGCTGGCTCAGCTCCGCTCAGGCAAGTGGGTGATATTGAAATTGAGACACTCAAATATCAAGTCTGCGGCCGGTATTATCAAATAATTAAGTACATATACTCAGGAGATAGTACAGTATATATTATTTACTTTTTAATTAATTTATACTACTTAACTTCTTACTTCTTACTTAATCCTAAGGATGTAGTTTATTTATAACTACTCCCCCATTAGGTGTCTTATTTCTCCCGTTATCCACTTGCCGGGTCAATTCCACGTTGTTATATGTTAAAGGGTGATTGAGGAGATGGACTGGGGGGAAATAGTTGTTAATCGCAAGTTAAAAAGAACTTCACACCCAGTCGTTCCTATATTTCCTTTGAAGAAACAAGACCTTTCGTGGCGAGAGATGTCTTTCTATATGTCCCGCCTAGTTGTCATAATCCCGTAAGAGGTAATTACGTCGAGATAACAGTTTTACGTGTTGCTTGTCCGTCAAGTCGTTTCACCAAATCTGGTTCTCAGCGAGTTTGATGGGCTGGCCGGCGCAAGTGGTTATAGCAGGTACAGATCCCGTTGTTGTCATCAGAGTCAGAAAAGGCACTTTACGGACGAAAAAAGACGTTGAAGCAACACTTATAGGTAGTTCTGTTGAGCAGAACTTCTCGAATTAATTGGCTATCTGGAGTAGAAAAGAATATTCCAAGGTGCTAAAGCCCGTATGGATCTAGAGGCCTCCAGATCTGAAACTGCCTGCACATGTCTTCAAATTCTCTTACAACAGACTAGGTAACCGAATGTATCATCGCCTAAAAATGGTACATATAGACCAGATCAGAATCAGGTTTGTCTCACGGCCTGCTAGCGGTCTATTCAACCTGTGCTGGAGCACGGAAAGGTCCTGGACTTCACCTGCTATGCCTACTTAGGCTCCGAATGGGCTCTGAGGAAAATATCTGGGTACTGCAGCAAAGGAGCAACCAGCAGATCCGGCTGGGTTCCCTTGAAAACATAATCAAAGAAGCTCACGCTTATTCGCCAATAGATCTCTTGATTGCGTGCGCTCCCGATTGAACCTGTGAAGACTTTTGGGAAATAATCGCCACGGAGATTAAAAGCATCTGCAAACAGAGGTATATCGGTGAAGCCGTAGTGTGCCGTGTTGTTCACCCAAGCCCATGATTTCCAGCCATTGTAGCTGCCGTAGATTTCTGATAATTGCGGTGCCAGGATGTCAGGGGATAGTTCTTCCGAGCCAAGGATGAGAAAAGGCTTGCTGGTAGAGGCGTTTCTTGCCGGCCCGAAGACTGGGCCATCAATGTTGATGCCACCAACCACACGGCTGTCAAAGACAAGCGCGTTTTGAGCAGTGCTACCACCGAGAGAATGTCCGTAGGCAGCGACGCGAAGCGGCTTGGCTGTAGGATCAGACCAATTTGTGTCGCTCGTCGTAGTCGAATCAGGGTTGGTTTTAGTAAACGGTCCGAGGCCAGGCACCTCGCCATTCTCAATAGCATCCAGCACATCCGTCATGTCGCTGGAGCGGACGGGCTGCAGGCCTTCCACGTTTGGTTGTGTGTCATCGTAGAACTTTTGTGCCTTTTTGCTCTGCATTGCAACAGTTCCGTCAGGGAACACCTGGGCAATAGACTCATAGGTATGATCAATTGCGACAACCGTGTAGCCGGAGCTCGCAACTGATTGAAGAAGGCCAGTGTAGAAGTTATGAACGCCTTTAGCGCCAGGCGAGAAGACCACGATCGGGCCAGAGGAGGCCGAAGGCTCAAACGGCCGAGAGCAGTTGAGGAGCCTGGCCTGGTTGAATGGTTCCGCCTTGGTTGACCGATCTGTCACTTGATTGTTTTCAGTGTAATTATCATATATGGCTAGGCTGTCGAGGATGGCGGCGTTGACAAGAGGTGGACCATATGGGATGTACGTCAGATATTCGTCTGGGCATGTGAAGTTGTCGAGATGAGGCCGGTACACGGTGACGAGCAGGCGTCGAAACTCTGGCGAGTCTGCAAGCGGGTCCGGACGTGTGGTCTTGATCTCATGCTCATTTATTGTAACTGGGTATGGGCCCAGCTGTGCGTTTACAAGAGCGTTGCTGGAATTACTGCCCCCTGGCAGCTGAGCAGATGCAGTCGGGATGCAGAGCATAAGAGATGCAGGCAACAGGATAGAGTTGAGCCGCATGATGATAGTGATAATGGAGAAGAAGATGAAGATGAGTTAGTGTAATTGTAGACATGAATGGCTGGATAACAACCTCCTTTATAGTCCGCGGCGCAGACCTGGATGAGATACGTGCTTACTTGCGGACTAGCGACTTACTACGTTGATACCAAGACAGACCCAGGCTATGCGGTGCCCGTCATCCTGGATGGGCCAAACCGCAGCCGTGGACTAGGGAGAAGGAGTTCAGAGTCCCGATTTAGCGTCGTGTAGAACCGCGGTTTTTACGGTATAGTCTAACTCATACGTACAAGCTACGTTCATGAGCCGCGTACATTGGAGGAGGGCTCACAAGGTATGAAACTGTAGTCCCGCGCTTGATCCGGTATAGTGTAGCGAGGATCGGCCAAGGCCTTCTTAAATTTAGGATCTCAATTATGGTCTGCTTATGCCAGGAGTGGTGTACAAGGTATAAAGTTGTAGTCCCACACTCGATCTGGTAGCGCAGCTAGGATCCCCTGACGTCTTTTGAAGGATCCTCGTCGTGGCGCAGCTCCATAGAACTCGTAACACAGGTTGTATCTCAAGGAAGAAATGTCCAGCACACTCCTTTACCGGAATACCTTCCGCCTGTCCCGCTGTTCCACAACGATGTTCTCGACCATTTCAGTTTCAGCGCCAGGGTCGCAGCCAGAAGGCAAGCGACCGAGAAACAAGTATTCTCGCCTTATCTGCCTCGGCTGTCGCGAAAGGCGCATCCGGTGTGAGCTCCCAAAGGATGTTGACGTTCCAAGATATGGAGAGCTCCGGGAGGTTCAGACGCCTTGCTATCGGTGCAGAAGACTAGATATTCGTTGTGTCATCCGGCAGACGATCCTAGGTCGACCAAGCGCACAAAGTAGTGCTATTTCGACTACACATCTCCAGCCTGTAACTCCCAATGATATCAAGCTGCACATCTGGATCGACACCTCACTACCGAACGAGTTAGCTAGTGCACAGCGTGAGACGTCCGTCGTTCACGAACCTATCAATCCTCGCATCAGATTAGGCATTCCAAATATCTTACTGCCGAACGGAGGAGCTAGGTGCTGGAATGAAGGAACACTGGTGCTACACAAGCCTCAGTCGTCCGAGACAATTGTGATTATAAACGCGATCGATACACTTCGCCGGGAGAGGGTAGAACAAGAATGGTTTCGGCATTTGCCAGCTTACTATGGACAAACACCGGCTCTCGACCTGGCTGTGAAAGCTCTCGTACAAGCGAGCGTATACGCCCGCGGAGTGGCTGAAGTAACTACCAGAGCCTGTTTTCAGGCACTGTCGCCCGTGCTCGATGCTGTGCAAGCGAATATCAAACAGTCGCCTGGGCAGCTGGGTGATGATATACTTGCCGCGGCAGCACTACTCGCTCCATTCGAGGGAACAATAAAGAGAGACGGCATTCCCAGTCGTCAGCACATTGACGGGCTGGCCGCAATCATAGCAGCGAGACCTAGAGTGCAGTCTGTCAGTCAGCTAGCGAGAGACATTCTAGACTGGTATGCTGTAGAGAGCTCTACTATGGCGTGCATTCAGGGCACGCCCTCACCGTTTGAGAAGATTCCTCGAGCATACTTTGCTAGTGACGGGCTGGGCTGTGACAACAGTGATCGAGAGCGCCTCAAGGCTTTCAGCAACGAGCTTTCTATTCGCATTCCGCGGCTTGTTATGCTAACGCGGATGCTACGACTTCAACACCCTCCGCAGCATGCAATACTTTTAGATGCGTATACGTTGCTGCAATCGTTGCTTGAGCTGCAGGATCCTCAGGCAGAGAGGCAATTTCTACAGAATGTTACGGTTCAACCACCACCACCACTTAGTCAGAGCCTGCACTTTGCTTCAGTCAAGGACTACGAAACACTTACGTATTACTGGCAAAGCCGGTTATCTCTACTCAGACTAGATTGGTACCTTCATGGGCTAATGGCATCCCATCCTATTCGGGTACAAGGCACAGATACGCAAACTTTGTCTCTCTCGCCAAGAGCCGGTCCCCAAACGAATGAGATGCGCCTGCTAGTACAGTGCCTCATTATGTCTGCAGAGAATGTTCCCGCCTTGCCACTTTTCAAGCAACAACATGTGTTCGCTCACGCCATGATCATGGTGTGGGGCGCAACGATGGATGCTTGTGTTCAGCAGGGTGCCGAAAGAACTGGTTCTTTGTCTGAGCTTCTGTTGCGAAGGGTTAACCGTGCACTGAATACGAAGCCGGAATTCTTGGCTCAAGACATGAATGAAGCGGCAGATATTTTCGTTGGCGGAGAGCGAAAAGGTAGGTTTGCACGAATCTACGGGTTATAGCCAGAGTATTTACATATTTGCGGACGTTTTTACTGGACTCGTTATTTCATTAGAAAGGAGACGTTGATGAACAGTCTTGAGCAATACTGTCAGCGTGTTGTTAACAGGATGGGTTATTACAAGGGAGGTTTCCATTTCGTCAACCCACGCCTGAATAAGGAAATGGCTTCAAAATTTCAGGTCGGATTACAAGGTAGTGATATTGCTTAATGTAGAGGAGCCATGGTTATTACCTTTCAACATAATAGACCAACCGATCTAAAATACATGTATCCCTATGGCTCTGACGCGTACAAGACGCTTGACTCCCCGCCCTAGACTGAAAGAACCGGTCCTACTGGGTTTTCAACCTTCACAACATTCTTTTCCAAGGAATGGCGGACTTTCTCCGATTCTGATTCGCTAGGCAACGAACCTTGCAGCACCGTGCCCTCATTGTCCTTGTCTACAAGCTCCTGTTGGCTCTTCGCGCAACTTTCCCATGGATGCTGGCGAGCCTCGGTTATGGCCAGGTCTTTGAAAACCAGTGATAGAACAACATAAGTAAAAGCTCCAGCAAGGACACAAAACAGCCAGCCCTGGGGGACGGAGAATGGATACCGGATGAAGTCAAGGACATTAAAAATAAAAAGTTCCAGCCCGGGATCAGATAGGACTAGCTAGAGGATTCAGGTACTGGAAATTAAACGTTTAGGAAATTTCATATTCCCCGTGATGGCTCACCCAGCCCTTATAAGTACAGAGTTGATAATTGTGTCCATAACCGCTATTTACTAAGCCTCCAGACATCGGCGGATTCGAGGCTGAGGCGAAATCCGCCGAACCACTGTGCTTTTCTGTAGCTCGAAAGCCGCCGGTGAAGTGACTCCACCGAATGCAATTAGAATCATATCGGTTATTAACCAATAAGCGTCCATATTTTGAGTCATGGATGGGGTTAGGCTGCTAATAATGGCACGGCAATAACGTGTGTACTTCATAATAAATTGATGGGGGTTGTCGCCAGTTCACCCGAAAATACTCAGTTCCGAATCAACCAACCTCATCATTACCATCGCTATCATTCTTTTCACGCCCATGTCTAGTTTATATCAACCCCTCCCTGCCGGCCTCTTGCCTGGATCATTGCTTCTGGGATTTACTCTGGCGCCAAATATCTTCTTCCCAGTATTTACAACTATTGCGAACCATGTGCCAATTCTAGCAAGACTTGGCCCCATGTTTATGGAAAACAGCCGCCCGTTTAAGGCGCCGTTATTGGCCTTCGTTGTACTTGGGGGCGTACGCTGGCTGAACCGCAACCTCTCTATCATGGCCCAGAACTCCTGGCGCACAACTCTTCCGAATGGTTGGGACTGGTCGAAAGAAATTGCTGTAGTCACTGGTGGTAGTAGCGGCATCGGCCAAGCTGTCACTCAAAGACTTGTGGCCAAAGGCCTGATTGTGGCTATTCTGGATGTTCAAGACCCTCCGGAGTCGATGGAGGACCAACATCGGACGCATTTCTACAAATGCGACATCTCCAAGCCAGAGGACATCGCAGTCGCGGCAGAGGCCATCCGGAACGGGTTGGGTCACCCAACTATCCTAATCAATAATGCCGGGATTTCCCATCGGTGCCCAATTCTTGAACTCTCCGACGAAGCCCTCCAACAGTTGTTTGCCATCAACTGTTTTGCACACTGGTATACGGTGAAGCAATTCCTTCCAGATATGATCAAACATGACAAGGGACATGTAGTTACTGTAGCCAGCTCAGCCTCCTTCGTTGCTGTTGCCAACGCCGGCGACTACTCAAGCAGCAAGAGTGCCATCCGTGCTTTCCATGAGACGCTCGGTTCAGAGCTGAAGCATATTTATGATGCCCCAAATGTGCTCACCACGGCTGTTCATACCGAATTCGTCAGGACGCCCATCTTGAAACACCAACAAGCGCATCTTGACAAAGAGGGCATATTCATGCTCGACAGCGACTTCGTTGCGGACAAGATTGTCGACCGAATCATGAGCAGAACCGGCGGCGACTTGATTCTTCCAGAGAGTCATTCGTTTGTTGCAGGCTTGAGAGCTTGGCCTGCATGGTTGCAGGAGCTTGCTCGTGATAAAATGGGTCGACGTGCGAGGAGGAGGAGAGCGGAAACAGCTGGTGCTGCGCTTCACTGAAGACAGACTATGTATAATAAATAGCTTGTACAAATAGTGCCTTTCTATCCCAGTAAACCCATTTCAACTTGATATACTGCCAATGCCTTAAACTGGAAGGCACCGACGTCATATATTTGGTACTGTCAATTGTTCTCAGACAAAAATTTTCTTTCGTATTTACGTATTTAATCTACTTTACAAAGACAAATTTTCTCAAATTTATACATTTTTGTTTTCTTTTTTTCTCCATGCCTACTTTTTGGCTTCCGCTGCTCGCTTCGCCAGTTCCTCACGAACAGGAGGTAAAATATATCGGCCGTAGTCAACGGCGTCGTTGAAGTTGTCATAACCTCGGATAGAGATCAAGTCGGCGCCGAGATCAACGTAGTCAAGAAGTGACTCCTTGATGGTCTCATAGCTTCCTACCAGAGCAGTGGACGCACCACGGGCATTGGTAGCTGTCACGGTAGGGTACCACAGAGCTCGGTCCTGGACCTCACCGCGAGCGGCGATCTCCAGCAGGCGCTGGGAGCCAACGTTGGCGGGAGGAGGGGCATTAGCAGGGACGAGTCCCACGCCCTTCTCCCTGTTGCCCTTCAGGGCGTCTAGAGTTCGGTGCGCCTTGGCCCAAGCAAGGTCATCTGTCTCGGCAATAATAGGGCGGAAGGTGACCCAGATACGGGGACGATCAGTGGGAGCACGGCCGGCCTTGTCGGCCTCGGCGTAGATGCGATCGATCTGCTCCTTGGTCTCCTTGAGAGGTTCGCCCCAGAGACCGAAGATATCGGCGAGGGAGCCACCGATACGGTAGGCAGAGTCGGATGAGCCACCGACCGAGACGGGGATGGTTCCCTTTGTGGGCTTGACGCGGCTGACGAACTGCTTGAACTGGTAGTGCTTGCCCTCCCAGTCGAAAGGCTCAGTCGATGACCAGGCGCGACGGAGGATCTTGATATACTCCTCGAGGCGCTCGTAACGCTCCTCCTTGTTGAGGAAGTCACCCTCCTTGGCCTGCTCGGCGTCACTGCCACCGGCGATGAAGTGAACAACCACGCGGCCCTTGCTGAGCTGGTCTAGAGTAGCGAGGGACTTGGCAGCGACTGTGGGGTAGACAGTGTTGGGGCGGAGGGCGATGATCACGGTGATGTTCTTGGTGTGGGCAAGGACTGTTGCGCCAAGAGTGAAGGGGTCAAATGACTCGGAGCCGTAGGGGATCAGGGTGTAGTTGAATCCGTAGTCGTCGAGCGCCTTGGAGTAGCGCACGAGGAAGTCGGGGTCAACCCCGGCGCCAGGGATCGGGTTGATCTCATTGGAGGCGTTGGGGAAGCTGATGCTGATAAATTCGACAGGCATGATGGATGTGTGGCTTGGCTTATATGTATCTAAGAAAGAGAGGGAGAGGGAGAGAGCAGGCTTTCCTATCTGATGAGACAAACCACCACCTTTACCCGCAACAAGACATGTCACTCTGTATTAAAGCATTTCCAACATCAGTCGTGTTTGTAAGCCTCGCCGAGCTCGGAGAAAAAACACTGGTGTTTCCGGGTCGTTGAGTTGATACGTGGTGCTCATCGTGGAGTCAGATGGCGCAATCTGGCCAACATGACATGTTCAGGGTCTCGGTGCATGAGATATCAGCGGAGGAGCACCAATCGAGATGGAGAACGAGCCGGTGGGATCTGGAGTCAAGATGCCACCTGAATGGACACGCTGGAAATCGATGGTGTCGTGGGAGGGGAAGGCGAGCACACGATATCCGTCCATCATCACGTCACCTCGTCACTGGGCTAAAGCCCCCACTTGAGACATGCGCAGCATAATCAATCACAGCCCTGGTTGTCTGCTAGCCGCATCTTTCCGTGTTCGTTCAACGGTGATCTGTGCCGTCTCATCCATGTGCGGGAGACTGGCCATTCCTCTCTCGAGGATAGTGGCCGTCCGGAGAAAGACAGACACCTTGGCTGGCTACCCCCCATGATCAGGTGTGCCTCCGCGCTTGCTGCTGGTTGCCCGGATCGCCCAGCCTGAAGCTTGGCTCACAGGGTCTCTTTGTATGGCGATCTAAACAGTCCCATGTGGCGACATCGAGGATTCAGATGGTGAAACTATGGAAATGCCACCTGGCGCAAGCTCTATTGGCTGTCTCTGGTGCCCTAAGGCAAGGGCAGTGCTACCCCTGTGTATCACATCAGATGCTGCCTGTCAGATAGATGGGATACATTAATAAAAACAGCCCAGAATGCCCTTTTTCTTGATCCTCCATTACAAATTTCGATAAAATCACCCGGGAATCGCCTATTAGCGCTGTTGTCGCTACTCATCCAAGATGACGATATCGAAGGGAGGAGGATATGGGACTGTCCGTCACAGGGATGACATCGACGACGGGGCCGACAGCTCAAGTAGCTCAGCAATCGGTTCCATCCAAGACGAGCCAAAGAGGAGTTGGAAATCGTACCTCTGGGACACATTCGACAAGTCTCCCGAAGAGCGACGATTCCTGTTCAAGCTAGATGTCGCCTTGATGACCCTGGCATCTCTGGGGTATTTCATGAAGTATCTCGATCAGGTTAGCATTATTTTGGCTGTCATTTCATCCTTACTCGTGTCCTCCACTGTCCTCCATTTTCATTTTGTCGGACTATTCTTTTCGTGCTTCTTGCTGTTCTTTCTAGTGGTGATATTGACAACGCGACACAACGTAGGTCAACATTAACAATGCCTTCATATCTGGAATGAAGGAAGACATGGGCCTCTTCGGTAATGAGCTCAACTATATGCAAACCTTCTGGACAATTGGATATGTGATAGGCGAAATACCGAGGTATCTTTGCCCTTTGCTTGACTGTCCATCTCTCTTGTGCTAATCTAGGATAGCAACTTGCTCTTGACCAAGATCAGACCTAGTATTTGGATTCCTGCTTGCGAAGTATGCCTCAAATTCCCAATCCCTACTGTTGATGTCGGAGGCATAGAGTAACACCAAGACAGGTCATCTGGTCCTTGTTGACCGTCCTCCTGGCTAAGTGCACCACGACGACACAGCTATATACCCTTCGTTTCTTTATTGGACTCGCCGAGAGCACTTTCTACCCCGGAATGCAGTACATTATTGGATCATGGTATCGCAAGGACGAGCTAGCCAAGCGATCGTGCCTGTTCCACGCGATGGGAAATGTAGGGTCCATGGTGTCAGGATACTTAATGGCGGGAGCAATCAATCTCGACGGGGTGCACGGTTTCCATGGATGGCAATGGCTCTTCATCACCAACACGGTTGTGTCGCTCCCCATCGCCATCTCAGGCTTCTTCTTTCTTCCTGACGTGCCCGAGATTACCAGGGCATTTTACCTGACGCCGGAAGAGGTCAAATTGGCCAAAAAGCGAATGCAGCTCGAAGGTCGAGCCCAGCGCTCCCCTTTCACGAAGGCAAAATTTATCAAAATCTTCTCCAGCTGGAAGATTTACCTGCTTACGTTAATCTACGTCCTCTTTAATAACGGGAACGGCGGAGCGTCCCAACCCGCTTTCGCCATATGGTTGAAACAGCAAGGCTACACGGTCAGGGAGGCCAACATTTACCCCACGATCACTGAGGGAATCGGCATCGTCACCACCCTCATATACGCCTGGACCTCGGATGGAATATTCAAAGGGGCTCGATGGCCTGCCGTGGTCTTTTCGGGTGTGGTGAAGATCTTTTCCTACACCTGTCTGACGATATGGAACATACCCACGGCGCTGACTTGGATATCTTTCCTGCTTTGTGGATTTGGAGGGGGTATCAGTGGTCTATTATTTGCCTGGGCCCACGAGCTATGCGGGGACGACAACGAGGAGAGGGCGCTTGTCACGGCCATGATGAATGAGGTGGCATACATATTCCAGGCGTGGGTGCCGCTGGTGATCTGGCAGCAAGTGGAAGCCCCGAGTTATCCAAAGGGTTATCCCACCATGATCGTGATTGCGGCTGCCCTGATTATCAACGCTTTCGTGCTCAGGTATCTGCACCATCGTTACGTCAAGCCCACGTCAGACTCGCGAGATGAGATCCAGTACGAACCTATTCCGTCGGTCGAGCTATTAAGCGAGCACTGAGAGACACTGGGGGTGAGAATTTCCCCTTGTTGGCCACGAAATGACGCACTTTATGAGGATACATGAGAACAACACAAGGAGCCGATGCATAAATTTATTAGATGTTGATGGTTGAGTATGCATATAGACTAGAATACTAGATTCATGGCCGCGTTCCGTGTTATCAATTTATTCAAACAAGAGAATTCCATCAGTCGATTTCCCTAAGCGGACTGCTATCATCAGTTACAACCTTCAACTAAAACCTACGACAATACCATTTACATGTATACTGCACGATTGATTCCAGTTAAAGCATCGACTGAGGTTAAATAGTTACATTCGCTACCCGAAGGCTCCAGTGTATCCCAGATAGCATCACGTCTTACTGGCTATGGAATCTAAACACGGATGCCATATTCTTGACTGAAGTAGCGAAAATGAACAGCCTAGTTATAGCAAAGGCTTTAAGCAGCCTCGACCGCGGCACCAAGTCGATGGAATCCACCTTCGACAGCAACCTGCTCCTGGAGCTTAGCCATGCGCTTCTGGTCACCAGTAGGGTCCTTGGAATCAGCCTCGAGAGTCCACTCAAGGAACTCATTGGTGTAGTTGGGAACAAAGTCATTGTCCAGCACACCGAGGCGCTTTCCGTACGCGGTGACCTTGGTCCAGTCGCGCTGGACATTCTTGAGGTCCTTGGAGAAGTACGCGTAGCTGCGCTCAAAGATCTTGCGGTACAGGGGCGTGGCGAGGACAGGCTTGAAGTCGATGAACTCCTCCCAAGCCTGGGCAGGCTCGGCGATGACAAAGTCGGTGGCCTTCTTCACGGCGCGCAGGAACGCGCGGACCTTTTCGGGGTTCTCGCGGACAAAGGTCTCGTTGCCGATGTAGAGGATGGAGCAGAAGCAGCAGCATCCCAGCTCGGCGAGCTGGTCGATGCGGAGCATCTGGACGTCAGACTTGGGGCGGTTCTGGGTGGCCAGCCATTCCTCGAGCTCGACCATCTGGACATTCTCCAGACCGATGCCGGCGTCGATGTCCTTGTTAATGATGGCCTTGGAGACGTTCATGCCGCAGCGGACGGCGGTGTAGTCCTCGGGGGTGAGGCCATAGTGGGAGGTGAGCTCGTCGATCTGGATCTTGCCGAACTCGCCGACGTAGCCGATGCGCTTGCCCTTGAGAGATCGGAAATCGGTGGTGATTCCGGAGTCCTTGAGGTAGACGACGCCGGTGAATGGCTCGTCGAGAAGACTTCCAATGGAGACGACAGGGAAGTTGCGAGCCTTGGCCTACATGATGGTCGATTAGCGAGAGGGTTATTTCCAGTTTTGAAGAATGGACATACAGCAAGAGTGTGAATCATGGCCTTGAAACCAAGGTCCACCTTTCCACTGCCAATAATCTCAGTGACATCCTGAATCAAGTTAGCTAGGTGTCAAACAGACAACACAAGGCGGCTATGCGTACACTGGGGTCATTGGGCTCCAGCAAGGCAACCTTGATACCCTCCTCCTTGAAGTAGCCTTTAGCCTGGGCGAGGTAGAGCGGTGCGTGGTAGGCAGTGGCGTGCCTGTATCAGGCTCGTCAGTACACATACATCACAGTCACGCAGAAAAGCAAATGCACATGGAAAGCTAACCAGTTGGTGAGAAAAGTAATCTTGTCACTCGCCATCGTGGATGCGTTTCAAGTGCGATGCTGCTAGGGTTAGTTGCCACATTCACGAATCAGGGGGAGGGGGAGTCAAAGAAGCATGTCCTTCCGCTGGTATTATCCAGATCAAGTTCACCGGTATTTCTCAGACTGGCCAGACGAACGCTGTGCCCTCTCCCGCTAGTTACAGCGTATTAACTGCCGTCTCAGGATCCATCTGACCGGTTCCCGAGAGTGAGCTAATGGGGAGAGGGTTTACGAGCACAGCGACGAATTGGCCAACCACCCGGATGCATTCTTGTTCCTCGATTTACCTTGAAAGCATTGAAGTAGCGCACAAAGTGCCATGGCTTCTCTGACGCAAGCGTCATACCGTCGGTTTGTTTTGGCGGCGGTTGCGGACTCGAAGTAATGGATCGATAAGAATCAACTTGTGGGATTATCGAAAGAGAAGGTTCGGTAAACACAGAAATGAGGGGAAAGCCGCAAATTTATACCTCATGATTCCTAACTACATCATAGCCCTAAGTCCTTCTCCATGATCATGTCGATATATTCCGCTCACTTAGCCGGAAATGGCTCACTCTACATGTATGACACCCGATGATCCGTGATTTTGAGGGACCTATTTGGCATTATGCATCCTTAGTCAGTCTTGGACTTGGTTTCTCATCGACTTATTTGATGCGAGAGCCGATTAAAGTGGACTCAGGTTCCAGGCGAAGTCGGACTAGCATAACCCACCATCACGATGGGTGAGGGGATTCTGGGCGAGTGTCGCCCTCCTGACGCGTTCGATAGGCCATAACATCCACGCTGGCACTTGGCGAGTCCCATTATAGCTGCAGGAGGTGTCATAACAGGCCATAACGGGATCCAGGTGGGTGACATAGAAGATCTTGTCTCTTCTCTTGGAGCAACAGATGACATGCCGGCCCGATGCTACCCGTAATACGCTTCCTCGGCTTTCTCCATCGCTTCCGTTACTCCACGTGCCAGCTCTCTCGTTTTTGGGTGTACAGACTTGAGGTCTTGAACCCATGCCGCTCTGGACTTCCAAAACTCCCATCTCGCAATACAGAACTCTGGAGGTCCCGTCCATAGGCTTTTTCGGTTGGGCGGCCAAGGTTCGATCTTCCCGTTGAGGGTAATGATGACCCCGCCAGCGTTCAAAACCCACTGAGCCACAAGTGGGATATTAATGTTGAGTGCCTGGATATCCTCCTGCTTGAACGATGCCTCGTCTCGGGGTGTCTGTTCAAACGCCATACAGAAGTCTTGTGCGCAATCATCAGCGAGGTTCAGGCTGGGAATGCCCAGGTTGGACATCTTGGCCAGGAACGCGATTGAATTGACGTGATTGTCGTAGTAGGTTTCCCAATTGCGATCCTCGGTCAAATCCCCCCAGACAGCGCCTATCATGTCCGAATGATCAGACAATTGCAGCGCGACTTGCCCGCTTTGATCAACGACGTCGGGAAGCTGGTAAATGGCAGCGACCAGCTTCAGGAGCGCTTCATGGTGCTCTGGATACTTGCTTGAGATTTGCCCAACGAATGACCAGACGTTGTATGTGCTATCTTTAGTCGTGAAACCACTCCCCAGCTGCGCTGCTGCCTCTGTGCTACTGGCTGCCCCCTTGAGGAAATCTCTGATTGTTTCCACGCTGCGGGAGATCCTGATTAGATCACTGAGCTGTAAATAGTGGTTGGGTGGTAATTCAGCGACTTACTCTTTCCGTGTCTGTCCACCGTTGGATTTCTTTATTTCATCCTGCAAATAAGCCTCCCAGTTTCGAGCCATTTCACTGGATGTAGGTATGAACGACTATATTCGTTGATTCTCGTGAATGTTTGACCGAAGCAGAGGAGAAGGCTCTGGATTAAGGCCAGCCAAGCAGCGGGGCCGCATAATAAATAAGAGCCAGGCTTCATCAATGGTGAGACGACAAGGAGTTATCCGCACGCACCAATCGCAAGGCATAATCTGACAGGACCCAGCCCCGGGATCAATGTAAGCTTTGTTTTTGGAATAGTGGCAAAATCCACTGTGTTTTGGGACGAGCTTGAAAGTGACCGGTTAAATATAATCAGTGTGTAGAAAAGTCTATTGAGTGAAATTAAACAGAATTTTACAGCCCGATATCCTTGACATCCACGGCCTGGCCTCCAAATCAAAGAAACCCCATCGAATCTTCACCCCATTCCACGTATCTACCGACATAGCTGCTATTTAGATCTCCTAGTTCTGCATCTATGGTCCGAGTGGTGTCTCGTAACTGTACTGATCAGCTCCAGCCCACTGGATGAAGGAGTTGCCAGCAAACTGGTATTGATCAATTGGCAGGAAACTCTCCAGCTCTGAAGAGACACATCCCTTCTTTTCTATCTCACGGCCTTCAAAGCGGCTGTGTATCCAGTCCAGCCACAGCGTCCTAGTAGCGTCAAGGGAAGGCACATGCCCAGTGCCCTGAACAGTCAAGAACTCCAAGTCATTGTCTGGGTAGATCTGGCAAGTGTCTTGAGAGGTCTTGGCCGTCACATTGTACGAAACATAGACATCATTAGTGCCCTGAATAACCAAAAGAGGTCCCTTGAAGGGTTTGCTTCCAGGATTTGCCAGCTTTGCGAACTGTTGGGTATACCATGTCTCGTTGTATGTCGTCTTGTAGATGTCTTCACCAGTGAAGAACAATTGTTGACCCACGGAAATACCTGCTTCAAGTTCCTGAAAGACTTCCGTGCGCTGAACTCCCAGAGGAGTGAGCCATTGATCGAGTGTAAAGTCGGGGAAGAGCTTGTAAAGCGCCATTCCCACCCATGGAAGGATCAGTTGAGGAGAAGCGGAGAAGACGTCAGTTACTGGGCTGACCGCGATCGCACCCTTGTAGCCTCCAAGCAGATCGGAGAATTCTTCCTGCTGGCTTTCAAGAGCCTCAGCCACGCCCCAAGTGACACCTCCACCCTGGCTATGGCCGATAGTGACGAACTCTGTGCTCAGGGTAGTGGGGAATGCCTCGAGAGCAGCACGGAGGCCATAGAGCCCATCAAGGGAACCTACAGACGCCATATCCCACTGATGAGGAATACGGCTTCCGTCCCAAGACTTTGAGATGCCAAGGCCTGCGAAATCAGGGGCCACAACAGCGTAGCCTGCGAGAGCAAGGGTAAATGGGGCTGAGTTGCCGTACCAAAGCGATCGGTGAGCTGAAGGGGCGGCGCTGGCGAAGAAACCAGAAGTACCGTGGTTCCAAAGGACAACAGGAGCCTTCTTCTCGTCGATGTTTTGAAACTTGCGTGGGCGGAACGGCCAAAGAATGAACGCCGACGCTGGAAGGACTGTACCATTCAAGTCCCTAGTAGTATAGACAATCCGAGACAAGGCTGTATTGGGTGGGATCGAAAACGATGAGATATTGGTGAACGGTTGGACCTTAAGAAGCTGCCCGGGAAGAAGAGGTCCGCTCTGGTTGGTCAATGGGGGGAGTGAGTAGAAGTCATCCTCGCTTGGACCTCCGTGTGCCAACTGTGAGCGATCGAAGTTGATGATATTCTCTATGCTCTCTATGACGGACTCCGAAATGTTGAGTTTGGCGATTTGCTCCTTTGATAAAGCAAAGGAGGAGTTGAAAGATGTCGATTGGGAGACAGCCGGAGCCACTTGCGCCAACCCCAGAGGGAGAAGGCTGGCTAGCACAGCCAAAGATTTGAATGTATGCATTGCAAACTTTGGTGTATATTGAGCTCGAGAGGAAACTGTTTGAGATAGAAGTGTTAGTATAGCTCCCCATTCAACTACATCAGAAACCACGTCTACTTATACAAGACGACCGATGATGCTCCCCGGTACTGCCTCCATTACATTTGTCAGCCTTAAAGAGTTTCATAATTCAAGAAATTTTGCCACTTTCGGCTCTTTCTAGGCAGACTGGCTTCAGGGTTGTCTTAGAAATTGAGATCGCTGCTACTCGGCGTCAAGGCGGGTCTCGGACCTGGAGTGGACCATCGGACTTCAAGTGGATCGGTCAGCCTCAACACCAAGCTCCTGTCAGCGTAACTGTCAGCATTACAATGGCGCCATCACGCTTAAAGACAATTAATAATCTCATATTTCTGCGAGTTACTAAGTCTTTTTTGTGAGTTTAATTCCTCTCCGAGTTCCAGATCTCTTCTCATGCCGCCAAATCAATCCTTAGGAAAGTCTAGGATCAGTGCAATCCACAACTCGGAAGAAGCGTCCTTCTCGTTACGCACGAATGCTGAGTATACATATGTATACTCTGATCTGGAGAGATGTTTCCGTAATTATAAGCCCATGCTGCTTTCCATAGTGAGAATGCGTACTTATTGTTCTGAAGGTGCAGTATTCCCATTATTGGCAATACGAGTGCACCTCTCATCTAGCTCTAGGGTATCTAAGCCGATCACGTCACGAGGTACCAGCGTTGGGAAATCCTATGGAGCTTTCGACATTGCATGGCGTTTGTTATTTCCTTTGTTCTGTTCTCTCTCTCTACCTCTTTGCCGTGTTAAAATTGTAGTTCAAGATAGACCTTGGGGTTAACCGACGAACTCTACACTGGTGCTTTAGCTGAAGATAGATGTTGAAGAGCTACCTTAATTGGCTCTTCCAAGAATATAGTAGGAAGCTAGATATAGATGTACGCAGGCTGAGATAGTCTTTTTTATGATTCCAGGGACCGCGTGAGCATACCTATGATGCGTATGGCTTACCCTCCAGATCCAAGGGTGCCAGCAAGTATTTGCTGTCTGAGATGGTAGCGAAACTTGACCGATAGTCATCGCCGATTACAACTTACAAGACATAGATAGACTATTTATTTCCAATTCATGCAAACACTGGCGAAATTTCGTTGAGGTAATTGTTTGCTAAGTGAAATGCTATCGAAAATGGAAAAGGGGTCTAGCCGGCTCAATAGGAACCCGGGCCCTCCCGGTCATCAAAAACACAACATGTCCAAGTCAGAGATCATAAAGAAAACAAAGGAAATAATATAAAGTGTCCACCAGACATCAGAGTTAGTCATAAAACTCGGTGCGGTTGAAGCAAAGCTCATATCCCCTAAGACTCAATCTCCAGATCGGAACCCTTGGTTCATCAGAGATCTTTCGGGTGTTGTAGAAGCCAAACTTGGTTGGGAGGTTTGACCGAAATTCCTTGTACTTGGTGTAAAGGGACTTTTTCGGCGGCGGCGTTTGTGGTCTCCTCGGAACTGGGCAAGGTCGGCGCGGGGTAGGTTCCTTGGACTTTTTTGCGCGCTCCGGTTTGAATACAATCTCGCTCTGTGGCTCACCGCGGTAGCTATCAACGCTTTTCCGCCGCTCATCCGGCATGGAATCAAGCGCAGGGTTGTCCTCGAGCTTTTGCCTCATAACCTCCAATAGTGGCATTTCGTGTCTCCATTTAACACCAGGCAGCCGGCCCCATCTAGGGTCCCAGATATGGTAGTGCTTCCATCGCTGGACGACAGTGTCATACGAGCGGCTTTCAATCTCGCTTTCTGTGGTAGGTACGTTGTCCGCTCCGGCTTTGCGGCACTCCTCATACCATTCCTGTTCTCTGCGTACTTCATACAGGAACTGGTTTGAAGGGCGAGATGCGTCACGCTCAATGGCCCTCTGCATGGATGATTTCTTATTTTCCGGGTCATCGATCCGATCACCTTTGAAAGCAGTCTCATGCCTCCAGGCTTCTCCGACGCTGTGGCGTCGTTCATCGAGGACCCAGGAACTGTGCCAGATACCCTGGTCGATCCACCGTTGTCGGATCTTCAGTCTGATGATTGCGGCAATCTCAAAAGGATCATCCGGCGGAGCAGACTCAGCTGGGCCCTCATATATACGGGCAAGCGAAATAAAGCGCTCCCTCTCAATCTCCGCCAGCATTTTAATCATGCGGTTTGGTCTTGAGGCTTTACGGTTCGTGTTCACGGCCGCCGCCCACGAGAAATTGGGTGGATCCCACTCCCCTTCCTCACCCTCGAGCTCAGGAGGAGGTGAGCGAGTGAGCACTGTAGTTGCGCCGGATTGAGGCGGCGTTCCCTCGGGGGTCTTGTTGAACCTGGAGCGTTCATGTTCAAGCCTCTGGGGATTGCCTCTGAGCCTCTCGAGGTCGGCATCGAGTCTGGCAAGGCCTTCTTGGAGAGTTATGATCATAATGAATAAAAATATCAACAAGACAGAAATTGTGTAGGTATAGGATGCCAAGAATAACAGAAGGGAATTTGATGGAATGGGATCGAGGAATGAAGGAATCAGACTTGTTGTATTATCATTTCTGATGGTTAGGACTCAGGATGGACCACCGGCTATTAAAGTCAACCAAGGCAAGAAAAGCTTGAGAACTTACGCGCCGTGTTATGCGTCTGCGCGAGCCGCCATCCTAACAATAGATCCTAGGGATAATCGACCGGGTAACTTGTGAGCGAACCGCCCGGGTTTGTCATTTCTGCTTGAGCTTGGTCACTGGCGCATAAGCGCCCACCACAGGCGAGAGACGCATCAAACCCCTGCCAGAGTTGCAGCAACCCACTGATAGGCCAAAATACACATCTAACCGCCCAACTTTGAGCGTTTCATAATAAGCGCCATACTACAGTATCATCAGTATGTGACAACCCTGTCAAAGCCCCATAGCCCCCGCATGCAGGTTGCGATGCTACCACGGAATACGCCCTCATGAGCGCCAACCCAGATCATGACACCACTCTGTGCCATTGTCCTCACGATCAAGAAAGTTGGTGCATACAAAGTTGGTCCTGACCTGAAACCCAGCCTTGTATGATGGCGCGAGTGACCATGGCCGTTATGCCATGGTCTTGTTGGCGACTGTTTATGGGTTGCCTATCGTCAAGGCCATGCCCTCCACTGTTCGAATAAACGCCGAGTAAATTTAGATGCGTTTTCAGTTGCTACCGTAGTAGATTGTTGAGCCCAATTTTACCATTATCTAGGCGCTTCGACTGTATCAGAGACAAGGCCGTCACGTACTCGTGCTACTCGAGTGTTCATCAACGAGCATTAAAGAATGCTGCGCCCGCCCCGACTTCTCCCCATCTTTTCAGGTTGAAAGACAATATTTTTTCAAAAGGCTTTTGCAATATACCGAATCATTCCATTCTTGTCCTTGATTTTCCTCGTCCACTTTGTCTCGCGCTGCATAACACCTTTATCATGGCCAGTGGTCATCAGGACTCTTCATTTCATCTTCTTTTTTGGCTTGAGCCTGATAATAGCATAACCAAAACATGCTTTCCACCTGAGCGCAGTCGTGATTCCGACTTTGACATCGGACTCCACCATTCCCGGAGGGGAAGCACGACGTTGGCTACAATTGGACGCGATGCCAGCTGCGATATCGTGATCAATGACCCCATCATCTCAAGGCTACAATGCTCCTTTGAGATAAACCCCGCCAACGGCATCATCTTTCTAGTCGACAGGTCTCGGTTCGGTTCTACCGATGTCGGTGGCCAAAAGAGCAGTGGGTTCCCTCGCACTGCCCAAAGAGAAGTCGTTGTACTCCCTGACTTCAATGACGAACTGTACTTGGGTGGCAAGCAGGGATACAAATTCCGCATCCATTGGAATTTGGCAGCCTCTAACATTGTAAGGCATGCCAAAACATTTGCCAATGATGTTGTGCCCAAGCCTCCTCAACGCACTCTGACCATAGAAATTGGTGACGAGTATCGAAAAAACAGGATCGGGGCAGATGATGCGTTGACTGCGGTGCAGTCGCGAGCAATGTCCAGGCTTTACACCCCGGGTGCAGAGCCCCAGGAAATGGCATGGGAACCCATTGAGACAATTCAAGAAAATAAGCATGGAAGCGTCTCACGCGCTGCTAATGCCTTCACTTGCGGCCTGATTGCTGTCAAAAAAATCAAAGCAGAAGGACTTAGGGGAAGCCGAAGCTCTATGCTACAGCTTGAGAAGACCGTGGAATCCCTGCGGGATATATCGCATGTGAGTACTCTATTCGTTTTTTTTTTTGTCTCATCATACTCATACTTCCGCAGGATCATATCTTAGGCATTATCGCATCGACCGGTTGGTGTGATGATACCCTTGAGATTGCCATGGAACTCAAAGATGGCAACCTCCAGTCACTGGTCAATTCATGGAGAGATTGCCTTCCGCATCGCTCTGCCATTGATAGCTTGGGATTCAGGGCTATGTACCACTCTCTTCTTGGTTTAAGATGGCTACACCACCACCATTTCATCCATGGCTCCGTTACGCCTCATAACATCCTCTTCACCCAAAGGGCTGGTAATTTCAAATCTGTTCACAGTTTCCACTTCGTACTTGCAGACTTTGGCCTTAGCACCGCCGACTCGAAGAACGAGTACAACCAAATCTTTATTGCTCCAGAGCGCCATTACCCTGATAGAAGATCTAGCAGGAAGTCTGACATTTGGTCTCTTTACGTCACGATGCTAATGGTTCTGCGAGTTGATGATGACTTCTCTTTCAACATCAGATCCTATGACATGGAGATGGGCCAACATTTCGACAATATCGTCCAAACTGCGAGGAGTACCACTGGGAGTCTGCAGAACCTCCACGTTATGGCAAGACAGGATCCAGAGGAGCGATGGTCTGCAAACGAAGTTCTAGAACACTTCTTCAAACAGGGCTTCTTCGTCGACCGCCCCTTGCCACCCCCAGACCTGCTTCCTCGTGATAGGAGGCAGTACGGCCCAAGTTCCTACAGGGCCCCGAGAAGGAACCTCACAAGACAGTCAACGATGGAGAAGCTGAAGCAGACTGGGGACAATATTCTGCGGCGCATCACAGGTGATATCTCTGATGCCGTTGGGAGAAGGGGAATGACTTTCAGAGGACATGATTAAAAGATGCTATATGAGGAGGAATAATGTGTCGGTAGTACTGGGCGTTACGTTTTAGGCTGTATATTGTTTTAAATTCGCGAAAGGAATTTTCATTTGTGCTTGTCTAATTTGCCTCCAGGTGCGTAGAATGGACTAAGGGTAGTCTTAATTCAATCGAAGTTACCACCAGATATCCCGCGTTAATCAATCATGATTTATACATTTAAAGAACTTAAGAAGGCGGTCAGGGGAACCCGCTTGGAGCAAAGTGTTAGATGGGCATCACCTATCGGGTACCTCTACAGTGCTGGTGCCTAAGCACGCATTCCCAATTGCCAACCCAATTTTCGAGGCGTTTAGATATTCATCGCCATTTCTAGCGTATTTACGGGCACGGTACCCAATGGCGGAGGAACTTCTGAGTTAATGGCCGCCGCTCGAGGGGGGATCAAGATAGAGCCAAGAACCCGCCAAGAGCTCCAAGTGGGAGCCTAACTAGTAGAGAAAACAAACACGACTGCATATCCTATCTTTGTCGTAGGCTGAAGTATTCAAATCTGAGACCGGCAAATATCGGGGGCTGTGTTAAGTCGTGGTCTCCAAAATACTCTAGGCAGCTGTTATCACGATGATCTCAACTCCAGGCAACAGTAGCCGGGACGGCCCCTCGGGAAGATACCTAAAACTTCCAAACTGATGTAGCTTTCAGTGAAGTAATGTTCTTGACCTGCAAAAAGGTCAAGGAGCTTAGATCCTCCCAGGCACTGCAAAAGACTCAGCCACGATGTATGAGGATAAATGTCGCGCGGTCAATTGAGCACCATCAATTTCAACTCTTCTCATATTGCTATAAAAAAAGTTCTTCATAGCCACTATATTGTGTTCGCAGTTTATCTTCAGCAACTTACATAAACGCAACTCGTTATCCAACACTCCTAGCATTGTTTACTATCAAGCCCTTCAGTACCATGGACACTCCACGTGCACTTGCTCATCCCCTTCGTCGGGTTATCGTCATAGCCTTTGGTCCAGCATTACTATTGAATATCATTGAAGCTGCTGTGGTTGGCTCTGGACTCCCCTTGATCGGAGTCCTCGCCCATCTTGCTTCCACTATTATCTGCATTGCGTATTTGCGACTCGGAAAGCGAGGAGGTGAACAAGAAGGCGCCATACGTCTTGGACCCTCACCTGATAAACCTGGCATGTTTTTTCGTCGATCATGGTTCCTATTCGCTCTCGATGCAATCTTGGCGGCCATATTTTTCCCAATTCTCGTTCTCAGATGGGTCTGGGTCCCGAGATATGCTGGCCAGGCCGTCTTAGCCACATATGCCGAGATCCCTCTGCTTCTTGCACTGTAAGTAAATCTAATTCAAGATGGCATACAGAGAAGAATCCATCTTTGCATAAATCGCAGCTAACATGATCAAATAAAGGGCCTGTCACGCTTACCTTTGTCTGTTGACATTGCAAGACCTCCTCGGGCTACGCCATTTCGCCCAACTTTTTACTCACAAGCCTTGCCCGTGCTGTCAAAATTCTCAGCGCCCGATTCCTTCCACCATGGGGTCGGGTTTCAATTCTCAACATCAAGATTTCGGCTCCCAAGCCCCTGGCATCGGTGCTGACCCTCGCGTCGCAATCTATCGCGACTCGGCCGAAAACGAGACTGGAGAGTCGGCCGACAGGGAGATATACGCCACAGACAATAGAAGCTCGCACAATCCCAAGTATGACAAGGAAGTTGGCCTGGGTATTGCGTAGGCCTTTCATAGGCCATGATTCTACTTTGCTATCAAACTCCGGGGCGGCTCAACAAGTTTGTATACCGGTTGACACGAAGTTGAACTGCCCTGTGATTGACACTCATCGATATAATTCCACGCAGGACCCAGCATCTTCGACCTTTTCGAGGTAAATCAAGATCAGCTGTAGGTGGGATAAAATACACCAGCACGAGATATAGTTGGGGCCTTGATCTAGGTAAATAGCCCATATGATACTTCAAGAACAGAGCTCCATAGCACACGCCCTAGAAAACTGAATACAAGGGGCATCAAAGTATGTTAATCTCACAAGCGATAGACGGTGGTATGAATAAATCATGTTCAACATTCTAATCTTGGCGCCTGTATATGCATGCCGAACACAGCAGGTGGCAAATTATCTCAAGTTCTGGGGGATAGCCTTTGAGCTCCCCTCTGCCACCAAGTTACTTGTGCTCTCTCTACTACTGGTCTCGAACTCCGTAGTCTTATAAATCTCCCCAATCTTTCTTGTATTGCTCTGAGCGCCCGAGCCCCCTATCGTCGGTGTGTTCTGCAAGGCGATGGCACCAGATTTACTGCCAGTGCCCCGACTAGGATATCCCGAGCCCGTAGTGCCGCTCCTGCGTGTCGTCCACGTCTCGCGGCGGAAGAGAGCCGTCATAATCGGAGCATTGATGGCGAAAATGGTGACGAGGGCTTCCCGGAAGACCCAAACGGACGATTGGGCCACACCGGGACCGTTGTCGACGGACAGGATGCATCGCGCGATAGCCATGGCCATGACGAAAAGACCCAGTGACAGGAGGAAGGTGATACCGATTTTCCGCATAAGAGACATTTGAACATCCCACAGGGTGCGGACGGGGACAACGAGAAGCAAAGCATCTGCAACGACATTCCCGGTCGCAATAACAATATTCTGCGTGACTCCAGCCGAGCACTCGAAACCCGGATCAGGAAGAATCTGCCAGTTTCTCTCGATGGGCAGACAATGTGTAAAGGTAGCTATGCAAGCTGCAACCCAGCATGCGACCGAGATGCCTACCACGGCATACATGTACATGATCATGTTCGTCTGGCGCCTGCTTTCAGGTTAATCATCTCGCTCTTGCCATGATTCGGGTCGATGATAAGCAGCGATGGGAGGAAAACTCACGTTAGTCGCATAAAGAAGACGATGAGAACGGCCTTTGCACTCCAGACAAAATTTATGAGGATGAAGAACGAGGCATACATGGCTTTGGCACCGGCCCGCAGCTGTGCCGCAACCTCCGGTGACAGTGCCTCGCGTTGCTCTTGTGTGAAGCCTAGAGGGGCTCCCACGACAGCAAGATATTCAACCATGGCGAACAAGGCGGTGTGCCACACGAAGACCGAGACAGAGAACCAGTCATCCCAATACCAACCACGAACTCCCAGTGTTCTAATGCGGATGAACCAGCGTAGGACGAGGATCAAGGAGCCGACCGCGTATTCTGCTCGGCTTTCGACCAGAGCCGGAGGAACTGCAGCCATAATGTTGAATGTTCGAATCGGCCGTGGCTTGCTAGTTTCGTCGGTATCGTTAAAAGTTTGAGAATTCGAATGAGGGTTCGAGTCGTGTGAAACAGTGATGTTGCTACTTCTTGAATTAACTGAACCGATTCTGCACAAAGGAGCCAAGCCTAGAAATTTTTGCATGGTACCAGCATGTTAAACCCTTGCCATTCGCCGGACCGTTGAAATACGGTTGTCGGGACTCCTAGTTGATCATTGCCAGGCAGAGAGGATGAACCGTCTCATCGTTATTGTCTCCGACAGCGCACCGCGCGGTAGCATGGGTGTAGGCGGGCAAGGCGGGATCTCCGCGGTTCTGGGGGCTTCTGACTTGTCAGTCCATCCATGGCAGAAAAGCGGATCGATGTTTGGAATAGCACTTGAGGTCTATTATGAAATCTGTTCGCTCAATCGGATTTTGACCCGTTGGGAAAGCGGCGACGCCCTTCATGGATCTTCCTCAGCCTTTCTCCACCAGTGGCTCGTCAGGCCATCCCCTGAGAACGCCAAGACTACAACCAGGTACTTTCCCCAGTTGTTTTCATGCATAATACACTGTACATTTCTATACTAGCCCAAGAGGATGTTCACTTTTAGTCACGAGAAATAGAGAAACTGCCGTAACTAATGGCGATGATGATGTAGCATTCTGTTCTTCAAAGAGAAACTAACATCTACAAGCAATAGTTTAATCCATCCAGTAGAGTTTCTCCTAGTTGCATATATACTGTCATTGAGCAATTTTACGCGTTGCTGATGCATCAGATCCACCGCAAATCAATACAACCCCTCAGGGATCATACCATCACCATAGGACTTTTGGTGAAGGGGACAAGGGGAACACTCTTGGTGCCAGTTATTCCACTGCAAATGCTCTATACGCACTCCACTCTTGTTTGCTGGGTGGATAACTCGTGCCGTCTTGAATCCTTCTCATTTCACAGTGCATTGAAGGCCGCTGATCACTCCTAAGATCCTCAATTAACACATGGAGGCTGTATAAAACTACGTACTGGGCTATCATGGCGGGATAAACCAAAAAAGCAAAAAGAGACAGACCTAGCAATCTGTGACAGCATCAATACAAGGACCATCCATCATGGGGCGAGACACTATGTCCATCCTTGACTCGATCCAGCCAAGCGAGTTCGCCACCGAGGCCGACCGCTTCGCTGCCAAAGAAGCCGCTCGACGCCTCCTCTCTCGTCTGGAAACTCCTTTTGAGCAAGCTTGGGCCATCACGTTCGAAAATTCGGGCTTGATCTCCGGTCTTCAGTTCATCCAGGACCTTGGCATCTGGACGAAATGGACAGAGGCTGACAAGCAGAGCCCAGGGACAGCCAGGACCCTGGATGAGCTGCTAGGTTGGGCCAACGCAAGCTGCGAGCCGAACCTTTTACGCCGGTTTCTCAGGCAAATTGCCGCTCTATACTACATTGATGAAGTTGGCGTCGATACCTGGAAGCCCACCCCTTTCTCTTTAGCCTTGGGGCATAAGGAAACATACGGCGGCGATGTGATCAAGGCAGGGTATGTATACAAAGCACCGAAGAATCACTCATGGAATTGAGTTATTGACCGTCCCCAGAATGGACCATGCCATGCCCTGTGGGAATAACCTACCACGCTTCTTGGCCAAGAACGCATATAAAGAACCGCTCGACATCGCCACGTTTGACAACTACCGCGATGTCTTCGGCCGCGACTTCTTCGCCTATGTCCAGGACCATCCAGAGGCTGGAGGTTCGTTCCAGGGTGTCATGGCCGCACTAACGCATTACAAGATGGTCTGGACCGATGTTTATGACACGACGCCCCTCGTAGCCGGCGCCGACTTGAGCAAGCCTCTCTTTGTCGACGTCGGCGGCGCCCAAGGCCTCGACACACAGCGTCTGCTGAGCCGCCATCCCGACCTTCCCGCCGACGTCCTCTTCGTCGAGGACCTGCCTGAAGTAGTCACCACCCATGGGAAGGAGAAGCTTGACGATCGCATTCGCAAGCTTGCCCATGACTTTTTCCAGCCTCAGCCCATCGTCGGCGCGCGGGCCTACTTCTTCCACGCGGTGCCGCATGACTGGCCTGATGCGGACGTGGCGCGCATGTTTGCCGAGGTGAAGAAGGTCATGACGCCGGGATATTCGAAGCTGTTGGTCTACGAGGTCATCATGCCTGCGCAGGGAGCGTCACACTTGGCGGCGACGCTGGATCTGGCCCTGATGAGCTGCACAAGTGGTCTGGAGAGGACCGAAGAGGCTTGGAGGAGATTGTTGAAGGAATGCGGGTTTAAGATCGTGAGCATCTCCAGGCATCCGAGGGCCCTGGAGAGTGTTATCGAGGCTGAGATGGAATGAAAGTTTACACAACCGGAACGAAATAAACTAATGACCTTGGTCTTACAACGACAACAACAACGAAGCTGAAATCATTACCTCCTCTTCCATTCCTCCTGCAAACATCTTGACCGATAAATTATTGTAAAGATTAACCAATCCAATCCCCAGGATACCACGTTAAAACCAAGTATTGGTTTTATACGATAGAGAGCTCACGACACTTGTCAATATTAAACAGTTCTCCCTTCATGGCACCGTGAAGATATGTATTTCCAACAAGATTAAACCTACCATCACCACATGGACGAAGCATCAGAGGTACCATCCCTCCTTTTATGAGGGCGATATAGTCACCGGCCTGAACCTGTGTCGACCATACCACACCAACCAGCCCGGTTTTAGTCTTGAACAAGCTCTTATGTGCCATCCCAAATGTAGAGGTAAACACCGACGTCATCGATTTAGAGTCGAGTATGAGCATATAAAGTAGCCGTGCTATTTTGAGTGCAGCTGAAAGTCCAAATTTGGTACTACCCAGGGGAGAGTTCTTGATGACAGAATAAAGTCGGGCGATTTTGAAGACGTCTTTGAAGCCCCGATGTAAGTTTGGGCGAAAGTCCTCTGGTACGTCTCCTCGATATAGTGTCGATCCCAAAGCGTCTGAGAAACTCTCGCCGGTAAAGCGGTACGTACCATCTAAGTTCTGCCCAAACATTTTCGCTACTTCATGCCAGCGAGCGGTTGCTAGCACGCCTTTTTGCTCTAATGAAAGATGACTGAGGGTGAAACTCTCATGGATACCCATCGTAGGAATGGTGAATTCAGTAACCTGGTCAAGAAGGAAACCTTCAAGGCTCAGAATATTTCCGTTCACTTTATAGGACGGAGAATAGAGATTTGTGAGCCCTGCATTATAATCTCCTTCGGCGCCTGATTTGCATATCTCGTGGTAGTATATGATGTTGTCCAAATTATCCGGTTCTTCGTAGTTCCAGTCCACTACCCAGGAAGGTAAATCTGGAGTCTGGGTTGGATGTGGTGGTCGTAGTCCAGCTGCTACGAAAATGGGGAGAGTTGGGTATTCCTCCATGCATATTTCGGATACTTGCTGATAGCACTTGGCTGCGCTTAACTGGTAGTCCGGAATAACGAGATTGTCTTTCTTAGCCAGTGAAAGAAACGCATAGATCTTATCGAGGGGATTTGTTGCGAGAGAGCCCATGTTGGCGTAGAGAATCCACAGAAGATCGAATGCGCCATCATCAGCCTCGGATGGATTCATAAGCATAGCCGTGATCCGAGCCAGAGATGCGAGCCGGTAGCAGGTTAAAAATTCAGAGATGCTCTGGGAAAGTGTCGCCAGCGCATTTATCCCCGAATGCAGCATAAACAAGATGGCTTGCGCAACATCTGGCCACCATATGATCGTTTCGCCGCAGTGAAGCCAGGCACGCCCTTTCGCGAGGGATACCTCTTGTACTATCCATGCTCTACGAAACCATGCATTCTGGAAAAACGATACCAATGGAGCCCAATCTGTGATGTCCTTATTATCTTGAAGTTCATCCATGATGCCACTCCAAGACGAAGAGTCCAGACTCATAAGATCAGTCAGCGGGACTGATAACCTCTGAGAATAATGTTTTGCGAGTGAGTTCAACTTTGCGATGAGTTTGGGTACTTGCGGCGTCGTCTCCTCTTCATGGCCTAGCCAGATCTTGACCCTTTTCGCCTTGCTGTAGATCATGCCCATGAGAGGCACCTGCTCATTCTTCTCTCCAAGGTCCTCTTGGTTGATACAGATTGCATCGGCCCATAAGAACACCAGGGCTTCAGGGCTTCTAAAGTGGCGTAGCGCATCATGGAGATTGGGAGTGATATTCAGCTCCAATCCATCACACAAGATTGGCTTTGAAGGCTTCTGTCCACCCCACGTATATGAGATAGCCTCGTAATCTGGGTCGGATACAAGTGAAACATATTGAAGTGTACACTCCACCTGGCTGTCACCTTCGCCTGGTTGGAGTGCAATGAGTCTTATTTCTTGTGTACTCAGAGATCCAATGAGAGACTTTTCATACCGAAAGGCTGTCATCATTTTCTATCACGGCCTCATTACACGAGGCGTCTCGATAGTTGTATCGCATCGATTCGTCCTGTGAATACTCTAATAAGGTTGAGAAGAGATTGAGAAGAGGAGAAGTGCAAAATGTGGATCAGTTTATTATTCACAGAGGCCGATGCTTACATTTGAGCCAGATAGCGTGCAAATGGTTTCAACAAACCCCCGCTCAGTGGAATCATGTCAGCTGATGACGAGGGGCCAACGCACCCACAACAGAGCAGGGTGGTGGTCAGAGCTTCGGTCAAGATGTAATGTGCACCTACGATTGAAGGCAGGCAAATGGAATGAATCTAAAGCATTTCACTATTTCTTGGGAGCCCCAAACTTACCTCATACGAACGAATAAAAACCTTTCAGTCTACATTAGAGGCAAAACCATACACCACATCCTAGGCTAAAGCCCTCTCTCTAATGGGATTACCTAGGCATACATCTTGTTTGTTTTGTCCTTTCTCGCGAAGCTACATATTCAAGTCAATGCATAAATTTCAGAAAAATTATGATCCATCAGCCTTGCCTAATCATGTTATTGTCTCAACCATCGATGCCATACATTCAATTCAATGGGCACTGCGACATTGGTGACTCAAATCACCACGCAGTCTCACTCCAAAATAACCCCTGAATATCTACAAAATCCAAGTGTAATGATATGATCTCCGCTCACTCTAGACGGGTATCCACGTGGCGTCTTTGTGTGTCATTTTAGAGTTAACCAGCACCAAGTTTCCAAAGATGTTGACATCTAACTGGGCACCCTCACCAAAGAGCAACGTGAAAATAACTCATACTGGTTTTGAGCAAACAGAGCTAAGCCTGACGGCTGAGGACTGTGCCAGAAGCCAATCAGTGCCGTAAGCCACAGCCTACCAATGGAGGTATATGCGCATTTCAGAACCTACAATTCAATTTGGCAGCAAACCCCCATGCTAGAACCCCAGGGGCAAAGCCTCAAATATGTTTGCCCTCGCAAGTTGAGGCGATCGAATTGATCAGTAAGATAGAATTCTCACTTCCTCCCTACCCTATAACCTCATCAACATCTAGGTCACGGCATCGCAGCCCAAAGTGGCATGCTAGCAAACATTTTAGATCTATGTTTGAAGAGAAATAAACTTATGAACTCGATATTTGATTTTTTAAATACGGGTTTCTAATCACAACGCAAAAGAGTTTCTGCTCGGTAATTAAATCACTTCAGACTTATCAAAGAATTCGAATAAAGTTGGTGTATTATTCTGCGCCACTCTCATAACTATAGACAACAAACACCATCGCCACTTCTATAAGAAGTTAAAATGCCACATTGTATCTGGGAAATTTGAACACCCTGGCGAAGTCACCAACAATATCTTGCGTGGATATCAGCGTCAATTAGTGATTGATAGCTTGTAGAGGCGTAATCACCCCAAGTCATTGCCAAGAAGATCGTCTCTGTCCCTCAGTCCAGCGCTATTTTTAAAAGCTTAGTCTAGAACAACCAACGGCGGACATTTTTGAGCTGGTTGCAATTACAATTAGGTAAAAATAAGTCTGGCGGCGGGAAACACATGGAACCGTGGAAGAAATTGTCACTCGAGTCATGGAAGAGCGTAGGAGAAACCCATATTTTCATTTTTAAAAAATCATCGTGGGCAAAGGCCTTTTTCATCTCACAAGACGTTGTCGTCTTACTGTCTACCCAAAAAGAAAAAGAAATGTAAGAAAAAGTATCCTGGGGAAGAATTAAATAATAGATATTACATCACCCCTAATAGCCATGATGCCGCCAGTATCTTATTGAGGACCACCGGAGATGTGGAATGGCATCGAGTACTGCTGGTAGCTGGTGCCCTTGAGGTTGACGCTGAGACCATAGATGTTCTTGGCGCCGACAAAGTTGTTGTTGATGGTCCAGGAGTACTTTCCGAGGCTGTTGTCGACGGCTGCAGATGGTGGTTAGCTTTGGTTCGCTGGGCGAGTGGAGTTGGATTTCATGACTTACTGGCAATGACGCCGAGAGGGAACTGGAGGTTCTGCTCAGTGCCACCGATGAGGGTAATCTCCAGCTGACCGGCGTAGAAGGCATCGTATCCCCAGGTGATGTCGATAACTTGGCCGTAGGTGAGCTGCTGGAGGTTGGTAGGGGTGTAGATGGGGTTAAAGGTAGGTGGGTTGGTAGGGTTGGTGGGAGTAGTGCTGCCGCCACCCGAGACCTTGAAAGGCATGGAGTACTGAACAGTGGTGCCGTCCTCGAAGGTGATGGTGATGCCGTACAGAGCATAAGAACCGATCCAGTCCTGGTTGAGAGTCCAGGTGTACTTGCCCAGGCTGTTCTCAAGGCCAGCTGGAAAATAGTTAGCTTGCTGTGAATATCATGCCAGGTTCAGGGGGCGCAAAACTTACAAACAATGGTTCCGAGAGGGACGAGGCTGTTGGAGTCAGCACCACCGATCAACTTGATGTCGATCTTGCCAGCCCAAGCAGCGTCATATCCCCAGGTGATGTCAAGGCTCTGGCCGAAGGTGAGCTGCTGAAGGTTGGTGGGAGTATAGATGGGGTCGAAGGAGGGCTTGGTGGTAGATGGCGAGGAAGTGGAAGTGGTGGATGGAACAGCCGAAGTAGTAGACACAATGGCAGTAGTCGATTCAACAGCAGAGGTCGACTCCACGACACTGGTGGAAGAAGCGCTCGACAGACGAGTCGAGGTGACAAAGCCAGAAGTGGGAGTGGCGATGATGGTGCTGCTGCTGCCCTCCGGTCCCAGGGCGGAGGAAGAAGAAGGGAACACAGACGAGCAGCGTCTTCGGGTTCGGCGGGCGTCGATGCCGGCAGTCAGGAAGCCGAGAGTGCTGAGCACTGTAAAGAACGAGCGTGGATGCATCTTGGATAGAGAACAACGAGTGAATGAATGAACGAAAGAATGAATGAATGAATGAAGCAAAGATCACCAAACGAAAGAGTGAATGAACCAAACAGGCAATGATGTGTCTGTCAAGAGGGCCGGATCGAAGCGAGAAAAACGGACGAGAGGGGCCTTGCCTTTAAGAGGCCTGGGAACGTCGACCGTCTTTTCCACATTTGCTCTTTTTCATGCCTTATGCAGGCACAGGCCGCCTTTAGCCAACTTTAGTAAGTCTATTGGACTGGGGAAGCAGTCCATTGCTCCAGACCTACATTAGCAACAACGTAGTGGACTAAGCTGAAACTATGTGGTGATTGGTGGCGTGTCGTCGTGTGTCCTTGATTGGTGAGCTGGGAAAAGCGGCACCCTATGAAAACACGTTACGAGGTGAGCCCTATTAATAGTTCCAGCCATGGAGACGCTGCTACGTTGTAATAGTCAGCCCCCAGCTCTCATTCGAGAGTACGATGGGACTTGTGTCCTGTACAAATCCGTCTGTCTCCGCCGTGTCTTAGATTTGCTTCTGTTTGCTCTTCACTCGCTGATTCAAGGATCGTGAACAGACTGCACTGGATCAGGCTGGAAGCGCCCAATCTGCACTATCCACGCTTTGTTTTGCTCGGCAGTGCATGGCTGAGAGCGTTCTAGACCAGGAACCAGCTAGTCCACGCAAGATTGACCCGTAGTGTCCAGATATTCCGATGTCCCCTGACCCCTTACCCCTGGCTCTTGGGCCTTACCCCTTACCTGACCTGCCAAGCCGGCTAACCAAGCTGAATCAGCAACACAAATTCTGCCAGAAACGGTGAAAATTGAAAATCCACAAGCACATTGGGAGGAGGATCCAAGGTTCATGCCCGAAGGATGTCGCGATGGCACCGTATTATGGTCAGCGTCTGGTTCCATCCGAGCATCCCTCCTGAGCTTGTCACAGTAAAAAGCTGTCTTCTTAACCAGATGGAATCTGGGATAATCTGCATGCTTTCCAGGCATGAACATCTTTTTTGTTACCCCTGTTGACAAGGGGCGAGCAGCATCTCGTCATGGGCTGCTCGGTCACGAAACCTTGATGTGATTTGGAAAATGCTTTGATCGGTCATCTCCTGTCCGAGAGCCTGGTGTCGTCATTCATTTGTCAAGAGCACCGGCCACACAACCGGTAAAATGGAGTGCCGCGCGGTAAAAACCGTCAAATACGCCAGTGCGGAATTTCCCATACCCCCAGCAGAATCGTTACTGTCAATAAATGTTGCTTTTCCATGTTATCTGTTGGTTTTATTTAGGCATAAATCTAGGCATAGGCAGACATTTGTGCATTAATCGATGTATCAAATCTCTTTAGGCCTATCAAATCTGCCTCATGGAAGAAGCACGGTCAGATTCAGAGAGCCCATCTGCATGCTTGGCCGCCACGCCGAGCTTCCCTGATCCTGGATTACCATTGATGCGCAGCAAGCAAGCTCATTTTGGCGACCTGGTCCACGCCTCCTGGACCCAAGGAGTCGGAATGTGTGGAACCTGATCAGAATTGTGCACTGGCAAGCCCTTATGAATAAAGATTTATGGTTCACAATTACTCACTCGCTAAAGTCCAGACGGAAACGTCTTCATAGGTTCGGTCTGCACCGACACGGTCGTAGGGCTGAGAGGAGGTATTTATTCGTTGTGCCAAGCCATATGCCGGGCATATGCCCGCCACTACCGCCGACAATAGGTAGGCAGCAAATGAGATGTATTTCAGTATTACGGCAATCATTCTCAAGGGCGGCTGTGCCTGAGAAGCAGCTACCGAGCTGCTCCGGTGCATTTCCCGAACAAATGACCTTCGGGGGGTATCCGCCACGTGCCGTAGGAAGCGACCGGCAGGAAATGGATAGATGTTTGCAGCGTTCAGACTTGGAGTTTATCATCATCGATGAATAATGAATTGATAAGTGTGTTCAGACTTGCAGCGGATCGCGCTTCTCGCCTTGAATAGCTAAACTCCGATAATAGCGAGAATCAACACCATCCGGAGCTACTGTATCCACTTCCGCAAGAAGGAATCGGAGTTTCCGGAGCTTGGTGCTGGACCAAGCATACAAAAGGGCAACGGGGAACAAGTGCAATGCCCGTGAGACAACCAAACTTTCGCAAAATTCAACCATGGCTAAGGTACTGCTTACTGGTAAGTTGGCTGATGATGCTACCATTGGGGGAAGCTTGTGACTAACTGTGTTCAGGTGGCAGCGGCTTCATTGCTGCACATGTGCTAAATGCTCTCTTGCATCGCGGGTACGTAAGAAATTGAAGACTGCGAATGAATTACTTACTGCTGATACAGATACACTGTTGTGACTACCGTTCGATCAAAGGAGAAAGGAGACCAAATCCTGGCGGCACACACAGATGTCGTGGCACAATCCCGGCTTTCCTATGCTATCGTGAGCGACATATCTCAAAAGAATGCATTTGACACTGTTAGTTGAGAGGAACCCTGGGGATACGAATGAGTCAGGAGTCGTAATGGCTAATGGTCCTTTAATTTTAGGCCTTGGCCAACCAACCTGGTGCCCCTTTCGACTATGTCATCCACACAGCATCTCCATTTCCAGCCAGCTTTGAAGACCCGTTGAAGGATGTGCTTGAGCCAGCGGTAAACGGAACCAATGGTATTCTGCAGTCGGTCAAGAAGTTTGCACCCAGTGTGAAGCGCGTTGTTATCACCTCATCCTTTGCCGCAATGCTCGACCACAAATCTCCACCAAAGATCTATGACGAGACGGTTTGGAATCCTGTAACATGGGACGAGGCAGTCAATGACCACTCATTGACTTACCGTGGAAGCAAAGTAAGAAAATATAAACTCAAACCAACTCTACTAGATGATTCAAGGCTAACACAAGGCATTGAAGACTTTTGCGGAACGTGCGGCATGGGACTTTGTTGAAAAGGAAAAACCAAACTTCGATGTTGTCGCACTGAATCCGCCAATGGTTTACGGCCCCGTAGTCCATCATCTTGGAAGCTTGAGTCGACTGAACACATCCAACATGCGCATCAGAGATTTCATCCAGGGTAAACACCAGGACAACAAGTTGCCGCCCACTCGAAACTACCTCTTCACAGATGTGCGTGACCTCGCACTAGCCCACGTGAAAGCAATCGAGGTACCTGAGGCTGGGGGGAAGCGCTTCTTTGTGACTGCTGGACACTACACAAATAAGCGCATCGTGGATGCCATTCGGGAAACACATCCAGAGCTTTCGCCCCGACTGGCCGAGAACCCCATTGACGACCTTCCAGCGGATGTCTATGGCTACAATAATGCAAGAGCTAAGGATGTACTTGGAATTGAATTCCGGTCCCTCAAAGAATGCATAGGCGATGCGACGACATCTCTTCTCGAAGAGGGGGCTTAGCCATATACCGAGAATCAGGTAGTCAACATATACAAGACACTCATATGGATCTTCTAGAGCTTTCTACTCAAGCTTTGATGAGGCTTAGCCTATCTTCAAATGAAAAAGAAATAAAAGCTATAACAAACAGCTATTGGCATATTGGACTCGTCCTGACGTTCTCCTTTCACTTTCTTACTACTTGCTTGCACTTGTTCATTGTTTGTTTGTCCGCCTTTATTTTGTCAAGCCTGCAAAGAATGTCACTTGCTATGGTAGACTAGCCTGGGCCTCCAACATGGCCATAACCAGACGAGAGATTGACCGATAATTTTTCTTAAGTCATAAATCATTTTGAGTACATGCGCCACCTTAGCTAGAATACCCAAGTCACTGTGTAATTATGGTATTTCTCTCATTTATGAGAGAGAAAAAAGGTTGCTATTCTAAACCATTGAGTAAGAATTCTTGGTAAGAATACTAGGGGAGCTCAAAAGTTCAAGGCTTGTTAGTTGGCTTTGTACTCTTGCTTCGGCTCGCGCGTTCAATGAAAGGACAGAGACTCCTAACCAAACAAAGGCAATACAATTCTCGGAGAAACACTAAAAAATTCTAGCACGTCTCGATACAAGAGACAAAGGCTGCACAGTTGTTGACTTTGTTGGCCAAGATGAATAGAACAATGTCATAGGCTCTTATATAAGGGCAATTTTCGCCCCATCGCCATAATTTTTACATGAGTCCTTTCTTATTTTTAAGACATGTTCGGAATCACCAAGTCAACGTTCACGAACAAGAGATTTACCACCATACGGGTTTAAACTCCAAGGCCGTACGTGCGAACCCTCCAATACCTCCTGCTTATCGATCGAGATAGAGTTTGGCGTATCAAGCTAAGATGAGGATCCAATACGATACTGCTGAGTATCGTGTTGGGGTGCCATCACTCCGACCCCTCCCCTTGCTGACGTCTCAGCACAACATCGAAAATAGAGCCAACTTATCTGACAGAGAGCAGCTATACAACGAAGTGGCCGACATGCTGAACATTTTTGGCATCGAACTGCCGAACGAAAGAGAATTCAAGCAGGTAACGACAGATCCACGTGCTATTATAGTAAACGATGGATATCCAGATCGCCCAATTGCTCTGGTATACCGTTACTACAAATATGCACCCCAGGAACCTCGTTTCACTCTTTTGATCACGGCATATTGGTCGAGCTCTTCGGATAAAGATTGGGTTCGTGCTGTTCAGGCGATCAAGGTTTTAAAAATTAACTATCTTCGTGGACAAGATGTGGATGTAGAAATGATTGCCACAAACCTCTTTCGGCGGCTCGCCACGGAGCCCGATCTCGACCGGCCTGTGTGTGAAGAGGACATTGTGGATATCTGTGAGGATTTTGGGAAGCTATGGTATGGCGACCCAGCAACCAAGAAGATATGGTACATGCCTCCCCATTGGGGGTGGAATGGATGCCAACATATCGAGGATAATACCTTCCTTGTTCACTGTCACGACAGTTTCAAAGAGGCCGACTGGCCCCTCGCTGCTGGAAAGCTCCGTCGGATCCTCGAACCTTATGGCTACCATCTCCGGTTTGAACATAGGGATTATACCCGTGCGATTGAGTATCCTTGGTAGAGGAGGGATGAGATAGTTGTGATGGATGCTGTGATATCAAGCTTTAGCATACACCATATAGAGACGAATATCTTTTTTGAGATAGCCAGCCACAGTAGTGGCGCCTTGAGGGTCAAAACGGGCTTGACATGGATTTTCGATCCCTCAAAGATTGTATCGGCGACACGATACCATCCTTTTTTGAAAGAGGAACTCATCGTGCTCCGATCAGTTTTCAACTTACACAATATATTAATAGATTGAAAATCTTAGACTTTCTTTACGTTAACTACAATTTGAACTGACATATATTCGCTTCAACAAAGGTGTAAAACCATGAAAGTACTAAATTGGCCCAAATTGGCATTCTCAGCAGTGTACCGGGTGCAGTCAGCGTCGTATACGATTGTTAGAGCGTGTCTGTAATATAAACCCGTACCAGTGCATTATAATCCGATGAATCTTTATGGAATAAGCCTTTATTCTACCTGAGCTCGTAGTGCCCTCTAATCACTCGTCTGTCTCATGGCGCGTGAGAGTACGAGCAGTTGTGCAGGTACACAAAAATGGACAACCTGGCATTTTTGAGAAAAGGCTTAGGACGCTCAATGAAGCTTGGAGTGAAAATAACAGGCACAGGAGTTACCTCATTGTACCCAACATGAGGCGTTTGCCGAGGTTATATAGAGTATAGGCATGATGAAGGTAAAAAGGCACATGACCAAACCACTGATAAACTCGACGCGAACATTGGTAGAATTGGATGGTGGTAGATAAATGCCATCGCCACTTCCACCATTAGGGGCTCATGAGCCGAGTTACGCCGGAGCCCAAGGTCGAGGATCCTTTACAACCCCCTGATCCATCCCTTATTCGGCTGCGGCGCACAGAATTCCCTGCAATCCGGATGAAGTACCTTGCCAATGGGTCAGCATATGCAAGCCATCTGCTGCAGCTATCATGGGGAGCCTTCCGGCTCCAGTAGCATTGTAAGGTGGTATTTCGACCCATTGTGCGAGTCTATCCTATCCGGATCTAGAATGGAGGCTTTCAACCACATATTGCTACCGGAGTATGCACGCAAGATAACTCGAACAAACGCCCATGGACTCAGCTATCGTATTCGATGTGCTTACATCACTCTAGATATTTATTGAATTTATTGAAGGGATGACCTTTAGAGGAGGAACTATCCTTTTGCTGAGAATCAACATGCTGGATGCCATACGTGCTAAAAGTGGCGGTCTGCAGCTCGGATGGAACGCTGATGCATGGGCCATCTCTTTTTACAACCCTAGCATCCATGTCATTTCTCACTCACGACACCCGCCGAGAAGCTTTTCGATGGAAATTCGTACTTGTTCTATAAATTAAGAGTCTACACTAAGAGTATCTCTTTGAGGTATTTGCTAGAGGGATATCATCATTGTATATACATAGTGTACAGCTCAGTAACAAAGGGACAGTGTCATAAGACCTGAGGGAGTTAGTTCTCATCATCTGCCTCATCAATCTTCTTTGCAGAAACAGGCTCTCCAGTCCCCTTCACATATCTGTCCACCGGGGCGGGAAGGGTCGTGGAGTGGTAGCCACCAGCGGCACCTGAAAACATAAGGTCGACCATTGTGGTCTTGGGGACAAGCCTAACAATGTACTTGTCAATGAGGCGGTATAAAAAGTTGGACCAGGAAGCAAACTTCATATAAAGGAGACCCTCGTTGATGACCGTGGTGGAACGTTCCTTTCGCACCTCGGTCGTCTTGGTGAAAGCATCTTCAACCTGCTCGTTGGACAGGGGCTTCATGTCATTCTCCTTGAGGGCAGCATACAAGTGGTCGACGAGAGCGACACTCGACTCGAGGGCGCTGCAGCCACCCTGACCAGCGATGGGCTGGGACTTGGTGACGGCATCGCCGACACAGAAGATGCGGCGATAGTGCCAGCGGGGAAATCGGTGGTTGGGCAGGGCCGTGATGATGGAGATCGTCTTGTTTTTGTAGACATCGCCAAAGGTAGTCCCCGGGGTCATCACCCGGTCGAGATCCTGATCGGTGAACTCCTTCTCTTGCTCTTTGGTAAATCGTGGAAAGTCAATACCCATGTGCTTCTGCGGGAGCTTGAAGAAATGGAACCAGTAGACGATGTCCCTTCGGCCAACAATGTAGCCAACAGCGGCATCCTTCCTGTGCACATGGCGGAGATCACCCTCCTTCAGGTCGTTGGTTGGCTCTGAGATGCCAAAGGTGCAGCCGTACTCGGTCGTAACGTCGGCTCCTGGGTTCTCACCAAAGACCTTGGAGCCGTCTTCAGCAGCGTTGCGCCACATCTCGCCACGGACGGGACTGTGGATGCCATCAGCGCCAATGACGATGTCTGCTGTATATGAGCTGCCATCGAGTGTGGTGATCTGGACCTTGTCGCCAACGTGCTCGATCTTGTTGACGCGCTTGCTCGTGTGGACCTTCTCCTTGGCCTGGATCTTGTCATAGAGGATCTTCAGGACGGTGCGGCGCTCGGTAAAGCGCAGGTCGAATCCATGGGTGGCTCGCATGCGGGGGAGCAGCTCGAAATCATACATCTTGTTGCCATCGCCGTCATAAGCTACCACGGAGGAGCCGGTGCCTGCCTGGGCTGCCACTTCGTCATAGACACCGAGTTGGTCAAGGACCTGCATACCATTGGGGGGCAGGCCGATGCTGGCTCCGAGCTCAGGGGCGATCTCCCCGTAAGCCTCGAGCAGAATCCAGTCAATTCCCAGCGTCTCCAAGTGGACCGCCAAAGCCAAGCCGGCAAGACCACCGCCTGCAATAGCGACTTTGAATTGGTCTGACATTATGAATAATGAATGTATTGTCGAGTAGATGCCGATGTTAGGAAGGAAGGGAAGACTAAGCGGGAAAAGAAAGCAAAAAGGGTCGCCTCAACCATATACGGATAAGGACCTGGCTCAATCGAGTCGCCATATGCTGGGCATGTACGTGTATCATGCATTATAGCTAGGACAAAGTGATATGAAGCCACTAGGCCCTTGGCATCAAGGGTTAAGGGAGGCAGCCGCGGTAAGCGTTCGGCTTTGGACTGATTATACGCAAGCGAAATTGGCTGAGTCTGCGGGGAGGCGTTAGTACAGGAACCTAAGAATTAAGCCAATAAGGTTATCGATGCTCAGCGCTCAGTCTTTGCGTGATTTGGATGCCCCTGAGTCTGGGTTAGCGCTATTAACTCCGCTTAGATGGGGGACCTCGCCACATGAGCCATGCAGATTTAGCTCCCTTATCGAACAATGCTGTGGGGGGGAAAGCTTGTAGTTTGAAGAGGAGCCCTTTCGAATGATTGGCTTCACAAGAATCAGTAATGTTGGCTATACCGGGTTGATGGTATGTTGGAAGGCCTCAATAACATCTCTTGTTACCTTCCTGATGTGGGAAGTTTCCTCGAAAATTTCCGCCAACACGGGAATTATCATCGGCAGTGAGATGAAGGAGGAATCTAAATCCCTTCTGTATCGGAGTGACTGTAAGCATCTCCACTAAACAGAGAATCCTGAGAAACCTCTGATTTGCCAGAGCATGGGTCTGTTCCCTTAGACCGCTTGCGCTAAGATGATGGAGAAGGGTAATCCTTGATACAACGAGGTTCTGAACAGAATGGTGGAGTATTAGCACAGAGGGGGGAATTCAAACCTAGAAAGGGATAACGCCGGCTTGGGAGAAGATTACCAAGCGGCTTGTACGTTTCTAGGTGCAGCTCACTACTCAATCCAGCCAGGCCGAGTGAGATTTTGTGAGAAAACCGTTAGACCGTGCCGCGTGTAGATGAACGGCATCCCGCCCGACCGTTGCCCAACTGTTGCGAACCCTGTAAACCCTAGCCTAGCCTCAAACCATGGTCCTAACCCTGTAGAGAGTACTCAAACTGTGATGGATCCAAATATGGAATGTATAGTGCCCATCCTCACTCTTATGCACGCTTGATGTGAGCAAGGGCCACTGCAGGCGAGTGGGCTGAAAAGTTCAAAGATGCTGTTTCTCCTCAATCCTCAACTACGAGTACGGAGCACGTCTTATGCTGTTAGAAGCTCTGGAATAGGTCAGCCGCATTCACAGTCTGGCGACAGCATCGCCCAACCGCCGCAGCCATGGACCAACTACCGACGGCCATCCATATCACTCCCTTCCCGCTCAAACATGAGATTCTGGTACATGTCGCCGTCGAATCCATGATACAGTTCTTCGTCTTTGCTGTGGTTGGGCTTCGATTGTTTGCCCGCAGCTGCATGGGTGCTGGCCTCGGTCTCGACGACTACATGATCATCATAGCCCTTCTCCTCAGCTGCGTTGTCTATGGCCTTATGGTTGCTCGTATGTATCTCCTACGTTGAATTCTTGTTGACCGACACTGACAGAAGCTGCTGGTACAGTGCAGGTTGCAGGCACCGGCTACGAGCAAGTCGAAACGATGGCAAATATCCCAACCATCCTTCTCCTAACTTTTATCACGGTACCCACCTACCTCGGCTGTCTCCTCTTCTCCAAACTGAGCATGCTTTGCTTTTACCTCCGAATCTTCGAAACTCAGGCCCCTCGCCGGTTGGTTTTCGGTACCATGATACTGTGCATGTGTTGGTTTGTGTCGCACTTCCTCGCCAATGTCTTCATCTGCAAACCCGTACCTGCTCAGTGGAAGATGGAGCTAGTGATGTCTGGTGAAGGAACCTGTGGTGACCAAATTCCAATCTTCCAATCCATGATCATCAGTAACATGCTCACGGATCTTATCATCATGGTCCTGCCAATGAGTAAGTTGGACAAACCCCTATCATTGTTCCAATGTATATCTTTACCCAACCTCTAACGTCATATCTCCCTTGCAGAAATCATTTGGGGGCTCCAGATGCGCTTCATGGAGAAGATTGGCTTGATGACATCGTTCCTCCTGCTGGGAGCTGTCATCGTTGTCAGTTCCGTCCGTGTGCACTACGTATCAACAGTCAACATGCGCGCGGACTTGACCAAAACGATGGGTACATCACTATTCCTGACGACACTGGAACCGAACTTCGCCATCCTTTGCGTATCGATCCCCATGCTACGACCCCTCTACAGAAGCTACCGAGCTCGCTTCGGCTCTTCCGGTGCCACGAAATTAAGCGATGAAGCTACTCACACCATCGGTGGAAGCGGCGCATATCGATCAGGTAGATCGAAACAAAACTCGAGGAAATTGGGTCGCGACGACATCACGCTGGCTACTTTTAACGCCGACGATAATTACACCAAATATGACACAAACGTCGAGGCTGGATCGAATCCGAGCCTGTCTGCAGAGTCAGACCGGAAACTGGCTGCACACAATGCCCCTGATGCTGGAATCAAAGTCCACACACAGTGGGAAATATCAAGACACAGCAAATAACTTCATAGCTGGCTGAACATGAAATTCATAAACTTGCTTCGTCATTCACTTAAACTTAATCTAAAATGAATTCAAATTCCGAGCTTAAGCTGTTCTTTTCTGGCGTGTATTTGATATCTACTATAAGCACCACATAGCAGAATTCGAACTCAGCTCGATGGGGTTGCGACACGGGAACAGAGGCGAGTTGGAGTGAGTCCTTCAAAGAAAACACGCAAGCAGAGAGTCACCCTGGTAAATACAACCAGTGAATATCATAAACCACAATCTTATATTATTATATAGAGTAAATAGTTCATACTACAAACTGATATCAACATGAACAGTGTTGATAGTATTCACTCGGCTACTTGACTATGGTTAGGTGTATTAGAGTTCTCTTATCGAGTGATAATGAGCGAACACTAAAACAAAGTATGCGTCCTTCTGGCTTGGGTAGATTAAGTTGAGGGGAATCCAACTACCCTCCCTCCTTCATTCAGCTCCCGTCCAAAAGCATGTTTTCAATTCGCTCTAGGGTACCCGTAAACATAGGGAAGAGCTAGAGATTCGAGAATCGCTTATCCCAATTGAGAAATCAATGCGACCCATGTCGTAAACCGAGAGATCATCTAGTACGTAGGGGGCTGAGTATGGGGAAACTGGAAGTATCCTGTTGATTTGGGGATGAACGCCATCCCGTGACTGTTCGATTGAGCTACATTGAACTCCTTCCTATTTACTGCAGCATTCCCCAGAACATAAGCCTTGGTACCCTCCGCATTCTTATACTAACATTTTAATCTGCCTTAATGAATGAAAAGCCTCTTTCGCATTTTCATACATGTTATGCCTTATATGGAAGTCTAAGGCTTGCTGAACAGGCTCTTGTTGGTCGTACATCAAGGTTAGATAGAAGAAACGGGGAGACATATCAATCTCTGGCTAGGTGTTTAGGATTGAATAACCATAATATGGCTTTGCCTTTTGGGCTGCTGTTCAGATAGGCGTCGAGTCACTTGGAGGAGGACCTTTATATGCTCTCAATCTTCGGCTTGCTGCGGGTGGGGTGTATGCAATCTCGATGAGTGGAATGGTTTGTTAGCTGCGGCTGTGATTTCACGGCAAGTCCGGACTTATCTTGATTGGCCCGTTGGAAATCATAAACGAAGTTTGGAGAGGGAATATTACCGAAAGATAATGTTCAATGAAATGAAGGTTGAAACTGGGGTATATATTTTCTGACAAGATAGATGGATCTAATGCTCATGTCTCCTCACAAAAAATACCAAGACAAAATAAAAAAAGAACAGAAGAAATGAAAATAAAAAAAATCATCATGAACAATCGCACTCCCGAAACCAGGTATGACCGCTATCGCTTAAAGACAATTGCCGCACCCATCCCTATGCTTTAACAGAGAAGAAAAAAAGGAAAGAAACGCTGATCGGGTAGGGAAGTGACGAGCAGTACTCAACACCGTCCTCACAGAGTCACGCTAATGGCGGGAAAGAGCCTTGACACCGGCGCCGAGGATCTTGCGGCCAGCCTTGAGAGCCATTCCCACAAACAATCGCTTGTTAACCATGACCAGGTCGGGGTGGCTGTCTTCCAGGACGGCACGAACCTCCACGGGGAGATCCTCATCCAGGGTGCGGACCTGGAACTCAACAAGAGGAGTGTCATCCATGATATCGCGGACCGCCATGACCATCTCGTCATCGACGTCACGCTTGTGGCGGGAGAGAGCCTTGACACCGGCACCGAGGATCTTACGGCCGGCCTTGAGAGCCATGCCCACGAATAATCGCTTGTTGATGACAGCCACCTCGGGATGGCTGCCGTCCAGGACGGCTCGGACCTCGAAGGGGAGATCTTCATCGATGTATCGCCTGTTCAGGGCCATGGAGCTCTCGGCGGGGGCAAATGCGGCAACGTTCTGGATCATGCCGAACATGGCGACGCCGGCGAGGACGATCTGCTTGATGGCCACCATTTTGAGTAGTTTGTGTATTTGGTTGGTCTTAGTTGGTATATAGGGAAGTGACTATTGCTGGCCTGTGATGGGGTAGATTTGTAGGTTGGTTTTGTAAAGATAAAACTGGAGAATAGAAAGTGAACAAAGAGGCCGGCTCTTGATCTTTAAAAGAAGATTCAGTATGAGGATGAGTAGATTAGTTAGTAGGATGAATGCTGACAGGAACGAGGTGCAGGTTGTAATATATATCCAAAAAATGAACACTCTAGACATGGTGTAGCAGCCATTGTCGGTTCTTAGAATATCTTAAGATCCCCTGCTGCATGATGGGGTTATGCCTAGCTGAACAGAGCGGCCATTGAGATGCGGCAAAGCCTCAATCCTGTTTGCCTGTCTACCAAATAGCATGCGTCTCAGTGGTTGGGGTGCGGATCCCGTATCTCGGACCTGGTCCAAGCGGGAGTTCCTGGGTAGTGAGACTTGCCGGAAATGGGGTGCTGAAACATGTCATGTGTGGTCCCCGAGAAGCAGTTTGGAAGGAGGATACCTGTACCTGAGTGGGAGACGGAAATGGGATAGAAAAAGATGCGGCACATAACTAGAGGGCCGAAGGGATTAGGAGCTGAACTGTCAAGGTGTCACACTAGGAGATCCAGGGAACCACCGTATTTCGTAGTAGCAGTTGAGGCTGAATACAGCTGGACCGCTTACGACGAGGCATTCTTGCAGCGTTGGTGAGCGTTTGTTTGCTTTAGGAGAAGTTGTTTCTCATCTACAATCGGAACTCAGAAAGGGATTATTGTCGATTCTACACCAACACTCGTTCGTACGTGTATAATTGCTCGCTCTGGCATCTCCCTCATACGGTATCTGATCTGATTGACACCGAAGGGCCAATGCATCGTGCCGACTGCCGAATGCCAGGCTGATTTGAGGGGTCGATCATCCAAATTTAGCATCTGCGGGCGATCTAAAACCTGCTATTCCCGCACGTGCCCTTCGGTATTAACTGGGAGGTAGCTGAACAAGCATGCAGTCATGAATCCTTCTGCCAACTGGTCTAGCTATTGGCTCACTTTACGAGATACGAACGAAATGGTGCGCCGCAAGTGGCCGGAGATCTTCTGGCGTGGGAGGTTTGATACCCGACCTGCCCGAATGATACATACTCCAGTTTATTGTAGGACGATTAAGGCAGTAGGGCTGGATGACACCAGGCTTTGTATGCATATCATCGCCGTACAGACAAGGAGATCATTGTTCCGCCTTCGTTTCTGGATGCGACCTGGTATTACTATGTATTACTCTGGCCATCACCCTTGGCGAGGTTTAGCGAAAACGTGCAGGCGCTTCTGCCGTCTGCATTAGGTCAATCAACCTCTTCTCTCACCTTGCGCGTTTCTCATCCAGTTCTATTGGAATCTTTCTCTTTCTCGGCAGCTGATTTGCCGTCAGGATAGCTCAGATTTGCTGCTATTGGGGCTCAGATAGATGATGAGGCTAAATGCATGATATTTGAGAAGATGCCTTGCATAGCCACGCTCTGGTTTGGATCCGCAATGAATGACTCACTACGCCGCTGCAAGTGTAATCTAGCGCCTGAGATGTTGGAGCAAGACTCAGTCTTGTTGTGCCTGAACCATCACGGGGAAGAGGATAAGAAACAACGCGTTGGAAAGCAACCGAGCGGCAGAAGGAATCGAACCTGACCGTGCAGAATGCCCTCGCAGAAGAAACCAAGCATCCAAGGCCACGGGAGCGGCACGGCAAATGACACTCTGAGCACTGCGCCCCTCTTCTTCCACCACGAGGACCGGAAATACGGCGAGTTCAGTCAGTGGTACAGCTCCAGCTTCGTCGTTAGCAAGCTGCAAATCTCCGCCCTCGTCGGGCAGCCTGTGAGCTCCTTCTCCTCCCCCGGCGACTACAGCGATGACATTCCTTTCGTTACGGCGGAGCAGTTCATGATGTTCTGCAAAGCGGCCTGCTTCGGGGACCGTAGCATTGCCGCGCAGATCCTGCAAACCCGGGACCCGAGGGATCAGAAGGGTCTTGGCAGAGTCGTAGCTGGTTTCGATCCCGTCAAGTGGGATGCAGTCAAAAGCTCTATAGTGGCGACGGCGAGCCTGGCAAAGTTTGGTCAGAACGAGGAATTGAGAGCTTTCTTGCTGGGTACGGGGCGCAGAGAGCTCATTGAGGCAGCGCCCAATGATCGGATCTGGGGCATAGGATTCAGTGAGAAGGACGCGAGAAACATGCGTAGCCGGCGCGAATGGGGTGAGAATCTGTTGGGGAGGGCCTTGGTGGTGGCCAGGGAGACTCTGCGCATGGAGGACAAAAGGCACCTCGCAGGCGCAGCCGGCCACCATTGATTGGATGTCTATTCCCCAGTTGGTAATTAAGGGCCGTAATATTCGGATCAAGGCACTGAAGAGCGTCTGTGGGCGGCGATCGTTGAGATCCCCATCTGGCCTGATTTGATCGCGTGTGTGAAGACTTGTCTGACAAAGATGCCCTAGAATGCCTGAATACCCATCTCTATCCATCTTCTGCTGTAGTGAAGCCAGTTGTTCTTATTTCTTGTTTTTCAAACGAACTCCTGGAGGCTTATTCTTGATTGTCTCATCCGGTTGGGGGCCTCTCCAAGTGGATGGGTTATGGAACCTCACTTGCTGTGGTTGCGATCACGCTTATGGCGTCTGTCTTCCTTCGGCTCAATTTAAGCAGATGAAGGCTAGAAGAGATACTATGTCGATTGGTAAGATTCGGGAAAAGTATACCGGTGAGGAGTTGAGGGATATAGGTGATGAAAGTGCAAGTTTATTGTACTGGCTGCATATACTGTGTAGATCATCATATCCAGAGCAGCCTAGATTACCTACCTCATGCTTCTATGATGACTGCCAGTCAATATTGTCAGCTGTTCAACCCCGCTTCCGCCCAGCTTCATATCTGCTCAACGCAGACACCCTCGAGTGCGATTTACTTTGAAACGACCGGTACACTCACACCAGAGATGGTAAATAAACCATGTCTTCGAATGCTGCTACCTTGTGTGAGAGATGCACCGCCCTGCAACTGACACGATCCGATTTCGCGAGCCCGCCGTTCGAACCAGAGTCAAAGTACCACCAGGTAATTGTCCAGGGCACCATCGGCCAACTTCGCGCAAGTCAGGCAGCGTGCGCCTTATGTCGAATACTCTTGCAAGCCCTGTCTCGGGAATATCAAGATCGCTCACATGCTCTGATGGCTGAAGATGCAGCGTGGGAGGCTGAGTGGTACCAGAACACAATAGAGTACGACCCCATCGTTGAGGGTGCAGAAGATCAGTACGGCTCCGCCCTCTGCCCGCGGCTGGAGGGCCAGTCAACATCAGTCTACGGCGTCCAGCTCGTGGATGAGCAGTCGACGCAGCATCTCGTTCGCGGCAGGGTGATTCCAACCCAAATGGACATGGCCCAGGTGAAAGGCTGGCTGGATGGGTGCAGCAGGGAACACGGGGATGGCCGTCTCCAGACACACCTGTCCATCCCTGCGCACCCATCCAGCCTCCCGGGTTTCATGGTGATTGATGTTGAGGAGCTTTGCCTGGCGCAGCTGCCCGATGGTATGACCTACACGACTCTGAGTTACGTCTGGGGGTCGACCAACTCCCCGACAACACTGAAGGCTAATGCCGACGACTTTCGAAAAGGCGGTGCTTTCAGGCGCCCAAAGCTCCCCAAGACGATCAGCGACGCAATAGAGGTGACTTCAGCACTGGGGTTCCGGTTCCTCTGGGTGGACGCGCTCTGCATCGTCCAGGATGACGATGCATTCAAAGCGAAGCTCATCGCCAACATGGATGCCGTCTATGGGAACTCGGCCCTGACTATTGTCGCTGCATCGGGTGATCATGCTGATGCCGGATTGGAAGGCTGGGGACGCCCTGCGGAAGCTGGCAGCCGCCAATCGCTTGTGAAGATTGAAGATGGATTCATCCTTGGAGTCCTCCCGTTCTTCGACCTCGAGCTCATGAACTCCACCTTTGCCTCCAGGGGCTGGACGCACGTCTCTCCCGAACTCCAAGATTAAATATATAATGTTGCTCACAACATTCGCAGATACCAAGAGACAGCGCTCTCAGCGCGGAGGCTCATCTTTCTGGGCGGGCAGTTCTACTTTGTATGCCGGGGCGCCGTGTGGAGGGAGGACATGATGGCCGAGAGCAACCTCATCCAGCCCTTCGCGGGCGCCAATACCCTCGGCACGGGAGCCTCCGAATGGACGCTGGGCCGCTACGGTGAACACGTCGCGGCGTACTCTTCCCGCAAGCTCACGTACTCCTCGGATGCCCTCAACGCCTTTACCGGCATTCAAAAGGCCCAGCAAGCATCCATGGGCGAAACCAAATTCTGGTATGGCCTTCCCGCCGCTGCTCTTGACTGGGCTCTCCTTTGGAAAGCAACCAATGGAACCAAGCTGGCTCGCAGAGAGGAATTTCCGAGCTGGTCATGGGTCGGCTGGGACGGCTCTGTGACTCATCCTCCGTATCTTCCGAGCAGCGATGATCAGACATGGCTTAGACGCAGGGCCTGGATAGACTGGCACATCGTTAATGACGAAAGAGCTGCTGTTCGGGCCTGGGAGCCATCAAATGAGAGTTCTTCAAGAAGCTCACAATTTCGCGTGAGGAGCAGCCAAAACTCTACTTCTCCATCCAAGCCCCAGAACGAGGATGGCAGTTCCCGTGCCAACAGTGAAGCAGACTCATCCAATGACGAGGATTTAGAAGATTTCATGCCTACTTACGGGATGTTACCTCGTGGGCACCCGTTCACTGGGAGAATGAACGCTCGGAACCCCTTGGCAGATATAAGCACGAGCACAGCAACTGGGTTTGGAAACAGGGATTTACTGCCGCCAGGTACACTCGTGTTTGAAACACCAATCCATCTAGTTGGAGACACAATCGAACTCTTGTTAGCGTCTTCTTCTGCTCATAATAACGCTAATGATTTTAAATATCAAATCATAGATAAGATAAACCAAAAGGTTTGTGGCATAGTCTCAACCCAAGACGTCTTGCTGCAGCTAGGACAGGGAAAAGGAGACTGGTTTGCCCTGCTAGCTTTGTCATTTGCGGCTCTCAGCACTACCCTCGATCGTAAAGCGCTCCAGAATGGTGGACTCGATGGAATATATCTTGAAACCGCTTCGCAAGAGGCATCTGTCGACGGCGAAAAAATCTTTGGGGAATGGCACGAATGGGACTTCTTCAACGTCATGCTGGTCCATGGTCAAGGCGACACTGGTAAAGTTTGTCTTATCTTAAAAGAAAGCATTAATGCTATCCCCAATATCCAGTTGATGAAGTGCTTCATGCAGATCGTTGCGGTTTAGGATTGATGCATAGGGATATATTGATGGATGAAACTCGCGAGCTAGACTTTAAGGTTATTGCTCTCGGATAACCAAAGCTCCGAATGTAGGTGTAGCATGATGAGATGAACTGGCAGGGAGCACATGGAGGATCCAATCACTCAAGAGGTTCCTTTCGGTGACTTATCGCGAAAAGATTGAAGAAAGACTTTCCCATATATAGTTCAAAATCTAAAACTTTCACCTAGTTAAGTTGTATTAAATCTATCTCACAACGCCTCAATGGTGATTTGTCTAGTTCTTTCCTAGTAGTTGACCCTACCACCTAATCTAGGGGAAGCCATTGGCTAGCCAGTGCCTTAATCGCATCAGGGAAATGACCTTCCTCGACCTCTGCACTCTTTCTCTTCGAAAACTCATCGTAAAACCTCTGCAGATTGGCCGCCTCCGCATCGGCACAGAGGTCCAACCCATATAGATCCTTTGAGAAGTGCAGCACCGAGAAGAGCATGAGATCAGGTATGGTGACGTCCCGCCCTTCTCCCAAGCTCTTCTGCTCCGCGTAGTATGCATCCAGGAGCTTCAGATCCTTTATACAGTACTCGAAAGTAAGCTTGCTCGCGAGCGCGCTGGTCTTCTCAAATGGCTCGAATAGCTTGCTTCCCTTGTGGCATCCCAACCCGAAATAGCTGCAGGCCTCCTCCGTCAGCGAGATCATGTCTCTGATGCGTGCCCTCTCGGCTGTAGAGTTGCCGAGCATGCTCGTCTTGTTAGCCAGACTTGCGAGCTCAGCTTGCCAGGGTTGATCAGTCTCTGGGTGGTCGCAGAGCTCTTCAAAATATTGGAGGATCGCCCCTGACTGCCTGATGAAGCTTCCGTCTGGGAGCTTCAACACTGGGACTGTGCCGGCGGGCATTCCCTCTGCAAACATCTTGCCCTCTTGTGTGAATGAGACTGCCGTTATCTTTATAAGAGGGGACTCTATCAGGCCCTTTTCGGAAAGGTAGAGTAGGATCCGTCTGGGGTAAACACCCCAAGGGAGGACAAACAGCTCAAGAGGAGTGACCATGTCTTGTCCTGTCTCGATTCTGTATATTGCGCTTCACGGGATAAATAGGAAATGAATAGTCTAGATTCGTGAAATTCTGCATTCAAATGATGTTTATGGCCCAAGGTCTCCTATTTGATCCCATAGCCATCCATTGTGAACGGCTATTTGTATATGCAGAATCCCTGCCTCGGAGACTTTTTGTCTCTCCTGTCGTCGTTGGGTGGATCCTCTGCCCTACCGGCGGCCACTTTCTGATGTCTCCGACGATGTCACTGAAGCATTCTCGGCTACTTTATTCTCAGACAGTAATAATAATAATACAATAATATTCGGTTGTGCCCAAATCTGTACTATACGCTACCACCTATAGGAGGCTGTGAAGGCCCCCTCCACATGGATCACCGTCATTGTGATAATGATAGAGTCATGAAGAAGCCCACAATCCAGGACAACAGATGAACATCCTTTCCGTGTATTTCTTCGAAAAGCACAGTTGGCACGCGCTACTGCATCCCCGGCAGCTGGATTTCGAGGTTGTCGCTGACCTTCTCCGGTGCCAGATGCTGCCGGGATGGGAGGAAAGGCCATTTCTAACATGGGAGAATTTCGAAGCAAGACAATTTTAATTTTTTTCCCCCGAAAATTGGTTTATCCATACCCAATACGTTATTTAAGACATGTTTTTACGCTCAAGCTCCTCACTCTGCCAAGGGAACCGGATCAATAAAGAGCGAGAAGAAGAGCACGACCATTCGTCATTATATTAATCAAGCCTCCTTTTGAGGCCTCAAACTATTCTCGTGCCAGATGACGCCGCGACTGTATTTCATTCAGCGGAAGCAACAAAGAGAGCCACGTTTCCAGTCATTTAGAGTATACTCAGGTACAAAGCCGAGGTACACACATTATTCAACCAGCTCCTAGTCGTGGTCGTCCCAAAGTTTGACATATGCAGAAATGGTAGACCAAAGCAACATAATCCTTCAACAATAAAAAAACCAACTCAATCGTCCAAATTCTCTCCACCGGCCCCGCCCTTCGACAATTCCTCTTCATAGATGAACTCATCATCGGCAGCACCATCCATACCCATTCCGTCATCCAGGTTGTCCCACTCAACATCATCATCACTCTCGTGGTCGTCGTCTTTGTCTCCTTGGTGCCCATTGGCAATGCGAGTGACAGGCTGCTGATCTATGGCTTCGCTCGCTCCCGTAGTCGTAGTGAAGAAGGAGTGGTCCGACTTCAAAACTCGGCTCTCACAGACGAATCCAACCGGGGTGTGCTTGATTTCCAAAGTTTCGCGTCTGTAGGTCGACCATTCAAAGAGGAATTTGAGAGGCATCTCGATGGACAGGCCGAAACGTTCTGGAGTTGAGATCACAGGAGACGAAAGCTGATCTGCTACATCGGTTGAGACGATCTCGGAGCTTCCATTTATTCCTAGCCACGCGAGGAGGGGTTCGTACTCCAAGTAATCAAAGTACAGCCTCCCCGCAACGACACCCACTTCGACTGAGAGCCAGGCTGGAAAGGCGGGCCGTTCCTTCAGGTATGGGACCGTGAAGAAGTTGAGAGTGTTGAACGGTTTCATAGACTTGGTGACTGGGGCAGCATAGCTCAAGAGCCAGACTTGGGGTTCATCGAGGGTTCGAAGTGTTTCGATGAGAAGCTCAGCCTCTTCGGGTATTACGATAAGAGCCGTCTCTGTCGTTGAGCTCCAGAGGATCCATTCGACCGGGCGCTGTTAGGAGCTACTGGTTAGTGGACAGATAGGTATGGTAATAAGAGAGAGCTACTTACAACCATCATTAGTTCAGCCTTGGAGCGGCTGGTGACTGTTTTGGTGAATTCCTGCGAGACAAACAGTCGAGTTCCTGTTCCACAAACACCATACTTTCGACCTATCTTGGTGGTGCCGATGAAGTTGAATGCTTGGATGAATGGTCCGCGGTGATCCAAATGACCAGTTTCGACAAACCGGGTGATATAAGGGTCCAAGCCAGGAAACAAAAGTGGCGAGAACTTTCCCCGTTTCTGATTCTCTCTGACTTGTTCGACTTCAAACTCCACTTCCCGCTCCTGCTCTACCTCTGCTAGTGCAGATGCCTCAAATTGCCTTCCGGACTGATGAAGGTTAAGCATTTGTTGATGAAGATTACGGTTAAAAGCGTTGAGATTTGGAAAGTCGAGGTCAGTTTGCACTGAGTCTGAGGCCGCGGTTCTGGAACCATAAAGTTCCTCTATCGACTGAGCTTCGCGTTGGCGTATCACATCAAGAAGATCGTCGATGTGTTTCTTCTTGTCAAGCTTGCCTCTGTTCTTCCAGAAAGCATTGGCACGGCGGCAGAAGTCGAACCCTTGCGCGATGTAAAGGGACATGATGTCTTCGTTGGCCGTGCAGCTCTGCTCAAGAAGCCAGCGCACGACATCATGAGAATTCACGCGATAATTCTTGACTTTCTTGAGATGTGAAGGCCGCAACTCAAGAATGCTTTGGTAGACCGCAGGAGGAGCTACGAAGGCTACTGATTGAGTAGAGGCGAGCTGTCTCAACCTCATGGCCGCTAGAGAGATTTTCTATTAGTAAAGTTCCCTGGTCTATTTCCGTGATTCTTTCTTACCTTGTACCGTTTGATCCTTCGTTTGACCCATCCCAAGAGTGACTGCTCCTTTAACACCTAGCGGTAGCTTTATGTCCGTGCCTCGTGTATGCGCCTCGTCGACGTAAACGACGCATTGCTCTAAGTTCTCGGCGAAAGGGCTGGCGAGAAGCGGCATAGGAGCCTTCTGGAATCGAGCACAAACCATGATGCGACCACTTTTGTCAAAGTATACGGCGCCCTGGGCTTCGTTGTGTACTTCAAGCCACGCTGCTGCCAGGTCATGATTCTCCATCTCTAGAATGTGGGCGCCAGCGTCGATGAGAACGTTGATTTCCTTATCTCTGAGGAGCTCCAGCAAGCCCCTCTCGCTTAATTGTTTACCGCCTTGATCGACAGCTTGGTAACATGTCTTGTTCCGGTTTTCGAGAAGGTAACCTAAGACTTCCGCGTTCGTGTGGACGAGGCCTGCCAGATCATCCTGTTTGATGGTCTGAGGCAAGAGCCTTTTGTTGTCATTCGTGCCACTGAACCCTGTTGTCAGGCACGACGACTGCGAGGATTTCATGTAAGATGGGGAACCAGGAGACACTAAGGGGATGTCCCAGCCAGAGGCCTGGAGCTTGATCCCGAACTGTTTGGCATGTCGAGGGAAAACAAAGTGATTCATGTAATGGTTGAGAACATGTCGGTCAAAACACAAGTGCTTCCACAACTCCTCTATCTGCGCTTCGTCATCTACGCTGAGGAGATTCACGTGTCGAAGCGTGGCCGGCAAGGCAGCACAGCCGTGTACCCAATGCTCATACTGGGCAGCAGGGTCATCTGCCCTGATGACGTACTCTAGGCTCTGAGTGATCTGTCCCCTCGACAAGCCGGTTTGGTAGAAGGCGAGACAGGTCAAGGTAAGAGCTGTGTCTGGATGGCCGTACTCAGCTGTTTGAGAAGGAACACCTTTGGCTTCGAAGGGTACCGCGATGGGTGCTCGCTCTGGGTGAAGTCCAAACTGCACGTTCCAACGCTTTTTTAAACAGAGCAGGATGATGCGCTCCGAAATGAGGCCACGTAGTAGGTACAGGCACTTTAATCCCACGACTTCGTCGGTCAGACACTTGGCCACGGTTGACCAACCCGAATCCAAGACCTTACCACCAGTAAGAATGAATTCAAGCGCTCTCCGAGCATCTTCATTCGAGGGGTCTTTTAACTGCACTCGCGCAAGGCGACCCTCGCAAACGTCCTTGACGAGTAGCTCATTCAGAACATCTTCGACTTTGGTATCAAGAAAATGGATGATGGGGTAGCCCTGATGGCGCCGGAAAATCTGGATTCCCTTTTTGTGTGTTGACTCAAGAAGCGAGCAGTGGCCTTCAACCAATGACAGGACGTCTTGCACCACCTCCCAGCGTTGAGGGTGTCCATCGACAATGACAGGAATACCGCTTGGGTAGATGAGCTGAGTTTTAGCGGACAACGTAAGATCGGACTCGTCGATAATGTCACGGCTCTTCTCATAAAGCCATTGCTGGATTTGATTCATCTTTTTGGCTGTTTTCATTTCGTTATCAGCAAGTTGCTGGAGACCGCTCAATTGAAACGAGAGGATGTGTTCCGGGAGACAAAGCATAACCCCGCCGGACGTGAGAATTTCACGGTGGATTCTCTGATACAGATCGAGAGTCTCACTCCCTTTAGGGGATCGTCGTTGAAAGGGAATGTGTTGGACTCTGCGTCCAACCAACCGACCGAGGCGTCGTTGAATTACAAGAGCGGTCTGCAGCAACAAAGCGCGAGGAACAATGAGTCGGCAAAGCTTGGTTTTGTCTGCTAGCAAAGTTGCTGCCATCGGCATGATACAAGATGTTTTCCCTACATTGCATCTCTGGATTAGTACCGGTAGCTTGAGAGGGATGAGTAACACAACTAACCTTCACCCATATTCATTTGTAATACAGAGTTGCTGCGTGATGATGGTGAAACAATAGCATGAGCTACATCGACTTGAGATTGTCGCAAGAGGATGTTATTGTCGATTTCTAGAAGCAGCCACTCCGGCTGTTCAAGCGGACGCCAATTGGAGTGGCCTGTGTGATTATATTCTTCAACGAGGCGCCTCTCATCATCAGACCGGAATGCATCGTCCATTCTCTGTAGACGCTGGAGTTTTGTAATAAGCACTCCGTACCAAACGAGAGCTTCCTTCATATAAGGGCCTAGACTTCCAACATTGTCGTTTCGGAGCATCTCAAGCAGAGCCACAGGCGAGAGACTGGGCCAAAGGCTCCCACTGCTAAGCCAGCCATGGGTTACTTCGTCTTGCGAGATCGATTGTCTGATATTATCCACATGCTCCTCTAGCGCTTTCTTGGCAAGGCGTATTTGAAGAATGATCTCGTTTTGGCCTGGAGGTTTGTTGGGGATTGCTTTTGTCTCACGATGCTGAACCAATGCTCCTAACGATTCCTTCAGGTCTTGACCATACTGTTTTCGTGTCGCATTCGTCGAAGTCACAAACGTGTCAATAATCTCACTGAGAACTTTTAGTTCATTCTGTAGAGCCGGGGGATTGAGCTGTGTCTTGCCGAAGTGAGCGGGGCCGGAGACTTGACTCAAGCATGAGTTATTGCTCCTTTGCGTATCTGGATTCACATCTGTGTGAAATTCTCTGCAGGTTTTCATCGCTAGAAGAGCTTCTAGCTCCGGGACTTTGAAGCGGACATTTACAGAGATTGAAGACAGCGATTTCGATGTGTTGGGGTTCGAAAAATTGACATGTTGACGCGTTTGAGAGTCTGTATGGATCTTGTGCTGAGGTATCTCATCAGCAATGTCCTGAAGCTTCTTAAGATAGCAAGACAGCTCGTGATTGTGAGATAATCTTCGGACTTCGAGTTTCAGGCCATTCCAAGCGTTGTTAACGTCAATAAACTCAAAAGAGGATTCTGCAATCATTGTTTGCAATTCGTGGGCAGTACCAGGCGCAGTTGGCCACTGGCGGACTAAGATTTGAGCAATTTCCTCTGCTTCAGCTCTTTGTTTCGTTTTGAAAGTGTCTAGGGTTCTAGCTGATTTCGGCCGCTTCTTAGTCTTCAAGGTATCAAGATACCGAATGTAGTCCGATTGGTGTTCCAGAATACGCGTGGTCAAGACATTTTTGTTAGGATTCTCAAGAAATTGGAATTGGCTATAAGTTAATGATGACGGCGGCGGAATCTGTCGGAGACTGGTGTGCTTTGCAATGGCTACTAGCCATAAGATCATCTTCATTCTGCCGGGCTCCCTGTTCGTTGCCAGCAAGGCCAGCAGGAGGGGAAGAGTAAATTTGTTGGCAGAGTCTTGCTTTCGACATGTTTGGACGACCTTTCCCCAAACAGCGATGATGTCGGCGCCGAGGATTTCTTGAAGCATGAGATTCTCAAATGCGGGATGGAATCCCCCAACCATTTCCTCACTCTTGAACAAGGGCCTTAGTTTTGCAAGTTTCGGTATTTCATCAGCCTCCCCGCCCAGTTCCTTGACAATCTGGTAGATTGGGCACCCATTGGCCCCGGCACCCAGACCCTGAGGCGTGTATGGAATCCATTGTGTAGCCCTGGAAAGTATCAGGGAGTCAGATGGAGAGTTGATACGCTCATATATCTGTCGCCGAATAAGGCCTCTGAGACCCAAATGGCCAATAGGGTCATCCTCAGGATCCATTGTTGGGGGCACATCCGTAGCTACTTGAAACATTTCAAGCTTGCGTGATTGTCGAAGAATCGTTTCTACAGCTGGAGCCAATCCCTCGTGTTGAATCGTGGCGGTTAAGTTACTGTCCCATTCCACCTTCTGGCAAAACTTCGAGTCTTTAGGATAGTAATGCCTTTTTGGCGACAACGATGTCAGCACAGATAGCATCGCTTGAGAGTGTCCTTGTAGCGGCTGCCATGGTTGACTGCAAGCTGATGTCAAACAATGAACCGCCTCTTCCGTGCCCGTTCTGCCGGTGAGCGTGTCTGGTAAAGGGAATGAAGTCAACGCATGCAGCGCCGCTTTGAGGTGTAAGAGGGTCATCTCCTGGGCGCAATCAAGGCGACCGAGGAGCGTGTCCACGGTGAATCGAGCGTACATGCCTTGATTGGCAATATAAACAGCGACATGCATCCCCTTGGGCTTCCAAGTGAAGGTCGAGCCAATGGGAACAAGAATGCTCTTCTGGTCAGGGTTTCTAACACTACGCAGGACAATCTTGCTTTCAAGGCCGTGGAGGGTACCCGCGTCCTGGTCCGGGTCGACCTCAGACGCGAGTTGTGGGCACTGGAGTAAGTTCTTATAGTTGACAAAGAATTGAATTTCCAGGCGCTTCATTTCGATCCTCAATCGCCCCCCCACGGGCTGATATATTGTCAGCTTTTCGACATCTTCAAAGCCTCGAAAGATGGCAGCTATTTGTTTGCCAACCTTCGACTGGGGTTCAACAAGATAACTGCCTGAGCCTCTCGTGCAAGCATGCTTGCGAATATCCAACGTCCAGTTAGAGGGCTTTCGACGCCAGATCTGTGGCTTTCGGCGCATTTCCAACATCCCCGAGTTCAGGTTCAGCCAATGAACGCAATCATCCACAAGCCCGGAAGGCAGATCCATACCAGAAGTGCTTTTGAAGACAGCCCGAGGAACATGTTCAAGCAAGGCGTTTTTGAAAATTGCTCGGATGACCACCTTGCCATTTCTAAATCCCATGTGAACTTCGTGATCATTGACAGCACTGACAAGTTGATATTCCATGCCCTGGAGACCTGAAGGGCGGGTGAGCAAATGCTGCTTCCCAAACAGTTCTTGAATACTCGGATCCTCCCTCATCTCCAGGGGAAGCTTTCCAAGTGATTTCCCGTCGACTAATAGGTGTCCCTGGAGCACATGATACTGGACCACCTGCGGAGCCGCCCATCGAGTGCCAGCAATCTGCGACTGAATCCACCATTGCTGCTTCTGAGATAGAGTGCTCCAACCGGAATATTTTCTCTCACTCGCAAGTTCCGGAAGTCCCCAGGTTTCGTTGATAGCATGCTCTAGAGCAGAATGAAAAGAAACGGCCCATCTCTCAAGAAGGAATCGCATAGAGTGAGACATAGACAAGTCTCGAATGAATAAGATCTTCAGATTGGGACTGAGTTCGTCAAGATTGACTATGAGATTCTCCTGAATCGCGATGGAGGCGCGGAAGAAATGGATCATATCTTTATACTCAAGATTTTGCAAGGTCTCTGGCGTGTCGTTATATATCGAGAAGGTCTGACGGCATAGCAGAGCAGCCCGAAATGCATAAGCTGTCTTTTGACGCGCAGTGTCTGCCTCATTTGTCACCCTAATCTCGCGCCGAAGGTGAATGATCCATCCGGAAGTAATCTCACGAATTTTCACCAGGAGCAATCGTGCCAACTTTTTCGCTTCCGGGCCTCCTAGATGGTGAAGTCGGAGAGTAAACGTGACGAGGATGCCCATGTAATGCACCTCTCTCCAGTTGGAAACAAGTGTTTCCAGACGAGTGTGGAGTTGTTCATGTAACTTGATGCAGAAATCGTGGTCACTAAACCATTTGTGGACTTCACCCAACACTCCCAATCCAGTGCCAGCTGGTCCAGCTTGTAAGGCGAGATGTCCAAGAAACTTGATTGTAGTCTCGCTACTGAAATTCAAGGTTGTCGCACCCAACTCAACCAAAATCACGAGCCATCGTCGGCGTCGTCCGGAGACCGCTCGTTGAAAGGCAGAATATTCCTGCACAGACATGTTGGAGGGGCATTCAGATGCGTTGGCTGCTATCTGGTAGGACGAGGGGGGGAATACGGCATCATTTGTGATGTTTTTGTCGTTTTTGTAAGGATCCATGACCCCCTTTGGCAACCAAAGGCCCAGAAGGTGTTGAAACCAAGGCGCTTCCTTGCAAATGTCATCCGCCCAAACATTAGACTCACTATCATAGTAATAGAACGAAGGCGCAAATTCTAACACGACTTGGCTGTCCGTCTTGGGGAGCTTGAGTTCCTTGTAATGAGTCTGGAGAAAGGACTTCTTCTCAGAGGCCAAGGTAATAGATAAAGACTTGCGGCCAGATAGCGTTCCAAACGGTTTCAAAGGGTCATAATCCCTCAATAGTAGCGCAGGCTGGCCAGGAGCGGCAGGGATTGACTCAGTACCCATCATGCGCAGTTTCCAGGTAGCGATCCGGTAACTGGCAAGGTATTCGGGTAGAGTAAGTTCAAACAAAATCGCGGCTCGTTGGCGTTCACGATCACTGTCAGGAATAAAGTCTTCATGTATCTTGATCTTCATTCGATTTCTGGAACGCCATTGCCAGCATCTTTTGCATCCTCTCACATCTTTGGTTCCGTCTAGGAGTCGCTTGCAGCAGCATACACCAGCCCCGATAGCTTCAGACAGCTTGTTGTAGTCTGCCATGTGGGATTCCAGCTCCAAGGTTTTTGATCTCCTGGCTCGGTCGGAAGCGGCGTCTATGCGTTCGCCTAGAACAATCATGGCCCTTCCTTCTTTGGTATCATGAACAAACTTCAGTGGGAATGCAAATCTCCGATTGGGGGTGTCGAAGATAGAGCCGTAATCTGGGTCGTGATTGGCGATGCGCTCGGCAAGATGTTCCTGAACATCCCTCAAACTCCGCATCTCTTCCTCCGTGAGCAAGCAAAGCACATCCAGTGATTCTGGAATGAAAATGGGGTGGTACTTGTTGAGAAGAGGACAAGCCGTTGTGGCAGCCTGATCCATGGCCACCCACAGCTCGAATAATCGTAGGAGGTGTCGGCTCATGAGTAATGAATCAGTTTTGTATGCGTCACCAGAAGCCTCCCGATACTCAAGAATCTTCCATGATAGGTCGATACACCTCAGCCGTGCATCCGACCACGTCGCTTTGAGCTGTGTCGTAATGTCCGCCTCGTCATCGACCAATTTCCCATAGCGGCTCGCCATTTGATTGACCTGAGAAATAGTTCCCGCATCGAGAGAGGAGATTTTGGTTTTCCCGTCACGCTGTGGAGCACCGGTCTTCTGAGTTAGGAGTTGCGAGAGGGCTTCACCACTGTTGCGCAAATCAAGCCAGAGAGCATCTTTTGGGGCACGACTTGGAAGTTTCGGGATTGGGCGTGTGATCTTCTTCTTGTACTCATTCCATGAGTTGGAGACTTGTAACTGCGCAGCTGCTATATTGTCCTGGAGAAATGGAGTAGTGGCCGTGAAAAGTACCTCAAATGTGGAACGCAATACTCCAGAGGCAGCCAGCTTCTCAGTCTCAAGCTTGGCAAGGCGGCGACAAAGCTTTGCCTGAAGCATCAACGTCTTTTCCGGGGCCAAACGACCAACACAATCTTTAAGAAGTTGGGCTAGCACGACGCACATGATAAATTTGAAGTATACCCGGCCAATACCGTTGACGCCATTGTCGAATAAGCTGGAGAGGACGCATCTGACGGCAACGCGGAGGAACAACCAGTAGGGCGAACGTCTCCAAGGAATCTCAGAAGTGCCGAGTACCACATCATCCCGCACCTTCTTCTGAAATGTCTGGACTTTGGTCAGACTCCCAATACCTTCCAACAAGGACATGAGCATTTCGCTAATGAGTGCCGGGCTTGGGCAGTCACGCGTCTCGACGATAGACTTGCCGCCCTTGGATGCCCGTGCTGCAAACTGGTCGAATGATTCTGAGCTGGCTTGCTCGAGGAAGTTGGACAGAGTCTGGAGAAAAGATTCGTTGGCGAAATCGTTGAACGAGATGGCAGCCGCGCGGTGGGGAAACTCGCAGGTGAGAGCGTGGTTGGCTTCGAGTACGTTTGTGTTCGGTGCCGAGACTTCAAAAGCTTCAAAAACAATCTGACTTTTCCTTGGAGAAGAAATTAGACCGAGAAATCACGAGAGGGTTTGGGAAAGTTGGGGGCTCAGGGGTTAGACTTACTCCAAGTCTCGCCGCACAATGAGAGCGGCGTTTTGCTTGGCGATGTGCAAAGCCAGCCATTCCTTGTCCAGGCCTCTGAACGCGCGCATGAGATCACCTTTGGCCAAGAAGTCTTGGTTCAGCAATAGCGTCGTTCGTAGGGAATGGTCCAATGTTTCCCAATGGTCCCCGCCTAAATCAGGGCAAAGACCTCGGAGAGTACGACAGGCGTACAACAGTCGCTTTCCAAAGTCTCTGCTGAGCGCAACATCATCCCCATCGAATGCTGTCGGAAGTTTTGGCGGTAGGATGATGTGACTGAACACAGCCAAAAGCTTCGCGGCTTGTTCATCTGAGGTCATTTTGGCGTGACATAACCAACAACACGTGCTGAACGAGGCTAACAAGGGAGGAGAAAGAGAATATGGAATGATGTTGTGAAGAAAAGGTGAAGCACGAGGAAACTGAGTTGAGGCAGTGTTTCTGTGTGCAGGTGCGGTTGGCGCCTCAGGCAGCAGCGCCTCAGGCATCAGGCCTCAGGCAGCCACCCGCCTTGCGAGGCAGTTCAGTGTTGGCCCAATTTGAAACCGAGTTGGCCTCCTGCATGAGCAGCTGCATGGCATGGTGGAGAAATCTGCCTGTGTGCAATTATCATTGGCTTGTTGATGGTGATGTTTCACAGATATCAGAAAGTGACCGGCACTGACCAACACGTGGCGGTAGTCAAAAGGTTGTAATTTGTGGCTGTATCCAAGCCAGAAAAAAGAAACAACAATCCAGTGGTTCGCCCGGCAAACTTAATAGAATGAAAATGGGAGATTGCCCAAACCTTACAAACTTAAACTCCAGAGGAAAGAGCTACAAGGAAGATTCCGCAAGCCACAGGAAGGAAATCTTGGCAAGGTACCAAAACCAAAGGAAATTCTCACTCTAGTGGAGCTTCACCGTGGCAAGTTATTTGATCCCACTTTCTCGCTTAATCCGCGTTCCCAAACACTCAAAACATGGCCAGAGGTTGCGCTTCCCACGCTAACAATCAAACATTTAACTTCTTGTCACAAAGATGGAATTCAAGACAATGAGCTAGGCTTTTCGGAGGCAAAACTTTAGTGTTATCCCAGTTCTGCCGACGGAGTTGAGCGTGACAGAGTACGGCTCCTTGAGACGCCCGAGTGCCCGCGGATGAATCCATTAAATCACCAGCTCACTGGCAAATCTTGTTGTGTTCTATTCCATTCAAGCTTAAATAAAAAAGTATTACTGTGAACAATTCCGGGACGTATTTTGAGGAGGGCTCGAGCTCAACACGGCAAAGGAGAGTGGTGGTAGATGCGGTATTAGATCGACGATAAACCGAGTTTATGATGCACGGGAAATAGATATTTTCCATCTCTATATACAGTGCATGAAATACATGAAATTAAAGGCTGCAAGGCCAGAGAATGTAAGGCTCTCGTTTAGGAGACTCGTTCTCGAACGCGGAATTTTACGAAAATGCTTTAGCTCTGGCCAGGCGACTCTCCATCTGCTCTCTTGGGCTTGGAAGATCAACTTCCGGGAACCGAACATCCTTTTGCCAAGGCAAGAAGTCAGTCTGTTCAACCAGCCATCGCAGAACCTCCCGCTCAAACTCCCACACAAGGTTTCGATGCTCTGGCTCCGCCGCCAGGTTGTGCATCTCATGCGGATCGTTGTGTCTATGGTATAATTCTCCCGGCTCGTACAGCCTGTATATGTACGTCCACGTCTCATCCCTGATTGAAATTGCCTTTCCAACGAGTGAGGTGTCCTCGTGCTGCAGTCCAGCTTTGATATCGTACGGATACGGCGACTGCTCCAAGAGAGGCTCTTCAGAAAGCAAGAACCCGCCCTCAGAGAAGGCGTACTTCTTGTGTGTGGTCTCGTTGCCCACTAGTAGAGGCACCCATGACTTTCCATTATGCGGGAAGTGCTCTCCTATACCAGAGAATTCCAGCAAGGTCGGGACCAAGTCAACCATCTCCGTCATCGCACCAACTGTCTTGTTCTCGGGCAGACCTGCACCGCCAATAATCAAAGGCTCGTGGACAAGTGTTGAGGAGAGACCAGAAGGCCATTTCTCAATCAGGCCATGGTCACCCAGGTACTCCCCGTGGTCTGTGAAAAACATTGTCACTGTGTTTTTCCACAACCCAAGCTCATCCACCCGGGAAATGATCTTTCCAAACTGGTCGTCCAAGCGAGAGATCATACCGTAGTAGGTGGCTTTGATCTCACGCCAGATTTCATCCGTAGCACGGTCGGTGCCGTAGCTCTTCCTGATGGTCTCCATGTACTTGGGCTCATAACCCGTTTTAGCACCAGGCTTGGCGACAATATCCGCCATAGCAGATCTATCATACATGGAAAAATAAGGCTCCTCCACTTGGAAAGGACAATGCGGAAAGATGAGCGGCATGAACAATACCCAGGGCTTATCGTCCGGCGGGCACTCCAGCCATTTCAGAGCCGAACGCACCACGGCGTCATCATAGTCCATCGCTTGGTGTGGGTTGCGAAGGCCCTTGTAGAAGAGGCGACCCCAGATATCATCCTTGTCAGGCGGCGTGACAGTGCCCTTGCCAAACTTGGGCACGAACTCGGGCGTCTCAAGGAAGCCGTACTCTGTCACGCTCAGCTCCGTGACTGTCGGCGCAAACGTGTCACCACGGGGCGAGAGACAGGCCACATGATACCCTGACTCCTTGAGGCTTCGGAAAATGTTGGGCTCCCAAGGCTTAATTAAGTTTTCCAGACTGCGATGTCCGCTCACGTGTGGATAGGCCCCAGTGAACATACTGCATCGTGACTGAGAGCAGACAGAAGCCTGGGTGAAGCAATTTGTGAAAAGGGTGGCTCTGGAGCGGAAAGCGTCGATGTTGGGAGTCCTGACACCGGATTTGCCATCTGTTGTACATGAAAGAGAATCGAATCTCAACTGGTCAGGCATAAAAATGACATAATTCGGCCGGTTACCACCATTGCTCGACTCAACGGCCAGAGGGAAGGGCTTGGGAGGCAAAGTATAGGGAGGCGGCGGTTGTGCCATTTCTGCAAAGACTGACGAGAGAGTTAACGGAGAAGATGTGATTTCCGGCTTATGGGTTAATGATTCCTTCGTTCTCCAATATTTGTACTTTGTATCCAAGGAGAATCAGTGTACCCGCCGGTCGGCCGATTGCCGTAGTATCAAGGACAGGTAGATCCGGATCCCGCTCCGGATAATGACCGACAAGATCCACCTAGACGCTGACAACAGAAGAGGTTAAGATGGCGTCATCTCAGGGATGTGCCAATGAACTAGCTTCATGTCCTCAATATCTGGGGAGAATGATATCCGTGTCCAAAGTTCTAGAGCGCGCCGTCTTCCAAACCCTGCCTCCTTGATCAGGCTGGCCTGGTCTCCTTCTCTTCCGAGTTTTACGGCTACTGACCGACGAAGGTGACGAAGACAAGGTCATCAAGCCACGAAGAATCATGTATATAAAATGATTGTCCGGGTTTGAGTCTCCCCGAAATGAATGCGGGATAATTCATCAACATTCTAGCATTCATCGGCACCCATTAGCCCGCAGTCATGTCCAACCTTGGCTTCGAGAAGGCACGCTATTTCAATGGCACCTTGTTGCTCTCCGTCTTCATTATAGCCGTGTCGACGTTCAACTATGGGTTTGACAACCAAGCTTTCGCCACAACTCAGTCCATGGACTACTTTGCAAGGCAGTTCGGAGAACGCAACGCAAAGACCGGCGTATATGAGTTGCCATCTGACTGGCTAGCCCTGTTCAACAGTTTGAATTACATTGGATTCGCCGCTGGTAGGGCTCTTTTTTCCACGAATTGCGACTCAAAGGCTCATTTTGATATCTTCTAGGTGTCATCATCGGAAGTCAGGTCTCTTCGATGTTCGGCCGTCGATGGTGCATGTTTGGTATGAGCTGCTATGCGCTAGTCACAGCGACCATTGCAGTCACATCGAAATCGAGAGAGCAGATCATGGCAGCACGGATTCTCAACTACATTTATGTTGGTATCGAACTTGCCGTTGTACCCACATTTCAATCTGAGATTGGTACGTTCATTTACCTCCTACAGTTGAGATGAAGGCCACAGAGGCTAATCTAGTTACTTGGCAGTTCCGGCCCCGGTCCGCGGTTTCGTTGTCGGTTCGTATCAGATGAGTCTTATGGCCGGTGGTCTTGTAATCAACGCGGTCTGCTACGGCACCGGTTTTATCGAGAGCAATCGGTCGTGGCAGATTCCTCTCGGCCTCTTCTACATTGTTCCGACAATCATTGCAGCCACCATATTCTTCGTGCCCGAGTCCCCAAGATGGCTTCTTCGCAAGAACCGCACCGATGAAGCCCGTAAAATGCTTCAGAGACTTCGACAAGGGGCCTTCGCTGAAGAGCAGATCAATGCTGAATTCGCGGAGCTTCGAAATGCCCTTGAGAACGAGCCGGAGCAGGGAAAGTTCGTTGAGCTATTCAAAGGCAAAAATCTCATTCGCACCGCCATTGTGGTAGGCGTGAACTTCTTCCAGCAAGCGACTGGCCAGGCCTTCTCGTCGCAGTATGGGGCGGTTTACGTGAAAACGCTCGGAATCATCAACCCTCGGCTCTTCAGTTTGATCACGTCTGGGATCGGCGTAACAATCTGCTTTATCTCACTATACACGACCGACAAGATGGGACGACGGTGAGTTGTCTTGCAAATTATTCTCTCCCTGTATTTACCAGGCTGACAATTCCCATCAAGTGTTCAACTAATGGCATCAGCACTCATCATGGCAGGCGCTTTGTTCACCATGGGAGGACTTGGTGTCCAGAGCCCCGTGCCAACCGCCAATATGCGTGGTATCATTTCAATGATTGCAGTCTTTGCAATTGGTTTCGCAACAGGTTGGGGCCCGCTCACGTATGTGGTTACCACCGAGGTTTCATCACTGCGGCTTCGTGATCTCAACTCTCGAGTCGGATTCACCGTAAATGTTGTATTCAAGTAAGTTCTTCCCGCCCTTACTGGGAAATATTCTAAACAAGGGCTAATATATGAGCAGCTGGGCGGTTAATTTCTCCATCCCTTACCTTGTGTGGCCCGACAAGGCAGGCCTGGGAAGCAAGGTTGGCTTCATCTTTGGGTCCATCGCAATTCTGGCACTTATCTTTACGTACACGTGTGTGCCTGAGTGTAAAGGTAAAACGCTTGAGCAAGTGGATTGGCTATTCAACAACGATGTGCCATTACGCAAGTTTGGGCAAACTGAAGTTCCAGCCAATCTGGAGACCGCTCACGCGTACAGTAAGGGGATTGAAAGGGAGGGCGATGTTGAACATGGGCGAAACAGCCAGGTTTCCAAGGGGGACAGCCTGTGAGAAGCATTTTGAAGGACCCAATAGGAACCTTGCCTTTATTCAGCCTATAGCAGTGTACCTTATCAAAATTGTTTAGCCGAAGGTATTAATAATAAGATCGTGAGGATGGGCTAGTTTCCGCCCAGTTATTCACTAGAACCCCTCATTCATACCTCCCTGGGCATATTTCATCCACCCCCGGTTAATGATGATAATGGCCTACCTAGTATAGTGGAAGGTTAATTAAGCACCTGTAGAGTCTGGAGTGAGTTAGACGGCTTGTTCCGTTAAAATAACACGCAACCGCTATTCGTGAGCACGCCATCGGTCCCTTGCCGACAAAAACTCCCGCATCCGCCGACGAGCCTTCAACAACGCTGGAAGCTGCCAACCATGTCAACATGTCGCTAGCAGAGGATTCATCTAGTAACACGAACCTTCCAAATGGCCCAACATCACCTCCCAAGCAACCTGCCGCTTGTGGGCAATGCCGGCTGCGAAAAGTGAAGTGCAACCGCGTCTCCCCTCAATGCGGCCCATGTGTGCGCCTCGGCTTGTCGTGTCCATACGCCAGGAGTACCGAGAGTCTCAGCCCGGAACCATTAGAACTATGGGATGTCACGAGGTCGGGAACCAAGAGAAAGCGGACTCGGAGAGCGTGCAAGGCGTGTCGAGCTGTCAAAGCGAAATGTTCTGGGCGAAGCCCTTGCGAAAGATGCAACTCGCGAGGTCTGGATTGTAGTAATCCCGGGCAGGATCTGGGCGGTGCTCCTGGAAACCACTCGACCGGTCAAGATACTGCAATGATGACAGCCACTCCATCGTCTGGACTTGACGGCACCGTGGCAAGCCATACGAGCCAATGGGGCCCAGAGGCTCTGGATAAACAGAGGGTGCGAGCCTGTCTCGATATCTATTTCAGCAGTCGCAGCCAATGGACTGGGAGGTTCCTTCACAAAGCGTTGAGTCTTTCTGACTGGAATCAAGGACGATTTGACCCTGCTCTGTTGCACGCACTTGTGGCGATTGGCATGATGATTAGCTCGCAAGACCCAGACCAGAGCAAGATTGCCAGAGACTTGATCGAGCAAGCACAGCAGTCCGTTCTCCTAAACCCAGGCCAGTTCTCGGTTACACAATTACAGGTTCTGCTGCTAGTCATCCGGTTTCGATGGAATGACGGCGACTTAGCCTCAGCCTGGAATCTTCTCTCCATGGCTGCCCGGCTAGCCTTTACAATGCACCTAAATCATGAGTACACGGGCGAGGCGCAGCCCTTGACCCTCGAGCTCCGAAGACGCATCGTCTGGGAAATTTACTCAATTGACCGATATTTCTCAGGGGGTGTCGAAGATCTCTCCGTCTGTCCTACAAATCGCATGCAACTACGATTGCCATGTGATGATTACAGCTTCGAGAAGGGTCTGCCCTCCCGTGCTGGGTATTTAAGTTCAATGTCTCCAGAGGGAGATGGTGTCACAAATATTTATGGCTACTATCTCAAGCTCCTGGCCTTGAGGGATGAAGTGCTGAGGTAAGATACATATGCCTCTGGCGTCATCATTTTCCTGTCCCGGTATGGTTCTGACCTTTACTTCTAGATATACCAAACGAGTGAGACGAGATAATGAAAACCCAGAACAAAGTCGTAGCGAGCTGGGAGACTTACAAACGAGACTGGATGAGTGGGAACAGCATCTTCCCGAGGAGTTGAAGCTTTCAAGATCTACACTCCTCCTTCTCGTGCATTCCGACGACGCTAGCCCATTCGTGATACTTCATACCCATTGGCTCCAGAGCCAATGCGACCTATATCGCTTCCTAATACCAGATATCCGCGAAGCAGTTAGTAGAGACTGCTTCGAACGAACGTCACCTGAATATGTCTCGTATTGCCAGCAAGCATGCTTGGATCGTGCGATTCGCCTTTGCGATTTGTGGTCGGAAGTATTTCACCTCGAGCCCAGTGAGATGATACAAGACACGTTTTTCTGTACTTCGATCTTCCAAGTTTCACAGATCCTCCTTCATTTGGCGCACTTGCTCCCGGGAGAAGGATCTCGCTCCGTTGCTGCCCTTCAGGGAGAGCTACGAGATGCGCTCGTGCTGGCTGACGGGCTTCGCCAAATGCACAAACGGGCAGACAAATGCTTAGCCGATGCCGAGCAACTTGTCAATGTGTTAGGCCAGCATCGAGACTTGTGGCCGCGATCGTCGAGCCCAGAAGGGGAGCAGAATTCACATCATCTACCTTCTCGCCACACTTTGATGCCTCGCGTGGAAGACGATTCTTCGGTCCAAGCTTCAAATACGGAACCGCGCCCTGTTGGTGACACTTCTCAGCAAAAGAGAATGGGTCGCATCACTCCTACATTCACTAGACAGCTCGGCGACTTGAACCAGGCTACAAGTAGTGATTTCGTCGCGAGAGACGGGGCGATGTCCATTGGGCAAGATATAGGGATGCTATGGGACCCTTTTGATATGCAAATGGAGGATTACAATTACCTGATATTGTAGTTATATCACATTTCAATTTCTTGTTAAGAGACTACCTCAGCTTTCATGTGAGCAGAGATTTAGATGGCTCTGTTCCGACGCGAGACGCGAGAGGAACCAAACAACGCGTCAGCCAGAAAGCGATGCAGAACGCCCCAATAATTAGCCAATCAAGTTCAGTTACTGTGGGAAATTGACCGGCGACTTTCTCGTCAGCAGCTTCAAATTTGCTCCACAAATTTCATCAAGATCTGATCTCCGGTCAGAGTCTCGGGCTGTTCAAGACATCCCACGTAAAAGGGCATTCCGGCGATCCGAGTTTCTGCTAGTGGGCTATCTTCTTTCGTCTTTTAAATAGTTCTCATACAGACAGTCTTACAGTTTTCCCTGTTCTAATCTGTAACTCAGGCTCCTTTCCACCAGGCGGATCTAACAACCCTGGTGCTTCTTAGCTTCGGCTCCTTACGATCTACCCTACAGCTTTACTTACTCCTTTACCCAACACTTGGCTCATCAACTCGGTGAATTATACACAGCATGCACGATTCCGAGGCCAATTCTGGCAGCGGAATGGATGTCTCGTCAGATGTTGACTCTACTCAGAGCCAAGTACGACACTTGGAGAAGAATAACATGGATGAAGTTATAACAACAACTTCAGTGACGCAACCCTCCAATAATGAAGGTAGAGATACTCCGGAGGAACCACCACCGACTCCCAAGAAGTCTGTTCCTTTTATGCTCGCCTTCGCAGGACTTGCTGCCGTTTTGTTTGTTTTTCACGTGGACGCAACGTGCTTGGGTATTGCCCTCCCAGTAAGTACTGAGACGTCCCTCTCGCCCTCGTTTCCCCACTGCTTACCGTTGTTTTTATTGTGCTCGACCGGTAGACAATAGCCAGAGACCTTCAAGGCACTAGTCTGCAGTCATTTTGGGCAAGCCTATCGTACACCCTTTGCAGTCTAGTCTTGCATCCGGTGTTGGCCAGCATCTCGGACATTTTTGGGCGAAAACCTCCACTCTACCTGTCCATTGCCCTTTTCTTCATCGGATCCATACTCTTTGCTATTGCTTCAAATATGGATGTTCTCATTGCGGGGCGAGTTTTACAAGGGCTTGGCGGCGGAGGAATCGATGTGATAGTCACTGTTACGATCGCTGACATGACAACCCTCGAGGAACGGGCAAAGTATCTCGGCATTTTAGCCATTCCCTCAGCCGTGGGAAACATTCTTGGCCCTTTCATCGGTGCGCTTTTTTCAACGTACGTCACGTGGCGCTGGATTGGATGGATCAATCTTCCCATACTGGGTTTGGGCTTTCCCCTGGTCTTCTTCTTCTTGAGACTCCGACCTGTTCCCAATGAGGGTCCATTGACCGACCGTCTGAGCCGTCTCGATTGGCTCGGCATGGCTCTTGTTGTAATTGGAATCGCCATCTTTGTCATTCCACTGAGCTGGGCTGGCTCCTTGTTCCCCTGGGCTTCCTGGCAGACCTTGGTTCCCATGCTCCTGGGCGTTGTCGTGCTCGTGCTTTTTGTGTACTACGAGGGGAAACCAAAGGAGCCCATCATGCCCCACCGGCTCTTTCACTCCAAGACGGCGAGGTCAACACAGATTGGTGGTTTCCTCCACGGCGCGGTTCTCATTTCGTTACTACAGTACTTGCCCTTGCTCTATCAGGCCGTGCAGCTCGAGACGGTCATCTCGGCAGCAGTCTCCCTTCTACCGACCGTCATTTTGAGCACAATAATCGCCGCCGTGTCTATGATGATGGTTCCGCTATTCGGGGGGTACGTATGGATTCTACGGCTCTCCTGGGTGATTCTTACGGTAGGCACCGGCGTGCTGGCCCTCTTCGACGTGAGCTCCTCATCAGCCATGCGGTACGGTCTCCCGATTCTATGGGGCCAGGGAGTGTCACTGCTACGCCTCAGTATGCTTCCCATCCAGGCCAGCGTCAAGCACGTGGACGACACCAGCTTGGCCACCGGCCAGTTCCTCACTATCCGCATGTTCGGCGGCCTCGTGGGCCTTGCGATATCGTCGGCCATCTTTAACACTGTGTTTGCTTCGTCAATTTCCAGCGCTGGGATCGAACCGGTAGGGCCCTTGGCGCCACTGAGTGATGCCGCCAATGCGGTGAATTTCATCGAGCAGTTGAAGTCACTGGACATCGCCAGCTCAGAGCTGAATCCCATTCTGAGGGTCTACCTGGACTGCTTCCGGGTGATCTTTTACACCATGACGGGCTTGAGTGGGTTGGGGCTGGTGACATCAGTTTTCATGGAGGAGATTGACTTGAAAAAGCAGAGTTTGGGCAGCCAACGATACGAGGAAAATTAGTGCGCTAGAAAGAAAGATCGAACAAGCGTAATTATTTTTACGGGGGCTGGCCTGACCTGTCATAGGCTGCTAGTGCCTGAGAAGGATTTGGGAGACCAAAGCAGATGAAAGGAGTAGCCTAACTTACTAAGTTATTTTACATGACATCAGTCCGACATCCTGGTCAGACCATCTGTCATGCATTGCTTTATTGCTTTGGGGGCTTTCACGCTCCTCGCCGTGTCAGGCCGCGTCTGCAAAAGAAACTGTGACTTTGAGGGGTGGCTTGGTGTCTGGTATGGTATATCTTGATCTATCACCCCACGACGATAATAACACTTTTCCACCTACAGCAGCAACGTGATGTGAGCGTGGAACTACCAAATGCCTCTGCCGGCAAGATAAATTAGATCGCCGACTACTCGCATGTCCAGTGGGCCTGTGGACGGTGCAAATGCCGATGTCAAAAGGCATCCGAAGCCCTTGCTGGCTGGTATTGAACTGTATTCTTGGCTCTGCAGGTGACGGTCCATATGGCCGTTACTGGAAGTGAATACGAGGGGCCTGGCTCGATTTACTACCGACAACTACCGGGACGGGGCATCAGTCGACGAGTGGCCGTGATTCAGGCGTATAGCAGCCAATGGAACAGGCAGTAAGATGGGATCCAACGGGGGCCTAGCTCCGCTGCTAGCGAGTGAAGACGCAAATAAGGGGTGGACCGGAGGTTTAATTATAGCGATCCGTGGCCTGTTTATGCTAATATTGGAACATGCTGGAGGACTACCCCTGTCCTCCCCTTGGCAGCACGAGGGCAAAGCAGTCTAGGTGCTTATCCTTCCCGTCTCCAGATGGACAGAGCTGAGAATAACCGTTGCATTGGCCGCCAAAAATGATCTGTGCCAAGGAGTGTCACGGACGTAGCTAGGCTGTGCCCCGGACGCTTCGGTGATCTCATGGGTCTTTTCCACGGAATCTCCAGTGAACCATGTGGGCGTCAATCGTTAAAACTCATCCGGAGCGCTTCGTTTTGGGAAATCCCCCTCTATTCAACCTGTTGATTCTCGCCACCCATCCACGCCTTTACCCCATTGATGCCTTTCGTTAGTGCTATCGACGGGAATCTGGGCACAGCAGCGACAGCAAGAACATAATCAATTGCGAACGAAGACGGCCCACCATGTATTCCAAGGCCATCTCCGTCTTGGTCGTCGTCCTGAGCGTGTGCGCCATCTCAGTTCACGCCGCCGGTCCCAATATCAATCTGAAGCGAAGAAACTTCCATTCGCGTAAGACGACCATGCCGATTAATTTAACTTCCAGCGGGGAAATACTGACACTTACCAGTCGCAGTCCTGGGCGATTGGTTGTATATCGAGGGAGGGTCATACTCCTCATGGTTTGAGAAGGGATTATCGGATCGCGTCGCAAGTACGGAGGCACTCTAGCAGATCAGCAAGGCATCTCAGCATGTACTAACTACTATTCTCCCACAGTCAATTCGACGTACGCCCTTCCCCTCACGCAACCATGGATGAACGGCTCGGTCATATTCCGTGAGACAGCATACAATGGAAAAGTCCAGACCGTCGACCAATTTGGTCTCTGGACCGATGGAAATAACAAGATGTACAAGTGGGCAGGCTCCTCGACCAACCGATCCAAGGTGGAGGACACATACAAGAAGACCCTGTACGAGTTCACCGTCGACGGCAATGGTGGCGGAACCTGGAGAGAGAAGGATGCCGCCAACCCCGATACGTTCGCCGACCTCCGAGTAGCAAGCAAGGGCGCTGCAGCATCATGCAAGGGATTCGGCTACTACATGGGCGGATCATCGAGCTACTGGACTGAGTCTGGAGTCAGCGGCGAGCAAGACGGCGGCTGGTTCCCGGCTCCCGGACTGCTCACCTACGAAATGAGCACCGGTAAGTGGGAGAACATCTCGACCGACGGTTATTCCATGGACGGGCCCTTGATCAACGGCAGAGGCCACTGCATTGAGGGTTTCGGAAGCGACCCCCTCATCATGTTCCTGGGAGGCGGAGTATCATCGATGTCGACAGGGAAGCAGATCAAGCAGAATTCTCTCGCCGACCTCTCATTCTACAACCCTGTGAAGCGGAAGTGGATTCAGCAACCGACTTCCACCGACGTGTCTCCGTTTGGATCAGCCACCGCCCCGGATTCTCGCAGCCAGTTTTGCCTGACAGGAGCTCGCGGAAAGAATGGAACCTACGAGATGTATGAACATTGGCTCTCCTTTCTTCGTATTTGAATGGATGTACTGACATGGTTATTTAGCTTTGTGTATGGAGGATATAATGATCGCATTTCGACAGATCTAGACGACGTCTGGGTGTAAGTATAAGGCCTACCACCGGTCTAGTAAATGGACAATACTAACACGCCTTGCTTTCCAGACTGTCTCTGCCAGCATTCCGTTGGTTCAGAGCACCATCAAGCCGAGCCCCTGGACGCCGATACCACGATTGCGCAACCATTGGCAAAAGCCAGATGATCTCAGTCGGCGGTGCAACAGGCGACAATGCCTTCAGCACAGTGGAACAATGGCCCAATGGCATTGGAATTCTTGACATGAACACGGGCAACTGGGTGGACAGCTACAACCCATCTGCTGGCGATTATGAGACGCCCAACTTTGTCCAGCAATATTATCAAGAAAGGTACGATCCCAAGCGTGTATTCATCATCCGACACTGTCAGCTAATCCATTTTAGTGATTATTCCGCCAGGGTCAACTGGACCAACGACGCGGACTTCAAGAGCAGCTTTTCAGGTCTGAAGGTTACCAATACAACAAGTGATGCGAGCAAAGATGACACGAATAATGACAACAATAACACCAACAAAACAAATATCGGCGCCATCATTGGAGGCGTACTTGGAGGAACGGCTCTCATCACGCTTATCCTGGCCGTCGCGTGGTTCATGTACCAGCACCGAAGGCCGGCCTCCGAACCAGAACTACCGAGGGATGAGCCCAAGAACTACTACTATGGGTCGGATTCATCCTTCTATTCCAAATCAGCGAGCCCCGAGACGGTCTACTCCAATCCGGTGTATCCCAGTCCGGTTTATGAGATCCATGATGCTCGGTATGGCCGCCCGAATGTGGTTGAGCCGATGAGACAACCGACGCCGCCGCCAGCAGAAATGGTCGGCGTATAAAAAGACATCAACTTCTTTCATTGTATATATTTTGATAGAGAGTACATAAAACTGCCTGCAAAAAAGTCAGGATTTACTGCCACAGTCTAGCTTCCTTTATATCGTGATTCACAGCTGGCTACTTATATCTGATGATTGAATAGACCCGACCGCCCTGGCGTATTCATGGTATCTATATGGCTTCCAAGACATGCAATTCATAATCCTTCTGAGCCTGTTCAACGGCAGAGATGGAGATTCTCTGCGTCGCGTCAGAGATAAACACGGGGGTGTGGACCCTAACTTCAATAGCTCTTAATAGTCTGAAACGGACAGGGTCTGTTCTAAACCTAATTAGACGGATCGTGAACATGGAGAATAGACAATGAAGTGACGTACGCCCTTGAATCCACCCCTTTCATCTTCTCGATGCCGTTGTGCGGGTAGAACTGAGCTCATAAACGCTCTAGCTGTTGGGTTCTCTCTCTACCCCGTCTTTGACATAGGCAAATCCTATGATATTTGCCTTAACCGGGCACGCGACCATCAAATGGCAGCTCCCGCCGCTGCCGGTGTGGCAGATCGCGCTCAGGCGCGTGAGCTGGTCGACGAAATCGCTGTCAATCATGGCTACCTTCCACCCCATGTTGTTGACTTAATCCCTGATGAGATCCGTGCTACTGTCTTACATGCCCTTCAGAAGAAGGATAATATGATAGCAGCGTCTGTCTCGACGTACGTCCAACCACCACTTCCGCAATCAAACCAAATACAACTAGACGCGACGCGCATGCACTAATATAATCTGCTCGACAGACTGGCCCAAAATTTATATTCAAGTTCTGCTCGCTTTATCTTTGAATTGCTCCAGAATGCTGCTGATAATAGCTATCTGAAGGCCTTGGCCGATGGGCATGACCCGTATGTCTCATTCAGCGTCTACCCGGACCGTCTTGTCGTGGAATGCAACGAGGATGGCTTCACCAGTGAGAATCTCACAGCAATCTGCAACATTGGGAAGAGCTCCAAGCAGGGTGCCCAGGGATACATTGGCGAGAAGGGCATCGGGTTCAAGTCGACGTTCATGGCTGCCTGGAAGGTGAAAATTGAATCAGGGCCTTTCACTTTCTATTTCGAGCACCAGGTGGGTGATTCGGGCATGGGCATGATCACCCCCATCTGGTTCGAGCCCGAGGACGAGTTTCAAGGTCCAGGGACACAGATTTCGCTCTACTTTCATGACAACGGAACGCCAGGCGATCTGACGGAACGGCGTGACGAGGTCATTAGCCAGCTCAAGGATCTTCAAGGTGAAGCGCTGTTGTTCGTGAATAAATTGAGGCGTATCAATATTGCTGTCTTCGAATCGGGCGAGGACAAGATATGGTCCAAATCGATGGCATTATCAGACAGCCCAAACTTTCCACAAGGTTCCGAGCTCCGCACGTCTAAGTTTGATGCCACGAGTGGCACCGATTCTGAAATGGTCAGACAATTTCATGTCACCAAGTATGACGCCACGGGGCTGTCTAGGAATGAGAACAGGTCCTATTCAGAGACTGAGGAGGGTCTGGCCTTGTATTCGACATCGCAAGTGGTTCTAGCATTTCCGCTTGATGCAAACGACGAACCCATCACTGAAATACAGGATGTTTTTGCGTTCATGCCAGTCCGTAAAATTGGCTTCAACGTCAGTGGTGTCCCAAGTCCGTGAATAAATTCTCAACTGACAATTTCATGCATTTAGTTCCTCATCCATGCAGACTTTGTAACTCAGGCCAATCGCCAAGACATTGTCTGGAGTTCCCAACGAAATGTCGGTCTTCGCAAGGCTATCGGCCAGGCTCTGGTGAAAGGCATAGAAGAGTTGGCTAAGCATCAAACCCTCCAATACAAGTGGATGAGATACTTGCCTCGTGAAGAAAGCCTGAACCATTCGCCCTTCTGGAAAGATATGGTATCTGAAATTAAGTCACCTCTTTCCCAGGCGCAGATTCTTGTTCCCATCCGCCAGGCTGCCCGATGTCCCATACAACAGATGAGGCAGCTCGAGGCTCGTTACTTGGACAAAAACGGCGACCCTCTCATCCCAGATCTATGTAATAGTCCGATGTACTTGTCCAAGGACTACGAAGATAACGACCTTAACATTCTAAGAGAGTATGGCCTTTCAGTACTCCAAGTATACGAAATATATCCTATTCTCTCAGCAATGGTCCAGGAACAATCGTGGAAGAAAGCTCTCTTCGAGACTCGAGATGAGAACTGGCACAGCAGGCTAGCGAAATTGATTCTAGCAGCGATAAACTATGATATGACACAATTGTCCGGGTCGTCTCAACCTTCGGGCAACATCGGTTCATCGTCATCCTCGTCAGGACTATTCTCCTTCGGCAGCCGTGAGACGGCCGATACCCAAATCAGGGGCAACTCTAATACGGGGCCGTCCAACACTTCTCTGTTTGCATTTAGTTCCCAAGGCAAGACCAACGCCAGCGCCACAGGTACCTTGGATTCGAGAGCATCCACGCCTGGGTTGTTCTCATTCAGTGATCAGAATGCGGATTCTACCAAATCGACAGTGAAAAACAGATTTGTACACCTTCCGTTGATACCTCTTGCCTCGGGAGAAGTCGCCCCAGCCAGGCCTATATTTGGTAAAGGGACTACCTGCCATTTCTCAGATTTTGAAGGGATACCTGTTCCTCGGGATCTCGTCCCACGTGTTGTTCTTCCAGCCGCGGCAGCAAACGCTTCGTGTAGGCAGCTGTACGAAAGCCTAGGTGTGCTGAAGCCATCGCCTTCGTACGTTATCCAGATGCTAGTGGCAAAACACAAGAACTCCTTCTTCAAACACAACGTTACTCTTGAAGAAACAAAACAACATCTAGTTTGGCTATATCGGATGAAGCTACCATCGTCTGGACCCAATGCGGGATCCCACCCTCTATTTGCACAGAACCCTTCCGTCTTAGACGACATGAAACTTTTCGACCATAAGAACCGCGAAGTACGTCCACTACAAGATTTTGTTTATCTCCCAGGTGGAGGGAAATACTGTGCACAGAATTGGCTTCGACCTGTTCAAATTCCCGGTGAACCAGACGTCGAAGTAGATGTTCCCTATCTACACCCATATTACCTCGAAGATCCTCCCCGCCAGCCTCTTGGCTCCGGGTGGACCTGGGAAGATTGGCTTCATCACGCTTTCAACCTGGTAGAAGATGTAGAGTTTATTGCAGGTTTAGATGATCATCGTTTGTTCAAGAGAAAGGTTACTCTATCTCATGAGGGGGCTTTCCTTATCAAATACCGCTCAGAGGAGGTTCTCACGTATTTTGCCAATAAGTGGAGGGAACCTGACTTCAGGAAGTGTTGGGAGGAAAACTCTGAACGCGTTGATCTCATCAAAAAAGCCGAATTTCGCACTATTTCCGAGGGTAAAACACGGGTTTTACAGGACGCGTTCCTGCCATTTCCTGCCCTGTTGTCTCGCTGTGAAAGCTTCCTGAAGAATCACGAGGCAGTTAACTTCCTCAAGGTTGAGGCCCCCTTAGAGGATGATGATCCTTGTTGGATGGGTTTTGCGAAGCACTTCGGTATCAAAGCTAACGACGGTATCCATCTCTCAGTCGAGATCCTAAGGGCACTCATAACCGATGCATCTGCTCCCGCTAATTCAATGTGGCATTCTATTTGGACACTCTACAACCGAATCTACGCACAGTATCTATCTTTCGATCAAAAGGATAAACACCCGATCAAAGCTATGTTCCGGTATTTAATCACACTACTTCCCAACTTTTTTCGAAGATCATAACTAACCACTCTTCCCACTCTTTCAGTACATACAAATCTTTTATATACATCGGTGAGAACAAAGATGGCGTAAATGTATGGAAGAGCCCGGATGACTGCCTCTGGGATGCACCCCCAGCTTTCTCCCTCCGAGTCCCACTCCGCGACACATGGAAAGAAGTGTTGGATTCCATCGAGCCTCAGGACAGCGACAGCCTGGCACATTTCTTTTGCCATTTCCTTGGCATAAAAAATACCACCATCCAGAATATCTTGGATGAGCTTTGTCATAAGCGAGATTTGTTTTACCGTCATCCTGCTGCTACAAGCTATAACCTGAAAGAAACATACGAACTACTTCACCAGTTGAGTGTGGCCAGCGCGACTTCTCAAACAGAATTGAAGCACATAAGGTATGAGCTAAAATTATTGCTACCAGCCAATTTCCCAATGCTAACTGATGCTAAGGGACGTGTTCTCTCGCGCAAAGCCAATATATATACCCACTAGCAAGACCCAAAAGAAGTGGTTCAAGACATCAGAATGCTTGTGGTCGGCCAACGGCGCGATCGTCAGGAAACCTTCCCTAGATGAAATCTACCCAGACCTTAAAGAGTTCTTCCATAAGTTCCTCGAGATTCCTGAACTGGATCTGAGGCTTTTCTATCAGGAACTTGTCGACATGCACGATACTGTGCCCACGGCAGCAGCCGCCAAGGATATGCTTATTTCCCTCAATGCCATGCTTTCTTCATCGTCAGACCCCGTGAGATTCGGACCTCAAGCTGAGCGTTTCCATATCTTTCCTGCAATCCTCCCTAATGGTACTCCTAGAGTACTTCGCTCGCATGTTCACTTTTTCATCAACGATCGTCGCCATTATGCCGAGGCCTTGAAAGATAGCCTTACAATACTTGACCTCACACTCGACGAGGTGACGCGACTGCACGGCGTGTTCGAATGGTTCAACTTGAAAGATAGATATCTATCTCAAGTTGTGGTCGAGAAGACTAGCGTCGAAGAAGGGAACTATGAGAAACTCAACAGCTTAATGAGAGATCTCGCATTGAAATCTCCTGCTCTTGTGAGGTAGGTACACGCAAGCACTGGGAGTGAAATTGTCAAGGCAGTGGGACTGATGCAGTATGATGCAGCATCGCGATCTATTCCAATGAGTCCCTGGACCCTGATAAGCTGAATTCAAGCTTGCAGAAGGTCCAGGTTTATGTTACTGACTCCATCAAGTCTACCTTGATTGCCGAAGAAGGCGGGAAGAAAGTCGAGAAATCCATCGGAAAGAGCGACCTTCACATCCAACGTTTGGACAACGGTGATCTGCGGATATACCTTACACCAGACGAAGATTCTCGAGACTTGGCTATCGCATCCAAACTACCTCGGGAGCTCATGGCTGCCTTGCTGGGATATGATACGCGCAAGGTAGATGCTACAGTCTTTAATATCGCGGCGAGCATTCTCCAAGCCAAGAGAAGCCATGTCCACCGGATTCTCGAGTTGAATGGTGTGCCTGACTTGAACTTGCCATGTCTTGTCGGCGAAAACTATCTAGCTGCTGAAGTTGAAGCCGAGAACCGAAAAATGGCAATCCTTCCAAACTCTCCGGGAAGGTCTTCTCAGTCCTCGCTCACTCTACAGGACACGTATGATAAGGATGCTTACCTTGACGTGCTTGTCCACGTTGTAGAAGCAGCAAGAGCTCACCAATTCCCGACCAAGAGCGGCGAAGCGGACCTTTCCCAAGCTCTCAATGGCCTGAACATCTCAAATTCTAAGCCGAAACCCAAACAGCTGAAATTCTCTCACTCTAATGCGGACGAATGGAGGCAGATGGTGGGCGCGGCTGGTGAACTCTTTGTAAGTGGCAAATGTAACTTTCTGCTTCTTGCTCGAACTAATGATCCTTTTCCTGTTCAGGTTTTCGAGATGCTCTCCAGCCTTGATCCCCCTCTTCCTAAGTTTGGACGATCCAATTGGCAGAGCATTATGCGTAGATTCGTCACTGACCATCCAGACTACGCTGATATGGATGCATGGGTTGGAGAGGAAGATGGCGATATCCAGTACAAAGATACACAGAACGCCCTGACAGACTATCTCATTGAAAGGGGCTACTTTGACGAGACGTGGGTAGGTGAATGTCCAGAGTATCACATCGAAGTAAAGACTTCGGTAGGCAATCTTGGTATGCCTTTTCATATGAGCAAGAGCCAATACAATCGCGTGCGTTACTATCCAATCATCTCCTTTGCTTCATGGTTGTTTATCATTCTGACCTGATGTCATATTTAGATGCGGCAGTACTGGTCCGAGTCCAGCACTGGAAGCAGTAGAAAGAAGGTGTTTGCAATTTTCCGAGTCTACGGCATTGAGTCGGGCGAGATTGGCCTCAAGGTGTACGTTGACGCTGAGAGCGCAAGTCAGGGGGGAAACTTGAAATTTGAAGCCGACAGCTGGGTTGTGAAAGCTCTCTAAGGGCTTATTGAGTATCGGTATCGTGTTGATGATATCACAACGTGTACAACTATAATGAACAATAATAACGAACAGTCAATGATTTCAAATTGGGAGAAATATATATAGTAGAGAAATAACAATTCCGGTTATCTTCAGCTGAAAAGAACTCGACACATGGCAAATCCCCAAAATTTCTTATTTACATATCCCATACTGTGATGAACCTAACTTCATTAGTGATTTAGAGCTTCGGCTCTAATTTCTTGACGAAATGTTTCGCCTACAGAGTAATATAGTTAGCAAAAGTTCTATGTTCGATCTTGAATCTATGACGGGCTAAAAATCCGTTGTGATATTAAATGGAAAGTTGTAAGAGGATGTACTCACTTCATCCACAGCATCGTGGTCGAGAGCCCACTTGAGAAATCGGGACGACTGAAAGTTGGCATTTATGTCTGGTTGAACATTCTTCATAGACTTGAGACTGTGCTGAGCAGATTGGCTGCCGGGCATCGGGGCTCCTTTTCCCAAGAACAGGTCAGTGTTCCATCTAGAATACGCTTTGATTCGTTCCACTCGAGGCTTCCTTATGGCCTGCCAGGCCTGGGACACGCTCTGCATCTGGGCGTGTCCGAGAGGGAGCCCTTTATTTTTCTCGCTGTGATGCGATATCAAGAAGTCCAAGACAGCAATATCCTCAACTATCTGTGAGTATCCCTGAGCTGCATTTGGATGCATACCGTGGGCTGAATCGCCTAAAAGGAGAATGCGTCCCCCATCGCTCGACCAGCGCGGCAAATCGGGCATCTCAGCCAATTTCCAACGATCACACTCCGTAGCCAGGCTCAGCGCAACATCAAGCTCACTACATGTTGAGCCTGCAAATCTTTCTCGAACATAGTTGATATCGCCATGCTCTTCCCACAGTGCTTTTTGGTCAGTTTCCGATTCGACCCCAAAGAGAAAGCCAACGCGTTGCAGTCTGGAATTGAACCTGGTAATGACAAAGGCGCCCTTGCCTAGCCAGCAGTTGCCACTGACTTGATCCATGAGCCGAGATGTGCCTGGATGTGAACGCAGATCATCTGCAGGCACTTGGAATCCGTAGAACGTTACGCGACTGATGGCAGGATCTGTCGCTCGGGGACCTCCCGGGAGTATCTTTGATCGGAGTCTTGATCGGATCCCGTCTGCGACGACAAGCACGTCTGCCTTTTCAAGAGTACTGTTGTCTAACGAGACCGAAGCACCCTCTGAATCCTCGCTAACGTTGCTGACAGTAGAGCCAAACTTAATCCGAACTCCCTTGTCTAAGGCTTTCCGATATAGAAGCTGAACGACATCTTGGCGAAATGTGCCCCAGTCAGGAAACGAAGAGATATCAACTGCAGCGCTACCCATCGAGATGTCACCTGTGTCCATCCGACGGAGAAGAAAATTGGGTGTTTGTTCGGAAATCTTAGCCAGGTCTGCCTCCAAATCCCACTCTCGCATGATACGGCTGGCACCCGGGCGGATGTTGACCGCACCGCCTCGTGGTGTGAGCGCGGGATTTCGTTCCAAGATCAGGACTTCATGGCCACGTCTTGCGAAACAGAGAGCCGCGCTTAAGCCGCCCAGTCCAGCGCCAACGATGATGAATTTCATGATGTTGATAATGTTGTGTTGGTGACAGTTGAGAGATGTTTCAAGGAACACAGGAGAAGCTTCCTAGGGCCAACGTGAACTTTAATAGTACGCTTAATAAATAAGCCCATGTGTACGTGACCGGCAAGATTCTGTCGCACTCTAACCAGGGTGAGATTCCTGGCGGTCCCAGGAGATTGGTTTACGTACTCCTCACACTGGCAAACAGTCGGCAGCCAGTAGACGAGGGCGTCAAGGGTGTTCCGTGCAGCTTACATCTACGGCACTAGACAGATAATTGTCAGGGGCAGCTGGTCATCAAATACCCAACCTTGGATGGTCCAGGTCCTCCTTTTCTTGTAGTCCGCAGTGTCCGTCGGACATTAGTCCGCTCCTCATACTCACCGACGGCAAAAATCAGCAACTTTCGCTTCAAACTGGTTGTCGAGGGAAGGGGGTTTTGAATGGGGGAACAATTTGCTGCTGAATCTTAGAAGCCACGATGGTTTTGAAAGAGTGCCACAAAGGTCCTGTTACTAGGCCTCGTCAAAGCTTACGACTGCTTGTAGGATATTCTAAACAAAAAGCTTGCGAGCTTTTGTAAGATCTTAGCAACTTGCTATTTTAGGGAAGTACTTAGATACTTTCTATGACTAGGACAATTTAATTACTCACAAAATCTTACAAGCTTTTGTAAGATTATACAAAAGCTCGTTGACCATGTCTACCTGTTGCTGGATACTCTAAAAATCTGACAATCTCATATTCACTCTTTCTTTCTTTTGATATCTTTCCAAATGGCCTCGCCCCGGTACATGGGAATTGAGCGTAGTAGTTATAATGTGAGGTTTCCGCTTTCAGGGCTTCCCCACTCTGCTCGACATTGGCATCAGGGTCAACTTCATCCAAGAACTTCGTCCTCCTACGCGCTATAGGCCCCATTAGAAAGCCATCTGTGGTCATCCCGCGCGCCGGGTCCCACGGCTCATTGATTCTCCGTTGAGGTGTTGGGTCTTTGCTCCCCGTGCGCGGATCGTAGCCAAAGTCACGCATGTGCGTGTCCCAATAGTGGTGTTTTGTCTGGCCGTTCTCGTGCGAAACCTCGTAAGTACCATAGACTAGACTTCAGTGTTGATTGTATAAAATTCTTTTGCTCCCAGTAGGCATATCTCTTGCCGGGTTCTAACTGCGCCTATTCCGCCAACTGCTGAAGTCTCATCATTGCGGGTATGTTGATGGATTCTCTATGCTCCGTACCAGCTATAGAAGCCACGCCATCAATCAGCCTCTCGTTGCTATGGTTCTGGGCGCCGCTGTTGTTGTTCTGGCCTTTTGATTTGACTAGACATGACCAACTCAAGCTTTGCCGCCAAGTGCAGGTAGATTCCGCATCTAAAGACTTGTCCTGTGAGAAGTGCACTGTAGAGTCTCTTCTATGAGCGGAAGGCTTCCTATTCCTCACTTTGGTTCTGCTGCCAATTTTCTTATCATTGCTGTTGTTTTTGTCCTTGTCTTTTTGCCAGCTTGCTTGCAGTTACTGTTCTCATTACTTGTCTTCTTGTTGCTCTTATTCTTGTCAGCTGTCTTGATCGTTAAACTTGCTGTAGCGATTTTTCTTCTTGCCAGTTGTCGTATGATTTCCGCTCTTCTTGTTGTCGACCTTCTTGTTGCTAATATTTTTGTCGCTTTTAGTACTCCTCTTCTTAGCGACCCTCTGCTGACGGCCTTCTTATTGCCGAGCTTCTTATTTATGAATCTCCGGCGGCACATTGAGGGATGCCCTCACAGAGGCCAGCCGTTTAAACAGAACAGCTCAGAGTCAAGATTGCTATTGTCACATAAGTGGCGCGTGAGGTCTAAAAGTCCTGAATCCGTCAGTCACGCACACGAGTTATGACACGCGTAACGTGAGTGCACCGAAACATGACTTTCACTCTGAGCGCTTCACCTCAACTCTCCGACATTCAAATCATCCACGCTGTAACTAACTTCGTTGCCGACATGAATTCAACAATGTATCCCCTCGTGAAAGGCATAAGGCGCCTATTTTCTCCACGGCCGAAGGACGCCGCAACTTATACAGAGTTTAAGCAACCAGAGAAAAATGGCAAGGAACCTGCACTCAAAGCTGGTAAATCTTATCTCCCAGGCCCTTAGTCATTCAAACAGGTAGTTCCTGAAGCTAACGTGTTGGTGTATGTGTACAGACACCGTTCTTATCGGTTTTGTCATGTGCCTCCGGCACGACCATGATTCGTACAATCCATTTTGTAACCAACAACAAGAACTTGATTCCTTTGGAAAATCATATCGTGCAAATGCAAACTCGGATAGCCGTAAGCTATTTTTCTAAATAAGCTACCCCTCCACCTCGGGGAAAATGCTGGGCTGATCCTCTTCTTCACCTTGAATAGGCTGGGATCAAGACCCATTGAAGCCTTGCCTACTTATTCGAATCCTCAGAGGAGAATGTTATGAGACTCTCTTACTCCACGCCATACCCTCGATCCGAGCTCTCGCAGTCATTTGCCCCCATTGGTCATTCAATATAACACTCAACCACACAACCAGCTAACGCTCTCTGCTTTGGCCCGTGCTGTTACCTTATTTAGGCACTACATGATGTTTAGCACATGTTGGCATGGTGATGATCGAAATTTTAATCGCAAGCCAGACTAGCAGAACAAGATTCCAACTCAGCTCCATCATCCAAAGCCAAGGTCGAATTACACTTTCGACTTGCAGTAGGCCAGAACGTCCAATCAGTCGCGCAGGGGTCACAGTTCAATTAGCCATTCACTTCACCTGTTCGCTTATAGGTGTGATAATGTTCGCCTATAGGTGTGCTAAATTCTACATGGCCCATTTCACAGTGTCAAAGCCATCTCCAGAGCCAAGCTAGCAAGCAAACAAGGGATCGTCTTCATCTTTGGAGGTTGCACAATTCGATTATGGTTTAGATGGCCTCTGAAGGTTTTGATCCGATCCGATATGCGCTCCCAAACACTAGCTCTCAATAAGAAGAGTTGCATCCAGAGACCGACTTCAAGTATCGGAATGATGAGCTTACTGTTTAGCACCAGACATCTGAAACATGCACACACCTAGCCATCGTGTCGCCGAGGCTTCAGTGCTCATCCGAGAACCATTGCAGGTGCTACCTTGTGTTCCCGATAAGAATTTGATTGCTTTTCTGTTCTTAATGTCTCAATGACAGAACCTTCAAAATGTAAACCTAAAATACGAGCATGCGGAGTAGTTTTTACCCCACCACTGTCTAGGGAAAAAAATGCAGACAGTACGGCGAGCTTGGCATAGCTTGGCAAAGCTGGCTTGCGGGCTCGCCAACTTTTTGGTGATCCCACAAGATTTGTCTGTGCGTTTACTACGTAGGACGAATCGAATGGGGATTACAATCAGGGAATGAGAGGGCTGGTCGCCGACCTCATATGAGATGAGCGATGATTTCAAGACTACCTAATGAAAACATCGCAAGGTAGCATCAACTGTCACTCCTTCACCAGAAGGAGACATCGCATCCAGGACGGTTGTAAATCTGCGCCTGCGAGCTGTCAAGTCTCGGCTACCCGATGCCGATGCTTTTCCAAGGCTCAATAGGCACTGGTGAAACACCAACCCCCAGCCAATGATGACGCGCCGCGACCTGCTTGGCCAAGCATCATAGCATTGCTCGTCACCAGAGTGCCCGCATCCGTCTGCCATCCCAGCTCCTTGGCGAACCGCACGCAATGGCATGGTAGAGATGACTTCACAGGCAGAGAGCCCCTCGTCACCGCCACAGCAACCGACGCCTCAGCAGGCTTGAGTGAATGCGCTGTGGCCAGCCTCCTGCCTGACGTCACGACTCGGCAAGGGTAGAGGCGAGAACCAGGGCTGAAAATACGGATTTGGGGCGGAATCTCGATGTCGCGAGGCTGGTAATTGGCGAGAAGTCCCGGTGGTCAATGCAGATGCCGTGTCCCCATGCTGGCTCCAGTGTAAAGTGTGTAGTCACCAAATCACAGCAGCTTATGCAAGGGCCTGAGCGAGCTGTAGCCATGGAAACTGGCGCTTGGCTTGCAGGTCCATGACGTGGTGGGAGAGGGGTTTGTGCCTGGATTCCACAATGCCAAGGGCCTGAGCCCAGCTTCGTCCACGCAGCCGAGTGGCCACTCGTGTAAGTCGGATGCAAGATGTATGCACTCCTCCAGTGTGTCGGTCGGGCATCGTTGGGGAGAGGAGAGCTGTGATACATTTCACAAGGCATAAAGGTGCCTGCTTCCCTCTTCCTGTCTCCCGCTTGCTTCCCCTCCACCACCATCTGCATATCAAACCTCCTCGCCAGCTCCGTGATCCTCACCCAAACACTTACACAACACCCTTCAATCCATCAACATGAAGTACTCTCTCGTCTTCCTCACCGCTGCCGGCCTCGTCGCCGCCCAGGAGACCTCGCAGCCTCCTCTGTTCACCTCGCAGCCCCCTCTGTTCACATCTCAGCCCCCTCTGGTCACCATCCCCGCTGGCCTCGAGTCCGCCGTGAGCTCTGCTGCACCCACCTCGGGCGCTGACTCTGCTTCATCTGCTGCCGGCAGCGCCGCCAGCTCCCTCGTCGGCTCCATCACCTCGGCCGTCCCCACCACCTTGGTATCCTCCATCCAGAGCTCCCTCTCGGGCGACCTCTCCAGCCGTCTGTCCAGCGCCTCCGGTGACCTGTCCAGCCGCCTGACCAGCGCCTCCGGTGACGCCTCCAGCCGTCTCTCCAGCGCCTCTGCCGACGTGTCCAGCCGCCTGTCCAGTGCCTCCGACGCCATCACCAGCGCCTCGGGTGCCCTCTCCAGCGCCCTCTCCAGCATCCGCGAGTCCATCACCGGCTCCGAGTCCGAGAGCGCCACTGCCACCAACAGCGACGAGTCCAGCACCGCCACTGAGAGCGCCGCTGAGACCTCCACTGATGCTGGAAGCGGTGTCGGCAAGCCCGTCGCTGGTGCTGCCTTTGCCCTTCTCGTCGCTCTCCTTGCCGTGTAAGCGTGCGGCGTGTCTTGATTTGGAGCAATGGCGACAATACCCAGTTTGGAAGGGAGGAAACACACCAATTTGATACTTGCGGGATGGATGATAGGATGGGAGATGAGAGATGGGACGGACAATGCATAATGGAGTGGCAGTGGGCAGGGAATGCATCAATGGGGGTTATCTAATGTGATTCACGGCCTAATTACGCATGAATAGATATGGAAATGGTTTCATAGTCTCATAGTTCGAACATCCAGTCAGCCACTGGGTTCATCTTCAGATGGCGGCTGGCACAATTTAATACAATCAATCAGCATTTAAAAGCAGGCAATTGGCATTTCGTTCGCGTGATTACTGACTTTATAGACCGATCTGCAAACACCATAATCAAATTCCAGCTCTACTGGCTGCCACTAGGGCGCGATCCATAGCTCTGGGAAGTGCTCGACGGTGACAGGCTCCTCTCCCTTCCACTCAATCTCCAAGCTCGCTTTCTTGTCAACATCGACAAACAACTCATAGATGCCAGGGTACAACACCTGGTCGCCATTCTCCTCCACGCGAAGGAACCGCCCCAGTTGCAGGACGATTTCAGCTTGCTTCTCTTCGCCGGGGCGAATGGCCTTGATTCGAGTGTACCCAGCAAGAGTCTTCAGCGGGTAAGGCTTCGGGCCAACCTCACTACGCATAAACAGCAGCGCGACGTAGTCTGACTCGACCTTGCCAATGTTCTTCACCTTCACTACAACCTTGATCATCCCTTGATTAATAGCGTGCATCCAGGGCAAGTCGGCAAGAAGCGACTCCACCTGAGCGACGTCAGGAGCTGCCGTGAGCTCGTCGGCCCAGATGGCTTTCTTCTCAAGCGAGACCTGGAAATCCGTATAATGAAGACCGTGGCCGAAGGGGGCTGGAGCCTTGCCTGTATACCACATGTGTGTCCGTCCTGGGTTGGTCCCGCTCTGCCCTGGCCGAAGGGTCATGTCAGTGACTGTCACCTCATCCACGTACTTTGCCGGATACTGCGTGACCGGCAGCCGTCCGGCAGGCGCCGCAACTCCATACAATATGTCGAGTACCGCCTTTCCACCTGATTGTCCTGGGTACCCAGCCCAGATGATGGATTTGATGGTCTTGCTCGCCAAAAGCTCCGTGCCATCAAGCTGGCCGGCGCCAAATTGAACAACAGTGATCGGCTTGTTGAGGCTGCTCAGCTTGCGGAGTACATCCAGCTGAGGCTCGGGCCAGGTGACATTCAGTCTGTCTTTACCCTCATCCTCGATGGTGTTGTCAATCCCTCCCACGAAGATTATCTCGTCAGCTTCTGTAGCCTTTTGAATCGCTTCGTCAAGCGTATCATCTGGGGCATTGATACCCGACCCCTTCGCCCAGCTGTAATCGAGACCCATGTCGTCTACGGCTTGCAGTATGGTGATGATGTACGGCGCTGGACCGCGATAATTACCTAACATCTGAGTCGTCTCATTTGTCCAGGGACCAATGATTGCGACTTTGCCGCTTCCCTTCTGCAGCGGAAGATGGTCGTCGTCGTTCTTGATCAACACGATGCCCGCAACTGCCACATCATAGGTGAGCTTCTGGGCCTTTTCGGTGTTGACATCCTTGAAGGTGAGCTTCCTCAGCTCCTGTTTGTCGGGAGGATCAAACCAGCCCACCGAAATCAGCGACGACCACAGCCGGACCAAGGCTTTGTCCATATCAGCCCCATTGATCAGGTCGTTATTCCATGCTTCGGTCAGCGCAGTTATGTTCCCATCAGAGCACTCGAGGTCAGCACCAGCCTTGAGGGAAACAGCGGCGGCAGCGCCCAAAGAGTCTGTGTACTTGTGATTTTTGAAGATATCAGCCACGGCACCACAGTCGGTAGATACGTAGTGCTCATCGGCCTCCCAACCCCAGTGCTCCCGGAGGATCTCCTCCATGAGATAGCTATTCGCGCAAGCGGGGGCGCCGTTGACAGAGTTGTAACTGCACATGAAGGAACCGACATCCCGCTCGGCGCATGTCCGGAAGGGAGACAAGTAGAATTCGTTGAGGTCCTGTGGGCCGATGATGACGTTGAAGTTGTGCCTGGTGATGTTCCCGAAGACTTCGAAATCGTTGGCTGCGAAATGCTTGCAAGTGGCTAGGACCTTTTTGTAGCCTCCGACTTTCCTCTCTAGCCCTGTGAGGAGAGCTCGGGTGTAGCTCTGTAGATGGAAGGGATCCTCTCCCGGCGTCTCTTGTCCGCGGCCCCATCGAGGGTCCTTGAACGAGTTGATATTAGGCGTCTACATCACGGGATGTCAGTTCCTTGCGCATCAGGGGATTCTCGGCCGGCAAACATGCTTACGTATAAATCAAGGCCAACTCTTCCCGCAGCGCTGTAGGCTCTGGTCTCCGTGCTGATGACATCCGCAATCTCCGTCACCAGATCATCATCAAAGGCAGCTCCGATGAGGATGGGCTGGGGAAACGACGTGGCGCAATCCCACTCCCCCGAACCTGGAGAGTTGTAATCGACACCTGAAGTAGCCAGGCCGTGGAGTCCTTCAGCCCACCAGTTGTACGGTTTGATGCCGAGTCTGGGAACACCGAGCGCCTTCTCAACAAGATTCCCGATCTTTTCTTCGGGCGTCCACAAAGCTACCAAAGCAGCAGCTCGCTCCTTGGCAGACAAGCTCGTGTCGCAAACCCTGTTTGAGCACAGAGGCTCGCGGGTGCAATCAGGGAAGTGGACTGGTTCCTCTTCGGCGTCTCGTGGATTGAGGACATTCCAGATGCTTATTGAGACATTAGAGGAGCCAGTCTGAGCCTCTCCGCCGCAAGTCTGCTGGGGATCGCCGGGGCATTCCACGTAGCAAGAAGACTCTTCAGCCTTTATGTCTTTGATCTGGTTGCCACAAAAGCACACGCTATAGAGGCATACAGATTAGCTATCCATCTTCTTCCGGCCTCTCACAATTGAACATGACATACCTGCCCTTCTTCACGCCCGCATACTTGTACCCGAACCGCCCGCAGATGTCTGCGCACGTCTGCGGGGTGTTTTGAGGCAGCTCAACCTCAATGCCACTAAGCGTACGCGAGGCCCAGGAGTAGCTGGCATCCACGTAACATGCGTTGTAGTTGATCTCTGCATTGTAGGTCTCCGCTGGCCGGCATTGTCGGGCGAAGACTTGCTGGCGAGGATAGTGGGCGAGGGCTGAGCCGCTCAAGGCCAGAAGCAGAATGGCGCCTGATATGGTCATGCTTGAAGCGATTCTGACAGCAGGCGGTTGGCCATTCAATATGAATCTGCGGCAGGAGAGGGTAGATCTGGTTCCGCTGGGCTGCTATGCTTGAATTTATGGCTACGATTGAATAATTGATGGGCTGATTTACTTTGACGATCAGTGATGTTTGATGTTACCTTCCTACCCAATTCCTACACAATCCCCCTCTCGGCTATTAGGTAGGGATCAACGAGCAGCTCAATGGATGAGATTATCCCTATGATGAGGGGGGTAAATAAGAACCAAATATATTTCATTCTCGATGCCCTGTGATACTTCAAAGTCCGCTCTTGTTGATCTGCGTGAGGCAACAGACAACCGACCTGCCCTTACAACGCTTTTGGGCGAGTTAAATTTGCTGTGTAAGTATGAAAAATGCCACCCTCCATGAGTTATTTGGCTGATGTGTGTGGAGAACACGCAGGTCGGATATTTTCACCCGAAATCCAACCATAATGTCCTTAAGATACTAAAAGTAAACAAGGTCGATCAATTCTAGATGGGAAAAGTAAGTCAGCTACTACATTTGACTGTATCTCTAGTCTTTTATTCGCGAAGAAGTGGTGCATGTAGATGACAAAAGTGAGTATAGGGTAGTAAGACAGGCTGCCTGACAGTGCCCCCGCCCTGCTATGGTGAAGAAGCCTCCAACAAGTAGAGATGGGAAGGGAGAAAAGGTAGATTAGTTGGGAGGAGAGACAATGTGAGTGATGACTTGGTGAGAATATCAACTGCATATCTTGGATTTCGTAATTATGTGAACGAAAAACAGGAGCAATGGTGGGCAATAAGCAAACAAACTGCCTTTCGGGAGAGTAAATTCCAAAAAAACACGCATCTCGCCAATGGGAAGTTTACGAAGTCTCTTGGATAATTTCAGGAACCTCAAAGCATTCATGAAAGATCTTTGTCATAGTGATCGAGTCTCACAAACTTATCTACATACTCTGGTCGATGAGCGCGGCGAGTGCAATTGTGTCCTGTCTGTACATGCCTAGAGCGTTGGGCAAGAGCAGGTACCTCCAGCAAACGAACAAGAAGTCCTTCCCCAACTCTAGATGCCCACACACCCTGTGACACGCTAAATGCATGTACCTCTTCCCGCAGCATTGTACCCAAGGTAGTCGCCAGACGGTGCTCAAAACGGTCAGGCCACGCGCTCCGTTCTTCGAGAACCTGCCTTTCACCGACCGCGAAACTCAGGGACAAACGCGTGCCAGCGTGATCCACAGAGCGCTGCGATCAGTAACCAAGCGTGGGGGGGCAGTGCTTAGTCACCCGACATGGAAAATAAAAAAGCGAGCTAAGGCTGAAATCTGACCAATGAAAAATCAGAATCAGCGAGCAAGTACCTGAGAGCTTCAGCTACAAGCAGTGATTGTGAGCACTGCCGCATTGAGCCTAGCCCAGCGCCGAAACGGATTTTTTATTTTTGGCGGGCGAGTGATCTGACTGCTCACGCGCGTTTCTACTGATTTGACTGCGTGTATAATAAACTCTCTCCGCCACCCCCCCGCAACCTTGCATTTCCCACTCCTCCCTCCCACTTGTGTACACACTACAACCCATCTACATTACATTGCATCATCACGAAACGCGCTCGCGTTCATCCATCTACAACTTCCATCACCGTTTTCTCTTCTCCAACTAATCCATCATGACTGGACGTAAGTGACGCCCTCACCCCGCACTGGGACTCGGCCGTTCATAGGTCGTCATCCTGAATCGCATCACGTACTGACTCTGGCTTCAACAGGTGGCAAGGGCGGCAAGGGCCTCGGCAAGGGCGGTGCCAAGCGTCACCGCAAGATTTTGCGTGACAACATCCAGGGTATCACCAAGCCCGCTATCCGACGTCTCGCTCGTCGTGGTGGTGTCAAGCGTATCTCTGCCAGTAAGTTTCATCTTGATCGTCGTCAATCCATCAACAGCTTGCTGACGCGTCTTCTCAACAGTGATCTACGAGGAGACCCGTGGTGTCCTGAAGACCTTCCTCGAGGGTGTCATCCGTGACGCCGTCACCTACACTGAGCACGCCAAGCGCAAGACCGTCACCTCCCTCGACGTCGTCTACGCTCTCAAGCGCCAGGGCCGTACCCTCTACGGTTTTGGTGGTTAAGCGCCTCTTTCCTCTCGTTAGGAAGGTGCTGGTGTGTTATGAGTCGCGATGTGTGTGCCAGATGAGGTTTTATAGGCGTTAAGGGATACGGGTTAGTCGGCGTCAGGGAAGACGACCAACGGAAATTAAATTACAATACCATCAATGATTATTTGCTCTTGAAACATCAACTCATTCCCCGTGTCTCTGCTTGCTCCGTTAAACTCTTGTTTGCCAACGTGAAATGTGTTGTATTTTGGAACCTAGAATAACGCCAGTGGTATTGAATCGATCTATGTAAAAAAGGTATCGCTCGCCGCCGAATTAGAGATATTTCCGCCCAGCCGCCGCCACCCTCGTCCTGAATATGGGGCTCGTGACCTCCATGTTAGCCTGGTAGAACGGGCTCATGATGGCCTTAATCCAGTTCTCGTACACCTCCGTGAAGAACATCTTGACTGCCTCCTCGGTGGCGGGGCTCGTGGGGTTCGCGCCAATCGCTGTCGATGATCGCGAGTTGGTGCCGCTGGGGGTGATGGGGTGGTGGAGGAGGAGGAACTTGACGTTGCCGGCCGTGACGAAGCATGAGATGTAGTTGTCGAAGAATTTATCGATGCACTTGAGATACCTGGACCGCAGTCGGGTTAATATCTGGCTTCCAATGGGCTGCAGTAGAGCAGGGAAGCTGGAGGGGGGAAGCTTACATTTGGCCATGTGACCATTGGACCTCCTCGACGATATCGAGGCTCGAGTGCAGGATGAACTGGTTCAGGTGCCTCACTTGGTCGGTGAAGCGAGACTGGCCGTCGCCGCCCTGCTTCGATGTGCCAAACTCATGCTCGAACAGCGGATTGTCCTGCGACCCGACAATGGCGAAGTAGTAGCTCATGGTGGCGCCCGGCGGATGTGCATTTGACGGCGTGACCTAGCGCACAATGGCAGACCCGGCGGCTCTTCTCGTGTGTCCCCTCGCTGTGGTGGTGAGGTGGTGCCGTCGCTGTCGTCGTCACGCGCTGCTCTGCTGTCAAGAACAATCCTACTCGCCGACCGGGGGGTTGACTCTCGAATATGCGACCAACCTCGAGTTGATGGGAGCTGACCCCACAATGTGGGTGGGTAACTCTGGTGTGGTTCCGGCGCTCGGGATATTCCGCTCCACCCCAAGCTTCGCATCAGCCAATGCCAAAAAGTTTGGAGCATCTCGCACCAAGTCTCCAAAACCGAACCCCCTCCCGACCCTCAACGCCAGACAGAGAGACAATGTTTGGCCCATTCCGAATCACAAACCCGCTGTCCGGCGGTCTCCTGTGGAAGATCCCCTGGCGGCTGTCCAAGTTCCAGAAGAGGCGGCACCGGGAGCGCCTCAGGGCCGTCGACGGCGTCGTTGCGACCATTGACGCCGCCCTCGCCAAGCAGGGACAGGTGCTGCCGGCCGTGGAGCGGTGGAAGGCCGAGATGCCCACCGAGGCCGAGATGCTGCCCAAGGACAAGTACACCCTGTTTGACCGCAAGGCTAAGCGCTATCGAAAGGGCATCCACAGTATGTTACCAGTCGGGGAGAGAAGGAAGATGATGTTGGGCGATTGGATTACTGACCGGCTACACAGAGCTTCCCAAGTGGACGAGAGTTTCGCAAAGAGTCAACCCCCCTGGTTTCTAAGCTGCGCAATTGGGGCGTTGGGCTGTATAATCCTATCGACACGAGACACCGACTACGAAGCTGGGCATGCAATGGGGATGGAGGCGTTTTCACACGTACTGGGGCGACGAACTACCATGTACAACACTTTATTGTTTGACCTAACCCGCTCGGCGCTGGCGGGGATCGAATGTGGCATGAGAGAGGCAGAAATAGAATTCTGCACATTTGTATATGTATCACCACCACCAGGCAAAAACGACGGCTCATAGATAATGGATGGGCTGGATAAAATAGCAATTCTTCTTTTTTCCAAATGTCAAGACCCAGAAACTACCTCGCTCGCACTATTCTTTTCCTCGCGGGTATCTATCGCAATCTTTTCTATTTCGTACATGGCAAGCCTCCTCTGATACAAGAACTACGCCCGGTGATCTCTTTCTTTTGCTGTCGTACTATTCGTAGTCCGTCCCCGCCCCGACGTAAACAATCCTAGCGTCTGGGCTCATCATCGTACTCCCTCCCATCCGTCTGGATCGCCCTGCCCACGCCACCGCGCCCCTCGTCAAAGTCCTCGCGGTACTCGTCGCGCACCTGGCCGCCCGACTTGCCGCGGCCGTACTGCCTGCCCTCCTCGAACCCGGGGTCCAGGTCGGTCCGGATGATGCGCTCGTCCAGCTTGGTGCCGCCAATGTACTTCATGCAGTCTATGGCGTCCTGGTGGGTGTAGTACTCGACGAAGCAGAAGCCGCAGGGTGTCTTGGCGAAGCGGTCGAGGCCCATGATGAGGCGCTTGATCTCGCCCACCTTGGAGAAGAGCTCGTAGACCTGCTCCTCGGTGGTGTAGAACGACAGGTTGCCCACGTAGAGGGTCGTGGCGTTGGCGAGGGGGTCGACTGGCGGCTCGGCTGGGGCGTCGCCATTGGCGTCGTCGTCACGGTGGTCGCGGCGGCGTTTGTTCTGGGAGGGTTGTGTTAGGTGCGAGTCTTGGGGTGGAGGGGGGTGTGGTGGGATATATATATATATATATATATATTCTCACCTTGTTGTAGTATGCGCTGGGCCGGTCCAGGCGATCGACTGTGCTGTATGGTTCGTTGGGCCGCATGTTGGCGGTTGTGCTGAAGCAGCCTAATATTCGAAGGCTTCTCTGGTATAGTCAAGCCTAGGCGAAACTGGAGGCAGTCGTCGCGCTTCGGACGCTAGATGACACACAATCCGCGTGTTGGATGGCCACGGTTTGGCGTAATCAGGCGCACGGACTGGTGAACTAACCGGCGCAAGGGCGGAAGATGGTTGTCGTAGCTGCGACGATCTGCGAAGACAATTGCTGAAAGTAAAGTTGAGGTTCAAGATTGAAGTCAAGCAACTGGAGCTGGAGGGAAGAGTGGGTCCGCCCAGTGGAATGGCCCATGCAGGGGACGAGCAGCCATGCAAGGTACCGGTACATTCACTGTGGCTCCCGGGGCAGCCAAGGCGAGGGTGCATGTGCTCTGCCGCCGCGGCCTGGGCTGTATGTTTCTTGCTCGTAGAAGCTGTTATAGATTTGAGGAGGATAATTCTAGCAGCAAATCTAACTCGCTCCAATTTTTCATCTGCATAGCGCCCAGAAACTGCCCACGCGCCCGTTGGGCCTTTGTCTGACGCCAGCTGCCTGGACGGCAGAGACCCACGACTCCAAAGTCACTGTACTTTTGGCCCCAGCCAACACTTTTTTTATGCGCCAACTGATGAGCTTGTTCTCTGTTTTTGTTGCATGTAACAGCCGACTGACCAGTCGCTTTCCACCATTCCATCTTTTCCTTGGCTGCTTTGCTTTCTGCTTCATCCTCTCTTCAGCCTCACTTTCCAAATTTCCAGGTCCAGGCAGCAGCTCCGTATCTGGGGAGTTTTTACCATCTCGTCAGCTGCCAGACTCGTCCTGTCTCGGCCGCACTCTCTTTTTTACCACACGAAGCTTCCTTTCTCAGCATCGACCCGACCGTCAGACCAACGACACGCGCAATGCCCAAGGTCAAGAGCTATTCGGCCCCTTGGCTGGCCAAGAACGCCCCAGGCCATCAGCTCTTCGAACCCATCGCCGACCTCGCCCGACCCCAGGCTCTATCCACCAAGACACAGCACCAGCCCGGCCCGAGGAGAACAATCGCTCGTTGGGGCACACAGGTCTTTGTCGCCATTGGCAAGGAGATCCGCTGGGGTGACCTCGCCTACATCAAAGAGCAGTGGACTGCTCGACATTCGAGAAACGGCGGATATGGAACCAGGATCAAGACAGAGGACTCTTTCGCGTCCGTTGAATCCGACTTGGATCTGGAGCACGCACCGGGCATGAGGGTGAGTGGGCGAGCCAGACACCAGCACATCTGCTCTACCGCCTATTGATCCGTTGATTTTGTGTATTCTTGACCCAGTTGCTGACAACAGGACTTGCAGACCATCAAAACGCGTTGTGCCGAAGACATTCGACAACTCGTCATCTCCCAAAACTCCAATTATCTAGCCATCCTCACCGCATACACCGTCCACATCTGCGTACTCCCCGATTCGTCACATCTGACCAGCGAGGACAATGGGCCGCTGAAGCCCAAGATGTTCACCCTCGGACCTACGACCCACGTAACATCACGAGCACCCATCATGTCCGCGCTATGGCATCCTCTGGGAGTAAACGGCACCTGCCTCGTCACAGTCACCGCCGATGCGATTGTCCGCGTCTGGGAAATCGATGCCGCGAATCGATGGTCCTTCGACAACCCGACGACCTCCGTCGACTTGAAGAAGCTTGCGGACGGAACGAGCTTGGATCAGGATTTCTCAGCGTCTGTCACGGCAACGAACAAGGGCTTCTCCCCTGACTCCTTCGACATGGAAGTGGCGGCCGCAAGCTTCGCGACTAAGGGATCGGGAGGCTGGGACCCCATGACACTCTGGATAGCGATGCGAGAAGGCGATGTCTACGCTCTGTGCCCTCTTCTGCCCCAGAAGTGGGCGCCTCCGCCGACCCTGATTCCCTCATTGTCGGTTTCCATTGTCACAACGGTGGCCAGTATCGAAGACGACCCCGAGGTTTCCGACTACGAGAAACTCCTGGCGCAACAGCAGCTCGAGTGGATGGGCGAACTTGACGCTCAGGAACCTACTGTTCTGGAGGGGCCGCCCGGCGAACCGATGATCGAAGTCTACAACCGACCCTCGCGACCTGGTACCATTCCTAGACTACAAGGGCCTTTCGACCTAAACGCAGACCCAGAGACGGGCGACGATTTGGATACAGCAATCACAGACATTGTGGTCATTGGAAAGAAGACGGAAACCGACGAATTGATGCTTGGGGAAGAGGAGGAATTGGAATTGGAAGAGCGAGACCGAGAGGGCGCCTCGCTTACCGTGGTCAGCCTCTTGTCTGTCAGTGGCCAGGTTCGAGTGTACCTAGATCTGGACGGTGTCCAAGCCCAATGGCTTCCCCCCAAGAGCAAGTCGCGGCTGGGACGCTTACTGGCAGATTCAAGCCTATCATCAGAACTCCTGGCTTTCCAGGCCATTGATACCATGAGCCCAGTCGAGGTCAACGAGGAAAGCTGGCCGGTGTTCAGCCAAGACGTCATGTCCCGCTACAACCTCTATGTTACACATCACGCGGGCATTGTCTTCCTCTCCCTGGCACCCTGGATATTCCGCCTCGAAAAGGAACTCGCGGGAGACTCGGAGGCAGGCACAGACTTCAGGATTGGCTTGGTGGTCAACTCACAATCGTCACGAGACCGACTGTTCTCGCAGCCCACTTCGGATGCGGTTGTTCCTCTCGCGGCAGCCGTCGTTCTGCAGGATCCTGATGTCGGCTACTTTCTCCTCTCTGCCACCCCCTATGAGCCAATCGCGTTAACGTTCGACTCCCCCGAAACCGATCTCGTGCTCGTCAAGCTGGAGAGCAGTCCCGTACGCGAGCTCGAGGCGGTCCCCGCGCCATTGGACTTCTACGAGCCTCGCCCCGTCTTCCAGCCGTCTCATGCCTTTGACCAGCCATCCCACCTGCCGACGATGCTCGACCGCCTGCGCACGTCGCGTCACAAGACGCTCGTCAACCAAGAAGTGAGGCTGAGTCCCGTGACCCTTGGCATATTCACAGACGCGCATAAGCTCCTTGCCGATGAGACCTACCGGCTGGGCGTGGCCGCGTCAGAGGTGTTCCGGCGCTGTGAGGTCCTCCAAGCTGAGCTCCGCCAACAGGTGAATAAGGCGAACCAAGTGCGGAGCAAGATTGAGACTATTAGTGGAGCTAATCGCGACGATGGCGAGGGTGATAATGCAGCATATGAGCGAAGGATTGCCGAAGCGCAGGATCGACAGGACAGACTCACTAAGCGTGTCGAAGGGCTCCGCAAGATCATCGGCAAGGCGACGACGAGGGATCTGAGCGCCAAGGAGCGCGCGTTCTTCAACGAGGTTAGAACAATGGAGGAGAGCTTATTGGAACGGACCTCTTCCGAAGGCGATGATCGGAATAACCAGGCTGGGGCCTCGGGCGCATCTAAGCCGCTCTGGAAGCGATTGGAAGAGGCCAAGACTCTGCAGGATGAGCTGCTGGACGAGGTCGCGGCTCTCAAGAAGGCTGAAGGCGTGACGGACTCGGGCAGCTTGGGCACCACAGAGCTCCGGATCCCGCAAGACATACGGCGATCCAAGCTCCAGCAAGTTCAGGGTCTCCTGTCAAGAGAGACAGCCCTCGTCGAGGCTGTCAGGGCGAGATTGGAGAGGCTACAAACGCTCTGAAGGAGGATCTAATGGGGGGCGCCAATGTAATATGAGTTAGCTGGTTATGGAGAAAGATCATCGTCTTGGTGGAGATGGCGATGCGAGGTAATGGCGGTATTTATATGAGATCAGGAAGGTGGCAGGACACCACGAGGAGCTCTGCCAGTATGTTTGATATATCATGGACAATTTAAAATAAGGCGGATAGCCGTTTAGCAAGGGAATCCCTTCCAAACCTACAAGTGTGCACATCCGGTCCATCATCACGAACCTCATTTGGCGTCTGCGCGGTTAAATCTCACCTCACCTTGCCACATAGAGAACACCTCATCGATCCTTTTTCCTTGCTTTTTTCTACATGCCAACGATGTGGCGAATGTGGCGCATCTGACTCACACCACAAGGCTATATCAGAGATGTTATAAGGCCAAATCCGGGCGCTTCTTTGGCGCGCTTTTGCCGATCTACAAAGTGAGGCGGACGACGGATGATCACCTTATTGGCAGGCTGAACAGGAAAGCCGATTCGCTCCATCCATTGGTTGCGCTGATGTAGCACAGAACATCGCGAAAGTCGATATTTTCGCGACTTGATACGAGCCTCGGGGGTTGGATACTGGGGGTCTGGATGGCCCTCAATGGACCAAGCGAGCAACTTCGTGACACAAAGGAGGGGAGCAAGATGCCGGATGGGCTGCATACCTGATGGCTTATGAGACAGCCAGCCATCAGGGGTCCACGATGGATCTGGCCGTGGGCCTAGGAGGATCTACCAAACCGTGCCATGGAACTGCTGGTCTTCTCTCGCCCTACTCTTTCTGCCGGACAGCTGGAGATCCGGCCCAGATGAGAGCAGGGTCATGGCCCCTTCCAGCCAATGATCCTAATCCAATTGATCACTTGTACGCCGCATATCAGAATCTACCCGAACACCCCGGAGGTGGGCATGGTGCTTTGCTGTCCCGTCGGGATGCTTGACAGACCTACGCATGACATCGGGCTACTCTGCATGTTGCCTCATGAACATTGGACTCTGCCCACCGTAGGACTATGGAGAATGGCATCCTTACTCCATTACCGGCTCCAGGGCCGGGTGCAACGTCTAGTCGCTTTTGGGTGTCACGATGGACAGACAATGCACAATCCCATGGCAGGCCATGCCTTTGCCGCCTTATTGACCGTCACTCCATCGTCAGGCCGTGTTTCGGCTTACTTGGCATCAGTACACCCCCCTTTATTCGGGGATGTTGTGACCTCTGAGTGTCTTGGTTGGCGGCGCTTTTGGGAGATCGACAGTGCGCATGGAACACAAGCAAAATGTCGGGATTCCTTCATCGAGACTCGAGAGAGTTTGGCTCTATAAGAAGGATTGGATTCCCGTTGTTTGCACATGACTCTCTTACAGCTCACTAGACGCTCTTTCATACCCCTTTTGCCATCCACCCCGTCGAAATACACAGACAAACCATCGTCACCATAGCCCCATTGCCTCTTCTTGTACATCGTCACTCTCTGCAAGATTCGAAAGAGCCGAGAGGAGACCCCCTTTCTTGATCTCATGACCTTGACCCGAGTGAACGGCATCTCCCTTAAGGATACTCCTGCAAACGAGATCGATATGGCGGCATCTGCCCCCCTTTCTACGATTGTCCACGAACCTTTGATTAAGAGTATGACAACCTTCCCCCACGCTCCGCTCTCGTGCTTATAGTTTGTATCAAACTGACCGTTGCTGTGGCTGCCAAAAGGCAATTACGAAGTCGTCCTTGGTCATGATGTCACAGTGCTCACGCAGCTCGACACCCCTTACTGGACCGTCGTCGTCCTCTCATCTACAGCCAACTCGCCCGTCCGCACCGTCGTGACGACGGAGAAGAGCCTCGACCTCGCCGCCGCACTGGCCGCGGTGCACAGGCGGTCGGCCCTCGAGGTGTCTCACTTTTACGTCGCCATGGGCAAAACCTACGACAGCCCCATCATGCCACCGCTGCAGGGACAGAAGAGAAAGACCAAGCGTGACGGCAGCGGCCTGGACAATGAGGGTGTCCGCCAACTCTCGGAAGTGGAAGGCGGCGACGACTTTGACAACGAGAACTACACGGACTCGAGTTCGGAGTCCGAGGACGACGTCGAGCTGGGCCTTGACCTGTCAGACGAGAGTGAGGACGAAGACGGCCTGGAGCATATCAGGAAGCCGTCGCACCGCCGACGTCGTGAGACTAAGAACAACATGTTTGGGCCGAGGACAGTCCCCTCCCGTCAGTCCACGTCTCCTCGCATGCCGCCACCCGCAGTTGGTGAGCAAACTGCGACTGCACCAGCTGGCGATGGAACCATCCCCATGCCCGTCCACCCTCACTTCTACTACGGCCAGCCCGCAACCTTGACGGGCGCCTACCACTCTCCCCATCCCCCTATCCTTGGGCCCCATCATCCATTCCCTCACCAACACGTTCTCCTTCCCCATCACCATCTCCCTCCCCACCCTCCTTTCCCTCCACAGGGACAGAAGCCCGCCACCGTGCCCAACCACCCGGCCGCAGCCGGGACCCCAAGCATGCTAGGGATGTATTCATCACCTACCCAGAGGTCCGGCGGCCAACCTATCAACGTCTTCCAGCAGCCAAAGGGCAGCAGCATGCCCCCACCTCCTGCTGCAGTCCCACCGCAGTTGAGGGCAAGCAACCCCCCTGCCGCCGCCGCTGGTGGTCCAAGGAGACCAGCAGCACCCGCTGCCCTGCCCTCCCTCCCCGCGCCCAGGCCCGTGTCCATCAACATCCACTGGATCGGCCGCGGGAGCCTCCTGGTGACGGACACCTGCGCGCCCCTGCACGGCCGGATCCTCGAGAGGGCGATGCAGCTCGCTCGCCTCAAGAGCGGCGAGTTTGGCGGCGGCGTCGCGCCTGGCCAGGCCGAGCAGCAGCACAGGATGATGGCGCTGCTCAAGCGGGTGCGGGCGGGCGACGTCGTGTACGAGGTGACGAGTCGGGTCGACGACCTCTCACCGCTGCTTGCGAGGATGGGCCCGCCCTCGCAGGTCGGCTTCCCGTGCTTCGATGTGGAGATTGTCCTGCAGTCTGGGGACGGGGAGGACTAATGGGAGAGACTGTGGATGGGCCTCCTGAGACTTGTGTCTTAAGTTTTTCTCTATATTTTATGTGTGTGTGTCTTGTCTAGGAAGGCATCACGGGATGCTGATGGATAGAGGTGTTTCTGGTGCGAGGTACTTCTCTTCTCTTGTTTTTTCCCCTCTTGTCTTACCTTCTATTTTTCCCTCGCCTTATTCTTCACCTCTTCTTCCACGATCCGAATGGGTAGAGGACGTCGCCCAACAGACCCGTACGTTGTCTACGCTGTCCGGGATGAACGTGGTCTACTCCGACCTTGCAGCCTGGAGCTGGTGGCACTGTAGGGCATTGTTGTTCCCCCTTCTTCTCAAAAGTTCCCTACTCCTTTTTTCCCTGGTTTTTCCTTGGTACAGAATTTGTAATCGGATAGTTGCACAGGATGGTTTTACGAGAAGCATGCAGCTGGTATCTTTTTCCTTCTAGTGTACGCCCTAGGTATGTAGATCAAGAATGATCAATTGACGTCAACATTGGGTTGAGAGCAGATATGACTCGTCGAACTGGCCGCAAAACGTGCATGCTGGCCGTAAGAGGGGGGGGGCAGGCCAAACCGGGCCTGCAGACATGTAAATCCAAATACGACCGTTGCAATTAGACTTGGCGGCACACGTACACGGACACCGGGATGGGAAACCCTCTCGACACCTGTTGAACGTTGCAGTGAACCCTGTAAACCCTTTTCCATCAGCGGGAGTGTGCCATGCTTGCTGGCATGAGATCGCCGGGCTAGTGGACATGAGTTTACTCATAGCTCGTGAGTGTGGATATCCTATTGGCCCCTTGAAGATGCATGATCGATGTCTATCTTTAAGCGAAGATCCTCCAAAAGTGAGGCTGGAGGAAAGGGGAGGGGGGAGCTGGCCACGGGGGCATGTCACACCAACTATCCTTGAGCCCACCGTTTATGGACGAGACAAAAGCGTATCGGTGGCGGGATGAAGCCCAATCGGCCGACTATCATGTCTGTCTGAGCTGCATGACCAACGCATGTGCAGCACAACAACATGACTTGGCAAGTGCTCAATGGGAAGAAAACACGGCGGGAGGCCGCTTACGGCCCAGTACGACGATGGAACAGGCGGGCGAAATTGGTAGAGGGCTCGGCTTTCACTTGTGAGACGATGATGCTACGGCGTCCGTGGTACAGCAGGAAAGGAGATTACACTCTCGGTCGGATGGGCAGAGGGCTTGGTATAACCGGCCAGCGCGTATTGATATAGGTATCACGGCAGCGGACAACGGTAAACGCATACAGTAATTCCATGTATATGCGAGATGCACAAACGCCGCCATCCAACCATCCCTCTACTCGCCTGCCGGCCGGAATCAACACGGGATCGGGCAGCCAGCAGGTTTTTTCCTTTCCCACCGCCTCCTCCCCAAGCGAGATGTAGTGACTTGCATCGGGAAGCGAGCTGCATCAGACAGCGAGCACCCCTAAGCGAGGGGGGTATGCATCCCTCGAAGCATCTTTCCCAAGAACCAACGAAGCTAGCCGCTCGAGTCGTTGGCATGTTGGGCATCCGAACCAACAACACAAGACAATACAAAGCACGGACGAGCACAGCAAAGAGACAATGCAACGCCCAGACGGACCGGCGTAAACCCAACCGCACAGCATCCACATCACCTCCTCTTCGCCCGCTCCCCTACCTCATGCAGCACGGCGAACGCCCTGCTAATCTCCGTGAAGCTATCCCACAAAAGCCCTGCACGACCCATATTAGCCTCCAGTCATCACGGAAGCCGACAATAGGAACCCGTCCATTGTATGCATGCGGCTTCATGTGTCGCACCAGAATAAGAGAAAAAAAGGGGGTCAGGATCCAAGCTTACACAACGGAACGGTGGCCCAGGGCGCGTTAAACCCGACATAGTAGACCCAAAAGTACAGCACCTCCGGGCGGCTGTAGGAGACGCCCTCGGCCCAGTTGGTCAGGTAATACAGCGCAACGCCGTACAGGTGCGCGACGCACACGGTGATCTGGCAAGTGTGGCGGAGCGCATGGCGGCGGGACACGATGGCCAGCACGGTTAGGAGGGAGAGAGGGCCCCAGACGAGCTGTCGAGAGTCAGATACATGATGGGAAGCGAACCTTTTGGAGAGGGCGGATGGCTTCTGGGGGTGACTTACAACCGTGATGGTCTCGACGCAGACGGTGAAGACATCGAGGGTGAGGTACCGCGAGTCAGAGAGCGTGTACTCCTTCCAGAGTTGGGCGAACAGCGTGTTTAGGCCGGCGATGTTGGTCCTATTGACGATGTAGTATCCTATTGTTCATCTCTCCCTTGTCAGCCCTCTGGCGCGTAGTGAGCCGGGCCGGGAACTTTGGGCATGATAATCTTCTCAGCCTTCTCGTGTTGCTCACCTTCGAAGCAAATGTGTAGAAATGCACCTATAATTAAAATAAGCATGTGTGAGCCAGGATAACCGATCGGCTAGAGGGTATGGGGAGGGAGTTAGGCCACGAGGGGGCGTGTGAACCAGATAATAGAAGGCCTGATCTGATCTTACAGAGAGCGAACCAGCCAGCCGCAAACTGGTCGATTGTGCGGCTCGTGTGTCGCCTTGCAAACACTACGGCTGGGATGATGGCGAGGGCTGCGAGGGCAGCAAAGGGGGCGAGGATCTCGAGCAGCGGCGTCGTGCTGGGGATGTAGTGAGGGATCACGACGGCTGGAGGGAAATACGGATGGTGATGAGGGCCAAGGTTTGCCTCGCCTGCGCTCGCCGAGGCTGTCATGGCGATCTGATCACACAAAACGTAACTGGTCGGATGCGACACTGGGAGATGTTCCTGGGCACAATGAATGATGCGATGATGAAAGTCCGCTAGCCAGGGCCATTCGTTAGCCTTCTTTGCCAGGGTCTTGCGGTGGGGAGCAGCAAATTTTATGAAAATCCTCCGTACGTGTATAGCGCAATTCCACAGACGGCTGCCTCGCTTTCTCTTCGTGCTCATTTCAACCCGGAGCCTTCCTTGACATGGCCAGTAGCTCAAGCCATGTTATTAATATATGGCAAATTACCAGCGGTGGTAATTACTACTGGCGTAAACTACCGCTCGCCTTGTGGCCCACTGATCCAAATGGACAGGGCTCTGAGGCCAGTCAATGGCTAGACTAGACAGCAAGGCGCAATCTGTCGGGCGTGCGCGCTCATCCCAGCAAGAGAAGCAGCCTAACGAAGAGTCATTGAAGCCGAGCCCCGAAGGCAGGCAAGGCTGTCGCGTGTGTCGATATTGGATTGGTACATACCCGAGCCGAGGGGCCATCTAATCGAACCTAAAAGGCGTCAAGCTGAGCATATTATTGTGCTAGACCACTAGCCCAATCACCGGGGAAATGTTGATATCGTCAAGTGAGGTAGTGTGCAATGTGCAGTGTGCCGTTGATTGACACATGTATAATTGATATTTATGCCATGTCTGGCATGCCATCCGCGTAGACTTGGCCCTGCCAGCTCCCGTCTTCGCTAATGCCATCATCCTATGCCGTATAAACAAATCCCCTGGTATAAAAAAAATCCGAGCCATGTCGTAGTCCACAAACACCCCATCATAATGTATCCAAAAATCCTTTCCGGGCTTCCCTGAGCCTGAACCAAATGAAGAAGACGATGATCGTAAAAAATGAGAGATCACAAGACTACTCCGTGTCCCGAGTGGTTGTCGATGAAAGAAAATGGGGTATTCGTTCCTGATGAATGACGGCCGAAGAATTAAAGAAAATAGACCCAAATCCCAAACCTAGTCCCCAATGTGCGTTGAAGAATCAACGTGTAATCCCTGGAATGCCCAATTCCAATCCCAGTCCCAGTCCCAATCCTTGTTGTAGCACAAAAGAGCATCCGGTTCTTTGGGAGCGTGCTTGCGCCGGGAAAATATGGAAGTGAAAAGCAATGCATGCTAAAATAAAATCAAAAGTCGTAAATAAGAGCATATGATGCTCAACCCGTCAGGTCCTGAGACAACGTAGAACGAGGTGTGGCCAAGTTTCAGTTTCAGGGTTGCTTGCCCCTGAGCTGCTTCGCTTCATACCCTGCCACCATTTGTCGCAGCAACGTGCCTTCATCAGAGCTAACGGATCGAATCGCTCGCACGGGGAGAATCTCGCCGAGCTTCATGTCTTTTTCTGACAAGCCTCCCTTGGGTGCGCCTGGCCCTAGAAGCAGAAGGCCGACGCAGTGCTCAAATGGCGAGCGATCCAGGGTTGCCGATCGTGTTTGAATAAGAAATTGGGTTAGGGCGTAGCCGACCATACATGACCATAGTAACACGGGGCGCATGGCTTCAAGGCTGGGTAGGACCCTATTTACAGCTGGGGTCGACTCGGGTGAAGTAAGGCGGTGGCCCATTGCGAGGACGATGTTGCCCAGTTGGTGACTGAGGGCCTGTAAGAGGATTGTGCAAAGATCGACGGAGTGGCTGTCAGGAAGAAGGTCTTCGATGTAGAGCAGCGCAGCCGATCGAAGAACAGCGTTCAAGAGATTTCTCTCAGGGTCGGTGGTCTCCGGCGTTAAGGGACTCGGGCTGTGCGCTCGGCCTCTAGTGATCATGTCCAGATTCAGCTCCGAGACTCCCAAAGCTGCAAAAGCTTGGTCAGCCCGGGCGATATCGTCACGTAAAGATCTCGGGTACCGGGCGACTTGGTATTCTACTCGCAGGCAGTCCTCGGCGAAGCCTTGGAAGTCGAGGGCAAAGGAGGAATCCTTGTTGGATGCCTGTCTAGCGTGGACCACGGCTTGTGTGAACAGGGCAAGAGCCTGGAAAGAATCGACGTTGAGCTGGGAGATCCGCGAGCCCTGCAGGCAGGTGCGCATGTTGCTCGTGACCTCGGCACGTAACTGAGCAGGGAGGCTGTCAGAGACCGAAGGGAAAAACTTTTCAAACTCAAGATAGGGCGAAGTGCCGGTGTAGACGGCACCCTTGACGTCAGCTCTGAGAAGAATCAGGTCAGTATGCGGTGGTCATTGGACATCGCGGATGAGATAGCAGGGTGGCGTCAGCTTGACGAGCAGGCCACATACTTGCGAATCTTGTTAAGGGTGCTGCCCCATTCAGGTTTGAGCCCGCCAATACGATCGTGAAGGTCCCGAAGACCCTTCATTAGTATATGCCAATGTTGCTGCTGCCCCGTGAAGATCTAAAATGTAACGAGGTCAGCATTTGATACAGGTCGCTTTTCCCATCGGGATGTATTGTGATTCAGTGACCAGAGGCTACTTTGTGATGACTTACACCGTCAATGGCCATAGCTGCGATGGACTCCATGACAACCGGCAGAGCCCGTCTCCCATCGTCATCACCAGCCAGGATATTCCGGTTCATAGAGGCGCATACGTTGGCGATGGACGCGCCCAGCTCTTCGGACGAAACCTCGCGGCCCCGTGATGCGCCAGTCGCCAGTGAGGCCACCATGGCGATGGCATCGTAAATGTGCGACTGAGGTGGTAGATTGCTCAGGTATTGGCTGGCGATCCGCTGGGTTAGCGACGGGACGCTGCCCACGCCTTGCGACGATGAAGTAGAGCCCTTGCGCCCGCTGCGCTCGTCGTCTACGGAGACGGGAGTGTTTGGCTCGTCAGGTCTGCCGTACCTGCTACCCCCAGCATTCTTTATGGAATTCGGGGTGCTCGATCTCCCGGGAGAGGGTGAGCTTGCGGCTGGGGGAGTGATGGCAATGTCGAAGAAGTGCGGTCGGTCGCTGCCCTCGTACCCGGGCCTCCGTTCGATGGTTGACCCGCCCATGTCTACGTCGAAGGAGTCACCAATCTCCCCGTCGACCTCGAGGTCAGTGAAAAACTGGGATGCCTGGGCGATGTCGGCAGTGAAGCTCGAACCGGCGTGCTCGGCGGCGGCAGAAGTGGTACTGGCAGTAGTAGCGGCAGTAGACGTGGGAGTGACTGCAAAGGGTGGGGAGGAACCAGAAGCAGAGTCAGTTGCAATGGCCGATGGGATGGGAGTTGAAGTGGGCGTTGTCTCGGGAGAAGTAGAAGAAGTAGAGGATGATGCGTCGGTAGCAAAGGCATTCACAAACCGGGTGCCTTGGTGTTTGGACTTGGATATATACAAACCCTTGCGGGTCGACACCAGGGCCCCGTTATGAACGGTGGCGTTGAAGTGATCCATGGGTTCGGGTGTCTGTGCTCAATGCTGTTGCTTGATTGTTTGTTGTGCGGCAAAGCCTAGCAGACCAGAGCAAAGCAGCCAGGCCATCCGTCAAGCCCACGCTATCTGGCAACGAGGCTTTTCCCGACGTGGGTTGATGCCGTGAGGTCAGGGGGGTGGTGGGTGTATGGGACGAAAGGGCGAAAGCGGGGAGAGGGGGGTTTACTCAAGCAACCCGGCAAGGGAGGGGTCCCATCCATGGCACGCCTGTCCCGTGCTGGTCTGGGCGGGCTTGGCCTGGCTCGATTTGGACTCGCTGAACGAGTGTGGGAGTGGGAGCGGGCGTGGGAGAGAGGGTCAAGAGGGTCTGGAGGAAGAGACGAGCCTGTCTAGTGCCAGTCTGGGGTCCGGCCCGCGGGTGGGCATTCACGTGTCGCAGGAAACATTCCTAGGAATGTAATTGCAAGCAGCCCAGGAGAGAGCGGTCTCGTCGCTGGGCCCAGCCATGCTTGTGGCGGTCGCTGCTGGTGGCCGCCGTGTGTTGGGTTTTGTGTCGTATCCAAGTTCCGGATGAAGAAGCGGGCAGGGAACAGAGCAGATGGCACAAGTCAAGTGAGGGGACTGGTGGAGAAGGTGCGTCCAAAGATCCAAATCGACAGCAGCGGTGGGGGGCGCCTTCCATGGGTTTCTAATTGCGGACCAAGGTAGGTGCTGCCCAAGCGTTGCAGTAGCGGTTGGTTCCAGGGGCCATTGTGCTCTTTACAGGGAGCACAGGTCTGTTTTCGAGCACCTGAACGCCCCCGCCCTCCTCGTGGGTACCAGTGACGGGCAGTGACAGCACCGTCGCCCATTGATCCATCATCAATCATCCGCACCTTACTCACTTTAATTGATCTCTCCTGCTCCACTGTCATCCCGATGCGCTCCATGATGGTGTTGGTTGAGACGCATATCTGAATCGTCTGAGACTGGGCCGCCTTATTGTCTATATCCCGAGCGCACTGCAGCAATACAGCAGGCATCCTTCACAGGCCTAAAGACTGCCCTACCGACGGAGAACTCTAGGGACCGAAGCGCCCGAGCAGCCTGAGATCCAAGGGCGACTCCCACCCAGCACCCGACGGTCTTCACTAACTTCAGCATGGATCCCTAGAATTAGGCGCCCGGCTGCCCTGGACTTCCCCAAGCGAGCACTGGACAGGGCAGTGCTTGCAGCGAGCTTCCACCGTTTGCCAGGCTCCTTCGGTGGGAACAGTACCCTGACCTCCCTGAACACCACGTGGAGCAGGCGATCTTCATCCATGACGATGGACCAGGTCACCTCAACCCGTCCACCGAGCATCAATTTTGACAAATGGCTCTGCAATGATGAACTAGGACATCAGTTCGTGACCGCCTCGCTTGCGGCAGCGATCTATTACTTCATTTGGCTGGCGGACATGACGCGAGACGTATGATAACCGCTCTTTACTCGCTCAAGCGCCTACAATGCCTACATCTGTTGGACTGGACTGGGAACGGAACTCGCTATTCAGGCACACCGGCCAACGCATAAATCAGATCAGGTAGGGGTAAGGAACAATAGAAAACCTCCTTTTGTGTTGGTTCGAATCGGCATGGCATGCATCGAGGAGAGCCGAGAGATGAGGTCTCCATACCCCTGGAGCAGCGACCGCGAGCCAGATACGAGCACAGATCGTGTCTGGATCTTGTGCGCTGTGCCCGGCATATCTTAGGAGGTATTTGGTGATCATGACAACGCCGCTATCCGTACTGAACGCCCTCTGCCAAAATACCCCGACTCGCTTACACCAACCGTCCGTATTCATGTCCAAGGGATAGCTGAGTGAGCTTAAAGTATGGACGCGTGATATTCATCTGATGCGCTCCCCACAGGTTGCATTAACCGCCAGACGAAACAATGAGCTATTGTCCTATTGTTGTTGGTCAAGTCGGTCCTCTTGCTCTGTTTGTTGGCGATGAATTGATGGCCACAAACCCACTCCCCACGAGGCAATTGCAGCCAAAAGGCCTATTGATAATATATTTGTTGCTTCTGTGGCTGGAACTTGTGTCATTTGGGTCATTTTGGGTCATATGGGATGCAAGTTGAAGCAAGGATTATGCCGAAACAATACCTCGCCGAAACACACCCTACAGTACGAACGGCACTCATCGCATCTTCCCCGGCGATCTAACGACCAGTCAGTCAAAGGGAAGGCTGCAATGCTCCCCAACGAAAACCTGACGGACAGAGGGGAGGATGGTCACGTAGCCATATCATGCGCGCACGCCCAGAGGCTGAAGCAGGCTGAAGCAGGCTGAAGCAGGCTGAAGAGCACAGAGGGAGCAGCGCTTCTCCATGTTTTGGTTTTGCCACTGGCACGACACTCAGATGAGCTTAAACCCATGCGCGACCGCAATTGCTTCACCTCTGAGGCCCAGCTCCCGCGTGTGAGTGGACATGCAGCATTGTTGCCAAACGGTTGGCGGTATGAATGGGATCAAACCTCCCTCGCGATCCCCCTGTCGATGAACGGGGGTGTTGATCCTCCCCAACGGATACTACTGCACACATATCACAATCGACCCAATGTCAATGCGGTCAACATTAATTTACACTCATTCTTCAAGTCGGGGNGGGGGGGGGGGGGGCTGCGAAACGCTGCAGCCATCATGACACGTACGTCTGCGGCACGGTCAGTGTAGCCCAAAGCACGTGGAGGCCCCCTTGATGTCAGGATGCCTCTGTATCAGGGGAGTACGTCGTCTCTCGGGCTGTCTCCCGCTGCACCCTCGCAGATAAGTATTAATAGCTCCCGACCACAGGTTTGGCCGTTCAGGGAGCTTTGGCAGCCACAATATCATGAATCTATGATGTTGGCCTTCGCGTTGGTTTGCGGACTTCCATCTTACGGGGTGAATGCTGAATGCGCGCGCACAGTTGAATCATTTATTAACCAAGACATTCTGCCTGCCTTGCTGATTGTTTTGGCGTCTCCCCTGCTGGCAAGGCGGCTGTGCACCATTGTATGATCACCATTGTATGATGGAAATACACTATCTGCACACGCCATGCTGGCTGACCACCTCGAATATCCACGTATAGCGAGCAAGGAGGCAAAAGTAGGGCTGATCACGATGTGAACAGGATCAGGAAGGAAAAATCTCTTGGAAGACCAGGCATCGTCCCGATAGGGCACAATACGGCCAATGACACATTCCACTTGGCACAGAGCACCGTCCGCCCATCGCTGTGCCGCGAACAACGGCGGCGCATCTTAAGTTTGAAATTGGAAAGGGGTGACTTGATGTTGACAGCTCTGCAGCTTCTGCTCTCTCCTTAGTAAGGCTGAGTTCAAGATCTTCCACGCCAGCCCGCGCTATCACAAAATGCTTGACGACTGCACAAATCATATCGCGCGGCAAATCTCTTCTTGCTTGAGTCAAGCTTGACTCACTCTACGCATGGACCATGTCCTGGAGCATCTCCAGAGGATTCATCTCTAGAGTAGGGGGGTTGGTCCCATTCAATAGCACAGACCACCGCCGAGACCCTGTAAGCCTAAATGCCCAGAAACATGAGCATCCATGTAGCTGATCGTTTGGACCCATGCTAGGTCAAGCAAGTGCTTATTTCCCGCTCAGGCCAACAAGCTACGCAACCACTCACCTGAATCATTATATTCCGAGAGGTGGCCTGGCCTTGGGTAATAGTTTGGAGTGGCTGTGTATGCCATTCCAGGCCATTGAGGCTTGAACAAGAGGGACTATATTTAGGGCCATACTTCAAGCCACATCTAATAGCTCCTCGATAACCCCCTCGCCTCATCAATAGACCAAGGCATGGTGTATATCGATGCCCAGCCATAGTGACATGAGCAGCACGCAATATCTTCTCTGTTGTCGGGCGAATATTCATGTCATCATCGAGAGAAATACCCGGAATGGTCACAAACAGGCCTCACATGCATATTTGACCCATTCAGAGCCAGAAATATACTTCCTACTTGGTGATGGCGCTCAATAAAGCAGTATTGAGCTGACGTATGCCACGCGTATGTGGATGAGTATTGCGAGCTTGAGAACCCGTATTACGGCCGGCTTGTGAGAAGTGCTTAAATGCCAGCGCATCATTTCCATCTTCCGTAAGAAACCACTGCTTTACGAGTATCAAGTCATCCCGCATGCGTACCATTCAATTTATGCATTCGTTCCAGAATCTAATATCTGGATATCATCCTCGCATATCCGTGTACACCATGGACCTAGACGAGTACGGGAGGAATCTGGTGCGAGATGCCGCTATCGGCGTTGGATAAGGCTGGGCAGACACTCCCGATCCCATGTCACTTCAACTTGGCAAACGCTAGAGGAATCACAGTCTCGATAGAGAATGGGCCGAGTATACCGGTCGAGATTCAAAAACTTCCATCTATCGCCGACTCTCACAAGTCTCGTCCAAGTAGTGATATTCGGGGTATAGATTGCGAACCTGAAGCGAGATGAATTGGGCACACCGCCCCTAATGTAAATTAATTACACAATATATTATATTAACGGCCAAAGCTGTTATTCCCGACAATCTGGATAACCACAGGACAGGAAATCGCCTAGACCCTGGCTCTATTGGCGGTCTGGCGGGCAGAGGAGTCAACTCAACTGGCGGAAGAGCATTCGGAAGAGGCCGTCTGCTTCCGGCTCGACCAGACCGACTCCAACAACATCACCAACCGATCCCGATCACGCATATGCCATGCGGGTGAAAATTTCTCTAGCGCCAGCGACAGAGAGGCCAGCGTTTCGATATGATAGAATCTCGCTTAGGGTACCATTTGAGGCCTGTAGTGCTCGATCCTCCAGGTCCGGCCCGTAGGATTCGGCCTCTGTTTTTGGGGGTCCATCCATTGCCGCCTCCGCGGGCTCATCAGACTGCTCCCGCACACACGCGCGCGCGCCAGATAAACGTATTATGATTGATCTGAGCTAAATCGAGCTAGGCGCTTCCATCGGACGAAAAAATCGGACGACAATGCGTAGACGGACCACACAGAATGCCCCGAAATGCAATCCCGCGCCCCCAGAGCCACCGACGGACGTCTCACCATGGCACCGGCGCGTCGGGATTTACATAGCTAGTATCTGCAGAGAGGCCCCTGGATAAATTTTGAGATGGACCATGGCTGCCGTACGAGGACTACGAGGGGGCTAGGAATAGGCTTGCTCGAGTACGCAGGGGAGGGGGGTGAACAGCAGAGTGTGGGAAAGAAGGTGAACTCAGCCCGTTCCTCTACTTGATACGAACTGATTTGGGACCTCATGATAGCTTAATATCGCCGTCATCTCAATTACTATAGCACTTGGGTGACTGAGTTGGGCATTCCGTCGGACTCTTCTAGTCTCCTTATGAAATATTCTACCGTCGAGGAGGATGCGCTCCCTGGTTTTCAATCTTGTGATGGAGGCAGGAGATTGAGTGCACGGTGAGCCTGTGGGATGCCGCTTGATCGGCCGATGCCTGTCTTGTCTGTCTGCGCTTTGATTCCATTCCCTTATTGGAATCGACCGACGCGTATAATTATTTCCGTAATTCTGTAGCAGCGGCCTTGATCAATCACTGTAGATCGCATTCACAAAAAGCCCTGGTTATTCCGCCCACGATCCCCCTGCTCTCCAGTTGAATAGATCTTCTTGGCCTGAGCGTTGGACTCGCCACGAGGGAGCGGGACTACTGTATCCATCCTGACTCTCTTGATGCCTGACAAGGTTCGTTCTTGTGAGGGCCTGGACGCGGCAGTGAATACCGGGAAGTCCATCCGCCATTGTCGGGACAGGGCAGGATCCTTTCACCGTCTTGTCCGCTGCTTCGAGCACCATCCCCTCGTCGACTAGACTCACCAACTCGCCCTATGTTGCCAAATAGGGCATGGATGACTCTTTCTCGAGCTCGCACTGACGTGAGTGGCTGTCCCGGGGCGGAGGTTCGGCACTCAAAACTGAGTTCGCATACATACCGGCGCGGCGAATCGATGCTTTGGGTGTCTTCAGTCGAGTCGTAGCAATAAAGAAAAGTACTTCCATCATCAACAGACAGCCTCAGTGAAATAATATATTTTAATTAATGATTGTCTTGATAGCTCTGCGTACCTAGCTAAGCGTGGTATTATTAGGCATTCCCCTTGCTTGCCCGTGATGCATACTTGGTATAGACGATGAAGGAACACACGTGGCCAGAAAGTAGACGACAGAATGGAACATGAAGAATCAAATAGTCAAGACAGGCGCCCCAAACCTCGTGACAACTCCGAAGATCAATCCAGTCAGTCCGTCTTGACCTGGGGCTTGTTCTTCCGCATCCAAATCTCCCCAATGGCGTCCCCCTTCTCGGCAACACACACCCACTCCCCAATCCCGTGCTCCTCGGGAGCGTGCCTCACGCCCCGTCCGCCGCCTCCAACGATCAGATTGCCAGGACGGTACGTCTTGTCGGCCTCCATTCGCCGGATCACGCTTCCGTGAACACGAACGTTGTCTGGCACGTCGCGCACCTCGCCCCGAGGGAGTGGCCACCGGATGGGTTCCCATGACCCGTCCGACCGCAGGTCCATGCGGGCAAAGGGCAGCCACTCCATGAACTTCCACGCCGTGACTGCCGCAAAGCCCAGCCCACTGTCATAGGAGAGCGAGTCGTGTATCCGCGACGTGTGAGCCTTGGACATGACGCCCTTGAACATCTTCTCGTCATCGTCGTCTGAATCCTCCTCGTCGTCATCATCATCATCGTCATCATCCTCGCAGCAGCCCCGCTTCTCCTTGTCCAGTGGCGCGCCAAACTCCTTCGACGTCTGGAGAGGCGAGTCGGGGAACGTGGGCGTTATCGGCTCGCCGGTGCCATTCTCCTGGAGCCGGATGTCAGGCACGTTCTGCCTCTGCGACTTCTTCTGCTGCTTCAGCGACGAGTTGAGCCGGCTGGGATTGTGGCCATCCCACTCAGCATGGCACGAGCATCCCATCTCGGCCACCTTGTCCGGGTCGAGCGGCAGACCGGCGCGCATGGCCTCGCGGACAATCCATGCAAGAGGCACGTGGCTCGCGCTCTTCCTGTCCTCGAGCATCTCCCAGCCGCCGCCCACGTCGCCGTGCCCGCCCGCGAACCAGACCTCGTCAATGTCCTGGCCATCCTCGTCCCAGTCTGGGTCGAGCTCGGATGGCGATATGCCCGACATCTCAGACATGCCATCCGCGCTGCAGTCTCGCCTCTGCTTGGCCGCCTGGCGGCCGACAGACGTGCCCCGAAGACGGGAGGTTGAGCGCTTGCGGTACGGAGCAAACTCGCAGTCATTCTCGTGCTGTTTCTCTCCAGGACGTTTAGCGCCCGGGGCGAGGAACTGGCTCCTACGCCGTCCACGTTCGTCCTCGGGCGGCTCAGCAGCTCCATTCGTCTCGCCCGGCTTGGGTTCAGCTGGTCCCTCGGTATGCTTGTGCTTGCTATGATCTCCATTGCGAGAATGGAGGCCACGCGAATGAGGGTTAAACTGATCAATGAAATTCCCCAAGTGCCGGTGGCGATGGAGCTTGGCCTTAGGGTTACCCTGATACATGAGATCCTGCCTGAACTTGGCCCGCCGCTCGTCGATGCTGACAGCGTGTCGGATCACCTTGGCGCTGCTGCGCGCCGTGTAGGGGAACTTGCTGCGCTGCATCCACGCTGCCTCGAAGCGCGGGACTGAGTTGACCGTGTCGAAGAGGCCGAGGAACTTGATGCGCCCGACGGGCCGCGAGAAGGTCTCGCGGAAGCCCTTCATGAACTCGTACATCTTGCGCTTCTTGGCCAGCGCCTCGGCCTTTTCCTCGTCGGACCCCGAGACCTCCTTGCGGCACTGCCACTCGGCAAAGGCCTTCCAGGCGAACTTGACCATCTCCTCATTGCCGTGGGAGAGGAGCCCGATGTAGTCGAGCATCTCGGCGAGGAACCGGGCGATGTAGGAGCCGCGGCTGAAGCCGAACATGTAGATCTCGTCGCCGGGGTTGTAGAAGCGCATCAGGAAGCGGTAGCCGCCCACGACGTGCTGGTCGAATGATGAGCCGATGGCTGAGTCTTTGGCCTTGGTATACCATGAGCTCAGTCGGGAGCGGAGGCTGGTGTGCGAGAGTGATCCCGAGACTACATAGGTGCCGATGCCAGCTATATTGAAAAGACTGTCAGCAATTGATCCCACGATCGTGAATCAGTCTGTTCTTACGTTGATAGTAATGGTACTGGTCACCGGCGGTGCGATCCAGCATGCGAAAGATCTTCAAGATATTGCTGTCGCTGTCATCACCGTGGAACTTGTTGCCCGTCCCGTCGAAGCATAGAACCAGCTTCCTCGGCGCCCTCGTGCGCGTGACGTAGCCTGCATTCGAGCTCTTAATCGCAGCGGCATTCTCGGCCAGCAGGTTGCCCTCAACGTCGGCTGGCTTGTCTGGTTGCCTGGCATTCTGCGCAGACTTTGGATCGAGCCAGTCCTTCTCCATGGTGCTAGGGGTGAACTCTCTCCCTGAGTGAGCGACAGGTAGTATTAGGGGAGGTGAGATGGAAAGTTCGGTGAGCCTCAATGGAGGGGATACAGCTGGACGAGGAGTGAGAGACAGCAGAGTTCCCAAAGGCGGGCTAGCCTCAGACCCGTGTGTATGTATGTCTCTGAGCTATAGGATGAGAAGGAGGCGAGAGAGAAAAGATGGTGCTGGATGAGCGACAACATCTCTCGTCCGTATTTACACCACCAGGGAGATTCCACCCCGGCCACAGGTCGATCCCGCCATTTCCCCTCTTCCTAATCCACGGGCCGTGATTCGACCGGTACGTTACAGACTGCAGAGTGAGATCATCAATTTGGCCGTGTTGTACTGCGTCTGTGGCGCTCACTTGTCTCCCTCGCCCGCTCCCCTCCACCACCAAATCTCAAGTGTCCAGGCTCCGGATGGAGAAAAAGCAAGCCGAAGCGCGCGACCGCCCAAGCTATTCCTCATGGGTCTAGCATCTTGGTCAGTAAGCTGCTGAGACCCATGACGTGTCGGCCAATGAGGCAGGGGGGAGCTGCGCAGGCTTGCTTTAGCTGGGCACAATGTCTCGGATTCATGTGAAGAGGACTGGAATGGGATTGGAAAGGGCATTGACACTAAGCAAATTACTGCAAAGGTTGCTCTAGCTAGCTTTGAGCTGGACGGTAGTGGCCGTAGTGGAGAGGATCTTCCTGGGCCATTTTGGACCATTTCGGCAATCATTTCACAGCTCTGCATGTCACTGGGGAGCTGAAAGATCCATTTCGGGACTGTGAGTGGCTGGAAGGGGCATCAGACCAACGTAAGAGGCGGTGCGTGAGGAGTGTACACCACTGTGCATGCACATGCCTCCGTAGTAGGCGTGTACATATTATGCGTGAGTGTCTCTGAATGTGTGTTTATGAATCGAAGTAGGCGAGACAGGCGGAGAAATGAAGGACAGGCCCGAGGTGGAAGAGAACTAATTAATGATTCCTGGAACAACTTCATATCGAAATACTGAGCGACAGACGGCATCCACCACGCTCCACCCCTTTCATCAGGTGTCTCTCACTCAACACATCCAATCCAAGTCCAATAAATTGGCTCCGTAAACCGTATCCGCACATCCATTTCAAATCATCACGCTGAGGATGGCTCCAACGTCATGGCCTTGACCACCAGCGGTTTTGCTTTTCCCTCTCCACTCCCACCGCACACCAGAGCGGCGATTCCCTTCCCGCCCGCAGCGAGACCGCAGCTAAGGTGCTACTAATGCATGTACCGGATGGTAGTGTGTGTGTGTGGCCCAACTACCGGGAGGATCACCATCACCATATGGGAATGGGCGGCCCTATTGGCGGGAAGGGGACAAGATGCTCCGGTTTTTTGTTCTGGCCAATCTGTTTTTGTTTACCCCAGGCTGACCCGGGCGCTCACCGATTCTCAGGCTCTAGCACCCTCGCTCTAATTGCGCAGAAATCGCGGCAAGACACCACCAGCTTGAAAGAATGGTCACACAACACTGTCTGAGAAGAAGGCCCTAAACTTTCGTGATTACAAGAATTCCAAGCATTGCTATTGAGAAGATGAGATATAAAAGGCTTAGTGATTCGCCAGATGTATCGCGACTCACACCCACCACAATTCCGAGTACCACGTATAAGCGATCTTCATGGTCCTGACACTTGAAACTCCCAGAAGTCCTTAGTAGGATATTGCAAAGATCCCTCGCAAAATCTTGTACTTCGAGTACCATGGCATAGAAGCCAGTGAATGACTTGTCGGTTTTAAGATCGTACCGGGATTTTCTTATCAGATCTAGGAAGTACACAATATGTATGTTGTCCTGTTCGAATGGTAGACCTTCAGGATGCATCGCAGGCATGTCAGAGAACCAAGTGTGAAAGTCATCGTAGCTGCACGTGCTGTGATCACATTGGATTCTAACATTACCAGTTGCTAGGGCCACTTCCAGGATAACACATAGCCTCTGCTACCAGCCTCTTTCCACAATATAACGGAGGCCTGCTTGTGACTTTATAGGGTTTCGCATATTTAATCCCTTGAAAGCATCGGGATTTCTCCCAATGCGATCCCCAAAAGACAAGCGAAGGCCAACTCGATTTGTTCCTGATGTGCACAAATCATGACATTTCCGCTATAGGACTGGCTATTTCGGTAATCATGATAACCTCCAAGCCATACTGAAACCAAATGGGTATTGGCGTATATCCAGCCCATCGTCTGGATCTGCACGAGCTTCTCAGTCTCTCATTTTCTGGTCGATGCATAGAGCATCAATCCAGATGATACGAGCACCCTTATTCCTTCGCAGATACCGCAACGCATTCTGCAGATTGGGTGTGACATGAATAGTCTCAAAATTGAATAGAGACACATTCTTTTTCGGATTCTCCTGTTCATTGTCCTAAAGTTCCATATCTTAGCCCGCAGAATCTCTTGTATTAGCCTGGACGACGTTTGACGGAACTCTTTCGCTCCGGAAAGGGGATTTACGTATTCTTCTCTAGGCCTCATGAGTTTTCTGATCTACAGGTTTTATCGCAGTATTTCTTTCATTCTTTATGTTCTTTCTACCTACATCAGAATACTCTGCAGAACTAGGAGATAATGTAGATAGCACTACCTAGAGCTTACGCTCTCAAAGGGCTCAGAGATCCACCACACAAAAGGGACCTGACCATGGCTTTCATAATCAGTTTATTTAAGCCCTCTAGGTGTGCTTTCCTGAACGTATTGGGTAAAGGCGTGTGTACAGGATTCCTATTCTAGTGGCTGGCAACGTCAGTGGCATATTCAAGTACTTTTAACCAAACTGAAGAGGTTGGATTTGGTGTTGAATACTTATCCTCTATCTGAAAACCACAGCCTGCCCCTTATATATAGACTGGTGTAGTAATAGGCACACAATCTGTCTGGCTGATAATATTATGGAGTTTATATACAGCATGATAGGGCACCCTAACCTGTATAAATAGTAGTTGATGATTCCCTGCCTAAGTATAGGTAGCAACAGGCTCCCCTAGTACCTTTAGATCAGGTGTGATGCCCAAACCAGGCGCCTTGGGTGCTTTCACCTTGCCCTCATTAACCTTGAAATCGCCGGTGGCAGTGGTCACAGCTATCATATCACGGCATTCCAAAATACATCTGAGACTGCGCTCCGGTACCGTCTGAGCCATGTGGACAATAGCTGCAAAGGCGATGTCGGATCCCGTAGTTTCCTGCACACTCATCGTCAGGCCCGCAGCTAGGCAAAGATCGCGTTGGCGGCGGCATCGTGTCAAACCACCCGTTTTGCTAATCTTCATGCCGATGCCTTCGCCTGCATCATTAGCAATGAGCTGGGTCACCGAGATCTCATCCATAGCGAGCTCATCGAAGATGATGGGGATGTCGGTCCGGCGGCGCAGGGAGACACACTCTCGCCACGTCAGGCAGGGCGCCTCAAGTACGAAGTCGAGGCCTCGAGGGAGCAAGCGAAGCATGCGCATAGCAAACTCGACTGTAAGCCCACCATTCGCGTCGACGATGAAATACTCGCCGGCCTGCCTATCAGCGAGGGATTCGGCAATACGAGCGGCATCTGTGGTAGGGTCATCGCCAGATAATTTAATGGAATGGCCGATATAGCCACTGGCGCGATGCTCTGCTACTCGCCTCCTCATATCCCCAGGGCTCCCAACGTAGATGGAGGAGATAAGGGGCAGGTCGACCTCGGTACGTCCGCCCAGCAGTTCGCACACGGGCAGGCCGACCGACTTGCCAAAGACGTCCCAGCACGCCACGTCTATGGCCGCTTTGGCATGCAAATGCCCAGAGAGTGCTTGGTCCATGGCCTCATTGATGCGGTCCACACGGCGCGGATCCAGCCCAATGAGCTTGGGGGCAATTTCCTCTATACCAGCTCGGGCGCCTCGAGCATGGGCGGCGACCCAAGTAGAGCCAAACGGCGTGCTCTCGCCCCAGCCTTGAAGGCCGGTGTTGGTGGTGATGCGAACAATGGTAGCATCAAAACTGGTGTAGGTTCGACCGCCAGACAGTTGATACGTGCCTCCGCTGTAGGGAAGGTCAACCTGGAACACATCGATGCGCTCGATTGTCAGTTTGGAAGTATCGGACATTGCTGCGTCAGAAGGTTGAGTAAGGGGTGAATCTTGTAGGTGAAGAGTAAATTAGGGTTTGGCTACATGTATGAATATCGTCTCCGGGCTACGGAAGTTGATCTCTCGAAACCTTTATATTATATTGTTGTACAGTTTCACACAAACGACGGTCATCTGTGCATCGGGCCGAACCTGTAAAGCTCAAAAGTCGCTCTCCAAGAAATTACTTAAACAGGGGCAGGCTTGGAGTGGTGAACGAAATCATGCAGCGCTGAGATGGTTTGTCCTATCACCTGCGTATCTCTCAATGGCCCAACAAGAGCCAGAGGTGTCGAAGACAGGGAGAAGCGGTTATCTTCTTGGATGTATGTACGCCCCATTCCCCCTCCTCCGCAGCTCTCCACTTCGATGGCTTTGCTCAGGTTCTCTTTATTTTCACCTTCTCCGTAAGGCCAGTTGGCGACTATCGGCATCCCCCCCGATAGCGGCTGAATGGGTAAGGTAAGATTGCGGAGGGCTCGGGAATCTTCCCCAAGATGCCATGCGTCTAGGACGCCTCTAGCTGCTCACACCCCCCCTCCCCACAGTGCAAATCATCCACTAAGATAGGTTGGTAGGTGGGGGATGAGGGGAGACTTAACTAGTTCCCGGTGCTCTCATAAACTCAGCCGTTTCTGTTATCTGCCGGCACGAAACCATAGTCTCCATCAGATTTCGTCAAGTCGAAAAAAGGGGCGGGGCATATGGTGGCGCACAGAGTCACGTTCAGCTCCCCTTTGGCAAAAAGGTAGGGAGAGGTGGATGAAGGGACTGATCGTTCTCTATAAGACCCGCATGATAAGCTGTGTTACGTTGCTGGTAACCAGCTCACACGTTGCTTTACGTCTCAGCATCATCACCAAACCCAAGCGGCAGCTTTCCTTGTCCCAGAAAAATCATGGCAACAACAGTCAAGACCCGTCAGGCCTATCGTAGGACTGATGACTACACCCCTGGTACACCCAAGGTTAAGCTAGTCACGGAGCATCTCCCCGCCGAGCTTGAACCTACGGCTGTTTTAATCAAGATACATGCCGTGGCCCTCAATTACCGAGATGCCAATATCGCCAATGGTGGTAATCCCTGGCCTGTGACCAAAAATGGTGTACCAGGTAACGATGCCGCCGGTGAAGTGATTGCTGTCGGGGACAAGGTTTCTCTGGTCCAGATTGGAGACCGCGTTGCGCCCATCACGGATTCCGAATTTGTCACGGCGCGCTCTACAGGTCGATCATGGCTAGCCGCTAATGAAGATGGCACATTGGCGACCCATTTTGTATTCAACGAAAGACTTGTAACAAAGCTCCCTGATCATCTTTCCTGGGTCATGTCTAGCATTATTCCGTGCGCCGGAACTACAGCTTGGTCCGCCCTGAAGGGCGCATCTATCGGTCAAACTGTCCTCATCCAAGGTAAGAACACACTCCACCGATTGAGCTAGATCTTTGTTGTGGACAGTTGCTGACTGCCTTCGGTTGAAGGGACCGGCGGTGTTTCTACGTTTGCGCTGAAACTGGCAAGAGCGTCTGGACTAAAGGTCATCTTGACTTCTTCTAGTGAGGAGAAGCTTTCTACTATCAAGGCTCAGCTTGGAAAGCCTGATATTCTTACCGTCAATTACAAAACAAACCCAGACTGGCAGAATGAAGTGCTCAGGCTTACTAATGGCGTTGGTGTGGACCTCGTCGTTGAGAATGGAGGTAGCAGCTCCCTCGTGCAAAGCATGCAGTGCACCAGGCGCGGTGGAACAGTCAGTCAGGTTGGCTATCTTGGCGGTCCCAAAGCTGAGGAGTTGAAAGAGCTTGTATCTACGATTATTGATCGCAGGCTGAACGTCAGGCAAGTTTTGACGTCTACAGTGACTAGTGAGCAACATCCAGCTAACCATTTATCCAGGGGCATCAATGCTGGATCAAAAGACGACCAAGATGAGCTTATGGCCGCTATTTCAGCTACACAAATGACATTTGACGATATTATCGATTCAGTCTGGTCTTTCGATAAGGCCGAAGAAGCAATTGAGTATGTGTGGCAGGGTAAACAGGTCGGCAAGGTGGTCATCGAGATCAAGGAATGAGAAGGCTCAAAAGCACGGATGTGTTGGGGACAAACAACAGGCTACGCCGAGTCGGACAAATACTCATCATAAAGGTACTAGTTTATTGCCAGCCGTAATTCTTCCATAGAAGCTATCAAATAATTCAGCAGTACCATATATCTTTTGTAGTGCTTTAAGCAAAGATTATCGTGTCATCTAGACTTTGTGCCTACCTGACCCGATGAGGACCTACCAGAATATGCTATGATATACTGTACCAAAGGTGGAGAAGATGCGGCCAATCCCCGAAGGAGGTCTATGTTTCTCAAATAACCAGCTTCGAAACCGCCAGAGCTGTCCCACCCCACCGTGAAGAGATGGATAGGAAAGCGTTGGCGCCAACATAGCGAGAATTTAGGAGGCGACTCGTTGGGGTTTGTTGCGTGTATTGACCCATGATCAGAGAGTGCCACTGCCGTGTGAAATCACCTGTCACTTTTCAGAGTACAGTTTCATGGCTAGATAACATTGATCAAACAGACCGAGAACGGTGGCAAAACTCTTTTCAACTTGATCAGCTCAAAAGTGCAACTTTGACCCGCTTAGATCAATAAAAAGCGTTCATTTCGTACTTGTAAAAGACATAATAACTGAAACTTGGAACAGGTTCTACCATGTTGCTCATGCTTGTCCAGTCCCCAAGTCTCTGCCTAACGACAAAACTTTGCTCAGGCCTACCAGGCAAGCACCTCCTGTTGCTCCCCACACGCCAAGCCCGAACACAATTCCTCATCCTCGATATTGTTAGTTGCCGAAGCAGGTAACCTCTGGCGGGCAGGCCAAATTTGGCGGCCGAGCGCCTTCTCCTGCTTGACGTGAGCTCTGATTGCCTCTCTATGTCCTTCCTGGAAAGACAAAGGTCCATGCTCTAATCTAGGATGCAACTCTCCGCTAACGAAGATGCCAGCATTTAGATTTTTCTGAGCGCCCTCGCAAAGATCCTTGTCTTCCGAGACAACTCGGCGGTACAGGTCCGCAATCAAGCGAAAGTCTGCCTCCGAAGAATTCTTGTTTCGAAAAATCTGATAGTGCATACCCGAGGAAGAGGGCCCGGTGGGAATGAACCTTTGAATCATCATGAAATGAGGCCTTTTCGTGAATGGATTAGTTACGCCTAAATTTAAGACCTGTTGATAGGGACAACTTACAGAACAACCACGGAAGCGTTGGGGTAGAAATAGGTGCTTGCAAGTCCAAGACCATCCTTCTTTTGCTCCTCGGTCAATACACTGGAATGCTTGATCCAGCCCTTGCTCGTGTCAACCTTTGTCTTCTCAAGATCTGCTAGAGTGGGGAGGTCCGGGTGGGTAGAAGGACAATGGTAGCACTCGTTGAAGTTGTCGGCCAGTATCTTCCAATTGTAGTTTCCCCTCATTTCATATTCGTTATCTAGGACGTAGTCCTCGAAGTTGACAGTTTCCAGTCGTTCTTGTTTGTCAATGTTGTTGAAGTAATTAGTCCACGGTTCCGGTTCATCTGAACTATCGAGGTTGACCCAAATAAATCCGTAAGCATCGACCTTGGAGTGAATCTTAAACAACCCGTTCTGACTCTTGTCGAATCCTTCCAGCTGGTCGTAGCTAGGGGCCTTTGCTAGATTTCCACTCAGCCCGTAGGACCAACCATGGTACTTGCAGGCAAAGATCGAGGAATTGCCTGCTTGGCCTCCTTGAACGACGGGAAAGGCACGGTGGCGGCAAACGTTGTGGAATGCGTTGATGTTTCGTTTGCGGTCACGGGCCACCACAAATTCATAGCCTGTGACATCAAATTTGAGCCAATCACCCGGTGAAGCCAGCCTGTTCTGGTGGGTTAGAAGCAGCCATTTCTTGGAGAAAACGGCACGCTTCTCAAGCTCAAACATGTCCGGTGATGTATACCATGTTGATGGGAGGGCGCGCACAGTTTTGTTGTGGCTGTCTTCTGCGAAGTCGTCGCTAAAGACTTTCACTCTGCCTCCCTTGCTCATGGTGACGATGTCTGTGACTTTGGAACGGAAGAGATATTTGGTGAAATAAGAATGATGGCGTGCGTATTATGAAGATCAAAAGACACTGATGATGGGTCTTGGAGGAAAACTCTATTTTGCAAAGGACATGACACCATTTTATACCCGTTGGCCATAGACGAGCTGTCTAAGGCATGAAAACAGTCCCCGATATTCGGCATACTACATGATCACGCTCTATGCTACCCCAAATTCTGTCCTGAAATTCTATGACAAATGGTTTTGAGATTGAGATGATGTCAAGATATCGATCATGTGGACAGTTTCTTTAAACTGCTTTCACACGCCCCGGCTCCACAACCCCAACTTTTCTTTGTTATGATCGGGTAGGGTGAGGGTAAATTTCGCCACACCAGCCTATGGTTACCCATAGCCTTGGGGTAGACTCGCCAGACTTTCCGAGTTGTGCAGTTATGTGCCTATGAAATCCGTAGCCAGCTCAACCCCAAGATCTAGACTCGGGAGCCTTTGACCACTCATGTTGCTCGTTGTTTGTTGATGGTACCCCTACTCCCTCGGCATTTCTGCTATATGCCCAGGGATGGAGATACGAAAGCTGACCAAGGCACGTTGTCACTGCTCCGAGATGATCCAAGAGCCTGCTAGCCCGGCCCCTTTCCCGAGCCCATACTACAACGATGACACGCCTCCCCATCAATAAAGTTTTACCCCACACACGCATTGTCTATGCAAGTGGTGCTCACTGAATTTGCCTGATCCGGCAAACTCAGCCTGCGCCAGCTGGAGATACACATGACACACAAAGATATCCGCAGCATTTGGTCGACAACTGGGGATCCGGCCCGAGCGAAAACTTTGGAAGATTGAAGCCTCCACATGTGAGCCTATCACATTCGCGAGTTTGTTAAGCAAAGCAAAGTCGCGGTTTAGCATTACCGCAGCAGTTGTTCGCCTTATTCAGCTACGGAACTTCCTTGGATCGCCACACATGCCGCGACCATTTAACACTCTTGAGTAATACTAAAGCCTGGGGCTCTTTGTTTATTGCTTTTACTTTTCACGACGGCCGACGTCCGAGACAGCACACCACCCTACCTGAAATCTGCCTGCTTGTTTCCTGCCGCCTAGTGCCTTTTTTTTTCTTCTTTGCTTCACCTTTCTCGAAATGGTGCAGGAGTTTACGCGTGATCAGGTTGCGTCTCTCAGCAGCAAAGATGATCTATATTTGATCATCCGCAACAAGGTGTATAACGCCTCAGAATTTGTGGCCGAACATCCGTAAGTACTAGAATCCAAAGAACATTATCATTGTATCTGGTATAACTCATTTTCTTTTCTGTGCTACCTGATTGCCATGATCCTCCATCTATCTTGAGATATACTGACAGTGCCACAAGGGGTGGCGAAGAGGTACTTCTAGAAATCGCCGGTCGTGATGCTACAGAGGCCTACGAGGATGCTGGTCACTCAGAAGAAGCGGATGAGATCCTTGTTGATCTCTTCGTCGGCGAATTAAGTGCTAATCTTGATGTTGGGAATCCCGGAACAGTCGTTAAACCTTCCAAACCGGTAACAGGATCTAATAAGCAAGATCTCACAATCAGTCAACCTCAAAAGGAAGCCACGAACTCTGCTCCAAATAGTCTCAGTTCGTTTCTCGTACGCGAGTCATTCCAGGAGACTGAGCTTGTTGAGAAAACATACATCTCGCACAATGTAGTCATGTCAGTCAAGTCCCCCCTCGCACCTCTGATTAGCTACAGTCGCTGAAAGTCAGTTCAGTTGCCGTTTCAAACTTCCGCAATCGAACCAAACTTTAGGTCTGCCAATAGGTCAGCATTTGTCAATCGGAGCCATTTTGAACCAACCGGATGGCAACACGAAAGAATTCATTCGATCATATACACCCATTTCGAAGAGTCACGAAGCTGGATATTTTGAAATTCTGGTTAAATCGTATCCGAAAGGGAATGTTTCGAAGCACATCGCATCACTTGAGCTAGGCGATAGAATACGTGTACGGGGTCCGAAAGGTGCTTTTCTGTATACGCCTAATATGGTGCGACATATTGGCATGGTTGCTGGCGGCTCAGGCATTACCCCCATGCTTCAGGTTATACAAGCTGTACTTGAAGGTCGGTCCAGTGGTGACACAACTGAAATCGACTTTATCTTTGCCAATGTCGGCCTTGAGGATATCCTTTTAAAAGAGCGCCTTGATGCTCTTGCTGAGATGGATAAAGGTTTCAGGGTCCATTATGTGCTGGAAAAGCCTCCATCTCAATGGAATGGTCGGGTTGGATACGTTACTGCTGACATGATCTCGGTAAGGAACATCTTTTGCCTTGTTGAATACCAACTTTATTAATTTGATATTCATGATCACTAGGAACTACTTCCGAAACCGCTCAAGATGTCAAGATCCTTGTATGCGGTCCCCCACCAATGGTAAGGAGCCTAAAGATTTCGCTTGAGGATCTTGGCTTTGAAAGGCCGCTTGCGGCGGACAATCTCGGGAATCAAGTTTTTGTTTTCTAGTTGTTTCTTGCAGCTTCAAGGTTCATTGTGGCAATGGAGAGGATTTGGCTCCGAGGTATGGCTTTAGAACAGTAATCCGGTTATAGGACTACAGAAACGTGCTTCAAGTTCTTTGAGTAGAATTGTTCCATGTAAAAGATCACTAGACTAGACAATTGTATACTTACGGGAATCAATGCAAGTCAACGGCAATGCATGATTATTATTCCTGCGTTAGTATTTCCTTGAAAGTGAAGTTGATACTAGAGCGATCGCCAGCTTAGGACTCACTTTGATAACCCACGCTTCCCAGTCCCCCTCGCTTGTCTTCTTCAATCCCCTGGCCTAGATGCAATAGCCCCCTTCCCTACTGCTCCGTCTCTTCACAACCTAACCCGTCACAGGCGCTCAACGCGGCGCCAGCCCTCAATCCATTCCCCTAAATCCATTCCTAGAACATCCCTAGATTAGGATCAGCCTAACTCCTTGCTAAATGAGCGAATTTTCTCATCGGCGGGCATACCAGATTGTCCGGTAGCTAAGAATTGAGTATTTTGTGCATCTTGCGAAGTGTTCGACTCACGGCTCGACAGATCACCGCTAAAGTCAATATTGAAGCTGCCCAGCATCAGTCACGACACATTCTAGGCTTCTGCGATCGGTCTCTGTCGATCGCCAGCTCTGCTCAGAAGCCAATCTACGACATCTTCCTAACGGGAGGCCGTTCCTCACCCCCGTCAGGCCAAATCAACGTGAACAAGTTACAACAGTCAATCCCACGTCAACAAAGCCAACCCCTCGGACCCCAACGCGGCCGGAATTTGACCGAGAGGACCTCCGAAGAGGTCAGCTAGACAGCATTCTAATCCCCTGTTCCAACAGGTATCATGTCCAATACCATCCGGTTGCCCATATACTGACTCGACCAGAACTTGAATAACGCGTATCTAGTCATCTTCCACACTGACCCGCTGTCGGTAATATTCCCGTAGCGTGCTGTCGGCACCCTTGCTGCGGTCTCCTCATCAGGTTCTCAAGCCGGTGGTTCACAATCCGGAACCCCAATCAACTTCTCCCACCCCCTAACCCTTCTCAAGCTTGGGAATTTGTACAGGAACGGGGCGTCTGACCCAGGGCTGGTCAGCACAACTGGGGTGAATGGGGAAGGCAGTGCATATCTGGGGTAAATGGAGTCAATATACTTTATACTCTCTCCCCAGCTCCGTGCTTTGAATATTTAAATATTTCTTAAACCACTTCTTAACTGCTTGCCCTCTCTCTCTCTCTGCTCAAACAATCTTGTCTCTGATAATTTCCATCTCATACTATTATCCATTGTGTATATTGAAATACTGATCTCAACGTTCCCACTTCGCTGGCCCCTTTGTGTCGAGTCCCATCCGGAACCCCATCTGGAATTTGAAAGAAGGTGACAACTATGTCGGACAAAATCGCGGGCGAAGAAGAACATGACTTAGATGACAACATCGAAAGTCGGTCCATCGCGCTTCCCGGCGCGGAGGGTCTCCAGCGTCGACTGAATAATCGCCAAGTTCAGCTGCTCGCCATCGGGGGATCCATTGGTACCGCCCTTTTCATCACCATCGGCAATGCGGTAGCTGCCGGTGGGCCTGCCAGCTTGCTTATCGCTTTCACTGTTTATTGTGGCATCCTTGCCTGTGTTAGCAATTGCGCCGCCGAAATGACAACCTACATGCCAGTCGAAGGGGGTTTCATTACTCTTGCTGGCCATTGGTTCGATGATGCTCTGGGCTTCATGGTCGGCTGGAATTTCTTTCTCTATGAAGCTGTTATGGTCCCTTTTGAGATTACGGCCATCAACCTCCTCCTGAAGTTCTGGTCTGATAACGTCCCGCCTGTCGCTATTTGCATTGTCTGCATTGTTCTCTACGCGTAAGTAGTATCTATCCATCACGCCAACCCATCGACGTCTTGGCCTTGCAATTCTAATGCTGCTTATAGTGCTATCAACTTCATGGCTGTCGGTGTCTTTGGTGAAGCTGAGTTCTGGCTGTCCTTGGGTAAAGTCATTTTGATTTTCATCTTGATGTTCTTTACCTTCGTGACTATGGTAGGCGGAAATCCTCAAGGTGACGCCTATGGGTTCCGCTACTGGAGCACTCCTGGCGCCTTTGCAACTTACCGGTCTGAAAGCAATTTGGGTCGCTTTGAAGGATTCTTAAAAGCCATCTGGATCGCCGCCTTTACCATTGTTGGTCCTGAATATATCTCAATGGCAGCCGCTGAAGCAAAGTCACCTCGCATCATCATTAAGAATGCCTATAAGACTATCTACTGGCGCTTTTGTTTGTTCTTCATCATGGGGGCTATCTGTGTTGGTATCGTCGTCCCCTGGAATGACCCGACACTTCAAGCACTCCTCAACGGCACCTCCGAGGCCTCTGGTGCCGCTGCATCCCCGTACGTTATTGCTATGACCAATATGCAGATTGAGGGTCTCCCGCATTTAGTCAATGCCCTTCTACTCACCTCCATCTTCTCTGCGGGCAACACGCTTTTCTACTGTGCCACCCGCTCCTTGTACGGACTCGCCATAACCGGTAGGGCACCTTCGGTTCTCAAGAGGACCATGCGAGGTGTTCCCGTGTACTGCTTTGTGGTTACCCTTTGTTTCTCCTTCCTATCCTTCCTTCAGCTTAGCAACAACAGCTCCGAAGTTATTGGTTGGCTTGTTTCAATTGTGACAGCCGGAGGCCTCATTAACTTCATCGTCATCTGCCTCACCTACCTCAACTGGTATAGGGCTTGCAATGTTCAAGGGTTTGACCGCCAGTTGCTGCCCTATTACGCAAGATTCCAGCCTTACTCCGCCTGGATCGGTCTCATTAGCCTCAGTGTCATTGTTGTCTTTTACGGCTACGCGGCGTTTGCACCGTGGTCTGTCGCTGCTTTTTTCCAGAACTACACCATGCAAATCATTGCCCCTATCCTTTATTTTGGCTGGAAATTCATCAAAAAGACAAAAATGGTTAAGCCAAGCGAGATGGACCTCGTCTGGCAGGCCCCTGTTATCAGTGCTTATGAGGCTACTGTCACCGAACCTGTTCAAAGTTTTTGGGGCGAGATAGTTGGCCTGGTTGGAATTAGACGCAAGGAGAAACCTTCGCAGAGCCAGGGCTAATGGATGTTAATACTTATTAGTGTTCTATCCCTTAGTCCATCGGGAACTCAGCCCTTAGTTCTAGACATCTATACAAGAGAGTTCTTTAGTTTTCCTAACAAACCAATCTAAGTTTTAGTAGGATATAGAACTTGTTGGACCGAGCCCTTATCCTTAGACATCCGTAGCCATCCCCCTTCGGGAAAGGAGCCGGCATCATGATTAGCGATTAAGGAGCGTCCTATGTTCTCATAGGCGAAATCCCCTGCCGGCTCATGCACTTCCTTGGACCAATTAGACACCCATGATGGCATGGTAGTAACAGGTAACCAGCATGTCCAACTAATGATATTACATAGCTTAGATTCATAGATTCATCAAGATGGTGCTACATAAATATTATTACATCCCCAACTAAGCTATCCAAATAACGAACGCAAATTCCTCGATTGCATAATATCAATCCAATGAATGGGGTATTGACCAGAAACATCTGCATCATAGGCTGCCCAAATAGCCTTGACAAGTTCCTTAGCAACAATAATAGGGTTAGGTGGTAACGTATATTCAAAAATATCAAGACGCTCAAGTACGAAATTCCGGGCCTCTTCAACCCCAAACGCGGAGTGCATTGACAAATTCTCTGATGAAGACGTGTTTTCTGATCCAAAGCCACATAAGTGAGACATGTACTCCGATATTTCGCAATCCTCGTGATCAAGCGAAGTCCGACCATTATGTGAAGGCCCGCTTCTGAGTTGCACGAGGCTGTCCTCGGAATTGAGAATCGGAAGGTTTAGCTTGAGTCCTGTGCTCGCGGAGATGTATAGCGCAGGTTGCATCATTCGGCTCCCGGAGTTGGGAGGAATGTCTTTGAGTGTTTCTATGAGACGGAGGCTGAGAGCGACTATCCAAGTATCGAGCGAAGCCTGTGCATTTCTAGCGGGCCATGAGTCTCGAGGTAAGCGGCGAGCGGCGAGATCAGGGAAGGTTTGATATAGATGCACCAGTGAGGCCAATCGGTATGCTTCTGCCAAGCTCACAAGGTGTGCTCTCGGCGTTCTTTGGTCACCGGTCTCACCAAGATCCGTCTCAGCAGGTGTCTCCATCGCTAATACCTGTTCCTCAATGCTCTGTGCTTCCTCAATCTGTTTTAGTGCATTTTGCAAAAACTCCGTGGTTGTTCTAGGTTGCTGAGAACCACGGCGAAAGGTTTGGCACAGTGTTACTGCCCGAGCAAACAGCCGGTATGATGCTGTCGAGATTCCGGTCCAGGGATGGGGCGTCCCCTCATCTTCAACCTTCTCGTCCTGGGGTATATCCCCGTATCCTACCATAGCTAGAAGCATATCGCAATACACCAGGCTTTTGTCAAAATAGGATAGGATTTGTTTGTTTTCGGCACTCAAAGGTAGTCCTCGGGCGTTGATCCGGCTCATCAATGCCCGTGCCTCTCTCAAAAAGGGGACGCCCAAATACGTCGCCTCGGTCCAACAGACTGAAGTGCCCAGGCAGAGCAGGGAAAAGAGCAAGCTGACTGGGATATTTTCAAGCTGTGGTGTTGAATGGATTACGCTTAGCTCCCGATTGACTGTCGAAGTAGCATCCTTGAGTAAACGCAGGGAGGTTTGTTTCATCTCCGGCGATGTTGCCGTCATCAGGGCCGCTGACATGCTCTGGAGGCAATTTGATACTGTCTCGGACTGCTGCCAGAGGTTCAATGCCAATGACCTATTCAGGTTCAAATGTGAGTCGTAACCCGACCACACGGCACAGACCCGCTCAAACCAATGCGTGATCAAAATAGAAGGCGTGTCTATGAGAGACGGGAAGATGACAGCGCTGGTCGTGTCTGATACTTGCTGGTTCATGTGCGTCCATCCGCCGGCAGCATTATCTCTAATGAGGTTTCCAGAATGGTCATTGGATCTTGATAGTGGTACAATTTCAAGTTGTGATGAAAAGTCCATGTCGTTATCGATTAAATCAGGTATATCATCGTCCAGCACAGTAACCTCAGTGGCATCGCTTCCAAAACAATATAGATTGTCATCGCTGCCGTCATAATTATCCTCCAACGCCCTTAGAGATGCCAATGCAGCCTGCCACTCGGTTTCGGGTACGGTATCGTGGATAGCAACATTTTGCTTCGGTTGGGCCAGACCGTTCTGCGCTGGCGAGCGAGGTCGTATTGCCACCGGGTGGCTAGATATTGGGATCGATTTCTGATTCTGTGCTGGTTTTGCTGGTTTTGCGGGCTTCGTGTCTTTTCGTCTTTTGCGTACAGCTGTCTCGTATTTATAGGACCATCGCAATTGTTGTTGGTAGCCGCCGCACTTGCTTCCTTTGCTCTGGCACATTTGGCAAAAGGGCTTCGTCTCGTCGCATTTCAACTTGAGCCATCCAAGTTAGCATGGTTCCGTTGGATCGAGATTGGGAGGAGGATGTACATGTTTCTCTTTGCAAGTCACACATCCCGACCGCGATCGCGACTTGGGCTTTGTCGGCCTGGGCGTTGGCCCATCACGGCTTACGCTCTGGCCAGGCGTTTGCGGGGATCTCGGTATTGGCTTGTCGGCGGAAATCGTGGACATGGTCGGCCGGTTCGTTCACGTGTGCTTCGAGGCAAGGGCTCGCAGAAGAGTGGCAGGAAGTCGTCAGCCGAGCGATCTTTAGCCAGCGGTGACGGCAGCGAGGATGGGCGAATGGATGGATGAAGAATGAGGGAAGAGAAGACTAACGACTGCATCGCCGAAAGATAAGGAATTATCGATAGCATCTATCGACAATCTTGTTATGTACCCCACCCAGATCCTTTGCGGAGACATGGAGGTCAGACAGGCCAAGCGAGTCCATATATTCTCAACTTCTGTCCAATCCCGCTCGTTATGAGTTTCCCCATAGCACAGATTGCTGGATTTCATTGGTTGATTTAATCCGCATCAACTCCGCCACGGGTATTTATGGGTTTCAACTGGACATCTTTGTCTCGACTTACCCTACACTACAGTTTGTTACCTACCTCCTTGACTGATGGATCCTGGTTATCATTAACCGGTATGGTTGGGTAAAACTGAAGCTGAGATGAGACCGAAGAGGTATGGATTTGCTATTCGTATTGAACGTTATCACTCCCTGTCACTTGCTTCGTGGACATTGTGGCCGGGAAAGTCAAAATCGTTACTTGAACATTTCCGATAACGGAACCGCAGTCAGTAATTAACATATGTAGGTAATTCAAGAAGAATATAAACTACTTTGAACCCCTTCTTCAATGACTTCGATTTATTCTTATTTTAATGATATCAAGCATGAGATCGCCTAGCTTCCTGGAGTGCTGCTGGATCAATAATAGGCTAAAGAAAAGACCCGAGCTGAAGCTGCCGATATTTCCGAAAATCTTTCCGAGCCCACTTTAGCCTGGAGTCGAGCAATATTCGTCCACCAATGTCTTGTGAGACTGGCGTGGATGGTTGGAAACTTGATGCTGCCCTTGAAATCAATCATCATGTTCCACGGTTAATGGAATTTGTACCGAAGAATCTGGGAAATGGCATATATATAACCCGTTGGGCGTGATTGGATTAGAAGAAGAGAACAATGCCAAACTCACCAACGACTGACTACCATGTTTCCCCGACTCACCACCATCTTATCTTTGGGAGCACTCCTTGTCCACAATGTGTTGAGCGAAGCCCTTGACATCCCCAGCAGTTTGATCCAGCGTCCAAATATTCAAATTGGGCCTTACCACACTGGAAAGTCATTTCCAGTATCCGCAGCACGCGATCCAAACAAGCTCTGCCGCGTCAAGGCAGAACGATGCAAGGATTCAGCACCTGCAATCCTCAAGGCTTTCAAAGATTGCAACCATGGAGGGACGGTGATTCTGGATGGAAATTACACCATAGCGTCGCCGTTGGACTTGACTTTCCTTGATAGTATTGACGTTGCAATTCTCGGGACAATCAAATTTACGGACAAATGGGAGTATTGGGTCGAGAACTCTTTCAAATACGCTTTCCAAGACTCGTCCACATTCTGGCGCTTTGGAGGGAAAGATGTCAACATATTTGGCCATGGACTTGGGACCATTGATGGAAATGGGCAGATATGGTACAACATGGCCCCTTACAATAGTACACTTCTCCGGCCCCTGCTATTGATGATCGATGGCCTTCACGGTGGCTCAATATCGGGATTGAATTTACTTAATTCACCAAACGTGGGTGCTGCATCTTTTAAGATCGGATACCGTTACTGACTAGGCGAGGCATCAGTGGTTCTCCTTGTATCACAACAGTTCAGACCTCCTCATTTCTGACATGAATCTTCTTGCATTCAGCACCAACTCGACGGTGAACCCTCGGAATACAGACGGTTTTGATACGCTTCGCACATCCAATGTGATCATACAAAACTCGGTTGTTCACAACACAGATGATTGTGTTTCATTCAAGCCGAACAGCTCCTCTATCGTTGTACAGAACCTTCAGTGTCACGGCTCACATGGCATCTCAGTTGGTTCACTCGGTCAGTATCTGGGCCAGGTCGATATTGTTGAAGATCTTCATATCTACAACATTTCTATGGCTAATGCCACGGATGGCGCCCGTCTCAAGGTCTGGCCAGGCATTGCTCCCGGTGAGACAAAGAACAATGTTGGTGGTGGCGGTGGTTATGTCAAGAATGTGACCTATGATCTTTTCCAGAATGTGAACAATGACTGGGCGATTCAGATTGACCAGTGTTACGGTGTCTCAAACAAGACCCTGTGCCAGGAATATCCGGTATTGCCTAAGCTAACCTTGCGTTGTTCTATCTCGAACTAATTCCGTTGCTAGTCAAATATGACAATGTCCGATGTTCTCATTAAGAACATGTCCGGGACCACATCTACGAAGAACGACCCGAAAGTTGGGCAACTAATTTGCTCATCTCCAGAAGTGAGTATCCCCCTTTTGCGTACTTAGTAGCTATGGTAGGGTTCCTAATGCATAAGACAGAGGTGTCTTAACTTCCGCGCAACAAATATCACAGTACGACCACCAAGTGGGAAGTCGGCGCAATGGACATGCTCAGGATTCGACACGTCGGGCCTCGAAGGATTTCAGTGCGTTGGTATACAAGGATGAAGTCAGCTCCATCCCCTGACCCAACCATATTCTGGTTTGCGGAGGAAAGGAGAATGCTTTCAACTCATGGGGGATCAAATCTCTGCAGTCCGTATATGTTGTCAATTTTATCATTATCCATTCCAAATTCGCAGTCAAATATTAGTTGCATGGTCTGGGTGGAATCCATCTCCCATAAATGCTAGCACGATTTGTTTCTTGTGTAAGATAGAGGCATTGGATTTGGCATTTTCATGTTTCTATACGACCGAGAAGAATATTTCTGGCAACTGTGGTCATTTTTAATTGCCTAAGAGGGCTCGCATGTATGATTACTTTAGTAGCAGTAATTGTACTCGATTATACTCGATTGCCATGACAATCACCCAGTTGACAGTTATACGAGTCATGGACTCTGGGGGTTTTATTGCAAATTGGTTCGGAATGCCAAATCGGAATCATGTAATTGTTGCTCGACTTGATTCTGGCATCAATTTAGTAATATATCGATCAATTACTAGTCGGTTCTGAAGAGGGTCGGAATTTCCGTACCCCAGATCCGCGTTCCGCCTCTGATTCCGGATACACTTCTCCTTGTCCACACGCAACCCCACCAAAACTCTGGGGGAATCTGATTGAGACATGCTCGGAGGTCTTCGAGTATTGAACTAGACATAGTTGCGAAGCGAAATTCGATCGAAATGCCGAAGAGCGTAGACTATTCAGAGCTGGCCAAGCATGGCTCTGCGGATGACCTATGGATTGCTGTCAATGGGGAGGTGTATGATATGACTGAGTTTGCCCAGGAACATCCTGGCGGACCTGATGGTAAGTTGAATCTTATCTTGCAACGCGTCAAAAGCTAAGTGAAGTTTAAATCCTCAGTGATCTATGAATACGGTGGAAACGATGCATCGTCCGCGTACAATGAGGCCCACGGGCCCTCTTTGATCAGAAAGTCTCTTGATGTCAAGTTTCACATGGGATCAATCGATCCGAAAACTTTCCCAAAAGAATCTAAAATAATCACAAAAGAGACTGATGGAAAGATCAAAGAATCAGAAGAGAGACCGAGTCTGGATTCTATCATCAATTTGGATGATTTTGAGCGAGCAGCAACCAAATCTCTGTCAGCCAAAGCCATGGCCTTCATAGGCGGTGGCTCTAATGATAATATTACTAGGGATGCAAACCGCTCAGCGTTGAATAACATATGGCTTCGGCCCCGAGTAATGAAGAACGTCAAGGACGTGAACACAACTACTACGCTGTTCGGAGCCCGCCTGGATCTGCCAGTTTATATTGCTCCAACGGGCGGAGCAAGGACTGGAGGCGCAGAAGGAGAGCTGACCTTTGCTCGAGGGGCAGCTGCCGGGGGAATCATTCATTGCTTCGCAACGCCATCTTCGTATCCTTATGACGAGATTCTCGAAGCTACTCCAGAACGAGCTCTTTTCCAGCTGTACGTCAACAAGGATCGAGCACAATCCGAAGCCGCAATTCGGAAAATCGCTGCTTCAGGGAAGGTCAAGGCCATTTTAGTCACAGTTGATGTCCCTGTAGTCCCAAAGCGCGAGGATGATGAGCGTATCAAATCGAATGAAGCCATCGTGATCGCCGGCGTGAAGACGACCGTTACCGGCGGGGACAAGAAAGGAGGAGGGCTTGCGAGACAGAGCTCCGGATTCATTAACTCCAGTGTGGATTGGAGCCTTGTTTCATGGCTCCGCAGCCTGACATCCTTGCCGGTCTTAGTCAAAGGTATTCAGACTGCCGAGGACGCCAGAATCGCCCACTCTATGGGGTGCGATGGCATTGTGCTCAGCAACCACGGAGGCAGAGCGGCTGACCACGCACCCCCAGCCATCCTGATTCTGCTGGAGCTACAGAAGTATTGCCCTGAGGTCCTCTCATCGATGGAGATTCTAGTTGATGGAGGGTTTCGCAGGGGAGCCGATATTGTTAAAGCCATTTGCCTCGGGGCGTCTGCAGTTGGCCTGGGCAGGAGCTTTCTCTTTTCTCTTAGCTATGGCCAGGAAGGAGTCGAGCGTGTTATTGACAGTAAGTGTCCTTGGATTTCCTACATAAATCTGACCAAAAAGCTGACAAGATTACCCAAAGTCTTGCGCGATGAGATCGAAACTGCGATGCGGCTATGTGGGATGACTGATCTAATGCGAGATGCTCATCCGCGTTTTATTAATACTAACCGAGTTGACCACTTAATTCCGGAGGAGGAGCACCCTTATGCGAGAAAGATTGTAAGGGATAGGCCACGATTGTAGAATAGGCTCTACCTAGCCACCATCCAAACGCTTCTATGATACTATTGCTGTATTCGCATCATATATGACAACAAACGGACTGGAATTCTGGTGAAGTTGGGTAAGATAAAATCTGGTTTCGCAGGTGACTGACCCTTAGATAGAGGGTCTGCACGTTTACAGCCTGGCCTCCTCCCAGGATCCCTTCAACCTCACTTCAACTACAGCAGAGACGCCGCTTTGGACACTTTGGACCGCCTCCGGCAACAGTCGGTGCAAATCATCAACCGAAGAGGCTACTCCACTCCAAGCATTGCCCCCAGATGCTGCCTTAGCTATTCCAGAGAAGTCGGGCGTAGGTGAGAATGAAATGTTTAGCCCCTCGTTTGATAGCTTTGACCCATACCCGTCGGGATGCACTAAAGTCAGTGAGTTGCGAGGAGCGTTCCAGCCTAGCATCCTTTTAGCAATTTCTCTCTACAATGTGAGTTTGAAGATACTAACCTTTGTTGCTGAGCACGATGGTGAGGGTGCGCAGCCCGTATCTTCTGGCGATCCAGTAAACCGACCCAGGGACACCAAACATGTAGGTCCCGTCGCCCACGACCAGAGTCACGAACTTGCCCTTGCCCGGACCGCCAGCGAGGTGGTCTGATGCGAGCTTAACTCCTAGAGTCGCTCCTCCAGACCAGCCCAAACCACCTCCACCACAGTTGAAAACATGGCCTGGCTCGTCAATCTGCAGCTGTTCGTAGATAAACGGACCGTTGGTAACGGCTTCTATACACCATATCGTGTCTTGGGGGCATGTCTTGCGAAGCTGAGCGGACAGATGGGAGATACTTGGTGGGCTGGAAGTGTCCGGGGGAGCTTCCGCCAATTTCGCGATCTTTTCCCGTCGCAGGCGATGGCTTTCGGCGAGTTGCTCCCAACGTCTTTTGTAGGGCTCAGCCTCTCGGAGGGACGAGAACCGAGCATGGGTCGAAATGTAGTCATTGAGTTGCCGGAGAGCTGTTTCTGAATCCGCACGATACCGGCGGAACGCATTGATGTAGTGTAGTGGCATAGTCTCTTTCAATGGATCAACGTCGATATGAATAATCTTAGCATCAGCGCGGGGCTTGCACCGGGTCGGGATCCAAGGCACATCACAATCAATGACAAGAATGGCATCGGCTGTTTGAATAACCTCGTGGAGACCGATTGCAACTCCCTGAAAAGCGCGATGACTCCACGGGAAACAAACGTCGCTTCCAAGGCCGTCCAGTACCTTGACTCCTGGAATGGCCTCCGTGAGTTGTACCAGAGCCGGTACTGTTGCATGGTTTCTTCCGGTCCATCCAACAATAATCAACGGGTCCTCTGCTTCAGCCAATAGCGATATAATGGTCTCGAGGGCATTAGGCGGTAGTCCAGCCGGCGAAACACTACCCCAGACATCCTGATCAAGGTGATATGGCTCAATCTCTTCTTCCATAACCTCCCGGGCACCAACAAGGTACACCGGTCCCTTGGGGTCACTCGTAGCAAATTGCAGTGCTCGATTGAGGACTTGCTTGATGTTCTTACCTGTCTTAAATTCGCCTGTATATCGACAGAACTGAGACACAATCTGTTTCTGATCGCGCGAGTCTTGAAGCCAGTGGATATACTCCGTTCGCGACCCGCGCATCTCGCCTTCCTGTGTAAAGGGAGACAATCCAGCGAAGATGAGAACTGGACATCGTCCTACGGAGGCGTTGTGCAAAGCGCAGCCAAGGTTCTGGGTTCCGACATCAACATGCACAAGAACGCATTGCGGCTTGCCTGTTAAGCGGGCAAACCCGTCAGCCATAGACATGGCGACCATCTTTGCAAATGGGGTTAGCCGGGTGGTTATCATACATGATATTGAGCTGGTAATCTAACCTCATGAGGACAGGTGATGACCTCGGGGAAGTTGACACCTTTTAGTTGAGCGCCGTGGGCGAGGGACTCCATAATGGCCGGATGGTCCGAGCCAAGATTGACGAAGACATAACGAATACCAGCCTACCGCCTCATTAGTTAATAGTTGCCAGGTAAGGATAGATCCGAACAGTAATTACCTCCCAAAGGCCCTCGAAAAAGGCAAATGAAGCCGAATATTTCTCACTTTTCTCATGTCAGCATCTGATGCTACATCAACGGGGTCAATACTACATACAGGTTGTGCATTGCTGACTTCTGCTTAGTACAGGGGTTACCGGTAAACTGTCCGTGGAGTTGGCTACAGCGACTATCTTAGATCCTTGAAGAATCTGACCGTATTGAAGACCTCAGAAAAGCTTATATTGGTATTTACTTGGTGGTGGAGGTGGTGCCATAGGCTGACTGGTCGACGGTACAGGAGTGCCGAAACGGAATCGGTTGGAGTTGTCTCCGCATCAGTTTCGGCTATTGACTTCCATCATGGCAGGGGGAAGGTAGGTAAATGAGCTTTGCATTTTAGAACAATACCTAGTAGCTGACCAGAATAAATCTAACTATAACAATAGATGCTGGGTTTGGGGTTTGTCTGCATTTAGAAATGGGCTGGGATGACCAAGCTGCAGACAAGCATGTTGAGTATTGGCCCTCGACAGTGTATGTCGTGGGCAGAATCCTTATGATCAGCCCTGCACTGACAATTTCCATCCCCAATGTGTTAGAGCCCGAGACCAAGTAATAATTATAGGTAAGACAAGCGCAATGTAGAGTGAAATACATAGAAACTCGATTGCTGTTGTAAGAGAGTACATAGGCTGGGACAACTGGAATTAGGTACCCTCATAATCATAGATACGAATTTACTAACATACAATCTAAAGCTTAGAGATCTTAAACTTGATACATTTGACGTAAGTCCAGTCTTCCAAGGCATCCTTGCCCAAATCTCTCCCGAAGCCGCTCTCCTTGACACCTCCGAACGGCGTGTTCGCATTGACGCTTCCCCACATGTTGACAGTTACTTGCCCGGTCTCCATGGCCTCGCTGACGCGAACAGCCTTGTTGACATCCTCAGTGAAGACTGCCGAGGCAAGACCGTATGATGTGGAGTTGGCCAGTTCAACAGCCTCCTGCTCTGTGCTGAAGCGGGCGATGGAGGCAACAGGCCCGAAGATCTCCTCGTTGATGATGGTCGCGCTGCGGTCGACGTCATAAAAGGCGGTGTTGGGCACAAAGTGTCCGCCGCTGGGTAGTTTCGAATCGTCACCCCCGTGGAGCAGCTTCGCGGTATTCTCTGTAGTGCCCTTGCGGATGAATTCCATGACACGTTCCTTCTGCGTCTTGTTGATCAAGGGACCCTTGGTTGTCTCTGCCAACAGCGGGTCTCCTGCGACTGCATCCTTGGATAATCTAGAGAACTCGCGCACGAAACGGTCGTAGATGGTGTCTTGCACGTATATTCGGCTGCCAGCTGCGCAGATCTGGCCGTTATTGGCCGTGATGCCCGCCGTGGTCCAGGCAAGAGCATTGTCCCAATCGGCGTCTGCAAAGACAATGCTGGGTCCTTTACCACCAAGCTCGAGCGTTACCTTCTTGAGGTTCGTCTTTGCTGATGAGGCTAGAATATGGCGACCAACAGCAGTACTGCCAGTGAATGAGAGCTTGCGGATTTCCAGATGATCAGCCAATGCCTGGCCTGCCACGGTACCCAAACCACAAAGGATGTTGATAACACCGGGAGGGAAGCCTGCCTCCGCTACCAGCTCGGCAAGCTTCTGGCCGTACAAGGGAGACATCTCTGGGGTTTTAACAATGATGGTGTTTCCGGCGGCGACGGCCGGGGCGACTTTCCATAGGGTGATCATGCTAGACACAAAGTTAGAACTCTTGATCGAGGCTAGGTATGACAAAATCTACTGACAGTGGAGAGTTCCAAGGAATAATGGCCGCACAGACACCATATGGAGCACGTTTGGTATATGCCATGCCCTCCGAGATGGGCAAAGAGGTTCCGTCCACCTTATCCGCCCATCCCGCATAGTACCGGCATGTCTCGGCAGCCTGGGGAACGAACTTTTGGCTTGAGTCTCTGTACAGAATCCCCGCATCGACTGCTTCTAGAGAAGCGAGCGATTCTGTCTCACGCTCTATCAGATCTCCAAGGCGGTTTAGCAAGTTGCGTCGCAGCTCAGGTGCTGCCGTTGACCAGGTTGTGTGGAATGCCTTGCTCGCAGCTGAGACAGCTCTGTCGACATCGGCCACTTGTGCCGCAGAGATAGAACCCAGCTTCTGCCCATTGTATGGGTTCTCAATCTCTACAACTGCATCCCCAGCAGCGGGGACAAACTCGTTGTTTATGAAAAGCCCGGTTGGGACTATGCCTGGTGAGCTCTTGAATCATAAATTTGAACGGCAAACATACCCTTGATTTGGCGCCCGTTCACACCGGAGATCGACAAAGAGGTAGACATTTCGGCACTTGATTTCAACGAAATTTACACGTACACACGGAAGTCTCGGGAGCAATCGATGTTTTCTAAGCATCCATCTAATCTGAACACCATTCTAGAGTCTAGCAGAGCTTATAAGGCCGTCTACAATAGGCGCACATGTGGATCTTGTCGACGGCACTGATATACTGCGTTCCGACTTTCCGAGCTCCGTTCCGACTTGTTCCCGCTACCAAAGATGAACACAATCACTAGCCCAAGATAGATAACAAGTCCCTGATTGGCAGCGGGTAAGTAGCCGTATACCATTATCTTTTTAGGTAACTTCTTCCGTCGGCCAGTCTCACCAGGTCGAAGTGTGTGCGTTTGAGCCGAGAAAGGGGGGGGCAAACGCCTGCTACTGTGCAAACTGCACTTCCTCATCCCCATCCCACGAACAAAATTCCATTGAAAATAGATAGATATTATAGTCTTGTGAGGTCTTTGCCAAGATGTGCTTGCTTTTCATGTCGTTTCTCCACCTCAAAGATCTCGTCAATCGCTGCTGCTGCCAACAAGGCGTGACGGTGTCTCACGGTCCGTTCCCAGTGGAATTTGAAGGGGAGGAACCCTTCAGAAGGATCGGGCTTGATATAAGTTTATCCTAATGAGATCGGGGAAAGGTATCTACGACGGGATTTGAGACTTTTACTCTGCCGAATGACTATCTGGGTGCTGAACTCGGAATTGGTACCGAATTTCCGTGCTATCTGAAAAGCAGTCGACCTAGTCTACTATTACCGTTTGCTCGTTACTGGTCGTAAAATGTTATGAGAGAGAAGATTTCAATGCTAGGCACAAAGAAGTCAGAAAATCAAGTTTCACTGAACTCTCCTTCGACCGTGGTAGTAAGACGTCGATTGAGTGCAAGAAAGGCGGGTTCGCTAGTCAATCGAGCTGTTCCAGGTGGTGCTCAATGTCTGGGCCTTTATGAAGGGAATGAATGGATATGACTTGAAGCTAGCCGACGAGATTTAAGCCAGCGGTATTGAGACTGTTTGTCTTCCAGATCCAAGCAGCATATTATTGACTTGAAAGGGACAAGGATAAGTTTATCGTGTACAATTTTGACCTTCAGAGGCAAAGGGTTCAGTTTCAAAAATTGCACAACACGACGTGTTGCATAGCACGAAATTTGACGGCAGGAAGAAATCAAAGTGAGTGAACAAGCATCAATTCATGATCGTACCTAGCCCAGGTTTACGACTCGTTATTAAATCCAAATTCAACGCCGGGCTTGTATGCATACTCCATCATCCAAAACGAAAAATATAACCAACAAAAATATAGACAGGCGAAGGAGGTTAGAAGAAAAGTAGAAACAGAATCGCTTTCCTCCATAAAGATTCGTTTCAACGCCAAGTTTCAGCTTTGGTGGCCTCCCTAGACATGTCCAGTCTTGACAGGGGCGTAAACGGTGTTGGCGCGTAGACCTCCGTACTCCTTTCTGCAGACGCCATATGCCATGCCGAGGGTGATGCAGAACAACCAGCTGTTAGCGATAACTGCCAAGGCACTGGCGGCGGTGAGACCGGCAGCGGTACCGGTGCTGTCACTGTCAACTAGAGCCCAGAAGCCCCAGGTGAAGTATCCTCTGATCACAGCCATAGTAATGTGGCGGATAGCGGTCAGGGTGGAAATGACGATCAAATGAGTAGCAAGCTGTGAATCAGTTGTGTTAGAACTCGTCTGGTAGACGGGGGGATGCCATTGTGGAAAACTTACGCTGCTGTGAGGAGGGATTCGGGGCTGGCGAGCTGTGAAGACGAGACAAACAATCGCAGCGATGGCGAGGATGGCTTCGACGGCAAAGACCAGATAGCTCTGGGCCTCCCCCATGTTGTAATTGCCAGCAATGTAGGCCTCATAGAGACCGAAGGCGGCAATGGAGACAATCATGACGAGAGCTAAGGCGAAGACGCTGAAGAAGCGGCTCTTTCGCGCCTTGACCTCAACAGTGTTGGCGCTTTCTCCGTGACCAGACATGGCAGCAATCATCTTGAGCCCTCGGGCAAATTCGAACTGGGTGGCGATAAAGAGAGCCATGCAGGCGGTCGAGAAGACTGTGTTGATGGCCTCAATATGGGCAACGGCGAAATTCATTCTGATGGATCTTCCTGGGTATCGGGTACTGGCTGTCGTGACTGATAGGACGAGGCTGATAATGACAAGGACTTGATAACTAGAAGTGAAGATGGTCAGTCACTTGAAAGAATCGTCATGGTAGCTTTCTGGGAGACGAACAGCAAAATAAACCCGGCCGTGACTTTGAGGTAGGTAACACCAGTACGGGCTCTGTCATTCTGCTTATGGCATCGGCAGAGAATGACAATAGAAAGGACGATGATGACGATGGCGGCGATCAGGGACAGGACCCCAATGATCATCCCGCCCACGGCGACTCCAACAAGAGCACTCATATTTGCAAGTCGATTAGAGGAGGTCCAACGAAGAGGATACCGTCGGATGTCGTGAACAGAGATTGGCGGAGAAGACTGGCTTGATGTTGCTCAACCTGTTGGGCTGAGGCCGTTGTAATATACCTCCTGCACGTCTTTTCAACCTAGAAGCATCCCCCGTCTGCTTGTCAAAAATAGGAACCTAGACGAGGAGAAGGGCTGAGAAAATCCACATGATTAAAGGAGCTGCGCCTCTCCGCCAATGATTGACAGCCAATCTCGCGCGTTCGAACCCCCAAAATAGGTCAGACTAATATCATTCAGGGTTGCGACCCTGGTCTTAGACCCCAACCGAAGTCCACATCCTTCAGCAAATTTTAAGCATAGCCCGGCTTCCATTGGCGCGCACAGCCTTACAAGGAGCCTGTGCTTACGGCCAAGCCCGACCCATACACCACAGCCAGTGGCTTATTAGCAGGGCTAAAGGGGGAGGGAGATTCATAGAGTTTGGTGATAACAAGATCTATACGCCGGGAGATCGATTGCCTTGTGCGGCTTTAATTAACTAAACTTTCCCTCCACCCTCACCCCAGACCTCTCTGTCATCTCCTCGTCCAAAATGCCCCCTTTCCTCGCGACTGGGTTGCCAAGACGTTGCCAGCCCGGCTCTCATAATAAATTCATAATATGGAGTTAGACAACGGGGCTGTCGCACTAAGGTGACCATCCACATTTGGATGCCCCGCGTGGAAAACCTTGCAGCCATCGCGCAAGTCCAGCTCCCAGGTCCAGCTCACAAGTGTAAAGTCACGAGTTCAGCTCACAGCTTCAGCTCGCAACGTGCAACTATGAACGGTAATGCCATGTTTCGGAAGAGTGCCAAGTCTCATATTTCGGGTGGGATGCAGTTTGCGCCCAGTAAGCAAAAGGCATACGAAAAACTTTAGCGTCCTTGGCGCTGTCACTACCAGGGTAACGGAACTTCAGCCTACAAGATAGCATTAAATAGTTAGCCGCCATGTGTCAAGGCTGAGTCGCTGGGCCTTGATAAGATTCGCTCTAACGGGTACTCGCCATGTGAGCAAGCTTGTAGAGAAATAACTAGAGAAGTAGGTCTAAAAATTTAAGTACATAAAGTTGACTACCAAATTACTTGCTTTAATAGACCTCTTTCTAAATACAGGGGTCTGTTTTTTACTTTATGCCCAGGGGCTCTCACAATAGAATAGGTCAGTCTTCTCCATCTGTTGCGGCAGTTCGAAAAGCCCCAATCCCGGTTGCAGGCCCCTCAGGTCCTGATACCCCTTTTCCATTATAATATGTTGCCAAGTATCAAACGTCCCAAGTGGGAAAACCCAAAATCCTGCCGCCGACAAGAGGTTCTTCTCCCGTTTTTCGGGTTCCTTCCAACCCTTAAACTCTCCATCCCGATATTTCTTGTGCACTCTGTCCCGCTCCAATTGCAGGAATTGATCCATAGTTCGATCACATCTGACCTCAAGCGTAGGGCAATGCGGAGCCCGGCGTGTAGCTCCTACCGTGAGGAGATGGGAGATTTCACGGGTAAGTTCATTATCACTGCTGCCTTCGTTGTGAAAGCCTAGCTTCTTTTCCATGTCCACCCATGCATGGACAACATCTCTGGGGTCGCCCCATATTACTTCGTTTTTCTTCATGCTTGGTTGAATTGGCCGCGGATCCAAGCTGAACAAATCAAATTCAATACCATGTGGGAATAGCGGCGTTGCTCGATTGAGACCCGCATGTAAATGTGAAGGGCTCAGACCAACACGAGCACTTTCAGGCAAAGACTTAATAAACCATACGGATTGCAGATCTGCAATACACCCCTTGAAGGTCTCAAGTGTATATCGCGAGATGCCTAGTGTGTCGTCCGGCTCTGGATCGAATGCTCTTAAGGCTTTGGGAGTTCGGTCACGGCTGCCGTTCAAGACAAGATGAAGTAAACCAACACCACTCGGATCAGATGATTTGATATCATTGACGAAATTGATGAAGAGACTCATCTTCGTTTCAAATAGACGTATAAAGAGATAATCACTCTCAGGATTCAGCCAGAGTGTGGAAGTGTTGCCAGGCCCAACAAGAACAGGAAGTCGAAAGTGTTCTCGAGCAGCTGCCCTGGATTCTCTGCAAACATTCCAAAGTTGATTGATGCGAGGCTTCTGCTCTACTAAGAGGTGATATTGGCCAGCGACATATCCATCCTCAGTAGCAAGACGTACGGTGAAAAGTCGGCGTCTACTCAGAAGGAACGATCTCCATATTTGCAGCCTAACCTCACCAGGGAGACGAGGGAATGGATGAAACGAGGTAGGCTTGGAGGCTAGATTTGAAAAATGAAGACGATTGAGGGTCTGAAAAGAGGGTTGATACGCGTCCATAATAGTGGCCTTTAGGTCTGTGAGACGGTGATAATGCGACGGAAGAATATAGCGATTCAAGGCATATAACTAACAGAGCCTTGATTCATTTAGCAGTGTGTTGAGAGTATTGATCAGTTATCGTAAGATTGGGTGAAGATGATGCGATGCACTCGTTGGTTTTGCAACGGATGATAATGCCTCACTTCTGCCTTGGACAGGGATGTAACCAACAGAACCAACAGCTCAATCAACCTACGCGTTAGCAAGTACTTATGTGGGAGGATTACTGTTCCTACATGCAGCCCTAGAATGTTACCTCATTGTGTAGCATTTATTTTTGAATGCAGTAGTATGCATATCAAGGATATACCGAGCTACAGCCGACGTCAACCAATGGGTGCAGAGGTATCAAGCTGTTGGTTGTAAGTAAGGGTTCTTGTACATAAAATGCTGTTGGTAATCCTCCAATGCGTTACTAAATAAAAACTCATGACATACGCATCTGCTATTTTGAGATAATCCTAACTACCTGGCGCCATTCCTTCATGCACCGTACGTTTGTTGGTAGTTGCTGGTCTGGATAGAGCTACTTTAAAACAGGTGTTGAACATGTGGCCTTAGATGTACCAGACAATAATCATAATAATAGAACTACGCTTTTTGAATTAACCCTACACCAGTTACTCTCGCTTTCATCCGATTGGCCTTCATACTCGGGAGCAATGCGTGTGAGCTAGGAAAAGGAAAAATTCAAGGCAACTTAAACAGTTGCAGGGAAACATTTTGGGACCACATGCGCCCGAGGGCCATATATAAAATAAGAAAGCATATAATTAGTAGCTAAACATTAACCATGTCGCATTTGGGAGGTCCTGAAAAGTTCAATTTTATTACAAATCAGTACGCGCCTGTTTGATCTTTTCCCCCTTTGAACACAGATACTCATCCCCAATTGATCGGTATTATTTTCGTTTGAATCACCTTTAGCATTCTGTAAACCAATGTCAAGACCATGAGAATTAAATTGTTTCTTTTTCTTTTCGCGTTCGCAGCTATCACACGAGCGGCTGATGATCCAGCGACCACAGCTGAGGAAGATGGGCAGGTGGTCGCTGGGCCCAAAGATGTTGCCCTCAAGGTTACCGGCCTAGAAAATTCTATCAGCGTCGCTGTGGAAGGCAAGAACGAGAATGATGAAGCGAGGAAGATCATGGCCAAGATCGGACATGATAAAGTGGAAGAACATATGGAGAAAGTGAAGAATAAGATCGACGATGAAAAGATCAAGGGGGATGAAATGAAGATGCAACTAACCTACCCGGGGCGGGGTTATATCGGAAGACAGGAGCTAGTCGGCCCTAAGAATCTTGCTGTCTCGAAAGCCAAAGAGATTCTGAAAGGCAAGGGGGCACATAGGCGTGTCCTGTCAACCAAGCGTCGCCTCCACCATGCACCTCAGGAACATGCCGGCAAGCACATTATGCACGCTGATGGCACTATTTCCCTTGAAGGCGACCCATCACCTCAAAAGAAAGGAACTTCAGCCGACCTCAGGGAACAGGGCAAGAGCTACAGAAAGGGGGTGCAAAATAAACCACAGAACGAGCTGGCCCAGAACGAGCCAGCACAGAACCAACCAGCACAGAATCAGCCGGCACAGAATCAGCCGGCACAGAAACGGCCAGCACAGGACCAGCCAGCACAGAACCTGCCAGCACAGAAACGGCCAGCGCAGAACCAGCCAGCACAGAACCAGCCAGAACAGAACCAACCAGAAGATGATCAGATAGTGAAAGATGCCAAAGAAATACAATCTGGCGCGCCAAGGCCCCCGCCAACGGAGGTTGAACTCAGCGACGCAGTGAAGGAACTCAAGCAACAAACGGTAGAATGGGAAATAGACATAACCGGCAGCGGTGAGTCGTGTTCGGTCAGCTACGTACCACGGGGACTACAACGAAGAGGTTGCGGCGGCGCCAGTGTGAAGCAAAGCCCAGCAGCGAAGAGTCCAGCAACTGCGTTGAACAAGCAACCGGCCCCTAAGCCTCCAACCGGGCCTGGGAAGAAGTCGGGAACACAAGAGGGCAGGAAGTCTGGAAGGCCTCATGGAAAACGACCAGCAACTCAAGGTGCAAGGAGAAAGGGAAATCAATCCTCCAGAAGGCCCACCGGAAAGCAGACCAAACAATCCCCCGGAAAATCTGGTGCAAGGAAGGCCTTCGATAAGAAAAAAGCACCCGTCGGAGGCAGGCACAAGAAAGACGCTGCCCTGGGTGCAATGAAGGCTGGGGGCAAGAAGAAGACGGCTACCTCCAAAAAGGGTGCTCCTCCCAAGAGATCAGCCAAGAACGATGCTATCTCAAAGAAGCCACACAGGAAGGCTATTCTTAAGAAAGGGGCTAATCCAAAAAAGCCAGTGAAGAAGGATGCTACTCCTAAAAAACCACACCGGAAGGCTACTGCCCCTAAGAAAGAGGTTAATGATAAAAAGTCAGGCAAGAAGGGCGCTACTCCTAAGAAGGGTATTAAGAATGCTGCAGCTGCTAGGAAGCCTGGAAAGAAGGCTGTTCACAAGAAAGGACCTAATCTGAAAAAGTCAGGGAAGAAGGGTTCTGTTCTTAAGAAGCCTGTTAAAAATGCTTCTACCTCTAAGAAGCTAGGAAGGAAGGCTACTGTCCTCAAGAAAGGCACCAGCCATCGAAATACTGGCAAGAAAGGCACTATTCCCAACAAGGTTGCGAAGAAGAAGCTTGGAAAAAGCCCCGCTACTTCCAAGAAGCCTGACAGGAAGAGTGCCACTGCTCTCAAGAAGACTGCAGACTCCAAGAAGCTTCACAGCAAGGCCGTTGTCGCTAAAAAGGCAGCTAAAAAGCCTGCCCAGAAGCTTGGCAAGAAAGGTGCTGCCAGAAAGAGTGCTGATCGGCGACCTCTGACTCGAAAGAAGATTGTCAAGAAACCTGTTGCTCCGAAGAAATCGGGAAAGAGACCTGTCACCCCCAAGAAATCAGGCAATCCAAAGAAGATCGTCCCTCTCAAGAATGATGCGAGGCTGAAGAAAGCTCCTGTTTCTAAGAAGGCCTCTACCAAAAAAGGCCCTATATCTCAAAGGCTAACTGTTCCCAGGAAGCCTACTGCTCAAAAGAAGGTCACTACCCCAAAGAAGGCTTCCCCTTTGCAGAAGGCCACCACGCCTAAGAAGACTGCTCTTTCAAAGAGGCCTACTACCCCTAAGAGGATCACTACTCCGAAGAAAGCTCCTCCTCCTAAGAAGCCAGCTCCTAAAAAGGCTACTCCTAAGAAGGTTGCTCCTAAGAAGATTACTTCTAAAAAGGCTACCCCAAAGAAGGCCACTCCTCCTAAGAAAGCTGCTGCTCCTAAGAAGGCTGCTCCTAAGAAAGCTCACCCCCCAAAGAAGACTGCTGCTAAAAAGGCTGCCTCTCCCAAGAGGAGCAAGAGGAGCTTCAAACGAAGCTTACTTCTCCCAGGTGTAGTTTCGACATGAGAATGATTCTCTTGTTTTTAGACCATTTTCTTCCGTCCCCGGTACCAATGGCAGGAGTGAGGAGACAATGTATTTCAAGCCCCGAGCGACGGGAGGTGGTCCAAGACTAGACTTATTTGTGTCAACATTCATCGAAGCATTCACCGTGAGCGCATACCATGAGCCTAAAAGGAAAGCATTTTGAAATACTTGTAGGTGCACATCGAGATGTTGATTTCACTATCTGTAGTTGAATCCCCAGTCTATATCAAGACTTCAAACCTTTTGGGTTTTGATACGAGAATCAATAGCGCTGTTTGACGCATAAGCCACAGCAACCCCGCCTCCTTCACTCTCGTCTGTTCCCAACCGTGCCGAACATCCGGAGAGAATACTCTACCAACACATCACCAAAACCCTCACCGGACGTTGAAAGCCAGAGAGGGCCGCCCACAATGTCCCTCTGCGCACTCTGCAAAACCATCCCCGCCAACCTCTTCAGCTCCGGCCGAAAGGAGCAATGCAGCCTCGCCCACCACGAGAACGTCACCGCGTTGCAGGCCTCAGCCGCAGCAGGCTGCCCCATGTGCGCCGTGATGTTGGGGGCGATGCAGCGCCGCGCCGACCAGGACGGCCAGCCGCGCAGCACGTTCGGCAAGCCCGTGGACCCGTCCAAGCAGGTGCAGCTGCGGAGCACGAAGTTCGGCATGCAATGGGTCTGCGTCGACTGGGCGGACGTCGGGAGTCTGCGGGGGATCCAAGTTCCGGAGGGCTGGAATGACGGGCTCGTTGCTGCGCCTGAGTTGTCGGAGTCGTCGAACCTATCGCGGGAGGCTGGGACGTTGAGGTGGTGGTTGAAGACGTGCTGGGAAGGCCATGAGGAGTGTAAGAAGGACTTTGATTCTTCGTACGTGCCCTCACGGCTGGTCGATGTCCAGGGTTCGGAAACAGGGACGGTCCGGCTGGTATTGACGAAGGGGGCAGCAATGGAAGACAAGCGATATGTCGCTGCGAGCCATTGCTGGGGGTTGAGCATGCCTGCTTCGGCCAAGACGGTGGCAGCGAACCTCGACCAGCACACCGCGTCAATACGCATAGAAGATCTGTCAAAGACGTTTGCTGACATGATAGAGATTACACGAAATATCGGCATGCGGTATGTCTGGATCGACTCTCTTTGCATCATCCAGGACTCCCGCGCAGATTGGGAAGCCGAAGCGTCCCAGATGGCAGCCGTCTACTCCAACGCGTATGTGACCGTATCTGCATCAGGATCTTCCGATGGCACGGGCGGCTGTCGTTTGGGAAATTCAAAAGACGTCCATGTAGGACCAGCTGATCTGACATGGGAAGAGACGAGCGAGGACCAAAATCGGGTCACATCAAGCGCCAAAACCATCCGCGTCTTCGGCCAGCCTGACATCCAGACTGTCAATGTACTGATGCAGGACCCCCTCATAAAGCGTGGTTGGACTTTACAGGAGCGAGAACTATCTCCCCGAGTAGCCCACTACTCCAAGGACTCGATTCGGTGGGAGTGCGCAACGCTGAAGGCGACGCTTGAGTTTCCCTGGGAAGACTCGCTGCCGTTCAACATGGCACTCCGTGCATTCGACATGGGCCAGATCCAGCCGCAAGATGAGAATAGCACATATTATAACGATGAGAATGTTCAAAAGAATGCCCTTGTGTGGTATGAGGTGGTAGAAAGGTACAGCAAACGATCACTGACGAAGCAATCCGATGTTCTGCCCGCCATCTCTGGCATTGCCCGGTATTTTGCTAAGCAGACAGGTGATGCGTATTACGCCGGACTCTTTGCATCGCATGGGCCGATGGCTCTCACATGGAAAGTACAGGGCGAGTGGAAGAAGGAGGCGGGGAAGAGCGAGCGCCCTAAGGATTACCTGGCCCCGTCGTGGTCGTGGGCATCGGTGAAGGGGACTGTAGACTGGTTCAACAAGAGGGACGGTTCACGGCCTATTGACAGCGTCTTTACGCCAAAGATCCTCGAGATGAGCACTGAGCCAGCAGGCAACGACCCTTTCGGCATGCTCGCTGGAGGCCGGCTGCGGATTAGAGGGTTATTCATACCGGCTGCAGCAATGTGGAGAGAAGGGGACAATCTACAAGCAGATGAGCGGTCAATCATGGTCACTGGGCCTGATGGACTACGGAAGGTTGGTAATGTTACATTCGACGTACCTTCAGAGGCTTGTCAGGTCGTGTTTTGCTTTGCATGCCGCCGAGAGGAAGAGTATGGGTGGATTGATGCTCTTGCTTTGGTGCCTTCGGGGGAGCTTGATGCCAGCACGCAGTTCAAGAGGGTTGGGCTGATTAGGTCGAAAGACAAGTCGTGGTGGGAGAAGGCGCATAGGATTGAGATAACTATCATATAAAGAGCACACAGAGCTTATCATGTACGATTGCCCTTGGATTTATAGAGAGTAAATTCAAATAGAGCTGCGAGACTGCTTCGACAGTGCAGAGTTGTAGGGCACGTGGTAGTATCCATTCGGTCCTTGCTTTTAGTAGACATCTATCTTAGAATAGGTGGTTCTTATGGCAGCTTTGTGGATCAAGACATATTACACTGAGGAGACAACACCTAATTTACTTGGCAGTGGTCATCACTTCTACGCTCGAGTTCTCCGCGGACATAGTTGCCATACGCTTTACTCGGTTCAACAGACAAGACAAAAACATGTAGTGCATAGATAATGGCATTAATAAGTACACATCGTACAACCAACTCCACTTCTCCCCGGAAACAATAAACCCTTTGAAAAAACTCACACCAGTGTGAGTCCCAAAACTGGAAGATATTATCATAACATCTCGACGTGTTCGCGGTACTACATTACAAAGAGAACCCCAAAGGATCCTCTGGAAACACAAAAGGAATGAAGAACCAGGCGCCGATGTGTCCTGATTAGTTGAACTGCGCTTTTCGCGCACCCGGGTGGTGATAGGGGTTGCCGGTGTCCTCACTAGAAATCGAATCCGCCTTATATGCCCCAAACTGCCCGCGCTGCTGGCCGCCCATGTACGAGCCCGACGGGGAGCCGTCACGATGCGAGAAGGCGTTCTGGTTCTGGCCGGCGCCGCTGCGGCCCTGCTGGCCCGTGACTCCCAGGTTGTCGAGGTCGTGGCCCGTCACCTCGTCGTCTCCTTCAATGTCCACGCCCTCCTGCCTGTCGCGCTTGCGGCGCCTCATGTGCAGCACGACCAAAGCTCCCATGAGGATGATGAGAAATGCGCCTCTAGAGTGACGAGCAAAGAAAATGAGGGTTAGTTGAGCTTGGAATAATGGCGCGAGGACACGAAGCCAGACGAGTGGCAGTGTGGATTGAGTGTCGGCGTCCTCTCTGCGCTGCTACCGCCTCTGACAATTGCTTGCTGCTTACCCAATGGTGCCAATGATAATCCAACGCTTTGCGTCGCCAACCTGTGGCTTTTCGCGGATGGTGAGAGACATGGCGGCCGCGTAATGAGGGTGGCGTGATGAGCGTCGCCGATGAGAAACGAGCGGGATCCTCCCTTTCAAGACTACTTTAGGCAAGAAGAAAATACTGCCCCTCAGACGATGCCAAGCCTGCGGTGTTTCGCGGGTGAGCGAGCGGACGACAGCGTGAAGCGTCGATGTTGTTGTTCCTGGGATTCTAGATGATGATGACGGCAAGTGTGTCCTCCTCTTGGTCTCCGCTCGGATCGGGCTGCATCGAGGCCGATCAGTGGAGATGGAGGGGGAGGGGAAATCAAGTTCTCAACGAGCGGCGGGTTTTGTTGGCGTTGCAGTCAGAGAGAGGGAGGCGCGGACAGCGGACAGGGGATGTTATTATGGGTAGAGGGATGGATGGATGGTCTGTTCGCGTGTGTGAAATTGGCTCGCGCTGTGGCTTGATGTGAAGCTCGAGGCGCGTGACGTCAAACCTCAAACGTGTGGGCCAATAGCTGGCGCAATGCCCACTGAAACATCGGCCCGGTTATTATTCCGGGGGGTTTATTGATGGTTTTCAGTGGCTGTTGGCGGTATTCTGGGGCCTCGCTCGGCTTTGGGTGCCGTCAGTGACAGCCAAGGCATTGCCAAAGGGGTTGAGGAGTGATGGGCATGCCATTTGGGCGCTCGCGTGATGCGAAGGCGGCTGAGGGAAGGGATTCTGCACAGGCGCATGGAGAAGCCGATGAAACGCATGATCCATGCAAGTTTTCCCTGGTGGTTGGCTTCCCGCTTAGTCAGGCGTGCTAGGATCAGCCAGCTCAATTAAACTGCCTCCTGCAAGCTTTAGTGGCGCTGTTCGGCATGACCTGCGGCGCTTTAGTGCAACCCTAGAAGGGCCTTTCCCCTGTACATCCCCCGCAAACGGCAGAAAACCCGCTATCTATGATGCCAACTGCCCTTGAGGCAGCTGGAGCCTATAGCGCATTGTGAAATCACACTCAAGCACGACAAACCAACCAACACCGGAGATACATATTGATCAATGCCTAGATGAGTTTTATAGTTGCCGTAATCTAGAGAGTGAAATGATAATATTATTGACTGAATCTTGTTGGCTCATTGGATATAGTTATGTGATGGTGCATATGTGTTGTTTTGATCTTTCAGCAGCCATATCCTCTCAATACCGTCCTTGCAGTCTACCGATTCACGGGGAATTCACATAGGAGCTGCATTTGGAATACTTTCACGTGCCTTGCAGTGACGGAAACCACTGATATGTGCTTACCGCCAGCATGTTTAACGATGCTCATCCCTGCAAGTGCAGTTCTTACTTAACCAGCACCTGAAATGGAACATCTTGTTGCTGACCGCATAGCATCTTGTACTCTTGCTCTTTCACACACCGCCCCTTCCATTGACCTCAGAAGCCTCGCCTCAGAGAATGGGATACTCTGAGATTATATGCCAGATCTGCGGCGTGACTTTTGCCATCGCCCGCATTCGCACGCCGCAAGAGCCACCGACGGCTGCTTGGGATAATCATGGGACCGGCCGTGGCAGTTTTGTCTCGTCCTGGGCACCTGATGAGGACGATCTTGATGACGAAAATTTTGATGGAAATGTATCCGGGGGGTGTATGATTGCTGTCCGAGCGGACCGGGACCACGAGGATGGAGATCTGCTTGCACTCAGCCAGCATCCTGAAGAAGAGATGTATCCTGAAGACATGCGCGGCGTTTCAAAGCAGGACAGGGCCAAGATTTTAAAACGACTCCGCGCCGTGGAAGATAAGCACTGCTTGGAACACGTTGCAGGCCCAGAATGTGGTGCCGGTGACGGGTATCACGGGAACAGGATCTCTGTTGAAGAAATGAGGACCTGTTCTACGATGCAGGGGCTCGTCGCAAAACCTCCCAGCTGGGAGCCCGAGGATGGGGACGAGGACTTTGAGAGATCAGGGCGATACTTTCTCAGCGGCTTGGTTGACTCTATAACAAACATCGACGGTCTGTACTCCGAATCAAGCTATCCAAAAAGACACGGGTGCGACAACGCATTACCTATCACTTGCCATCGGGATATAGCGGGAGATAGCTATCATGTGGACTTCTATTCCATACCAATTCATCCTGCCTGTCTAGAAACCTTCAAGCGAGCCACCCTCCGTCGATATGGCCGTGTCGACGTCAGGGCATTCATACAGTGGTGGGAGATCGACAGTGATGAAAAGTCACCCGCCCCGATCGAGGATGAGGATGTGAGAGCAGGTCGGTCTCAATGGTGGCGGCATATCCAAGGGTCAGAATATCTCGCCGCAAATCCTTGCCTTGTGCCAAACCTAGATAAAGCCTTCTTGAAAATGGCTCCTCAAGCTGCCAGTCCTGCTGGACATGAGGAGGTCTTCTCCAGTCTGCCCTCGGAAATCCGCAGCCTAATATACAATCATCTGAGTCTAGAAGATATATCAAATCTTCTCCTAGCATCTCCCCTTTCGAACCGCGCTTCTCAAAATGAGTTACGACGTCGGCTCATTCTGGAATGGCCTTGGCTTTGGGAAGCTTGGTCCAAGCTGGAATACTCTGTATGGGTAGGGCCGACAGCCCGAGATTTGCGGGAATCGGTTAAGCCTCCTGGCCAACAGGTGACAATATCAGACACGGATGTGGTGAACTGGGGTTCGGTCTTCAGATGGATATCGAAGCAGAGGTCAAATGACGAGATGAAGGGATTGAAAAACCGCCAAAGAATTTGGAGAAGATGTGCGGAGATTATGGATAGAGTTGACCGGCTCCGGAAAAACGCGGAATAAGATAGACAAACATGTTTTCTATATTAAGAGTTAGGTTAATGTTAAACAAGATACTCCTTGGAGGGAGGTTTGTCATTTCTAGAGAGACCCTGGACGAGAAGAACCTGCTGAAATCTACACTACCGGTCAAACACCCCCCTTGAACCGTCATGTCAACAAAAGCTCAACATCTTCTGTCACCAGCTCTTCCCATGCTTGTTTCCAGATTCCACCCAGTGCTCGGCGATAGACCATTCCATTTACACAGCGTCCAATACAAAGCACATTTACAACCTCATATATGTCAGAATCTTCAAACTCTGGCCTTTCCCTAATCTTCTGAAATATATGTGGGATACGAGATGGCGCTTTAAGATCTAACACCCCCTCAGACATGGCAATCACCTCGACTTCATCTGTAGATTGTACTTGTTCTCCCTTCTCGAAAGGAATGGTTATGCGGCCGCACCAAAATCCATCGGGGGATGTGAGATCCGTCTCCAATGTTGCGTCCGACTCATAAAGCTTGCCACGGAGGAATTGCCGTTCTTCTTCCGTAACATCGACCAGAAGACGTGCGAGCTTCCCCTGAAAGCGAATATGAGGGTGGAAAGGCCTTTGATCGATGTCGCGATATCGTACGTGAGGCGGGATCGGGTAGTTGAAGGATGGATGGGGGACTATATGCTCATGGCTCCTGTTTCGATAGTATATCTTGCCTTCCTGATCCTCTGTGTGTCGTGTCCAATCTTCGGGGATGCCGGTACCCTCGCGCTCGAAATGCTTTCGGACAACGTGGTATGTGTTGTCGATTTTCACAAACTCCCCGGTCAAAAGCTGCTTGTGCCAGGTGGCCAAGGGATGTATTATCAGAGGTCCGCGAGGGAAGCTGTAGTCCTCGGCAGCTTTCCACATATCAAACCTCAGATCTCCCTGCCACGATACCCACGACCAAGAGGGATGCCTGAAATCAGTGGCATGTAGGGGTCGAACCGAACCTGGGTCTCTCCTCAAATGTGTGCCAGCAGGACCAACATCCCACAGCATGCCAATATCAAATGTATACTCCGCAATGCCATGTAAGAGGCCGCCGGGGAACCAAGCGGCCATGGGCGTCATGACTCCCAAGAAGGCGTTGATAGCATCAGTAGACCATGTCAGGTCTCGTCTCGCGTATTCAGTCGCCAGGGTGCTATATTCGCCAATACTGGGCCATGTCACTATGCCCATCTTCTTGTCCCTATCACTACGAGAAATGGGAAGCGTGTCCTGAGTCCTCTCGTTCGGCAAGCATATATCCTCAGCCCAGTCATCGCCGAAACAAGTCCAAGTCGCCATGTGGCCCAGCCCGAGCAAGCGTCGAGAAAAGACCTTCTCTTGGAGAGTCCACCCCCGTGTGTTCCATTTGAGGCTAGAAGAATCCAGGGCCTTTCGATTCAAGGTTTCTCGGCCCTGTGTCCTGATCAGAGGGTTGCCTGGTAGTGTTATCACACGCTGAACCGGCTCCCGCCCATCTTCTGGCACTGGCGATAGTCCTACACGAGGAATACCTGCATTGGCGTCTTCCCCAGATGCGGCAACAAGTGTGAGATACGCATTCGCATACACAGCACCCATCCCTTGGAGCTGCTCCTTTTGGGTCTCCGCGTCGTCCTGCACGATGCAAACGCTGTCCACCCACAGGTATGGCACACCCAGCTCGGCCGTCACCTCTATTGCGTCTCGCACAGTCAGCGGCAGGCTAAACGCCCCTCCCTCGCCAAAAGCACCTGGCCGATGAAGCTCTGCTACATTCTCCTTAAGCGAGAGTTGAACTCGGGCAGTGCCCCAGACATAACTAAGTGCGATGTATCGGGGCGGCGGATCATCTTTACCGACGGGGGGAGGCGAGACGATGCATAGGTTGTGGACGTCGATGAAACTCAGGGGCGCTTTGGGCAGGAGGTAGGTGTCGTAGGGGCGATGGCAGATGTGCTTATGAGAAATGTCGCAGTGAGAGATCCACGATTTGATAAGCTTCGTGTCCACGTGGGAAGAACTGACGATTCTCGCGCACGGTTCTTGCGGTGTCACGTTTCTGGTTGTCAGGAAATAGCTGACGCTGAGCTCTTCGCCGCCGCCGCCGCCGCCGGTGTTCAAGAACTCCCTCCGGGACGCGAGGGTCGCAGTAATTGCTCGATCATCTGGCTCACCCGCAACGACCGACACTCGAGGTTGTTCGACGGAGAAGTGTGTAGTGAGGATACTGCTGGATGAGTGATCTGTTGAGGGGAGGACAGATTGGCACGAGGTGCACCCAGTGGCAGTGCTCCGCGACTGGATGTCGGCGGGGGAGCCAAGGAAGAAGTCTCGTGGTTCTGAATATGAGATGTTTCTAGCCAAGGACTCTTCATATCGATGAAGGGAGTCAGCGAGCAGTCGACACGTCAAGCATATGGATGGCATGGTGTCGTTGATGGAAGCTCTACGCAGGTCATGCTCATCGTAGGTTCCGTAAGGCTGCTTATTTGGGACAAATGTGGTGTGTCAGCCTGTGGCAGTTCATCGGCTTGGCGCATGACCTGGTGATCGATTCAGCCAGTCCGCAGCATAATTTATTTGGTGTCTTGCATCTCCCCTCTGCGTTTGCATGCCCTGTCTAGGGCAAGCACAAGTACTCGATAAGTGTTGTCCACGAGAAGCTCACAGCGCCATTCTCACGAGATTCAAAAGACAAGCTTCCGCATCGATAGCATTCGCGGATGCCAGCCGCTACACTACTTGATCTTCAAGCTACAGATTAAATCAAGTGGCACAAATTGATGAGGTACGCAGGAGTATTTGAAAATACAGGTCGGCTCATTCCTTTATAGCTTCATATAGTAACAAGTGCATTCCGTTGCTAGAACCTTGACTGCCTAAATACCCGTCCCAACATATCGCTATACCGCCCCGGCTAGAAAAGCCACGCAAGAGTGCGTCGATAGACCTGACCAATGACACGTACCACTCCCGTTTGGTGCTTGGCCCTTTCATGCACTTCAACCTCGTGACGGGCCCTCTCCTCAGCGAAAGAGATGGTTGGCACGCCAGTGACGAGATCCGCCTCAGAGTTCTTCACCCTCCTAGTTCCGCACCAGAACTTGTAGCCAAAGAGCAGCATCAGGTACACGGGGAGGCCGATGTAGCCCACGATGAAGCCCTTGTAATCGAAGCCACCCATGAAGACATCAAAGCTCTTGGTTAGAATGAGGATCGATAGGAAAGTGAGGGCTATGTAAGATCCAATGAGGCCGAAGGGGGAGCGGTATGGAAAACGGTCGTCCGGGATGTGTTGTGCCTTGGTCGCTTTTATGAACCCTACATGGGAGACGAGGATACCGATCCAAGTGAGCATGCCTATCATAAGTTTAGCTCAAGCGTCCTCTGGTATAACGAACGGGGAGACAGGAACGCTCACCAAAAATCGCCACCATGTTTGTCAGGTAATTGAACACTTGCTTGGCTCCGGCTTGAACACTCATGTAGGAGAGGCAAGTGAAGGCAAGCGGAATAATCATGGGGACATAGGGCACGCCAAGCTTCGTTGTGCGTGTCAGGATCTTGGGAGCCTTGCCGTCGCACGCAATGCCGTAGAGTGTTCTCGTTGAGATGTACAAATCTATGAATCACTTTTTTAGTCCCCCCACTCCACAAGTCGGTTCGCACAGGCTAGCTTTTCACTTACCAGATACTGCCGATGAGACGACAAAGATGAGAAGGGACGCGTTGATGACATGGTCAAGTCCCCTGATTTTGGCGTTCGTGATAGCTACGACGAACGGCGAGGCTGCCGCCGAGGTCTTGGCCGTAAGGGCGAAGGCGAGCTCCGGACTGTTATAGGGAACGACCATGCCAAGGAGAAAGACTGAGACGATGTAGAAGAAGGCGATCCGGAAGAAGGTCATCTTGACGGCCTTGGGCATGGCAATGCGAGGGTTCTTTGCCTCTGCCACAGTCACACCAACGAGTTCAGTGCCACCAAATGCGTAGACTCTAGGTTAAATATCAGCCAAAAGCCGGGTCACAAGAGGCTGAAGCATGAGTTTGAGTTTTTTCGTGACAACATACGCTTGAATCATGGTGCTCCAAACGCCAGTGAACTTTCCTACATCACCTTTGACCTTGTACTCTGCGAAAGCCCCGGGATCGCTCCAGTACTTGAATCCCTTTACATCGTGCCTATCGAGTAACGAGTCAGCGAAGTGCCCCTTGGTATGCATAATGAATCGATAGGAATACTTACGTAGGACCACCTCCACAAGCCAGAACAAGCATGATGAGTATTACGCCAGTAAGGATGATGACCTTCAACGAAGATACCCAGAACTCCATCTCTCCAAATACTTTGACGCCGCAGAAATTGACGATGATGATGAGTACTAGTACGATGCTGATCCATACGGCTGGGTTGATTCGGTCTTGAGTCCAGAACTGCAATGGTGAGATTATTAGACGAGAGCTTGTAGATGTAAAAGAAGGCGGGGAAATGTTGGCGTAGAAGACTATATGTTTCAGGGTCGCCACTTACCTCCATAATCAGAGCTGTAGCAGCCATTTGATTCGGCGTGGCTAGGAGGTACTTGAAAAGATAGGCGTAGCCGGTAGCAAAGCCCAGAGCAGGGTCAACGAAACGTGTTGCGTAGCCACCGAAGCCACCTGGATTAGAGTATGATCAGTTCTCGTGCTCAAGGAGTAGAAGGGTATTGGAATGAGACGAGAAAACATACTAGCCATGGGAGCAAAGGAGAGCATCTCGCCAAGGGCGGCCATGACGCAGAACACAGTAAGACCAATGATGCTGAAATCAATAAAGATACCAGCGGGACCAGTCTTGGCAAGAGCCGAACCTCTGAGAAATGGATTTAGCTGAAAAGCACCGGAAAGGAAAGATCTCTCCGTCGTACGCACGTTCCTACGAGTAGTCCTGTACCCAGGGCGCCCCCAAGAGCAATCATGCTCAGGTGGCGATCCTTCAAGCTCTTCTGGAGGCCGCCTTCGGCAACAGTACCGTCCTGCTGAGACCTGACCTCGCCCAAGTCCGCCTCTGAGGCGAGCATCGAGGGTGTCTTCTCCGCCATTGTGTGAGTTGTTTCCAGCGGCTGGCAGAGATGTTTGAGTAAAGCTCAGGAAGACGTGGACAGGTGAAATGGCAAAGGGTTTCGGCAGCAGGCAATCCTGGAGATGTTCCAAGGCAACGCTGAATGATGTCAGATACCTCGTCAAAAGTGCAAGAGGGGGGATAGAATGGGAGCAGCAAGGGAAGACATGAAGTGCTTGTCTCCCGAGCAGGTCTTTGCAGAACCTAAGTATCCCTAAATACCTTTTGCTATCTTCTAGACTCTGGGGCCCCAGGTTCTTCCCTCTTCCCACCCACCAATGAACACCTTGTTAGGGCTTCGCGGGTGGAATATTGCTCCACCTCGGGGATCGACACCGAGCCTCTGACTCGAACCCGGCAACTACCTCAAGATACCTAGATAACGGCCTCCAGCGCAGGAAAGCCACCTTTTTGGGCCTCCTTATCCGTTCTCGGTGAGTTCGTCGCAGGAAATTCCCGCTCAGCCGGAGAGCCACATAAGATAAGTAGTTGATAATCCTCCCTTTTGGCATGTCACCGAGTCGCGCGTCATGAGATAGTTTTGCACCCCCAACAAAAATGTCGAGCAGAATTGAGATACGAACAGACCGGGCCCCTGCCCCCCGGCCCTCAAATTTTCAGGCCATTGTACACAACGGCATGATTTTTTGTTCTGGCGCCATCGGTGTTGATCCGGTATCATCTAAGCTTGTGGAAGGCCCCACGACAGCTCGCGCGGTATGTGCTTTCCACTTAGTCGTCTGCTTTATCTAACCTGGAAACCTCTTTAGTCCCCTTCATTTAATGTTGATTCGTTCGTTCGTTCATTCTTCGCGGTCTCCTCTTTGACACAGGAAGGAACGTCCACGATCCATCCGCGCATTGCCTTGTGACAGATTTGTGATATTGTTGTTTTACCAGTACCGTCTGACCCCTAACGATCTTGCTCTTTGAGTCCCCAAACCCTCTACCAGAGCAGTTGACCACTATCTTGGCCCGTGGGAAATTGACAGCCTCTGCAGCCTTGAATGCGTCTAGAACTTGGCTCAACTGCCGCCGTAGAACACGAACTTGCCCCGTTCTTTGTATTTGATGTAGAAGCCACTGACAGTACTTCTGCGTGTCGATGCAGTATGCGTCGTACTCACATCCTTACTTCACCTTGTCAGGCAGCTCCTGAGGACTCGGAAGCCATCGCCCTCGCCGGCAAAGATATCCCGGCTCTTTAGTTGTAGTTCCCTCTCGCCTGGGGTCTCCATGTACTCCACAGCCGCCATGAATCCACACCCCAACTCTGGCCTATCTCTTGCGATGCGCTTCATCACGCGGTACGTGCCCTGGGCAAGAGCGAACTCCGCTCGAAGTTGCGGAGTCGAAGGAGCTCAGGGGCGATAGTGCGCGCCTGCCCACATGGAGGCGTAGTCGGCCGTCCATGAGCTCGCCGGGTCTGTAGGCAGTTCGGCGGCAATGATCAAGACGCGCGTGGCAGGGTGTTGAGCGAGCAAATCGTACGCCGTGGAAAGCGCAACAATGCCAGCGCCCACGATGATGGTTGGGCCGATACCCATCTCGGTGGAACGCCTGAGGAGGCTGTAAGAAACGAAACTCTATTTAACAACTTGAAACAAGAGATTATGGTGGCGAGCCAGGATACTAGAAGCCTAGCAATTGGTTGATAATTATTAGAAGTTGTATGCAAGTTATCCAGAGACTTGCAAGTCCAGCTCCAACTCTTGGCTGGCGGGCTGGCCGACCGAATCATGTAGAAACGATCTCTTCTTGTTCGCACTCCATCGCCGACAACGGAGGTCCGAAGTCGTCCTTGCGCGAGAGCCCTCTTCGGCGTGATCTACCGCAAGTATTTAGAGGGTACATAAATTAGTTAGTAGACCACTCAATCTGGGCCCATGGCATAGACTAATCTCGGTGCTCGTGGCCGAGCACTCAAAGAGTTAGCAAACCAAATAGCTTTGTCTGTCTATTTTTGATGACGCTCCTGCCCGGGTCTTTAAGATTTTCATTAGTACGTACATGTAAATCATTCCAATACCTCCACTGAGCTACGCTTTTGCTACCTACCTACCAAAGCACTCTTGTTAAGCAAGAGATAATCATAAACACGAAATGTCTTTGGCGACGCCCCTCACAACGAAGGTAGTGAACCCACACTTGCGACTGCTAAATATGTTACGGAAAGGTTCAAAGCCTGTGATGACCTTCTTGGGACTTCCGTCGATCCGTACAGCGCAAGTGGTAGCACAGACTGGGCTTGATGTTCGTGAACCCGCCACCAATCCCGAGCGATACGTGCTGAGAACCACAGGGCATAATAATCGACTGCGAGCATGGTCATATTAGCGATGATTCAATGCACGTAGCAGTTTGTGCTATTGCATCCATGGGGGTGTCACCGCTTGTTCGGATCAGGATGACCCATGCCGACCTGATCAAGAGAGCGCTAGATGCTGGCGCACAGTGAGTAATATTTTCAGCCTAACTTTGCTTCTTTGACTTATCGATGACTAGCGGCATTGTTGTGCCTATGATCAACACGCCTGAGGAGGCTCGAGCTGTGGTTGCTGACGCAAAATTCCCGCCGCAGGGGTTTCGCGGCCAAGGATCAGCCTTTCCTGCTATCGCGCTCGGCATCGATACCCCAGAGTACATTACTTCTGCAAACGAGACTTTGATCACTTGTATACAGATCGAATCAAGACAAGGTGTCGAGAATGTAGATGCTATTAGCGCAGTAGAGGGTGTTGGTGAGTATTCAAATTTCTGCAAACGGGCTTCCAAGTGCTGATCTCGTGGCATAGACATGCTGTTTATCGGACCTAATGACCTTGCACTGTCTCTTGTAGGCTACGTGCCCGCAAAAGGAGACGAGCCGGAGTTTGTTGAGGCTATTGACAAGATTGTCGCTGCCGCTCGGAAGCATGGGAAATGGGTAGCACGGCTCTCAAACACAGGCGCCTTGACTAAACAGCATTTACAGACCTTTGATACCGTAGCATTGAGCTACGACGTTAGAGCCATGCAAAATTGGTATAAATCCGAGCTAGAAGTAGCCAAGGGGGCCTGAGAGAGGTATCGCTAGATACCAATATGATTGTCCATCTTCTCACGAGATCAACATTGGGGTAAATCGTCGATGTTGAGCCCTCCTTCAGCAATGTCTGATCTATGTGTGCTAGGCTCTTGATAAGTATATAGCTTGAGATGAGGATTTGAAGTTTGCATGATTGTGATCTCTAATTTTGCGGTAGCAGTCAACACACGTGTATATGCTACTTACCCAAACTATAGCACTAACAAATATGATGCATAATGTCATAGATCTTTTTGACAAGTACACGTGTATCACTCACCTAAGAGCCCTTGGCGTCTCCCGGTGGCTACATGAATACGGAGCACGACTCATGACGGAAGATAATATGGCACGAACGGCCATACGGCCCCACCCACCGAGCCCACCTCGGTTACCGCTGCTGAACTACGACTTGATATGAAAATCGAGGGGTTGATAAGAGGGAACTTACTTCAGCTCGGGCCTTCGCTTACGGGTTATCAAGGGATAGTGTGTAATTACTGATCATTCCACGTGAAGTACCTTCTTTTTGTCTAGGTGGCAACGGGGGAGTCGAATTCCGAAGAAATCCCCAGCGGAGCCAAGATCTTTCCTGGGTTGTTCGACTCTAGCCTCAGTTTCGGCGTCGACACCGAGCCTCGCGATCATGGACCGAGTCCAGGTCAGTTGATCAGCGAGACAGGGATTGCCGCGTGTTAACTTGCGAAAGCCGGAATATGGCTCCGACTCATGTAAATGAATAAAATTAAGTTAGTAGGACGCTTTGGAGATACGATCTGGCCGCGTTGTTCTACCACAGCCCAGTCATCTATCACCCAATTCGGGACTGAGCCATAGCACCAATAGAACCAGCACAGACAGAGGCCAAGACCTGGCTAACAGCCACAATTAGGCAAGATTGTCAGGTTTCACAGAGGCGCCATGTTCGAATCCATACTGCCTGGTCCTCCGGACGTCATGTACGACCTCAAGGTGCGGGCTGACAACGACACATCCTCGGCCAGGGTAGACCTTGGTGTTGGTATCTATCGCAACAACGCTGGCCAGTACCAAGAGCTTCAGGTGGTCAAGAAGGTGAGAATTCTGCAAGCTTTACGCATTCTAACACGCGCTGAATTTGGTGTTCTTCGCAGGCGAAGAAGATTTTGGCGCAGAATGATCCTGGTCACGATGTAAGTCATATCGATGCGCGTCCTACGTCAACGTCGACTAAAGTCAATAAAAAATCCAGTATGAGGTCACCACAGGCAACGAGCTGTTCTTGCGAAACGCGGCGGAGCTCATGTTTGGCAAAGACTGCCCGCGTCTGTCGTCCAACCACATCGCCTCGGTTCAGACCATCTCAGGGACGGGCGCTGTCCATCTCGCTGCGTCTCTACTGACGCAACTAAGCCCGACGACGAACCCACCGACCGTATACGTTGGCGTTCCAGCATGGGGAAATTACAAACCTCTGATGAAGCTCGTCGGCCTTGACGTTGTCGAGTACACGTACTATGACAGCGTCAAGCGATCCATCGACTTCCCAGCCATGCTGCGGGCAGCGCGCGATGCCCCCTCAGGCAGCGTCTTCGTCCTTCAAGGCTGCTGTCACAACCCAACTGGCGCAGATCCGAGTCCTGCGCAGTGGAATGAGCTTGCACTGTGCCTGAAGCAGGGCGGCCACCTTCCGCTGCTCGACGTCGCATACCAAGGACTGGGCGACGGACTGGAGGAGGACGTGTACAGTGTGAGAGCGTTTGCCCGCCGGGGTTTCGACATGTTGGTGTGTCAGTCCTTCTCCAAGAACTTTGCCCTGTACGGCGAGAGGTGCGGTGCGCTTCACGCGGTCTGTGGCGATGCTCGACAGGCTGCAAATGTGCGCGATCGGCTTCGCTGTCTTATCCGCTGGGAGTTCTCGTCTGCGCCGGCGTTTGGCAGTCGGCTTGTGAACATTACTCTGGGATCGGATGCTCTCACGACGCAATGGTATGTTTCGTGAGGTCGGAGGGAACGCTATGATATCCTGTTGACACTGAGACTTTCGCAGGCAAGAGGAGCTTAGGGCCATGCAGGAAAGAATCAAGACACTGCGACAAAAGTTGCATTCCCTGCTCGCTCATCAACTCCAGGTAAGGATCAGATTCAGCCTCATAAGGTAGTTCCCACTACTAACAATTGCCATTAGACACCCGGAGACTGGAGTCACATTACGAGGGAAACAGGACTCTTTTCGTGCGTCTGTCTTCTAGGTGCTCGGAGCGAACGTCATGCTAACAAGGTTTTACAGATACTTGACGCTCACACCCGTACAGTGCAAGAAGCTCATTGACAAATACCACATCTACCTACCTCCGAACGGTCGAATCAATGTTTCCGGATTGAACGAGTCAAATCTAGGCAAGGTGGCGACGGCCATTGATCAGGTGGTCAGAGAATCTCTGGGCCTTGTCAGGGCGAATCTGGCGTAATGTAGTCCCCCAGCGCTGGGGGGGGAATACAATTTCCCCCTGTAGCTAGACCGCAGCGAGGTATTCATTCTGCGCCCAAGCCGGACAACATAGATAAGCGAGAGAACATGGACATCAAGTTGTCTTTGTGCGTTTCAAGCGCTATCCGTGGATAAGCAACTCGTGCCGAAGCTTCGGCTCCCGCGGTACTGCCTAGGTAACTAAGGATTTTGCGGTCGAAACACCGCGCCTGGCTAGTCAACCACCTCTGTACATACTGAGAGTCACTTCTATATAGCAGAAAAGATGGTGGAATTATACTCATCCCACAATCGAATTTTCGGTATACATATATAGTTCCCTGCTTAAGAGGCGCCTCGTCACCAAGGATTGGGCACAATCAAATCGAGTGCCTGGGGTTGGATTCAACTTGGAGCCTAGGTATTCCTCATAATACGGATCACCCAGGGAATGTCCTGGTCAGGCTGTGAGAAGGTTGTTGGCTGAGCACCCATCCCGAGTTAATGGAGCTTGTGGCTCGGGGCATAACTCAGAGGAGTTTCTGTACGAGTTCAAGACCAGGATCAACAATCACATTGCAATGATTCTTCATCAAGTCTATCCAGTACTCCATAGTATGAATCCATGATATCTATGGCATATAGTCTAGAATAATATCTCGCCTCCCATCGAATTGGTCTCCCGACCAGTTGCATCCGATCTGATGATCGAGCGGTCTGGTGGTCTAGTGGTATGATTCGCGCTTAGGGATACCTAAGCATTATTGCGCGAGGTCCCGGGTTCAATCCCCGGCCAGACCCTTCTCTTTTGTCATTTTTGTTGTTGTTTGGGTCTCAGGCGTTGATTATGCTGTCTCATGAGTGTTGAAATTTTTTAGCCGTTGTGGGGCTGTGAGTCACTTCCCGGCGAATTTTCGGGGCCGTTGATCCGAAAATTAAACTCCCTTTTGCTGGCCAACCAGAACAAATTTGACAGCTTCCACTTCTTATCGTTTGACACCAACCGGTAGCCATGTTGTTTGTTGTGGCCGTGTAAAATTTATTTTATTCCAAGGCAATTGGATCATACAAATCTAGACTAAAATTTTCGAAACCTGTTCTGCTCAACTTGTCAGTATTAAATCTCGACAAAACGTGGAATCAACTACAGGGTAACTAGCAGGATGGAGGCAGGAAATCAAACCTCGACAACTGATATTATGATTGGTTCAATGAGGAAATTCACGGATAATGCTGTGGGCAGAGTCGGATCATTGAAGAGTAATTCAGCGCCATTCGCGTTATTAACACCTATTGCTGCTTAATGATCCCAGCTCGTCGGGGCATAACAGCATTATTGCATCGAGTTCGCTGTGAATGCGTATAATTGAAATCATGTATTACACTGGCTGCATTTGCCTACAAGGGAATAAAATACTGATGTGGCTTGATTCTGGTCATAAATTCTTTCTCTTCTGTTACAGCATTTGGCAGGCTAATAAGGGACCGGCCAACAGATAAGTGTTCAAGTTAAGTATTAAATATTTTATTTGCTTCTGTCTTCAGCATCGTATGGAAATCACTCTTCTTTGTACACATCGTACTTGTATTGCGAGCCAGGATGATCGCTTCGCAAGCCCGCTTGACCTTTCCCATACACGCTCTCCCTCAAAGTGAGACCGGATTCTTCCTCAGACCGCGCCTCGGGGTACAGACCACGACGCCTCAGTTCAGGAACAAGTAGCTCCACTACATCCTCGAACGTGCCGGGAGTAGTGACATATGCCACGTTGAACCCATCAAGATCACCCTCATTAATCCACCGTTCCATCTCATCTGCCACAGTTGCGGCCGTGCCCACAGATACGGAGGCAAGACCTCCGATGGATGCCTTTTCGGCAATCACTCTCGGCGTCCACTTTGGAATCTCCTTGCTGGTAGTGGTGAAGGAGTCGAGAACACTGCGTACTTTGTGGGCTTCCAAAGAATCGGACGCGCTGAGTTCTTGCTCCAACGGGATCTTGGAAAGGTCGATACCCGTCCAACCGCTTACCAAGACGAGCCCGCCTATTGTCGAAGCATGCTTCTGCGCTCGCGCCAGCTTCTCCTGGGCTTCCTCTTCAGTACGCCCGATGATTGGTGTGAAGGTTGCAAAGAACTTGAGCGATTGGGGGTCTCGGCCAAGTTCCGCTGCTTGTTTCCGGATGGCTTGGATCTTGGGCCTCAGGACTGATGGCGAATGGGAAGAGACAAAGATGCCCTCTGCATGCGTGGCTCCAAAGGCTGACCCTGCAGAAGATGTGCCGGCCTGGAAGAGGAAAGGCGTTCTTTGTGGAGAAGGATCTACGATATGTCGGCTATCGACGTTGTAGTACTTTCCATGATGGCGGATGGTACGGATCTTATCCGGATCGGCGTATTCATCAGTTTCACGGTTGGCAATGATGGCGTCATCTGCCCAAGAGCCTTCCCAGAGCCTATGTTGAGCGAGCCCATTAGCAAGAGGCCACGAAGAACGAGAAGAAACCCCAAAAGGAGCATACTCACTTGTATAACACACGAAGGTATTCATCAGCCTGAGCGTATCGTTCATCGTGCTCGATTGGGTTGTCTAACCCAATGGCCTTGAAAGCGGCCTTCTTCCAGGATGTGACGATATTCCAACCTACACGACCCCTTGTGAAATGATCGAGGGTTGATAATCTCTTAGCTAGTAGAAAAGGGGGCTCAAAAGATGTTGAGGCCGTGATAGCAAAAGATAAATTCTTGGTCACAGCGGCCATGGCACTGATGGGCTTCATAGTCGATATTAGCAAGAGGTCTTGAGTGGGATGTCCATGTAAGGACTTACAATCGTAGGGTCAGTCATGGGCCATTGTGCCGCTCGGCGAATGCAATTGTCCAAGCTGCCCTCATACGTATCATATCCGCCATATGTGTCTGCTAGGAACAACGCGTTTATGCCACCTTTGTCCAGGATCTTGGCTAGGTCTGTCCAGTAAGTCAGATCTCGCTTGAAAGCTGACCTATCCTCGGGATCCTATAAACATGTCTCGTCAGAGCCATTCAACTAATCGTGTCTTTCAGGGTGACTATACCTTCCATTGACCAGGGGCCATATGGCCAACAGTGGACATATCAAAAGCATTCAGGATAATTTGTTTCTTCGGGCGATTCTCGCCACCCGTACCGGCATTGACGCTCGCATCTGATGAGGTAGTCATTTTGACAGATACTTTCCCTGGTTGTAAAGACTAAAAGTAGGCTAGGTCTTTTCTTTCCTGTTTTGTGTCTCAACCCCGGCTGGCTCTGTTTTTTTACATGGGCGACATTATTAGAGCGGCCCAAGGCCTTAATCTACTGCCAGTAAGTATATGCCATTTGCTTGGGGTGGCAGCGATAACGGCCGCGGGAGGGGATGTTGAGGGTGTGGGGTTGTAGCGTCATTGGGCGATCAGATGTCGTTATGGTATCGGACGTTGCATGGAGTGGTGTTAAAGGACATATTATCATTTGGATCTCTTTAGCCATCCAGGACTCGAAGCGGCAGGACCCGTTGCCATGAAGTGGAGAGGTGACATGCATGAAAAGAGTGGTGGGTTGAGCGTTGAGCATGGGGGGTGTCATGCTACTGACTGTAACCGACGATGAGGACAATTAGATCGTGGACGTTTACTGCAAAGCGAGAGCCGTGGTAAGCTGTAGGTTCGTTCGTGCCAGGTTCCAAATGCTTGCTCTATGCCCGTTGAGTCAGTTAGTTTGATAATAGAGGGTGGTGAAGGGGGCCGGAAGAAGCCATCCCGTGTTTTAGCGTCGGGAAGACGTGACTTGGGGTTGAGATGACGGAATCACTCAGGCCTACCCATGCCATTTACGGCATATTGCACAATTTGATCATCCAAGTGCGTCTTCAAGTACTTGGATCATGCTTCACAGGTGGTTGGATTAACTTACATGCAGCAACGACTGTTAGCCGCGCACCCTCCTGGAAACGTAATCAAGTGGGCTGGGTCTAGACCCCAGCCGTGATGGTTTCTCGCAGCCAAGTCGGTGACATTCATTTGGCTGATCTATTGAATTTCTATCAGATTTTTTCCCTCGTGGCACCACGTTCTAGATCTCCTTTGCGCTATCAAAGAGCAGACTTGACTCAAAAGACGTGATATGACGAACGATCGCCGTCGAGTCAGATCCTTCAAATCCCAGCTCCCAAGTTCCCGGCTCCTGGGTGAAGCTTGGCCAGCCCCACGATCATGAGCTAATTTAGACGTTGTATCAGCCCTGACCGATCAGGTCTGAGAAAAGCCAAGACCAGGGTCAGACCGAGTGCCCGTCCATATATGATTGATTGCCGATCTTGTTCGTTCCCACGAGCAGACTCTCATCCGGCACATTCTTCAAACCGTGATTCTCGCCAACTTTCACCCAAGATGTATGGTGTAGAAAGAAAGAAGTGGTACCACCTCAAGTGGTACGCAGACACCGATACCCCGGAGGAGCGTAAGTTCCTCATCAAGATCGATGCCCTCATCGTCCCATACGCCATCATTGCCTACTGGGTCAAATACATCGACCAATCGAACCTTAGTAAGTCAGATAGGCAAAAAAGAGACAATGGATATCGGCGCTGACGACTCAACAGACAATGCCTACGTCGCTGGTTTGAAGGAAGATCTTGGGTTCAAGGGCAATGAGCTCGTTCAGCTCCAGACGTTCTATATCCTGGGCGCTGTTCTTGGACAGATCCCCTTCTTCTTCCTTCTGACATATGTCCCGATTCATTATCTTCTTCCATTTCTTGATGTTGCTTGGGGCATTTTTACCCTGCTTCAGTTCAGGGTGACAGGCTTTGCCGAACTGGCCGCCTACCGCTTTCTGGTTGGCTGGTTCGAAGCAGCGTTCTTCCCTATTATGCACTATCTTTTCGGTACGTTTGCTCTTGATCTATTCCACAACGTTGCTTGATTCAACTGGCTGACCTTGCCTCTTTTTTAAGGATCCTGGTACAAGGGAACTGAAATTGCTCGCCGAGGCGGTCTCTTCTACTGTGGCCTGTCCCTGGGTACCTTGACTGCTGGACTGATCCAAGCCGGAGCATCTGCCCGTCTTGATGGCGTTCATGGTCTGGCAGGATGGCGATGGATGTATATTATCTGTGCCATCATCACCATCCCGGTTGGTATCCTTGGCTATTTTGTCATTCCCGGCACGCCAGACCAACCGAACCGAAAAGTCTTGAACCAAAATGACATCGACATCGGAGAAAGGAGGTTGAAGCGCAGTGGGCACGAGTCCCACGGCAAATTCCAATGGAGAAATTTGAAGGACATTGTTTTCAAGTACCAATTCTGGGCCATCATCCTCGTGGACGTATTCTTCTGGAACTCTGGCCTCCATACTTCTTCGGGTGCTTTCTTGCTGTGGATCAAGAGCTTGAACCGTTTCCCTGTTGCAAAGGTGAACGAGCTGGGTGTGATTGCGCCTAGTCTCGGTATTTTCTACACCCTGTTTACCTGCTTCGCCTCTGATCTGTATCTGGGTCCTGCCTGGGCCATCACCATGTCGCACGGCTGGAACGCCCTCGGCTTGATAATACTGGTCATATGGAAGGTCCCCGAGCCGGCTCTCTGGTTCGCTTGGTCGACCATCTATGCCTCCGTCGCCATGTCCAGTGTGTTCCATGGATGGGTCAACAGTCAACTTCGATCTTCGCCCGGCCAGCGTTCGTTTACGCTGGTTTTGATTAATGCAATCTCGCAATCCTCCACGGCATGGACGCCGCTGCTGGTATTCCCAACTGTCGAGTCACCTCGGTTTCCGAAGGGATATGCATTTGTGCTGGCCATGACACTTGCAACCATCATCGCCGCCCATGGCTTGAATCTCTACTTGAAGCGTGTCGAGTAAGTTATCAATCCTAAATGAAATTGAAGAGCCTCTTTCTAACCAAATTCTCAATAGCCCGAAAGCGTCTGCTGTCGTAACTGACACCACAGTTGAGAGTGGACCTGAGGGCTCCGTGGAAAATCCGAAGGGGGTCACGACGACCGAGACTCAAGTTAAGCCGGGCAGTGCGAGCAATTAAGGCTGTGGCCGGTGTGTCTGGGCTCAAGCGGGGGCACGTGAAGAGAAAGGGAGGAGCAAGTTGCTGCCCTGTAATTTTTCTTCGTTTTCTACACTGCACAAAAATAGTCAGGAGCTACAGCTGCAAAGGAAGAATCTAGACGAAGAGGACATAGTGACGAATATATAGAGGATCTCTGAATAATTGAATTGCTTCATTTCCAGAGAACCTGCGGGCTTATAGAAATTTGGATGCTCTCAGTTGATTGTTGCGTTACTATGGGAGATTCTGCTTAAGTTGACCATGAAATCGCCAAGATATGATCTAATACCTAGATTGAGAGAATTCACTTAACAGAAAAAGGAGGTTTGAATCTCAATTCTGTCGCGCTGAATGAACCTTAAAGAATGAACTCGCTGAGTTGATAGAAAAGGATTCATCTCTAAGTGGCTATTGGCTTGAATCACTGGCTCAGTGGCTCACCTTGGCTTCGTACAGCCAAGCAAACGGCTCCAATGACGCATATTGGCCCCTAAAGACGCAATTTAGCTAGCGGTTTTCAGCGTTGTCTAATTGTCTCACCCCCTGAAGAAATGTCATGTTACTGTGGGGAGGACTCCGGCTAATGATCCCCCCATCTGGGTGTCCACGATACGAGGCATGGAGCCGGATTGCGCGTCTTGGGTAGCTGTCGGGGTGCTTCCGATGCAGATTTGATTCCCCGGATGGTACAATCTTATCTCATGTATTATTAATATCTAGGGCGCAGAACGTTTGGCGTGGTAAGTGATTCGCACACGTGGTGGCGTGCTTCCGTTACCGCAGTGGACATGACGTGCTTCTCAGCCGGAGATTCGTGATCGTGGGGAGCAAAGGCATGGGGATAGAAAATAGGAAGTCCCATGTCCTCATTGATTTTTATCTGATGCTTGCTTGAGAGTTTAGAGAAGGCATTCAACAAGCTTATTGGGACCCATCGCATTCATCAGCATGCCTGGCATCACTAACAACGTCATCCCTGAGGCTCGGCCTGACTCGAAGATTTTGAATGGGGCAGAGCATGGCAATGGTACAAGCAAGGAGAATATCTTAAACCAAGGTGACATATCAAGGCATGCAAATGGCACTGCCCCTGCTGGCATCTCAACCACACTTCCAGATAAGCCACTCCCAAGGGTAGCGGATGATTTGATAGATAGATCAATTGACCAGCCCCCTCGTCTGCGGGTAGCTGTGATTGGAGCAGGGCTTGCAGGCGTCCAAGCCGGTGTTCTCTTACCTGCAAAAGTTCCTAATATTGAGCTGGTTATATTCGAGAAGAATGCTGGAGTGGTATGTAATTTGCTCCTGGTGGCAGACAATAAGAAAGAAACTGTGCTCACGCTAGTATTATAGGGAGGAACCTGGTTTGAAAACATTTATCCAGGCGTGCGCTGTGACATCCCTGCACATGTCTACCAGTCGACGTATGAGCCAAATGTCAACTGGTCGGAAGAGTTTGCCCAAGGGGCCGAGATTCGAGAGTACGTATGCACTTGGGGTGTACTTTCGCACAAGTTCCTCGGAAATTACTGACACATGTGTGTATCAGATACTGGGAGAAGGTGGCTTCTAAATACGGAGTCTACAACTACGTCAAATTCGGGCACAAAGTCGAAGAAATTTCCTGGGACGAGGACACCTCTCAGTGGACCGTCAATCTGGATATCACGGAATCTGGGAAAAAAGAGTCACAAACGTTCGACTTTGTCATCACGGCAATCGGACGCTTCAACGCCTGGAGGCTTCCAGACTACCCCGGGATCAAAGACTTCAAAGGAATTCTCCGACACACTTCCAATTGGGATAAAACATTCGACCCTGCCGGTAAGAGGGTCGCCGTAATCGGCAATGGAGCCAGTGGAATCCAACTTGTGGCCAACATTCAATCTCGAGTAGCTCGCCTTGATCACTACGTCAGGAACAAGACATGGATTGCAGCGTCTTTTGCTGGAGACGACACCTCTATTACTCCAAAATTGATCCCGGAGAGTAAAAAAGAGGAATTTAAGGACCCTGAAGTCTATCTCAAGTATCGCCAGGAACTAGAAGGCAAGTATTGGAGACGCTTTGGGGGTTGGTACAAAGGAACGGCAGAAGTCCAAGAGACTAGAGAGAAATTCATCAAGATTGCCAAAGAGCGACTCAAGAACAAGCCAGAGCTTGTGGAGCATGTAATCCCGGAATTCTCACCCAACTGTCGCCGACTAACGCCTGGCCCGGGGTATTTTGAGGCCATTGATTCTGAAAACGTCGACTATATCCAGACCAAAATCAAATGCTTCACCGAAACAGGCATCGAAACAGAAGATGGGATTCACAGGGAAGTTGATGCTGTTTTCTGCGCCACAGGTGCCAACGTGGACATGGTACAGCAATTCCCCATCCGAGCCTATGGCCATAACTTGGGTGAGCTCTGGCACAAAGACGGAGCGTACGGTTTCCCTTACAGCTATCTTGGAATCGCCACACCGGGCTTCCCCAATCTTCTCTTCACTCTCGGACCTTATGGTGGTGCTAGGTCTGGTACCGTGACACACGGAGTTGAGATCCAGCTTACTCTCTTCGCGAGGATCCTTCGCAAAGTCTCTCGAGAAGGGATCAAGGCCATCGCCCCATCACCGAGAGCAACTAATGATTTTGCGCAATATGCAGATTCATTCTTCAGCAAGACCGTGCTCTCTGAGGATTGTAGCTCTTGGTATAATGGTGGCCGACCAGGAGAGCGTGTCCACGGTGTTTGGCCAGGAAGCGCGGCCCATAAGTCGATAGCCTATCTCGATCCAAGATGGGAGGATTGGGAATATGAGTACAAGACTCCCGAGAACCGATTCTCTTTCTTCTTTGGAAATGGCTTTACAGCGAAAGAAACAAGCCAGGATGAGAGTATGACGGATTATCTTCAACCTGGGCCACAGGACCTGAGAAAATTGCATGAAGGGTGGTGGAGAATACCCTAGGAAAGAAATTAGAATCATAATACACTACCTAGATTAGACAGACGTGTCTCATGATCTAGTGAAATTGGATTTCCTACTACCTGCTGATACAAAGAATCACCTTTTGCTGGCTTCGCTTCAGCTGTACCTTCACGCAAGCAATTAGCTGACAACGGCTCAGCAAAAGACAAAAAGAAACATACAACAGCCGGTATTCGCTGGTCGTCACCGACCCAACTACTAATCGGCCCCTTACCAGCTTGACGCACGGAGAGCAGACGGGATCCAGTTTTCTCTGGTAGGTATGGCAGTATGTGATGGTCTGTCATCTTGTTGGAACCTAAATTGAAGCTGTGCTGGAGAAGACCTTCAAGTGCTACTGTTTGCATATCAACAAAACGATGAAATGAATGTTCTTCCATGCCCGAGGGAATAAGAGGCTCACGGGGCGAGTGTGGGTCTCTTGGAGATGATGGAAATGGAGAGAATGAAAATTAGTCAATCCAAAAGAGTTGCGGTAAGCATGTTCAATGTTTTCCAGACCGCATGTGTGAGCCCTTGACGCCTACTAGGCTAGGAGAAGCTCAAGTATCTTGTACAAGTCCCGTAGTGCATAAAGCTTCAACGCAAGGAATATTGCTATACGTCAATCTATATTGATTTTAGACATCCATAAACTTCCGATGCCCTCCAGACGAGTTTTCCACAGTCATATACGGAGAACAAGGTGCGAAGCAAGAACTATCTTAACGACAACTGTCGTCATTTTTTCTCCCTCCAATCAACTCTTTAGAGTATCTCGAAGGACACTCACTCGTCGTACTCCAATCCGTATCCCGGTCATTAGCTCTCCGAATACCTGCTCCAACTCCGGATACGAGGGCCGTAGAAGAAAAATAGTAGGGGAAATGGCAGCATCAGGGCTGCGAATGCACCCAGAACATTTGTCATGTTCCTAAACCCGAGCCCAAGATACATTGATTGAGTCCATATCGGAAACGTCGATGCTACCAGGCTTCGAACGGTGATGTGGATGGCAAACGCGGACACCACATGGGCCCGGTAGACATTGACAATATATACTACGCCCACAGTAAACACCAGCTGAAGGCCCAGGCCTATAAAACCGGCCGCAAGAAGTTGTGAGATAGGATGGGAATCAAGTGTCCAGCCAAACCAGAAAATTGCCGGGGGTAAGACCACGGAACCGAGAATCATCGGTGGCAGACAGTCTTCGGGTGTGGAAATTTGGCCCCTCTCTAGCCATTTTCGCTTATACCCAGTATTCATATAGATAGCGATGACAGAAACGGAGCTGAATAACCCGATTGCCACGGATATGAAGGGTAGAGTGGCTGCTGGAGCTGACCAACCACGAGTTCGGAACGCAATTGGGAATAGCTGGTAAGAGAGGTACAGCAGCCCGTACACAAATGCCATGTAGATGGTGAGAATTATGAGGATGGGCTCCTGGACGAAAAGTAGTACTGGCTTCTTAAGGTATTTGACGAGCAACTCGTGTGATTGGGGGACTGGGTATCTCGGGTTGGTGGTTGAGTGCTCTTCCTCATCGCTACTCCCATCCTGCCTGCCCCTTATTTGTCGAGCGGCCAAGATTCGGGAAGAATCCGATTCTCGTAAGAATAGCAGGACAATTAGAGTTAGGCAGCCAAAATATATCAATGGAATCCAAGCAAGCCATCTCCAGCTGTGCTCGATCGTTAAATAGCTGGCTACGATCGGAGCGAAAGAACTTCCGAGGTTGATAGACGCTGCCGCGAAGGCCAGTGTTGTCCCTCGGGGAATGGGGTCGTATAGATCCGTCAAGATCCCAGAGCTAACTGTAGTTATCGAACTTCCGAAAGAACCGGCGAGGAATCGAGAGACAAGGATTGTTGGGACGTTGTTCGCCACCCCCAATGGAATCTGCCAGACTCCACAGAGTATGACCCCAATGATGAGCGTTGTTCTATTGCCAAAGGCTTCTGCAAAAGGACCCCATACAAGGGGGCCAGCCGCAAATCCGGCAACAAAGAGTGAGACGCCCAGTTGCATGATAATCTCGGACACATGGTACTGGTGTGCAATGATGGAGGCAGCTGGACCGAGAATACTGGATGCGAAGGAAACTCCAAACACGGCTGCACACACCATAGTGCAAAATGACACCTTAGAAATAGTTGACCAGTTTCGAGGATGGTCTGGGTCTTTGGAGTCAAGCAGGCTATTCTCTTCGATTTGCGTCGCTGGAGAAGACGTATGACCTTGGTTGTTTCCCAGTTCTAACATCGTGGCGGATTGCTCGTAGGTCATAATGAAGGATCAGTGATTAGTTCTCTGTTGAGATGAACAAAGCCTACTCCCAGATGTATTATAAAGTGTAAAGAAAACGGTAGGAAATTAATGAAGAATAATATCAGGCATATCGGAGCAGGTCGCTGTTCGAAGAGCAGCATTCCCAAGCTGGTCGTAGGAATTGTAGGGTTTCCATTCTGCTCTTAGTCCTCGAAAACCTTAGAATCACTAATAAAACAAACTCAGCTCGTTATTGAGATCCGATTTATCGACATCCTTGCATTTTGCATTTCCTGTGACGCTTAGAATGGACCAATAATCGATGTCTAAGTTAATTAGCACCAAGTTATCTAACAACATGGTTGAAAGCCTTCCCAAAGTAGAAACTAATCTAACTGACATGGTCTCCAAGTCCAATCAGCGCATCATAGCAATTTCAAAGTGGGACCGAGATCAGAAAGCAACTAGCCGTGATAGGTAAGCAATCAAGCACGGAACAGAACTTTGATAGCGCTGGGTTTTAACGTGGAACAGCTCGTCGATAAGGTCAGCATGGTGAGAGATGGGACTGAATAAAGACATAGCGAAACTTGGCATGGTAAGACCCGAAAAAGAAGTCATCCGTCTGAGCGTATTCAATGATAGCACATGTGCCCAGCGTGATTCAAGCAAGTATTGTGTTGAAAAATGAATGCTAGACATTACCAGACTTTGCTACTAGTTTGAAATGTTCACGAACGGAGCTTAGGAAATGGGTGAATCATGGGGCCATCGAAGCTCCAGAGAAAACAATCCTCCACCAGGCAGTGACGGAGTTGTCACCCAAATTCATACCAGCAAGTACGATAGTACGGTACATGCGTTTATCAAATCGCATGGCATCGTTGCACCATGCGAAGAAGGTTGCCTGGCAGGCATAGACCGATCCAGGTCAGTAGTAGGCGGCAAATGTCACGGTAGTTAACAAGAGACTCTCGGGGTTCTTGGCAGCAGCCAGCACCATAATCGACATACAGATGCCCGTAATTCCGATACAATAGCTCATGAGATAGCGTTTGACGCCAAGGAAATCTGTCAGAGTGGCCAGGAACAAGGCGGAGATAATACCGACAGTCGGCACGTCGGTGGGATAGTTATTCTTCTGGGCCACGATGTACTTATTGACGGGGTGACATTGCATGTAGGGATTCAGTAGGGCATTTACACTGAAGGACTCAGTGTTGCCAGCGGAGATACAAAGTGCGACAGAGCACATTGCCATGAAGTAAGCACCTTGAAGACGAGGCTGAGATTCAACTGACAAGTCCTCTCTTTTGGTAGCGGTGGGCGAACTCTAGGAGTAGTGAGCTCACGATGCTCGAAAGATAGAATGAAGTCGTTATGTGGCGTATCGGGAGGAAGAAGGAGCCCGTACAGGGCGACTGGAACAGTCAGAAGGATGCCAACAAGAAAGGAGACGCTCTCCCGATTTACAGTCAACATGAAGATAAACACGAACCCTGGCTAACATCTTTCGCTAGTGTTCTATGCACGCACCGCAAAAAGGCGGTAAGACCATTGGGCTAAGATTAAAGGCTTAAAAAAAGTGAAGTTACAAAAACTGATCAAAAGAACAGGTGGTATTTATCTTGACTACCCCATGAGGATGGTGGTTCTCCACGCAGAGAACTAGGAGCCTAAGGCTTCAGTTGCGCTATGAAGTCATATATTAATGTTACTTGAGAGATCGTATTCAGTGTATTGTCCCTCTGCTAAGCATAGCAGACAACTGCTGAGTCGTCAGCTACTAAGAATGAGCTTATGGGGTCCTATAGAAACAGCTATCCCTGAATAGTCTTATCTGCGGGGATTGGTTTCGGAACTATGGCGATACAATTAGTGGGCGATGCCGGCAAGCTTATCAGCCATACCAAGGTAAAATCGTGAATCAGCCCTCCTTATCAAGATGCCACCCCATGTCAGTGGCTCTGGGTGGGGTTATAAGAGTTCATCCCCGCCCTCCTTTCTGTGGATTTGATTGCTTGCCCCAGGAAGATTGATTCCCTTCTCTTCTAGGAAATGGTCCGCTTAGGGAACCCTAGCGATGCCCAACGCTCCTCACATTGTATCCATCAAGCCTCGCGGTAAGCCCCGTGGTATCCGTCGGGATCGTGACTGTATCACCTGCAAGTCGAGGAATGTCAAATGCGACCTTAATCGTCCGGACTGTCTCCCTTGCAAGCTTGCAGGCCTATCATGTGGTGGCTACGCTCGTCGGGTCGTCTGGGTTTCCGACAACAAGCCAGGCACAAGACGCGTCCCAGGGCCTTCGATAAAAGAAGAAGGGACTCGGTCGGAAAGCGCGACCAGAATATGGCTGCATGAACAAGTCACTACTCGGTGTTCTGCACAGGAACAGCCTTTGTCAAGTGGTTTGAAGGAGAAAAGCTTTCTGCAGCATCTTTTCTCCTTCTGTAACCGCATTAACTCCGAGGCTCAGCAATCACGAGAGAGTGGACAGAACTACATCTCCTCAGAGACTATCGACCTGGTTACCACTGTATGCGACTTTGTCCAAACATTATCGTCTGCCAACGACTTTCTTAACAACGACTGTCCCGAGAGCGTTGAAGCGGCCGCCCACCAGTTGACCCTTCTTGTTTGCCTCAACAAGGCACTCCAGACTGCAAATCCATTTGCCATTCTTGGGATTGCAGCATTTGCTGTATTTGAAGTTTGCAATGGCCCATACGGGCAGTGGCAGCATCATATCCGCGGGGCCAAGTCTCTCCTTGACCACCACTGCCGGAGCCGGGACGACCTGAACAAACTTTCGAAATCCATTCCTGGGCTGATTGATGTCGTTGCAAGGCTCGCATGGTTCGATCTATGTGGTACGCTCACCAAAACGGACGGCTCAACGTTGATTTTGGATGACTGGCATCATAATGTTTTTGACGACGACTTTTTTCGTATGGTAGGATGCCCGGCCGATTGCTACAGAGTTCTTCATAACATAGCCAAAGGGAGTGCGCTATCGAATCCTCTGGGTACCACCATCCAAGTCATAAACCAATTGTCCAAGGTTGGTCTCGACAACAGCGATTACAGCCATTGTGCAGATACCCATCGTTGTGCCGCTGCCATCGCGGCTATCACGCGGTTGAAAGACAGAGATTCGGAGCCGTTCAAGCAACAGACATTCGTTTCGGCTGTGGACCGATTGTGTCTCGTCCTTGATTCCAGCTCAGAGTCAAACCCTTACACCGTCTTCATGTCACTACCAGCATATTTGGCTGGCATGGAAGCGGCAACTCCTCAGCACTGTAATACTCTCCGACGGTACTGGAAGAATTGCACACTTGCCGGCGTGCATCGGTACCCCGGGGCATTAGAGGGATGCGAAGCTGTGTGGAGAAAGAAAGGACTCGTCTAGTGTATTATTTATTGGTAATTACTTGGTTTCCAAATATCCTGCCTACAACAGAAGACTCGCTTGTTTAACGAGGTGGGTTTGTCCTCGATTATATCGCTGCCGACGCTTCTCGGTGCAGCGTGTTATTCTTTTCAACTATGCCAACATAATAGCAGAGAAGGACTCTATTTTAGAATTTTTCATATCTAAAAATTTCCTCAATTATATGAATGCGGCTTTAAGGGAAGGCTCACATAACAAGGAAGCTATAGGTTCGCATATTTGAATTTGGAATTCTGCAACAATAACTACAAACATGAGCAAGGTCGAACATTCATAAGACCTAAGTATTACAGGCATAAGAAGGCTCAGAGTAAGACTTGTTTATCCCTACAACACCCAGAATGGTTGGTATTCTCGACACTTGAGAGTCCCTTCGCCCCAAATCTCTCGGCGGAATCTCCATTGATCCCCGAAAGCAGGGGAAGCCGCATGCTTAAGCCATTAAGACTCATGCCCAGACTTCTTGAGAATCTCATCAAGAAGCTTGTGGGTCTGTGTGGCTGAGCCGAAGTCAGCATACACAGCCTGGTCCCCTTGGGCAAACGCATTCAAGATCCTCCCGCTGTTCTGCCCAAAATATCCCATGTTCTGGACAAATCCAGCATCCACAACCGAGAAATCGACATCTTCTTCCGGTTTTCCCCTGAGCTTTAACTTGAGCTTCCTATCCCGGGGGTTCATTTGCCACTGTCCTTGATCTGTCGTTATTTCGAGTTCACCCTCTGTCCCAGAGATGATCCATCGAACACCCACGTTACCCACGGCCTCCTGAAGGTCGCACCAGCGGTATACGATGGAAGCCACAGCGCCACTCTTGAGTCTTCCTTGGACAAGGACGTGGTCAGGGGTATTTTTCTTCATGGGTTCCGTGAGGGTTCCGTCATCTCTCATCACAGGTATTTCGGTAATTTCGGTTTTGAGATCTGATTGAAGTGTCTCAAAATCGCCTAGAACATAGGTAAAAGAATCAAGGACTGGAAAATCACAATGTTAGCTCTACTGCTCGACTTGGAGATTTTGAGGGTTTAGTGGGCATTCAACATACAATGAGCAAAGTTGATGTGATACAAGTTACCTCCGGATTTGATGTCCTGATAGTATTCCATCCCGTTGAACCAGAAATGAGAGGGCAAGCTGCTGGTTGAACCAAGAGCATGGGCGCTGGTGATTCTGCCAAGCTTTCCGCTCTGGATAATCTCCCTAACTTTCAGGAGGAGAGGGTCTGCTCGAGCCTGAACTCCGACAATCGTCTTGATATTTTTCTCGCGAGCGAGGGCAGTGAGCGTTTCCGCTTCCTCTGTTGATGCTCCCAGTGGCCATTCGACAAAGACTTTCTTCCCCTCGAGCAATGCAGGCTTCGCGATTTCGAAATGCTTGCCTACTCTCACACTGATGACGACCAGATCAACGTCCGGGTCTTTTGCAAGATCTTCAGGATTTCCGTATGCTTTCACAGATGAAGGTAGCCCGTGCGCTTCAATTGCACGGCGAGCGGACTCGAGTGAGGAGTTGCACAGCGCGACTAGCTCATAGTCCGGAGAGTGAAGGAAGACAGGAAGAAGCGCAAACACGGCCCAGGCGTGAGGACCTAGCCCGTCGGGCTTGATGCTAGTAAGGCCGACTAAACCGACGCGAGTAACAGCCATAGTGATTAATGTGATTGATGAAATAGTTTGATAAATGTTGTTGTTGCATTTAAAGAAGTACAGCCTGGCAGGCAAAGAGGCGAGGGACAGTCACTTTTTATACTCTGATGTGATATGTTTACTTAGGAATTGTGATCCTCTCGCACTTTAAAGTCTCCGAGATATACTTTAATCTCCATACTAATAAAAAAAGCACATCACGCAATGGCAAGTCTTCAAAACTCTTTGGTAGTTGGTTTTGCCCAGCGTATAGGTTAGGAACATTATGGCGTGATTTGATTGGCCTGAACTCCGCGGAGTTGCTGACAAACTGGGACCAACTTTGATACTCTGACAAATCGTCTGTTTACCTCCGTCTCACCAACGAACTTTGAATGGATATTGAAGACCAGTACGCGATTGTCTATACTAATAAATATGGTATCGTCTCGGAAGAAATCCTGCATACAGTGCCGAAACCAAAAGGCGAGGTGTTCTCAGGGCAAACCATGCTTCCATTGCCAAGAACGGAACTGGGACTGCAAGTACGACAACGTGGTCATCTCTCACCGGCAGAGGCTTCGGACTTTGAGGCCAATTGGATCTGGGGGGCATGAAACCTCCTCGGATGAGGCGACAGTGGAAAGCCAACCGCCGGCCTTGCAGCCTCTTAGACTGATCCCGCAACATGAGCCAGGAGCTACCAGCTTGCCGTCTGGCGATCAGGGGTGCTCTCTGGCCCACCCTGCTCCCAATATACAGCCATGCCCCTCGGCTATGCTAGACCCAATGGAACTAAGCATCTCGGATATGCTCCTTGTTGACCCCAGTGATCTGGCAAACTTTGAGCAGCCTTTGTTGGGCGATTGTCCGATATACAGCTCGGATTCTTCTGGTTTAGACATTCCTTCTTTCGGCTGTCCGTTTGAACCTGGTTCCACACTTCATCCAGAAGAGCCACAGACACAGCAGCCAACACCACCAACAGTAGATTCGAGTCTGTTGCCACTTTGGGAGGGCTCCAGGCAACGCCGAGCTCTGTTGTCACCGCGAAAGAATTACAAAATCAAACCCTTTTCCAAGCTTCGAACCTCGGGTGTTGATAATAGGATAACCACCGAGTTACTCTTAGGCCAACTCCTCTCTTATCCTTCCATGATGATTGGAGGAGGACGCCTGCCCCCGTTTATCTTTCCTCCTTGTGGCACAGGCGGCCTTGCCGCCAGCAATAAGTGCAGCTCCAATGGACTTCACAAATGCCTGCCTGAATCCCTCGCTATTTGTAGCAGTTTGGTTCAATCATTCGAGTCAAGAACACAGGGAAGTGTGGAATTTATATGGAGAACTATATTGTCTGAGTTGGAAAGGTTCAACCACGATGTGAGTGCCTATGATCTAGATTTGGGTCTACATTTCCCGAAACTGACATGGAGAATAAAATCAGTTTCAAAGCTATTCCCGAGAAGAATTACTTGAGGCACTACAAGCTTCAATAGTGTATCTACTACTCCAGGCCAGCGATACCGACTCCGTGAAGGATCATGACGTGAATTTGTTAATTGAAACACCTGGGGTAAGGACAGCGCAGATGTCCCTTGTCAGAATTGACTACTCTTGACGAACGAATGCTGATCTCTCCGATGTTGATAGGAGTTGGCAAAGAGACTACACAACATGTGTGAATACGAATCCAATATACCAATTGGTCATAGCTTGAATCGAACAGAGTGGAATTTCCGAGAGAGCGTCCGAAGGTATGCTCTAACCCTGACATTGAGTGACTTCCACAGCTGAATCTCTTATAGAACAATATGCTTACTATACGGAATCGAACTTTTGATCGACGTTAACCTGAGCCATACTGACAGGGCCTCATGTGGTGGATACTCCCTGGTTCCGCTTCCATGCAGTCGTGACCTGTGGCAGCCGCTGTCAAATGAGGAATGGGGCCATCGTTTTGAGAGCCAAGAGAAGACCAACAAGATGAACCGACTGCTAAAGCTCTCAGATCTCCAGCTTTCCAGGCGCGCGATGGAACCTAGGAGTCCATTTGAAAGAAGTCTTGTCGATCCTTCATCTGAAGTCACAAAATGGAGCAGGACCTTGGATGAATTTGGAGTGTTGATCTGGATGGCCGCCCTATTAGACTAGGCCTTTGAATTTTCGACTTGTTACCGGTCTATATAATAATTTTCGTTCTCGAACTAAGCCCAGCATCAAGTTTTGTTAGTATTTACACTTCTTTTCCTCGATAGATCTTCCATTTCCAAAAAGTCCTCCCTCTATCAACCTCTTCGAACTTTGATCGTTAATTTGCTGAGAATGGACTGGAATTGGATATGAGTGTGGCTAAGAATGATTAAGGCAGACATTATCTGAGTTGATAATAAGTGGTGTCTAATTAAAAAAAAAAAACACCGGAATGGCACGTTCTAGTCTTTTACAAACCATGCATAATCGGCACCTCAATTCAGGCGCATGTACACAAATAATCCTATAATCCCTCCTCCCACCTATGTATCAGAGGATCAATATGGCAATGCCATCGATGTTCCAGCCCCTCTTTGATGAGATATAAGAGTCGTAGAGGATAGGTGCCAATGAACCAGTACCCTTGCAATTTCTTGAGTAGCAAGCAATAGTATCCTAGAAGAATCAAAGCAACAGGATGCTGCTGCGCGAGAAGACCTGTGTATTGTAAAGAGACCAACATCGGCCAGCCGCAGACCGCATCCCATGGGTTGAAGTCACTGCCCAAGTTATCAGCCCTGACAGATGAACGGAGCAGTTGGTGACCTGCTTGCTCAAGCGCTTGGCAGTCTTCCATGGAAAGTTCGCCCCCATCGTGCAGAGATATAAGCAAGTCCTCAAGGGCTGTAAGCAATACATCCTTGATCTCTGGGAGTTGTTCGGTTGCTATATCTGGTAGATGCCAACATCGACAGAGCTGTTTCAAGGGTCCAGATGAGATTAGCTCCTTATAATTTCCCAAAAGAGTGCATCCATTGCGTCGGAAATACAGCCAGCTCAGCAAGAAGTCCGGCTCTGGGCTTGAGATATCAATCAACAGGAGGGAATCCTCATGTCTCTCTGCACCGAAAGAATATACGACCAGAAGATGCATGAAAGCTAGAATAGCGTGGCAATTATCTTCTGTCACCTTTGCCACAGCGTCCCGAAACATGGGCATGGCGATGCTTTGATGTTTGAATGCGCAAATGAGGTATTGCTGCTGTAACGGATGTTTAGCGGCGAGATGCAACGCCGAGCAAGCGAGAATGGCATGCATCAGAAATTGGTGAGAGGCGGCAATTTCGGGCACAGCATTGCGCCAAAGATCCTCCTCGCCTCTTACGATTGTGTTGAATGTTGACGTTTGAAAGTGGTCCAAAAGCTCGTCCCTGGAGGGAAATGAATATTCATCACCAAAGGTTTGGATCATCTGTGGTGACATGCAACCTTTTACAACCTGGCAAATCCTGCTCAATCAGAACCTCAAACTTCTTGGTATGGAATTAAGACATTACCGACCTGGGTTTCTCCGCAAGCTGGCTCCTTCGAAGGCCCCGTAAAGTATCGTAGCGAGTTTCCCCTGAAGAATGTTTGAAGTAATGCATGTTGCCAGTCTTTGTTGTCATACCCATGTCTTCCGTGTTCCGACAGCCAATGTTTTTGCATGCGCTTCACAGAAATGCAGAGGTAGTTACAAGAGCTTTCCATGCACTTCAATCCATCGAAGACCGGCAGGAAGGGAACGGGAAAATCGTTCAGAGGTTTATTGATAACTTCGTCAGGCTCGAGGAGAGGAAACTTCGAGACGTAGGCCATGTACGGGTGTCGTGACGATCGGAGAATCTTGTGGACTTCTTTCAGATGCCTGTCAATAGCGGTTCCACGAAGTGCGTATTTGCATTGTTGGCAAACGATCACCTGGTACTCGTCGTCATACACCAGTAACTCCTCTGGGTGAAGAGCAGAAGTTTCCCGTGCCATCTCTGTCCTCATTTCGTAGAGGAAATGCCTATATAGAAATAGCACCTTCAGTATGGATTCATTTACTGCTAGATCTCAAGAGAAGGCCACCTGTCAGCTTATAAATCATATCTGGTCGGTCTGCGTGATCGTCTAACTTAGCAGGGAATCTAAGTGGAGACGACATGAAAATCGACGGTCCCGTTCCATGGCATGTTCTAATTTGGTGGGCCTGTACCTTGTCGATGGTGTATGACCCCTGCCTTTGAAGCTCATGTATCCGTACATGATGCAAGGTTGAAGAACATGAACCTGTTCATAGAGATGCCCCTTAGGATAGAGAGAAGGCTGTTCGATTATCATTACCTCAGTTCGGCTTATAAATCAGCGGATATGGGCAGAGGCCGAGCACCTCGTAGAAAGTGGCTTTGAAATATAAATACCAGTGAAAGATCAGACTATGCGATCTTCTGAGCCATGCCTGCTCTTCTTTGAGAACACTACCTCTACTTTGACCTTCTATCTTCCTCTAGTAATTCCATTACCATGCGTGCTTCGTTATCCACCGTCGCCCTCGTCGCTGGGGTGTTCAGCCTCCATGCCTCAGCAAACCCAATACAGACTACACGCTCTTCTAATCACCAGCCTCGAGAGCTTTTGCAGCTCCCGGGGATATGGATAGAAAACATCGCTGTGCGACACAACGGGGATTTATTGTTGACCACAATCGGCAAGGGGGACATCTACTCGTTTAACCCATCCCGTCCAAATGCCCAACCACAGATTGTGGCAAACTTCGATCAAATCAGCGCTGCAGCTGGCATTACTGAGATTGGCAAAGATGTATTTGCCATCACAGGAGCGGAATACAGCTCGGCAGTTGGGTTTACACCTGGCTCAATCCAGATGATCCGGGCTGATTTCAGCAAGGACCGCTGCGGAGCGCATAAGAACACTACAGCTCCATCAACCGACTTCATACTACGGGGAGGTGACGTTGGGCCGCTGAATGGATTGGTTACGCTTCCATGGCATCCGAATTTTGTTCTGGGTGCAGACTCGACGAAGGGGTTGGTTTGGCGTGTTGACACCGCCTCTGGCGAGGCCGCGGTTGTTATCGAGGACGAGTTACTAACCCCCGGCCCTGTTGGACCATATGATTTTGGCGTCAATGGGCTGAAGATATTCGGAGATTATCTCTACTTCACGTGCACGAAACGACGAGCGCTGGGACGAGTCAAGATCGACGCGTTCGGAAACAAGGTCGAACCCGCCAAGCTCATTGCCCAATTTGGAGACGCTGATTCCGGTGCTGCCACGGATGACTTCGTCATGGATAAGAAGGGGAACGCTTTTGTCACGGTGCGTCCGAACCTCTTGTACAAGGTTTCTCCGGGGGGTGAAAAGACCATTGTGATGAATGGTATGATTATTGCCCCGGCCTCTGTGGCACTCAGCAGGAACGAGAAGAAGCTTTTCGTTGTCACAGCAGGCGACGAGGCAGCTTCTATTGGAGGCCAGGTGGTGGAGCTTGACATTTGATATCTGAGGCAACACAATATCATGACGTCGGACATGAACTACTAGTTAATCCTAGGAGGTGACAATTCATAATCTTTGTCCTATATATGTATCTATTTAGTCACACCAAATTAATCATATATTTGCACATTGGGGACACAGAATTCCTTGATCTAACACTCAGTCCCACCAGTAAGGATCCAAGCCCTCCAGTACATCCAATTCAACATTTACGAAACTCTTCCACAAATCAACTTCTCTTATCCAAGGTCTCGTCTGCATCGCAAACGTAACTGCAGTAGCATACTTGAAGAGTTGCTTAGAATCTTCTGCCATCACCAAAACCACGTCTCCCCGATGCGCAACCCGATCACCAATCTGTTTGTGCATGAACTTCAATCTCGTTTGGACAACATTGTGTATCATAGACTCGCTGGCAAGCATGTCCTTGGGCACAAATCTGAACTCCCATGGTCTGCCAACACCATCAAGAAAACCGGTATTTTCCCGATTGTTCGGCCCGACCATAAGGGGGTAGAAATGCGGTGCGGACCAGAGACGGAGAAGCGCGAAACGAGCTCCCTCGTGCGTGCTGGCGAAGTTCTGGGCGAGTGGGAGCAGCGCTGGCCATCTGTCGGGTTGGGTATAGTTGGGTGGCAAGCTAGGATTAAACTGGCAATACGGATTGTGGTAGTTCACGAACAAGTCCAGCTTACCTGGCCGGTGCGGCTCGGTATTGGCCATGGCAACGCCTAGAATGATTTGACGGTCGTTCTCAGCATATCTTGGCGTAATGATGCCCGCTCGATATACTGTGACGAAGCATGTTAGCCAAAAATACCCTGTCTTGAATGAAGGCTGAGGTTATAACGAACGTTTAGCGATGATGGGCCGGATTGCAATGTTCCATTCCAGAGGGATATTTTCCGCATAATAACCTTCCGCATTCCACACTTTGTCCCACTCATCCCAAAACTTGGAATCGCGGAGCTTGTAACTTGTTCGGCCCCTTCGGTCCGCTTGCGTCTTTCCTCTCTCCCGCGGGTTGAACACCAGCGAGTTCCTAAAGGTCTCACATTGGTCTGATTGGATGAACTTAGTGACAAGAGCGGTAACTTCAAGCTCAGGGAAGAACATCGCCATGCTCGCAAAGGCCTGCACTATGTCGTTGACAACAAATGCGTGCGGCCACGGGGCACTTAAATCGTCGGGTATGGGCTCATTAGCTACGATTCCAAGCCAGTCCAATGTCTCAACAATGAACCAGACCCAATCGACTGGTCCCTCATGAGTGAATCCCAGCATAGTGCGTATCACGTCCTGTACTTCTTTGAAGTTCTCAGATGCCTCTGGCTCAAGGTCTCCGTCGTGGAATGTTTGCTTGAATGCTAAAATATGGTGGTCAGTTTGTTTCAGAAGACATTAATGGGAACTGCTTGATTTCGAAGCTACGACTCACCGATAGATCGTTCTCGCTCTATGACCTCCACCTCGCTGGAACGTTCATAATGCTCTTGGACGTCTAGGTTTCCAATCTCAGTGACACGAGTACGCATAAGGACTTCTTCCATCTCGTCAGGGTGTGTGTTGAAGCAAAGCGCGTCCAGGCCACTCTCCCAAATCTCAGGCCACTTCCAACCCCATTGTTCAATCTTGTCCTCCTCTTCCTGGGCAATTAAAGTTGTACTCGAAACATCACTGGTAATGGTATCCATGATCTTTGCCCAGCTACGCATTCTAGGTTTCAGAATTCCTGTCTCGAGTCGATCGATGGGGTTCTTCATCTCCCGGAATGGCACACTTTTGTTGTTCGAGTCCAGTTCATCCGGAAATAGGACCGCGTCCTCAAGAGCGTTGCCTTCATTATAGAAAAGGTACGAGCACTTAGCGAGCTCAGCGCCCCTTTTGGTGACAACTTCCTTGTCATGGTCGTTGAGTTGATACATGACGAATTCGCTAGAATCGCTGTTGACTGTATCCCAGATGGTCCGAACATCTTCCCCTGGTTTTACCTTGCGGGTCCGCATGGTCGTCTCCTCCCTAGTCAGAGAACTCAGCAGAGGCTTCATGTGCGAATAAATTTCGCGTGGGTTGGTTAGGCGCCATGCATTTCGCAGTTCCTAGTTTGGGGTAGAGTATTAGCTTAACACTGAAAATGTTATTGAAGAGATGAAAACTGGGAGCGAAACTCACATATATGATGGTGTTAGATAGCGAGCTCGCAGTCTGGCAAGGGACAAAGTCCCAGATATACACGTCGTAGTAATCTTCAAACCCAAAACGCCACTCTCGTAACTTGTCGGTCAAGGCGAAGAATTGCGGCCCGACTTCGAGCAGGTTAAACCATTCGTTTTTTGAGGCCCTGCCAATTCCTGACTTCCGGCGGTATGTCCACAAATGTTCTCCGGGAGGTGCTGTTATCACACGACCAGTCTTCCCATCCCGCACTAAAACCAACACCTCTCCAGTTCTCATGATCAGATACTGGAGAAATCGACGAGTTACTGGGTCGTTGCGTTTCATATGGCCAGCAATGACATTCCTTGCCTCGATGATATCGTGTTGACGTCTTGCTTGGCCTCTCCCACCGACTTGGTAGTAGTGACTGTACTGCTTCGCATTGGTGTCGATGAAATATGGGAAGAGCTCGAGCTTCTGGAGGTGCTCAACCATTTGGTTTGGGGTCCAGGACACCCAATTGGACACAGGGAAGAATTTCCAAAGTGCAAGAAGATTCAGATCGGAAAACTCGCTCCAGTTCCGGCAAAGCTGGATCGCGTGTTTGAGGTCACAGCCCTTGGCTATGATGGAAAACTGCAACCAGCCGTCTCTCGACATTGCTTTCTCGCTGGCATGGTTCCAAATTGTTTTGCCGCAGATTGTGATCTTCGTTTTCTTGTTTGTAAGATTCTTAGTCTTTTTGCTCTTCTTCTTGTCTCTCCTCTTCTTGCTCTTGCTCTTATCAGTTTCAGCGATACGGTTTTGACCATCTAGAATATGCTCCAAAAACCAGTCCTTGCTGTGCAAGTGTTGGTAGCGCTTTTCTCCGGTGAGTAAATCCTGAAAGTCTTCTGTTTCCTCTTCATCCTCAATATGTTCATCCGAGTCATCTTCAGATTCATCTCCACGAGCGAAATCAGCACATGCGTCTCGAATGTTCTGTAACGTGGGCGCCTCGACCTTCAAGCAGAGATCTCGCAAATCGGACTCCGTGATTTCAGCGTCTTGCAAGAACTCTTCCACGTTGCTGGCTCGTAGAGCAGCAGGCAACAGTGAGGCGTGCGCAAGAACAAGGCGACAAAATAACAGTAGCTTGATCTCCTTTACTTCTTCAAAGGCAGCATCGATGTCCTCGTCAGTCATCGGGGCCGTCCTTTCAAATGTAGCGTGGGGATTTTCAAGAGAGCCAACGAGCTGAGCCCCCCAAGAATGGGAGTGGTCCTTCTCGACTCCCTCTTTCAGACGCTTTCTCATGTCCACCTCTGTCTCAATGCTGCTTTTATCAGGTTCTCGTTGCTCTTCGCCGGTGACGACCGGACCACTTGCTTGCATGGCAAGCAGTGTCTTCTGGCCGCTCTCCGGTCCATGCACTGTCTTGTAACTGTTAGAATCTAACGTGGCCTTTGAGGTGCCACCTTTCTTGCTCTTTTTCTTCGGCTTCTTAGCAGGAGTCGAGGTCTCTTCTGCAGGGGCACAATCCTCAAGGTTTCCGGTGGGGACAGGCTCGACGTTTGATACGGTTTGATCATGCTCCAGTACTTCCATCCAAAGGAAGTGCTTTATCAGATCAACATACTGGTAGCGCTTGTCCAAATCTTCGTCTTCAATAGGATCCCACTCCTCGTCTCCATCCTCTCCTGCCGAGTCCATCGCCTTTCTCTCTTGATAGGCTGCCTCAAGGTATGCATCATGTCGCTTCTTCTCCTCTTCCTGTCGATTTCTCTTTAACCTAGCTTGCACCACTGCCCAGTGACGTTTGAAAAGAGCAGCTTCCTGCTTGATCTTCTTCTGCTCTTTATCACGGTTTGCTTCCTCCTCATCCTGGGCCTGACGGGCCCATGCAAACCACTGCTCTTTTTCATAGAGCAACTTCGCAATTCGTCGACCGAGCTTCTCCAAGGCTCGGAGGACAGTGTGCTGTTGGCTACTGAGCTTGTCAAGGTATGCTTGGTGTCCATAGTCGACATTCAGGGAATAGAAGTGTTTATGATGAAGCCTCCGAGCATCAATCACTCTCCCTGTCAGATTGTACTTTTCAAAAAGATGCGCGTGCACGTCTTGAAGTGCCTTTTCGTCATCCAGATCCTGGAAAGTTTGATTGGCAAGGGGGACAGTCGAGCTTTTCAAATAGTCGGGTGCATCATCATCCAATGCGTCCAGCCGGGCATTGCGTCGTTTGTAGCCGAGATAGAGACCATAGACCTGCTTGGAGTGAAACCAGCAAAACAGCCCTTCCGCATGAGTAGCTTCGTTGTGGCATTTTTCAGCGCTCGAGAGCTCCAGCGCCTGACACTCTGAAGACTGGGCGCTCATAGTAAGCCTGGGGGACTATCACGTGTTTAGTCCTTTAACCCTCGTCAGAAGATAGCATAGAGGGAAGCTCGTGTCTCGTCGACTATGCTCGCTGTAGAACGTGTGTCCTCGTGTCGAAAATTTGCCACCCCCGCATCAGCACAGGTGTTGTTTCAGAGATGTGCACATCTAATTCGACAGAAAAAGTAAACAATTGGTGAGAAGCAGGTTGGATTCAATTGGAGCCCCTGATGTCCTCAAGTGGATGTTGTCACGTGACAGGTAAATGTGCATTGACAGAAGCGTCACATCGTATCGAACAAGAGAAAAGAAAAGAAAAGGAATATAGGTTCCACATCATTTCTTCTGTTTGAGATTGGGGACAGAAAGTAAACCGATGAAAAATTCTGTGATGATTGGGATCAAACCATATGAAAAGAAAGTCCTCACGCCAACTGCTGCATCTTCCTCCAACATTAAGCAACTAACAAACAGTTGCTTTCAAATTACATCAAATTACATGTCTAAAGAAAAAAAGAGGAAATATGATATTGGCACTGCCATTATGGGGTTCCGTCCTGCGCAGCAACAAGGGAAAGTTGCACGAACCTGAAAGGATTACTCGTATGGCTTGACTTGCTCCTCAGACCATGTCCACCACTTCCTTGCCGCATCTGTACCCCCTTGTTCTTCAGTTTTCAGAACATCCTCAAGGTCCTTCCTGATCGCCGAGAGCCTGGCAAATGGAATCACTAAACGGTGTGTTAGCAACTAATGATCAAAGATGGGTGCGGTAAACTGACCCCAGGCTCCTGTGTTTTGTAAGCTGATCTTGGGAGTAAGCCCGGCAAACAACTCTGTGTATGCTCCATTAATAACAGGGTGCACGATGAGGCCCACAAAGAACTTGAAAATTCCGGCTTGGTCTCGGTAGAGGTCGGATGCAAGATTTCCAGGGTTCAGAGGAACACAAATGATACCATCCTCCTTATGTCTCCTGGCATACTCGACCGCGTGTAAGTAATTGCCGACTTTGCTGTAGGCATACCTGTCCAAAGGAGACCCTATCTTCAAGAAGTCCATCTTGTCTAGCGGCAAGCCCGTTCTCTTATCCGCGACAAGGTCCACGAAGGAAGAAACCCAGACGACGCGGACTGTTCCAGGGTCTGCGGCCTTAGCGGTATTAGCCAGCAATGGTGTCAGCAACTTAGTGAACAAAAATGTTCCGAGGCAGTTAACCCCAACGTGGATTTCATGTCCTTGCGCAGTCTTTCCATCAGCATCGGGAGACTGTACACCGGCGTTACTAAACAGAACGTGCAGCTTGCTTTCCGATGCAATGAATTGTTCTGCTGACTTCTTTACAGAGTTGAGATCGGCAAGATCCAGATGATGGAAGCTTAGAGAGCCCTTAGAATCTGGTGATGATTTTTTGATCTCCTCAATTGCCTTGTTTGTCTTCTCTTCAGAGCGCGCAGCAATCCACACTTTGGCGTTTTTTGAATAGAGTATCCGAGCGACATCTTTGCCAACACCGGTGTTTGCGCCTGTCACAAGATATACCTACCATCAACGGTTAGACAAATTCTCTTTGGGTAGGCATGACGAGTAGAGAGATACCTTATCCTTCAGGTCCAGGATATTGGCCTCTGTGAAGGTTGGCTTGGGTGGGAAGAATTGAGAGAAATTGGACAAACTCTGACCCATCTTGTCTGCTACTTAGAAGGTCCGCGGCTGTGAAATGAGAGGAGGGGGAGCTGGAAGAACAGGATACTGCGTGCTCGGTGTAGAACGCCATTTCGAAGGCATGGACAACTCGTACTTTAAATACTCAGCATCACCATAACGCCAAAGGGCCGCATGTCCCCGAAGACATGAAGATTGAGCCATCGTTGGATCCTTTTCTCGCCTGTTGTGATTGGGTGGCTCGGAAACTCTGCATCTTGATTGGCTACTGGCACGGTGTGTGTAAGCCAAAGCTGGGAATGATGCAAGGCGCCGCAGGAAATTTCGGATGTATCGAAGATTGCCGCTATTGCCGCTCAGCCGCACAATTTCGAACCACCCTTAGAATCCATCAATGTTCAAGCCGGCCCACTTGATTGTGTTCGAGCTAGGTTTGATTGGAATATAGCCCACAGTAGTTTAATTCAGTTCGTTGGATATCAGTCATATTGGCCCGCACTCGTCCATGATCCCGTTTAAACGCCTCCTTACTATTAATTAGCTTGGAGCTTATTATCCATGTCTGGGGTCTTATCAGCCTAACAAGCCCAACGCGTAAAGCAAACAAAAACCGAAGCAAAACCCAGAAATCAATGATCATTTCTCCCAAAGAGGCTTGTATCCTTTAACTAGTGTGCATTAGGTGTTATATCATCGCATGCAAACCTCTTAAGCAAATCATTAATGTGTGTCGGCGACATTCAAACGAGGTAAACTCATCGATCCAGGTACTTCTTAGTCCTCCAAGACACCCCTCGCGTTCTCAAAAGCCAAGCCAAGAGCAATCCTATACTAAATGATTCAGAATATATGCCGAAACACCATCCCAGGCCGGCAGCATCAGCCAGAGGCTCCAGCGCCGCGACCCCGGCTGCCGCAAGCAGGCAGCGAAGAAGACTGTTGGCACCTTGAGCAGTGGCCGAACGATCCTTCTTTAAATCGGTAGGTAGGGTAGCGGATTGCTTTATAAAATGTGAAAAGCTAGAGGCCGTTTCCCTTCATGAAGGGTATTTGATATGAGCTACCGTGAATGTGCATCACCTAGAGACTCCAATGAAGAATTGCGTTAAAAGCATAACAGAAACATGCTTTAGACGAGTAATTCATAAATAAACGTAGGACATCAAACAGTCTGCCCCTAAATGAATGTAATTGACCGTTACGTTAGGTAGATAGGTAGGTAGCATACGACCTGCTAATCATCCGTTGACGAAAGAAAGCTCCTCTAAACCATCCTTGTGGTGAATATCCCATATTTCTTCCTTAGAACTACCAGATGTCTGAGCGTATCTTGGGCTAAAGTCTTCGTGCACCGATTCTGGGAGAGACCAACCCTGGCAAGGATCTCGAAGATACATTTTCATGAGATGCCTCTTAGTTGTCGCGCGACTCTCATCAAAACCTTCACGGGCGTGAAAAACAGCCATGTCGTTGATAAACAGTATATCTCCCTTACAAACAGGAACGGTCATAGAGTTTCTCTCGGCAACAAACTGCACAGCATCCAAGGCTTCAAGTTGTGCTTGACTTGGCGCCGGTAATTGGGTGTTGCGCTTGCGCTGCCACCCTAGTATAGGGTATCGAGAGAAGCGAAAGAGCACTGGCGGAGTGTTTCCGTGACCCAAATTGGAAAGAAATCGAACGTTACGAGGTGGTTGCAAGGAGTAAGATTTAAATCTGCCAGAAGAGAAGAAATCAGCATTGAACCTTAAAGCATGTCGTGCCTTCTTCTTTGAACACTTACGAGTCAAGCACCCAGGGTTCCGCAAGGGTTCGTAGGACTTCTGGTCGCGTTTCTGCTAATTGGTTGTATACCTTCCAGGAGCTGCTCAAGATCGTTCGACCACTCTCCGAGGGCATTTCTTTATAGTAGAAGGACAAGACCTCGCAATTATCAGTATGGAATGACTAATCAGTTAATAGTTAGATGCTTTGTAGAGTCAACGATCACCTATTATATTCTTACCAGCGGCGTATTGGTAAATGCGGGAGCCACAGTTTCTGGCCCATTATTGCCATCTTGGACGTTCACAACATGACCTGAGAAATCCAGTATGTTAGTACATTATCCACCGGCCTGATTTTATATTAGTTTTGACGTACCGATAACTCTCCGACCAGCCACATCAACAAACCCTCGCTGTGGAAAAATATGGGAGCTCAGGCCTGCGTAAAGTATTATATTCTGTCTTGCCGAGAAACTTGACGGGTCGAGACCGTGGATGATTTGGAAGCCGCATCCGGTGTAAACATTGTCGGCGAGTTGTCTCAGGCGTTGTGCTAACTCCCCCGGCAGCTCAAAAGTTGAGGAAGAAATAGATGATAAATCCTCATATTTGGCTTTTCAAGTTGTATAATTAGTAATGGATCGATTTGGGTTTTAGACTTGCGAGCACCGACTGTCAAATGATAGTACTGCAGTAGAAATCGCACCAATGTCTTCTTCAGAGAGGCACAACTTCCACTGCGAGACCTTGTCCCGCATATCCTCGCCTTCCCAGGCGAGGCTCGAGTTAAGACTTTTTGGAAATCCTTCCAGAACATCGGCACTGGCTTTGATCCATTTGGACTGGTCATCCCAGAAGCGCTGGGCCTCAGTTCTAGAGGGATTATAGGAATCGCAGATGGTGGCCATCTTAGATTAGCTCTAGGTCAAAGTATACGTATGTTTATCTCAAGTCAGGAGTGTCGGTGCGTATTTGAGAGACACGTACTAAGTGCAAACTCTGGACTTGCGAACACCATGGATTTTGCAGTTAGAGATGGTTCTCTCTCGTCTCATACAATGCAGTCCCGCCTAATTAAAGTCTTGAACACAACCGAAAGTCTAAAATGACAAATCAGTTAACATAAAAAAAAAGCCTCATGTAGTTCAGGTGTGGTATCTGCAACCCAACCGTGATTACGGTGTGGGCACCAATTCCTCACCACATGTGACGACAGCGAGCGGCTGAGATTTTGTATCTGCAACGCAACTGTGATTACCGTGCGGGCACCAATGAATCCTCACCACATATGACGACAGCGAGCGGCTGAGAATTCGTATCTGCAACGCCACTGTGATTACGGTGTGGGCACCAATGAATTCTGACCACATATGACGATAGTGAGCAGCTGAGGTTTCGCATATCTACGAAGTGACGCTGATTACAGTGTGGGCGCCAACCAACCTTCACCACGCCTCCTTCGGTTACATATTCGATGGAAGAGTGTGTCCTTCAAGGTGTATTCCCGAAAGCCAGGGAAGAATTCCGCACAATGATACAGTAGTCATCCACTTTACAACAAGACCTAATAGTAAATCTACCATACTCATATGCACAAAAAACTCAAGAGAGCTGTATCCTGTTCGGTTAACAGTAGTCTAGCCATGGAAAGGGGAGGATGCTTGGGGCACGAGTTCAAGTATCGAGCTACTGCACTTAAAATCCACCAACATTCATATAATAGTCGAGTGGATGGTTAAGAGTCTTCTCAAAGCCAGCAACATGCGTGAAAGGGTTAGGCAGCCTCCTATAAACGCCTAATCAAGAATCATCGGCTAGGCAGTATTCGTTAGACAAGCGCGTGATTAACGCCACGCTTACATGCTACGAAGAACTTTGGTATCTGTAATTCTTACCCGAGACAACGCATATAAATTCAAGGCTGCCTGCCCATATTATCCTAACGATATCTGTCCTTCGATCTCTTTCAGCACTGAGATGAAACGTGTTGTCCTCAATAAGCCATGAGTTCAAAAAAGTCCGACACTGTAAGTGGTTCGCTGGTGAGTATTAACATCCTGAGGACTGCGGCTGATTTCGCGGCGCATAGGAGCTTCGTGCGGTCTATGTCGAGGTCGAGCCGACCAGACAGACAAGCACTCCACTACGTCCTTTTCACCACGCTCGCGTTGTTGTCACTGATCCTGGTCAGCATAAACGTGGCGAAGATTTGACTGAACGATCGACCGGGATGGTCTATGATCGAGGCGACGGCGTCGTGATTGGTACGACCCAAAAGAATAAAGATTTGGACATTGTAGCACCAAAGCCGTATTCTGGGATACCTGACAACTGGAAATCAAACTACCGCGGGTTCACTGACAAGTCGCCCGAAGAAATCCAAAAAATTTGTGAGTCTTTCTTAAATGTCTGAGATGCTGACAACCAAAGTCCTATGGCTGACAATGGTCGGAAGCGGACAACCTTGTGCAAAGCCAAATCGACAATGGCGTCAAGTACAGCATTCCATACAACAACTGTGCCCACTTTGCAACAACATTTGCTGATAAAATCACTGAGGGGTCAGTCATATCTAACCCAGATAAAAGTGACTCGTCAGATTCGGTTTTCGCGCGTAGAGCACAGTATAACACTATCGCTGGAACTGAGGCTTTAGCACGTGGCGACACTGAGGAGGCTAAGAGGCTGGTAAAGACTGCCAGTTGGTCTGAGGATGTTGGTAATCGTGTGGACGCTGGGTTTACGGAATATCGTGATCAATGGCAGCCGGACTGGTATGTTCGCCCTGTCACACCACCAGAAGCCACAGGAGCGGCCTCCAAATATAGTGTAACAGAAACAGGAGCTACGGATTCCATGAGAGAGGAACCTTTTGATGATACAAACCCACCGTGGTGAGAAGTTGTGGAATTTTAATTCATATTCTTAAAGGATTAACATTTTTTTATCACTTAATGGTATGTTTGTTCGACAGGAACCCTGTTGGGATATTGTTTCGTCATCCATATTGAAGATGTAGAAAAAAGGACGTGACTTCATTCGCAAGCGGGCCTATAGCAAACGATATGCATCGTAGGGACAACACCCCTGAGACACCCAGCGTTCCTTGCCCCGGAGTTTCCAATACATAAGCAGATTGATACCTAAATTATCCATCCTGAACGTAGCTTCACACATGATAGGTCTAGCGTTTGAGAATGTAACATTGATGATAAAGCACTCAATGCAGCTTCAGATATATTAGGTCTAGCGTTTGAAGGTGCGTGTGTGTGTGATCTTACCTACTTATAAGACATGAGCGGCCACCCCAAGTCCAAAAATTCACAGTATGCTAATACATTCATTGGATATTCAAAGTTTGTGAGGTCTACCCCATACCCTTATTTGCCAGTACGATCAATAATTGTTCAGCTCTTGTGACGATCGAAGGACATGCTGTACAACATGGCGGGGGAGCTAGATACTTATACGCATCAGACATTGCCATCGCCCAACTCTATTCGCATCATGAATATTCAGCCTGGATCTGGTAACGATATTCTTCACTATACGATCAAGGAGCTCTCACTACATGAAGCGGAAGGTAAATACGAGGGGGTGTCTTATGTTTGGGGGTTGAATGACCCGACCGTGAACAGCATTTGTGATGGGAAGGAACTTCGGATCACTCCTAACCTCAACGACGTATTGCAGGGTCTTCGATTACGACATGAGCCAAGGTCCGTCTGGGTAGATGCAATATGCATAAATCAACAAGACCATGTTGAGAAGAACGACCAAGTTAGAAAGATGGGGGAGATTTTTAGCAAAGCGAAGCGTGTGTTATGTTGGCTAGGCACCGACAATGAAGGAATAGCTGAAGACTGCTTTAAATTAATCGTCGAGACTAAAGCAGCGCTGGCACGAGAATGGCACCAAGACTGGGGCATAAACAACATTGTCAACGATCTGAGGCTGCCAAGCCTATCAAGAGATCAGCAACGTTGGGAAAAGGTTAGGCGTTTGTTTGGCTTACCTTGGTTTGAGCGCACTTGGTTAGTGAATTCATGGCTATTTGTGATCTATTTAAGCTAATCAACTACGATGTCATAGGGTCGTGCAGGAGTCCGGACTTGCTCGCGAATGTTGCCTCCTCTGGGGGCGCCACGAATTGCAAATCCACGAAGTCTTGAGCGTGGCTACTTGGCTCTCCTATTCAATGCACGCCCCGATTTCAAAGAAGGGTTCGAGAATAGGAAAAACTTTTAGTGATGTGTTCGCTGATATTATGCTTACATTTGATAATCATCCAACGTGGAGAGACAATGTGGTCTCCGGCAGGACCCTTGATGATTTGCGTCCACGCAAGAAGCAGCTCTATGTCGACCTTTTGTTCTGCGCTCGATCCCTCAAGGCGACAGACCAGCGAGATATTATATATTCGTCGCTTGGTAGTCCCCTGGCCTACTACGACAGTGGCGAGATTATGGTAGCTCCGGACTATGATGAGCCTTGGACTTGTCTGCAATCCAGAGTAGCCCGAGCGCTGCTTCGAAATCCACGTGAAGCACCTTACGTACTCCCACTTGTCATTCACGATACGGAGGAGGTATTCAATAACAATGATACGCCAAGTTGGGCTCCACGATGGAAAACATTCAAAGATTGCGACCCTTGTCCGATCCCTCTCACTTGTACCTATGAATATCGCCAAAAGGCTTACAATGCGAGTCGTGGTACCCCTCGATTCAAACCAATACTTTTGTCAAGGAGTACTCTTTCCTTGGTAGGCTGGAAATTCGATACGCTTGCTTGGACCTCCCCGCACCTCAAATTTGTTGAACTACAATGTGATATTGACAACTGGGGTCCAGGTTTGCGTGAGGGAGGGGTGGCACCTATCGAAGCAATCTGGCAGAAGCTTGTCGACGCCATAAAAGAGCCGCCTGATGTGCTGGTGGAGTTGCTCAGCTTAACGTTAGCACGAGGGCGTCCAATATCCGAAAGCTACGTCAGCGACTTCTTAGCTTATTGTGAGAAGATTCGGACGAAGCTTGGGACCAAGACAGTTTCCCCATTTCCTAATCACGATATCAATCAAGGGGTTTCTTCAAATGCTGAGTGGGCTATAGCGAGAAATCGGGACCGACGCATCGCATTTACAACACAAAACCGAATAGCTTTAGTGCCATTGATTGCTCAGGAAGGCGATTGCTGCTTCATCGTACAAGGGATAGATGTTCCCATAATATTTCGATCAAAAGAGTCCGGTATATATCGATGTGTCGGGGAGTCTTACTGTTCTGGAACAATGGAAGGGGAGCTACTAGGTTCTAAAGCCAGGGAAACTCCTATGTGGGAGCTATTTCAAGTAAAATAGTATCTATATTTTGAGCTCAACTCTTATGAGCTCGCTAGAATTATTTGAAGTTACTAATTATTATTTATTACTATATTCTCTTTGAGGTATAATAAACTTGCTCCGTAATTCCCTTAAATAATAATATAAGGAGATGAATATCTTGTGCGGGGTCATGAAGAGAGTATACGGTGGCTCGAGAATCACGACTGAAAACCTGTTCCGACTGCGATATGAGGTGTTTTTAGGCGACCCAGGTCTATTTCTCATTTCTCTAATCGAAGATGGACTTTTGAGAGTGTCTAGGTGGCTTGGTTGTGAGGCTACTATGATTAAGAGTCGGTCAGAGTGTTCCTGATCCAATGTGAGCTGTTGTTCTTAGTTATCTATGAAACCCCTGGCGTTCTAAAATGCCGGACCAAGAGAAATTCTACAGTAAGTGATATAGCATATACGCCGAAGCACCCTCCCAGGAAGTTCATAAAATATTGCCTAGTATAAAAATCATAGTAGTAAGTGAGAGAGCTATACAGCTGCTGAAAAAAAAAAAAAAAGAGGAAATTCCTAAATACTAAGAATTTAATAACTTAATACTATACCCAGTATTATAATATATTAAACTTCAGTCTTTTTACCCAGCTATATATAAGGTTTAGTACTAATAATAGCTCTACTGAGCTATATATAAGGTTTAAATTTAAAGACTATACCTGGTAATAACTCTTTTATTAGTATAACTCCTTTAATAAACCTTAAGATACTGCTTTTTATCTATTTAAAGACTGCTATCTCTGGCCTGGTCCTTTTACTCAATAAACCGTATAGCTTAAGTCTATCTGCAATCAGTAATCTGCCTATTTCGCAAATCGCTGAGATAAGCTAAGTACTATAAATCGCTACCTTTATTATCAGTCAAATCAGTTAACCACTTATCGCTACTCGGTCGGATCAATCGATCGTATATCGCTACCTTTATTAATATACTCAAGTCCTCGCCAAAGATCAAACAACCTACCGAGCCTGTATCTCACCTGATCTGTCCGACTATATATACTCTGAACTCAGTTAAAGAATATAATAAGATAGGGAAGAAGAAATTAAGATAAAGTAATTAGCTACTAGCAGTAGCTACTATTATACAGAATAACTAGTTAGTTAAGTTAAATATTATAATCTAGCTGAAGGTTAATATAAATAATTATAAGCTTATAGGAGCTATAAAAGCTATTAGATTAATTAATCCTAAGGATATTAGCTTCTAATAGAAAGTTAAACTGCTTAATCTTAGGAATTATATTCTTAGTTAAACTAGCTCCTTTAAAGAGGAGTACTTTAAGAATATTAATATTAATAAATATAGCTATTAGCTAGCTTTCCTCAAGGTAAAGTACGCTTTATTACTATATAGTAATTATAACCGCTGTTGCCTCTAGCCTGCTGGAAGGCTGAGAAATCAGCTTTATGAAGACAGCTGCTGAGGTTGCCTGGGTTGACCGAAATACAACTGGGGAGGGGAGGAGGAAGGAAGGAAGGAAGGGAGATAGATAGCTAGGCCAGTTAAATACAAGCCCACTGTCTCTCTCAAATACACGAACGTACACACATACACCTGTCCTCGTAGCCCCCCCCGTGTAAAAATCATTACACGTTGTACATTTCGCGTCTTAGATACCGGTGGTTAACTCCCACCTTTCTCAGTAATCCTATAATCATCGATTCGACATTCCCTCCGGTCTATAAATCTTGACCAATTTTTCACAATAACAAGCTTATCGTGCAGGCAAAATATGATGTTATCTGTGGCAGTAGCCAAGAAACGGGCTTCAGAACCATTTCTACTGGCCACAAGTTCGTTTGGTACAAATAAATGCTGAGAATATGTGCAGCTGGGGCTCTGTTTGTTTAGATCCGTCAGGCTCAGACTGGAGAGCCACGAATTTCGATGTAAAAAGTTGACATTTTTAGTCGCCGGGCTGATTGAAAAGAAGCGTTGACAAAAGTCAGCTTCTAATCTGCACGATGGCCTCAATTGTTGGTTCCTAGATTTGCCAAGCTCGAAGACGTAGGTTGTCGAAGATTTCTGAAAGCTAACATGATCCTCAGATTCGAGAACCAGGGTCTGGCCGTCCGGATGAATGGCTCCAGAGACGAAGCTAAAGTTGTCATCTTCGAGTTCTTTATCAACTTGTAATTTAATCTCGGAGCCTTGAACAGGCTTAGAAAAGTCGTCACTTGAGTATCGAGCCAGTTCCCAGTTATGGACCAGGAAGAAGTCAGACCCCTTTCCACGAGCTGGTATTGGGAACCATTGGCAGGGGGTTCTCTGATGTTCCATGATTTGATGCGTATGTACCAACGATCCATCGTCAGAGAAGAAGCGGTGGGAACTTTTGCTTGAAAGCACGAGAAATTCTCCAGAATCACTGTAGCAAAGTTGGCTAACGACTTGCTGAATGCGCTCTTCGTAGAGGATAATTGAAGTGACTTTTGACGATGAGAGCTCGCTCAAGTCAAGCTTGTGCATCATGACACAAGCGCTATCCGCCGAAGTCAGTGCATTCTTCCTGCTCACGGCGATGTGAGAGATGTTGTGTTTCAGCGAATGTGAATACAACTCGCCCAATTCTAATCCCGTGTCGGAACTATATGCGGTGACGACACCCATAGCACTGCCGGCGAATATCAGAGGCAACGAGGGGTGTGCACACAAGGCTGTGATCCTGGGCGATCTCATTTGATTGTATTGCCCTTTGACAGCAGGGATGGCTACCACGTCGTCTCTAATGCTCTCTTCTTCATCCATGCCATTCCGAATGAGGGCGCTCGGCGACCAGACACGCATACTCTGAGAAGTGAGGTCAATGATGCTGGTTCCGCTGGAGGTGAACCTGATACTTCTAGAAGATGAAGAGGGTGCTTCAAGGTCATATAGCAATGTCAAAGTCTCGAAGTCCCATATTTGTAAATGACCAAGGGTATTAGTTGTAGCGAGCGTCCTCCCATCAGGTGAGCACGTAGCCCCTGATACGCCACATTGTCGAGGAGGCGTGTATGAATGTACCATCTGGCCCCATCCGGCCTCGTATGAAGTCATAGTGTGGTTCGCATACATCACCACGAACAGATTGATATTCGGGTTTGGGTTAAAAATGATTTGTGAGGGCTGTCTATCCCTATCATCCAAAGCCCAGGTTATGAACTCTTTGCTCTGAATGTCCCAGAGGCAGACGGTACCACTTCTGTACCCAAGTGCCAGCACCTGCATATCGGGGGATATTGAGGCGACAGAAGGCACTCTGTCTTGCAGCTGATTGTATTCTGTATCGGCTTGGTGATTCCTGAACTCAAAACGATAGTTGTCCAGGAGCCTGCCATCAGGCATTGCCCACGTTAACACGGCGCCATGCTCACTGACCCCAAAGATTTCATCCCCGTAAATCGTCAGATAGATGCAGCGAGTTCTTGTTTTCTTTTCCCAAATTTTCCCCCCTTGTCTGTCGAAGAGAGAAAGGGTTTTTGTGGTACAGACAATAATTGATTCATCTGTGAAGCAGACAATGTCCACTGACCACTTTGAATGCAGAGCGCCGACCTGTTGAAAACTTTGCGCACTGTACAGATTTATTAAGCCTGAGGCCATGGAGACAGCAACGAGGTTCTCCCCACATGAGACCGAAGACGCCATCTCCTCTCCGAAGGTCAGTTCTGCAGCACAGTCATCCCATACTTCTTGACTGAAACCAATAATCTTCAAGCTCCCTTGCTTGCCTCCAAACTGGCTGTGTATGGCAGAGTTGCGTGGACATAGCGGGGGTATCAAAAAATAAATGGCGGATGGATTCATTAGTAATGCGTCACCGAATTTGGTAAGTATTCTACTGAGATCAGTGGACCAATCTTCGATGTGTTTCAGCTCGTGGTTGGGTGGTGATATGGACTTGGCTCTTCGATCCAGATATGCTCTTAGATTTTTTGAGGCTCTCATTAATACATGAAGATCGCCTTTATGAGCGATATGCTCAATCCAAATTAGAGCATTGGTGCGAAAGAATCGATCAATTTCCATCAAAAGATCGCTGCTTTCTGACGATGCCCCCTGGACATGCTCTGAAAATTGCGTCATGGCATAGGACAAGAACGGGGAGTGTGAAACCCGTCGCTGCGCGCCTGGGCGGCCACGGCTGGGTTGCAACTCATGGCTCATTAAGGCTTTGAGGCAAACAAGGGCGATTCTTTCGTGAGCTACAGAGCGTCTTATTTTGAACTCTCCTGCAGCATCCGTTAAGAGAAACTCTCGGACAGTGGGATGAACAACATCAACGATGCCGGAATACTTGTCAACGGAGATCAGCTGACCACAAAGGCCTTTGATTGCGTCCTCGGGGTTTGGTAGGTTGATTTCTATATCCATCTTCAAAGCCTGAGAGAGCTCTGTTGCTTTCAATTGCCTAGTACTTCCCACAGTCCAAAGTAGTAGAGCCTTTGCAATATGTTTCTCGTGCTTGTTGCCTAGCATTGCCACAATCGTTCGTTCGTAGTACGGAACCATGCTATCTGGAATCGTATGCAGCACTTGAAAGATACTTTCACTGGAGTAAACTTGCTCAAGCTCGTCCAGCACCAGTTTTACCCATAAGAAACAGGCGTTTGATCGTCTTAGAATTTCTGCTGCTAACTGGGACTGTTCTTCAGCACTAGTAGCAGGGAGGCTTCCTCTGCGAGCCTCGATGTAACAGCTTATATCGTACATGCTGCAGCGCTCCGAAATCTCAAGGATGCTCAAGGTTAATGTTGCTTCTAGCAGCCGACACAGGCGGGCCATATCTGGAACTGTTCTGCTCGTGACAAATATGCGCAATGGGAAACTAGGCTGTTCACCTTTCAGCATGGTGAAAAACTCCTGGTATTTGACGCACTCGTCCATCGCATCGACGACCCAGTACTGCGGAGCAAGTCCATGAATCTAGACCAGAGAAATGTATTAGTCTGTAGCTCTTATTCAGACACGGGTGGGATAAAGTACTTGAAAGATTCCTCTGCTGAAAAGCTTCGACCAAATGGAGCGACCATCATCTAGATCCGGCAGAGAGGTTTCATCACAGAGATTTAAAAGCTTCTCGCAAATTACTGTATTTTGCGCAGCCATTTGGAAAACGATGGACCGCAAAAAGTACGCCAAGGACTGTGACGCTCTGCCGCCAAGGTGGAAATAGTGAGAAGCACATTCAAAGTCGAGTTCCTGAAGCTGCTTTACGACATGGGCCGCGAGAACAGTCTTCCCTGTCCCTGGATTTGCATGAACCCATAAGAATGCTGGAGTATACCTAGAGGATTCTGTATGGGGGCCCAATGTCGTTGCATCGACATCTTTCCATTCTTTGAATTCATCGAATTCGTCGATCCATTGGCATGATCCCTCGACCGCATGGTAGCGTTCATCGAGACGTTCTGGGAGTGACAAATATGCCATGAGGGAATTTAGTTGCTCTTTACTCTCCTCCTTCTTCTCATTGCGTCCTATTAATCTTAGTTTAGCCATTTACATCGACGGGGGCCGTGAGTAGTACCATTCGTCAGTAAGCCTTCAACAGCCTCAGACAAGGCATTTGCAAGCCTTGTGAAGTTAGCGTCCTTGGGACTGTTGAATTTACACATCTCTTTGTGGTCTGCGATGAGGTATTGAACTCGTTCGTTCTTGAAGCCCGGGCCTAGGGGGTAGGTTATATTGTGAGACTCGTTGTCAAGATCAAGATGATGATGAAATGCTTACCCAAAATAGCAGAGTTTCTGGGCACAACTATGCCAGACGTCATGCCAAGCTTCATCTCCTTTGTTTCATAAAAGGAGTAGATGTGAATATCGTGAGCTTGTTTGCTAAAGTCCTCATTAAGCACCTGTGTGGCTACCGAGTCGAGCTCTAGGTCTTTGACATAATTTGGCGATGACGAGCCAGAAAGGCTGAGAATCCTGCTTAATATTTTGGCGTATTTAGATCCTCTATGAGGTGTGCCAAGAAAGAAGATGGTTTGTATCCGGCTCTGAAATTCGGGTGTCTCTCTAGCAAGTAGGAATGCCTGATCACTCAGTCAATAATGTTCTTGAATGTTCAGGCCTCATTACATCGGGGTGGGAGGGAAAAGTTCTCGAGGGCACCATGTAAGAGAGTTTGAGTAGAAAGTTGAAAACAATAGAAGATGCCAGACCCGGCAACTCAACAAAATGAATAGAAAGGTTAATAAGAGAAATACTCGAGGGCACCATACCTTCTTAATGACTAGCCCGCCGAGCGAATGTCCAAGCATCATGATCGGGCCCTGCAGTACGTTAGCAGCCTATCTCCCTCCTTGATAGTCACGACGAACATACCCTCTCATTATTTCTCAAATGCGGGCAATTCCGCATCTGTTCAAACAATGATTGACCGAAGTCGTTAATGGTCAATATGCTTGGGAGCTTAGCATCTGCGAAGTTGGCTTCATAGCCAAAGGTATGGATATTGACATGCTCAAAACCGGGCTCAGATGGTAGCCAGCACTGCGGCCAAAATGTTTGCTCATCTCCGCTCTTGCGCCAGGTCTTCACTGGATGGCCTTTGAGGCCATGGACAAATATCAGATCCAGTTGAGGATCATTCGAGTTGTGTAGAAGCCTCAGCCCGGTAGATACTGGCACTTCCTCTCGAGGACTCTTGTCCCGCCATTTATACGACAATGACTTCGTAAATCGCCTCGTAAAATATGAACCACTTGTTGGACTGGACTCGCTATGGCCGGTATTGTTGGAAAACTTGCTGTCCTCGAGTGGATTGCTTGACCTGGGCTGGTGTTGTTGCCCGCCATGGGCGCCGGATTCCACTTGCGTTTCCCCGCTCAGACCAACATTGCTATGCTTTCGGTCGCTGATGCTCTAGAAAGGGTTTGAGCTATTAAGAAATACTGGATCTGTGGGAATACATACCAGCATCTCGACTATAGCAAACTATTGCCTAGCTACGCACTCCTGGAGCGCGTACGAGGTCTGAGACGATTTCTAAGACGTTCATTCTTCAGCGCGGAAAAAAAGTTGGCCATCCAAGCAACTTCCCGATGGTAGAAGAGGGAGTGGCCCTGCCACGCCATGCAGACCAACAGGCGCAGCAAGGCCTAGAAGCGCCCAGTAATGAAACATAGCAAAGTACGCCTCACCTCACATAATCCTTGTCATTCTTTTAATTCGCTCTTCCACCTTACGAAATCCACGCGGAAATGCATATCTCACTCCCCCGACCCCACGTCCTGCATGGGGCTTCGCTGCCATTGGTAGACTGGAAGAGGCTTTGCCATATGCCCATGGCTGGCGCTTAATCGCATTTGGGGGAACAGTTTCTAGAGCGCATGGGGGCCACCCCTAAAGAAGATACGAGGGGCTGCGCCAACATTTATGTCCTGAAGGCTTCACTGTTCAAGAGCTTCACATTCGTTGACGCTTTATCTTCCAACCGTAGCCGTCATGGATACCGATACATTGACCCTCGACCCGGCTATTGTCGCAGGTAATTCCCCTAGGACACTCAATTATCCCTGCCTACAAATGCTAATTTCCCAACCAGCTCTTCCCGTCCAGGGTCAAGTGGTCGCCATCTCCAAGCACGGGGACACGAGAGTAACAAAAACACTGCCCAAGTCAGTCCGGTACAGGAATGAAGCTCACTCAATAACTTTCAGTGGTCCACCGGGTACAAAATTATCATTGAGGATGACGAGGATGGCCACGAATTTTTCATAAAGGTGCTTAGTCGTCGATATTAATCCCACTGTTCGGTATCGCTAATTAGATTCATGAAGATCCTTGATCGAGAAGAAGCAAAAGAGCTGGCAGAAGGAGAATTTGAGTCAATGACCCTCATGCACCAACTCATTCCAGAAGCCATTGTTCCTCCGATTGCCTGGGGCATGTTCAAAACTGATAACTCCAAAGCTTTCTACCTCACATACTTCCGCGACCTTGATAAAAAACACCCGTCTGATGATATTTTGATACGCCTCATTAGTAAAATTCATCACAAGGAATCACCAACGGGGAAATTCGGTTTCCATGTTCCCACTTTCTATGGTTGCAGGAAGGTAGATAACACTTGGTGTGACAGCTGGGAGGAGTTCTTCTCTCGAGAGTTACGTTCGTCCATCAACTCTGCCCAAGCCGTCCTACAGCATGATGAAGAGCTCGAGGGGCTAGCGAAAACCTTCTTTGATTTGGTGGTTCCAAGGCTTCTTCGGCCACTCGAGACAGGTGGCAGGAGCATTAAACCTCAGCTCGTCTTTGGCGACCTTTGGGATGAAAATGTGCAAGTGGATCATCGTACTAGAGCCGCGGCATTATTTGATCCGTGCTGCTTTTATGGCCATTTCGAGTGTGAGTATCATCAAACGGTAGAAGCGGTACCTATTCTCATTCTCGACACAGTTGATTTTCAATGCATGACTTCCGATCGTTACTCTCTCAACCATAATTTTGTCAATCTATACAAAGAGCAGATGGGAGTTTCTGAGCCCGTAGAAGAATTCGATGATCGCGTTACTCTTTACGCACTGTGAGTTTATCAGCTATCTCTTCCCCCCGATCGGTACTCAAGAAGCTGCAGAAGAAATGATTTCCATACTATGGGTATGTGTCCTCAGTGGACCTCAGTTCTTGGCCAGTAAGTCAGATTGAACTTCCACTCATGGCGCGGCCTCTTGAGGTTCGAGGTTTGCCCTCTGACCATAGCTGGAGTTTGCAGTGTCAAATCCGAAATGGATCGGCTTATAAAGAAATACCCCGACGGGCTTCAAGGCCTTAAAGCCAATGTTACTCTTTAAAACAATATTATCCTGAAAGAAAACACTGCCGATAGCGCTACCATTCAATGGAATGACGACATGCCTTTCTGGAACCCCATAGGGCCGGGACCAATGGAGATATAGGAATGCGGGCCTGGGCCTATGCCCACTGAATACGGGGAAATTTCAATCGCGGATGGCAGTTTTGAAACGAGAATCTCGGTGTTTGTGTTTGTCAGGACTCTAATCCGGGATTATGGAATGACTATTCACTTATTGTCTAGCTTTCCTATACTATTGTGGACATGCAGGTGACAATTACGATATTACTCTACGAGTCATGAACCTCTTCAAACAAATGAAGAGCTATGATAAATCCTTTTATCTCAACCGCAAGCTTAATGCTTCACACTACTATAAGGCCAGCACCAATGGAAGTCGCGGCATCTGAGTCTAACTTGACCTTTCAAAATGGTTCCACCAGTGACATCCAAACCAACTTGCGCTAATGCAACCGGCTTACGATTTACCATTGGCAGGCATTTCTTAGCCAATCATTGGATGATGGGTGGGCTCCAGTAACTCCGAGATGAACTGACTCTGGCCCGAAGACTTGAGAGCCTGGAAAGATCTCCACAACGGCATTCTACCCCCGAGAATTTGAGCCTTGTATCACCTTTCTTCTCAGGAAATTGAACTTAATTGGATGTAAAGGTGAGCCAGGTGCATTCACTTATCCTTCAGTCGAGTGAAGCTTCTCTCGGAGATCGTTGCATCATCGGCTCGTGACTAGTCCCAGCAGCTACCATGGCAGGAAATTTCGAACCCGAATTAGGTCCCCGGGCCTTGACAGTCGGTAGTTTTCGCCATTTCCCCGAGCTGCGAGCCTCCACAGACGACTGGACGGGTATCAGCGGCACCGCGGAGCGCAAGAAGCTGCAGAATCGCTTGAATCAGAGGGCCTGGCGTACGTAACACCGAACTAAGTTCATTCTTTCGTCTAATTAAACATGATATTTTCATCAGCCGAACTTACAGTTGCGTAGGGCGAAGACAGAAGTCTCAACGGACAGCTGGGGGCTTGGGTCATAAGCCGGCTCTCAGCGACACATCCAGCACGCTTACCAAGAGGGAAGACTTCTTCTCAGTAATCCCTCCGGCCATGAAAACGCTATTGGGCGGGCCGCACATGATCGACAATGATCGGAAGCGACAAGTTGCGATCAGTCTGATGAGACGAGCCTATGAAGAATATTCTCTGAAAGACCCTCGCCCAGCCAGTCTACCATTTCTCGTCCGTCTCAATCTTCTGAACGCGTTGGCAAACAATGCATATAAAATCGGCTTGTCACCATGCTCTTTATGTAACGACGATATGATATCGCCCTTCAACTTCGCTGGCCCTATCCAGACGTGGCAAGCAGTACCCAAAACCGAGTGCCCGGATACATTAGCGCCAACCGAATTACAAATAAGAGTTATTCATCATCCATGGATCGACCTAATACCCTTTCCAGCACTGCGTAACAACCTCCTTAAGGAAGTGGAGGCTGGCACCGTGGACGACGATGATCTCTGCTGTGATCTGATGGATATCAGTGACTCGGATCCAAATTTGATCAATAGGCCGGCAATGATTGTTTGGGGACAGGCATCAGATGATAGAGTTTGGGAAGTAAATTCGGCGTTTCAGCGAAAATGGGGGTTCCTTGTTAAAGACTGTCCCGGAATTATCACGTCGACTAATTCCTGGAGGGCCAAAAGAGGAGAAGGGCCATTGATTTTTGAGATTTAAGTTACAGTCGAGACATTACCCAGAATTTATACAACCTTCAAAGGTCTATCAAGTCCCACACTTTGCTCTCCGTAGAGAGATCAACACTCTGATGGGAAAATTCTAGCTAATACCAACAAATGGTCGGGATGGGCCCACTAATTCATAAGCCAGATGCATGTGTGGGTTGGTGTCTTGAGATGGATGATGCAACAGCTATCAGAGTTTTGGCTAAATCCTATCTCCGTCATGCCCGAGGCCATTGAAGTACTATATATAACCTGTCTACTGACCTCCATGCCTGGTATTTGGAATGAGATGAGCTCAGCAAACTTTGCCTACATCCATCAAACGACATCCCACTCGATTCTCTAAAATGGTGCAAACAATCCCTTTCGGAAGTATCCAGGTCCCGGTACCAGGCTATGGAGCCATGGGTCTCAGCCATGGCCTAGGGAACAACTTGAGCCTCGAAGAAGCCGAGCCTGTTCTCCTGAAGGCTATTGAGCTCGGGTGCACATTCTGGGATACCGCAGTGAGTTACATTTTTAGCTGTGAATGAGAACGAAAGACCGTTGGATTTAACCTTTGGGTGCAATAGGTGGTTTATCGCCAAGGTGTCAATGAGAAGCTCCTTGGAGATTTTATTCGCAAGCACAACCTCCGTGACAAAATCTTCAGTAAACCCAACCCATGTATTCTGTTTTGTTTCATGTTTCTGATTCGAGTGCCTGCTCTAGTTGCCTCAAAGTGTGGCTTTACTGCGGATTTCAAAGTTACCAACTCAGCCTCACATATCGCAGAGTACATTGACGGTACTATCGAGAGGCTAGGATTCGCGCCGGACCTATATTATCTCCACAGAATTGATCCAAGTAAGCAAATGTGTGGGCTTTAGCTTTTCCCGTGCTAATCACATGTGCCTTCCAGACACTCCGCTTGAGGAGTCCATCCCCGCGCTGGACGCACTCCGAAAGCAGGGAAAGACCAAGTACATTGGGCTTTCCGAGTGCTCAGCCGCAACTCTCCGTAAAGCTAACTCCAGTATGATTTCTCCCCAAGTACTTTTGACTCCTATAACGGGTGCATAGTACTCACTGGTATCAATAGTTGCCAAAATAGATGCCATTCAAGCAGAATATTCGGCGTTTGAGACCATCCACGAAACAGATGGACTCATTGACACCGCGAAAGAGTTGGGAGTGGCATACGTGGCCTATAGCCCATTGGGCCATGGCTGGCTGGTTGATGATTTTCCTTACAAGACGCCTGACGACTTCGCGGCGGACGACTTTCGCCGAGGATGTAAGTGTCTTCTATACCCAATTCTCGGAACGCAGCAGCTCATTCTTTATCTTGCAGCCCCTAAATTTCAAGGAGAAAACTTCTTCAAGAACAAAGCCATTGTTGAGGCGATGAAGCAGCTGGCGGTCCGCAAAGGCTGCACCTTGCCTCAAATCGCTCTAGCTTGGGTTGCCGCTCAAGGGATGATCGCCATCCCTGGAACCACGAAAGTACAACGACTTGAGGAGAACTTTTCTTCAAGGAACGTGGAGCTTACGGATGAGGAAAAGAGGGAAATCAGAAAGATTGTGAACGATGCTAAGCCCGCGGGGAACCGGTACGGCCCTGCTCACCAAGCAATGGTCGGACATTAGTTAGTGGGTCTTAAATGTACAGGCAAATACAAACCATTTCATAGTTAGTGGATTTTAGAGTGTCTCCATAAATAAGACATTGCCACATCATATCTAAGTCAAAGGATGTCGTGTGTGAGGAAGTGGGATCATCCTTTGAAACATGTCACTCGCTTTATTCTACATCAGGAATGTATGAATAGTGAAAAGAAAGGCTAATAAGACAGGCTCAGAATGGCGCTCTTAACTATTATTGTCATCAAAGCACGGTTTTGTTAGATCCGTCAAGCGACCAAATTAGAACAATGAGGCGCTGATGAAATACAAACGGGAGGAGGCGAGTCGCTTGTCAAGCACCTAGTGATATTCCCAAGATGCAAGTATTTTTTAGGTTTCTTAAATCTGATGGAAACGAGCATAACAAGTGTCTGTAAGCATTCTAAGCAGAGCTTTTAGACTCGTGGGTAGTACCAGTTTATTTTCCATTGCATAACCAACGATTGACCACACGTACACATCAAACGAGAATGTTTAAGTTCTAGATCCACGATTCCTTTAGACTCATTGCGAAACACGTCTCCAGTGGCAAAAGTAATGGCGGGTTTTGAGTGACTCCGAGCTTACGACGAACATGAGACATTCCACTGAGAACCATCTCGCAAATGTTATCGAAGTGCCTCGAACTTATTCCAGACCTGCGACGGTGCAACTGGGTGAACGTCACATGAGGCAAGCCACCTCGGCAGCACGTTACGCGGATTGGCCCAGGTGAATGTAAGGTTATTCAACTCAATCCTAACCCAGCAAAATCAGGGGCGAAGGCACAGGACAAGTAACACCTCGCAATATTATTGGCAGATCAACCTATTACTACCTGGTCTGCATAGTATCAGACGAAAACACCTTGTCAAGAGGGTTTCAATTCACCACACTTGTTCGCCCACCACTTTTTTTTTTCATAAATAGTCCCGCCATTTTATCTAAATGGCCTTGGCTCATCCTCACACTCTTTGTCTTCTACAAATTCGCGACTAAAACATGCTCTTCACAAAGATCTTCCCACTTGTCTTTGCTGCACTACCTATGACCCTAGGACAGAATGTGCCCAAGGTAATATCAATAACGATGCTTTCAGTATCGTAAACAGTAGCTCACGTTTTGATTATCTGAAAGAGCAAGATCCATGCGAAGAAAGACTTCAAGGGAGTCACATCAGAATTCGCCGGGGATGGACAATGCTGGGTAGTTATTTATCCGCAGTGAGTACTGCCGTTGACCATCCAAGGTTTTGTGAACAAACGACCTAATGGAAAGCATTGCATAGCACTTTGAGCTTCAGGTCCATCACTATTGCCCCTGGGCATCATTGCCTGTTGTATATGTAAGTGTTCATGGCAACCAGAATAATCATTTGCAGCAAAATTAATATACAAATACGAGAACCAGCACGGAGAATTGTTTTGGTGATGCATGGAAGGACGTTCGCAGCAGTCAAAAGTCGGTGGATTATGCAGGAGTTAGACGTGTGCGATGTCTGACTACAGCTTAGGGATGCCATAGTTCAGTTCAATAGATATATGGAGATGAGTAGCATGTTTCAGCAAGCTATATGCATAGGGACTTCCAATATGGGGACCTCAGTGTTGGTTTTACTCCCTTGAATCCTCCGAGATAGTAGTAGGTTCCCCCAACACCACATTTCAAATGCAGGGGTCACTAGTATAATGGAGGTAAGCTTGAAATAACATCGATTGAACTGGTGCTGCTGCGGTAGTTATGTGCTCTTAGTGACAAAAGCCTAACGCCAACTCTCCGGCTCTCGCATGCAGCCGGACCGCTAATGTCAAGTCGAGATGGTGGAACGGGCTTAACGTAGAAATAAAATGCAAGCTTTGTTTGCTCATCTGATAGGTAAGAGCACGGCACCCGACACGTCATGGAGACAGGAGGATTCTTCCATTGCATGTAGTAGTTTCAAGTCACAATCTCTTTGTCGCTTGTTTCTAACTTTCTGAAAACAAACACCTATGTTTTCTTGTTTATGAGTTTCTGCAACGGAAACAGGAGTTTGCATCTTCCGTCTCGACATAAAAAGCTCATCGCGCTCTGCCATCCATTTGAGAAAGAGAATCATCATTCATACATTCCTGTCTTCCAACCCAATATACATCTTTGCGGCTCTACCCCTCCCTATTATCCAATACCAAACTCCCCCTTTTACCTACATATTTAAGACACGATGTCTGAACTAACGCCTGCCCGTCGCGCTGAGATCGAATGGTATGCCGCCAAAGTTCTTGATGATTACCGTTGCCTGCAGGCCATCGTGATGCGTCATGAAGCGACAATACAAAAACGCTGGTCCAAGAAGACTAAGGACCAACGTGCAAGCCTCTTGCTTCAAGTTTGGCCAAACATAGCCAAGCGAAGACATGGCCACTTATCTGCGGCGAACATAGCGAGGAAAAGAACCCCCTGGAAGCTCTCAAACAACAGAGATCAACCAGACATATCCGATGGCTCAGCCAAAAATGTATGGACACATATCAACCAGGAAGACCTGTGCAGGCCACTGAATCTTCTGCTGTTGATAAAGTCAAGGGCCCGCTTTCACCCTTGTACTTTTGCTGGACAAGATGGCGCGAGCATATATAACGGGAGCTTGAAACATCACAAAGAAACAATCCCAACTGAAAGCGTAGTTTTCCTCAACGGTGAAGAGGACTATGGAAAAGTCATGTTGCGAGATGACGTCCCATCCCCGTACAATAGCCTTCATCCCGGCATATTGTTTCAGATTTTCGAAGCACGGGACATTCTTCCATTTCAGAAGTTCCTCCTACAGTCTCTGGTCTGCTGCTGCATGTACATACTCCACGATATCCCTCCTGATGAGATTTTCAGTGGAAAGTATCCGATTCAACCGGAGCCGAAGTTGAAGAAGATTAAGGCAGATAAAAATCTATACACGTCTCTCTCAACTGTAGTCGAGGAGGCTGCCTACCTCCCCCCTCCTGGTCTCGATGTCGACCGTATCAAAGCGCTTCTCGATGCCAGGTTTGCTGCCGCAGTGGATCACATGGTGGCGCTTCGTGAAGATCCTGCGTACTTTGTGAGAGAATGGAAAGAAGAACTGGAGCACAACCCCGGTTCAGTTCAAGACAATCGAGGACGAAGTGGTTATGTGCTTGACACTAAGAGCAAAACAGTATCGCAACCGGATTCCTCTATAATGTGGGCTCACTCATTGGCCCGGATGAGACAGAGAGCGTACGAACAATTAGAGATGTTCAGCAGGCTCCAGGGGGTATTGGCGATGGTGCAGAAAGAATACAGGATGCATGGCCCATCATTAACTCCGGAAAAAGATCTGCCTATGCCACTCTTCCGTTCGCTGGTCGGTTTCCGAAGCGTACTTCACAAATCGCTCGTGATACTCTTGCGCGCAATTCATGATCAAGTACCGCCTTCGCCGCCCCTACGCCGATTCTTCCTTCGCCCGGGTAGTCATCGTCAGGAAGCTCAGATCAGATACTCAGTCGACAAGTCATCAGTTGGCATCAAGTTCATTAACAAGATACTGCCATTGCTTCAGTGCATTGAAGTCTCTGAACTGGATAAGATGTCTGCTTATTTGGACGAGCTATCCCGGTACATGACGGATGAGCCCCAGACTCGCGACCTTCTGAGCCCGATGACGGCGAGCCTTATCGGCGACCTCTCCATCATCGCACAGTGTACCAACCAGCTCCAGATGTTTTTTCCCTGGTCTCGAAGTTTTGAACAAGAAATGAAAAGGGTCCATGACATAGTCTCCATTGGGTGGGAACTCTGTTTCAAGCCCATTGCCAAAGCGACTTCTCCTCTGGTCGAATCACTGCTGAAAGATGTCCCCTTGTTATGTGATCCGACGGATCACAAATACGATCATCCGTCTACGAAGCGTAAGACAAAGGAGAACACAGATAAAATGCGGCACGCTGAAGGCAATTTGGATTTGATCTGGGACTACATGGACGAGAAGGCCGCTCGCGACCAAAATCTCACATATGATTGCTTGATGGGGTTTTTCCATCACCTCCCCCATCCGAAGCACCGCACGCCTGAGTGGATAGAGCCATCGCCAGAACCGATTGACCATGCGCCTTCGCAGCCTCGCACCGAAGACGAAGTTCCCTTTAGTGTCCTGGAAAGTCTTCGCATTGGGAGCGAACAAAGCCCCGCCAAGGAGGAGCCCAGAAAGCCCAAAACGAAGACGCGAGGTGAGCCCTCGACGCAGGATCCGCCACTTCCTGCTCCTATCATCGACGAAGAGGTAGAGCCCATCGTCGAACCAATCCAGGTCAATGCAAGAGCCTTGCGTGTTTTCCGTACACTGTTCTTCGATCCTGATGCGCATTCAGAGGCACGAGAGTTATCTTGGAAGGACTTTGCATATGCAATGACCTACAAGGGCCTCTATTCTATAGAACCGGTGGGTGGGTCAATTTGGAGGTTTACGAACCAGACAACGGGAAATGCTATGCTCTTCCACAAACCACATGATCCGACATATGCGCCCCATGAGGTACGACGCATAGCAGGGCGGCTGCAAAGGAGACTCGGCTGGCACGCGAAGGCTTTTGTGATTGCTTAGGAAGTTGGTTCAGGAGATGTTCTTCTACCAAGACCAAGAGAATATCCTTCAGCGCCCAACTCAGCCAGGCATAGAATTGTTGCGAGAGATCCGAGTTGATGATGGGTGTGGTGGTTTGTTCCAGCTCCCAGCCGCAAGGTTAAAGTTTTTGTTCAATCTTTGTGTCTTAGCCCCCAGATCAAATATCAATTCATTATATATTCAAATACTTATTTCCTTGACTTTTAATCAAATCTTATACCAACCGCTGTGCGAGAAAATCCGCCATGATCGTCTCTTCCCATCAAAGAGGGACGCCTACCCTATAGTTCCTGGGAGACAGCGGCAACAGACTGTGTCGGTTTTCAACACGTCAAAGCTACCGGAGGTGGCAGTGCCCGAAAATCCAGCAACATCGGCTGAATTCGTTTTAATATGATTACCGGACAATTTGAGTACCTTGAACAAGTTCTTTAGCGCCTAACTTCAGAGTTGAACGGGATGGTTTGTTGATCTCTTGACTTTTCCGACTGTGTCCTCGCTCCCAGCATGTTCAACGTTTTACTAGCTTAATAATAACAAATTCATCCTATTTATACGAAAATAAAAATTGGTATGAAACCTTTCTGAGCATTTCCCTTGTCTGTTCTTAGAAAATGAATTGGACATGACTAAACGGGCTACTCAGTACAGTTTATTGAACACGTTGATATCCACAGCGTAATTGGTTTAGTGGTAAAATTCTCCGTTGCCATCCGAGCAGCGTCGGGGAGCCCTGGGTTCGATTCCCAGATTACGCATTTTTGCTCTTCTGGAGCATTACTTTTGCTATTACGTTTCATTTTCTTCTTATTTGGCTATTCTCTTCTGATTTGGGGCCGAAAGTGGATGAATTCTTGACAAATCAGGGCTGCGTGGTGCAAGTCTGCTGTGGGACTTTGGCATGATTTCCGCCTCTCCACTCCGCGTCCCTTCGCAGTTCGCCCCTGTCCACAAGCTGAGTAAGAGGGAGTGTTGTTATAATTAGAAGCTGGAAATGGGATATATCCTGAGCATGTCCAGTTCATGGCGGTGGCATGCCGCACCAGATTAATCTCGAACAAACCAAAGCGAACAAACAAATATAATAACGAGTATATCTTCAAACGAGGAATCCGAAACACAAGAAATCCGGCCGTATATTGCGACAGCCAAACCAACCACCATGTTCATCAGCAAGGCCGTGCTCGTCGGCATCGTCCTGGGCCTCTGCCAGGTTGCCACCGCCCACCCGACGCCCAAACCAGTCGACAGTGCGCCTCCGCCGCCTGCAGTTGAGGCCCGAAATGAACGACCTCTCGTCGCTACCTGCCGCAGATTATGCCTCGGCCACAAAGTCTGCTATCAAGGGGCCTGTAGACCGCGTTCCGAAGTTCCTGGCATGTCTTGAGACGGGGACTGGCTGGGCATGTGTTGATGCGATAGTCATCGGGCTGGCCCTGGCGAACAATTTTTATTATTATTTATCATTCGACGTTACTCATGGGAGACGATGGCGCATTTTTTTTTATCCTTGGAGGACCGGGGTAATTATTCGATGTTCATAAAATTTGGGGTTTTTTTTTCTACATTTGTTTTCTTCTATTCTGGCGTTGAATTTACATTGAGATATCCAGCCTAGCTTGAATGAGCGTGCGTCTAAACTTGTCATTTGTATACTCCATCTGCCTGGCGAAGTGTGATCAGGGGGAGATTTCAGCATGGTAGCTGGTTGAAATAGAAAAGGCCTTTTCGTTGGGGCCATCACCATCACTCGTATGTCCAATCTGTAAAAAAGAATGGCGGAAACTCCATGTACACCATCATTCATCAATCGATCTCCTACCCCGTCCAGCCTTGCCTGGTGTACATTATCACGCCGACCGGGACGATGGCCGACTCATCGTAGACTACAAACTCGGGGAATTGCAGGCACCCTCCCTGCTGCACGGTGAGGCCTTGGACCTGCGAGGACGGATTAGCCACTGTTTCTCAGCATGTCACCTCCCGGTTCCGTGCACGTACGCAATTGTACCCAGGGTCAGGGCAGGTTCGGGTATTATCCGCCTGCGTCAGGCGCTGGGGCTTTGTGACGACGACACGGCAGATGAACATGGCGTGTAATGAGGATCGGACATGGTGGTTCATGGCGTAGCGATCGGCTTCTGCAGCATCAAGTCAACACCCGAATTTGCATATAATTGACGAGAGATTGGATGGGGACATACTGGAGGTGATCGGAGAGGAGTAGATGCCAGGGCCGAACATCAGCGTGCCGTCGGCCCCTGGACTGTGTTAGTCAAAGTCGAGCAGAACGATATTTGGTAGGGGCGGTACTCACTGGCATGTTTGAGCTGGAACGAATGGTTCAGCACGCTGCACATGTAGCAGTCGGCATCTTGGCAAGGCTGCAGCGTGTTTCCGCCATCGCCGTTTTTGCAGGACCGTCTCGTCCCGTGAAAGAGGGTCTTGAATTCGTTGCCGTTGGCTTTCCTGTCGACGTTGGCGTGAGCAGGGTGATGGGATGAACGGCGTTTTGGCGGCCACTTACAGGTACTTCCCGAATCGCTGGCCACGGTATGAGGCTCTCAGCTCGGTGCCCTTGGCCATGTAGATGGCCTGCACTTGGCCCGTCTTCCCAGAATGTGCCCAGCCTTCATTGAATTTTTGCGTATCTGACCAACCCGTGTTAGTTTTGTACGATGCGATGTTTGTTGGCTTGGACATACAGAGCTTGTGTTCGTGATGTGATGGATCTAGTCGCCCGAATGTCTAGTTTGAAGCGTCAGTCCTGCCGGGGTTCGTCGAGCGCGACACAAAAAGGACGTACCATCGGCATTGTGCTCAGGATTTGGGGCGACGAACAGTTGGGTGTTTGATGATATGAATATGCTTCAAAGGATAGCAAAGAGGTAGATACGTACAGAACAAGCACTCAATGTGCGAGCAAAGGGCTCATCACCAGTAGAGGGGTTAGATGCCACCCTCGAAGACGAGACCATGGGTATCTAATACAACGCCATAGGCGCTCAGCCGTGGACAAACAGCCGTACGGAGGCAACGGCCAGGCAGCATGGCTCACACAGCATGGGGGGCTGGCAGCGTGCGAGGGGGCTTGTTCTCGCATGCCAGTATCTCTCGCCTACAGGAGCTGAGGAGCTCACAGGTGTGGCTTTCTGCTTGTGAGACTCAGGGTGCATTAGAGCCTAAGCTATTCCTTTGGATTATTGAAAGGCTGGCCTCCTGCAGCGCTAGCTGTCAGCTATCTTTTACACATTTGTTCTGGGCCGACACCCTTGTCGTGCCCGCCAATACCTGCTCAGCTTCGAGGGGCCAAAGCGGCTAGGGGTCCTCGCTACCGGAGGACGAGGCATTCTGGGGACCTGGATGAGAGGCGGGGAGGGATCTGGAGTAAAAGGTGAGGCGGATTCTCTCTACACATTTACATACACGCACAATTGTGTAAGACGACCAGGCGCTATTGGTTGTGAAGACGACCTGTCATCCGAGGATTCCACTCTGTTTACTACCTATGCACTTTTGACGGACGGGCCGGCTCGTAATGCTGTTTGGTGTGTCGCATTGGGCATGGAGGGAGAGCAAGGTTGGGCCAGCGTTGCGTGAGATTAATAAATGCATATTCATTTGTGCTTCAAGTTAACATTCTTATCGTAATTGAACAAGCTGGACCTGGCAAACAGCGGATCCTACGATCCCGCGCAGGAAACACTTCCTCTGTCCCTGCTAGGCCATCTCATGAAACCCATCTCAATGGCCGATGATCCCATCCATCCCCTGCAACCTACACCTGCTGGCCATGCAGCACCCGGTGAAATGTGTCAAAGTTCCCATCCTGCTTGGGGTCGTAGACGGCAAACCATACCCTCTTCCACCAGTTGCCCGCAAACTCGTTCTCCCGTAGCACCTCGAGCCAGCAGTGGGCCACCTCCTCGGCCGGGTTCCCGTACACACCACACCCCAGCGCCCCCAGCACCAGCGACTGCTGCCCGTGCCGCGCCGCCGCCCGCAGCGTCAGCCTCATCTTGGCCTTGGTGATGCTGCGGTCCTTGTCGCTGGCGAAGATGTGCTTCTCGCGCGGCCGGCCCTGGCTGCGCTCGCCGTCCAGGACGAACGTGTGCGTCCGCGGGTTGCGAATCGCCGCCACCGTCAAGCAGCTGACGTGGGGGAGCAGGTCGGGCGGGAACTTGTACAGCCGGTGGCCATCCGCGAGGCTCTGGCGGAGGACGAGCACGTAGGGGCTGTAGATGACGTTGTCCCAGCTGAGGGGGTAGTCGCGCGAGGTAAGGCTCTTGTAGAGCGAGCTGCGGTAGCAGATGGCCTCCTCCTGGGCCAGCTTGCCGTTGAGCCAGCCGCCGCATGGCTTCTCGCCGTTGGCGAAGTTGACGATCAGCGGGTGCAGGCGCTGGATTGGGCGCGGGTCGTCCTCGGAGCAGGCGTTGGCGTTGGCGTTGTCGTCGTCCCAGGCCTCCTCGGACATGCGCAGGGCGGCGTTGAGCGTGTCTTCATTGACGACGCGGATGGTCGCGGGCTCTGGGAAGAGAGGGCATCTGTTGGGATCCAGATAGGGTAGTGAGTGAGTTGAGTGTCTCACGGACGATGAGGCATCTCTGGTGCGTCCAAGCTTGGCCAGCAGCTCGGGAACAAGCTGACGAGTCTCCTCGCCATCGGCAATGAGGCCATGGTCTCTTTGATTGTTGGATGTCATTTTGGTGAAGCGACTGTGCTGCTGTGAGGATGATGGCCGTAGGGGGAAAGATGATGGCGGATGCGGGGATCGCCTTGGAGACGGTCTCCGTGATGGCTGTGATGAATGCGAGAATGACGCTCTTCTTGACGGCCTGCTGTGACGTGGTGGTGACAAGCTTCTACGACGCCGTCGAAAGAGATAATCCATTGTTTGGATGCTTGTAATTATAAGAATAGTGCAAGATACGGATGGAGGGATGGCTCGCAGGAAGGCAGGTGGATGAACGACCAGGGCCAGATATCAAAGTCGACGCTTTCGCGACGGCACGACGGGAGTGTGTAGCGTGACCGATGGCTCGATACATGCCTACCTTACATACGGACTATCAATCCTACCATCAGAACACATAGCCACATACATAAGGCGTGTGCTGGGAGGTGTCTTGCGCGTCGTCCTTGGTGGCATCAAGGCAACGAACACAAAGCACCAGCAGCAGCCATTCAGCACATTGTGGCTGCGCTTTGGCGCCTGGCTGCATAAGCCTAGCCAAGCTGTAAAGCTGACTTCTGACAGGGGGCTCAGCTTCTTCCCAGGATGTGTGCAATGGCGTGTGTGTGTGTGGAGATGAGCTCTGATGTGGCACGCTACAGGGCTTCCAGGCATTCTTGTCGGGGAATTCCTTGTCCCTTGATGCTTCGGGCTTCCAGCAGGGCTTCACACATTTGTGCATGAACCTGATTGGGAGTCGTTGCTGGCAATTAATGCAGAGTGATCCAGCTCACCATTTGAGGCCCTTTTCGCCCCTTTTCAGCGACGTTTTGACTTATCATATTGATACGACTACCTGCGATCTTTTGTTGAAAATCTGATGGGCTTTTGATGATCTTCTGAGTCACTCTCGCCATTCATGTTTCATTTTCAGGTCACTCTGCGCATGTGAATTCACATTGTAAGCGCAACTGCATGCAACGCTTTTCCATTTGGGCCCAGGTCGAAGTGTGATTTGTTCATCGTCATCTTAGATGCCTAGTATTGATTGAGTGCGCTTTAACCCGTTTGAATCTTTGGTGAAACCTCACAGCACTTGGCTGGTGTTGAACTGATCTGTCCTAGCAGAGTCACGCATCATCATACTCCATTATACTCAGCCTACTGTCGCACACATCCAATCAAGCATTGATGCGGAATCTAGTGCTGATAAAATATTCTTCTAGAACTGTTGAAGAAACATTAGTGTTCTGCTCACCCTCTACTGCCGGAGTTGGGCACAGTTGGTACCACGAAGCGTGAGCGAACCCGTTCTGTCGCAGCACAATCCAAAAACAAACACCGCGCATGTCTAGATGCGTCTTGGTGAGGCGCCGGCTTATTTTTTGACGCGTTCATAGCATTGGAGAAGCGACGTAGCGCTCGTTTGAAGCACGATTTCGCGACATCCAAGTCCCACTAGCTGCACATCTATGCCAACAAGGCGATGCTATTGTCAGGCAAAACCCAGCGGAAATTTCTTTGCACCTTACCCTCATAGCACAGTTGTGGAAACGACTGGAGATCATCCCAATTCACACGTTAGTCATTTCTTATGCCCAGGTCTGAGGTTGTTGCTAAGCCGGTCGCATTATATAAATGACCCGATGGTTTGCACGCTTCTGATGCCAGACGACTAAGCAGACCACACTTCATTCCAGACAACCCGTGAATACGTAATAAAATATAACTTGATTACCTGTAATTCTAAAAATAGCAGTTATTTGAATTGTAATATGGTGGTGGTGACATGTTCGCGATTATAATGATCGCGATATGGCCATCGCTCATGGTCGCGGCTTAGAAATGGACAAACCCGAACCAAGTCCGGACTTCGCCCATTCGTAGTTATAAATAGAGTAAGTCGTTGTGACAAATATGACCCGAAATACCAAGATCGTCTCGTTCTTGTGAATGATTCGTATTAGACACGCCCTCCAATGTCATGATACTTGGATGAAAGAACTGACTTAAAGGTGCTTCCCGCCAGCTAATATTTTCCTCATCGTTCGTCTCCCTAACAATCCTAACACATAAAACCGGATTCCTACACAGATACTATAGGAATGACTCCATCCCTCAAGATTCTCATCCTCGGCGGCGCAGGGGCTCAGAATAGCTTTGTCGCTCGTGACCTTGCGCGAGGAGGGCACTCCGTCAGCATTCTTACTCGCGATCCCTCTTCCGAACAGGCAAAGTCTCTTGCTGAATTGCAAAATATCAAGGTCTTGGAAGGTGACACATATGATGAGAAGGCCCTCATCCAAGGCTTCAAGGGCATCGACGCTGTCTTTGTGAACACCAACGGTTTTGCTATTGGTGAAAAGAGCGAAATATACTGGGGAATCCGGATTTACGAGCTGGCTTACATATCAAGGGTTAAGCATTTCATATACAGCTCTCTGCCTTATGTTTCCAAGAAGGGCGGGTATGACCCGAAGTACCGCGTTCCGTTTGTGGATGGAAAAGCCAAGGTTGTGGGTAGGTTTGCGTTGCAACTGATCGTTTTTGGATTGAATAACGTAATTAATTTGGCTTCTTTGACTTAGAGTACCTAAAATCGCAGCCGACAGATAAGATGAACTGGAGCATTCTTGAGAGTGGTCCGTACGCGGATTTCTTCCTCTTCAAAGAGCTCCCGGTTCGAAATGCCGAAGGTGTCTATGTCTTCACCATAGCCATTGGCGAGCAGGGATCAATGGCACTGGTTTCACTCGATGATCTGGCTTGGTTTGCAAGACATATGTTCGAGAACCCTGAGAAATTCCGCGGCGACGAGCTGAGCGTTGGGATCGAACATGCATCTGGTCAGAGGATTGCCGACGCTTTCACAGCCGTCACGGGCAAACCAGCAAGTTTCGTGGCCAAGACTAGAGAGCATAACCAGCAAGAGCTGCCCGAATTCAAGCTCGGAACAGCTCACTCTCCTGGATTTGAAGACCCGACGCTGGTTACCATGAGAGAAATGTTTGTACCATGGTGGGGGATCTGGGAAGAAAGCATCGGCAACACGGGGCTATGGACAAGAGATTATGCTCGGCTGGACGCTATTAAGCCGGACCGTATCCGAACGGTCGAGGAGTGGATGAGAGCTGTTGGATACAATGAAAACCTGCAGCCACGAGATATTCTCAAGACTGGGTTGACATCTGGCTAGTGTCCACTTGAAGTGGTTAAACCAAATAGCAGTTTCGGAGAAGTGTTGCAACCGCTTGCTCTGCCCCAATGTCTTTGACTTGTTTAAACGTCTTTTTGCAAATGACCCTGAACTATGGCGGAAGGTTACGATATAAGGATGGTCCGGGCATTTGTCATATAGTCGGACGACACCTAAGATCTGCATTAGCCATTAGTAATTACTCACCTTCATAAGTTAAGCGGATATGTATCAGGCCACATTTTCTTAAACTAGAATATTCTATTCAATATTCTATAGTACACCGCTTAGTGGAGCAGAACTAGTCACAACAACTGAACCGGCAGGAGTTCGGGTCATATCCGAGATTCGGATCATCCTCAACAATGATCACGTTGTGCTCCACATGAACGTAATCCTTGAGTCACGGGCGGGGGGCAGGAATAAAAACACTGCTAGCTGTCTACTACCGATCAACTAGCACGTACAAACGAAGAATAAAAAACATGGCGGCGGCACTTTCTCGAGTTATTGAAAAACATCGACCTGACCTGGAGCCTCTCCAGCAGCTGTACAAACATCTCCATCTGAACCCAGAGCTCTCCAACCAGGAAGTTGAGACTGCCGCGACCATCGCCGCGAGGTTGAAAGAAATTGGCCCGGATGACTTGGTGATCAAGTCTAACATCGGCGGGCATGGCCTGGCGGCCATTCTACGTAACGGGGACGGCCCTACTGTGCTTCTGCGAGCAGACATTGACGCTCTGCCGGTGGAAGAAACAACAGGGCTCGAGTATGCGAGCACGAAGCGGACGGTCCATGCTGCCACGGGTGTCGAAAAGCCCGTGATGCATGCTTGCGGCCACGACATGCATATCGTCACCTTGCTAGGTGCAGCAGCGACCTTGTTTTCTTCTCGAGAGACGTGGGCTGGGACGCTGGTTCTGGTATTCCAACCGGCGGAGGAGCGAGGCACAGGAGCTCAGGCGATGGTTGATGACGGCCTATACACTCGCCACGGAGTGCCTCTGCCAGATATCGTGCTGGGAGCTCACGTAAGGCCGCTACGTGCCGGCGTAATTGGCACAAGAAGGGGGATTGTCGCCACCAGCGCGGACAGCATGAAGGTGACCATCCACGGCAAGAGCTCGCACGCGAGTATGCCACATACTGCCGTGGATCCCGTTGTCATCACTGCTACTACAATCCTCAAACTGCAAACTCTGGTGAGCCGGGAGACTGATCCTGCTGACTCCAGCGTTGTCACGGTGGCGACTGTGCATGCCGGAGATGCCGAGAATGTGATTGCGGACTCAGCCGTGTTGGGCATCGATACTCGGTCAACCACAGCCGCAAACCGAGAGCGTATCATGGGCCGTATCAAGGCCGTGGTGGAGTCGGAGTGTGCTTGCGCCCAAGTCCCTAGACGGCCGGACTTTGAGCAGACGCGATCGTTCCCATTGACTATCAACAATGATGCAGTGACCAAGAGGGTTGAGGAGACCTTTTCAGCCCACTTTGGCGAGGGCCCTGATAAATATGACAAAGAATCTCCCAGACTTAGCTTCAGCGAAGACTTTCCAATTCTAGCTACAGCTATCGGGAAGCCCTATTGCTTCTTTACCTACGGATGCGTTGACCATGAGGTTTGGGACAAGGCTGAAAAAGAGGGCACCATCGCTCAGACCATTGCGGCGAATCACTCATCCAAGTTTGCACCAGTGATTATGCCCACTCTGCAAACTGGCTCGGATGGATATGCTCTTGGAGCGTTGACGTTCTTAGGAAAAGAGCAACCGGCATTGTCTCAATAATTCGTTCTGAGCACTAGGCTCATTTTTTATATGGATAATATGCTCGGGAGGCCTGATACAAGACAAAAGTTTGATCTATTCGTTTAGCCAGTGAAGTCCATCTAACATTGAATTTTCCGCCTCGAGTGCATTTGGAAGTTCTGGTGCTTTTAGCCAGAACGTGTGAGGCCACCCTTTTTGGACATCCAGTCTCAATTTCACACCAGCATCGACCAAGGCCATACCATAACACAGGCCATCTGAATACAAAGTGTCCAGTGTGCACAGTTGTATCCACGTGCGTGGATGCCCTAGTAGCTCCTGTCTCGATGCTTCTAGAGGCAATGTCTTCAGCCCATCTCGGGGAACTGTGCGATTTAGATACTGAAATATTGTCGAGACAAAAGATGGGGCGCGGCTCGTATGAAACCGACGAAACCTTTCCGGGATGTAGCGCTTATCATCCGTGGGGTCACTTGTCACCGGACATCGAAGGAGTAGACCGTACACAGAGTCGTTTGGTACCTGCTGGCAGACTGTAGCTGCGAGTTGACCACCGCTGGAGCTGCCGACAATGATATTCTTTGCAGACTTGGAGGAAAGAGCCAAGAATGCGTCCAGAGAATCAGATACACAGGCTTTTGCTTCATACCTCGGCATTAAGCGGTAGCCGACTGAGTAGAGTCTCACAGGCCGAGTGAATGATTTGAGCATGCGTCGACAGGAGAGCTCCTCGCTATCTGCCTCCCCAACGGCCAAGCCACCTCCATGGTAGTATACTATCACAGCCTCCGGCTCCTGCTTTTGGAACTCGGACAAATCAAGCTGCAAAACAGGAATTTGAAAACCATCCACAGAAGAAGGAACCGACAGCCATGATTTGTCGATTCCATCAAGCAACGAGTGATCACGAGCCTCAGGCGCAGTCATTTTGTCAAGGAGTTGGCGACATTCTTGTGCATAGAAAGGTTGTCTTTCTAGGGGAGAAGAAAATTGACGTGCCGAACCTCGATGCGCCATTTCTTCCGAAAATCGGAGCCAGGCTGGATCTGCTGGTGGTGCTGTCTCGAAGCACAGATCCTGCAATTCTTCGATCGATGTAATATCCATGGTTAGTACTTGAAAGGCAGCCGGCGAGTAAAGACTGGGGTGTTATGGTTAAAAAACGAACACGCAAAGAGTCATGGCTGAATAACTAGTTAGGGTTGGCTGCTTGACGTCCAGAGGACGGAGAAATCCGATTCCACCAGTCAGCGCTCATCACGCTTGAGTGTCTTGCTCGCTACCCAGACTAATCATCTAGAATTTGCATTGAGAGATTGCAAGAGGCCCTGAGCTCATTTTTACCAAAGCCCTCCGACGCGTCTGTGGTATGCAATTGTCCGACTTTAAACGCCCCCTTTCCCCTGTGGTTCGAGTGATTGATCTCTCGTAGGAATTCAAAATTAGAAGGCTAAAACTCTAGGTTCTGTTCGGATATACCTGGACTGTTTGAAAGTATTTATTGCTCTTGCGTGAAAATAATCTCGCAAGACAAGACAATGGCTGGGTCTGAACACACGCAGTCGGGGGCAATGATAACGCGCACGCGCACGCGTAAATGTAAACAAACCCGTAGGCAAGCGTCTTCATTGCTGTCTTTATCACTTGTCCTCGAACTCTCACCCGCCCTATTGTAGGCAACTAGCCGCATTCTCAGCGCTCTCTGCCTTAATTCGCTCTGCTAGCAGCGATGGTGCCTAGATGTGGCACCGCGATCTGAACGCGTCGAAAGGAGCAATAAGTCTCGTTCTTGTCTTGAGGCACCTCTGCGTATGGTGCCAACCTAACGAACCAACTGCCTACTTTTCAGCTCACATTTTCTCTGCTTTCCACGTTTGATGACGGACCTTTACCGACAGCCACCAGCATGGATAAGCTCCCCGTCGAGCTGCTCTGCATGATTGGGGAAAATCTTACAAGCCCCGACCTCGCTAGCTTCAGCCGCGCAAGTCGCACACATTGGCAGCGGCCGGAACCGCTTTTGTATCGCCTGCATGCCTTACGAGGGACTCGTCAGGTGTGGTCTGCCCTCGCTCGGGCTCTAGAATTCGCGGATAGGGAGAAGCCAGAATTGCAGGCGATGCCACTCATCACTCTTGGCAAGGTTGCACGATTTTGTAAACTGGAACCAGCTCTCCTCGACCGCTGCCGCTCAACCAGTCCCGCCTACCGCTGGCTCGACTCCAGCACCAGAGATCGGCTCCGCAGGATATCGGTGCAGCTCGAGGACTGGCCTTCTATGTCACCCCTCCATGTTGCCGCGCTGAAAGGTCTGGACGATATTGCCGCGTGGCTGCTCAGCCAAGGGGCCAGTGTCGACGCGCTCATGCCCGGAACAACAACGACAGCGCTGAGCCTGGCCATCTTGGGAGAACACACGTCCACCGCCCTTTTACTGCTCGCCAACGGTGCCGATCCAGAACTACGAGAGAGTGCCGGTCCAGAACAACGAGAGAGTGAGCGGCATCTGCCCACCGTCCTCCACCTGGCGTGCGCGCTCGGGCTGGCCGAATTGGCAGACCGGCTTCTCTCCGAGCGGTCCTTGGAGGCTCAACCCACAGAGCTGTTGGCCACCTACCGTCTCCATTGCCCATCCGATGTCCCCAGACTCGCGGCGGGGCTGGTCCGACGTGGCGCAGAAGTATCAGAAGACACGGTCGGTGCTTTTCTGCGCGAGTCGAGATGGCAGTCGGCCTGGGAGCTGCTCACGTCGCCCACGCTGTCCGACCAGCTAACGGCAGAGGGGGCAAGCAGTGTGCTACAGACTATCTTATCCTTAGGAGGCAGAGAGCTGGCAAGGCGCGTCGAGACGGCCGTGCGGATGCTGCAACACCTCCTCAGCCTCGGTGCCGACCCTGACTTGGGTAGGCTTCTCTGGCGTTCGTCGGGCGGCGTCAGCTATCCCACGTTGCTCAAGCTCCTACCCCCGCTCCTCGAGGCTGGGATGGACGTCAAGCCCGCTCCCCCGCGCAAACGGCGACGCGCCGGACGACAGCCGCCAGTCAAGTACGGGATCGACGATCTCCTTGGCTACACAAGCCCTTACGACAAGGCCCAGGACGATGAGGGTGCGGTCGCCCAGCTTGCCATCATTCGTCTACTGCTTCAGCACGGCGCCCCCATTGGCGGTGCCACGCGCGGAGACGCCCTGGACTCGTTTCTCCCAGGGCCCGGCCAACAACTCCACGGACGAGAACGTTGGTCGTACGAGCTTACCAAGGTTCTTCTTAGACATTGCAACAACACACTAGAGGACATGCGTGGAGAGGATATCAAGGCATTTATGAGCCGCTATTCAGAGGTGCAGGGCAGAACCAGAGTGACATTGGTCGATGGACTGTAGCTTAACCAGTGAGCGCGGCATCTTGTAGACAAACGGCGCCGTCTTTTAATGAGATTAGAATCTTTAATAAAACTAAAAAAGAATTAATTATAATCAAATCATTAAAATTATTGAAGCAGGGATAAAAGGTCCGGGTTTCGCAAGCCATGCCGCTCAGCGGCCTTGTTAAACAGGAGCTGTTTTTCGCAGCCTAGATGAATTCCACATGCTTTTTCCTTCATTTTTTTTTTTTCAATTGAGACCCTACCTTGTGACTGTTGAGTGATTTGACTGTTTAATTGCGAAGCCTCTGTTCGATTGAAGCCGGCTGTGGCCTCAAGAGGTGCTGCGACGAGCGTTTCAAATGCTTCCTTCGTAAGATATCCCTCTCTTCTCAATCCGTTCAATCGCTCGAGACTAGGAAGGTCTTCGTACGATAAATCACAATGCGGGCGATAAAGCCGTCAACTAATATAATAACCGCTGTATACTATATACCCTTATACTCTATAGTTATAAGTGTTTGATATATATCCAGCTTCCTCTCTTACCGTTTCAGTATATTAAAGAGAAAATTAAATTAAAGAAATTAATATAATAGTATTTAGAACTATAGTAAATTAGTAATTATTATAAGTTTATTCAATTAATAATAGCTAATGATAAAAAGTTATTATATAGAGTTTTATATATAATAATTTAGATATTAAATATATTATAAGGGGCTAAGGTAACTAAGAATAGTCCATTTAAAGGACCTATTATATATCGGTCTATATCTTCTAGATCAATAAGGCAGCCATAGTAGCAAAGATGACAGCGCTGAAACCAGCACACTTAGTAGTAGCACCAGCTGGAACACCTGATTTGGGAGGAGTTGAAGCCGGAACTGGAGGGCTAGATGGATTGTTGGGAGCTGGAGCTGGGGCAGGATCTGGAGCTCGGGCAGGACCAGAACCAGGTGCCAGAGCAGAGGATGATCCTGGCCCTACTCCTGGTCCTGGTACTGGTCCTGGTCCTGGTCCTGGTCCTGGTCCTCCTGCTCCTGATGCTGGTACTGGTACTCGTTGCGGTGCTGGTGCTGGTACTTGTTGTGGTCCTGCTCCTCCTGGTGCTGGTGCTGGTTGTAATGTTGGTGCTGGTTGTGATGCTGGTGCTGGTTGTGATGCTGGTGCTGGTTGTGATGCTGGTGCTGGTGCTGGTGCTGGCCCTGCTCCTTGTACTGGTCCTACGCCTAGTCCTGCTACTGGTACTGCTCCTGCTCCTCCTGCTCCTGCTCCCGCTCCTGCTCCCGCTCCCGGTCCTGCTCCCGGTCCTGCGACTGCTCCTAAGCCTGCTCCTACTCCTCCTGGTACTGGTGCTGGTGCTTGTGCTCGTTGTGGCTCTGGTCCTTGTACTCGTTGTGGTGCTGGTGCTGGCACTTGTTGTGGCCCTGCTCCGGCTCCTAAACCTGCTCCTGCTCCTCCTGGTGCTGGTGCTGGTGCTGGTGCTGGTGCTGGTGCTGGTGCTTGTGCTCGTTGTGGTGCTGGTGCTTGTGCTGGTCCTACTCCCGCTCCCAAGTCTGCTCCTACTCCTCCTGGTGCTGGTGCTCGTTGTGGTTCTGGTGCTACTCCTACTCCTGCTCCTGCTCCTGCTCCTCCTAGTGGTGGTGGTGGTGGTGGTGGTGCTTGTTCTCGTTGTGGTGCTGGTGCTGGTGCTGGTCTTGCTCCTGCTCCTACTCCGCCTCCTAAGTCTGCTTCTGCTCCTCCTCCTACTGCACCTGGTCCTGGTCTAGCTCCGGCTACGGCACTAAGCCTATCCTTGGATTCACCAAGAACCGGGCCACGTCCTGGAGCTGGGGCAGAGGATGCTTCTTGAGCCAGAGCCTGTGATGATATTTTTACTGCCAGAGAGCTTTTATAGGCTGTGGAAGAGACTATACTGCTGGCTGAAGGAGTAACAATGGATTTGGTAGGGAGATCAACCGAGCACTTGGGACAGGGAACAACTGAAGACTTGGGAGTGGGAACCACCGTGGAGTTAGGAGGTGGCTTGGAGTGGTAGAGTGGCTCAGGGTGAGGTGGCTTCGGGTGATAGGACTGCTCTGGGTGATAAGTTGGGTGCGGGCGCCATGAATGTCCAGTGCCGTAAGGCCAGCTTGGGCCACCCGAAGAAGGGACAGGATAAGGGGGATTAACACCCGGACCACCGCCGGGAGGACCGCCGGGATCATCACCAGGAGGACCACCAGGACCTTGAGGCAAAGCCATGGCCATGGAGATGAGGAGCACCAGTGGCGCAACAAACTCGGTATATCGCATCTTAGGAGCGACTGTAGCGAGTGGGCGGATCTGTTTTGCCTGGACTAGCGAGAGTCAGTCAAGTTGGGGGGACGGGAGCAAGGCTCGGCTGTCGTGAAAGGCTAAAGTGATTTAATGAGCTTGGTAAACAATTGGGATTGGGGGGATAGCTGCAAACTCTTTCTCAGGCAAGGGGATATTGAAGGGGTATTAGTAGGCAGCCTTCAAAGATTAAGCTAGAGAAGCAAGGAGCTTCTGTCTCTATAACTAGGCAAGACGAGTTCTAGCATAGGGAATGAAGTCAAATGCGGAATGACTTTCGATTAAATTTTTCCTTCGGCGGGTCTAAAGTTGAAGAATACCTGTTGACGTGATGAAGAACCATGATTTCAAGTATATCCTTTGCAACTAGAATCCTAGTGAGATCGGCCATAACGAAGATCACCCGCGGAGAATAGAGCTGGTCAGAGGAAAGATAACGATATGAGGAATGGGCTCCAGCAACTGACCATCCTGGATAAGGTGAGAGCATACCACAAGGATGATGATATGATCTACGTTGTTAAATGAGAAGGATTATAGTTTCCATGGAGAAAATCAGGTTAAGACATCTTATTGAGGATGAGATGATTAGTACTTTGTGTGCTATCTAACTTGAGCCGGATAGAAACCAAGTGTTATAATTCTTGAGCATAAGATTTTCTATCGGGAGGACCACTTCTTTAGATTTGTGTATAAAATGATTGGCTTCTTGGTCAGATGAACAAGGAAAGGACATCGGGATATCATTGGGCCTAAAAGATCAACATGCCTTTGCACTGGATTAGTAGGAGGTGGAGGGAAGGGCTGGCATAAGGTAAACTGGAGAGAAGCGAAAACGCTCCATGTTTCATTCCATTGGTTGAAATGAGGAACAACTTACTAGGACACAGAAGGACTAGAGGGTTAAGACTGCCTGCCAGAACTGAACAGCCTCTGAAAGCTTGACGGAATCTCCAGTTGGAGTTGTTACAGCTCAAAATGATGATCATGGGGAGCAGTCGATTGTTGGATCAGATTGGGACTGGAATGGAGCACTGGCGTGACAAGTTAAGACGAACTTGATGGAGGCAGCATCCACGCAAACCGGAATGTACTTGTGGACCTTTTAGTATGGGAATTGACCACATCCTGCATGTCTATCTCTGACAAAATGAACATATAACCTCCATGAACTAAAACTCTGTAAACCTAATCCTACGCATAAGCATTCTATTAAGAATTATCCTCATTCACGCGAAGGCACTGAGGCTCTAAGCACATGGAAACAAGATGAAAAGAATTCCTGATGCTATTGCCTAACCATATCCATAAGTTTGGAATACCAATTGCCGTATGGGGCCATGCACCCTATGGCTCCTGGGGCCTTGGGCAACATTGAGATGTCTGGGAATGAGTGGCTGTCTAAGCCACCCTGTGCCCAATCTATCAGAAGTCTTGTGTGTTTAACGCCCTTTCACTTCTGCGAGTAGGCAGCGATTATCCAAGAATAGATTGTGCCCAGAACGAGAAGATGGTAGGTTTTGCTTTTCTTGATGGCGCTATTGGTAGCCATGTAGGTAGCTATCCAATCGCTTCATGTGATCTGTATTTGCTTCACTTGGACGTTGTCCTATTATACGTGTGAGGGGGAATTGCAATGGACTTTGTCTGCTCGAGTGTACCGTTATTGGAAACATGTTAGCCTAATCATCATCTTGCGTCATGCCAGAGGATTAGGCAGTCACGACGCCTTTTCTGGACTGGGAAAAGCCAGAGCACAGCATTCCATCTCGTTATGATGCCTCAGAGTTTTCCCCCCAGTAGCACCCTCGCCATGGCCACCCAGGGCACGCCGAATCGTTTGTTCTCCGTGGGCGATGGAGCTTCCTCTGCGAAATGGGACAAACGCTAACACTACCAAATTGAAATGATGGAAACAGGGCACCAAACAAAGCCACAATCGTGAAGGCGGCGAGGAATGCGGGCGGGGTTCGAGGCAGCATCTCTCACCCGCACAAGCAGAGAGAAGAAGAGGAAGAGGAAAGAAGAGAGAGAGCCCAGGACAGAAGGTGGTTCACAACTGGAACCGCGTAAACTCAGAAAATTCCCTGCCACCACATGGCCGTGCGTGTGCCTTGGACCTGCCCTGGACCTGCAGTTTCGCCCACCTCCTCCCCTCTCTGAGGAAGAAAAATTCCTAAGCTGGGTCAATTACTTCATCATACTTGTACTTGACACCCACGTCCGCATCTGGACCAACGCAACCACTTTAGCAGTTGTGGATCTTGCGACTCCAACCTCGAGGCCTATCGCCGGAACCGGAAAAAAGCCTTGCCAGATTGTCTTAGACGGGATCTACCGCTAGAATTTGCGACATTTTCTGGAACTGTACCAACCTGATTCCCGGTGCCGCCGGCAGTGGCATCACACGAACCAGCAGCCTCTTCTTTTCAGGGCCGTCAACTCCCAACCCAACCACGCCTTGCCCACCTTCATGTCCCAGCTGGCCACGGCCCCTAGCCTCGGCCAACTCGCATTTCTGTTGTTATGTATCTCATACGTGTAGAGAAGCAGCTTCCCGCATCGCTGCTAGTTGGCCAGCTCCTCGCCCGAGAGCATTGGACCAGAACATAACAGCCCGCTCTGATCGGTTACTAACTTGTTAAGACTTGAATCTAGAAATAAGTTGTCCGGTTTGGCCAACAATGAATATGAATTCTAATACAGTGAACTATGGAGATGCCACGCTGGAAGAAAGAACCATCAAGTTGTAATAAGTTATTGAAGTAGAGATTTCTGATAAATTTTATTGAATATCCTACTACATAATACTGATTACCGAAACACCGAGTTCTTTGGAAGCTAAGGATTATCTCTCTTATTGGTAGTGTGTCGGAGATGAGTCCGACGTCGGACTGTTCGCCGGCCGGACGCCGTCCAGGATGATACCATGGGTAGCAACACCAAACTAGGTATGCAAAAGGTATCTCATATTGAAAGATATACATGTATCAGTGGGGCTGCGTTATCTTGACTTGTTTACCCCGCCTAGAGGTCTTACTCACTGGCCTATAAGATGTCGAGTTGCTGTACCGTGTGTGGCTATTCGCTGAATAGATAGCTAGCCTTCACGTGGCCCGTTTACCCCCGTTAGTGACGTTGCAGTCGTCGGGGGGTTCCCTGAGCCGGTACGTTTTATCCAGATATTATCCAACCTTAGATACCTAATAGGATGATTACTATCTAAAGCCATCGGTTAGAGCTTATCAATCTCTAAGTATTTCTGTGGTAGACTTAGCCAACGAATTTTTCGACCAAGGCTCAAGAACGGGTACAGACGGACTTTGTGGTTCCAGGCCGCTATCCAGTAACGCCATGCTACTCAACTCGTATCTTACTCCTCCCCCAACTGGCAGCAGTCAGTGCAGAGATTCTACCCCGCGGGAACACTGCAAGCTTCAGTTAGACCCGGACAAGGGGGACGCTTATCACCGCCAATGCAACCTGGTCCCAGTTTTCTGCCTCTGGGAACATTTGCCCTCGTGTCAAGTTGTGTCTGGGTAAGGATCGACTGAGATGAGAAAAAGATCCTTGATTGGGTAAGCCTCATGAACACAAGGGTAGAACTTCCCCTCCCCCGTATCTCATAAATAAGTCCCTATCGTAATATATGTATGCCGCCCCATGCTGTATATAGTCTACGAGCTCCGCACGTGTGGAAGAGCGTGAACCAAACCCGTCCACCTATATTCTTCCGCCCTAGCAGACTTCTTAGAATTCTTGTTTTATTGAGATAATAACACAGCGAGCCCCTCTTTCCGTTCTCCTACCAGTTGGAGCAATGAATGATAAAGAAGACATTAAGGGCGAGGGCCCCGGCAATGCCAACAGTGTTGATGCTGCTCTTCAGTTTATCCGGAATGGAGATGTGGTTTCCATGACGCCGGAACAAGAGAAAAAGCTTGTACGGAAGATTGACTTGATGCTAATTCCACTCATGTGTTTGTACTGCCTCGCCCCAAATCGTCACACGCGTGCTAACTGTATTCACGTAGTTGCGTGCTACTTCTTGCAATACCTAGACAAAATCTTGCGTAAGCATCTCAAGGTCCCGCGGACTGCGGTTGTTATTAATATCAAATATAGTCAATTACGCAAATGTGATGGGGTTCCAGAAAGACACTAAAATTACTGGAGACCAGTTCTCCGAATTGGCGATGATGTTTTACATAACGTACCTCGCTTTCGAGTTCCCAACAGGCTACCTCATGCAGCGATTTCCAACCGCCAAGTATCTTGGAGTCAATGTCGTTCTTTGGGGTGTCGTTGTCGCATCCAACGCCGGGGCACACAATTGGCCTGGTCTCGTGGTATTGCGCCTCCTTCTGGGTTGCTTCGAAGCAACCGTCGCCCCTGCACTTATGCTCATCACCACCATGTGGTACAAGAAGTCGGAGCAGCCTCCCCGTGTGGGGCTCTGGTATGTTGGCACCGGGCTGGGTAAGACGATTGGAGGGCTCAGCTCGTTCGCGTTCCAACATTATACCAAACAAGACTTTAAATCATGGCAACTCATGTTCTTACTATGGGGCCTTGCCACCGTAACCGTTGGTATCTTGGTTCTTTTATTCATTCCGGATAACCCGATGAACTCCAAGCTGTCTGAGGAAGAAAAGACCTGGGCCATTGAGAGATTACGAAGCAATCTCACAGGTGTTGAGAACAAGCATTTCAAAGTGCACCAAGCTCTTGAATGCCTGAAAGATCCTCAAACTTGGATGCTGAGCATCAGTGTTGTTTCACAGAATATACCAAACGGATTTGTGTCTAGTTATCAAGCAACAGTCATTCAGAGTTTTGGATTTACTTCTAAACAGACTGCTTTGCTGTCAATGCCATCTGGCGCTGTATCGAGTCTATGCACGTTGGGCGGAACTTGGTTCGCGGGGCGGTACAATCTTCGAGGACCAGTCTCAATATTTCTTCTAAATCTCGGGTTCTTAGGGAGCTCTTTGATGGCATTCCTTCCAGACAATCTCACAGCCGGGAAGATGGTTGGGAATTACATGTGCAACGCGATTGGCTCATCGTTGCCGCTCATGTATTCTTACGCAGGCGCCAACTTTGCTGGTCACACCAAGAAGGTCACGATAAATGCTATTGTCTTGATAATGTTTTGTAAGTATACTTCGCACGATTATCATTGAATTCGCTCAACGTACTGATATTGCATCAACTTTAGGCATCGGAAATATTATTGGGCCACTAACCTTCCGCGACCAAGACAAGCCAGAATATATTCCTGCCAAAATCGCCATGGCTATTACGACCGCAGTCGCAGCTTTAGTCACTGGGGGGCTCATGGTTTATTATTCTTTCGAGAACCGACGCCGCGATAGGATGTACGCTGGCGAGGAGCATCGAGAAAACAGCGAGTTTTTTGACCTGACAGATCGCGAGAACCATGAATTCCGGGTGAGTAAATAATGTAGAGTAAGTTTTTTCCCGTGACCTTGTTAACAACTGTTTAGTACTCGTTTTGAAGAGAGTTGGAGTTCAAAATGGTACATATTCAGAGAGAGCATTTGGTAAACGGGACACTCCTCTTGTTTTCTTTTCTCTGCCTCGAGGGTGCATGATTGTCAATGTCGTCAAGCGACCGAAGACTGCCATTTATGCTCAAACGCAAAGCAATACATCTACCTCATTACGCGAACTTCCCTAGGTTCACAAGGAGGTATAAACTGTTGTTTTGAAAGCTCCTAACTTTTCTAGTTCGATTTACGCGAGAAGGTTTGAATGCTCAGAAGAACTGTATCTCACTTTAGCTAGGAACCACAGTCTTTTCCGTGCTATAGAAATTACTTGGTTCATGAATTTGATTCTGTGTCTACATATTTCTTTTGTTATTCAAAAACGCTCATAAAGTGGGCTGGTTCGGGTCCGGTATTCCTCGCATAAGAACATCAAAGAAAGCAGTATCGAAACCTTGAAACACCCAATCATCTAGAGGTGCGGCCGCATCCGGGAACATCTGTTCCTCTTGTGTAGGTATCTGTCCTGCAATAACCTCCGTGTCAAATGTAGTAGATGGCTGTGCGGGCAAGTCTGCAGAATTGGATACTGGCAACCGAGACGCCTGATTCAGGCTGCTATCAATGTCGTTCTGGCTAGGGAGTGCCGAGTTGCTGAGATGGACAGATCCAATACCGCCAAGTGTGACGGGTTCGCGGGCGATATTGTCCCGCGATACTTTCTGGAAGGGGGCGACGGATATATTCCCTCTACGCGCAATTTTGATAGAGCCAATATAAGGGACGCATATTACGAGCACTTGGCAGTCGCTCTGATTCACGCCATCACCACTACCTGCTTGTAGAGTTTGTGCATGATAGCTGCCTCCCTGTGCCGCGTCTGCTTCAACTGCCAGCAGGTCTTTGAGTAAAGTACTGCATTTCGCAGAGAGCACATCGTTGCGAAGCTCAGACATTGATTCCATACACTCGAGTGCTTGTTCCACGATGGCTCGGTCGCTTTGCCGTTGATGAATTAAGACATTGGCCAATTCCTCGTGACAATGGCTGAAGATGTGTGCCAGTACCAATGTCAAGCCTGCGATCAGCGCCATGAAGTCACCCATCCTCAAACAAGCGCTGATGGGATTGAAGTTGCGAATGGCAATTTGCCGAATCAGAATCTCGCGACTAGCGTTGACGCAGGCGATTTTGGAACAAGTACTCTCGAAGGAAGTATTCGGACACAGCATATGTGGTAGATGAAGCTGATTCAACAGGGTGTAATATCGCATATGCTCTAGGATTCGTTTGGTTTCAGCGAAGGCCTCTTGGGAATTGACCATCAAGCCGTCGTAGGCTGGCGGTCGCCAGAATCTAAGCGGCATGAACTCGGCTATCCTAATCAGCTCTTTGTTTATTCCTCTGGTGAGTTCAACAGATTTCTCCAAGGTATTGACTTGATTCCTTTCAAGAACTTTTGCTATCAGGTCCGTCAAGGTTGGAGGAAATTCAAGGCTTTTTGCTGAAGTGTTTGTTGTATCCTGGTAAGCGGATTCCATACCAAGGGTACATGAAGGTAGACCGAGCAAAAGGGACAGAAGACGCTCCATCCACACCGTACAGTCCCATATTGCCTGGGGATCAAGGTTGCTCTCGGCTTTGAGCAGCTTGAATCGATGATGACCTTGAAGATGGATGCCCAACAGCTGCGCAACTGTCACAGCACGGCGCAGTGTTACCCAGGATCTCCTTATGTTGCCTCGGTCGACATGATACATTCCTTCAAACATGATGTTCTCAAGACTCTCCAATGTGCCTAGGAGTGCGTCATTAGTGGTTACCAACTTAATTGCTGACTCCGCAAGTTCTTCCATGATTACATGCGGATGCTTGCTAAGGCCGGATGGCACATCATTCGGCGACCAACTTTGTATTGCGAGGGAGAAAAGCAGCATTTGGCTTGCAAGCAAGACAGGGTGCTCTTCCGGGTAGAGGAGATTGGGTAGCGGGCATTGCTCGTCCAGAACCTCTTGTGAGCCTTCCTTATAGAAGGATTGATGGCAGAGTAAAGGGGCCTTGGTGATCTTCCCCGTGAGGATCTTGATGTCGTTTTCCGAGGGCAAAGCGCGGAGTAGCTCCCGAGTTATGCTTTCATGTGTGTTGGTACTTGTAGTTGACTGTAATTCGAACACTTTGCGGAGTTGTTTTGGCAACTCTCCCTGTCTGTCATTGCCGATGGAATGCTGGGTTGAGCAAAATTAGTATAGGAAGTTCACTTGGAATAAGGCGTAGAACTTACCACGGAGCCTACATGTTGAGAAAAAGCCGGCGTTGATGACCCCGAAAGGGAAATAGAGGGTGTACAGATGCCACTCGCATCCCGAATCACTGGCCTAGACGCACCTGGGCTCTTGATAGGCGTATTGCCAGTGCCATCTGGTGGCTCCTTGCCTTCAGCTGGGCGGCTTGATATGTTCGTGTCATCAATATCCCTTTGGCTAGCACATTTCGCGCCCCGACGATGACAAGTAATGCAGATGGCATCCTGCGGTGACTCGAAGGTGCATTTGACCTTTCTCCGTCGACACTCCCAACAACTGTGCGTACCCTTTCGGACTTTTCTCCGTTTGGATGAGTTTTCGTCCGGGGAAGAATACATGTCCGAGGTGGTGAGCCAAATCGGACGAAGAAGATTTACCTAGCCCGAGCACAGAGTCCCGATTAGACGGACTTGCTCAGTGATTATTTGATGGATAGGATGGACTTGCTTTTGGAATTTCGTGCTTCTGAGTTCGGAGTCCGGGCGATGATGTTATTATCAATTATTAGTGGAGTGATCTTCAACTTGAGCCTGCTGTTCGGCCGAATTTGAGTGGATTGGGCTGACAAATCAGCCAAGTGAGACTGAATTCGGCCGAATTTTCTGCCTCCCCTTTCTACTCTCATGCGATATCCAGACTCACAGGAAGAGCACGTGAAATCGTCGGATAAATTGCGTATTATCGGTTTGTAATGGCTAAATATGGACTTTCGTAGTGCTTACAGTGGCCATATTCATACTGTGTCCCCAAAACAGGGTAAAGAATGGCGAGTCGATGAATTTCGGATGGGACTGACCGTCTGCGTGTTGGTCTCGGGCGAAAATTTGATACTTGAAAGCAAGGGATTGACTCGGCCCAAAATGTCCTTGGATATCGATACGCTCCATTATGCCGCTCTCCCATTTGTTCGCTTCGGAGATTTGGTCGTCTGAGAGTAATGGTTTCGTCCGAAGGCGAATCTTAGGTCTACTAAAGTAAGGTATATAACTACACCACCTGGGTCGATATCGAGATTCTCTGTTGTTGTATCCGCCCGCATTCAGAATCCTGTCTTTCAAGCTACCCTTCGCCAGATCATCAAACCGCAAGCAATAAGACTCGAAAATGGAACCGCGAAATCAAGATTCTTCGGCCAGCACCAAGACGACGCCGTCCTTAACAAAAGAAGATCTCGCAGATGGAGGAAATGCCGAAGTGGCACCCAATCTTGTGGATGAATATCCTACCGGCTCCCGTCTAGCTACGATCGTGGTATCGCTGATGCTTGCTATGTTCCTGGTCGCACTTGACAACGTATGCTAATCCCTCAGTTGTATCGCACGCTTAAACTGACCAAATCACTCCTAGACCATTCTCGGCACGGCTATACCTAAGATCACGGACGAGTTTCACGATTTGAACAAAGTATCGTGGTATGGATCTGCATACCTCATGACATTTGGTGGTGGTTCGTTCCGACATCTCTCGATTGTACGCCGAGTGTTAGCTGATAATCCGCCGAACAGAGTACCCCTGTTGTGCCAACCCTCCAACAATTCATCGAGACTTGCCTCTCCAACCGATTCCGCGATCGAAAATAACTTGTGTTTCTAGGGGTTCAATCGACGTGGGGAAAGGTTTACAAATACTTCTCAATCAAGATTTGGTTTCTCGCTGCCCTGTTCACCTTCGAGGTAGGAAGCCTCGTTTGTGCTGTCGCCCAAAATCCTACAACTTTGATTGTTGGCCGAGCCATTGCAGGATTTGGTGGCGCCGGTGTAGCTGTCGGAATATTTACTATCCTGGGATTTGCCGCACCTCCTGAGAAGCGTCCTCAACTCCTGGGATATACAGGAGCCACTTACGGCATAGCAGCGGTGTTGGGACCCCTTATCGGCGGTGCTTTTACTGACAGAGTATCTTGGCGATGGGTAGGATTAACTTTCTGTCTTCTTTGATGTCCGGCTTTCTGACCATGATGCAGTGCTTCTACATTAACTTGCCGATCGGAGGACTTGCCGGTGCAATTATCCTGTTCTTTTTGAAACCACCAGCTAGCGCGGCACCTGTCCAAGCATCGATGAAAGAAAAGTTCCTCCAAATGGATCTTCTGGGTGCTGCTATGATGATGGGCCTGATCATCTCGTATATTTTGGCCTTACAGTATGGCGGCCAAACTCATGCTTGGAATAGTAGTCTTGTTATTGGTCTTCTTGTTGGTTTCGTCGCCATCCTCTTGGCCTTTATTGGATGGGAGCTTTATCAAAAGGACTATGGCATGATAGTTCCACGCCTGGTGAGTTAACTCCCACATAAACTTCTTCAATCCCATCGTTTGCTGACTCTGGTTACGTGCAAAGTTCGCTAAGCGATATGTCTGGACCGGCTCTGCCTTCATGTTCTTCTTTGGCGGCGCATACTTTACACTGCTTTACTACCTCCCGATATATTTCCAAAGTGTCTATAATAACAGTGCCATTGGCTCTGGAGTCAAGATGCTCGCTATGATCCTCCCACTGACATTCGGAGCCATCATACAAGGCGTGGTCATGTCCAAAGTCCGTATCGTGCCGTTGATTTGGATCTTCGGCGGCGCGTTGGGGACGATCGCATGCGGTCTATTCTATACGATGGATAGCCACACTTCCACCGGCAAATGGGTAGGTTATCAGATCATCGCTGGCTTTGTGTGTGGCTTGATATTCCAGGTGGCCCTTTCCAACGCTCAAGTTCATGCTCCACCTGAGGACATGTCGCAGACTACAGCTATTGTTAACTGTAAGTCTCAAGCACCTCCTTAATATGATTCTCCGTGTTGACATCTGGGCGGTAGTCTTTGTGACCATCGGCGGAGCCTTCTTTCTCTCGGCAGCACAGTCGGCGTTCAATAATCGGCTGCTCGGGGAGCTCGCAACCAAGCTTCCTGACTTTAACGCAGAGACAGTTCTTAGCACGGGAGCAACTCAAATTAGAACTGCCTTTACAGAAGCACAGGTACCCATTGTTGTTGACTCGTACATGGTTGGATTGAAGGCTGTGTTTGCAATTACAGTCGGCGGCTTCGGAATATCCACTTTGGTTGGCTTCCTTGGAAGCTGGAAGAAGCTTCACGCTGATGACCTACAGAAGGCTTCGGGTGGTGCAGCATAGGCCTCCGAGGCAGATTACATATGCAAGAAGCAAGCTTGTGCCTTGCAGACCCAACCTTTCTGCACATGCACTCGCACCAAGCTTACTATTACACCCAGTTTACTAGGCGGAGAGAGGACAGTGAAATTGACACCTCATTTGAGGAGGACAGAATGATATAGACAATTAGAAGATTAGACCTAGCTTTCCCATATTTAATCATCCCATTATTTGTTTGCGCTTGAAACGACCACATTGAACACTTGATTTTACAACGGGACTTTCAACCCCAGCTTCGAAATTATCCAATCCCTCTGGAATGCCGGTCTGTTGCCTGGGTCAGATATCGTCAGTGTGACCGCTATCTCACTTCGTAGGGCACAATTATACGGTGATGATCCTGGCTATCAGCAGGCAATCCAATCCTACCATGTCATCCTCCAGGGGCCAAAAAGCATGGCAACTGCATGTCTGCTGGGGCATGAGCTCAGCTTGCTTCCAAACAGGTAATATCCCTACCCAAGTACCCATCTTGCCCAAATGAAATCCTTCGCTTGGAATCTTACGCCGCCCCGCCGCCATTTCGCTCCACGTGAACTGTCCAACAAATTCCTTGCCTAGCCTGTAATAAGTGACCTGGGTATTTATGGAATGATGTATGATTATCCGGTGAGCTGAAAAGCAACTAGGCTTGGCCACGTGTTGCGGAGTGCGCCCCTCGTAAAAGCCTAGCATCTCCCAACAAGTGCGCTGCTGCATCTCGGCAGGCTTGGTCAATCGACCACAGGAGCCTCATCATTGAAGATGTATGACATTTATGCCGACAAGCGGCCAACCATCATTGGCGTCGCGTTCGGGACATGGGCGGTCGCCATACTGGTTCTCCTTCTGCGCATGGGCAGCCGCAAGGCGACAGGCGTGAAGCTCGGCCTGGACGACTGGTTAATCCTAGGAGCTGTTGTACGTTTGCAAGGATACCAATCAACCAGTGTTGTTCTCATTAACAATGCTAATCAAAGCTCTACAACTAGCCCGGTTCAATCAGTCTTGTAGGTGCTATGGCTGGTTTTGGTAAGTGAGCTTTTGTCTATTAGTTTGTTCTCTGCCACTGTCGCCTTTCTATTCAACCCCATATTGCATACAAATCTTAATGAATGGTTGGGCTAACTCGACTACAGCCGTAAACAAAGGATTTGGCAGGCATATCTGGCTTGGCAAACCGGATACCATTAGATCGTGTGCTATTGCCCTCTTCATTGGAGAGCTATCCTATGTTTGGACATTGTTTCCTGTCAAGATGTCTATTCTAGCCTTTTACTGGCGCTCTTTTCGTGTCGAGCGTTCCATCAGAATACCAATCTACATATTGGCGAATGTCATCACCCTCTGGGCGATGGGTGTGGTAAGTACATCACTAAAATACCAAACCATGACTACTGGAAAGCTATGAAGCTAGGTACGGAGAGCGTTATATCTTATTGATACATGTTAAACAGTTCTTTACTACTCTCCTCAAATGCCGCCCCTTGCATTGGAATTGGGACCAATATCAGTACTGGAGCCAATACAACTCCTGGAACATGACGACGAAAAATCAATATAAATGTGATGTGAACCAGATCAAATTTTACTACGGAAATGCGATCCCCACCATAGTCACCGATCTCGCCATGGTGTTGCTCCCGATTCCGTATGTCTGGAGGCTGAAAATGCCAAAACCCCAGAAAATTGCTCTGGCGGGTATTCTGATGATAGGCCTTTTGTATGACTACCTACATCTCTAGCGGTATCTACAACTTGAAGCTTACTGACAAATTTAGCGTGACTATAGTCTCCGTTGTGAGACTTTGGTCTCTTGTCCGCGTCAACTTGGAAGATCCTGACGTGACATGGAACGCTGTGGACGCGGCCCTGTGGACAATCGTAGAAGTCAATATCTCAATCCTATGCGGTATGTGCCCATCAATGCATACCTTGGTATGTTTACGTTAAACTAATAATTATTTCACCGAAAGCTTGCTTGCCCTTCGTCAAGCCAGTTTTGACCAAAATTAGCAAAGCCCTGAAGCTCCCAAAGTTCTCCTTGCTCGCATCTCTTGGATCAATCACTCGCTCAAAGAAACACTACCAATCTAATGAAGATTCTCAAGGCGGCAATTATAGTCTTTCTATGCAAACGGACGAGCGGCCCATCACCTATATGGCCCATGACCATATTGCAGAGTATAAGCCAGAGCCAGTGTTCCATGGGTGGAACGATGGCAATGGAGGCGTCCCGATTGAGCTTCAGCCTGCAAATGATAAACCGGCACTATTTGTCCATAGCTATCAACGATGAGATAATAGCATTCACATAGATCATGCTTCAGAATAAATACCAGTAGAATCGTAAATATACCAATCAGGAGGCTTACAAGCTCGCATGGACGTGGGATGTAGGTAGTTTGCCCTGGCTTTGGGGGTGGGAACTTCCGGGGAAATTCTGGCGTAGGTTATCTAGCCTATCTCGACATTAGACTAGATTCGATGTAGAGTACACCAAACTTGTTGTTTAGATCCTCTCAACGTTAGTTGTGGCTCCAAGCAAAACCTTAAAGGAGATAATCCCAGGTAACCTTGTGTATTCTGAAGCAGTAAGCGACTCATGAACAGTTCTATGCAGGTCAAAACGAAAAGGTTTATCCAGAGCCGAGCCACTCTAATAGTGCGCTTAAAGTCTGTCCGCCCACTAATTCCTTCGCATGTGATCCTATCATGCCAACACAGGTTCTAGATCAAATTCGGGACCATCCGAGGCATACCATTTCAGCCTCACAAAATATCAACAGGTATTCACTGCAGTTGAATGTGTTAGCCAAGGAAAGAAACCATTCATGACTAACCTAGCGGGACGGCGCATGGCGCTCCAGTGGGCACAGAGTTCTACTAGTCCCATCAACCTTTCTACCCTCCAGTAACCTTCATTTTGGTGTTGAATGTGCTAACATGCTCGATAGATGGAGAATATATAATACTTCCGAGCTTCATCAGGGCCGTCTACATCATTCCCAAGAGCTGATAAGGCAGTCCCATCAGTACTGGTTATCTTGAGCCAGAAACAATGATAGCTTCACAGAGTAACGATCCTGCAACCGGCAGATTATTAAATGTAGAGATAGGAGAACTTAGTAAACGCTTAACGCGGGGTGGCTTGAAAGTTCTCACCGTTCTACTGGATTTGGCGTTTTTTCCTTTCAGCACGCCAAAAGCTGAAAGCCATTCTTGGGTCCAGGCCTTGTGGTCGAGCTCTAGACAGGCTGATTGCAGCCATATTAATAAGAAACACATGATCTCAAACTGATCATCCATACATCACCAAGGAAATTCAGTTACCCTTATTCTGCAAACTTGGCTTGTAATTCTTAAGGTCACGTCTCCTTGTGAAATCACTCCTGCCATTCTCAAAATGCGTAATTTCCCAACATGTGCCACGACCTCAAGAGTCGTAGGGGTTGTCTTTCTTCCCGGCCTTCTTACCTCAGCAGAAGCTGAGCAGCCAACAATCACTCAAATGAATCTCCTACCACGACAAACAAAAGCAGGAGACATTTATGGGTACCTTTTGAATGAAGGGAGCTGTAGGTCTGCCCGTTCGTTCATTCTTGCACTCTTCTTCAAGCTAACTCGCCTTCGAGACGTTCCTGTCAGCTGCCCGAGCAGCGCAACCATCAGCTTTTCCGATATCTATGCTCGATGTCAACTGACATCGCCGGAACCTCCCCTTCCAGTGATGACTGATTGCAGAAGCTCGAGCGTTGTGATTGGTCCCAAGACAAATTTCACATGGTATGCTACTCTTAATCAGGGAAGCGAGTTTTATGTAGGGCATTGGAATTGAGTGATTGTCTCTAGCACATCGTCTACTAGAACCATTTGCGGATATGACAACATCTATCGAAGCTTGGGCGACCCGTCCCCATATCGATTCTACGGATGCGGGTCTGATACCAACACTCAGTTAATCTTCATGCAGACAACAGCTGGTCCCCGCTCCACGTCGACTCTTCCCGAGTCGACATCAGCTGCAATGACAACAACCGACGCCAAACAAGCTGAAACCAGTTCGCCTCCTCCTCCACCTCTACCAGAACCTCAAAATCTTGCATGGATAGCTGGACCTATCATTGGATGTGTAGCAGGGATTGTCATCATCGGCCTACTCATCTGGATTCTCAGGCTTAGGCGCAAGAAGAACCGCAGCCAGCCAACAACGGTCCTTCCAGTTGGTAACCCTCCTCCCGAAATGACTCATCCAGTCGCCGAGAGAACATCATACTTTCCGCCACAAGGTGACAAAATGCCAGCGGGTGCCTACCACTACAACTCCCAAAATGTCCCCCATCTCACCTACGTCTTCTACGAAGCCTGTTTTTCAAGGCCATTCTCCATATGGGCCAGGAGTAGCTCCCGCTCCCTCTGGTGCGCAAGTTCCGCCACGTTATCAAAGCCCTACTCGATCCGAACTACCGAGCATTCAGCAATGAAACGCAGGTGTGAGCTTGTAACAGGTAATGTCCCTGGGTTTTGGTACAATTCTCTATATCTAGTTCTACTCCTACTTATCGTGTTGTTGTAACAGGGAGTCAGTTGTAATGATGAGGCTAAGGCTGGGTCACGCCTTCATTCGTTCTGTAGCAACCTCTTCAAGCGGGCCTATAGGTCCAAGTCAGGAATGTTTCATTCGTCATAGTATTAATAGTATGTACTGATTAGGACGGGTATCAATGAATAAGTATTTCACAATCAAAAACATACAAATGTGTTTTCTCAGAAACTCATCGTTTAAACTTACTTGTCGTGGCATCAGGAGATCAAAAGTATACTCGAGATTTGAACTAGAATGATACATCATAGGCTGCAGAGGAGCCTCGTGTGTCTCCTCCTCAGAGCTGTAATTAATGCCATCATTGATAGCCCTTGAGCTGTAAATCCCATCAAGATAGCTACGATACCCGAATTAAACACTTTCATTGATATGTATTCTTGACTACTATAGAGGCAAGTTGTTTCTTCTTAATCTAGATATTTATAATGATGAGACCATATTAACAAGACTGGAGGTAGCAGAAAATCTATCATTGTGCTCCAGTGATCTATTGCAATAACCAGTTTATAAGTAAATATCGGATAGAAATCTAGAGATATGTTCGCAGATATTCCGTGAACTTGCTCCAAACATGCGATTGAAAGTCTCCAAATAGCCACAAATTCCTATCCAGATCTCTTCCCATAATCACAACAATTGATGTTGAAAATGAACCCTCATCAATACTCTGCGATTGATAGTACACCGGCCGACCAGGCGTTCTTCCTGGTCTCTCGTTTTCGGCTGGTTTGACGATAGCAGGAGAAAAGTCCATCTTATCCATCAAGGCCGCCTTACTCCAGTTTGAAACCACAACAAAGGCCATGGACGAGTCTCCAAACAGCGGTGAATTGCCAGTCTTTGTGACATGATCATGTGCCAGCCACAGTAGTGCATTGAATTGCCCTTCTGTGGATTGCGTGGAGAGCGCTTCACGAGACCTGAGAGCCAGTTTTCCGGTAGGCAACGTCAAAGCTTCCAGAGCCGAACATTGAACGTAGGCGGGCAAAGCAGCATTCTGGACATACGCGGAACCATCGCGAAACACAGATTTGACCCTCGGCCGAGGATCTATCGCCATCAGCGTGACAATATTGCGCTGAGATCCAGAGGGAAAGCCCCCAGCAATGAAGCGATTGATCAATGCAATAATCACGTCGTGCTCCGAGGCAAACATTGGCTTCCCCTGGCTATCAGTCCCTTCGGATGCAGCCTGGTCCTTGGCTTCTTTTAGGAGTGCATCTGCTATCTTGGCAGGGATGCAAAGCGTGCGAGACTCTGCAGGGTAAAACTTGAACTCGAGCATCTGCCTCATGGCCCAACTTATCAATCCAAAGCCCGTCAGGTGCGGCAGGCCGTGACGGACCTTCTCGGTGGGTTCTCCGGTATATAAGGGGGCCATTGGGTCCTCTCGGAACCCTTCGAATTTTGGCACGGCTTCGGGCCTTCCCGCAAGGACGAGCTTCCAGGCATCAATAACAGCTGCGAAGCCACCCAAGTCAGAAGTCATGTGGCTGAAATTCACCGAGACCAGCGTGCCATCCTCGAAAGTTACCACATGGAGAGCAAATTGGGGATGATCAGAATAAATGAAATCCTCAAACGTCCTTGGGGTGTCTGGCCCCAACGCTAGTGATATGTAGTTCCGCGGGCTGGGAAACGTCTTGGGTTCGTTTGACGCCTCGGGAAGCTTGGAGGCTTCTGGGTGATCACACATGCGCATTTGGTGGCTCTCTTTGGAGAAAAGGACAGAAGGGCGAGCATCTGTAAAGGGAGTAGGGATATGGACCTCTGTTTTTCCATTAGGCTAGGAGCTGTGTCAGCATTCATCCCAGATTGATGTTTCAGGCATGGTGAGTTTCGTACTCCTTTGCGAAGTCTCCCACCGAGTTTACGCCAGCCTTCCATCTGGAAGAGCTGCGATAAAGTCTGGCCAAGTTTGTCTGCGTCGAGGACTTCATCGAAACGGAAAGTCCAGGCAAGGGTATATTCACTCAAAGTTTTGGTATCATCGAATGGGTGCAGGGGAACCACCTCATCCGTTGCAACCAGAGTTGGCGGCGTCCGCGGAGGAGGGTAGCCAAGGAATTGCCAAACATATGAAGTCATCTTTTGCGTGTAGTTTGTGTGGCCCGTGAGATGGTCTTTCAGCTACAATTTACGGAGAGAGCAATGCAGAGGAGAAAACCCCAAACCAAAATGAAGACAATGGCCCCCTTAGTCCAGAAAGCATGGTTGCGCAAGCTGACTAAACCCACTTGACCCCATGCTAGTTATATCACTAGACCAACGCGATGAAAGGAGGTAGATCTAATAAGACTCTGATAGAGACTTTTCCAAGAGTCCTATGTACAGCAAATAGTTCAATTGAAGTAGAATAACTTTACTCTGAATCCATTCAACGCTCCTACTTGTGATCGATATGGAGTGACCCTAGGACAATCAACCTTATGTGGCGGACGACCACTAGGTTATTAGATACGCTATGTGCAGCCAGTCATTAAAAGATACATTATTAATTTAAGGGGTTTTCTGCGGTTTTGCACTTGGAAGCTTATCTAAATTGCAATGTCACATGCTTCGCGCGAATCTATTTATGGTTCTAGCGATGTAAGCGCTTGACAATTTAGGCAGGAAAAGGCGACGATGACAAAGCGCAATTGAAGAATTTGCCAGGCAGTCAGACCTCCCTTGAATAATATTTCTCGGGTAATGAAATGATTCTAAAGAGCAGTGCAGACGGCCATGTGTCGTTTACCACTAGGACGCATTGCCTAGGATCTTCATAGCCGGTTTGATTTTACTCAACGTGTTATATGATTTGCTGGGTGATTCCTGTGTCACAACCCATCTTAGCCTAGATAAAATTCCAGAGCAAACATGAAACCTCGTGTTCTCGGCTCTCGTCGGCAGTTGAAGGGACGCGATTCAAGATCTTCCAGATTTGGACAATGGGGCAACCTAATCCGTATCAGAAGTTCCCATTAGGATATCACTTCATGCTCTGGTAAAAGGAGCGGCTGAAGGTTCTGTGGGGTAAGTAAACTTAATCCATCAGGCTAAACTGCTTCAGCAAATCATACGTGGCCGGCTTTTTCCACATTCATTCTAAAATAGCCTGAGGTGAGAGCAAGGTAGATCAGCCTCCTTTACAGCGACCAAATGACTCTGAAGTCACATTTTCGAAACTGGATCCTTGTACGGAAAGCCGGCTAGACACACGATCCCCCTCTTGCAAGATTGAATCCCTTCGTAAACATCCCAATAAGAAGTCAGAATCAGGCTTAAATTTGCGTTCCTCGTATGAGATAAAGGTGCTTTAGTCGGAATAGGATCTCCTTATTCTTTTCAGGTCGGAGCAAGATGGTCCGTTCATACTCTCAAGTTTGATCTCCTCGATATGCAACATGTCCATTGTACGCTCCTTGATTCCTAGCTATATAAACATGACTGAGGACTTCATCATCAAGATATCTTAGTGGTCACCAGAGTATAACATACTCAAAATATTTGAATCGTATTTGCCAAAATAATATCAAAAACATCATGATCTACGCGCTTTCCGTGGCCCTGCTCCTTGGGGTTGCCGTTACGGCCCTACCAGCTACTCCTGTTAGTCCTCTTCTTGAGAGGCAAGCCTGTTCCCCTTCCTCCAACATTCCTGCTGTGTCATCTACATACCTTCCCGATCCCTTTGTCTTCGCAGACGGGAGTCGAGTAACGAGTGTTGTTCAATGGAGCTGCCGCCAGCAAGAAATTCTCAATGCATATCAGCAGTATGAATTTGGAGACTTACCTCCCGCCCCGTCTTCGCTTACTGCCAGCTTAAACGGTAATACTCTCTCTATCACTGTTTCGGTATCTGGAAAGTCTTCTACCTTCACTGCCTCCATCTCAGGGCGGTCTGGATCTTCAGCCCAGCCCGCCATCATCGCCATCGGTGGTTCTTCTATCCCTATCCCATCCGGCGTAGCAACTATAGCCTTCAATAATGATGGCTTCGCGCAACAGAATGGTGGTGGAAGTCGGGGGATAGGAACCTTTTATGATCTTCATGGCAATGGGCACTCGGCTGGTGCTCTCACAGCATGGGCATGGGGCGTCTCTCGTATCATTGATGCTCTGGAAAAGCTCGGCTCTTCGGCGACAGGCATTGATACCACGCGCCTCGGCGTAACGGGATGCTCACGCAATGGAAAGGGAGCATTTGTGGTCGGTGCCTTGGACAAGCGTATTGCTCTGACAATTCCCCAGGAGTCTGGAGCTGGCGGTGCTGCTTGCTGGCGTATTTCAGACGCCGAAAAGGCGTTGGGCAAAAACATACAGACAGCCTCCCAAATTGTTGGTGAGAATGTATGGTTTTCCACTCGATTTAATCAGTGGACATCCAAGACGAACACACTGCCCTATGATCACCACCTTCTTGCAGGCCTCATCGCACCTCGGGGACTCTATGTCCCTGAGAATGTTATCGACTGGCTCGGTCCGGTGTCAACTACCGCTTGCATGAGGGCAGGCCGATTGATTTACAAAGCTCTAGGCAAGCAGCAAAACATGGGAGTCTCTGTGGCTGCAGCTCATAACCACTGCCAGTTCCCCGGCAGTCAAAACTCGGAGCTTACGGAGTTCATCAATTACTTCCTCTTGAAGGGCAGCTCCGCGCCTCAGGACCTTGACAAATCTGCTGTGTCAGCTGATGTTAATAAGTACATTAATTGGAGCGTGCCAACTCTCGCATAGTTTGTCTCGAGCTTGGACAAGAATGGGCGACAGGTCTAAAATCGTACTAGATAGAGCCTAACGGACCTCAGATCCTATGCGGCTTTTATAAATCTTAGCCCGTTGTTGTCGAAATGTGTTCTGATGGCAGGGATGCCTGTGAATGAGTAGATCTAGTATATCGCCATTCCTTATAGGCCAAAATTTCACGATCTCGCCTCCCACAAGCCAGATAAAAATGATGAAGAGACGATCTGGTGGATGCACCGTCTATATTGTCTAGCAGCTAATTCAAAGAACGCGCCTGCTTCATCCATTGATGTGCGAAATCCATCGCAAACCATTGGCATGTTAGTTGAGGTAGCCAAGTTTGTCCATGGGATTAATAGAAATTAAGACCTGAGTGCCATTGACAAATCAATTTTATTTTATTTTTCCCCCGAATGAAAAAAGAAAGAGCACGGTCTGGCTCCGAAAGATAACAGAGTTTGGGATGGCTAAAAAAAAGCCAAAAAGAAAGGTCCCGGAGGGAGTCGAACCCTCGCTGACAGGATCAGAACCTGTAGTCATGACCGTTAGACCACGGAACCTTGGGACGCTAAGCGCCTCGTGGATGGAAGACTGGTTCGATGGGAAACAGGGAAAAAAGAATGGCCTATATACCTATTGGCTTAGCTAATACACTCAGCTCGGCGGAATCAGAAGCCTGCAACGTCACATGACATCGACTGAAATGCTCCGTTACCCTAGATCTCACATCAACGCGTTGTTATGATAGGTACGTTGATGTTACGCAGATGTTTACGTACCTTTGTAATGTTGCCTCGGCTATATTTCTGCATTTCTCAATAGAATCATGCCACCATTCATCCATCTGCTTCATCATCTCGTTTGCGAAAGAACAGCTCCTGTCACGCCCGCCCTTGATCTATAGCTCGCGTCTACTTCAGCGACATGCCTAGTCAATCGTCTATCGCTCGTCTTGTCTCCCCAAGCATGGATACAAAATCCCCTCTTTCTCTGCTTTCCCTCCCTATCCACGTCCGCAAGAGGATCTACTTCTTCGCAGGCTTGACCAGAGAGTGTCCAATCGTTATCATTCCTCCCTCTAAAGCCGTATCTCGCTCTACCCTCTACCGTGACCTCGCTGAGACGCATCTGGATGATGGACTGGTCTGCAATTTTGCATCTCGCAACAGAGGGCGGGGTTTAGGGTTACACATGCCACATGAAACCCGCGAGTGCGAATGCCCAGAAGTCCCAAAGAACCTTCTTCGCATCAACAAAGCGCTCCATGCAGAAATCCAAGATATTCTCTATGGCGAAAATCAATTCGTGGTGCGCCCACGTCGGCCAGAGGATCTCGAACCGCTCTACAAGCTTTCGGATGATGCACTGCGTGCGTTGAGCCATCTGTTGATCCGATTGAACAGCTGGCCATGCTATCGCGGGCACAGCTCTGATCTTCTCCACAAATTGAACTCGAATACTAAATGCCCGACATGTGAGGCACCGGTGTCTAATAAGACTGATGGTGTGATTGTCGTCAGGGAGGGATCTAAACCGGTCGAGAAGTGGACAAACTTTTGCCAGCGTCTTGCGTCCTGTCTTGTGCCTGGACGTCTGAACTTGGAATTCATTTGCGACGTCGGAGAGTTTGCCACAGCTGAGAAATTTATGCAGCCGCTTCAGGCCCTTCCACAGCTCAAGAGCTGCGCTATCAGACTTGGCAGACATCGAGACGCTCGTCTCCGCTCTCTCGCCCGTTCTACTGCGGCTAGCTTGACTGTTGGTCAGCCAGAAGGCGAAGACTCTTCATTTCCCTTTTTTTCATTGCCACACGAGGTTCGTCTCCATGTTCTCAGCTACACGAACCTCGGGCCTCAAGGTCCCTTCAAACCAGAATGGAGTGACATCACCATCAAACGTGGGAAATTCAATCAAAGCTATGCCAAGGACGATAGGTCTCTCAACTACCGAAGAGCTTGCTGCCTCGACTGCTCATTCACCAAACTGGACTGCATTTGCCCTTTGAACTATTCGGCTGTCTCTCCCAATTGCACATGCAGAGACCTGCCTCTTGGTCTCTTACGTGTTAATCAGCAAATGAACGCGGAAGCAGCGCAATTTTTCTTTACGGCAAACATGTTTACATTTGAAGGCCCCTTCGCTGATACGCTCAAAATGCTCCGTTCCCTGAATCCTGCCTCTTTGAAACTCTTCAGGCGAATCAGGTTTCGTTTCGAGGCAGGTCAGATTTTCAAATGGAAGAGCAATAAGGAGAGCTGGACCGATCTCATCTCCTTTGTCGGACAGAATTTTGATACACCTCGTCTCTTCGTTGTATTTGATACAACTGTTGACCGTCAATCGTGTCGTGATCGCCACTATGATCAAACGATCATGAACACGGTACATGAAGGCTATGCTTTCTTCATAGATGAGATGAAATCTCACATTACTAGCTTGTTGGACTTCCATGTGACCCTCGGAGTCTTCCAATATCTGGAGAGGATCTTTGAGAAGCACATCCTGGGTCAAGAGTACGACAGCCGTAACGGGAATCATTATTCGAAGCAAGTGCGTATTTATGACGCAGATACTGATGATTCAGATGACGACGAGGAGCCACTGGTTGGAGTTAGATTTTGATGATCATATGAAGGGACTTACAAAGCGTTTGCCTATCGTCTACTCAACGTATTCTGATACATTTGGGCATGAGGCTCCTATTGGAGGATCTGGAGGACCTCTAGAAAGATCTCACACAGATGTTTTATGATGCTGATATGAACACTACACAGAATGGAGTAAATTATGTAGTCAATTCTCATTTCCCTTGCGCCGCATTGTGCATCCTCCAGTGATTAGCTTTACGGGATTAAATTCAGTCGCCACTTGTGGGGACGAGCTACTGTTTTCATTTGGCTCCTTGAAATATATGCCCTCATAATCGAAGGTCGAGAAATTAGTGGCTATTTTTCCCCAGTTGCCCCAAGTCGTAATCAGAATCTTTGAAGGTGGGTAGAGATAGGTCATTGGTCGCCCGTAAACTCATCTGTCCGGAGCCAGTCAAATGTGTCTAGCAGGTTAAAATTGAAGTTCATCTGAGTCGAGTCGAACTGCCCCAGGACATCAATAGAATCATTATTTGTTGGTGTCCCAAAATTGTTAAGCGTTAGATCCAACACGTGTTGAATCACATTGCTGCAGTTGGAACAAAGGTCCCTGTTGGGTGCGTCAGGGCCTACCCAGTCGAGAAAACCAACGAGTAGGCTCAGCTGCTGTATGATGCTTGATCGTGTGATCTTTGGATTCTTCGGGTGAGACCCGGAGAATGTCGGTTTGAGAAGTTCCATGCAGAGGATCCCTCCGCCCGGTGCAGCATACGCCATGACCTGGTGACAGTCAGTAGGACCTTTGAACGCAATGAAGAGATATACTTACCAGCCACTCGAAGTCTCTCCGGATGCCTGCGAATTTATCCTTGTGAATCCAAATTCCTAGAGTAGTAGTTACCATATCGTAGCTGACTACTAATAGATCGCCTTCGTCGGGATAACTGTAACGAAGCAAGAGACGTTCGATGAAGAACATATTTTGCAAGTGTTCCACCCGTACTAGAATCTTCCCATAGACAACATCCACATCAAAGTTGGCATTGTCAATGTCCTTTGGGTTATATAGAAGAGCCGAAGGAAAGCTCGATAGCACGGCTAGGTCGTGCGCCTTGATATTCCTGGCAATTCTCTTTAGCGGCGTATGAACAAGTAGACCGGATGTCTTTCCACTCACAGCAAGGTATCGATATTCACATCCCGCCCATTTCCCAGCGCGATTTCTAAGATTTTCTCCCTATTGTATCCCAATTCTGCTCGTGCGCGAGTAATTGTAATAGACCCAACCTCTCCATCAGTGTTCCAGCCGTTTTCATCTAATGATTGGACAGCAGCATCCAGATCGCCCTTTCCAGAAAAGAAATGCCGGTCGGATATGTCAAGCGGCAAAGGCGTCATTATGTATCGACCGCTCAGGAGGGGAGGGCGGCCTTGGAAAGATGAGATTACTTTGTCAATTACGAACACACGATGAAGTAGCAGCCGTTTCAGCTGTGAGCAGAATGTCGGCTTGTAGTGCGGTGTAGGTTGCTCGACGTGGAGTCCGAGGAACAGTGAGATGGAAACGCAATCAGCGTGAGAGCGAAGGCAGTGTAAGCCTGCGATGTTTCCATGTTAGATTTTGAACAATTGGTTGTGCTTAGAAGTAGACCTTACCGGCATCGCCGAGGGTGATAGATTCCAAAAAGGTCCGTCTATAGCATACCCATAATAGTAAGAGGTTTCCTCCCGTTTGATACATGGCGAGATTTACACATTGGTCGATACATTCCAAAACCACTTGCTTGAAGGATAGTTGAGACCACATCTTCTCAGGGTCGTTTTCGACAGTGTGGCCGTTGGCGGCAAAGAGTTCAGGGAAGGTGAAAAGCACCGCGATAGACTCCCACCGCAGGTTAGGCCCATTAAATTGCTGGATCCATTCGTTGGGGTCCAAGAGATCGTCTGAAATCGGTTTCATAGTGTTTTCATGTATCATCTTGGATATCTCCAGTATTTCTTCGTCTGATGGACAGGCCGAGATTTTGGCCTGCAAAGTTTTGAGAATCCTGGTCGCAGCGACGCGCACCCATCCATTGGTAAAACTGGCAGAAAAGCTGGCAGGGGAAATTTTGACCTTTGAGAGATCTGGAAGGGCTCGTATAATGGACTGGCATACTTGCATGGCTGATGAGGATAACGTCCAAGTTAGCCCTCCTCTTTGTGGCGAGTCTTGTGCATCACCGGATGGTATGGTTGATGGGGTGCCATGAAGGTAACTGAGTTTCTGACGAGTCTCATCAAATACTGCTGAGTAGCTGGTGAATCCCAAATATCCGTTACCAAACGAGCGAGTGAGTGAGGCTGAACTCTGACTCTGGGCTCTCGCTGAGGCCAGTGGTGGTACTGTGGGAGAAGGATCTAGGATTGAAGACGGGGTAGTGACAGGGACAGGAAGGCCCCGTTCTGAACTTGAGCGGCCGGGACGCAAGCTGCTGTTTTTGGAGGGCGGTTCGGTCGTTACTGTATAGATGCACGCAGCAGCCTGGCCTCGTTTCTCACATCTGCTGCATGTTGGCTGTGTGTGGTCACACGCCATCTTCCGGCGTCGGCATGGGTCGCAAGCCTGAAGGCGGCCATTACGGCGACGAGGCGCACGATCCATGGTACTGTGACCGCACTCGTGGTTCTCGTAGGCCTATAAGATGTTCTACTTCCGCGGATGAGAAAGGAGCAGCGTTAGAGCCCCGGTTGATTTTTGGCTCAGCATCACGTCTGATCCACATCTAATGCCACCATTCCAGTTAGCGTGTAGATGTTGCTATTTAAGTGCTGTTACTAATTAATTACATGGATAAAGGGCAATCATTATCACACATATTCCCATCGATGCCTTCTAATTGGAGGCAAACCGAATACAAAGATCCTTAAGGAAGCCAAGTCCTCGTGGTATGTTGAAATGTCTTTCGCCATTGCGGACTACCCGATCATTGAAATAAGGATTCGTTCCCTCCTAATTCTTCCTCTATGTGGATCATGCCAGTCGCCTCCCAAGGAGTAAGTTCTCTCTAAAGCAAGACTTCATTAGTCCAATCCCACAATCTCTTTGCAAAATCTTCACTTTTCGCAACCTCATCTAGCTCGCCGACAACGCCAATCGGCGTGTAGTATGCTCCGTTAATTAGCACATCTCTCTTAGCACCAGCAGCGGCCCATAGCTGATTAAAGGCGCCCTGATCCATCGTGAATTGAGGAATATTCTTCAGCCAGTGGCCCACATACATCGCAACCCTTGCTAAAAGACTCGAATTATGAATCATGGGTGTATCAACAAATCCCGGATGGACAGAAACGCTGAGAATCTTAGGGTACCGACGTGCAAGTTCCGCGGCGTAAACAAGGTTGGCAAGTTTGGATTGCCTATCAAGGTATCATTAGCTTCACAGACTTGAACGTATTCGAGCAAACGCAAAAATGGAAGACTATATATTACGGAACCTTATCAGAAGGGGAGAAGGCGTACCCATATCTTGCCCACGTAACACGTAGATCTCTCATCGGAGTCCTAATATGATCCCAAAACAAGCCGTCCTTTGAGTGGGCGAAGTGGCCAGCGGAGCTCAGGCTCACCACCCTTACATCACTTCCTGGGGCCTCTGCTGTATTTTGCAAGACGGGAAGCATTTCTTTGATGAGCATGGCATGGCCGAGATGATTTGTAGCCAGATGGATCTCAAAACCGTCGGTGCTAACTCCGAGCGGCACGTCAAGCACACCTGCATTGCATACTAATATGTCAAGGCGATCATGTGTAAACCTTGTGCAAGAAGCCTTCACGGATGCGAGAGATGAAAGGTCCATCTGAATAAAGGTAAGATTTATTCCAGGGTGCGCAGCCTCAAGCTCTTCGATGAGAGAAACGGCGGCATCACTGTTGCGACCTGTAAAATAGATGTGTTCAGGGCCATGTTTGGCGAACGCTCTGACTGTGGCTTTTCCGATTCCGTTGGTACCTAGCCAGGATAAGGTCAGTCAACATGAAGTTGAGAAGGAAAGATACATCATACCGCCAGTAACGAGGATGACCTTTCCCGCTAAGGAGGGGATGTCTTTGTCTGGGTTAAATTCCGTAAACCCTCCGAGCCCGGGCATTTTGCTTAAATTGATAAAACAGGGGAATATTATACAATATCTATGCTCTATGCCTAGAGGAGAAGGAACAGGAAGAGGCTGATTTCACAGTTCTGTCCTATGCTTTTATAATATTTACAGGCGAGTAGAAGTTCAAGACCAGGAATATCGGGCGAGCCAAACGGGTTAGCTTGTCAGCAGAGTGCAGAAGGAGTGATCCCAGTGCTCCAAAAGTAAGCATCAACAAATGAGGTTAGAGGGTCAGCAGCTTGCATATCTCCCTCCATCTCCACCTCTCCCTCCTGATGACACCGCTAACTTCAAGCAGCAACACAGTTCCCATCACTTTTTACTCTCGCATCTTTTGCTGAGATAGAGAATCAGGTGAATGTAAGAGGTTGGACAAGATGAACTGGGGACAGGCCAGCAATGACGATTGGTCGGGGATCTCGGATCCTTCGGAGAGACGGAAAATCCAGAATCGGCTCAACCAGCGAGCGAAGCGTATGTCACCTACCTACTACTCTCATTTGGCTTGAAAAATTAACCGATACGGCAGGAAATAGAAATAGAAAGAAGATGCTCAATGCCTCCGCGTCACGCTCGAGCCCATCGGAACATTCATGGGGTGGACACGGAGTTCTGATCCCAACGTGGTCGAGGGTCAACAACTCCTTGTCATCCGACCAAAGACACACTCAGGATGCCAGCTCCCACACAGATCAATATTCGGCCCCCAATCGCAAAACTCCCCGGACATCATCGGGACCTACTCGAGCAGGTGATCATTCAAACAGACCGGGGCAGGAAATGCTGATCCCACCTCTCGTTCTTCAGTATTCAAGCCATACCGGACTTCCCAAAATATTTTTTCCGCTTTCGCCAGATCATAAACTTATCACACTGGTCCAATACAATCTGAAACGAGCTCTTTTGACCAACATGAATCTCCTTGGAAATCTCAAGCACTTGCCGAGAGAATGCGAGAGCGTCTTGTCACTTTTACCATTTGCAATTCCTCCTCCACCCGCAATCCCATCAACACTCTTACCGACAGAGCTCCAGTTGATCACCCCTCACAATCCTTTGATTGATTCTGTCCCGTTTCCTGAGATGCGCAATAATCTTATTCTCGAAGCTGACAAGTATGATATGGCCGAGCTCGCAAGCGACGGTTATGGCGGACTCTTCGGAGGGTTTAGTGATTTGGAACTGCGCGGAGTCATAGTCTGGGGAGATCCCTGGAAACTTGACCAGTGGGAAATTACCGACGCCTTTTCAAAGAAATATCAGTTTCTCCTAGCTAATTGTGGAGATCTAATTGAGTCGACAAATCGGTGGAGGGAGAGCAGAGGAGAGGACAGGTTGATCGTAGAGATTTGATGGTATGAAAATCGTCCGCACCGAAGTGTATCATTCAAGGTTATTCGGTTTAGATGAATACAATTCCCGAAAGACGCACAATCTTCGGGGTGGCCATATATACATCCTTACCCACATCAGAATAGGGTCATAGGTAGGTTGAATAGAGCCCTATGAGGAGAGGTCCAAAACAACTCTGCCGTGCAACTTCCCCTCTTGCATATCCTTGAAGGTTTGCGTCAAATCCTCCATCTTCCTTACCTCAGAGTGGGCTTTCACTATACCTCTGGCACCGAATTTCATCACCTCAATCGCTTCATGTTGGTTACCAACAGCGGATCCAACGATGCGATACTGTTTGGTGACGATCAAACTCGGCTTAGCAGTAGCAATGGGAACCATGTCACCTTCGGGCATACCAACGCACACCACTGTACCACTGAAGCGCAAAAAGGTTACTGATTGCGCGTATGCTCGATTAGACGCTGTGCAGACAACGACTGCGTGGGCACCGAGTCCGTCGTCAGTCAGAGATTTGATGTGAGCCGCCATTTCCTCATCTTTAGAGAATTTGGTCAAGTCGACAAAATGTTCAGCTCCGGAATCTTTAACGAGAGTCTCCTTGGATACGTGATCAATACCAATGATACGCATCCCAAGGGCCCTTGCTCCTAGCTGACATGCCAAGTGACCCAAGCCGCCACCAGCACCGGGAATGACAACCCACTGTCCAGGTTTGGCTTCGCTTTTCAATAAAGCCGAATACACGGTCACTCCGGCACAAAGGAGAGGCGCTGCGTCAACGGACTCTATTCCATCGGGAATCGGGGTTACGTAGGCAGCTGGGCCAAGAACGTATTGTTGAAAGGTCCCGGGGTGATAGTAACCTGAAACTTTTTGATTCATGCATACACCATCCTGACGGACAAGGCAAGGTGCTTAAGTGGTTCGTCAGAAGATGAATGCCAAAATAGAGTAATTCTTAAAAATTGCAAGCACTTACCGCATCTCCCACAAGCACTCGCGATCCACTTGACGCCTACTCGGTCTCCTATCTTGATGCCAGTGGTCTCTGCTCCGGGACCAAGCTGTACAACTCTGCCAACACCCTCATGTCCTCCAATCTGCCCTTGAGGAGTTGGTGCAGGTAGGATTTGCCACTGTTTTACTGGTCAGCCTGTGGTTCCACGCAAGAACTTGTTTACGTACGCTGTTGGTCATCACGCCATAGTCTGAGTGACATACGCCCGAGTGGGTTCTATCCAAGGATTTTGTTAGCTGTTGCCAATTACATCTATCGAGAACCACACATACAAGTTGACGAGGACTTCTCCTGGGCCGGGCGTCGGTGTGTCGATGTCAACTACTTTGGTGGACACCGCCCCCGGATTGTCATAGATGATAGCCTTATGCTGCTTGGGTACCACGGGCGGGGATCCTCCACCCATTTTGATACACTGATCGTTTCTTTCAGCCAAGATTATCCGATTTGGAAAGCGTGTGGATGTGAGTGGCAGCTGGACCTGACTGGAGACAAGGTGAATACTTTCTCACCCTGGTGCGCTAAGTAAATAATTCAAGTCAGAAAATATTTAGACAAGATAAATGGTATAGACGCGGGAAGACAATGAACTCAAACCGCCGTACCAAGGGAGTGGGTGGGCGCTTCCTTAAGTAGTATCCTTCCGTCTGGATTTAACTCATACAAGGTTATTATATGTTAATAACAAAAATATAATAAATAGCCGGGGGTGACCTTTGTGTATACCTTCTCATCATTTGGCAAAGAGAATAAAGCCTACTTCGGCCTACCACCCTTCTGAGATCCTTCCATCCTCCTCAGTCAACCCCAGTTGGGCCTCGGCAACCCCGCAGCACCTCTAATAGATGCAAAACCCACACAACGGGATTGAGGGGTATGACGGGATCTAAACGAGAAGGATCCAATAATGACGTGTCAAAGGAAAGGCGGAAGAAGATCTCCGGATACCGAAATCTTGTGTTTTTCATTCGCATTAATCTAACTGCCATGTTTCAAGTTAGCTGAATGAAATGGCTAATGTGGGTTGTTCATCTGTCTGTGTAGAAGGCGAAAACATACCCCTCGGCCACTGCAGTAAGTGGACGGCGGACTTGATATATCTTGTTATTCAATATCAGTCAAATAAGAGCATACGCTAAACACGCCTCGATCGTCCGAGAATTTACAGGAGAATAAAAGCAGCGATTCTCGGTGAGAAGAAAAAAGAAACCAGCAGAGTTTAGTTAGATACAGAAAGAAGCCCCATCCTCAAAAGTACGCACCATAATTGTTTCTCCAAATCGCGATGAACCCCGGATTCGTTGCTAATAATACAGCTCGATTTCGAAATAAATTACCTAAGGCAATTGAACTTATACCCCAGGCGAGTCTCTGGGCGAAATGCTTCCTGGCCGAGGCGATAGAATCAGGAACGGTCAAGTAAATGGGATTCTCTTCGCTGCAGAACGGATACTTAAATGATCATCGAATGTAGCAGGCTACGGCTCAGACCTAGACTCTCACCTCCACTCCCCCGGGTATGATTTTTCTTCGTGTTATCTCCAAAGACACTGGGTTCTCGGGAGGCTTCAAGCGTCCATTAATTCGAGGGCCCCGAGGCAAGGGGCCTAAAGTGGGTTTAAGACACATACCTTCCAAACGGTCGAGATCGTCGCATTCCCTTCAAAGGTCAAATTCCAGCCCAGAGGACGTGTTGGACACACTTTCGTGTCTCACCAAGATTACGCGTGCCGTTTCCACGCTACTTCATTCAATCAGCCCAGGTGCGCATTTGAAATTAGCAATCCACATAATTTCGACCAACGTATAAAGAGAAGGGTCAGTCTCTTTAGAAGGAGTCACACTCCTCTAAACTTACCGACTACTCGTTCACTTCCCTTCGGCTTCGACTCCATCTTCAAGGCCACAATACATTCATCAAAATGAAGGTCACTTTCGCTCTCGTTTCTCTTCTCCCTCTTCTGGCAGCTGCCAGAACCCAGCCCATGGCTCGGAATCTTCCCACCGTTGACTTGGCCAGCCTCAACGAAGGCGATTTCCACAGATCCGCCGCCAGAATCGGCAAGAGCGTCATGGGCCCGGACGACGATCTGTGCCCTGTTGGCTACCCTTTCGTCTGCAACGGCCGCTGCTGTCCGTTTAACCTTTGCTGCGCCAAGCAGTGCTGCAGCCTTAACACAGACTTCTGCGGAGCTGATGGGCAATGCTACAAGTATGACTCATCCAAGGCGCACGGCTTTACCGACAGTAAGTGAAACTCAACAAGAGAGTCTTCTGTAAATTAACAATTTACTAATTGGAATATTACAGGCGCGGCTTCTTAGGGTTATTCCGGTATGCATTTTCTTCATTCTTCGGCCGTCCAGGATGAGCAGTAGGGCAAAGATGCGTGAACATGATAATTTTTGTCCGCAGAATAGTGCAGTTTGTACATGTAGGGGGTGGCATACATGGCATGTATCTTAAGATTGGGAAAATAGTACAATCTGCACCAGATGTCCCATAATTTAATGTCTTCTCGAGCATTCCTTTGGATGGTTGTGCCTGAGCAGCGTCGATGTGTGTGAGACAATAATGACCGCAGTCCCCATTACCCACCACAACCGTTTACTGGTTCACTCTGTCATGCAATTGAACCCATGACTTTATACAAACATAGATTCTTGCCGAGATCTCATCAACGTTTTGAGTTTATTCGCGAGCGAGATAAACGGAGCTATGAAAGTAGGCTTCATGAGCCCGCTGCTCGAGGTCCCTTGTTTGAGACATTTCTGGAGCAGGTGAAACCTTGTCGGGCGCAATTTCACCGAATATTGGTTGGTGACGCCTGTGAGCCTATCATTTGATCGATTCAATACCACCCACTCTACTCTGTGAGCCCTCGTGTTAATAGCTTCCCGTAAGTCTTCCTCGCTGTAACTGACAATGAGTCTAAAAGACTTCCATGCCATCTTACTGCGTGGCGAGTAACGAAACCAAATGCACCTGAAAATTTGAGTGATTTACAGCTCTTGTCTAATGTGGCTTCAGAATTAGATTCCTTACTTGAAACATCCATTTGAGTCCTCCTTGTTGTCTCCACGTTGGCACGTCCTCCCTACCTTTCAATGTTGTGAAATCTCCCTACTCAATTGTCATCTAGATCACTGTTTCGGGTCTCTGCCCACTAAGTAGTCAAGCTTCTTGGCAACGGTAGCCCAGTCGTGTTCTAGCACTGACAATGGTAGCCAACGCTGCGTCTTGATTCGCGGAATGCGAACTGGCTTGTTGCCTCCATTCCAGACTAGGAGGCCGCCATCCAACTATGGGAATCAGAACCTATCCTTACGAATTGGTGGGATTCACAGAACTATTGCCCAAACTTACACGCACCTATCATGAGGAGTGCTACCCTGTACACACATGATTTTCTTTGGATTGGTCCTAGGCTAAGCCAACCGAAGGAGAAGCCATGATATCACTAATAAATTTCTAAATGCTGATCATTACGTTACGTGTCTCAAGATTAATCGTTCTTCATTGGAAAAAAATCAAGGTTTTCACTCTGAATTAACCAAAACTCAATGGGACTTCTTGAGCACAAGATCCAAAGATGGGAGTTATTTGAATAAGTCTCCACTCACTAGGAAGTTACAGGAACTATAACCATAACTCATGTTTCATTTAATCGAGATAACTCTAATATCCAATGAGTCGCTAGAGATGGGATTGATCAAGTAACTCATGCCTGCCGATGACAGGCTCTGGAAACAAGGCAAGGAGACAGTGTTCATGATGACATTGCCCTACGCTGACGCGTCCCGTGTAGAGATCAAAGGGCTCAGAGACAGCCAATGAAGTACGATTACTAATAGCAGTTCCTCTTAGCTGAGCAGGTAAGCAGGGAGAAGACCCCGCTTGCCCGCCGGTCCGCCAAGCAGTTCTTATGCAGATCTGGCGCCATCAACGCAGACTAATCTAACTCGAAGAACCCGGCCTATGAAAACTGCTGAAATGATTACCTATTCCCTACCAGTGGAGAAAATCGGAGGCATCTCCCGATGGAAAGGGGCGGGGGCATGAAGAAAATCGAAGCATCCATGCAGCGTTTTCTGCGCGTGGATTTCAGACTCAGCGAATGTGCGGTTTCTCGTTCGCCAAGACACCATTCCGCTATACCGACGAGCGGATAACTCTGTACATTTGCGATATCTACAAACTGAATCAGTTGAACCATGATATATCGTCGCGAGACTATCCCAACTTTCCGAGTTATCCGAGTTTTTCCCTCACCTGCTTCTTATGAATGGCAAATTTATCGCAACGGCCCAGCGACAGCGACAACATAGCAAAAACATTCGCAAAAAATTGTCAAAAACTCGGTGGATGAAAGAGAGGAACGCTCGGCCTTGTGATATACATCGTCCTCTGCTGATTCATGTCACGATCATCCAATATGGATGTCACGCGGTTATTTGAAGTCACGGAGCTCTTGGATCACGTCTACGAATTCCTTGAGCCATCTTGGCACTTCGCGCTTGCTCGGACGTGCAAGTCGATCTACTACAGGTCAGACAGAGTCCTGAGCAAGCATCGCGCCGCGTACAAGGATAGCCAAATAGCCTCAGACCGTTACCCGCAAACGCTCCTACGCCTATTCCACAGCGCTTCTTGCACGGTTGGCCCGGATGCAATAGAGGCATGGCACGTGCGTGAGCTAGAGATCTGGGGCAGCAGGAGGTCGTGGGATGAGTGGCGGTCGTGGGAACTATCTCCGAACGGCACAGTCTCGCTGACGCAGGACCAAGTGGCACTGAGCCTTCCGTTTGCAATTGGAGAGCTGGAGTACCATCTTGAAAGGTTAGAGTCAGTCATGTCGGGCGTCCAACATGATATCGCCTGCCAGCGGGTGAGAGACGGCGAGGACGGTTTCTTCAAAATGGTGTTGATCTCTCTTCTTCCACGACTCAAGGCCTTGAAGTTCGTCGAAAGACCGCACGATGGGCATACGAGTTTCACTTGGCTGAAAACCGCGATCGGATGGAGTCTCCGCAACCGGACCCCGTGGCCGCCGGGTTTTCTATCACTCCGAACTGTGGCTGTTGGTGTTCCAACCGTGGCTGCTCAAGCTGGGTCTGATGGAATCTCAGCTCGGGTTGACGGTCTGGCTAAGCTATTGCGACTTCCCAATATTGTTGAGGTGTATTATCGGAACCTGGAAATGGAATATCATCCAGAACTCGAATACCTGGATACTTCATCGGCATTTTACGACCTTCCCCCGGGGAGTTCCTCCGTCAAGTCTATCATTCTTGACAGAATCAGGGGCGACTCGCTCGTTTTCCGAGAGGTATTATGCGCAGCGCCAGTTGCTCTTGAGTCAATGATCATCCGCGGAGAAGCCGATACTCAGACTGAGAGCGACCAAATTGCTGGCTATCTCACCGAATCGCCGTCGAGCGCATCAATCAAGAACTTTCTCTACTACAACCCAGAATTGGTCCTTGCATCTCACTTGGTCATCTGCAAACCGATGAAGCTGAAGCAAATGGCCAACTTGAGAATCGTTAGCATATGTGTGCAGGACATTGTTAACCAAGCGTCGGGAAACCTCGGATTCCCCGAAACTCACATCCAAGCCACCCATGACGACGTGGTGCGAGAGTTCAAGACTGGCCTGCCGCGATCGATAGAGGCCGTAGCTTTCTGTGGCCTTGAATACCTCATTGGATTAGGAGAGGAGAAAACTCATATAACAGACATCATTGATGATGGCATCGTGGGCATGCTCGAGTCTGGAAACTACCCAAAACTTAAAATGGTGTTTGTTGACGGGATTGAAAGATTTCTGGCGAAGAAAAACCCAAAAGATCACTTCCAAAAAGCAGTAGAGGCTGGTGCTAAACATGGGGTTTATATCCACACGATGACTAGCAAAGATGGCCCCGAAGAGATGACGGATTTTCCATCCTTGCCAGACAGACATGACCTCAAGTCTGCTCTGCTGCCGGAAAGAGATCCATCCTGGTTTGTGAATTCTTTCACAGGTGAATGGACTGCGCCGTATCCTTCAAATGGGGATGATGTGTATGATTTTAGCGAATTTGCGGACACTGTAATTTTGTAAATGGTCTTTTATCCAACTTCAAAGATATTTTATGTACAAGAAAACCTAATCATGAGAAGGACACTGATATCCCTTTTTCTTTCTGACACTTCCAAATCTCATTACCTGTTTCAACATTTCCGCACAAATATGGAGGATTTCAAGCCAATTTAATCGACTATTTATAACAAATACCACAAACTAGGGAATATAGTAACCTGGTCGGGGTGTAAAGCAACCCGATTTCCTCAAGAAAATACATCGCTTACCAGTCTATCATTATGATGTTGTCGGAACCAGTTCTTCACATCCTCCTCACTCGCACTGAGACCCTTCTTCTGTCTTGCCTGTACAATAACAGCTGTTGCTGCTTCCTTCATCCCTTGGAGAAGCGCACTACTTCCGCAAGTGTACACCTTGGCTCCAGCTTGAAACAGCCGCACGACGTCCTCGCCAGACTGCACCAGGCGGTCCTGCAACCGTGAACACCCATCAGCCAGTTGGTGATTGGGCTCGCGGCTAAAAGCATATCGCACATCTGCAACCCCCAATCTACTCCACTCGTCCATCTCCTCAGCATAGAGTCGATCACTTTCGGCAGTGCGACATCCAACAAGCAGAAGAGCAGGCGCGAGCGTCCGTCTCCCTTCGCGAATGAGGATAGCCCGCTCCTGTATGAAAGCTCGAAAAGGGGCGAGACCTGTTCCGGCGCAGAGCATGATGATAGGGGTTGCCTCTGGGGCCTTGGGCATCTTGAACTTGGGACTGGATGCGCGGATGGAAACTAGCGCCTTGTCGCCAGGGGTCAGAGACTTGAGGTAGCTCCCTGCCACGCCGATGAAGTGTTTTTTTCCGTCGGCCCAGGCAGGTGCATCCAGAACGCTGTATGTGAGCGAGCAAACGGAGGGGTCGACAAGAGGGGAAGATGAGATAGAGTAGTACCGAGCCTTAAGAGGGGGCAATAAAGCGAGGAAAGAGGAAAAACTAAGAGTGGATGATAGGGCGTTAGACTCGAGTACATCCAGGAGGCTTATACGCTGCTTCTTGATATAAAATGTGAAGTTGGGCTCTTCGGCAAGAGATATGATATTCGATTTCTCGTCCCCTTCAGGGATAGTATCAACCAAAAGTTCAAGATCCTTTACCCGTTAACATGTATTACATCAAACTATGTGGCATCCATGAACTCACACTTTTAGTTGCGGGCTGCGAAAGTTCAACGTACCCTGCTAATAGGTCGGATATGGAGATTGGTTGGTCAGTGGGGAGCATCGTCGAACCCTGCTTGGTGATTTTGACCACACCATCTGTAGGCAAGTTGAATCTTCTCATGACTCTCTTAATGGTTACATCTGGGTTCAGAGGCAAAACCGCAAGATAGTCTCCGGCCTGGTAAATCAAGCTTTCTGGCAGCTTGAATTCAATGTGTCGCTTCTCTGATTCCCCGGGCTGTGTCAGTGACTTGACATAAGTAACCTCAGCCCACTCTGCTTTCACTTGGAGGTTTTCGGCTCGTTGTTCATGAGAAATGCCGAATTCCACCATTGGCATCTTGGGTTTCATCTTCTCCAAAGAACGACCAGTGTGGAGGTCAGATAGGAGCATTGGCCATAACTTCTCAGTGGTCCAGTTCTCAAAATCACCGGAAATATCTCCTTGGGACGCATCCGAGACCCCCCGATCTGCTAGTCTTAGGCATCCATTTGCTTCAATCAGATTATCCACTAATTTGGGGATACGCTGGTAGGTGGCTGACCAGTCCTTGTGACCACAGCCGAACACGGAAAACCGACTCCCCTTCAACTTATCTCCGCCCTGGAGGCTTTGAAGCCAAGCGATAAATCGAGTGGCATTATCGGTTGGCTGACCCTCGTAAGATGCTGTGATGACATTGTGGGGGTGCCATCAATAGGGAGTTGTTGAACTCCATTATCCATGTCAGTAACTGTGGCATTGTAGCCCTGCTCTGCAGCCTGTGATGCCAATTTCTGTGTCAGTGCCTGACAAGACCCGGTGTTAGAGCCAAATAAGATCAACAAAGGCTGTCCTTTCTCTTGATCCCCGTTTGAGGTCGCTGATGCTGGTTCCTCAGAATGCTGTTTTTGGGAGCCAGAAAGCCGGCTCTGAAGAGTCACGGCAGAGATGCCGCTGCGTAATCTAGCTCTGATGTAGCAGTCCGCGGGTTTGATTGTCAAGCTCTGTTGGATTCGGATCTTGTAATTGGGATCATCAAGAGATATGTCGAAGTTCTGGAGTACCATGGCGGTCACCATCAATGCTTCCTGCCAAGCAAAAGCGCGTCCAATACAACCCCTGAGGCCGGTTCCAAAAGGCTGTGAGTGTGTATTGTCAGTGTCTCATACATGCATCAAGCAATGGAAATTTGTGCACTAACCTTCCACGCATTCTTTGGCAGGCCTTCGAATTTTCCATCCAGCATTCTTTCAGGCTTAAACTCATCCGCGTCATCTCCAAAAACGGCAGGGTCTCGTTGAATTTTGCCCAGTAGACACAGTACCGGCTGGCCGCGAAGGATTTCGTATCTTGCTTTCCCAATAGTCACAGTCTCCTCCGTATTTTCAGGCCTAACACCACGTGCAAAGGCCGGAGCAGTTGGGCTCAAACGCAGTGTCTCTCGCAAAACGGCGTCGATGTAATGAAGTTCCTTGAGGTGCTTGGCTTGGACATTCTCTCTACCAATCACGCGATCAACCTCTTTCCTCGCAGCAAAATACGTCTCAGGTTTCAAGAGCATATTCATGAACGCGAATGATAATAGACCAGATGTTGTCTCATGCCCTAATGAATGTTAGAGTCAATGTTTTCGGCATTTATGATAATGGGTAAGCTCGCCAGCAATTAAGAAAGTCTGCATATTGGCCGCGATGAGCTCATCACGCATCCCCTCCCCAATTTTGGGATCTTTGCCATTGATCATGGCATTGAGCAAATCTTTCTTGTCCGTGGGGTTCTGACGACGATGTTGTATTATGTCGTCGGCGATGTTATGCATGTAGTCGAAGTTCTTCTGAATCTCGGCTTGATATCCTGGAAGCATCCTCTTGAATATATTGCCTATCTGGCCTCTCTCACTACGTGAAGTGAGATTTTGTCCCACGGCTTTTACATACCGATGTGCCACATCACTATAGAAAGAATTAAACCGATAGTCCACGGCACAGAGGGCAATAGTGTCTAGCGTAAGCCTGGTGAAGTCGTCTGTTGCCAATATTGGGGTCTTGGGGCCTTTTCGGGCCCATTTCATGATGAGCTGTGTGGCAATATCATACATCTCTGTGGGCGAAACCAATAGTAAGAAGATGTGAAAGAATAATTCAGATCAGAGGTCAGAGAAGCACCTACCATCATACATGTCCAGGATTGCCATGGGTCCAAAGGCCGGGATGAGGATTCTGTGGGCTTGAGCCCAGTCCTGTTCCTTCTCTGTGTTAGAGGAGAACAAGCCTTTAGCACGGCCCTCGGGCCCGCCTGCCACCAATGCTGGAGGGGCAAACTTAAAGAATCGTGTCTCGTCACATAGTTCGTTGAACAGTTCGTGGCTGCAGAAGAAATAGTTATCGTGCTCTGCAATCTTCAACTTGAAAATATCCTTGTACACACTTCCTAGTCGTTCGAGTGCATGGATGGGTACTTCGTCTTGGAGCTCTAACAGGTTGCCGATGATGGGCAAGCCCTTGGGTCCGGGGGTGGGAGTGGTGGTCATCGTCGATTAGGTTTAAGGTGTGAGAATATGCGTATGTCCAGAACTATTTGAACGAGAATAAGCAAAATTATTGGTACCGCAAGAGAGATAATGTTTGATCCGAATGTTAGAAATGAAAAATGTCTGTAGAGGCTATTTCTAATTTCGATTCCACCGTCCGAATGTTCTCTTATAGTTGAGACTCTGGAGAGGCTTTGCTCGTAGGACGCAGAGCTCTGACGAAGATCGACAGTGGCCATGCAACCAGCCTCGGTAGCTAAGATGCACTAAATGAACAAATATCAAATCGCTTGCATTGGTGATCTATTGATTGGACCAGCGGCGAGCACCAGCATCAGGGGAGAGCACGATCCTTGCAAGTCGGTCGGTGCGATCGGGGCTTGCGAGGCCGTCTGTCCCTACTGCGCCACAGAGGCTTGACAGTGAGCGGACGTGTCAAGCTCCGACCCCCGATGACGAGGGAGGATCTTTTTCCGCAGCCGGAGCACGTGATCTTAGTTCGGGTGATGCAAATGCCGAGATTCAACCGCGTGGCTCTTCAATTTGCTCGATGACAGGGAAGGGCAGAGCACTTGTCACCTACCTACCCTAAACACTGATGTTGAATTTTATCAAATGATAAACTCTTTTTTTCCTCGCTAACTGAGTCAAAGGGGACGGTCCGTAATTCTCCAATGGCATCTAAATTATACATACTTTGTTATAGGCCTATTTTACTTAGATACAACTAAAATCTTTCTACTCATTCTCCCCTTCTTCTGCAGCTTAGCTTATTCGGTTTGAGGATGTGATGGCCGTGTAAGTGTTTACCGCCATACCTTTTCGCATCTGCATTTAATATAACGTGCGTTGTCCAGAATTTAACGAAAAAAATCTAGTGCCAAATAATTTAATAGCTTTAATGTTATTTTTAGAGCAATTATCCTGGGTTATCCAAATTACACATAGCCATGGACGAATCCACCTCTCGAGGTAAGGACGGCTCGGCCATCTCTCGCAGAGTGAATAGCTAACTCAAGGGGATGTTTTATACATTTCTTCGTTGCTAACTACTATATATTTTTTCGTTGCATTCATACAGTGCATTAATCCAACTCAACCTCCTTGGTTCTCTACTTAGACAGGTTATTCATGCCAACGCTCGGCGTCGAGGCCGAGTCTTTACCAAGACCCTGCTCGAACTTCTGCTGTCTAATTACCCTGTTCTTCTGCGCATTGCGGCGATACAAGAACAAGGCGGCAGCGAGAATCAAACACGCACCAACAACGGAGCCGACCACTGCGCCGGCAATTCCACCCTTGGAGAGACCACTACCACCACCACCACTGGAGCTGCCATTGTTGCTACCATCCGCTGAATTCTGTGAAGAACTGGAGGTAGAGGTGGATGAGGCTGCCGAGGATGCGGCGGTACTAGTGTGATGATATGTCCATTCGTTCGTGGTATTGCCGTCGTCTTCCTCCGTAGCGTTGAAACAGGGGATTGTTGTCTTGAAGGCACTCGCTTCGACGAATTTGATATCGGCACACGCATAGAAGGTTTCGTTCTCGTTGTGGTCAAACTGGGAGACGTAAATCATCTGTAGAGTGGCATAGTCTCCAGAAGTGACCGATTTTGGAGGGTCTGCGACGTCGACACAAGTGTGGCCAAGCTCCATCTCCTTGAATTTGGACGGTGAGATCAAAGTCGTAAAGTCACTGTTGCTCTTGGGATCTGATACTCAATGTTAGGACGTTGCTAGGAATCAATAGGTCAGATCTGTCATCAGTTCCTCACCATCGGAATAAGAGATGCTGAGCGTGATGTTGTACGACTCATCTTGGGCCACGAGAGCAACTCGCCCATTGGCTGGTACCTTCGTTAGAAAGAGATGACCAACAATGAGGTCGAATACGAGGGATGTGCTAACTCATTGGAAACTCAGTTCGGTTCGTGTTATTGGGTGATGCTATCGAACCGCAAGGGGCGGTGTTATCCTGCTCTGCCGACCAAACACGATCGGTTGGCCACAGAAACTCAGCAGGGCCAAAGTCCTTCCACTCGGCAGCACCTGCTAGAGCCACCGAAATGGCCAGGGTGGCCCAGAAGGATTTGGGAGACATTTTGTGGGGAGAGGTCAGATTTAAACAGACGTCAGCATACAGAAGCAATTTCTCAGAGATGAGATATCAGGTGAAAGTCAGAGATACAGTTGGGGCGTGTGCGCTTTGGCAATAAAGGAGGTGCTCCCCTCAACTCCTCATATAGTCGCCGCCAAGCTTGATTGGCCCTCTTTTTGGATCTAATCGGCCAACAAGTGCCGAGAAGTCTCATGAGATGATTTCTTCGGGGATATATGCCAAAACTATATCGTTTCTCCATTGCCTCTTATGGAAAGTCAGATAAAAAATCGAGGATTTAATGTGATGGCATTGGAGGCCGCATTCACCGAATTCGGTAACATCCGTCTCGCAGGAGTGCGTATATCCGAGAACCTCTTTACAAGCCGCTAGATGCAGGCAAATATTGGTTCTGGCACCGCTATCACATGGGACGGGGTGGGTTGTACTTTGGTCTATGAGTGCCGTTGTATCCGGAATTTGGCCACTAATCAGATAATCTGATAACTAAAAATTGAAGCCTTGATCTTATCAGATGCCTAGACGATGCATAATTGGTTCATGGGGCAATATACAGTGGGCCATCACTTTCGCCTTGGGCTAGGGGTGCCCCAGCTGAACATGTCGTGCCGTGTGATCCTTTTTGTGATGCGGTGGAGCGGATCCATGTGGTTCGGCCAGAACCTCCCTTGTTTCCTTGTTTTGCTGGAATAATCTGCTCTTCTATACCTAGATGGGATTGGGGATCCGTCGAGGTGCAGGGCAAAGCGGCCACCCCAGCTCACTCTGGGCAATCAGGTCATTCGTCGTAATCTTCCAATCCTCTGAGACCGCGATATTTCCACGAACGGTATGGACACTAGATGTGTCTCCGGACCCGAAGCTAAAGATGTGGTGGATGGTCTTGGTAACATCCGAAAGGGGCCACTCCAGTTGTAAGACTATAAGTAAGCTTCATTCGCCGCCTCTAGCCCAAGAGCTTGGTGCTGTACCTTTCACTTGTCTCGATCTATTAATGATCCATCTTGTCACTCGCTTGTCAATTTAATCAAAATGCAGTTGTCACTCATCACCTTTGCCTCTCTGGCGTCTGTCACCATTGCTTCCGCCTCCGTTGAGGAGCGTGACTTCTGGCCTGCTCACATCCCCCTTGCCAAGCGTGCCGTGAGTGGTGCTGAGTACCAGTGCCACGCCAACTGCGGTATGATCTCCCTTATTCTAATAAATATCAGCGGATGGGTTGGCGTGATTGGAAAGAAATGGCTGACCGGTTCTAGGTTACACCATCCTCAATGCCCAGCAGAGCGGCTACTGTGATAACTCTCAGTGGAAGATCTACTACCAGGGATGTATGGAGTGTGCCTACACCTACAACCTCTGGCCTGACTACGGCGATGGTGTTACCTCTGCTGCTAAGGCCTGTGGCTTGACTGTTTCGCCCAGCCCGTCCAGCGGCTCCTCGCAAGCTTCCTCTACGGCCTCTGCCCAGAGCTCCGCTGCCCAGACAAGCGCCGCCCAGACCAGTGCAGCTCAGACCAGTGCAGCTCAGACCAGTGCAGCTCAGACAAGTGCAGTTCAGACCAGTGCCGCCCAAACTAGTGCCGCCCAGTCTACTGTCCGGTCTTCTGCTGCTCAGTCTAGCTCTCTGGCTGCCTTTGCCTCATCGGCCGTTGCTATCTCTTCTGGCTCTGTCTCTGTCTCTGTCAGAAAGGCTACAACACCTGCAGCCTCCGCCACGACTCTGGTCAGCACCACCCCCAGCCTTACTCACGGTAGTAACTCGGTAAGGAGCTGTATTCTTGCCAGTAGAATGGAGTTATGTGCTAATCGGTTTAGACCACCTCTTCTACCTCAGTTCCCACCGCTGGTGCCGCCAAGAATCTTGGCTCATTCGTGGTTGCGGGAGCCGCGGTCCTCGTTGCTGTGAACATGATGTAAGGAGACTATGACTTAATAGCTGTCACAATCCCTTGCAATAGCTTTGGTGGTGGAGCTTTCAAGGTGAAAGGGGTAAGCCTACCTCAAGCTTTTGTAACCATTTCTTGTCGTTAGCATCGTTGTACTGCTCAACAATAATGTCCCGGTCTTATCATACATTGACAACATTTCTGAGGCCACATATTGCCTCGCCTACAATGTTTTGCATGATTTTCCTCTTTAGTCTCGAGTATTTATTCAGGCTCTAATATTGTATCATTTTACAAAGCACAAGTTCATAGAACAAGCATGCTATTCGAATCGTATGTGTCTTGATTTGTATACTGAAGAATTTATTGTATCAATGCAAAACCCTTTAAGGCTTCTTGTGACGATTAAAGAAGTCAATAATCTTAGGAGAAAGGAAAAGCTGCGCGTCAGACTCTGATGGGTACGCGTGGGGATGGCCCTCGAGCTTGTAATGGCTCAGCAACCCCTTCTCTCCACTGCAAGTCCACTCCTCCAGAGACACCCCATTGCCCAGATCTGAGGTCGAGGAGCCACTGCACTTGTTACGTATGGACCAGCGGGATAGCCACTCTGGGATTGCAGGAATAGGACCGCCGCGGCCAGTACCGCCCTCGTAAGGAATTGTCGTATCTCCAGTGCCGTGCGATTCCAAGAAGGGGAGAGGCGAGCGCGAGGGGTGGCACGTCTCATCTCCCGTCACATCGGTATATAACGCAGCCGAGCTGGCCGCGAAAGCGGCAAATTGCCCACCATGCTCGGGAGAGCAAGCCAGGGTATTCACGAATCCTCCGCCATTTGATTGACCAGCTGCGTAGACGCGGGATTCGTCGATACAGTAGTTGTTCTTGATGCGGTTCACTAAATCGGTGGTGAAGACTTTGTCACTGACGCCGGGGGTGGCGTATGTTGGGCCTTGCCAGTTTCCCTGTAGAATCAATCCTTGTTAATATCCATCCAAGTTAATCAATATTTGGAGGTCCTTACATTTACACCGGCCGGGTAGACAGCAACCATCTTGGAATTGATTGATTCGTCGGAGAACTTCGTAAGCGATTCGATAGCCGAAGGTGTTCCTCCAGAACCGTGGTAAGCAATCACTAGTGGCTGGGGATTGTTCACATCGTATCCCAAGGGCAAGAAGATCCGATAAGTTCGATTGCCACCGCTGCTTTCAAAGCTGAAGTCCCTTGTCTCGCCAATGAAGTTATGAGACTTTCCGCAACCCGCCGAGCCACGCTTCTGAATGGTGAGACCGTCGACACCCTGCAACATGGCAGAGGCCAAGACGAAGAACGAAACTGCGGCGTTGGCGAGCATGATGGGCGACTGAGGGTTCACTGGCCGTTGAAAACTCCTGTGCGAGATCGAAGAGCCTCTGTCCTCATCTTAGGCGGACGTCGCTCGCAATTATTTATAAGCTGGTCGCCAAGATCTCGTGCCCTGCACCTCCCCCACCTTGTCAGATTCGGAGAGCATTAGGGTGAGTGAAGGATTGCGAACCCAGCGTTTCATCAGCCGGGAGTTGCGTACGACCCGCCTCTAGTTCCATCGTGCTTTGCCGTTGTCAGACTAAAACCAAGCTGCCGAGGTTCCAATTCATTCTTGGTTTCATCCTCAAATGGCATATTTTTTATTTTATTTTTAAATCTTCTACTATAGGTAGTCTAATAAAACTCTAGTCATATCAACTCTGTCCTGTAAAGTCATGATCATAGTAGGCAGTCCCAGATGAAAAATCGTCAGCAAACGCAAATCTGGGTCCGTGTTACCCCTGGGCCTAAGACGATTCTCCTTAAATAGAAATAGAAATGCTAGCGTTCCTTGGGCATGATTTATTTAATTTAATCAGCAAATCCACCCTCCCAACAAGGCAACAATCCACAACACAGTCGGTAATTGGGGAAGTGATACCCACGAGCCTAACCTACAATGTAAGGTCAGTGCCGAACGTACCGATTTATCTGCAGCCATGCTTTTTCGTATTCTTCATCTGTCCGCTTGGCACCTAGATTCATTCAGGCTACGGAGTACGGGTTAATTATCTGCCTGCTGTGACTAAGCTGACGTTGAGCCAACTCTGTTCACTTATGTAATTAGAGAATTGGGAATGACTGTTTCTAAGGAATTTCAGCCAGTATGCCAGCTTCCAGAAGCCTTCGGTTTTAGACATATTGGCCCTTGATCATTGGCCAAGGCTTTCACGATCAGCATGTGCCTAATTATGGTCATAAAGTTGATCGATATCTTGACTGCCCCCCCACTGTGTTCTCTTTCATTGTGTTTTTAGAGGCTCAGGAACATTACAATTGAAGCTATCTTCTACTAAGCCCCGGTTCCTCCCATCTAATTCCCTTTCTTTGTGCCAAATTAATTTTTCTTCTCGATGAGGGAAGTTTTGCAATAATCTGGCCTTAGGCACGAGGAAGACCTACCACCTTAACCTCTCGCTGCTTTTAAATGCCGGGATAGCATTAGTATCAAGCTTTTGGCTTGGTTCAAGGTTTTCAAACCTCTTTGTCTGACTAATTTGATTAACCTGATCAGCAGAGGTAATCAAGCTGCTAGACCAGGACGGCCTTTGCACGACTAGCATACTTTAGGTCACTTGTGCTTATTTTTAGTTTTATCTTATTAGTCCAGAAAATTTTCTAATCTTTAAGAGAATCGCCAGGATTACATCATCTAGTATGATGTATATATTTATATATATATGTCAGCTTAAGTGTTCTGGCCAAGAGGCTAGTAGTACTTATTAGACTCATTAGTTGCAGTTTTTAGATTAAAATGATAGAAGATAAATATAAAGCGAGATAAAAGAGTGCAGTTTAAATAGAAATTAAATAAGGAGCTTATCTTAATCGTAAGTAACTCATTCAGATAAAGGTCTATAGGGTTTTTCTTCTATAGAACTATAATCTTAAGCTGTTAAAGCTTAAATTTATCTTCTATATTTATTATATAAAGATATCAGGCCTGGCATCCTTTATTGCTGTTTTTAACTTTATACTCAAACGATATACCATGGCAGCCTGTTTTCTAGCTAAAATTTTGTTCATATTGATATCAACATAAAACATTTCTTCATGATCGCCAATAAGGGCGTAAGAATTATGCATCATGTGTAAATTATTCCAGGAAAATCTTAAAGCCTTCCGAGAGACTCTTAAACTAGATTCGAAAAACTCGAGCTTTAGCGCATAGAATGCTGGCTGGAACATGGTAGAACACCTGGAGATGCGTTGAGGCAAGGTGGCCATTCGACTTTGATAGAGTGAGATAAAGTAATCCCTTCGAAGGTAATTTTTTTTACTTTTAGCGGCGGGGTGTTTGGGTACGCACTACTCGTTTATACAAACACATGGAGAGAGGCAAACAGAAGTGAATGGTATACCTATGGACCTTCTAGAAGACCAAGACATGACAATTGATTGTGAACTGATACGTAGAGCACGACTTGTCTCTTGTCTCAACATGATAGTATAGTATGGATGGAAGTATGGAAAAGATGAACTGGATTGAAAAGGCAGGAGGCAGTCCTGAACGAATATATTAATCAGTTGTTTCAAGCTACCGTGTGTCCTTCTTTTTCTCATATGATTCTGGCGAGAGATTTTTTCTTGAGTCTGTAGGACCATCGTGGCTTGGGAAATTGCCAGACTTTCCTCGTTGGCCAAGGCCACATCGTCTGAGTTGCGATCTAGCAGCGGTCTCGGTGCACTGAAGACTTTTCGGTTTCCCCGCCATACTGCTATCATGATAGACGAACTGAAGAACTTAGTCTTGACCTTAACCCTTGGTGATTGCCCAGTAACGATTCCCTTATTCTAATTTAGTGTGATGTAGGATGGAAGCTAGGAAGATGGGCCTTCTATGAGACGTAGATGTCCGTCTTTCGTACGATCCCCTTGCGGCTAGAGCCATCATCATCCGTCTCAAGCTCCCTAAAGCCTGACGCGGTGACTTTTGCCGAATGGAAAGGTCGATCGTGCTTGTTGATCGAATCGAGTCTGATCCCTGGACCGGAAGATCCCAGCGCATTTTCGCTCTATTGAATGTCAGTTTGTGTTGGAGGGCAACGATGATGGATGGAAACTCTATCTACACAACGCGTGGGCTCATGAGACTTACCTCTCGGGTATACTTATACTGAGCGTCGCGAGAAGAATTGCCGTAGTAGAATTTGAACAGCTTCCTGAGGGGGGGCAAAGAGCATGCGATAATACCCAGGCTGCACTCGAGGTTTGACGTAATGCTGATGACACCGAGATGATCTGCGATGCTCTGTTAGCATGGGATGGGAATTTTGATTGGGATGCAAGACGGACAGCCTATCTCAGTGGGGTATTTTTTCGTGTCGTAGTACTTCAGGAAGGGCATACGGATGCAAGTGGCGATACTTGCGGTGACACCAATCCCAAGAATCGCAATGACAGACACCTTTCTTCTTCTCGACATTTGTAGCCCGGCGACAATGAAGAAGGGGATAATAGCGCATGCCCAATCCGTCACCATTTGGATAACAGAAACGATATAACTGACAGTCTGCAAGCTGATCTTGTCCTGGCAGGTTCCCCTGGGTTGATCCTTGTTAGCTACGGACAATTCGCCTTGAAAACGGAGGCACGCACAATGCTGGGTTCCATGTTGCCGCAACAGGAACACAGTTTGCAAAGACAAAGGTCAGAGCAAGGATGGCCACAATGACCATGGTGGCCATGTTGACGTATAATGGGATGGTGACTCGCTTCCTTGTATCCACACGAACACAGGTGAATCCAATGGCGCATTTGATAATCGTTGACGAGATGAAGTACAAGACCTCCCAGTAGGTTTGATATTCGGACGCGCGGATCAGATACAACGGCGAGGGGATGTCGACGTCATGGCTCCCAACACCATAGCGAGCAGCCAGGACAGCAAAGGCAACGGCGGGAATGAAGGGTAGCTACCAACGTAAATGGTCAATCAGCTGGAGCCCGGAGAGAGGTAGCGAACGCTTCCTAGAATAACTGATGGGATCTCAACTTACAATACCAGCTAACACTAGGTAGTCCTCAATGCCCCAGTGTCTAGAAGATGCGACCGAACAGCCTGAGCGAACATATATTCGAAGTGATACGGCGAGGAGACTGATGGCACCGAACAAGCAGGCAACAACTTCCACAGCAGATCCCAAGCCTTTGGGCGTCAGTGGCGGCAGCTCATTGGCGAGAGCCTGAATTTGATCCCCTGTCATGGAATCCATTGCAATTGCCAGTTCTTTGCCAATGGCACGCGATGTGTCGTAAGTAACATAGAAAGAAGAGATGCAGACGAGCGCGATTTTGTTGATTGGCGTTGTGTCTCTTGCCTCTCCTTTCTACCCGTTGGCTTGGGTGGCACTGGCTGTCATAAGAGGAATTGGCAGGGCATAAGAGGAAACAACATGGTGGAGATGCGCTTGAGATCAGCAGAATTGTCTCCAAATTCAAGCGAGTGGCAGAGGAGTTCGTCTTCCCCAGGGAACCAATGCCATGTTCCTGGGGCACAGACAACCGTTACATTCAGCCCAGGATCTTGTGGCCCTGAAAAACGTTTGGAATTAGTATCACACTCTAACTTGATTTGTGCTTCTCGGTTAATGCACGAATTCCTAATTCTGTAGGGGGGGAACAGTCGATGACATACTTGTGATAACTCGAGTATTATTTCTATTAAGCATTGCGAGCCTAGGCTTTGAACAAGTAGATTGGAGGCAGGACAATTCGCGTGACTAACGATCAATGACCTTGTCAAGGGTTGTTATCTACTTTGAGTGATGAATGATCGTGCTTTTGTTCGTCTGATGGAGAACAACTTCGGCAAAGAGGTACCTGGAGGGAACATAAACCTCGCACTCATAACCATTGACTGACAAGTCCCCTTGGGTCCATTTCGCCTATCTTAGTTAGTCTACTGGGTAGATCCAGTAGTCGAGTCTCATCACAGTGGGGCTGTTCAACGGTCGCGTATCACGGAAAACCTCCAGTCCAATGCCTGTTGACTGTTGGTCGTTGGAAGTCGGGGGGGAACAGTGGACCCCCCTGGCTTCGGCCAGCCCCCGGTGAACTTGGGAGAATCTCGACTGGCCCAAAGGGTGGTCTATATTACAAAATCTTGATGAAGAGAGCTCTTGAGCGAATTAATATTCTCAATAGTTCGGCTGCTGGCCCCCCACAGACTTTGGTGTTTCCCACCCAACAACAGGAATACGTGAAGGTCGTACTCCTTCTGCCTCAATTTTACTACCGGCGATCCAGTGGATTATGTATGACTACAAATAAACCATGAGTCGTCGTTTATCCGCGGAGAACCTAATCAGTTTCTATATTTTCTAGCGTGTATTCTTCAGATCAGGGATCGCAACAAAGTACTGCCTATAGACAAGGCGAACAAGGGGTTACCGCCCCTCTGAGAGGAGGGGGCGTAGGGCGCAACCCCCTTATTCATTTTACAAGATGTGCAGAAACGCCAGGGAGAGAGAAAATAGGAACCTCTGTAGGGAGGAGTAGAGGGAGAGGGAGGAATTGGCAATCTCATGGGCACAATGTATCAGCAATATCAGGTACCGGTATATCAGAAGACCGGCTTCAAAATAATATAGCCACAGCCGAATCCGCAATTAGGAAAATTAATTTACTCCTGCCACTCGACCACTCGTCAATCTTCACACGATCCCTCCAATGTGTCATTGGTCAAAACCCGTGGGGCGCACCCGTCCGGGCTCTGGTCAATGGGATGAGTGCCAACTGATTTGTGACAAAACAAGGCGGTCAGAGATGCTTGGAAACGTGCCTCAAATTGCGACTCAGCAGGTACTTTCCTTTGAAAGATTTTCCCTGTCAGCCACAGTTGACCCCCACGAGCCTTCAGTGGAGGTGATGCGAGAAACATTCTGTATTCCCCCACGAGATTGGATCTGGCGAACCCTTCTCATTTCAGAATGTCAGGACTCTCAAGTAGGGCAGAGAGCCCAATTCATTATGCAAATGCTACCTAGATGACCAACTTGGACCAACGGTTGGTTCAAAACAGTGGATTACATGTCAGCTCTAGTAGGGGACCAGAAGCAACCCTAGTTGGCCGTTTATGTTACTCTGCTCATGTCACCACTGGGTCGTCGAAGCGCTAAGATGCGTATCGACGAATAAGCTGCTGGTTGTTATGCAAAGCCATGTTGTGAATCTTTCCGAATTCAATCATATCTTCCAGGGACGTGGAGACGCGTAAGTGGATGTCAGCGTAGTCGAAACAAGCCCCTGTCAAAGATATGAAAGCGCTCCCACATCCTTTCACAAGCTTTCCGGAATGAAAGCGTCTTTGAGATGGCACTAGAGTTGGGGGGGACAAAATATGGCATGATGACCCTTGTTTGGTATGCGTTGGCCTCGCTGTATCCACTTCACCTACCACATCCTACAACCTGGACATTTCTGCAGTTGGTGATTCCATCAGTTAAATTAGGCATGCTCACCCCCAATAAGCACATTGGTCCCATCCGGGTCTGCTGTCATTCTTTACCAGGCTAGTTGACATATTCAGCTTCGCCATGGCCAATCTTCTCGTCCTTCTGGGGGCTATGCTGACCATTTACCTGGTCGGCAGCGCCGTCATCTCCCTCAAGTTCTCTCCATTGTCCGACATTCCTGGTCCTTGGATTTGTGCAGTCAGCCGTATTCCCTACTGGCTTGTTTTGCTTCGGGGTGAGGACGTACAATGGATGAAAGAACTACATGACCAGTATGGGCCCGTTATTCGATTTGGTCCTACGGATGTGAGCTATACCACTGCCCAAGCATGGAGTGACATCCATGGTCCCAAGGTCACAGAGAAGGCACAGGAATTTTCTGTTCAGCCCATCAATGGTAAGACACATGTTTCTGCTTTTGAATGCCATCTCGAGTGTGTCATTTAACACTTGATAGGCGTTCCAAGTATGCTTACAACCAATACCGAAAACCATACTCGTGTTCGTCGCCTATTTTCTCCTGCCTTCTCAGAGCGTGCCTTAAAACAACAAGAGCCCTTGTTCAGGAAATATGCGAGTCTACTTGTACACAAGATCTCCGAGGTTGGCGAGGAAGGAAAGAAGCCTGTCGAGTTTACACAGTTGCTGAACTTCACCACTTTCGATGTTATGGCCGAACTCTGCTTTGGAGAAAATCTAAACCTTCTAGCCAAGAATGAGTATAGTCCTTGGGTCAGATCTATCTTTGAGTCCTTAAAGATGCTGCCTATTGCATCCATGATCAGCTACTATCCGATCCTGAATGCTCTCTTTACTCGCTTTGAGCCGAAGTCGGTTACCCAACAGCGGGTAACGCACTGCAAGCACTCGGAGGAGCGAGTGAACCGCCGCCTCAAGGCCGGCTCTGAAAAGCCAGATATTTGGAACTTGGTCTTGGCAGCCGAGGAGGGCAAGGGTCTTACGCTTGAGGAAATGCATTCTAACTCCGAATTGTTCATGCTTGCTGGATCGGAGACCACTGGTCAGTACTCCCCCCCAAATCCCCACCCTCTCAGCCTCGAATAAGCACAATCCAATACAACAGAAAGGAAATGGAATCTAATACCATCTTCATAGCTACACTTCTGGGTGGTTGCCTCTACAATTTACTCATGAACCCTGAGAAGATGAAAACCTTACGCGCGGAACTTGACGATCGTATCAAGACAGAAGACGATATCACATTCGAACGTACTGCCGAAATGAAATACTTGAACGCCTGCCTGAAGGAAGCCTTACGCATCTACCCTCCGGTACCCATTGGAAGCCCCAGGGTTGTCCCCAAAGGAGGCCAGCAAGTTATGGGCAAATGGATTCCCGCAGAGACGCGTGTGTCCGTTCATCATTGGTCAACATATCACTCCGAAGCGAACTTCAAGAATGCCGATACCTTCGCGCCGGAAAGGTGGCTCAGAACGGATCCCGTATATACAGGGGATGCCCTGGAGGCGCATCAGCCATTCGGCTTCGGGTCTCGCAACTGTCTTGGGCAGAACATGGCCATGCATGAAATGAGACTCCTCTTAGCTACGATTCTCTTCAAGTATGACCTGGAGCTCTCCGACGAGAGCCGCGACTGGTCTGCCCAGAAAGCCTTTGCTTTATGGATCAAGAAGCCACTGCTGATTCGCGCGACGCCCAAAGTGTAAGATGGATCACACTTACCAAAATTCCATGTTCGATGAGATGGATTGCTGTACTATAATCGCATAAAACCTGTCTCAATGTAGTAACATAAATCGATACAACTTAATGACAAACCAAATTACCCACCTGTAGCTTAATATGTTGAACCGTAGTTCCTCACGTATCCAGCCTTCCCCCCCCTGCTGTCACCTCAGCTAATTACTCTTTCTTCATTCATCGCCTACAAGCAGGTAATCCAATCGACGTAAGGCCAGAGTGGGAAATTTATCCTGTAAGATTCTAGCAGTTTTTGGCTACAGTAAAATAGGACCATGACGATATTTGAAAGCATACCTCCCCTCGAGTTTGTGCGAGATCATCATGACCAACTAGGATGACGTATTTCACAACATGACAGACGACTTGTGGTTATTATTGTAGGATTAGAGTCAAACCACTATGATTGGGCTGGGAGGAATAGCTTGAAGCACACTTTATAAACAGTAAAGTTGAAATACATAAATTGAAATTTGGCTCCCATCGGGATGACTACTAACACGCCGGAAGAGCAGCTGGGGGCCTTGCTTATGATATGGTTAGAGAACTGAGTTTCAATCACTTATTGCTACCTACTGCTCTTCATGTCTGCAAAAAAAAAAACGTAATCCCTTATATTAAATAGTACCTGTTTTACGTGAACCCATTTTTGGTTGGTAGAAAAACTCACCCGTTCCCCTTCGATATAACAAATAACCCTCCAGCGATGTCGATAGCACTTGAATTATGATATTCATATACAAGTCCACCCACCTTCTTCATGACCTTGCACTCAAGCAAGGAAACACAATGAAAGCAATGTAATAAATCAAAAATTGAGCTCTCCAGGCCCACGAGAGGCGATGAAGCAGAAAGACGCCGCGAGGTGCAGTGCAGGTCTCCAAAGCTGTGCTCTCATTTTCTTGAGCTTGAGAACACCGAGCTGGTAAGTATGGAGAAAGAAGAAGAAAATAAGGGGGAAAAGAAGGAGAGTTACCTGACTTTATAGTTGAAGAAAGGGGTGGAGTGTGCGGATGGGGTTGCAGCAGGCAGCAGCAGGCAGCAGTCAGAACATTTCTGTGGCCAATCAGCTGCGACAACCATTGCACATAGAGACATTATCTCAAAGGAGCCTTAATCTCATTGCGATAGGAAAATACCGAGGCGGCGATTGAGATTATGAAAAGAACATTGTATCGAGAATGGGACATTTGATCTCTGCGACCTTTACTAGATAACGAATGAGGCCCGTGATGCTCCAGCCTGATCAAAAAGTTACAACAAACGCAGCGAAGTCATATTTTGTTAAAAAATCGTAGTAGAGAGGGACCAACCCCAACAAATGTGCATTGCAAACAGATATCAAACTTAGTCCCTGTGCTTCCTTGTCTTGAATAAAACCCCGAATAATGTAGTGAGATTCATGATAACGTCAAGTCCGTCGGAGACATTAACTTCCAGCATTCTTGATATGCCTCTTTCGAATTCGACAGGTTATCTCCCCTAGTGCTCACAGAAAAAGTACTCGTTACGGTTCCATCTTTGCTCTGCAGAGTCATGAGCCCGGCTGCGAATGTCCATCAATTTGAGGCGGTGCTCCTTTGCTTCCTCTAGGGTCATCAAAAGAGGCTCGCCTTCAAGCTCCTGCTTAATCATACTTGTGAGTTCCGCCGGAAGGGACTTGCCAGCCGAGACCGCTGTCTCAATAATTTGGTTATCAGGTATCCTCTCCTTCATATGCTCTGCAATGACCTGAGGAATATCGCCCGCATTCTCTTCGGTCGCGTGTTGGAAGGTGTTCTCAAGCCACCAACTTTGTTGCTGGGGAGGAACATTCGCAGTGCTGATGATGCGGGTTTCAGGATCGACCAGCCAGAGGGCGATGAACCGTCGGTGGCCCGGCTTGGTCTCATCAACTCTCTCGAAGTCCGAGACCCGATGGTGGAAGACATTGGGGAAAGCGAGCAGCCGGCCCTCTTTTGTCTCGATCCTGCCGTAGTATTGCATGGCAGTGGTTTGCTTGAGATCTGTCCCATAGACCTGCTCCACGTAATCATACTGATCTTGGCCGACTTTTCCCTGCAGGTCGTCTTGTTCGTAGCTAGTGGGCATGCGGAAATCCAGGTAGCTGGCTGTGACATTTTCCGAGTCGAGGTAATATAGGGCCGTTCCAACAATGTGCTCGTTCATTTGGCCTTCCACGTGCCAGTTTCCAGCAGGGAACTCGACTTGATTTGTCGCGATCTCGATGGATGCCATCTTCACGATGACTTGAAGCCGGTCATAGGTGTCTCTTAAACGGTTGCCCACATCAACCTCGTAATTCCAAGCTTGGAATGGGGGAGGCCTTGGGTGGATTGGGCGGCGGATTTTGTGCCATTCAGCTTCTTTGGGTGTTCGGCCATACTCGTCTTCATCTTCGCTCTCTTCTTCGCCCTCGCTGTCGACTTTTTGGGGTAGGTCAATATGATCAGCTGAAGGCGGATCCCAATTTTCTTCATTCTCGTCGCTACGCGGAGTTTGTCAGCATGTCGAGTCACAGACAAATACCATCTTGAAACGAAGGAAGGTTATTAAGAAGCTTTACTCACCTGGGGTCTTCAGGCTCAGGGATACGTAGGCTATTCCGGCCGCCGTTGCTGCTTGCACGTCCATATGGAGTCACGCACAAATCCCAGGCTGGGAGGGCCTTCTCCACCAATTTCTCAATCGTTGCGTATATGTCGGCGTGCTTGGTGGGGTGCAGGTTATTGATGTAGCTTGTGAATTTGAACCTGCCGTCCGCCTGGCGCTGGAGGTTCGCCGGCAGCCACTGGTACTTAGTTGACCAGAATGAGGGCTCAACCTGTCGCCATTCCCACTCTGGTTGAGATTGAGGCCTCTCAAGGGTGGGCTCGGGAATCACTTCACCCTTACCAGCCCACTTGTCGATGGCGTCTTCGACACCGACGACTTCATCGGTGAAAACCCGGGTCTTCCCATAGACAAGTGGATAGAGGGAAGGGTGTACCAGGTCCTGTACCTGATCATGGGAGCGAGGATGCCAATCGGGATTCTCGCCCTGTTCCTCCTTAAGTTTGACAAAGGCAGCTCTGAGCTCCTCTTTCAGTGAGTCGTCAACAATGGTATCGGACTTACAGGCTGAAGCGCATGCGTCCATAGTTGGGACGAGGCCTGTCTTCTTGAAGAACTCGGCTTTGGCGCGGAGCTCATGGATGCACTTGATCAAATACCTAGTCAGCGACCAAGTTAAGGTTATAGAAACGAATCAATAAGACGATTTGCTCACGTAGTTGAGGCAGTCCTCGTCTAGAATGCCCTTGGGCAATGGAGGAAGCCTGCCCAAGTGGTTGGCGATCTGTTGATACAGCTGTGTATCTGGAATCGCCAAGGCCTCGGACTTCCATTTTTTGACAATCTCGTCATCAAAGATCTTGACATGGAAGTCGGGTTTGTCGGTGAGCAGCTCCATGACAACCATCATGGCGACCTCACGGACCAGCAGCATTTCAGAGTTGGCGCCCATAGAGTCACTGTCAATCCCTATAGGATAGGAGTTGATCCCAGTGTGCATCCGCGAGCCGCTTTCGGGGCACCAGTGCAGGTAGCGGCCGAGTCCTGGATATGTTGGCATGGTGTCTTGATGAAACCCTGCGTGAGATAGTTAGCGAAGTGGAGGGATACAGATTTTTGGGATGCTAATGATGGCCATTCTTTGTGTTCGTAATGACTGTCCCATCATGTATATATATACCTGGATCTTGTGGATGATCTCCGCTCGTTCTAGGCAGCCGATGGGACTCGAGCTTGGATTTCTTTCACGCAGCTAAAGCGGCGGAAGATTTCACGGACAGCGTCGAGACCTAGGTATGGAGTTGTGAATTGTGCGTGAATGCGGCGTAGGATTAGGCTGCAGGGTCATTTATCGCTTTCTAGTCTACTTTACCTCAGCAGTCTTGTCCAATGCTCACGCATTCAAATCGCTCGTTGCATCAATTTAATTAATTATTGATATGGGCCTAGCTAGAAGTCGAACCCCTATTATTAGCACGTGAGCTCATCATCCCAAACAGGCCAAGGCAGCATCTATCTTGATTAGCTCCAATAGGAGTGAAGCCATCTGCATCGTTCTTCCTGGTGATAGAAGCACTCGGCAGAAGTCCAATAGGAACTACTTGGAGGTAATGAGGGCACTTGGAAAAGGGGCAGGTATAAATAACCAACCGATATTGAATTTACGCCCCTCGCCTCGTAACCGAACCAAAATCCTGACCAACTACATATCCGTGATTCGTCTAGTCCAGAATGCGTCTCGGTGCATTTAAATCCGATGGTGGGGACTCACCACGGATTCTAACCGGTTTCCCCTCAAATTCCCATTCTGTCATCCTCCAGTGCTGTTACCCGGAGCTGGCTATTATCGTATAGTAAAGGACTGAGTAATGCCTAGATAACAGTGTTACGTATATTCGATTCCATCCTCATACGGGGAGCCCTTACCAGAAAGCAATCCTTTGCTGGGTTCTTGGGCGGATCTTGTGTTTGCTGAGTGATGCCACCCCTGCCTTCTCATCGCCAGCGGGTCAGCCGTGCTTGCGATCTGTGTAAAAAGTCAGCATCATGATCGGTAAGACTAACGATTGGACTATAGACTGATTGATAAATAGACGAAAGATTCGCTGCACAGGAGACCGGCCATGTCAGCTATGCCTCCGTGACAACTTGGAGTGCCGGTTTGATGCTCCCTACGCTCGTGGGAAAAATAAGAAGAAGAGGACACCCAAAAATGAAGCTAATAAAGTGCTCTCTTCCATGTGCACCAAGGGTGCTTCTGTCGCGCAGGCCAGTTCCCCAGTTTCTCACCCAACAGTTGCCTCAATGGGCATGGATGAAACTTCTCAACTACGGGATCTATTAGAGCAGCCTGAGAATAAATCATCGTGTGGAACAGTACATGATCCAAGCCCAAATGGGGATTCCTTGCCTTTGGAACCAGGACAGGCCGACAGGCTTGGTCATTTCGTTGGCGAATCATCAGGTCTGAGTTTTCTCATTCGGTTAAGGAGGCGTCTCGTCCAAGATACGGGCTCGGCATACGAGAGCTCTGTCTTCACCCTCGGAGACCCTGAGCTGCCCATTTTCGATGAAAATGCCTTCTCGTGGCCTCTGAGAGAAGAAGCTGACAGGTTGGTAAACACCTTCTTCGAGCTTACATCGGCCACATATAGATATCTTCACCGCCCGACCGTGGAAGGCTGGATACGACAATACTATGATGATGGAGATGTCGCAGAGCCCTACTCTCGTGGCAAAAAGGCCGTGCTACTAGGATTATTTGCACAGGCGAGTGGATATTCACGAATAACGCCTGCAGTCGACGGGTGTGTGGAACAGCAAAGCTTCTTCACGCGGATCCTTCAACTAATTCTCAATTCGCAACAGGCTAAGATATTTCCAAGCTTCTGAAAAAGAGTTAAATCGTCAAACTCAGTCCGCACATCTGATTACCGTTCAGGCCCTCCTGCTAGCCTGCTTTTATACGCTCACATGCTCCCGTCTCAATCATTGCTGGAGCCTTTTCGGAACGACCGCCAGGCTGATTCTCGCTTTGGGATTGCACCGCCGACGGCGAAATAAGTTCCAGCAGAGAGACGTAGTCGTGGACTGGGTTCAAGTAGAATGCGGAAAGAGGTTGTTCTGGAGCGCGTACACCCTGGATAAGTATTTGGCAGCAATATTTGGGCGCCCATGTGCTCTGAGTGACGATGAGACAGACCAGGACTTTCCGGCAGTTGTTGACGATCAGGACCTCACGCCACTGATTATCAAACCAGCAATCCATCAGAATATGAACAAGATGCTAGCACCCATATGTCACCACAAGCTTGGCCGTATCCTCTGTCAGGCGTTGAAGCGTCTCTATGGTATTGTGCCACTAGACCGTGCTAAGCAATATCAAGCGATGAGCGAACTGGGTGCCATGGTCAGAGAATGGAGAGACAGCCTGCCCTATTTCCTCAATCCCCAAAAAGTCGATTCCAGAATCCTCAGACCCTTCTTTCAACGACAAAGCAACCTCCTGTCCCTCGGATCAGGCCACCTCGAAATCCTTATCTACAGGCCGTGCCTATTGAGCGAGTCAGATGAGGGTGATCTCTCCATGGAACTGCAGGTGATTAACAAGGCCAACATCCAGAGCTGCCTAGACGCCGCCATGAGTATTATGGCCACTATTGATGCCATGGTGGAAAATGACCAGTTTTATTCCATCTCCTGGTTCGCTCACTATCAAGCCTTTTGCGCCGTGCTGGTGCTCTACACACACACGATCAAGAGCAAGCTGAAGCCCTCGTCCTCATGGTTGAGCTACTACCAAGCAGCGGAGCGCTGCCAAGGGCTGATTGCAGCTGTCCCCAAGACTGATTCTCTGGCTCGAAGATTGCATCTGATCATGGAAGAGTACCGTGCCGAGGTGGTGAGGCAGGTCCAGTGGGATTCGCCACAGGGCATGATCCCCAGCACTTTCCCCCCATTAACATCCAATTTGAATATTACCACGAACTGGCTGGCGCTCGAAGATGGGAGCGAAGAGAGGCTGCCACTTACAGACCTCCCAAACTGGGAGCAGCTTGACTCTTTGGTGAGTGTTATGCCAGTGGAGTGATGTATGCCTATGCTGATATCAGATTGCTAGGCTTTGGATACCTGGAACGTAGACTTTGACTTGGGACTTTCTGGTACGGGGATGGAGTAATGATTAAATATGTCTATCTCTCTTTCCGGAGGCATATGAAATTGTTCCCCTTCCTGAGGGCTTAGCCGAAGACTGGAGATGTCAAGAGGGGAACTGGAAGATCACTAATGGCAGGTTAAGCTGTGCGATTCCGATTTCTGCCGCCGGCCTTTCATCGCAGGGGAAAGGGACCCTGGTCAATGTGCGTCTGCAGCATGGTTGTGAACATGAGCTGAGCACATATACTCAAGCAGCCAGAGCGAGTGTTATGCCCGCAATATTCTACTGTTTGCAATTGATACCTTTATATTAAGTCTGAGGAGGTGTAGGCTCGAGATCCATTTCATATTTATACTCCATCCACCTGCCTTCCAAGCTCGATGTAATAAGCTTGGTGAGGTAACGGCCAGCGTCACCAACCATCCAAAGATCCCGGCAGTGGCAGAGCAGCGCTGCGTAGCGCTCAAGTATGACCAAGGCCTCGGGTCGCCTCATATTAAGCAGTTCAAGATACGGTTCAGGGACTGTGAGTGGCCAAGTAAACAACATCTGCACCTGCTTTTGGCGACGCTGTTCCGATTCGCAGGTCTCATCAAGCGCCCACTCGAGGTGTCTAATTGCCTCAAGACAGGCGGCCTTGGCCTCTGCTGGGAGGTCATTGGCCTCGGAGATTAATCTGCCCAAGGGAGGGCTGACCAACATGTCCTGGGATGCGGCCATCGCTGCCTGGCCGCTCCAGGTGAGGATGGGTCTCAACTCTGTATTGACCAGCATGGGCCAGAGTCCGGTGACGAGGGTGCGTAAACTCCGATGCATGGAAATGTAGCTCACAAAAGAGTCGACAAAGGACGGAAGGCCGTCTCCGCGATGACTAAGGGTGTCTGCGAGCAGATGGATGCCAAGCATCCCTGAGAATAGAAAGACGGGAATGCAATTTTGCTGGGTGAGCTCCGGCCGAGCGTTAAACAGGCCGAGGGCGCGTGTCTGGAGCACCGCGGCCTGGTCCCTCCAATACTCCGCATTGCTGTCATGGGGGAACTCAATGCTCTGGCGCCTTGCCGAGAAAGCCAGAAGCTCATGCATCAAGTATGGGGTAGAGAAGGCGTGTTTGATAACCAGGCTTCGCTGCATTTCGGTCACACCCCCGGCCATGCCTGGGTAGGGTGAGGGCATGGTTGTGAAGTAGTGGAATAGCTGAATGTGGGCCATATTGACCAAGCTCCCCGAGGTCCCATCACCGCTGGATACCAGGTCAGGATCAGTCGTCGTGGGGGGTGAACCGTTGGGGAGGAACGGCGGCGTGGTGTGAGACAAGGGTGACTCCGAGTCTCCTCCCAAGATGGGAGCCACATAGGGAGTCTCTGGGGCATTCTGAAAAGAGCAGAAGCGCTCTGACCGGCTGCAATTAACACAGCTCGGGCGCGTCAGGTCACACTGGGAGACACGAGAGTAAGTACACGGTGTGGGTAAGATGGATGTTGGAGCTCATCTAGACTTACCCGGATGTGACGCCGTCTGCATTCGTCGCATTTGGACCCCCGCTTCGTCTTCTTGTGGGCTATTTTCAACATGCTGACGATCAATGGCCGAGTGTCAGCACCAACATGGCATTTCGATGGAGAGAAGTACGGTCTGCGAGATTGGTGGAATGAGTTGAACGCGCGCGTTTCCAAAGGGGGGGCCGAGCCCAAGTCGAGTCAAGCATAGAACAAGGGCCCACCACAATAAGCCCCAATGCTGAGTTAGCAAGAAGGAATCAGGGGCTGAGCTGATCATATTGCATGCCAAGACTTGTATACGCGCATTCGGCCATTTCCGCTTTCTCTTAACTTGGGCCACCCTCCAGGAAGCGTTGTCACTGAATGTTCGGGCTCTGTTCTAGGTACTGTATAACTGCCAAGACTTGTCACTTGCAGATCTAATGAGATCTAAAGCTGCTTAAATTGACAGGATTGGACGAGAGCAGGCCGTATCTGGTCATCTCTATACGCGCATTCGATCGCTGCAACCATGGCGGGGGCATGATATTATCTGCCAGCAAGTACCATGTCCACCAGATGTTCCAAGGTATTAAATAAAACCTATCATCCAACTTAATGTTTAGGAAAGTGAGATTGTATCATTCTATAACGCAAACTTCTCCCGGGTTTTGATCTTTTGTGTGTGCCTTGGCACTCTTTCAATCCCGCCATCTCTCCTTTTGTTTCGCACTCACTCATCCACCATGGCGGAATTAAAGCCCCTCGAGGGCACCAATTATTTTCTATGGTTCTACCTGCCTCAGATGTGGGCCAGTTTACTATTTCTGGCACTTTTCATCATCCTCACCGGGTTACAAATTTGGAAGATGGTCAAAACACGTACTTGGTTCTGTATCCCCTTCGTCATTGGCGGTATATGTAAGTTCGATCAGTGGGCATGGGAACGGCTACAACGATATTCGCATACTGATACGCAAGTTCTAGTTGAGTTCCTCGGTTATGCCTTGCGAGCCATGGCCTACAAAAACACCGACAAGATATTGCCTTATGCTTTCTTTTCCATGGCCACGCTCCTAGCGCCAGCTCTCTTTGCTGCCTCTATCTACATGACTCTCGGCCGGCTTGTCCGCTCTGTCAACGCCCAATCGCTTCTAATTATATCCGATAGATGGATCACTAGAATATTTGTGGCTGGAGATATAGCATCCTTCATCGTGCAAGGTATCGGCTGTGGTTTGATGGTAATGAGAAACCAGAAAATGATGAAATTAGGCGAGGACATTGTTGTGGCTGGACTGGCCATACAGATCATTATCTTTGGGTTCTTTGGTCTGACTGCCGCTCTCGTGCACCAAAGAATGTGCAAGTTTCCCACCCAGTTCGATGCTGGTGATATCAAATACCACCAGGGACTCGGAATGCTCTATGTTGTGTCAGCTCTGATTCTGATCCGCTCCATATTCAGATTGGTGGAGTTTGTTCAAGGCAGGGAAGGATACCTACTTCAGACCGAATGGCCCACTCTGGTTTTTGATGGAATGCTCATGTTTCTCACGATGGTTGTCTTCTTCATCTGGCATCCTGCGAAGTATGTCTCGAGAAAGGGGGAAGGTTCGATGACTGAGCTAGGGTCCATCACCGAGCGTCCATTTGTGAAATAGACGGCCCTGGGCGACAAGGCGGGTGAAATTGATTCTACCAGATCATGGAGTTCTCCCCTTCGAATCTGTGTTTTCTCACAGTTTGTGGTCCAGATTTCCTAGGCAATTTCGTATAGCAATACTCACCTAGTGCAATAGTCCCGTTAGCCTTGACATTCGAAATACCTTTTTTTGTTACATAAACATCATATTGCAGTTTATCTCCTTTTCTATTTCTCCCTAACATGTACCATCATGGAACCCGCCCCTGAGTATTAGTTGCACAGATCATCCTGCTCTTCCAAGGTGGGTGGGCTCACTTCCAAAAACGTTGGATTGTTTTTCTATTCTTAGAACCTAGTTTTCTTGCTCTTCCCTTTCTAATGTCTATATTGTCGAATCACATAGCTTGTTTAGGCCATGCCCATCAATTTGCCCCTTATCCATCATTCCCACCCATCCAAACCAGCTCAACACCCACGCAACCCATGAAAATGCGCCTCCCCAGATCATGGGCTTCGTTCTCTTCGACAAAATCTCGCCGACCACCTGCTTGGCATAATCTGTGGCATTTGTTCCTTTGAAGCTCCTCCCACGCTCGTTCGTCTCAATTGACTGCGCAAGAACACTGTAGAGACTGCCCTCTGGTAATTTTTCGTTTTGTTGATGGCTCTCTCTAATTCCAGTTGTTTCCACCCCGCCAGACATGACAACAGTGACGGAAATGCCCAATGGTGCAAATTCTACCCGCATAACGTGGCTCATCGCTAGCAGCGCTGCTTTGCTTGAGGCATACATGCCTTGCCAGGGCGGACACATCGTTGCCGCTATGCTGCTCACATTGATAACATGCCCTTCTCCTCGCTCTCCGGTGGATGTTGATTGAAGTAGAGGCAGAAACGCCTGTGTGACAGCCAAGACACCAAAGAAGTTGGCCTCGAAAATCTTGCGACCGTCCTCCAAATTGACATCGGCCAGTGGCATGGCCTTGAAAATAGCCGCATTGTTGATTAGTATATCAAGATGCGGTGCCTTGCCGTCGCTCTCTGCAGCGATGGCGTCACGGACTTCTAAGAAAGCGGCGTCTATGGAAGCTTGCGACGTGACATCGAGTCCCAGAATGGTGATATTTTGACGGGCTTCTAAGGAACTCATTCTCGAGCCGTCCGTCGTTGTGGCAAAGACGTGATGCCCGCGGGAGTGGAATTCAAGAGCCAGGGCTGAACCTGCGCTGCCGTCCCTGCATCCTGTAATGAGAACTGTTTTCGTGCTCATAGTGAAAGTTGAGATGAAATTCAAAAGCTCCAGTGAGTAACTTAGAAAGAATGTCTTATCCAGGGGAGAGAAGCAATGTTTTATATCATTTTCACGTCGTGAAAGGGAGGAAGAAAAGGTATTCGGCAATCTGTATTCCCCGGCTGCCACGATCGAGCGGCCCCGAAAGAGTGGATGAACCAGCCAATTTAGCGGCTGCGGCGACTATTTCGGCACCGAATCCGTCATTTGAATTTCAGCTTGGATAATTGGCGGCATGTATTAAAGCCCATGCTTAGTGTTTCGACACAGGAAGAGGGTTTGGATTGTGATATTCATTTTAGCTACAGAAACTTCCCACACTTTCACTTCTCATCACATTCGCTATCTACTTTAGGAGTTCGCCATTCGACTTGGCCACCTGTTCATCAAAGTCTGTTTCCTATGATTAGCGAACCAAGCAAAATTGCTCCTACTCCATGGCAACACTTACATGGTTGAAAGGCAAGCCAGCCCTTTTCCGGCCCGCCGACCTGCTTTGCTGTATACTCGGCCTCTTGTTCATCGATATATATCTTCTTGTATCCCGCGGCGGCGGCGGCATCGGCCATCAGCTGGGCCTGGCAGGACTTGTCCAGGCTGAGGAACCAGAACGCAGCCTCGTCGACCGTTCCTCCGACGGTAAGAAGACCATGGTTCATCAGAATAGCGGCCTTGCAATGTCCGAGGGCCTCGGCGATGCGTTCGCCCTCCTCGTCGTCGACAACGGCGCCTTTGAACTGTTTGTATATAGCGAGGTCCTTATAGAAACGTAGTGCATCCTGTGTAATTGGCTCAAGATCCCGAGCAAACGCGGAGAATGCTTTGCCTGCCACGCTGTGCGCATGGCAAGCGGCGTTGACATCAGGCCGGGCCTTGTGGATAGCAGCGTGGATGGTGAAAGCGGTTAAGTTGATGGGCTCGTCGCCCTCAACGACATTACCCTCTTCATCAACGAGGATGAGATCGGAGGCCTTCATCAGAGAGAAATGACGACACAGAGGGTTCAGCCCTGGATCCAACATGTTAGGAAGTTTCTGCCCGGTGGTAGCGAATGACGTACAGAAATGGTCAGTCAGTATGGGATCCCTGACGGAAATATGGCCAGCAACACCCTCGTCAAATCCCCGGGAAGCAAACACTCGACAGGCTGCGGCGAGGTGTTGTTTTCGATACAGTCTCTCGTCCTCTGGGTTATCAAACTTGGGCTGGGTCCTCATTTTCAGAGGCCTGCCATCTTTAGTCTTGGCCTGGATCTGCAGTTGGGGCGGATTCGAGTCTTTCGCCATGCCGTTGACGACGATTCGGTCATGATCAGCTGTAGTAGACAGCGTGGGCGCAGGGCTGCTGACGGTCTGTGTGATAGTGGCCATGATTGATGTATGGTCTGGGTCTAATATAACCGGCCGGTGTAGGTAGGAGTGTTCGCTTCCTGTGAGTTCACGGTATATTGTTGGCTTGCTAGATCAAAAATAGATGTTAGGGTGGTAGGTGAGGTCGTCAGTTATATAGATAATGAGTACCCCGTGTTCCCCGCGCATTCCCTCAATCTTGAGATCGGCATAATATCTTATTCGTGCCGCTTTTTGTTTTCCGAATGGATGAGCGGAAAAGCTTGTCACTGGTGGCACTGTGGTGCATCGACGGTAGCTTGCTTTAAAATATAGCCGACATATCCGCCCGGCTATATTTTCCAACGTATGAAGATCCAGTATTTTCGCACTGAGGGTTAGGTAATATCGACACATTGTTGTGCTCTGGTTTTTCAGATAATTTCAGAAGCTCAGGTTGATGCTATCCTGATCCTTTTCTTTCTCAATTTGCTTTCTCTTTTCTTCTTTTGCGGCAACTCGATAAAAACTTCAAGTTGGCTTCTCAAAATCCACATAACACTGGCAGTGTCACTTATTTCGGCTTTCTCACTTACTGTTAAGCCGGTTTTGGTCACCTCTTTACAAATAATTGGAACACTGCTTGACGGTTGAGATTGGATGTTTAGTCTTGTTCGATTCTGGAAGATCACATGATGGGAGGGGGAATATAGAGTCTTTCAGTATCGCAATTTGCAAATACACCCTCTAGAACAAGAGCACACTCCAGGCCTAGTAACTAAGTACAATCCCTCTAACGATTCCAATATCTAGCTCTCATTTGATGAATCTGCCTCTTTCGGCCGAGGCATTCGCCCAGTCATTTTTTTCGCCAGCTCGTGAATCCATGCTCTGGAGCCTTCAGTGTCCTTCGGGTTTTTCAACCCACACGCCTTCCAATTGAGATCTAGCCGGAGCATATGGCCAAGCTGCTCAGTACTCGCAGGCTCCATTGTAACTCAAAGCGGCTTGAGGAGTTCCGTTGCGGAGAATGCGCCTAAAGTTTGCAAATACGGTAAACACAGCCAGCCGCAGACGCATGCATCAAGATATCTTCTGTACACATCCCCATCTGGAGCTGAACCTGACGATCCCAGATCATAGTGGGTTCGAAGGAGTATCACCTCGGTCATTATCGCCGTAGTGACTAGTTCAGCTATATCAAACGATGAAAACCCAAATCGATAACCGAGGAAGAAATCTGGATCTAGGCATTCAGTAATGAAACCCAACTTCATACACCTCTGCCGAAATCTAGCTGCCTCCAGTTTTCGTATAGCCCTTGCTAGCTTTCGACAGACTAGATCTCTCCTTGTGTCTTTTCTGGAAGGGTCATGCAAAATCTCAGTTATCTCCGCGAACCAGCTTACGTAGTAGGGGACGAGGGCTGGGCCAACGACGCTGGTCCCAAGTTTCCACAATGTGTCCTCGTCATGGTCTATTCCGGGGCCGCAATCGTCTATTCCAGGACCGCCATCGTCTATTCCGGGGGCTGCATCCTCTTTTTCTCCCTGTTGACTGTCACCACTAACCGTAAAACGCCCAAGAACAAGAGACAGATCACTGAGAACATCCTGGGGTTGGATTTGCTCCGCATATCGCAATTCAGGATGATATATTATCAGTTCGAACTTCTCTCTCCATTAAGCACTTGAATTCAAAGAACTCGCCATAATAGACTTAAAACTCACCATATGAGAGACGTGCGAGGAGAATATCTCAGCATGAAGGCCATCTTTCGGGTCTGGGAATCCAAGCTGTTTGATTACCCGTCGTATTCCAAGTAGTTGTGGCAGCAGCCCATCAGTCAAGTAGAGCCCAGAGAAACGTATAAACCTGTAAAAGAGCATCATACCGCACAGAGTCTCGACAGTGTACAATTGGTCGCTGGCTACAGCGCGCCTCAGACTCCGGATTGCCTTGCCATAGGCCTTGCTTCCAAACACCGCTGACAGCGGCTCGCGATGCTTGAAACACTGAATCCAAAGTTGACAGAGCAACGCCGTACAATCAAGTAGGCAGGAACTCTGGTATATCCTCTGAGGACACCACTCCAGCTCCTCAATTTCGAAACAGGTGTGTTTTTCCGTTTGAGTTAACGCTGTGACCTGAGCTGCAATGGTATCTGCGTGTGAGCTTAGAGTGAAAAGAGGGGCCTGGAGGCGCAGTCTGCCACTCATTGCGTGCCCTCTTGCGTACTGTTTCAAGGGCTCTCGGTAGACCAGCACAGCAGCTCCAGAAGGTTTTGTAGGCTGGAGAGCGGTCCGTTTGGAAGACTCGGCCGTAGAAACAACATGATTGCCATTGTTAACAATCTTCATCAACGACGATGGCCCTGGGCACCGAACACCTTTCCGAATGCATTGCGAACAAGAGGGCCAGTTTTGATCACACTAAAGATAGTTTACGGTCAGCAGCGCGTCCTGAGACGGAGTGGTATGCCATTGACTTGCTTTCGTTCTCTTCAGTTTGCAGTTCTGACAGGCTAAAGATTTCAGAGGAGCTGGCATTCTTACCGACAGTGCGCATCTGTGGAAGTCTACAACTTGGATATTGATTCGATTTAGGTGTTGTGAGGGGAAACAAAGTGAGAGGAAATCAAATGGACCCCAGTCAATGGACCAACGATCATCAGTAGGCAAAGCTCAAAAGCTCGGGGCATGATCCCCAACTTGGACAGTAAATGCCACTGATTCGCGCCAGGCGAAGAGCGCCTTACTTATTATTAGGCAGAAAAGCTGCATGATCAAATGGGCCAATAATCTCTTGCGACAGGAATCATACTCTGGCCCAGTTATCCGCTGCACTTTTGGCTAGAGACTCATGACCGGCACCATGCCATAGGACTTTTGTGCGCCTCTTGGTTTTCCTCCGTCACTTTATTCTTGAGGGTATCTAGATAATACACCTAAGCTCTACTTGTTCCAGCCCAACAGTTAACTCTGCTCAGTAAATAGAGATACATGCTTGAACTTGATAAATAATATACATGTGGTCCGAAAAAGAATTGTTTCAAGAATGCCATCACTACATATCGACTATATGAACAATCTCATCCAAGTAGACCATAGTGTGTATTAGTAAATGTGCGAGATCTTTCGCACCGATCATTAAGAAGTTGAACAGGAGAAAGGCTTCCCAAGACCAGCTTGGAATTTATTGATCTAGTATCTGGTCAGTTTCACGTGTGATCCCAGAAATAAGAATGTTCCGCAGTTGGACTTACAATTTCAATTACACTCGCATAAGTCCCGCACCCAAGCGCAATAAGTCCAATGGCGAGGACAATAAAGTTTCCCAAGGCCGTGGGTAGATTATGTCGGGCGTACCAAGGTCCTTCCTTGATGAGTGCGAACCACATCAGAGGTGGGAAGTAGTACGAGAATCCCGACACAAACAAGGAGGAGATGATGGACAGCAGTTCGTTGAAGAATGGGATTGCCTCCGCTATGATCCAAGCCAGAATTGAGACGATTGACACGAGAGTGAGCCAAGTGGCCCATCCCTTGAATGTGTTGACGTACTGCGTGACGGTAGATCGATACATCTGGCCATGGATATAACGGCACAGAACGGTGATGTTGATAGACCCTGAGACGAAGATCACTGGAAAAGCGACACCAAATGCAACTCTCGAAATTAGGGGGCCAGCAGAGAGCAATGCCGGGGACTTGACATCCTGTCCCACGAAGTAGTATATGATTGAGCCGGTCAGAGTGTAGATGGCGATCTCAATCACTCCAACAGCCATGACGGACTTCTTGAAATCCTGAGGGGTATGCAGTTCATCCATAAACGACGGCTGAGCGACGGCAAATGCATATGCAAAGACAATGTTCGCGACCGCTGTCATAGCTTTCGTGAAGGTGATGTCCTTCTTAGGCCACGCCGACCACGCAGCAGAAGCAAGCTCCTCTTGCTGGCCAGAAGATTGAATTCCCGTAGCAATCATGGTGATAAGAATGGCGGCGGCAATGGACGCGAAGTCGACATAACCAAGAATAGCGATTTCCGCAAACGACGGGGGGATTGCAAGAGCGAGCAGAATGAGTGCCGAAACGATGCTGAAGACCAGGGTGCAGACATCACTCCCCGTGACGCTCGCAAAGGCAATCTTGCCAGTCAAACAATGTGATCCAGTGACGAGGATGAGTGAGACAACAAATCCAACAGTGAACACCCAGTAGCCAAACTCGCCCAGCAGGAGTCGACCTATGTCGGTGTAATGCCTGACCTCGGGATACTTAAGCTTGACCTCACCAATCACATAACTGGCGTAGATGGCCGCGAAGCCCAGGCCAATTGTGAGAATCACGCCGCAGACCATGCCCAGGGTTGCGTATGCGGCAGGAAGGCTCAGACTGCCAAGAGCGACGGCCTCGACGATGAGGATGACAGCCAGCCGCTTCCAGCCAAGACGATGGAACTTGGCCTCGCCCTCCTCGATCTTGTCAGCATCCGGGCCATCCTGCACCGTCTTGTCCATCTTGACGCTCATCTTGACTGACTCCTTGATTTCTTGCCAGGTTTTAATTTTATCCCAAATTGCCCGGATGGAGATTTTTTCTCTCCCTCGTCCGACTCGTTTTGCCTTTCCACAGCCCCAGTAAAAAGTGGTGCTTTCTGCTTCCAGAAATACTTGAGATTTCCTACTTGAGTTTAGTTGCCAAGCATTTGAAACATTTCTGTTGTGTAAGAGGGCGTTTTTTGTAGGTAATGGAAGTGAAGAAAAGAGGACCTGGGTTATGATATGATCCGAGAAGACGGAGATTGAATCGTCAATTGGAGAGTTTCTTTAATTTTTAGCAGGCCAGGTGTTCAATACGAGGGAAAACAAAAAACAAAAACATGCCAAAGCTTATTGACGCCATCGCGAGGCACTGATACGACTACGCTTCCGGTAGGTTGGCCCAAGTCATTACAAGTCCATGTGTCTGGAACTTTATTTCGCGACCGGCAGCAGACTCTTGACGGAGTGAAGCACAAGACCTAGAAGACAATTGTCCATTTCTCACACCTGATAATCACGTGTGGGAAAGCCGTCACTGGAGGTCGAGCCGCATAAGATAAATGTAGTGCTTGGGGCCGAACTCTGGTCTACTGCTTCGTTGACGAGATGAAAATCTAGAGTGGCAACACGAAACTCACAGATGAAATCTCTGATTTTTCTCACTAACAGAGCCACGTGTTCCTAGCCGATGACGTACATCAAACTTCGCTTTACTGCAAAAGGATCAAGGAGGCCGGGATAAAGTAAAGAAGACAATTCGCGATGGAAAGTCAAAGGCCTGGCACGACCTTGAAGAACGTAAGAAAAAGATGCTATCCGTAGCTTGATTCAACTGATTTCTCCTCCGCAGATTTGACAATTGGCCTAAATACGAGCTCACTTAGGCTATCACAAGCCAAGTGGCCTTAAACATTGATTAGGATTGGCCCAATGGCGTGGAGTAGCATCTCGCAATAAGGGAGAAGTAAGTTGGCTATCGGCAAAGAACCTGTCGACCAAGAAACCAGTTTCCTCTCAAGGTTTAGATGTGGATGAAGTTGTTTGGCGAAGCAGAGCTCTTTGTCCAAACCAGGAGCTATAGTCAATGTGAGTAATATTCAAGTATCTATCTATAACCTTTTATATCTATATGCATTTGAGGGGAAAGGCCGCTCTATACGTCACTCCTCCAGGTGTTAGCCGAGCTACTCAGAGCAGGGCCTATATTCGAAGGCATATCCAAACCAGGTGTGCTGCTCAGTTTCTTCTCGTGCCTGTCTGACCTATGCAGGCCATGGAATTTCTCGCTGATCAGGTGGAAGAGAGGCTGCAAGGCGGGAAAACAGGCTGTCCAGAGTCCCAGATGACCCTCCAAGTCCACCCATATGCCGACGCGGTACAGCTTATATGTCCTAAAAGAAATGTTAGTCAACAAGTGCATTTGAGCTGTAACTCGCAACTCGACAGTAGCAACGGGAGTCCATAGAGGGCCTGGGTTTTGCGATATACTTACGGGTCTGTGGAGAAATCGATCATTATATGGTAGGTGACACGCATAATTCCTGCGATAAGAGCCAGTATACCGACGCAGATAACGAGAAGCACTTGAGCCCTCTTCTTCGAAAATTTCATCACGATGCAGATAAGCGTGACGGGTAGGACAAGGAGGCCAAGGTCGAGAATGACGCCAATAATTCCGTGTGACCAAAATAATCTCCTTTCCGCTGGTTTACTCATACAATGTCGGTTTGGGGCCGTGACCTCCCATAGATCGCTAAAGATTTGTTTGTCAATCAAAGATTATCATTTCAAGCAATAAAGAATGCATACGTACGAAATACGATCGCACTCGGTGAGAAAAACAAAGAAGACAATCAACGTCACGGAGAGGTTAATAAAAGCTAGAGCATATAAACCCCAACGGTACCATCCTGGTAACTTGCTCAATCAATAACTCTTCAGGAAAAGTAGAACCATCGGGGAAAACGAACTGTCACTACTCAACTTCATGTAGAAGGCGATAACAGAGAAGCGTATCATGGCGATTTCGACAAAGAATAACAATGAGAATGTAGGTAAAAACTGATCGTAATGTTCGTTAACAAAAGCCTGCTTGGTGGAGTAAGGGTCGAAAGCTTGTCTTACTTCGAAGAAATCATCAAGCTGGTCCTGGGGGACTTCGTCGATATGAGTTCCCGCCCCCATAGAGACGGCTATATGAGGCATTAGAAGCATGTCAAGAGGATCAATACGGAGTTAAGGGGGAACACACATATAATTTTCATCGCCGAATATGCCAGCAGTAAAACCTAGTATTCAATTTAGTTAGCATATAATATATGCCAAGTAGGAATCCGTAGGCGTACAAACGCAACGCATGCGATCAAATCATCCCATCCCAACGACCGAAGAATAAATATCCGGATCCCCATTCTCGCGAACATAGTAACCGAGGAGACGACAATAAGCGCGATGTTCAGTCTCTCTAGAATGTAGCCCGGCGAATCGGGTGGTGGACGCCAGGTCGCCATGGTGATTTGTTGGGTGCACCAATGCGCTCGAAGTGTATGAAGGGCGCCACCGGGAATTCGACAATGGACAGATCGGTAATCGAGTAGAAACCCACAGCAGCTGATTGGGATCGAGCATGAGAACTAGGTCATCCCGTCATGCAGTCGTGCCTCGACTAATGGCACGGAGGGTGATTTAGAGTGCGGTGTTGTGTCTTCCGCAAGAGACTTGCGGCCCGCGTTGTCCAACATTTCACGTGTGCTCAGCTCATCGAAGATCAGAGGCGTGGGTGATAATTTATATGACTTAGAGGGAGGGTTGCCGTAGGCATTCATGAAGTCTATTTGGCAGCTGGAATGCAGACACATTCCGAGGACTTGCTTCCTTCTAACTAACTTGACTGGATTAGGGAATGCCATGACGCTCGTTTTCGAACCAACGTCCTTGTCTGAGTCTCTTGGGTCGATTGATTCAGCTGGGAGATATAAGGCGTTTACATTCGAAAGCAAACAGACGCTGATGTGTTGGCGTTTATACGACGATGTAAGCTCACACATTGAGTAGCACGAGGCCTCTTTACGTAGGAAGCAAGGTGTTCGAAGCTCAAGACTCATCTCAACATCTGCACCAGCAGTGGGGTCTCTCTCGAGCGGAGGAATGCTCGCACTCCTTATGTATACCGAAAATTTCCGGGGTGTTGGTCCGCACGTTGGATGTTGGCGCTTGTTCGTTGTTCAAAAATGAGGGGGAGATATTTTCATATCTGGTTAAGCCAACTGATCTTTACCAAATCTCGCTTCAATTTTCAACATGACTAGCCCATTGTGCAACTTAGCGTTCGATGTCCGATAAGCTTCAAGTTGCCCTACCCTTGCCCGAACACTGCCTCTCTCAGCGTCATGATCCTCATCACGGAATTTTTTCTTCATCTCATGACATGCGATGATGTATCTTATATTAGGTTAGGCGGGTGTACTTCTTGATTTGTTTTACCTCACGGTCTGGTATGGGATGCTTACATCGGTGATCAAGGATGTAGCCTATATTACAAGGGGGTCTTAAACCATGGCTAGTTATCCATGTCACAAATAGACTCGCCGTTGATTTTACAACTTCTAGCTAATATGGCACAGAAGTGAACTATTTATTCTAGAAAAAAAAACAAATCGGGCTCCTTCTGTGACCAGCGCGGACAACTTCGCTGCGCACATTTAAGGAGAGGTTTTGATTTGACTTCCACATTCTCACTCAGGTAGGAAAGGAGACGCCCCAAGCCCTGGGTAAGATTTCTTTCGGCAACATGTCTTGATGAAGCTGGCAGTGTTGTACAAGTGATGCAAGCTGCGATAGTCAAACCAATCGAACGAACCAGCCACTTCTTTGAAGACGATTTGACAGAACCCATCCACAAACGGTCCTCTAAACTTGCGAGCATCCGACCTAACAAAACTGCGTTCCTCCCAACACTCGCCGCTCAGAAAAATGCAACATGTTCCCTTTTGTTCTGAAAGAAAGGCCATCCCAAGATGAGGACCACCAAGACAACCAAAAGCCATCGGTCACGCAGCAGTTTAATTGCCGCATCTATGTACTTTGTTTGCTGATTCTCGTATCCACGAGACCACTCGCTGTATAGTCTCGAATCATCGTTGTCGTTGCCAGCCTCGGCCGTCTCCCCAGGCTCGTCGCCATTGTTTTGTGGCCGTGCTCTTCGCTCAGGGTTGAGCTCAGCTAGGCTTAGCGGCTTTTTCTTTGCCTTCAATTCAAAGTGCCTCATGGGTCTGTTCCCAAGTGCCATCTCTCGAATTGAACGAATCGAGATTAAACTGTGGTGAGGGAGACTAAGAATATCAAAAAGTTGGTCGCCGTGTGAAGCGACTACAAGCCGTTCGTTCCACAAACACGAAAGAGAGGAGAGAACTGATCTGGAACCTCAATCGTCAAAAGGGGACGTTATCTGAGCAGTTGCATGAACAAAATTCAAAAAGTGCTTAAGAGAAGAGAAAAAGTCCTAAAGTCCCTTATTTAATGAAAACCAGGCTCGCTAGGCAGACGTCCCAGAAGGATTGTGGTTGGTGGGAAGGGCCCTTGTCATTTTGCCAGGATGTGCCTTGGTGATCCATATCGGCGGCCCTCATCTCTCGCTAACTCGCTTTTGGACACGCACCTCCGGAGCTTGTGCCGGATCCAATTAGAATCGTCTCTACTTGTCTATGAGACACGACTACTTGGGTCTTGTCTAATCATTCCTCAACAACGATGATGAGGCAGAAACTCGGACCCATGCAATGTCAAGGCCGCTACACGCTGAATCACAGCAGGGGCACCTTGAAATATACAGAATCCTAATAGATAATGGAACCAATTTGGAGGCCACAACTTCAAATAGGTCAACTCCAATGATTCTAACTGCAGCCTCTGGGCACTCTCTCCTTGTCAAATTCTTGATGGAGAAGGCAGCATACTGAATTCAAAGAAATCATACGGCTGTGCCGCATTAAACTCAGCTAGGAATAATAACCATGATGAAATAGGCATGGCTATGCTCCTGCAAGGGGCAAATTGGGAGCTCAGCATATCATTCTGATATGTTCTCCTTCTAGAAACAATAACTGGATTTACGGAATGAATTAGAGGTCGTATATATAATAACAACTAATAGCAAGCAATTTAAGATACAGCTTGAAGCAACTGACTTGCAAAACATACTTATCACGAACGCTGTCTCAGAGTGGCTACCCTACACCTCCACATCCGATTCAGCCGGAGTCCATCACGGTCGGCACCGACGGAAAACTTTGGACCGCAGAGCACATCAATCCAGCTCTCGATAATATTGCTCCAACCTCAACAGTAGCCTCTGGCTCTCTCCATATCGCACGCCCAGATAAAGTCATCCTCTGGGGGGGCCTGCCCAGTCATCTGCAATGATCAACTTCCGTGTACAGCCCGTGGCGGCCCTTCTCCTGATCGTCATTACGGCCCTCCTCATGACCATTACTCTCGTGCCCAACAGCCTCCCGCGTGCAGACAATGTTCCCCTTGCTGTTCTTACGCATACACTACTGTTCAAGTTCAGCGCGAAAGCCAGCGCTGAGGATGTAAAAGCGGTGAGCACCCCCCCTTCAATTGATTCCGCCACGCGACGCAGCCATGACAATCCATCCGACCAACCAGCTAACGCAGGGCATCTTTCTGCCCATTTCCAGGCCTGCGCTCGTTTCCTAAAACTAAAAGACGATTGCATTCTCCCAGGCAAGAAGAGGCCTTACATTGTATCAATGCGCGGCGGCCAAGACAATTCCCCCGAAGGTCTGCAGGTGAGTCCGCGCATGCATACGCTGTGATCCATCCATCGCGATGCACTTCCGACCCGATCCTGCTTACCGTCTATGCTCTTCATTTAATATGTACTGATATTACCCGGGGAATGCAGGACGGCTTCACACATGGATTCGTCGTGCAATTCCACTCGGCCAAGGATCGCGATTACTATGTCAACTCAGACCCTGCCCACCAGGCCTTCAAGGAGAGCATTGCCAGCTTAGTGGACAAGGCCCTCGTGGTCGACTTTGACAATGGCGTGTACTGAGAAAGTGCGGAGCAAAAGGGATGCAGAATACCCCCAATGGCGACGACGCACCACTGCCATTGGGTCCCAACGCGTGGATGAGAGAGGAGCCGGGGCAGATCGGTTGTAGATCAGTCATTTCACATACATGCAACCAATGCAGAGCTTACGTACCGACCCAGTGTCCAACCCAAGCAGACATACTGGATGCTGACACAACACAAGCGCGTAAGGCGTGGAAGGTCATCCCAAGACCTTAGTCCTCGGATAATCCCTCTCCTGTCAATCATACGGGTGCTACGTTGGCCCGATTTGACGAGACTACGAGCTCAGACTGACATCTTCCCAGGAGCGAACCGCTCTCTGGGCCGTATCTTGGGGATGGGAGGGGGAATATCACGAATACAACGAAGAGATGCTAATGATCGAGGCTTGGCTCTCATGTTGGGTTGCATCAACGCTGAAAAAGTGCGGTGAGATGGGAGGGGCTGGTCTCCTATGCAGCCACTGGCGAGCTTGAGACATGAGACATGCATACTCCGTTTGTTTGATGGCAAAATTTGCACGTGAAGATTGAATACCGTTATCTTCCATTCCAAAAAGGCTTCAAGGCAGAATAATGATCGGGCTCGACGCTAACTCATTCTAGGAGTGTCTCACTCAACGGCCATTGCGGTGTCCCTTCTGTCAGTTCTCATCCACCAAATAGGATAAAACCCCTCAGATGAAGCTATATCGACGCACATTATACCAAAGAAGACCTCCGCAGCATCTGCCTATCGCCCAAAGAGGTTGAGGAGGGGAAAGAGTGGTGATCCGGAGGCTGGCTGAGATATGCCTGCATGCTGTACTACTGCCCATTCTCATCTAGCCTGGGCCTCCGATGGTCGGTATCTAAGCACTTCACCTCTCTTAGCGATGCCAGCATGCTGTGAAATGGCCTACTTACGGTCTGATGCAGGTAGGAGGACACCCGAGCCATCTCTTGGCCAAGGCGAGGGCCTCTCATGGCGCAATTACTAAGGCGCCAGCATGACGTCGCGCATCCAACGTTATCCATCTTCATATACTGCTTCCGGTAAAGTGAAGAGAATGCGCCCTCCGAGAGCAGAGCGCGCCTCACGCGCTGTCGCTTGCTGCCAGGCCGGTCGTTTTTTCTTCTAGTCTCATGCAAGAAAGCATAAGACAGATGACCGAAAATTGCACCGACTCCCGGCAAGCTTACACGCCATCGGGTCAACGTATATCCATCATGTCTCCTGCAGCTCCAGCTGTCGTACATCCCAGGGGAGATGAGGGCCGAATGGACTCGTATTAATGGGAATGTCGGCGACCTCTGTAGGAAGCGTGGGCGGCCGGTGGATGTTCGCAATCGTGTGGTCATCTCCTCTCTCCTGCGTCCCTTGCCAACTTAGATAACGCGGCCATCTCACTTACCATCTCTCGTAGGTACCGCATAGATATAAATTGTGCCCTACTCCCCGTTGTTCTTCTATCAATCTCGCTCGAAAGAGACCTCTCGATTGATCTGTCATTCCTGGAACATCCCCAACGCGCACCATCACGCACCTCCCTCTCTAGAATAGAAACCAAAGCAAGAAGAACCTCCACCACAGCATAATGGCAGATCAAGTGCGTCTTGTGCGTCAGCTGGACTTTTCCAAGTTCCTCGCTGGCAATCCCACCGAGAAGAGTGATTTCTGCCGCGAGTTTGTGCACGACTTGAGCCAAGTGGGCTTCGTGAAGCTCACCAACCACGGCATCCCCCCAGATCAGATCCGTGGCGTGTTCCACTGGGTAAGTAGAGACCACCCTTTATTCCATCGAACCGGCATCGTCCTGAGCTGTATATTCTGTAGCTGACGTGCACACTGCATACAGAACCAACAATTCTTCTCACTCCCTTCCGAGCAGAAGAGCAAGGCTGCTCATCCAGCCGAGGCCAACCCACATCGTGGCTACAGCTATGTCGGGCAGGAAAAGCTCTCCATGGTGAAGGACTACGAGAAGGGCACCCGTGATGCCATGGAGGTCATGGATATCAAGGTCCGCTCATTAGCCCCTCGAGTCATACTCTGAAAGAATCGACCGCTAACACGGACCAACGACAGGAATCGTTCGATCAGGGCCCCAAGGAGGACGACCTGTACCCCAACAGGTGGCCCGACGAGCAGGACCTCCCTGGCTTCCGGCAGTTCATGGAGACCTTCTACGACTCCTGCCACGAGGTGCACCTCAACATCCTCCGCGCCATCGAGGCGGGCATGGACCTCCGCCCTGCCTTCCTCCAGGACCTCTGTCGCGTCAACACGTCGGAGCTGCGCATCAATCACTACCCGGCCACCGACGTCTCGGCCCTCCGCAAGGGCGCCATGCGCATCTCGGAGCACACCGACTTCGGCACCGTCACCTTACTCTTCCAGGACTCAGTCGGCGGCCTCGAGGTCGAGGACCAGGCCAACACGGGGCGGTACTTGCCCGTGCTAGCAGAGGACCCGGACGAGATCATCATCAACATCGGGGACTGCCTGCAGCGCTGGACCAACGAGCGGCTGCGGTCGACGAGCCACCGCGTGCTTCTCCCGCCGGGCGCGGGCGACTGGATCCCAGACAGGTACTCTGTCGCGTATTTTGCGAAGCCCAACAGGACCCAGACCGTGGGACCTCTGCCCGAGTTCCTGAAGGAGGGCGAGGTGGCCAAGTATGATAACATCACAGCGTGGCAGTACAACCAGCTGAAACTCTTGAGAACATATTAGGGATAGGTAGATGATTGAATGGGCCTGCGATTCTCATGGTAGAATGGTGGTTGTTGCCAATATCTACTGTAGGGTAAGGCGATGCGACGCGAACGGGATCAAAACATGACGCGTGTCGGCGTAGGAGTAGGGAGCAGGGACAAGATGGATGGACTTATGATAATGTATCATGTTAAACTTGGTTCACGAATATTTATCTTTGATCACTATCGTAGGCTCGATTGATCTGTAGCACAGAGTTCAAACGGCAGCGAGAATAAGGCCGGCCATCTTACCGCAACTGTCACTCGCGAGGGCTTCATCAAGCGCCCACTAGATGAGCATCAAGCCAGCAATGCGCCAGCATAATATCAAGCGCGACCTGAAGGTGATGCTGCATCCCGCCATTGATGCTCGACAAAGCCAATAATCTCTCGCAGGGCCTAGACTCAAGCCTCAGACAAGCCACGCCCGAGACTGCGCCGGGAGCACAGGCCAACACGATCGTCGCGTTGCCGTAGCCGTGTTCTGGGGTCGGGAAATAATCCCAAGGGCTGACTGATAGGGATTTATGCATCTTGCAGCCCCTGCGCGCGCCTCAGCTGAGTCCAAGTACGATTTGGCAAGTCAGTGCCGACTAGCTTACCATCAAGTCGGTTGCTGGTCATCAGACCGCATCAGTGTCATAAGTGAATGATCCACGATGCATCTTGTTTTCTCACTACTGCAAATGCAAGATACGGTAGTTGTCGGCATCCGAGCCACCCACGGGCGTGAACAGGTTGGAAAGGCCGTGTCCGGCAGTGTTGCAGAACATGGTGATGGATAGAGGTTTCTTCGTATGACTGTACTTTGCTACCGTCTTATCTCATACTCTCACAGAAAATAATTGTGAATCGTCTCCATGTGGCTTTTGCGGGACACGGGCAGCATGCAGCTCGATGATGAGACAGAGATATTAGTCGTCAAATATTAATAATATAAGAGGCCCAGATATTGCCAAAATCCTACATTGCAATGTCGCAAAGGGAGAACTTCTTAATTACCTCTTTCGTGATCGTAGCAGGGGCTCAGTCCCTGGCTCTCGGGAGATCTCTCCTCCTCACATAGTGCTGACTCTATCGCAAGATTGACCCGTGTGGGTTCTGAGTCTGATGCAGCATTGGATATAAAGTGAACGTGTTGGTATGTCGGCCAAGCTACATACAATAGAACATATCCTGATTGAGCCACCTTATCACGCATTATGGAGATGACGGCTTCCTTCTCCGCATGAACCTAGAGCATTCGGTGATTTGAGAGATTTGCTAAGGGAGAACGCAGAATCTGGGCCTGGGGACCCCCTGCATCGTGGGAGCCGCTATCTGGCTCATGAGTGTTAGACGTAAACCACACCAAAGAGAAGGCACCGCTTGGCGTTTCAAACAAGGCTTGGATTGCATCAGAATGCCCCTCTTCCAACCCGGCTGGCCACTAGGATGCCCTGAAAGTAAATAGCCATTGCACTCTGGGCGTAGGTGGAGCCGTGCCAATGGGTTGGATGGACTGACTGAGTTCTGAAGCTGTTCTTCTCATTGCTCAGTTTACGCACCTGGTGATATGGATGGATGGGCAGCGGTGGTGATGATGGTGATGGAAGTGGTTCCTGGTGGGTGTGAACGAGGCTGTTTTCAGCGCCCTCGTCCTCTCTTGGCTCAGCCCATCGTCTCGTCTGAGGGCCCATGAGCTGCAGGTTGCCTTTAGCTGCATGCTGGGCCCTCCGGCGGCGTCGAGAGTGAGAAAGAAGAAACAGGTGGCGTCCCAAGAAACTGCCTCAAGTCCCCATTGCGTTTGTCACACCACTCGATGAAATTTCGTGCCAATTCCCATCTTCAGTCAAGCTCGGAACAGGTCTGCTGCATCCCTGCATACGCCTCTATCACGAAGCACCGACATTATGGCGTCGTACCGAGCACCACACACAGCTTCGCGAGGCTGTGATGGGATCTTGATCCCAGTCCGTGTTACCGAGAGCAAGTTTGCTATTGGATTGGTGGGGGGAATGCTCGACTCCTTCCCGCCAAATACCGGCAATGGCAATCCAACCCTCAGACCAAACAAGGCCCTGTGAAGCAAGCTTGTCGGTCGTTCACGCGAGGCCACAGCAGCCTGCCCATGAGGCTTGGATCCGCTCCATCCCCACTACCGTCGCCCTGTTCTGATTCAAGCGTGGATAATTTGATCAAGGTTACCCTTTTCGATAAACCCGAGGGAGAGTGAGCCGTTGGGAAGCAGATCCTGGGACAACGTTCGGTTGTCGGCAGTGTGAACTAAATGCATGCAGGCGTGGACTTCCCCTATGTATAACCAATCCCCTCTCGCTCGCGCGGTCCAGCCCAGCTACTCCAAAGTACTTTGGTGTTGACACTTTTGTTGATCAATCATTGTATTTGGTCGCTCGTTAGAAACAACATGCGTTTGTCATTCGTATTAGGGCTGTTGGCAGCTTCTGCCTATGGTGAGTATCAGCATCTTTATTAAACAGGGAACTGGGCTAATATCTTGAAGCCGATTCCAAACCCAAGAACGATGCCCAGAGCAAGAACAAGACGATTGACTGCAGCGCAAATGTAACCGTGTCTGGCGCAGACGATGCCAAACTCGCCAGCTCATGCTCAACAATTGGAGGATCGCTCATCTTCTCGAAGACCCTCAATACTACTGTCAGCCTCGACAATGTTACATCAATCAAGGGCGGCGTCGAATTCAGTCCGTGCAAGTACAGCACCTCCGAGACGGACCTTGCAGCGTGCCCCAAGGCGCCCAGCTTCAACATCTCGATGCCCAAACTACAGACAATCGGCGGCCAGGTTCTCGTCAACTACGCCAACGGACTCAAGTCGCTGGACTTCCCGGAGCTCACGAGTGTGGGCCAGGTCTTCCGGCTCAACTACACGGTGAGCTTGACGTCGCTCAATGTGACCAAGCTGGAATACGTCGGCGCGCTGAGCATAACCACGCCTGTGCTGGAGGACTTCGACCTCACGCGGCTCAAGGGATTTTCCAAGAACTACGCAAATGGCGGGTGGATCAACATCGGGGATGTTGGCAAGGTCTCCAACCTGGACGGAATTCTCGCATATCCTCTCGAGGCTGCCGTTGCCAAGACCGACCCAGCATACAACCTCACACTAAACATCAAGAACATTCCATTTGTACGGCAGTTGAACATTGGTTGGAACAAGATTGACACTCTTGATGTCGGCGGTATAAATATGGCCATCACGCTTGGAGCGCTAGAGAAGACGAGCGTCGAGATCTCCAACTTCACGGTTCGCACTGGGGTCAAATCTCTTCACAGGCGCGATCTGAATACGAATCTCACCGTTAAATCAGTGACGATCAAGGGCGGCAACGACTTCGAGAGCCTGAACCTCCCATTCACATCCCTCACCAACTTGGACATCCAGGCATCCAAGCATCTCGAGAGCATCCAGCTCCCCACCGAGGCCGCCAACTGGCTAGGTGCAAGCTTTACCATCAAAGATTCGCCCAACCTGATTTTTGACCAGGCCAACACCGCCGATAGCAAGATTACGTGGTATTGGCCAAGGAAGATGAAGGCCTTGACCATCTATGGCAACATCACCACGGCATTTTTTGAAAAGCTCGTCACCGACAACGTCCAGGTCACGGACACCTTCGACATCAGGGACAACTCCAACAGCCTCCGCTGCTACATTTTCGATGCCATGCCCCATGGGAGCTTACCGGCGAACCGCAGGTGTATTCCCATATCGGTCGAGTCGCCCCAGCCGGTAGACTTGGGCATTCCGTCAGTTGGGATGAACTGGGCGCTTCAATTATCACTGTTGGCGATGGCGATAGTCCTCGTCTTATTATGATCACTCATTATTACTTTTCCCTTAATGTTAATCCAGAAATACAATGGTTTTCAACGTATTATTCTCTCCTCGGCGACCAAGCTTGGAAACACCACCCTGTCTGGATGTGTCCTCGCAGCATATATTCTAACGTACTAGCAAGGGGATGTTGTATTTTATCACCTTTTCTACACTTTTCAACCCACATGTTTCTTTCTCTGGATACCCAAATCAAGCTATCCAACTCGAGCAGGCTCAGCAAGCAGCGTCAGAAGCAGGCCCCAAGTCCTCCTCGTCCACCTCCTCCGCAGGCGGGTGGCGCTTCGTCCACGGCTCAAACACAGCAGACGACTGCGCCAGCCCGCCAATCGTCTCCCAGACCAGCACGAACGCGAAGATGCCCATGACGACGAACATGAGCCCCTCGGCATCCAGGTGGTCGTGCGTCTGGGGCAGCACGATCAACACGATAGCCGCCACGAGCCGCATTATGATGCGCAGCCACTTGGGCAGGACCAGCCTCTCCTCCTCGTCGACGCGGTACAGCATCCCGTAAACCCACAGGCAGAACATGCCTACCCCGAGCCCGCCGCCGAGCAGCCAGCGCTGGCCCTCCTCGAGGTGCTCCTCGCCCGCGCTGACGGCGGCGATGTGGCCCCCGATGAGGAAGGACGCCGACAGGGGCAGGTGCAGCAGGAAGAAGCCGAAGGCGGTCCAGGCGGAGCGGCGGATGGGGTGGGTGGCCTGGATGCTGCCGTCGCCGCTGGCGTAGAGCCAGTTGAGGCTGAAGGCGACGACGAGGGTGCAGACGGCCTTGGCGTAGCCGGCGGTGAGCCCGACGCCCGTCTTGTGGCCGACGATGATGCTGTAGACGAACTCGCCGAGGATGATGATGAAGAAGGCGGCCATGCGGTCGACCTCGTGAGCGATGTCGACGGCGGTGCTGTAGGAGAGGTTGAGCTTGCGCTTGATCCAGGGGGAGAGGGTGAGCCCCCACGTGAGCTCCTGGTAGAAGATGGCGACGGCGACGACGGCGACCTTGGCCTGGATGCTGACGGACTCGAAGAAGAGGGGGATCATGATGAGGAGGCCGACGAACATGCAGGCGGCCATGATGCGGGCCTGGACGCGGTGCTGGTATGCGGCGAAGGAGGTGACGAGGAAGACGGAGAGGGTGGTGAAGCGGGCGAGGATGTAGGCGGCGGCGGTCGTGCGCATGGCGACGATGTCGTGGTCGGCCAGGTAGGCGTTGTTGGCGTAGAGCACCAGCAGGGCCATGACCCAGAGGATGACGAGGCGCTGCAGCAGGTCGTCGGTGTAGTACGAGTTCATGATCTCGCGCAGGTCCGCCCAGATGTGCCATGCCGGCGTGAAGATGAGGAGGTACTTGGCCAGATGGATCCCGTCGGGGTGCTCTGCCAGCTCATCGCTGAAGCTCGCGACGATGGCGACGTCTGTGAGTGTCAGTATAGATTCTGTAATTTAGTTCTGCCCCTTCATCATCAATCATCCATCGTGCCAGCTACTTTTTTCACCATCTTTGCTAGTTGTTTTGTCTGGTTCTGTCCCCCACTGAAATGGCACACCTGAGATGCAGTCCATCGTGGAGGGAGTGAGGCTGTAAACATAGGATTATGAATAGAAAGCACGTACAGAGAAGATCGAGGAACAGCTCGAAGCGACCAGCCTGCCGCTCGCCAGATTCTTTAAACAGACGCCCCTTGTAGAACCATTGCAGGGGCCGCGGCTGCTTGATCAGATAGCAGCTGGCCGCGTTGGCCTCTTGGAGCTCGTTGCAGTTCATCTTGGCAGCCCTTGGCACAGGCGATGAGTGTAAGCCAAGGGAATATCTGGGGGTCCGATCTCTTGGCTCTCAAGATCAGATGTGGGAGTGGATGGAGTGCCAAGGAGGGAGAAGCAGCACAGCCAAGTGTGTCTGTATATATATATGACTATGGGGCCCTTGACGCAACGGTCCCCTCTCTTATTAATCTTCACTTTAAGCTTGACAAACCATAAATTCAATCTAAAAGAAATTCCCTCCCGGGGCAGGAGAGGGGAATAATGGCGGAGGAGCGAGGAGGGCGGGCCACAGCCAAAGCATCGTGTCCCCTCCCGGAGGCCTGGCCCGGAGCTCTCTCATTAGTGCAGTGGATGTGCTTGTCTAATGGGATAGAGGAATCAATTAGCGGCTGACAGCTGAATTACCAAGCTTACAAAAAGTGTTAGCGAGAGCTGCAGCATGTGGAATGAAGCCGGCCATACTCGATGCGATCTTAGTGCTGGCCTGTCAGCACCTTGTTCCCGAGCCCAGCCATTTCTTTACCAAGTCCGTCGTGATTGCAACACGAAATTTTTTCTCCGTTCGCTTGATTGGGTTAGGGAGTGTTTGGCTGGCTGGCTTAGTTTAGCATTACAGATGGAACACACCGGCTCGAGCCCCTCATACTATCACGAGTGCTACTCTGCTGGCGACGACAGATCTGACTTCGGAATGTGGGAGAGCAGAGAGCTTAGAGAGATCGATTAGAGAGAAGTAGGTAAGAAGAATCATGAGCTTACATTGGCGAATACCAGAATAAAGATGACATCACCGCCAACATCCCATCGACCCTTTCAACCCTTGTGCTTTTCTCAAACGCACCAAACAGGACTTCCTCAGCCTCCAACGCCGCCTTGACTGTATATACTGACAAGAATATTACTACACAGAATCCGACCAGATCGGGCCTTGCGCTCTCCCTCTCCAACCCAAACAGAATGGCTAACACACTGTAATCTGCTTCTCACTGTCCTGCACCTCTTCTCTTCTACAACCATCTACCTATGCAGGTAGACCTCGTTTCTCTGACTCTGTGAAGAAGATCACCATGCGCCAGAGCTTCTTCACTAAGTCCTCGGCTTCTTCGTCCAAAGCCTAGCAAACAAATTAGTAAAAAAAGTGCATAAATGTAGATGGCAAAAGAACTTACCCCTTCAAGTTCATCAGCAAGAGCCGCTGCGGTTCCATGATTGCGGAGGTGGTCCTCGACCGTCTCCACCAGCATCTCCTCCTGCACACCGAGATACTCGACAATCTTCTTCTCCACAAACGGCCGCAGCTTGCTCCGGATCACGCTGTCGTCCATAAAGTCCCACTTGACCTCCCAGCTCCACAGGCCCTCTTTATCTGACGGGATCTCCTGGGCGAGCGACCGCACTGCCTGCGAGATCTCCTCGTCCGTCATGCCCGCGGAGCCGGACGTGGGCTCAAACTGGATCGGAATAAGCTGTCGCTTGGTGGATGTATCGGCCTCTTCATCATCCAGGAGACCCTCAACCTCAGCGATTGTTCGTCGCTGAGCTCCTCCACGTGAAGCCTGGGCCTTCTGAGCAGCTGCTCCCAAAGAAAGCTTGAATGGCTGGGGTGCAGACTCTGTCTGCTGTTGCTGCTCGAGCTCCTGGGCTTGCTGCTCCAGGAAGGAGTCTGCCATACCCCGGGCCCGATCTGCATTGGCCTGTTCGCGTCTCTTCTCGTCCTGTTCTGCGCGACGGTCGCTCTCGTCTCGAGACTCCTCGTCGCCACGATCCATGACTCGTTTTCTGACCCAGTTTGCGTGGTCCCGATAGTATGGGTGTGACTTGCGGCTTGACTCTCGCTCATCATCCCACGACTTCTCGCGCTCAAATTGTTCTTCCTTCCGGCGCTCCAGTGACTCGGCCTCCTGCTTCTCTCGGGCCTGTTCACGCTCAAGTGCTGCCTGCCTCGATCGTTCACGATTAGCCCATTTTCGTTCCGCTTCGAGATAGGACTTGTCGGCCTCGGCTTTCTGCTTGGATTGATATCGGCGGTAGAGCTCTTCGTCGTCGGCATCGGTATCCTCGTCGTCCTGGTTCACGCTGTACTCGGTATTGCTGATTCCGCCGTTGACAAATGCGACCCGGCCATTGCTGCTCTGGCCCTTTGGACCAAGAGGGGCATTGGGGACACCCCTGGGGCCCAAGGGCATAGAGTTGGCCCCTGCCCCGACAGGCGGTGATGCCAGACGGGATGGTCGTGTGCCAGCACCGCTTCGCTGCCGTTCTAGTTCCTCCATCTCCTCCTCCTTCTTCAGTCTCTCCATATCCCGCTGTATACTTCGCTCTCGGAAAGCCGCAATTTCTTGAGAGACGACCTCGCGCATCTCGGCAGGAATGTCTGCCAACTCGTCATCCTGGGCGATATTAATGTTGACAATCTCGACGTTTTCCCCATTCTCCTGGTTCTTCATAGACACATCACCCTCAGCATCAACACTAGTCCCAGCTGGGGGGTAGAAGAGCTCCTTGACGACGGTCTTCAGAGCGCTACGAGCAGCTGCTAGGCGCTGTTCCCTTTCTTCGCCATTCGTGTTCTCTTCTTCCCACGACTCGATGTATTTACTCGTGCTTGGGTCGACCGCAACCTCCACCTGAGTCTTTTCAAATTCCTCGTAGGTGTCGTCTTCTGGAGTTTCGGTAGATGTCGATGATTGCCGCTTGACAGGTACGTAGACGGTTTCATCGTGGAGTAGCTTGATTGCTGTCGACAGTGATTGGGCATCCTCGAACAAGGCGAATCCGAAAGTAGAAGGCTTCGAGCTGTCCAATATGCTTGGGAAGGGATCCCAGCGCCTCAGCTTACCGAGAGCACCAAGTACCTTCTCGACACCGCCCCCGACGCTAAGACTCTCAGGTAATTGATGTAGAAAGATTGTGCGTAGTTTCTCCTCGCTCGTGGGGGGGATAAGAACCTGAGGTGTCTCTTTAGCCTGCCTGCCCTGGTCTTGGCCGCCCCTCTCCATCCCCAATCCAGGACGCCCAGAACCACCATGCGATGGCCTATCGGGTTCCTGCGTCGGCGTGTTCATCTTGCCTTGCCCAGCCGTCCCGAGGCGAATCACGGGCGCGTTGAAGTTGATATTCGGCATGTTCGGGGGCGCTTGGAAATTGGGGGGTAGGCCACTTGGTCGATTAGTTTGGGGTGCGTTATACTGATGGAGTCCCGGAGGGGGAGCCATCCCGGGAGGGTGGGACATGCCTGGGGCGGGAGACATGCCAGGAGGTGGTCCTCCTACAGAACGGTTAGCACTCTCACAAGAACAAGATAACTCAGAGGGGGATGAAGGGGCTGCGAACCTGGACCAGGAGGTCCTCCCATACCAGGAGGCGCATTGCCGCCTGGATAGCCACCGTAGCCTGGTGGCGCGCCGTACTGGTGGCCTGTGAGGAGTCAGCAACCAACATGACCAAAGAACAAAGACCCATCACGGGGTTACTCACTACGGCCGTATTGATTGTAGGACATTGCGACACGAGTACTGGTGCCTGCAATGGAAAACCCGCGACAACTGTGTCCCTCTGGCGATGCGCGAGGCCGCGTGAGGCTGGTTAGCGTCCGCGACGGGGCTTGGAGGCCCTAATATGAATCCTAGGCTGCCAGGAAGAAGTCGCGCACCACTTCTGTTTGCCAGAAACCAGATTGATTGTAGAGCCGGGCGGAGTGGCGAGGCGCAAGAGGTCTGGCTGCCGTACAAGGTGGGTGTGTAGGTACTGATGCTCGTTTGTTGAAGCTCTCCAGAGTCTGAAAAATAACACCCCCACAACAAGCCGAACTGGGATAGGTCAGGTTGCTGGGGCCATCTTGCTGAGTCAGCTATCGATACAGAATGGTCCTGTTTTGGGTACTAATGTTAAAGGCCGTGCAGTGACGTCTAAGACGCTCCCACTAAAAACGGAGACAAGGTGAATGGCTAAGATGCCTGGTGATGAAACAGCGAGGGATTGAATGGGCAAGGCTGCGTCATTGGCGATATGTTGTCTTTCGAATACCGGCCATTAGCCACTAGTATCATTGCATGCACATTTCTCAAACAAATAGCCCCCGTTCGGAGGGTATGCATGAAGCAGTAGAATGGGGGCACGTGCCGTTTCGCGTCACGCCCACAGCACTCTCACCCACTGTGACGCGACCATTTACCAGCCGAACCCACTAAAAAAAAGAGCGATGGTGGGGGATGTTTTCTTTCGCCCAAAACCAAACAAACCTCCCCAGTGACACGGTCATTGTGCATAGCGCCGTCATCTGGTGCCTCTCCATTTATCCAACCACAACAACAAATCTGCGATTACTCTCTGGCCATTTCCCAAGTTTCTGCACTGAAGAGAGACATATTCTGAAGGAGGCGATATTGCCTTGGAAGAAGATCTGGTCTTTCTTTTGCCGAGCACCTCTCTCCTTTCTCATGACCTTCGCTGCGGCGTCTGCATCATGGCATCGACAAGCGATGCGCCGCAGCCCTCGCGACTCGAGACAGCAACAACAAACACCACGACCGCCCCGGCAGAGGATAATGATCTAGCTCGGTCCCTCGAAAAGCTTTCTATATCCCATGATTCCGCTCCAAAGTCGCCGCTCCTCGAGGAGCCAAGGACCCCCCTAGGGCCCCCTTCTCGACGCTCGTCCCAATCCCCCGCCCCTCGTCGTCGAGTCCCCTCTCGAAGCCCCTCGGCCGGCCCGAACAATCGAATACAGAATCCTTCAACGCCAAACTTGCATCGGAAGGCATCGATGAATTCGTTGCATTCGGCAAATGGTGTTTCTGTTCCATATCCCCCTTTGCGACGCTCGAGTTCCAACCAAGCACTGTCGCCCACAGGCGATGCCCCCTTGCCTCCGAAAGTTCCTCTCACACCTGCCAGCGTTGCAAGTGATTGTTTGAAGGCCGAGCTGAATACCATCCACGGGTCAGCCCCGACTCTCTCCGCAGAAACTGTGGTCATTGTCAATGACGCCGTCTATGGCCATCGATTCTCCCGACCACGAACTTCCAAAGGCGTCCTCAGCACGATTGTCGAACGGCCAGAGCGCATAAAGGCAGCCATGTTGGGCATATCACTAGCTTATGTGCGGCTAGGAGAACGCCATGTCGATGGAGCCCAAGCTCTAAACCCCAAGCGAGAGGTTCAGGAGATATCAAGCATACCCTTCCGCATTCAGAAGACCGATCGGAAGCTGTCTATCCTATCGCCAGCCGTAACAAATGTGCACGGGACCAAGTGGATGGATGAACTCAAGGGCATGTGCGACATGGCAGAGAGCAGACTTGCAGCAGGTGGAAAGGAGTTGCAGCGTCGTCCTCGCAGCAGGACGAGCACACGTACCGCCGACGAGCCAACCCCCGAAAAGCTACACGAGGGCGATCTATATCTTTGCTCGGAGTCTCTCAATGCGTTCGAGGGGGCTCTAGGCGCGGTGTGCGAGGGAATCGATACAGTCTTTAACGAGGACGGCCCTCGAAGAGCCTTTGTCGGAGTGCGTCCCCCCGGGCACCACTGCTCTGCTTCGCACCCATCTGGATTTTGCTGGGTGAACAATGTACATGTCGGTATTATGCATGCTGCCATGAACCACGGACTTACCCACGCCGCCATTATTGACTTTGACTTGCACCACGGCGATGGATCGCAATCAATCACATGGCAGCACAATGCTCGTGCTAATCTAGCTACAAAGAACGCCATGGCTTGGAAAAAGTCATCTATTGGTTATTTCAGCCTTCATGATATCAATTCTTATCCCTGTGAAGGTGGCGACGAAGAGAAAGTCAAGAATGCAAGCCTATGTATTGACAACGCCCATGGCCAGTCCATATGGAATGTGCACCTGGAGCAGTGGGACTCCGAACAGGAATTCTGGGACCTGTATGAGACCAAGTACTCTGTTCTGCTGGTCAAGGCGCGCAACTACCTCAGGAACCAAGCTCGGCGACTGAGCAAACTGGAGCAAACCCCCAAGGCAGCTATATTCTTCTCTGCAGGATTTGATGCCAGCGAATGGGAGAGCGCTGGGATGCAGCGACACACAGTCAACGTCCCGACCGGATTCTATGCTAGACTGTCCCGGGATGTCGTGAAGCTCGCCTCGGAGGTAGGATTGGGCGTTGATGGTCGTGTCATCAGCGTGCTGGAGGGAGGATATAGCGATAGAGCACTCTTCTCGGGTGTCTTTAGCCATTTGTGTGGCTTTGCACCCAGTTGTGATGCGAAACCGCAGACGGCCTCAGACGGCCTCGGCATTGCTGCTCCTGAGCTAGGACTTGCTCCTCGCCAGAATTCCACTGAAAATGAGGACACAGAGCAAGAGTCTACCTCCGCTCCTCCCTATAATCCAACTTGGTGGGCTAGTTCCTCGTTGGATGTTGTAGATAGCCTCATAGCTGCACCGCCCGAGGTTCCCAAGAAACCAAGGCAACCCTCCCTCTCAACCTACTCGTCTCCTACACAGGCCTCCGTGGCCAAGGTTGTCGACCCTGCCAACATGCGCCGAAGCTTGTCGGGTCTATCGAGCAAGAGCCACACCAGGCCAGTCTCACCGCCCCCGCCTGAGGTTCCTTGGCACATTGCTGCCCATGAGCTATCGAAACTTTTGATCCCCTCTGATCGACAAACTGACAGCTGCAAGCCTGAGGACCTCAATGCTGAAGCCACCAGGCAACGCCAGGCACGTCAATCCACCGCGCCCAAGGCCACCCCGGTTGGTACACCTGAACGACCTGGATCAAAAATGAATCTGCGCGGGAGGAAGCCCAGAGTGGTAAGCTCCCAAGCGAGTGAAGCAGTATCCGCCAAAGATCGAAGGAAAACTCTGGCGACATCTACCCCAGCGGCTGAAACCGTAAAGAACCCGGCCCCTTTAGTAGTGATAAGAGAAACTGACAGAATGAATAGGCAACCACCGCTGTTACAACTGAGTCGAAGGCAACAGGGGCCCGAAGAGCCAGCAGACGACTTAGTGGAATCTCTGCCATCGGCAACGCTACGGATGAGGCACCGCCTCAGTCGAGCACGACCACAAGACCAGATCTTGCCGCCTCTGGCCGGTCCCAGAGCTCGACTGATTTGGCCGCCAAGAAGACACGAGTACCAGCTACACCAAGGAGGGCAGCTGGCAATGCACGTACAGCACGGGGTGCAGGCAAGACAACGACGACTGCACCTATCGACAAGCAAGTACCAGCCACAGAGCCTCGAAAGCCTCCGACAACGGTGGATGATCTGGACAATATTACCCGAGGGATGAAGAAGATAAAGATCAATCTGATCACAAAGTCACAAAAGGAGGCTCGGGAACGTGCCCGGCTCGAAAAAACGAACACTGGCGCTGCTGGGCCAGCTCCAGCCCCACCGTCGTTGGCTGAAGCGCTCAGCACTGAGGTTGATTTGCCTTCATCACCCCCCATCTCACCAACAACTATCCCAACAGAATCCCCAAAGCCGGCCATTACCAATGAGTGGGCGCTAGATCACCAAGGTCCAGTCATCATGAAGCAAGAGCCTGATCTTGGTTCTGAGCCAGGGCTCCTAGACCATGACTCTAAATCAACCACCTACGGAACAGATGACTCGTGTATCTTGCCACCTCACAAGACTCCATCGCCTGATCTGCCCCAGGTAGCTATCCAGGCTAGCAGTGACCCTGCCGATGTTTTCATTGCATACCAACCTGAAGGCCCAGCGCCTAAGGCTGCGGTCCAATCCGAGCCGCTGACATGGCTTCCACCGAACATACCCACGCCATCGGCTAACACGCCGGCAGGGACTCCCATACCCGCAAGAAGCAACCTCTTCACCTACAAGACCGGAGGCATTCCCTTCGCTCCCCGACCTAAAACAGGGGCGCCTCCAGCTGATGAGGGAAAGCGTGGAAGCGGGTGAGGTGATTAGCTTATTGACGATCTCTTCCCGACCACAACCAACCGAGAGACTACTTAGGTATGCTTTCTGCCAACTCTCCATGATAGATTACGGAGCGATACCTGAGAAACGAGGGGTTTTGTGATACTTGTTTGTTATTTTTGTCATCACTGATTGTTCTCCCCCTCATATCTGAGTTGCTGGGGCTATTTTCCATTTTACACTCTTTTTGGGCGCTGAGGGCTTGTTGAAAGGAGTTTCTGGGTTTGCTTCTCGTTCGTTTTTCGAGTGCGGCCGAGCTCGCTCTGCTCGCGTGATACCCTTTCCGTTTTACCTGGGGCGCTTGTCGTGTTTGATTTTGTCGGACAGCCGCGCAATTGTTCTGGTTCGATCTTGTTCTTGTTTTGCCTTTGAAATGTATTTTGCAGAGGTGTCAGATATTAGTTTTCCGTTCGTGGTTCAATGAAATAGATGGTATTCATAGTTGGGTTCCTATCACTCATGTGCTACGGAGTACCGTTTGCATTGCCACCAGGCAGATCGTATGATGCTGCTTCGGATACTGCATCACTCAACAAGTTACAATTAGGTAGCTCGCAAAAGGAGGGCAGTGACTCGTTACGGATTGGCAGTAGCAAGCCCATTGCCATTGACGCGGCGCCTCGAAGATTTGTTGGGCAATTGGTGACCAAAAGGCGACATCCTACGGGTCCCAGGGAAGTGTATCGCCAGCGAGAAAGTAGTACCAACCTATTTCGAAGAGTCTAGAGTGTAGAATTAAGCCAGTACGCCGTATTTATTCCTCTCCTTTCTTTCCTTTCTTCATTTTTAATTTTTCACGATTCTATACCATTTAACTCTTCTATGAGAACGGGAAAGCTTGCTGGAACGCAGTTAGCGGAACACTGACGTCCTCCAACTTGCTCTTTGCGTCGCCGCTGGTGCCGGGGTGAGGCGCTCGGCGGAGCGTCCAGACCTCCTTGACGTCAAGGCTGTTCAGGTACGCAAGCGCTCGGGAGTAATTCGTCGCTACTTGCGCGATGCCGTGGCTGTCATCAGACATGGTGAACTTCCCACCTATCCTAATCCATTCCTACACAAACATCAATTAGCCCATCAATCACGATAGGGACAGCGTGCCAACAGGGTGGCCATACCTCAGCAATCGGCCGGCAAGGGTACGGGTCGTCCAGGCCCTTCCTCAGCGCGGAGCTGTTGCACTCCAACCACGCACCAACCTCCTTAGCCAGCTTCAGGTTCCTCACGATCTTGGCCCAGACGCCCGGCCAGCTCCTGACGTCCCTCCCCGGCTGCTCGCTCATCAGGCGGATGAGGTCGAAGTGGCCCACGACGCGCGGCCGCAGCGACCGGAGCATCTCGTGCTGCAAGTCGTAGTAGTCCTCGTACAGCTGCTCCTCGGTCGCCGGGGAAGCGGCGGCGACGGCGGCGGCATAGTACTTATGGTCGAAGTCGATGGGAGTACTGTGGACGTGGTGGACGGAGCCGATGAAGAAGTCGATGACGGCGGGGGTCGTCAGATTCTGGACGTACGCGGTGAAGGCCGGGCGGATGAACTCGCCCTCGAAGCCGATGAGGATGTGGATCTGCGGGGCGTAGAGGGCCTGGAGGCGCTGGGCCTCGACGAGGTAGGCTTCGTGGCGCGGGGGGAGGACGGCGAGGGCGTTGGGATCGTCGACCTGTTCTGCGGGAGGGGGACCAGCCCTGGAGTCAGTCGGGGGATCGGTTGGGCAGGCAGACGGGTGGGCAGGAGGAGCGTGGCAGGGCGGCGGACCTCTTCGGGATAGAGATCCTGCTCTTCGTAGCGCGGCATGTGCTCGGTCAGGGCCATGGTGGTGTAGCCGATGGAGATGGCATGCTTGACGATGTCTTCGAGCTGGTCCTTGGCGTGACCCGGGCAGAACTGCCCGGAGTGGGAATGCATCGTGAAGACCATTGCTACAGCAGACGTGCACAGGCAGTGCGAAGGTGACTGTTGGAAGGACTCGACCCTAGCAGAGATGTTAAAGTCTTTTCTTAGCTTTGGCGAGCGCGTCGCTTGTTGAGGGGCGACGCGGGGCAGCATTTCGGTCCCTCATTTGGTGAGGCTCCGTAATTGCTCATCTATGTGCCCTGCCTACCCTATACTTACCTTAGAACTGTGTATCAACACTCGATGCTTAATGGTGTGGTGTTTGTATCGTCGGGATGTTATTCAGTCAGGTCCTTTGGATTGTAACTTCATTTCCTCTCTGAAATTGATTGGACACAGTGGTCTTGATGCCATACTTGCTATTTCAAATAACAAACGCCACAAGCAGTCAAATTATAAGCTGCCAAACGTTTGAACCATTAAGCAATGGCGGAGTTCAGGTAGCCATCCAATCTAGCCCTACCAGTAATAGTGCTCTTTGTGTCCGCCAATGAGTTGGGTAGGGCTGAAAATCCCTTGAAGGAGCGTTCTTGTTGTGGCGTGGTTTCATTCACGGCAGTGGTTGGCCCAAAAACGAAGTCTTTGCTAAACGTGTCAGAGTCGCATCATTAAACAGGGGTTATATTGCTTTTTGGATCTTTCGTGCTCACAGCCTTGAGCTGAATACACCATGCATATGCAGCCAAGATCTGACATTGGGGCTGTCTATGGATTCATTAAGAATTTAATCCAAGAACAGCCATTGAGTTTGTGGGCTGTTTTTGATTAAACAGACCCGAACTAGAGGCTTAGTCGACTGATGGAAAAAAATGATATGCGGGTAGAGAGTGCTTGCAAGAAGTGTCTGGCTAGTTAGTTGCCTGCGTTGCCTGCGCTGCATGAGGGATGGGGCAAGATGTGGTGATGGTACTTTCGATGGTTGTTTCAGGCGAGTGCCTGTGCATACGCCCGGCCCCCATTAGATGTCTGCCTTACTTACTTAACCCTTAAAAAGACCACCGATATGTATAAATCTTGCCTACCCGAGTTGGATGGCTGAAAAGCGTTAATGTTGGCTTTCTCGCCCAGCTGGTGCGCCTTCCATCATGGCATCCCAACGCCTTGTGATACTGCTGATAGCACTGCTTCTGTCGAGATGCCTCGCAAGCGACGTTCCTTTGCCCGCTAATTTCGAAAGACGAGTGAATGCTAGAGGTAAGGCACAATGGGGAGCCTTTCCCCCCAAGTCTTGCCGTCAACCCCTCTTCAGTTACTAACGGGTTTATAGTTGGTGTAATAAATAACCAGCTATATCTGGAAGGCGGAGCCGTCTCTGAGAAAGGCGTCAGTGGTGCATGGCCAGGTGACTATCACTCACATATACCGCTATGCAATTTTCGTCGTTAACTGGGCCATTTTAAAGTCAATAACACGCTTTCGCTCGATCTCACCACCTCTTGGCTTCCCCAGGACGCATCTTTCCGGAGCACCGACAAGAGCTCGAATAACATCCCATCCCTATGGAAAAACGCCATGTTCGTCGATAATGCTGCCGGGGCATTCTACATATGGGGAGGGCGGTATTTCTTCATTAGTGACCCTCCGCCCCTAAAGCTTTGGAAGTTTACTGCCAACAAGAATGGGGGAGGTGATTGGGCTACCGAGGAGGCAGATCCCTCCTTCAGTACAATTATACGCTCAGAAGGTGGTGCGCATACTAGCTCCAAAGATGCAGGCTTCTGGTTTGGGGGTCAGGTCACACCGGAGACTCACGATGGTCTTTCAAAGCTTAATATCCCTGGCTTCGTGTCCTTTAACTTCACCACGAAGAAATGGACCAATCACACGGATGCCCCCTTTTCTTCCAAGGGAACGCTTGTATATGCCACTGCCACATACCTCCCCGGAGTAGGCCCCAATGGTATTATAATGCTCTTGGGCGGCCAAGGCCAGTCGGTGCCGAAAGGAAGCGAGCCGATCTCGTTTGAGACTGTACATTTCCTAGACCCCGTCACCCTGAAGTGGTTCAAGCAGAACACAACAGGACAGACCCCCACGTCGCGTGTCGGTCACTGTGCAGTTGGAGTCACCGGAAGCAACTCGTCTGAAATGTAAGTGAAGAATTTTAATGGAATGGGTGGTGTCGTGATGTTTAAGATTGCGCTAACAGCAACTAAGTTTCGTTTACGGTGGTGCAAGTGAAGGGAATTTGCATAATGATGTCCATATTTTATCACTCCCTGGCTTCAATTGGGTAAATACAGGAGCAACCAGCCAGCAGACGCGTATCGAGATGGGATGCGTAGCCGCTGGCAACCGCAATATGGTTGTGGTCGGTGGGGCCAAGTACTCGGGAACCGACACGAGCCCTGATATGAATTCGCAAGGACTGGGGATCTTCGATATGACTGCGTTGGAATGGAAGACCAAGTACACGGCTGACGCCGGTCAATATGAAACACCCGAGATCGTAACCAAATGGTATCAGGAAGGGTAGGTTCCTAACCTCTGATGTGTTCAGCACAGGACTGAAGATCATATCGATTTGCTGACAGGAATGGAAACAATAGGAACTTGGCCAAAGTAGCATTTTCAGAGGGAGTAAAGGATCTGTTTCCCGAGAAAGAGACAGGAAGTAACACCGCCTCCCCTGAGCCTGACCAAGACAACACCAAGCCGCTCTCAGCCGGGACTATTGCTGGGGCTGTTGTTGGCGGAGTAGCTGGGATCGCAGCTTTCGCCGCACTCCTCTTCTTCCTACTTCGAAAGAAGAAACACTCATCACTGTCTCATCACCCGCAAACGGAATACTCGCCGGAATATGATCAGTCACCACATTCATCGACAATGGCTAAATATCCCCCTGAGCTGAATAACGACGGTGAAAGGTTTGAACTATCGGCCCCAAGACGTTTTGTTGAGCTCCCCACTCAGCCTTAGAACTCACCCTAGAAGTTTACTTCTGTTCGAAAGCAACACCTTTAATGAATCATATAAATATATACTTAGTAACGAGGCGATGCCGAATGTGACAGAAGATGACATTAATAGCGGCTCAAGAAAGCAGGCGTTCATAGCGAGATAGAGTTACATGTTTCTTCGAGAAACCATCAACCATCTCACATGAGAAAGACCTCCTTTCCTCAGACATACCCAAGGACTCAGCAGCACGGTATATTAGTAATTGCACCGAAAGCAGCGCATGATGCTTCCATTTGGTCGTTGATAGTAACTTGCATAATCCTGTGGAGATTGACTAGAAAGAGAGCTGCCACTCGTAAGCTATGATAGATGATAGAAAGCAAAAAGAGATTATCCGGTAGGCTTGAGACATGCTTTAACACCATCGCCTTGCGTTGTACTTGTTATCTGTGCTTGCTGACACTGTCGCGAACACGACATCAGACAATCTGAATCTCCTGCCTTGGTAGGACATCTATCCAAGCCAAATCCATTGAACGACTATTCCCCTCAAATCTACTGATTCTTCGCCACAAGTTCATGCCACTGCCTCGGACTATGATCAAACCAAACACGAATGACCCACAAACATTCCACATGAGAGGGACGGCATAGACCTCACCGCTCCAACTCTCAGTCGCGTCAGCCTGTATCCATATAGCTCCAGCGTCTTTTGGATGTCCATTAGCCTCAAAAGTGAGCCTTTTCTCACCAGTCGCTTCATCCAAATGGACTTCAAATAGCAATCCCCTCAGTGTCAATAGTCCTCCCGTGACTTCGCCAAAAGGCACTAATGAACTCGCCACTGTAACTTGACAATCGACGACCGTTGCAAGCCTTAGATTCTCAGCATCACGTTTGTCGTCCGGCTTGGCTAATTTGTCCAATCGCCATTCACCACTGACTAGTCCATCCACCGACGCCCATGACCAAGATGGCGCTCTGTAGGTCTTTGGTCTGTCACGCTTTTCATCGGCTTTCCAGAGCAAGTCAAGTAGCAGCGTCTTTCGCCACAGGCCGGCAAGGTACTGATCCTGATTCAGGATACTGAAAAGCTCTGCGACTGCAGCAAAGGCCGGCAGCCTGTCAGAGGGGACGGTGACACTCCGCATAGTGTACTGAAACAGAGCCGCGAGCCAGGATTGACGGAGCTGAACTGCATCAAGCTGATGATCTGCCGAGTCGGAGAGATATGCCCCGCGCGGCAGACGCATTCCCGTGCTCTCCTCGCACAACGCTCCGCCGATGTTGACTGTTTCCGTCTGGCAATAGTATTTGAGCGTATCAGATGCAAACACTAGACTTCTTGCGGGGAGTATCTTTTCCTGGTAACACCAGCCCCTACTAGTGATGGGTTCAAGTTCGTCCCAGTATGTCTGCTCGGGCCCATCCTTTTTCCTAGAAAGGATGTCATATGCCACAAACACGGTGCCGGTCTTTCCATTCGAGCAAGGGAATGGGAGTACAGTACGAGGCTCCCTCTGAGGCCGCGGTTGATGCAGGAAACCCTCATGCGTACTACTTGCGCTAGCGGCGTTGATGGTGATGTACGAGTTCTTGTAGATGGCGTGCATCTTTCCCAGTTGGACAATTTTGTCCTCGGGCGAGTCCTGAAGGATACACAGCGCATCGATCCACAGGTAGCGCTGTCCAATCTTGTTGGTAGCAGTCACGGCATCTCGGATTGACTGAGGGAAATCGGTTAATATGAAACCATCCGTTGTGTATTTGCCGACATTCTTTGTCGTTAACATGGGTTGCGGCCCGCCCCAAACGTAGCTCAATGTAACATATGGTGCGTAGATTTGCCCGCTAGTAAGGACAATTTTCGGGTTGCTGGTATTAGCACAGTCAATGACCCTGTCGGGTAAAAGGGACGTGCTCTGGAGAGGAGGGCAGTTGGCTCGGTGTTCTCTGACACAGTTGTCGATACACGCCTTTGCCATGCTAAAGGCTTCCTCTGTCCAGAGTTTTGTGATACGGTCCCGAGCTTTGATAATGCTGGCGGCTTCGTCATCTGTTCAGCTTTAGTAAAAATCTTATAATCTTATAGGAGAAAACAGAAACGCGTGCCTCTAGTTGTGTACAAAAGCAGTTCATCAGTCATGAACGTACTGCCGTCTTTCATGTCATTCACAACAACACTGAGAAGCTTGTCTCCCACCGGTGTGTATCTGCTGTCTTTGTAGTATCTGATGGTAACTTGTGCCGCTCCTTCGACTTGTCGTTTTGGCAGTAGTCTGCACCAGTTACATGTTCCGGCGGCATTCTTGATCGCTTTCCAGGCTACAGTGTATGCGTAACCGCCTCCTTCTGGGTTACTGGAAGCGCCGCTGCAGGCTATTACGGATTGCCATGCCTTGGTTGAGAAGATCGTGTCACGACACGCTTGGCATACCAACTGGCTCGGTGATAGACCGTTGCTGGTCATGATGTGCTCAATGAAATACAAATCAATTCTTTAATTCTGGGAAGACATTAAGTAGATAAGGTGTGTTCATGTTGGGCACCAATGCAAAAAGGGAACTGAGCGATTTCAGCTTAACGAGTTACCCCTATAAATACATATTCTCGTTAATAAACGCAACTTATCAGGAGCGCGACGGTCAACATCTCTTTATTGACTCTAGTTAAAAATGAAGAAATTCTACGGAGAATAGGAAAACATAAAAATATCTAGGCTTCTGCTCTATCTAATTTGCCCGCCAGGGCCTCACTGTCAAGGAGGCTACCAAACATGGCTGCTTCGTACATCCGATTAATCTGCCAAGCATGGTGTCCCGCGTGTGCCATGATCCAGCAGAGCTCCAAAGAGAAGCCTTCAGTGTAGGTCTTGGCCATGGCAAGCTGCAGGGCTTCTTCTAACTCGGCTTCACGAAGCCCGTCAACCTCCCCCTTCCTCACATACTCCAGGGGATCAGACACCAAGCACTCCCACAGGTGACGAATCAGAGATGGGTTCTTGCTGTGTTCAAGGAAATGTGAGACCGTGTCACACGTGTCTGCCCCGTTGCAGGCGTCCTTCAAGGGACGGCTGAAGCCAGTTGTGTGAAGATTCTCGTCAAATGCTTCGTCCATGTCTGCTTCGCGTTGGTCAGACAGCCCGTGCTGTACTTTGCAGTACCCCAGTACAGCGCGTCGCAAGAAGTTGTGTCTGTGGTTCACGATATGCCACTGATACAAAAGCGCCAACATTTGGGCAGTGGGCTCCCACCACCTCTCAGCCAAGGTTCGGGCGCCGGCGTGTGCATACGCATTGTACACGCGCCTCAGCGCTTCTTCAGTCACGATACCGGTCTCGTAAATGTCGGCGGTGTTCAAGAAGGAGTTCATGACCTCGGAGTTGACCAGATCAGAGCCCACATCGACAACGTCGGTGGCCGGGCAGGACAGGACCATGTCGTTCACGACTGCTGCAGGGTCGCACCCGCGAAAAATAGCCTCGCTAACCATGCCAAGGAGACTGCTCTCGAATAGTGAAACAGTCTGCATTGTTTGCCGGTTCATCTTCGCCGAGAGTCCCTCCAGATTGGCTTGGTTTTCTTCCTCAAACACGATTTTGTCATTGATGTACTGGACGCCAATGGCGACTGCTGCTCGTCGTTCTGTACCCCCAGGTGTCTGGAGAGCGTGTTGATCATACATGGCGCTATTGAACAGGCTGTCAAACTCTGGGAATACGTGGTGGTAGCCATGCTCGCGAAAGAACGCCATGTCGGTAACAGCGTTTGAGAACATGGACGGCGCATCATACGCGCCTATGCACATGTTGAAAAAGACACTACCCCACAGAGCACACCTCGTAATGAGTGGTTCTGGCCACTTGGAAGCGCCGAGGATCTCGAGTACCTCATTAGAAGCTCGCTTGAGGCCTGTTCCCTTGGCAGGCAGGATTCTACCCAATTGATGCTGCTCGCCCTTCCAGCGTTTAAGGTCATCTGATAAGCGGAGTTTGACGAGGCTATTGTTTGATGAAAGTCCTGAAGCCCCCATAGAGTTGGATAGTGTCTTGATATACGTTGAAGAGACATCTCTTAACTGAATCAAAGTCTTCAGGCTGCCGTCACCTGCCAACCGTCCTGCCTCGTTGTAGTTGTTGGAGAAGGAAGAAGATACGTATTCAGTCTTGGGCTCACGGTAGTATTGGCTCCAGGACTGAGTTGGACTATCCGGTCTGAATTTATCTGGAAGCGATTCATTCAGTGGGTGTATGGGAGAGCACACCTTGTCCAACGCACAGCCGCTCCAAGTTGGCTGATAATCCATTGTTGGGGATAAGAAAGTAGGGTTATAAAGAAGAATCGTGGAAAGCTGGATAAGATGAAGTTGAACGAACAAGACAATATTGAAGAGAAAAACCAATGCATCTTATATATATTTGGATTCGTCCCTACTTCCGCTGTACGATGATAAGAGTAGTGTGGATGTAAAAGAGACTATTGGTGGGGATTGTGAGATCTAGTGAAGATATTCCCACTTTTGGCAACCAAAGACAGGCAGAAGAGCAACTCGAATATCGGCAGCCATTACCAATCCAGCGCCACTGACAGTTGACAGGGTTGTGAGTGGACTCTAACTGCTTCTTAGGGTAAGGCATCCAGTCAATACTTCAGCAGCCTGGCAGGCCTATCTTGGACATTCAGCTTGCCTTGATACTGCAGATCGCATAAGCTAAAGCCAATTGGGGGCTGTGCAGCCAATCAGTTCTCACGGCTTAGCCGAGACTCTTCGATGACCCACGGTGGTATCCAAAACCAACACATCGCACAGCGCTTTTCAGCTGGGCTTGGCTTCTCTAAACAGATACGGAACGTCCGGATTCAAGCCAATACACACACGGAGATGAGAGCGTTGGGCTTCGTTTGCAAAAGTTCGACGGAGAGCCCGAACTTTCTTGTCAGCTTGCATGTGCGAAAAAATTCAATACCTCGGAAGGAATAGTTGATGTAAGTGGCGGTTTGGCAGGTGGGTCGGACTGTTGAAGAGTGATCTGCAGTACTCAATGACTTAGTAGTGGTGACTGAATCCAGGAAGTTTGGGCAAGAGTGAGCTCTCTGCGCTAGAGAAAGAGCTGACAACTTTTGGGGAGTCGCTCCCCGCAGACATTCAGCTCCGCCCAGGCAGGATATTCCTCATGGCACAATCTCGAGATGCTTCTGGTTACATCCGCCTTCACACAGTCTGGCTACAGAGCTACATTGATCTATACAGATTCTTGGTTCCAGGGATCCGCGAGTCGGTTTCACGAGAGGTGATAACTAATACGCCTGACGAATATGTGTCATATTGCCAACAAAATGTCCTTATTCGAATTGTCCAGCTTTTCGATTTTTGGTCTGAGTTCTTCAAGAATTGCGAGAATGAGCCAGTAAAAGACATATATTTTGTAGTGTCACTGTACCAGGCTTCTCAGATTATTGATAACCTTCAGCATCTCCTTCAGCAAAACAACCCTTTTGGGGACATCAATGACATCAGGAAGAAGCTGCAGGCGGCATTGGATATGGTATATCCAGAGCTTCGAGGAAGATTTCCTAGAATGAAAGAGTGCCTTCGCGAAATTAAGAGGGTCATCAATACATTGGGACTGGCACAACCGACAAACCCTACTCTTGATGAGCGAAATGAGTCTCAGAAGGACAAGTACCACTGATCTCAAGGGGGTCTGTAATACCGCATGAGTCTGAATCAGATGAAGGGAATCACCATCCCCATCAAGACTCTGGTTTAGTCAATGAACAAGAATCATCAATGCAATCATGGGGCAGTGATGACATCACAAGGGAAAGCCACGCACCAATATTGAGAGAGGGTGCCTCGATCACTGGATCGCAACATATTGAGGACCCCATGGAGGATGCTGCAGCCAATATGGGATCTACATTTGATGAATATGAGCTGGAAAGTGGGACGTTAGATCCTGGCCTCGTGCCCTGGGATCCGTTTGCGGGACACTTCGCAGACGACTACGGGCCGGAATTCGACATATTTGGAATGCATACACGGATGTAGCGATAATCATTAACTCATACTATTAGCATCTGGATGAACCAAAGGGGCTGTTGGAAGTATCACTATCTATTTATTCAGGGTCAAGCGACCGGGCTTAATATTTAATACATAGGTTCGATCAGAGAGTTTGAGTGTAAAGTAAAAACAGCAATGGAAGAGGCCAGACCCGACATCTCAACACAATGAAATGCCTATGAATTCAAGAAGTCGATTGTCCAAGTCGGCTTGTAAGAGATGAAATTAGAAGGCATTTCCAGGCAACACAGAGTGCATCAATCTATGTTGAGATATTTATCAACAATACAGATATAGTGGGACTAAACATGATGGTGCCAATGACTCACTTCAGCTCTCAGAAAGTCGCTGGCCGTGATAAGAATTTATTTTGGTGTTATGCTTTCACATTGGAAGCTACTTCTTCTCGCCCCCGACCTTGATTTGCGCTACCACAGCATCGTCTTCATTCTTCCGCACAATGCCAGGGAGGTCTTCAGCCTCAAAGCCACCAAACTTCCGCAGCGGTACTCCCCCTTGAAACATCCGGTCAACCTGTTCCAATGTTTTGCCCTTACACTCTGGAACACAAAAGTAGATAAAAAGAACACCTAGGAATGCGACTGAGCCAAATACGAAACCCGTTTTTGAGCCGAGGGCAGCTAGAAGATATGGCAAGATGAAGTGAAACGAAGCTATATCACAGAGAGCCCTTAGCAAGACATAATTGAAGAGTTGGAGAGGTTGTTGCAGGACTTACTTGAAAAGAACATTGACGCAGCATCCGAGTCGGAGAGTCGCATCTCGAAGTCCAAGAGCAGGAATCTCAGTCGCAACGACGTATGTGAGCGGGGCCAGACCAAGCGAGAAACCAAAAGTCATAAAACAAAGCATGCTGACAATGGCAATTTTGGTAGACTTGGAAATTACATCCTGCGCTCCCAGGCCGCCCATGATCATTAATGCAGTGCACATTATGGTCGCACTTAGCAGAAGAGGCTTGCGACGTCCGATCTTATCATTTGTCAGGAGAGAAATCGCAATGGCGGTGGCATTGACGACTGCAACCAAGAGTGTGAAGACAAAGGGGTTGATAGTCCCTAGCTGCTTCACATAAATCCCTCCATATTGGCTGGCAAATTGCTGGCCAGTGGCCTGCTGGAAGTAGTTGATACCAACAACCAGGAATGTACGCTTCAGGTTTTTAGACGCAAAAATGTCGAGAAACCGCCCTTTCTAGCTCATTACTTCGAGCTGAAATTGAGTTTCCTGAAACTCCTTGTCAATTTCCTCCTCGGTGAAGCAGCCGCTTCGATACTGGACTAGGCTGGCACGGGCCTCATCGATTCTACCCTTTGAGAGAAGCCAGCGAGGAGACTCGGGTAGGAACCATATGCATGTCGAAATGATAACAGGAATGATATAGAAGAGGCCAAGAGGAATCCTCCACGACTTATCTCCGGAAAGTGTGCTGGTACCAAGGCAAACGCAGTTGATGACCAGGCCACCCATGATCAGAGCAAGCTGGTATGTGCCCACGACGAAACCTCGGACCGGGGCGGGAACAATCTCTGATTGATAGGCAGGCACCACTGCCAACTCCATCCCGACGTATATATAGTTGAGGACACGGGCGGTCATGATGTGATGCTTGTTGGTGCTCGTAACAGCAATAGTCGCGATTCCAATGGCGTAAATGCTCATTATAAACATGCACATCCGACGCCCCCATCGAGCCGAGACAAACGACCCAATGATGACGCCTGCGGCAAAACCGATATGGTTGAGCGAATTGAAAAGAGCCAGCCAGGTCGAGGGGAGGTAGTATATCTTCTTTACAGGGTCGTATTCTCCGCATCGCTTATCGAACGCATCCATTGCCCGGGTAGTAGCAAAGGCCTGGTTATCGAAACCATAGTTGAATGAAGAAAGGGCAATGAGGGACACGGCAATCGCTAGACGACGATTGAAGAATCGTGTTTTGCCGCTCATAAACCCCATGCTGAACACAAGAAGAGCAGGGCTTGGAATTTTGTCAGATCCGATAAGGGGGGTTCTTGCAGTGAGTGGGAATGCTAGAAGCGCGAGATGTCGAATGATGCTGGAAAATGATCAGTTTTACAAGCCGGGGGATTCTTGTCTCTTATAGAAAGATCCTAAAGTCGAACTTGATGCGAAAATATTGCAAGATCGAGGGCGAAAGAGACTAGATTATCCCCATGGGGCTGCTCCACGTGGGTCTAGTCTAGTTTGGAGAAGGCAAAGGCTCCCTCCAGTGATCACAACCGGATCTCGTACTCGAGCGAGCGGGGGACGTACTCCAACAATGTAAAGTACGATGTGCAAGTGAAGAATCACGATTAGCAAATCTATGTTCCGTCCTCACGGGTCTTCTAGTGGGGAGAGTGAAAGCATCGTCGTTAATTAGCGAGTTCCGGTCGGTCATTCCGTGTTGCTCGAGGCAAAGCTAGAACATGACTAGACCGAGATCCGTGTCCCAAGACCAAATATCTCGGGCTTATTCTCAGTCCCCATAACGAGTTCTTGACCTCCGCAAAAAGGGGTTAGCCACATAGCCACATCGATAGTTACTTGGATAGAGCAGGAGTGAAAATATCAGATGCTCATGTGCTTATGAGTGTATGATACTAGCCTTCTTAGATCCCCAGCCAGTTAAAGAAAGGTCCTAAATAGATGAATGTGAAGACATATTTTGTCACGTAATGAAAGTTTCACTGGAGATCGATGTACTGAGTTTATAACAGTGGTTGCTGCGTCTATGGAAACTAGCCCATCTTCGTAGTCCCCTCCGAAGCCGTCTTTACCTTGGCTGGTGCCCAGTGGCTACCGTCTCGATTTCTAGGCTTCCTGATATCAAAATCAAACCTATCGGGCAGCTTCAATCCTTGGCTTTGATATCCCTGACTAACTATGGCGCTGACCCCATCCTTGAAGAGCCACGCATCGTCAGTAAGGTATTACCATTCTTCTGTCTGCTTCCGCATAAGTAATAACTGATCTTGATACTCTGGTTCATTTGCTAGGTTATGAACTTCCTCAGGGTCCGCCTCTAGGTCAAATAGCTCTTCGGGGCCGCGATAAAGGTAGCTCCCCAGTCGACGTCTTCCGATCATCACCTCTGGAGTATCGGATTCATCGTCAGGTACTGGGGCACTGTTTCGAATACTCTCGCAACTCAAGCTTCCATAAATGTCAGTGCCAAATGGCAAGTCCAGCCTCCATGCTATATTGCGGTGATACTTGAATTTCTTCGTGCGCATAAACCTGGTGGGCCAATAGTTTTGGATCTCGTGAAGAGTGTGCGAGCCGAAGACATGCTGGGTCCATTCTTCATCCGGCAACGTCTTAGTTGCGTGCAGAATTGGGAGGAAGGATCTGCCCAATCTTTGAGGAGATTTACCTGTATTGCTTGTCACAACGTCCGCATCAGTTTTACCTGCCCAGTCGATGCAGGTAGGGACAATGTCCAGGAATGAAACCATGTTTGGATTGACCGTGCCGGTCTCGTTTCCCTCTCTTGGACAACGAACAACGAGCGGTAGACGGACTCCAGCATCGTAGAGGGTCGTCTTGGAATTCACAAACGGCGAACCGTTGTCACTAATAAAGATGACGAGTGTGTTATGATGCAGGCCTCGTTTTTCCAATTCGTCCATTATTAAGCCAACACCAATGTCCATCCGGGTTATTGCCTTGTAGTACTCCACCAGTTCAGTCCTCAGCTCAGGGATATCGCTGAGAAAAGACGGAATGTCTACATCCTCCGGCTTGTAGTCTGGGAGTGAAAGGTCTCGAATGTTATCATCGTGATTCCCGAACCCTCCTCTGGTCGAGTCTCTGTGGGGGTCTCGAAATCCCACAGTTAGATGGAATGGACGATTGGAATTCTTGGCTGCATTAAAAAATTCCTCTGTCTGGCGAGCGACTTCCCTAACATCGCGAGTTTCGCCCGGCGCGTACCACTCCCAGGGATAGGCGCTACGAGGCCCAACATGGACCTTACCGATAATTCCCGTCAGATATCCCAGAGAGTTGAATATCTGGGGGGCGGTCTCAATGTGGTCATGTGTTTGGAAACGGTTCCACCCGTAGTTCAAGCCATACTGGCCATTTTGGTGCGTATGAAGCCCGGTATAGATAGTTATTCGGCTGCCACTGCAAGACGCGGTACTAGCAAATGCATTGGTGAACTTGGTACCGTGGGAAGCGAGTTTGTCGATATTGGGAGTCCGGATGGCAGTTGAGCCGTAACAGCCAAGCATCAAGCCCAGATCGTCAGCAATGAGCTGCACAACGTTTCGAGAGTCAGCTGCCATTTTGAAGCAATAGTGAAGACTTCGCGGATGCACTTAGGATGAATTGTTTTTTCTAGACACCCAGGGGAGTAGTAACTCCTTAAGGGAGAACAGAAGCTGAACTTTGTCTAGCTGGGTGGGGGGGGGTTCCTTGGGTTCAATGAGCATCCGCAAGAATTCTTGGCCAAGCGAGTTCCGGTTCCTTTGATCCACTCCCCGAGCCGGTGAAGATTGCTTACCCACAAGTGGCATCGGTGATGATTGAGAGAGAAATTATCTGTTTTGCCAGAAAGAGTAGCTTATGCAAAACTGTCGGAACCAGCTTAAACACAGTAAATAGTTTCAAGAATAGGCGAATCTCCATGAAGAGGATTAAAAATAAAAGTATGTCTATTGCAGGGCTATATTTTTCTTTTCTTTTCTATGAATGACTCGTACAAAGTTCAATTCAAGGAAAATGTCTATTGATGTATCGATCTAGAATCCTTACAACCGTGCATCTGCCTTATTTATTCAGCATTTAAATCAGTATTTAATGTTATATGAGTTTCCTAGCGCTAGAAGAATACAACCCCAATTTCTCGAAATCTGAATTAAATTCGTGTCAGCTTGGTTAATTTTATGTGGCAGCTGACAAGTAACGTGCTATCTATGCTTCACAGGGCATGTTGCAGAGTGGCTCGATTTCTTGTATTGTCACCTACTTGTACGGGCAGTATGACGGGGATCATATTATTAGAAGTATCCATGCAGTCTTATGGCTTTCCGCCACCGAAGGGAGGTTGTAGACCTCCTTTCATTATTAGATGAAACCTACCTAAATACCGAAGTCCCCCATCAATGACCCGCTCAATATCGAGTGGAGGCGAAAAGTACCTGACAACCAAGGCGTAAACTTCTCGCATTCGAGCGCACTGCCTTCTCGCAAAGGCCATTTCCCATGTCTCAAGAATGGGAAAAAGTCTTTCGGCGGTGCCTACAATGGGTTATGAAGCCGCATCGGGGCGAATTTATGGCGGTTAGGAAGGTGTCAGATCTCACCCAGCGTTGATATGCCCCAAACAAGCAGTTTGCGAACCCATTTACCACCTGAAAGGTGATCAGGATACGAGTTCTAGGCCTTCTGAGGCTCAGTTGTGGAAGAACTTCAGGTAATGTTGGCTCCCAAAGTCGACTTCCAAACCTGAAGTTCAAGAGTGAAACTAGAATGGACCGATTTCATGAAAATTGCCACGCCGAGCTTGATGGGATTTATTTCGGTTCTTTCCTAGAGTGCTTAAGGTAAAATGAGTAAAGAAATATATAAGAAGGAATCGAGCAGCCAGAATTTGAGAAACCAAACAATCTTAGCAAACAGCCTTAGTCTCTCACTTCACGCACCTCCTCAAATCTCACTGATAGACTCTCATTCAACATGCTTCTGAAATTTGTTCAAAGTGTGGCTTTTTTGGCGGCTTTTGCCGTCGCCGTCCCTGCTCCTCAACTGGCGGCTACGGGGACGGAGACAGAAACCCCTTCTCGCCCTGAGGCTGCCCTTCGACCTTTGTGGACAGACGGAATGCCTACTCGACCAGACGTTGGAGATATTATGCCCACTGGGCCTGACAACGAGACTGAATCGACAAATGACCTTACTATCATGGCCACCATCCGCGACCAGTACAAGTTCTGGAAAGGAAATGGAAAGAACTGGCCGAAGATGGCAGCATGGGGTAACTTTGACCAGCTTTGGAGTGCGAACCTCCCCCTAATGCGCCAGTCTTGCGGTTGGAATGGCTGGGGTGCTAACAACAATAACAACGAGATCAACTACATGAAGACCGCCATCAAGCAGGTCGCTAAGGAGTCTGGTGTTGAGTCGCGTTTCATTCTGGCCATTATCATGCAGGAAACTGCCGGCTGCGTTCGAGCACCCACTACAGCAAATGGTGTTAGAAACCCTGGTCTCATGCAGTCTCACAACGGCTCCGGTACGTGTGCTGGCAAGAACCCTTGCCCGAATAAGCAGATTCTACAAATGATCCGAGATGGCACCTCTGGCACCAAGTCAGGCGACGGGCTCAAGCAATGCCTAACCAAGGTCAAGAAGGTTATTACCAACGCTCCATACAGGGCCACTTTTGCTGCTGCTCGCAAGTATAACAGCGGTTCAGTCGATTACAACAACCTTAACAACCCCTTCACGGCCAGGAAGTGCTACTCTTGTGATGTTGCCAACCGGCTGACCGGCTGGACCAATGCGAAGAGGACTTGCTCTTAATCTGGAGCTCGAACACGCTGCATTTACCTTTGGTGGATTTTGTCAAGTCGTTACATTTCTTATGTCAAGTTAGACGGATAAACATACACGAGTATATATCCGAAATAGATCTGAAATTATGTATTGTATGCAACCACGATTTCTGTTCGTAACTGCGCGTTTTCAGTGTTTTCATCCGTTAGTGACTGCTATGTATCCAAAGAATTGGGGTATTTGTTTCGCTAAGTAGCGAATACCATTTGGCTCCTGGTATATTAACAGCCAATCCAATGCGGTGTTAACTAGACGAGCTACAAGTGACTATAAGCTTCTGACAAGACAATCATGTACGGTTGGCCAGTTTGTTCCATGTCAGCGCAGCGCACAGCAATATTAGATTTTTAAGAGAGCCTGTTGAGTAGGTAGTGCGTAGATTCTATGGGAGTTGAGTTGTATCACGGCTTTGATATGCTCTTCATCCAATTCCATTAGTATTATCCATCCTAACAGTCGCAGTAATAGTTACAAAAGCTAAGTTAGCCGTTATAGTTATTTTTCAGGCCTCGCCAAATTAGATTTTGAGTGCGTCCAACTCCTCCCACAACTCCTGCTCAGCCTCCACAGCATGACTACCATCCGGACTTTGCCGCGAAACCACCTCAGACTCATTTGGATGGTCTACAATCTCAAAGTCGAGGGTATCTTTGTCCGCTACCTCCGGATCTTGATACAAGTACCCTTTTCCGTGGGTGTCTAGTAGGAAGATTTTTGACCGCCCTCCACTCTTCTTCTTGGTAAATATGTGGACATAGAATGGAACTCCACGGACGTCGCCGATCTCAAGAGGCGTCAACCGCGACAAGGGGCAATCGCCATGAACGTAGCGGCGCCCATTGGAATTATAGACGAGCGTCATCTGATCCTGCCCGATAGTGACGTGCAGTTTCATATCACCATCGTTCATAGGCGTCCCGTGGTAAAACCATCGAGTTGGCTGGCCCTTGCGCTTCCGAGCTGCTGAAGCCGTCACGCCGTTTCGGACCAGCACCGTTTCCGGTTTCTTTCCGATCAGGTCCGTCTCGGAGCTAGACAAAATCACGGAGAAGATGACACCTTCACGCAACCCAGAAAGGTCTACTGCAAAGGAATGGGCGGTTGAGTTTCCGGTCTGTAGATAGATTGGGCCTGCTGTCACCCTTTCCGGTTCACCAGAGAGGATCACTGGTGGAAAGTTCAACTTCTTCGCCTTAACCATCGTCGCTTCTACTAGTGGAATTTGAGGAATGGCCGGCATGCGGTCTTTGTGGGTGTTGTAGCTATCCTTTGCATATTGCTTCACATTGTGAAGCTTCTCCATCGTAACATATTCGGGTCGGTCCGGACCGATTTCCTGGGGGACGTAAAAAGACACAAGGGCTGACATTAGCGAGGCAAAGAGCGCCGAGATGGTGTAGTCTTCATTCCAAGTACCATCCTTTGATTTGGCGCGCAAGATGTTGAAGCAAAGACTGCTGGCGTTCTTGTTCTCAAGTCGACCTCGATAAATGTCGACATTATAACGCTCAGTCATGGTGTAGAGATGGATCACCGGTGGTGACTCTGGATAAGTATCAGGAATATACATTGCTCCGACCAGAGTCAGATGCGCCATGGCGCCGTCGTTCGGTATCATAATGAAAGAAAACCGGGTTATGTCGTCCTCGGGATCTGGAGAGATGACTGTTCGCAGATTGAAGAAGTCGGCATTGACATCGTCAATCTCCTTCAAGAGGCGCTTCAGAATCTTTGCTTGCATCTTGAATTCACAGCAGCAGCTGATTAAAGGGAGTTGCTCTCATCTGGTGAACTAAAACCAAAGCCTTGAGATATTCAGGACCATCTTATACCGTCAATCCAAACTCTGACTCAGATCTTTGCTCTGAGTCACTACGCCCAGGATAAGCCCAAACGGGCAGGTACTTCACTGTAATTGCGGCACAGCCCCTGGCTCACCTGCGAATAGCGACGATGTCATTTACTATTTCCTCTATGAGCGGTTCTACAACATACGGGTTTCCTTTGTCTGCGGCAAGCGAGAGGGGAGCAAGGTCAGTCAAGCCTCACAAATTGTCTTCAATCTTCTCTTTGGCGAGGAGGCCAGGATCCGCTCTGTGCTTCAATTGGCGCTCTGTCACCATTGCTCTTGTTGAACAGGTCCTCCGGGCTACCAGATGCAGTGCTGACCGCGTCTCGCATGTCTGAATCTGCGCCAGGTTCGAGAGTGAGCTGAGCCAGTCGAACATCTCCATGTTCAACGGCAACATGAAGATAATTTATGCTATCACGGCATTTCCCATTTCGGAGAACTTTCGTACCTTCCTCTGGCAGAAACGGGCGGGCCATAAGTTCCGTCACGTGTGGCAATGCTGAGGGCAGCACTGCATTGGCTGGACGTTGGCTGCCCTGACCGGTCCTTGAGGGTTCCCCCGGGCCTGAGCACTTGTATCACTTGATGAGTCGCTCAATTTAGCATTCTTCCCGTGTAGTATCGATGCTGTCTGGATCCGAGGGGACACGATTGGCTACACTGGTATTCTTGGCGCCGTGATCTGATTTTCCTTTTAATGATCTAAGAACACTACTTTGAGAAGTACCCTAAAAGGGGGAAACGTAACAAAAACTATAGAAATAAAGATAGATAAGAGAAAGAAGAACAGCTATCAGGTTCCGGCCCCTATCGGATTCAATTGATTCGTAGCTGAATAGATATTACGTACCTCGTGCGAGTGGCGTTTTATGCCGCTCTAATTCGTGTGACTGATCATCTGCAGTGCATGCAGCTGGGCACCAACTTTGGCGATTTTTATCCATTACGAGAGAAACATGCATTTTTATGAGTCGTAAGGCGCAGTGTGATTACGTGGTAATGCGTCGAGGCGTACAACTATTGTTTTACAATATGTGTGCTGATGTCACAGATCGGGTTCGCCGGCAGAGAGCAGTGATCTATGCTGCTCTTCATTCAGTGTATTTAATCTCAGCCGTACCGAATCTTATTTTCACATACATTGTGGCCGTTCAAACATCCTATTCCTATTCCGACGCAATATCAATTCCAAGAAAGTGCCCGTCTCATCACCGCCTTTGGAAGGATGCCGAACTTCCAACTTGCAGAGTGGCTTATAAGCGATGCGGAGATGCTGCGGCATGATGAAGAACTCACGAGAATCAAGGCCTCTTTGGGTGAAGGTGGCACTGATCTATCAGCAAATAATGCTCAAGGTATCGAGGATGCCGAGGCTGGAGATCCAGCTCCTGCGGGCAGCACCCAGGAAGTGGCCGCCAAGGTTCAGTACCTGTACGGCGATGATTTGGGACATGGGCGTGTGAACTGGAAAGCAAAGCCCACTCATCCAGACGATCCCAAGTCTGACCTCATCAACAAGGACTCTGGATATGTCGTGCGCAAAACCTCACAAGGCGTCAATCATCCTTGGGAGATGCACTCCGTCATCGTTCGAAGCCCTCATATCATGAAGATCCTTCGACAAATCCTATCAGACTACCCCGGGATCTCGCCTGCGGTCGACCACTTGACATTAGACAAGCCATTCAAGCCAATGCTTCACCATTGGGATGACTTTTGCCAGGCTGTCGAGCGGTCCGATGACTTCACCAAGCAGCACGTTGAGGGATTTGTGCTATTCCTCAAGGAGGAACTCGCGCCTTACTTTGAGGTTTTGAAGAATGCAGATGCGCATGGCATTATTGAGCACCAAAACCTGTGGACAATCTTCCCGCCTCATCAACTTGTTTGGACGGATCTCAAGCAACACCACTCAATCGGCGAGGTAGAACAAACAAAGTTGGATCAATTCAGGGGCGATTTCGTTGTAGCATACAAGCAAACCGTCTGGGATGGTTTCAAATTGATGGCCAAATCAGGCGCTGTGGGCATCCCGGCTTTCACTGGGACACGCGCCATCGCAGGATTGAACGCAATTCCACTTTTGAGAAAGCCCGATGCAGCAGACATCGGAAAGGTTGTGCTTGACCGCGGGAGAAAATTTCTCGGCCTTCTCGGTTGCCATTACCGGGAGTACTTGGGCCTTGGATCGTTTGAACGGCCGGATGACATGCTAGAAAGACCTCAGATAGAATGGGAAGCGGTAAGAAAGGGATCTTAATTACACTGTATACCGCCCTGCTGATATTTCGTCTTCTAGGTCTCAGGCCGCGTTGTCTTGGATGCTGCTCTATGGAATGGAAAGGTGGGAGATCGCGGCGAGCCTCCAAATGCTGATTCTCTGCCAAAGACCGATCGAGAAATTAGTATTTGCTCCCCGATGATCAAGGGTTACTCCTTGACCTCAAAGAAATGGTGTAAGTTGTGCTGCGTCACGAGCAGGATTCTGGCTGATCAAACCCGCAATCCAGATAACTTGTTTGTGGACAATGTATCAGATATTGTTTGGGATGATTCATTCTCCGGGTTGGTGCTTAACAACACTGAAAAGGACCTTCTCCTCGGGTTTGCACAGACGAAGCTGTCCATGACCACCGACTTCGACGATCTGGTCCGAGGCAAAGGTTTTTACTACTCCCTCACAATGTATTTTCAAATCATTAGTCTAACGATATCAAGGCAAGGGCGTTATCATCCTTCTTTCTGGCCCGCCCGGGGTTGGAAAAACAATGACGGTTGAATCAAGTGAGTTGATAGTCTGTCTACGCTTCAGTGGAGGGATGCCTAGCTAACTGAGAAGTCGCAAACATGATGCATGTTCCGCTCTATCCAATGAGCGCAGGCGAGCTTGGAAGCGACGCTGCCAAGGTCGAAAATAACCTGCGTCAAGCTCTCGTTTATTGTAAAGAGTGGAATGCAGTGCTGCTTTTGGATGAGTCAGACATATTCCTTCAAAAGCGAAGTGCTACAGATTTACAGAGGAATGAACTTGTGTCTAGTAAGTCGATGCTGCCACGCGTTCCATCTCCTTGCCTTGCGATGAATAATCTAACACGTTGATAGTCTTTCTTCGCCTGCTGGAATATTATGATGGCCTGATGTTCTTGACTACCAACAGGATTAAGGCTATGGATCCCGCTTTCCAATCCAGAATCGACTTGACAATTCATTATCCAGACCTTTCGGAAAGCTCTAGAGCCCGTGTATGGAGCAACTTTCTCCAAGCGGGGGAGGGCACCAGCACAGAGATCGATTTTGATGAGCTTGCATCGCACGTCATGAATGGAAGGCAAATCAAGAACGCAGTCAAACTGGCAAAGATGTTGGCACTCAGAAGAAGCCAAGCGTTTCATATGGATCATCTCAGACAGATTCTTCAACTATCCGCTCCCCAACCTGCACAAGAAATGATGAGTTTGGACTGATCTTGAACGAGAATAAGGTGCTTGACAATAAGACCATGGCATCGGAGCTCAATCTACCATTTATCACGTTAGCTACTATGAATACAATGCTATTCTAATTTTTATTAGCTACATAGTCGTGCCCTAAGCAGAAACCACTCATCTGTTTACTTTATACACGGGATGTTTGACCCGTCCCTTGTTGAAACAGGGGGTGCTTTGATGTGATAAATAAGTTTTGCTTATAGATAGCTAAATATATCTTCATCTACCTACTCTATAATGAGGGGAGATTAAACAGTAAAGATGAAGAGGCAATTGAACTTGTCTATAACCTATAGTGAGCTCACATTTAACAGAAAAGCCCATTACCTACCCCCTCAAGGCCTGAACCCTTTATTACTGAAAGCTCTAAAGCCCCTCCATCAGGCCCGCCTTCTTAGTCCTAATAATACTTTAATAATCGCTAAGAGTTTTCGAATTTTCCGTGGTGTTCTCTTCGTACTATTCGTAATTTTGACTTCGCTCTAGTTCGAATCGGAAATCTTGACAAAGCTCATGCGTATCTAGCGACATGCTCCTTATCCTCTATTTGCATCTGGGCGTAGGTCATCTATGTTCAAGCGTAATCAACCGGGAATGGATCCGCATTTCCCAAGATCTCGGGTTGAGTAATCCCCGGGCCATCCCCAACTATGATGGAACGCTCATCCATGCTCGGGAAAAGATCCGATACTTTCTCTGAAGCTAATAAATAGTAGACCTCCTAGTAGATGTTTAATCTTCTAAATACGGGTCTTGAGGCAGCATACACATGATCTTATTATTGATAACTCTTCCGTGGGTTTAACAAAGATGCTACACATCAGCGAGGCTGCGGTCAAGGACGCCATCACAGTGAAGTCCTGTCTTCCTATCATCCGCCAAGCATACTTGGAATGCAATGAGGGTGGCATCTCTACAGGACCACGGCTTGTGATGGCCGTCACTGATTCCGGCGACCAAGGCCAATGGCTTACAGGAAAGTACCCAACGAAAGGCTTTTTCGGCTCCAAGTTCTCCTCCAACTTTTCGGCAAACCTCAACAAGGGCCTGCCAGCCACGATCTCGACCATCAGTTTATACTCGGCCCAGACAGGCCAGCTTGAGGCTGTGGTCGAGGCCAATGCTCTCACGGCCATCAAAACAGCAGGAAGCGCTGCCGTTGCGACTGAGCTCTTGTCGAGACCCGACTCCTCGCGTCTAGCAATCATTGGCTCGGGCGTGCAGGCTTTCGACCAGGTCCTTGCCATCTGTGTAATTCGGGATATCCGCGAAGTCAGCGTTTACGACTTGGACCCCGCGAGGGCCGAGAAGTTTATTGGCTTTCTCAAAGAAGTGGATGGATTCTCTGCCGAAACCAAAGTCGCACAATCCGCTGAGGTAGCCGTGTCAGAGGCAGACATTGTGTGTACCTGCACCACGTCTAGGAAGCCCGTATTCAAGGGCAGCGCCCTCAGGCCAGGTACTCACGTTAACGCTATTGGCTCGTAATCTCCGGAAATGCAAGAAATTGACTTCGATACTGTTACACGAGCTAGCTGCATCTTCACAGAGCATGTGGATGGTTTATGGGCCGCGGCTGGCGACATTGTACAGCCCTTTAACAAGGGTCTGATAGAAAAGGGCAAAGTCAAGGGCTGATTGGGAGACTTGCTTTCCGGCTCAGTCTCTGGGCGGAAATCACAAGACGAGATTACTCTGTATGAGAGCGTTGGGTCTGCGGTTTTGGATTTGGCTCTGGCTGTAGAGGCCTATCGTTCTGTTGTTAATTCTACAAGATCGAACATTTAAAACGCTGTATGAAGATAATTATATACACAGCCATTGCCTATATATACTATTCAGAAAGACTGACTCTATTCAACCACGTGGCCATTTCACTGCTTAAAGCTCGCGAGTCGCATCTCAGACGGGTTATGATTCATCAAGATATATATGGAGCGCCTATCTCATTATCCTGCCCCGTGCTGTAAAAATGAGCGACAAGCACTGGTAGCTCTGTATGAGACCTATTCCGCATTGTTAGCTATCAATGACTCATGGCCGCTGAAATGATATCAAACTCATCTGAGAAAATTCTCGCCGGCGACTTCCACATTGGTAATGCTCCGTGGCTAGAAGGTATATCGAAAACCGGTGGCGCCTTGAGCTTGGCGACCAAGCTCACTTGGTCATCAAAGGTGATCCGGCGTATCATGTTAAAATGGCAAATCAATAGGCAAACTGGTCAGCTTGCATCTGGTGCATTCCCGGAGAGCACAAAACGGGTAGAGAGACCTTAAGCCACGCTTGCCTAGCTGTCATGCTCATAGTTTTCAGCTGGCTCTGGCTGCGAGCCCTTGAAGATCTTTCTTGGCGAGGACTGGTGACGTGCGGCACAGCCAATTCAAAGGTCTGCTGATGGGGGGTGAGCATATCATCCGTCAATCCCTGTATATCCCTCGCTTAAATCTCGTAGACTTGTTGGCCTTAGATACCTGGAGTATTTCACACTTCATAAGTTATTTCAGGCGCAACACTTCTTCGCCCTGCCCCTCCAAATAGAGCATCGCCGCTATCGAAGTCCATCCCGCACTACAAGCACAGCTATCAATCTACTACCTATCATCACCATGGATGACGATCCAAATATCTATCCATTCATTACCCTACAGGTAGTCGACCTGGTTCTGTTGTGTAGTGCCGTTGTCATCTCTCTCGCCGGCGTCTACTTTGCCTTTAGAGACCTCCCCCGTCATGCTACTGCCGCTGCAGAGATAAAGGTTCGCCCGAGGGCGACCGCGTTGTCGACTTCTCTGTGAGCATCCCTCTCCTCCACCCTCTCCTTGCGTCTATTTTTCAAGTCGCTGAGATGATCAACGTGGCTCCAGTCTTCTGGTCCTAGGTATTGTCCCATGGGTATTGATCTCACCAAATGAGTTTGCACATCAGCCGAGCCCACGACTCCAGGCCATGAAGTATATCAGTGCCCTCATTGGTGTTTTGAACTCTATGGTTGCCTTTCTGGTCCTAAGCTTCCTCATACGCCTCGTAGATTTCGTCCACAGGCCAGCTGCCGATGCCTCGTCCAGCTCAGACTCTCCCCAAAACGTTTCCAATCAATTGATCAAAGGCCTTGGTCTCGCTGTGGCTCTCGCCCTCACCAATGCTGTTTTAATTATATTCGTCTTGCCAAACGATGGACCATTGGGAATAAGAGATTGGACTGCCGCCGACACCGTGGTTTTGGTTCTTTCACTCATCATCCATTTGATATATTTGGTCATAACCATAGTCGTTCTGGTCAGGACAAGGAGAACGGTAAGTTTCGAATTTCCCCTCATCTCTGGAATAAAGATAAGCTGACACTATGACCAGACATCTCGTGGGCCACTCCTCGCCGTGGCTATTGTGTTGCCTCTCCGTTACATCTATGCTTTCCTCTCACCGTTCGTTATGTTCGGCGCTGGCAGGCTCTTAAGTAGTCGCGTACTCTTCAAATTTATCACCGTTTGGGGTATCGTAGGGGTTATGTTGGTACAATGCACCGAGGCTATCATTGTCTTAGTCCTCATCAAGGTTTTGATCTACCACTTGGCAAACTCCAATGTCAGAGAGGAGCATGAGGATCCAGCGAGAAGACCGCTCCTGAGCTCGGAAAGTGGGCAGTCGGCCGGCACGTTCAACGCACCGTCCGAGTGAAGATCAAAACTGTCACCAAACTCTGTCAAAGAGTCTCAAAGACTAGCCTGGCAACGAAAAACTGAAGCAGACAGCTGTATGGGAGGGCTCCTCGCATGAATAAGATTATAGTCATTGTAGAATAAGTACCATCATTCTACTCTGATTGCTAAATGACCATTCGCAATATCGGTATTTTCTCAGAAAGAACGACCAAACATTCTTTTCTCTGTGAGATTACTTCTATCAAAGAACTGGCGAGAAAGCATTCAAACGGGACCAAGATCCACCGACCCCAAATACTTCCCAAGCTCCCCCTTGGTGAAGTGTAGAACTGCCCTCCGGTCTTCTTGCCATTCGTTCGATTTGCTTTGCGGGAGGTCGCCGACGGTTGCGATCCAACTCCCGGAAGAAGACTCTGGTGAAGAAGGCTTAATAGTGGCGTCGACATATGCGTCAATGGGCTTGATGCACACTTTGGCATGGGTGGAGGAAGCGGAGAGGATAGTTGGTGTGACTTCTCCCGTGGGAGAGAACGTAAAAGTAGGCATGGTAGCGGGAGAAATATGTGTCTGATGGGTTTGTTTGGTTATTCAAGAGCTTTTGTGGTTGAAGAGTAACAAAGATATAGACAGTTGAGTGCCCTTAAATATGGCCGCTGAAGCCAGGTGTGAGATTCGGTTTTGTACCTGTGAGCACTGCTGCCTGATTGTACTTGGCGGATACTTGAAGGATCTGTCAGCAGATGTACACTTTCAAGAAACATCACTACCTAATGATCTTTTATTGCTATGTTAATTAAGTGGGTTAATTTGTCTCATTGTAGCAATGCTTTTTACTTCATGGATATACTGCTGGTGCCAACCATCTCATCAGATCAACGAGGAGCGAAATGTACTTCCATTGCAGGAGACTCTGGCCAGCGGGTAGCCGCCTATAAATTAGCGGACAGTGGCTACCTGTGGTATTTCACGGGGTATATCACAGTGAGCACCCTTTCCATCAATGGTCGGGTGCGACAAATGCCATCAAATACCCAGACTTGTTTTGATTAGGCACACCGATCTTTTACAATCACGATACGATCAATCTAATCTCATCTTTACAGTGTCAGACTCAGACATAAACAAAGCTGGGCGCGTCCGACCCACAGCACTTGGTTTCGCTCGTCCGATTGGCTGGTGAATTCGGGAGGATCATAACCCCGAAGATGCCGAAAGTGCGAGATTGCGGAGTCACATTTCTCCCTCTTCTCCTCGAAATAGCGACCGCAATTCCCTCCCCGTGCTTATCGTATTTCTCGCGTTCTTCTTTCCTTGCCGTGCGGTGCGCACTTTCGGTCTTTACCACTCATTCCTCCCCGACTGCATCCATGGCAGACACCTCGACATCAGATGGAGGCCCCGAGCGTGCGCCAGTGGCTGCGCCCATCAGTATCAAAGCTGTAAGGACCGTGTGCGCCAACGCCAGCGGCAGCGGACTCAGAGTGCCTTAATTCCTAGTGGCTGCTAATGGATCTTCTAGTGTGATCAATGCCGAGCTCGCAAGGTAAGTTGACCGTCTGTTGCTCCATAGGTTGCTGCAAACCAACACTAGGATCTCAGGTTCGCTGTGACAAGACAAGCCCATGTGCAAATTGCAAGAAGCACAATGTAAAATGCACAACGTCGCCCCGAGTTCCGAGGGCCAGGCGTGCGCGAGCTGCCGGGTCCTCAAGCCAGAAGTGAGTGTTACCCCATATCAGTTTTCTGTCTAACTGCCCTCCTTCTTTGGGCTCGACTGACCAGCCTGGAACGAATAGTGATGGCAAGCTTGATTCTCTCGACCAGCGATTGGAGAGGATGGGCCGTCTAGTCGAAAATCTCGTTGCTGAGAACAGACCCGGAACTAGAGCAGCGTCATCTGCCTCCCCTCTCAACGAATCGGACCCCTCTCCTGGAGTTAGTATTAGCAGTGGCTTCGGCACCTCATCTCCTCCGGTAGCTCCGAGAGTGAACCTCGAACAGCCAAAAGCACAAGGCCCTGTATCATCTGCCCCCGCGCAGGAGCAGCAGGAAGGCAACTCAATTCCCGTCACTGAAGGGCCATCCTCATTCTCTGCCCAATCTGACTTCGCCGTCGCGTTCCTGAAGAAGGTAGTCGGCTCTGACCGAGATCAAGGACACGTCTTTGACTCTCTGGAGCTCCAGGATGCCCTCGGCCATATTGTCGATGTCCTCCACAAACAGCAGGGCTCACTAGACATGGCCTTCTCCGCCACAGATGCGCCAACGCCTGTTCGTGTGCGTCCCAAAATGCCACCGATCGAAGCTTCCGTGGCTGTCATCAAGAGCACAGAAGGTACATGCGCACTATATTCAGCATCAGGCCAATCTATGTTGTTGAGATCTTGATCGCTAATCGTTTCATATAGACCGAGCGAAGATCATTATTTATCATCTCTCTTCCGTGATTGACGTACCAAGCATCTCAGACATGTGTCTAAAAGTGTACTTCTCGCAAGATTACTCCGATGCGGAGTTAATCATACTCAACGCAATTCTCTATTGCAAGTGCCTCCAATTCATTCTAATAGGCTCCTTCTCGGCTAATATTAAGTATGACACAGTCCTGTTCGGCCAACATGATGATCAGGAAGAGAATAAAGCAATATGCGCCGAAAACCTCACAAACGCCCTGGCGCGGCTGTCCCTATATATCAAGCCTAGCTTTGATATGACGTTTGCACTAATTCTGGGCGTTCGTATTTCCCACGCTCACTCGTGTAGCTTCTTAATCTTGCTATTCTAACATTGAATCAAGGCTGTTTTTGCCATGGAGTCATTCAAGCCTCTAGTATCATGTACTTTGATCACAGCCGCATATCAAGCCGCGTACTCTCTAGGATATCACACCCGGCAAAAGGGCGCTGATAAAGGTAGTGATTCGCCCAACAAGGCAGGATTGCTATTCTGGGCCATCTACTTCCTCGAGAGAAGCTTCACTCTCGGACTAGGTCGGTCGTCAACTATACCGAATTCCGACATCACTGTGCCACTGCCAGGCGGCCCCAAATTCCCGCTGAATTCCGGCATGAATGCCTACCGGAACATGGTTAGAACTGCCCGCTTATCGGGTAGAGTCTACGAGGACCTATACTCGGCAGAGGCTCTTCATCTACCCGCCAATGTGCGGCAGCAAAAGGTGGCAGAGCTGACCAAGGAGTTGCAAGATATACGTGATACACATCGGCAAGTCAGGGTAAGGCGAATATCAGTCACTTGGTTATATATTAGCAAGAAAGGTTGCTAACAATTTCTACGTCTGTCATTAGGAAGCCATCCCCATCAATCAATCAGACCCCGTGATGGCTCTAAAGATGAAACAATTGGTTGAGTTCATCTATCATTCAGATGAAATTCACTGCTTATCCATCCTCACTCTCATCCAGCGTGCGGCTCCCCCTCCCACTACAGGTCCTTCAAAGACCTTCACCGAGGAGTGCATCGCATCTGCTCGCAGTGTCATCGAGATCCATCACAGATTCGTGCCGCTGCTCAAGGAGCGAGGTACTCCTTTCGTATCCGCACAGGTCAACTGGTATGTCCCATTTTATTGCCGTTGGGCGCCCCATGCCGTTACCATGGCTTACAGCCTCACAGGGTTCTGAATTTCATGCCCTTTATATCCTTTGTCGTGCTCTTCTGCCATGTCATCGAAACAGGAAATGACGAGGACCTGAACCGCATGGGCGATTTCGTCCAGTCGATGGAAGTGGCCAGCACGTTTTCCAACTTCAAAGACAACCACCATCGCCTATTCCAGGTCCTCCACACCGTTGCCAGCCGGTATTCTGAGCTGAAGGCTTCACTGACGCCCTCGCAAGTGAACAGCGCCGATTTGCGCACAGAGATGGACGCCTACCTCAGTTCGCTCGGATATCAACCCATGCATCAGGACATGACGCAGGATTTTACCGCCTTGCCAACCATGTCCTTTTTGGATATGCCGATGGACACTTCAGCGACCCATCCGGAGGTTGAGCCAAACCCGCAGTTGGCGAATTGGTTTTCCTGGAGTCAACAGATGATGGGGCTCTTGGACAGTAATCAGCCGGATATTTGAAGGTGTACTGGGGGGCCATTTAGCATTTATTTTCTCTACATCCAACATTAGGGAGGGAGCGGCAGCCACTTTTAGGTAAATAGCGTGCGTGATCTAGCCAGTATTATCGCATTTATGCTAAAGAGACATCATTTTTACATATTCCCCTTTCTTGAGATGTGTTCAATGATTGCCACAACAATAATAACTTTGCCTTTAAAATAAGAGAAGAGAAAGAGAGAGATAGTCCAAGAAATCTGCCACGTGCTTGAAATATGTGTCATAGATGGGTTTCAAATTCGCATAGGGCCGAGAAAATGGGGGAAACCTTGCTTCATAGTCAAGGAGATATTCAACAATGAAAAACCTTGATTCGTGCACCAATGCAGTATTAGCCGGTTCAAGCTGGTTTTCAACAACCCTCCAGAGGTGTCATGATGGGTCATCGGCGTTGCGTGGATTGACTCATCCTGTGCTTTTTCGACAGGGTGTGTAGTACCGGGGCAATCACAGGTGATTTAATCTTATGCCCCGGCATTTAACCAACCAGGATGTTTTGACAGCTCGTATTGATCGCTTACTTGCTTACACGAGAGCGACGTGCATTGTTCGGCCTCTCGCTGCGCCGAAACTGCGAGACGCCGAACTGCGGGTCCCATCACAATATCTTCGACGAAAGGACAGAATAAAGAATTGATAAATACTCCATGTTACCCATCAAGCTCGAGTTTAGGCATCATAAAACATCAACCTAATCGATAGAATAGCGGGTGGTTCTTTTTTGTCTTTCCTCAGCGTCGCTGCCACCAGTTCTTTGTTGTTCACCCTTGACCACTTAGATCTCCTTACAACCACCGCCAAGATTTCAACTCTACTTCACATAGAGCAACAGAACGAGACAATGGGCTCTCTATCAGAAAAGCCCACGGCTGTCCAGC